CGATTACATACGAAGGATTGCAACCATTAATTAGAGATAATAATAATAATGGTAATAACAACCTTGGTTATTATTATTATTATTAACATGATAATCATATCATGTCTACGTTTCCGCTTCCCATCAGTAACAAACATTAAACTTTTGATTATTGTTGTGATTAATATTAATAATCATCTTCCCCCACTCTTCACTCGTGTTCACCACTCATCAGCACCAGGAGAAAAAAAAATATATATATAAAAATAATAAAACAAAACTCCAAGAGCCCGTTACCACTTCCTCAAACGTTCCCCTTTTTAATTACCCGTTCCGTTCCCCATGGTTACTGTTACCCTCGCCAAATACAATTTTATTCTTCACCGCAAAGCCGAGAGGAGAGCGAGAAGCAGTAGTGCATCGGAAAAATCCCCAGGCCATTACTCCGTTCCGCCTCGCAGCGACCCCATCCCTCTCGTTATAGCAACGATAGAAGCCTGGCCTCGCTACCGAAATCATCATCGGCGTTGGAGCCTTCTCCTGACGTTGTAGTGCGAAGCTTTGACGGCAGTTTCGGCTTTGTCGACTTCAACCAATCTCTGAAACCTTGGCATCATCGCGTAGAGGACGATATCAGGAACATTCCGGTTTTTGCGGAATTGAATTCCGACGTCAGACGAAGGAGATACGAGCTTCGAAGGTGTTAGACGCATATCGGATAGTGCAGGTACCAATTCAGTCTATTAGGAAAAAAAATATAAGGACCGAGTTCGTAATTTTCACAAATGTCCAGATTAGTCCCCTATGTTTCCAGTATGAGCAGCTTAGTCCCTATTATTTTAAAAACATTGAAAATGGGCCAAAAAGAGTATTTTTCTCAAGATTTTTATTATTTTAGTTACTGTACAGTAGGCATTTTTTTTTTGTGTGATAATTTCATTAATAGGATAAAATCCACAGGGTGTCGGATATTAATTTAAGAATTTTTGAAGATGTTTTCATAATTATAAGAATTGTTAGAAAGACGTGTTTAGTTAGATAAAATAGTTTGCAAACGGTTATTTTAGATCTAGTAATTTTAATAGAATCCGTAAGCTTGTTTGTTTGTCCGGGAAATTTCTTGGGAATTTTTAGAATCGGCCGGTTGAATATAAAAAAAAATTAAGAAGTTGTCGGTTTTAATTTATTATATTACTGTATGAATATGTATTATTAACTTGTTAGTTTTGTGAAAAACTGGAATATGGGTTGCATGTTTTAAAATTAAGATTATGAATTTTAGGTGCTGGTAGTATAGGTTTAAAAATTCGTTGTTGAAAAAAATTGAATAAGTAGAAGGAGTTATCAAGGTGTAAATGCTACTCGATAATTTTGGTTCATGTTAGGGTTATTCTAAATCATAATTTTGAGTTCTTAATAAGTAAAATATTTTGAGAAATTTATGAGATTTATTTATAAGAGTTTCGAGCCGATAGTAGTAATTCAAGCCTTGGTAAAATTTGGAGAAAATAGAAATTATTTCAAGAAGTTCAATGCTCCTTTTTAAAGAATTTTGGGACTAAGCTAGGAGAACGGAAAACTCTACGGAATACCGACTAAGGGTAGTTAATCTCTATTGATAGGATTAAGGAAGCGATCAAGTGAAGGTTCTTCGCGTCCAACGAATTAAAGTATCGACACTTGAGAGGTGAGTGTAAAGGGGGTAAATTCTACGCCTTACGTGTTTTTTTTAAGAATTACAAGCCTTAGGTATTTCGATGAAGTGATTGTCGTTGTTTGTTTGTGCTTATGGTTGATGATGTGTGATTTTGTTTGAGCTATGTTTAATGTGAATGTGCATGAGTTCTTATTTAAATTGAATGCGTTGGATCACAGATTCGGCCTTAGGGTACTCTCCACCAACGATGAAGTCTAGCAATGGCCGATTTTGTCGGAAATTTGATCGAATTTTTACGGAGGACATTTTCGTAATTTTTAGGCGCTTTTTTCGAAAGGCCATTTTCCTTCGGTTTTGAAGGGTGCAGATCACGGATTCAGCCTGAGGCTATTCTTTAGGGATGAATAAGTCTATTAAACAGGGTTTCGGGCAGAAAACTTCCGGGGCAATTTTTGCCAGTTTCCAAAGGGGTACCATCACCGATTTCGGGCGATTTTATGGAAAGTCCATTTTCCTTTGATTTTGAATGCGTTGGATCACAGATTCGGCCTTAGGGTACTCTCCACCAACGATGAAGTCTAGCAATGGCCAATTTGGTCGGAAATTTGGTCGAATTTTTACGGAGGGCATTTTCTTAATTTTTAGGCGCTTTTTTCGAAAGGCCATTTTCCTTCAGTTTTGAAGGGTGCAGATCACGGATTCAGCCTGAGGCTATTCTTTAGGGATGAATAAGTCTATTAAACAGGGTTTCGGGCAGAAAACTTCCGGGGCAATTTTTGCCAGTTTCGAAAGGGGTACCATCACCGATTTCGGGCGATTTTATGGAAAGTCCATTTTCCTTGGATTTTGAATGCGTTGGATCACAGATTCGGCCTTAGGGTACTCTACACCAACGATGTAGTCTAGCAATGGCCGATTTGGTCGAAAATTTGGCCCAATTTTTACGGAGGGCATTTTCGTAATTTTTAGGCGCTTTTTTCGAAAGGCCATTTTCCTTCGGTTTTGAAGGGTGCAGATCACGGATTCAGCCTGAGGCTATTCTTTAGGGATGAATAAGTCTATTAAACAGGGTTTCGGGCAGAAAATTTCCGGGGCAATTTTTGCCAGTTTCCAAAGGGGTACCATCACCGATTTCGGGCGATTTTATGGAAAGTCCATTTTCCTTTGATTTTGAATGCGTTGGATCACAGATTCGGCCTTAGGGTACTCTCCACCAACGATGAAGTCTAGCAATGGCCAATTTGGTCGGAAATTTGGTCGAATTTTTACGGAGGGCATTTTCGTAATTTTTAGGCGCTTTTTTCGAATGGCCATTTTCCTTCGGTTTTGAAGGGTGCAGATCACGGATTCAGCCTGAGGATATTCTTTAGGGATGAATAAGTCTATTAAACAGGGTTTCGGGCAGAAAACTTCTGCAATTTTTGCCAGTGTCAACTAACGGTCAAACGAACAGAAAGTTTACGATTTGGATATTAGATTGTTTCCGAAAAGGTTTGGCTATTATATTGTTTAAAATAAAAGGTTTGGATATTAATTTGTATTTACCGTTTTACTAATTACTCCGAATAAAAAAACCACAATACATAAATTTGATAAATATGTGGCGGCACAGACAAAACAATCAATCATTAGAGAACCTCTCATCATCCAACAAGTTTCCATTGTTTCTTGCAATACGTTCCAAAAGCAAAGGTCATGTCCATCCATCGTCTTCTCCAGCCATACAAATGTTCGAGCTAGCTAGCTAGCTAGGGCCCTCCTTCTTACTTTTTCTCTCCTTTGGCTTTGTGGGCTGAAATACATTATCCGTATGGTAATGAAGATATGGTTCGGTTCCTAACTTGGCGGGGGATCACTGCTATTGCTAAATATACTGTTGAGATGACACGAAACCATTCATTCATTTCCATGCTGATGCATGTCGATCTTTTCCACTGGAAATTGATCAAAGCCCAATTGTCAACTTCCAACATCAATGGCGCCTCTCTTGGTGCGTTATCCACAGTTCATGAATGGGCTTAAAGTCCAGTTACATCCTCGTCCTAATCTCTGCCTTAATTATAGCACAAAAGCTAGATATAACTGGGTAGCTCTCTCTTATAAAGGTCAAGTCCTATATCATGTCATCCTAACGAAATTAAGGTGACAAAGCAGCTTACACCTTTTCGGATATGGCTGGCCACTTTAATGTTATTGGCTCCTTATCCTCGATCGACATATATTTGTTTCATGTTCAGATCACCAAATTATGATAATACTCTATTATATTTGGCCGTTGTTTTGTAGTTGTCAAAAGATGAGGGTATGAGGCCCTTAACCCTTTTGGGTGCTAATAATTTACAATTAAAGTTCAAAATAATTAGTCGTTGGAAGAGGAGGTTAGAGTTGATTTTATTTGTGTCTATATTAATATTTGATATTTGAGGTCCATACGATTTAATGCTTTATTTTTTTAATGAAATTTTTTCAAAATTCTAAGAAAACTAATTCATCACAATAACTTAAATTGTTGAATATGTGTTACAGGTTTTTATATCCAATAATATATTTATACGTACCATGCAAAAAGCAAAATGACTCTTACACTATGTTTGGGAAGGGGTGTAAATGGAAGGGGTGCAAGTTTGGAGGGGTAAACACAAGTTCCAAGGTGTTTACCCCCGTTTGGTTATTTTGTAACAGTAGGGGGGTGCAAAACGTGAGCGTAAATTCACTGTTTCGGCTTACCCCCCAAATTGGGGTGCAAGGGAAGGAAGGAAGGGAGGGGGAAGGGGGAGGAGGGGAATTATGAATTTTTAATTAGATTATAATTACATAATAATTAATATTATTAATATTATTAATTTTTTCTTATATCTATATTAGTGTAGAAGTTGTTTGGGGTTGACCGTTTGACTCAGAGAGCAAGTTTGTCAATGTTCGCCTCGTCAAATCGATATCTCTTAGTTGACCCGAATTTGCATTGAAAATTAGAGATAAGAAGCATTTGTTGAAAAGATAGAGAGGAACAGTTTAGTTAAGTCGATTTACTTTAATAAGTAGTTAAAACTTACAGATTCGAACGTGTTTGACTAAGTTTGACCATATTCAATTTAAAGTTAGGCACGGGAACCCCCTTAGGATGACCAGTTACGAGTTGGATTTCGAGTTTCGAGGTTGCTCGACCAATGATTATTATTGTTGCTATAAATAATTAGATTTGAGCATTATTATATAATAATTATTTTTATTAAAATTATTTTTATTAATTATTTTTATTAATTATTTTTATTAATTATTTTTATTATTATATATTAAATGTTCATGTTATTATTTTGTGATAATATTTTATAAATTGATAAATCTATTTTATAATAATATAATTACTTACTTTTTACTCTATTTGCACCCCCCTACTTTTTCATCCAAACAACAATTTACCCCTCCACTTACACCCTCCACCAAGTTGCACCCCCCAACAATTTACCCCTCAACTTGTACCCCCCTCGAACTTGCACCCCCCTTGTTGCCAAACATAGTGTTAGGATAAAGATTACTCTCGTTCGAGTCTCTAGCTAGGCGGCCGGTATCCTCGTCAGTCCTCATCTGATAAATAGATTGTTCACTTTGTCCATCTTTCTGTCTGTTTCTTTCAAAAGTACGCATCCCCAGTCTTCTAAACAGTTCAAGTTATATTGATTGGTTCATTAGAAATAAAATTTTGTCATTATACAAACCATGTAACTGTAGATTGAAAAACTTTACAAAATGAACAAGTTTCGTATTGAAATTCATCACTTAATTAAACTTTGAGCAAACCAATGATGAGAAAACCAAAAGATCATTTGTACGGTTCATGACAATTAAACAACTAATAATCATTCATCACTTAAAAATGTGGGGCGTCATCAGAGGAGTTTTTGAGTTGGAGGGAACAAACAACATGAAGAGGCATGCAGAAACAGGCTCTGTGTCATGTGTTTATGTCTATCCCCCAAATACTTTGCCTACATATGGCTAATGGGACACAAGAGAAGCAGGCTGCCAACTCTTGTCTCCTTAATCCTATCTTCAAGCTATGCCTATAGTCTTCGTTTTTTTTTCCATGTACTCATTAGTTAATAATAATGCCTCTACATTCATTAAGCCAATAATAGCAAACCTATACGGTGCTTACAAGACGTCTGTACGAACGTGTTCAAAGCGCCTCCTGATCGTTGGAATCGGGGCCAATGTCTCGGAGCTGTTGGATAGATGCGGTGACATGCATTTTTGTAAATAAAACATTCATTGTGTCCTCTAATGATTGTAAGGTGCCCACTCTTATTACGATGACACCAGAGCGCTGTGAGGCATGTTCTCACAAACACTTTGTTAGCATTTTAATAAAATTGAATAACGGTGTTGATGTCTCCCTTGTCGCGTATTTCTCTTCTTGACCACACTAGCTAAGCTGGAACCATGGTGTCTTCACAACAAACTGAAAAACCAACCTAACATGACCCATCGATTTCCTAACATCCCGAAAATCGGACACCTATATAAAATGGAATTCCTAATAATCGAAATCTAACCTAACCGTGATCCCTAGCTAACACTAGTAGTAGTACACGAGGTAATAGGGCTGGACAATCGATTAGCGGTTAACCGATCGGTTACAACCGAAATCGGCTGGTTATCCACTAACCGAAAAACCGAGATAACCGAAACTCGATCGATGTCCGGAAGTTGGGCGAGATGGATTTTGGTCTTGGGAGAAGGTTCGGTTAACCAAAAACCAAAGCCTTAGTCCCTCTTTTCGGTCGATGGTAGGTAGGATTGGGAGATTGTTCGGTTAACCAATAACCGACCGGCCCTCAACTTTCGTTTAAAACCGAACCGACCCGCCCTCCACAACCTAAGACTTGTAAATTTAGCAAGAACGGGTATATCGAGTAGTTGGAGGCACGAAATCTGTATGTACCGCCAGTGGAGACATCATCGAATGGAACCTCTTCACGTGTCCACCATTCCTTCGTTCAGTTGCCCTATCCATAATTCATAATATATGTTCTCTCTTTTTCTTTCTTGTATATACAGATATACAACATCATTTGGCTTGGGATAAAAGAAAACAGCTGGACGATATAACCTACAGATGGAAGAAGGGAACTGGCAGGTTCTAGAAAACTATGAAGGTGCAGTTGGAGAATGGCCCTACTAACTGCCCGATCGATAATGGACCGGGGCATAAAACATAATGCTCAGTGTCAGGGAGAGCCTCTCTCTCTCTCTCTCTCTCTCTCTCTCTCTCATTGTCATAATATAGCTTCATCTCCAAAATTGACATGCTTCAAAGTCAACTAATACTAAGAGAGACCCAAATGTTCGAAACTGATTGGATAGAGTCGATCCAATCAACCACTTCCCATTAGAAAAGAAAATGAAGCAGAACCAAATAGGATAGAGATGTAGGGCACAACATTATTACTTGCCAAAGGTAATATTTTACATATAAAATGGGGTTCGCGTTTCGTTGGATTTTGGTGTAGTATATTGGACGCATGCATCATTGTCTTTACTCATTTGGTATTTGGTAATAGTTAGGAAGAGTTTGTATATGTTGATAGATCATTTGGCAGATTTACTAACTTTTCCCATGCAAGCGATAAAGAGGTATTGTATGGTTGAAATCATAATGTATCATAGGCATATTCGACTAAAACGGAGGTTTGAGAGAAAATACGATGACTTTACCAAACTTGAATAGTCAAATTCAATACCTAAAAATTGCATTTTCAGGCAGTGATTAATGATAAGTTGTGAGAATAAGCCAGTGGTTAAATAATCAACAACCCTCCTGCCGGCTGCCGCACTCCCTTATGCATTATCACCTAACCAAATTCATGAATTAAATTTCAAGTTTGAGACTTTTAATGAAAATTTTCTATCATCCGCTTATCTTTTCTAGATATTTCCCTAAACCAACAAAGATATTAGATCAAATTAAAAGATCATTCATCAATCTAGTTTGGGCGGAACGTGGAAGCTTCCATAATGAGAGTTTTTTCCTCCGTGAACATGATCAATGACATTATTAGAATCCAATAGAAACATATAATAAGAAACTACACCAACAAAATTCGACATTTAATTATAAGTATTGAATATAAAATATACACTATATTGTAGATTGCAACAAATGGTATTACACGAGAAGAAATTATATAATAGATTATTGCGTTTTCCATGATAACACCATATATTGTAGATCTGGAATTGTGACTAAGATAAGAATTTACACGAGAAGAAACTTGAGAACACTTTTAGAAATGACAATCTTTTGTGCAGGAAGTTTGGGGTTTGGCAGTCCTCCATAATAAGGGCGTGATGGCCGGATAGGTGGGATGGCCATAGGCCACCGAATCATCTATCTCTATTCTATCCAGACTTGTAAGGAAGGGAGTCCAATTCCCAACTGTGAACCGCCACGTGGCCGCCGGGGCAATCCAACCACCGCCCCATGCTTCGCACCGTCCGACTGCGACCCCCACAAATTTCCACATATGCCCTTGGCAGGTTTCATTCCACGAAATGGATGTAGTAAAACAAGCACGTGATCCCACGCCACGTGTCGGGCTGTAAAAGGCCGAAATCACGTGATTTCCCCGCCGCGTCATTAGTTGGCAAGGAAAAGGAAAAACGGTGCCGAGTCGGTTGGCACTACCCATGCACTCCCGCGTCGTGTGCTTTCAGGAGGATGAATCGGCAATGGCCACTGGGCATCAATTAACTCGCCGCAATCAATCAACTCGTGGCCCATGCCGCCGGGTAAGATATTTTATTTTTTTCGAAGAGGAAGTTAACTGTTTCGAGCCGCCGGTAAAAGCCGGCGTCGGCCGAGATTCGCCATGATGATAGCGGATATCAACGGCAGTAAAAAAAATGAATTGAGTATTGACTCGATCCATCCTATCCTATTGGTCATTTATTATTAGTTATTAGTATTTAAAGCTTCGAGTCCTTGAACTGTGTTTCTTCTGACATTTCAGTCCTTTTATAATTAAGTTTGGTTAAGTAGAACTTAAAACACCGCAGTGTTTGCTTTTCATCGATGTAATGCTCCAAATGTAACATTACTTAACTAACATACTCTCCGGCAGTTGAACACCGCAGTGTTTGCTTTTCATCGATGTAATGCTCCAAATGTTTTATCGAGACCGTTTTGAAGATTCAGAGGCGATAAAGAAATTAGGTCAGAAATCAGCGAAGAGAGTAGGCAGACGATTTGGAAGTGAAAAGGGGAAAGGTAGCAGTAGTCTCCCAGAAGAGGGTGCACGGGTCAAAACAACGAACAGGCAAAGAGGTAAGTTGGGTCCAGATTTAGTTGACGGGCTTCGAAGGGTTAGAGCCCAACTGCCGAAAGTCTTAACACAAGCAGGAGCCCAATCAGAACCTCTGTTCTGTTCAACGAAGAACTGGAAACATAGAAGAACACAACAGAAGGTGAGAGCAGCAGAAAATGTAAAGAACACATGATGTTTTTAACGTGGTTCGCCAAGTGCAATGGTGTACTTCCACGTCCCAGAATACAGTCTAGGAGACCCTTGTTTAATTTTTGTTTGAAGAAAGTAAAGCAAGACTCTAAGTACAAAAGATGCAGAAAACGAATAAAAAGGAGAAACAGAAACCCATATCAGAAACAGATCTGCCTCAGCCTTGACAAAGCTTGAGCCAACCTTCGTGAACCCTCTGTATTTCCTAAGCTAGGCCCTCTACCACTCTAGCTTATACAAAGTACCAATGAAGACAGGAACAACCGAATATATATTCCCACGCCAATTAGCCGTTAGAGACAATTGGGGAAAAGATTTGAATCGCAGACCGAACCTTCCTTAACTGATTGCTGAGATTAAGCTCGGATCAAGGATGCAATCTTTGACTTGATTTACCTTGATGACTCCAACACGTTTCGTTAATTTAGTGATAATAACAAAAAAAAACTTCTTATTTGAGCTAGATTCAATTAGTCGAGTCTAATTAGCTTGCACATCAAAGCACCATGCGAACTAGATAAGTTTCTACGTTTTAGGCCGTGCATACTCAATCTTTAATTAACTATAACTTAAGTCCTCCGAAAAATCATTGTCTTGCTTTAGAAAAATTAACACACACATGCCATATGGACATTTAGTAATGATATATTTACAAGGAAATTAAACCCTTATAGTACTGTACGCACCATATCGATGATGAAATGATGTTGCCAGAGTGGGAGTGGGTATAGTTGGGAATTGAATCATATTTAAACGAGATTTAAGAGAAAACTAACATGCATAGTGAAATTATAGTCTTGTTGTTTGATATGTAGTTAAGCCCAGCCCTTCAAAAAAAAAATGTATATGTTATTAATTAGACGGGAATTTGGGTGTTAATAAACACTGAAAGCAAACAGATTTGTACGAAAAGGAAGTAGTGGCTAAATTTGGGTGTGAAAGTGAAACCTAACTTTTGGTATTTAATTCTATATGTACCAAGGGAGGTGCCGGGATCGACCATCATCATGTGTAGGGGGACAGATGGTAGGCTGATGAGCTAATCAAATGAATTGGTGGGTAGAGGTTCAATCCAATATGGGTACTATACACATCTCTTCACATTTGTAGGTGGCAAATTATCCGGTGCTCCTTTTGCAAAATTTGGCCACTTTTCGTGATTTTGGGCAGTAGTTGAGCAATACTTGGAACTGTGCTTCAAAGAGAGGAAATAAAGACTTTCCATCGGGGATATGATTCCCGACGTAGGATCCTATCCGGTTACCGGCTTTCGTCTCACCATGTCTATCGTTTTAGGTACGTACTCTCCGTTCTTTCGCGTGGCTATATTTGGCAGCTAGGGCTTGGTTCTCTCTTCTCAGACTAAAATGGTAAACTTCCGATGAATGGATGACAGGTAGAGGTGTTTGAAATCGGGACTGAGGTTCTTGGAGATTTGGGAAAGAACAAAATATAATTCGGGATTGGAGAGGAAAATTGGAATAATGCGATGATATGTTGATAACTTATTTATTGATTTCCGACGAAATAATTAAACAATAATATAATACCCTTCACTCGTAGGCGTGCATCCATCAACTGCTTCTCATGTTTTTCTTATCTTAATTCTATGATGCGAGAGTTATGCATGCATGTGTCATTTACCTGTGACTCCATTGTATTAGCCATAATTAATTTCTATTCGGTCCTAGTAATCATACATTAATTATACCGTTTGTATAAATCTTATCCAAAAAAAAATATATACAGTTTGTATAAATAAAACGGTGTAAGATCGACCATCTTCATTGTTGTAATAGGTTAGCAGCTTCAAACGCTTGAGACACACTTATTTAGCAATTGTATCTAAACAAATTTCAAATCATTTGCATCCCTGATGCTCACTCATTTCTTAACTCGAATACCCCAGTACATATGGTAGCTAAAGAATGCTGATCAATTCATTGTCAGGATAATTTTACTAGATACTTCGACTACAATTATTTTCTGTTTTTTTTATGTCCTTCGATGAAATACAGGAATGGAAATATCCTCAACAGATAAGTGTAGTTTCAAACAATCGGCAAGCCATTTCCGGAATCTTGGGGTGTAAATTAAATCAAAGCCGAACGTGAAGAGGCAAAGTAACCGAAAAAAATGGGACAAAGGATAATGTTAGAGTGTTGCGCATGTATTAGGCAGACAAATTGGATTTTCGAGGAACCGAGAAGCCGCAATTTCCAATTCTTTCCAAAGACGGGAAATCGGCGACTTGTTCCATTCTGATCTCATCTCATCTCATGCATTCCCCCGCCACTTGACAGCCGCGCAGCCACTATTCATAAACACCGCTTCAATTTACTATGCAGCGGCAAAAGAGAGCCGCCGCTCCTCGATCCTCATCACATTTCTACCTCCCTCCCTTACTAATTAATATATAATTATATATACATGGGGTGAATTTTTCTAAGTTTCCAAAATTTAATTAAGTCGCAGCAGCTGCGTAGCTCAATAAACTCAAGTAAATAAATCTTTGTGTAATAATGAAAAAGAAGATAATGCCTTTTTAATTAATTAGCATTTTGTTGTAGCCGCCTTTATTGCTGGAGTCGTCCTAAAATCGCGGACCGAGTAAATAAATGTCCAATGGCGTGGGTTGATGATGATGATCCATTGGCCTGAGAATGGGATTTGGGGAATTACCGACACCGCTGATTGCAAAGTTTGGAACTCTTTCTTGTGGATGAGGATCGGGATCCTCCACTACTTTAACTACTAAATAAATGGAAAAATGGTTATTGTATTCCATAACAAGTAAATTAAATAATGCATCCTTGTGAATAATAATTATAATAATTTTATTATAAAAATTATCGTTTATGCCTAAAACTCTGATTCGTTGGATAGCTAGCTTTGATTGATGGGGGCAGAGAGCCCATGACCACGAGCCAGCCTCGGCCCAGCCATCCAGTTGCAAAGGCAGGCAGCCATAGCTGGAATGGGTGGGTGGGCCCAGGCCAGTGGAGAAAGCAAAGAGTCAGCGGTCAAACATAAGACGATGAGAATAACATGGGATTCGTTTTCTGGATTTGATGTCCAGCTAATTCAGCTTTTTAGACAGATTGATATATGTCCGAATTTGGGGCATTGAATGATGGTGGGGTGTTTTGATTTTGCCGGTTGGATCAGGTCGGGTCAATTTCCCACCACTAAGTACTAAGTAGTAGTTAGCCTTCTCATGTTCATACCTGCTCGACTTTGAACCATCAAACAGATAAGGGATGGCAGAAGAATTCTTCGATTCCTTTCCTTCTAGTATGTGTGTTTCACGATAACCATACAATTATAGTTAACTTGCGTGTACCGGTTGTATATTATAAATAAATACCGTTCCATGAGTCTATTGGCTTATTTTTCAATCAATTGGTAAGTGCAATTATTCATGGAAAGGGAGAATATTTATAGGAAATGGACGGATTTAATGAGGCGAGATTTGTAGGAAATGGACAGTATAGTTAAGGGTTATATGTATAATATGATCTTTTACTATACAGTTTTATCAAACATGTTCCTCAATTATTTTTTACATCAAACATGTATGTCCCTATACTTTGAAAAAATGATCAAACATGCCCTTCAATTAAAATTTTCATTAAAAAAATCGTCAACAATGGTTGAACCGAGATTTAGATGACCCGACATCGGTAAACGAGAGAAAAAAATGTTAGTTTTTCCCCTCAATTTATTTCTCTAGGTCTTGTTACCGTGAAATTATTAAAGGTATTTGGCACTACAAAAGAATCCAAACAGTTCTAAAGTGAAATTATCAAGGATATTTTAGACATTTGTGTCGCCCAAACCAAGGTTCGACCATGGTTGATGACTTATGGATGAAAATTTTAACAGAAGGACATGTTTGATAATTTTTCCAAAGTACAGAGGCATGTTTGATGTAAAAACTAGTAGAGGGGCTCAGGGGCATGTTTGATAAAACGACATAGTAAAGGGCATATTATACCTATAACCCGTTAGTTAAAGATGGTTTGGATGGGGTATTGGGCTCTGGTTACTTGCCTTACAATACCTTGAGACTTGAATAGCGTTTAATTTTGTAAGAGCGTGGAATAAGATCAATAATAAACTTCTCCCAACAAATCGAATTATTGGGATCAAATGGTTTATGACATGATATCATAGCTGGTTTGACCAAGTGGTCGTGTGTGTAAATCTCCATGATCCCCAATATTAATAATTGATTAAAAGCATAAGGTATGTTGGGCTTGTGCAAACTTCAAACCCGTCAGTTGCCTTTCGTACAAACTTAGCCAAGGTGTATTGAAGTAGAGGAAATAACAAATTTTTGAAGTATAAAGTACTCACCTAAAAATGTTGGATAAGCGATCTTATGATATGCATGAAGTTGATCTGACACATCAAATGTTTATCTATGATCTTGTGCAGATTGAACCGTGATTCGTATAGCTTATACTCTTTGATTCTAAATAAAGTTGTTTATGTGTATGAGAAAAAAGATTAGCTAACCAACTCAAATTTAACTTATCCAAACTTAATGGGTTTTAATTCAACCGAAGGAAACATGGAAGGAAGGCAACGATGGATGAACACGACCAGAGTCCAACTTGGAATACTCGCTCAAAATTAAATTTCCAAACACCCCCCAGGCCTCAATAAATTAAGAATAAAATAAAAAAGAGTTTTAGTAGGTTCCGACATCACGCGCCCTGTTTCCTTCCACGTTAGGTTAACGAATTGGGTATTCGGTATTCCTTCCGGATAAGCTTCAAATTTTTTCCCACTCCTCTATCCATTTCTACGCGCCTGTTCCTTTTTCGCCCACCCAAATTCTAATTATAAATCAAATTTTTAATTAATGCCGCACACTATTTTTCATTCTAAATTAAAACAAAAACATTTTCCGCCCCCATTTTTATTTATTTCCACGCCTATTTCCCACGACTTTCCAATTTTTCAAATTCCACGAGCCTCCCATTCCACACGCCTTTACTCTTTCCCCCTTCCTCCACATATAAATACCCTCATCCACCCTCGTTTCTCTGTCAGAAAACCAAAAAGCCTCTGATTCTCCACAAAAAGAAATAAAACGACGATTACCGATTACCGTTTCATTCGCCGACGAAATCCGAACTTTTAGAAGAAGAAAAGAAAATGGTTGATCTGCACTGGAAAGCCAAGATGGTCTCCTCCGATCTCCCCAACTCCCTCCAAGTACAGATTCCGGCGCCGGCGGCGCCCTCCTTCCGCGGCGTAACCAGTGTTTCGCCGGCCTCGGCTTCCGACTCCGCGTGCTCAGCCTACGAGCTGTACCTCCGCCTCCCGGAGCTCAGGAAGCTCTGGTCCGACCGCGAATTCCCCGAATGGAGAAACGAACCGGTCCTCAAACCGGCCCTCCACGCGCTCGAAATCACTTTCCGGTTCGTTTCCACGGTTTTATCCGACCCGAGGCCGTACGCCAACAAGAGGCAGTGGAAGCGGCGGCTGGAGTCGCTAGCAACAACTCAGATCCAGCTCATCGCCGCCCTGTGCGAGGACGACGACGGCGGGGCTCCGGTCGTCGATCTCAGCTCCGGGAGCGGGGTTCTGGCGAGGGAGAGCAGCTACGCGGAGGTGTGGACGATCCCAGCCGGCGGGGAGGAGGATTCCGCCGCCGCCGTGGTGGTGAGCCGAGCCAGCGAGGCCAGCCTCCTCCCTCCGCTGTCCACGTGGCAGACATCCGAGGACGTCGCGCAGAAGATCATGTACTCGATCGAGTGCGAGATGAGGCGGTGTCCGTACACGCTAGGCCTGGGAGAGCCGAACCTCGCCGGGAAGCCGAACCTCGACTACGACGCCGTTTGCAAGCCGGGCCAGCTCCATTCCTCCTCCCTGAAGCGGAATCCGTACGACCAGCAAATCGAGAACCAAGAGAACCAGGCCCTGTACACGGCGCACCAGATCTTGGAATCGTGGATCCAGGTAGCCAAACAGGTGATTGGCCGACTCACAGAGCGAATCGTGGCGGAGGAATTCGAATCGGCGGCGAGCGATTGCTACTTCGTGGAACAGATCTGGAAGCTTCTCGCCGAAATCGAAGATCTCCACCTCCTAATGGACCCGGACGACTTCCTGAAGCTGAAGAACCAGCTGTCGATTCGATCGGCGGCGGAGACGGAGCCTTTCTGCTTCCGGTCGAGGTCGCTGGTGGAGATCACGAGGTCGTGCAAGGAGCTGAAGCACAAGGTGCCGGAGATTCTGGGCGTGGAGGTGGACCCGAAGGGCGGGCCGAGGATTCAGGAGGCGGCGATGAGGCTGTACAGGGAGAAGTCCGATTTCGAGAAGATTCACCTGCTGCAGGCTTTGCAGGCGGTGGAAGCGGCGCTGAAGAAATTCTTCTACGCGTACAAGCAGGTGCTGGTGGCGGTGATGGGGAGCTTGGAGGCGAAGGGGAACGCGGCTGGGGCAGCGGTGGTGGTGGCGAGCTCCGAGTCGTGCGACTCGTTGACTCGGTTGTTCTTGGAGCCGACGTATTTCCCCAGCTTGGACGCTGCAAAGACGTTTCTAGGGAAGTTCCACGAAAGGCGGAATACGAGGCAGTAAAATAGTAAAAAAAAAAAAAAAACTAATCATCGGGGAATTTCTAGCTGAGTCAATTTTTTGTTCCCCCAAACGTTATATGTAAAATTCTTTTTGTTTTTCCTCCCTTTTTCGTTGACTGGTTTATATGTAAACAAATATATGTTTATTTGTTGTATAATTTAATTGCAATTCCTACTCTTACGAAATCGATCAATCAATCCATCCACGATTATTTCCCACAGACAGCAAAAGAACAAATAGGGTGGGAATCATTTATTAATTATATTAGGTTGATTAAAGAAAACACAATTACAGACAGTTGATCCTTCTCCCTGACAGGCTAGATAATCATCATTCATTAATTAATATTATTAGTGCGTGAAAATGTGTCTCGTGGACCATGACGACAATAGGAAAAGGTTACTCTACAGGTTCCAAGTTCCAACTCCAACCGGCTGCTTCAACAATTTGGAACAATTGGGCTCCCACTACTAAATGTCAAACAATTCTAAATTAGTACCCAGTTTGGGTTAGGTTCCGACGTTTGTATTAGTAATGGAGGACAATAATATCCATCGACATGATTAACAGTTGGAATTCAAACAGATTAAATAGGATAAAACTAGATAAAATTCGAATTTGAATATTATGGCTAATGAGCGGATATGATCTTTATATTATCTAACCAGAGTCCACTTGATTATAGATGTATATACATATTTTTCAATGAAACATCATTTTATTTCTCAAAATATTCGACATTCGTAATACATATACAACATACCAATAAATTCTTGCTCTTTTTATTATTTCTCCTATAATTATAATTTTTCAACTGTATAGTAGGAATATACTCTCTAATAGCAACACATTAGATTAATTAAAAAAAATATTATCCATGGAACCGAGATCCAAACATATACAAGTATGATTTATATTACTAACCGAATCTTGTACAAATATGAATACAAATAAAATTCAAACTAATCAGGGGATAGAGTAACATATATGCATTATCTGTCTCTCAACCGAGATGTTGCTCATCCTTATAAGCATCTGTCAAGAACCAGTTGATCCCAATAACTTGAGTTGTTGGAAGAGTTTCCATAATGGATTTTATTCCGCACACTAACACGCCCCCTCAAATGAAGTTTCCACAGGTCTGAAACCATGTGCTTAACAAATGAGGGTTGTGGGAATTCGAACACAGGATCTCTCAGTCAATGAAGGATTTGATAACAATATCAAGGACCAGTTGATCCCAATAACTCGAGTTATTAGAAAATATTCCATAATGAATATTATCTCACCATGATGAGATTAACTTGTTTAACTTTTGCAACTCTCAAAAGGACTTGCATCATTATTAATTGATCGAATGCACCATATTGATTGGTGTAGTCAACTGAGTATATTGAGGAGCACATACGCTCAACGGCAACGTTTCGTGTAGTGGAGACTGGAGACTGGAGGCACGTCTGGATACCTTCCAAAAACAGGGCCGCCACCGTGTTGAAATTGCCTGAGAATTCCGTCTCCCTCTTGGATACCATGTTAGTTGAAGCCCATCAGTCCATTAACACGAGCATAGTAGGCCCACCAAGTTTAGCCCATTTAGCAGACTGATTAGGAAAACCCAGGCTTTGTTTGCTTTCGGGAATGACACATTCTTCAACTACGAGTGTGTTGAAGACAAATAAGCAGACGGGGACCCAACTTCTGGGGTGAGGATAGCGTGTCGATTAAGCTTCTATTTGACAACCAAAGACGGGTTATCAACAGCCACAGTTCCTTGTTGCTTCATAAACTAAGCAACCCAGACGTAGAGAAAGGAACTGAACTAGCAATGCTATGCAGGCAGCGTAATTGCAGCTCAAATCAATCCACAATTGAGGATTTCTGGCATCAGAACTAAGCTTGAGAATGATGAAGCAACCAAAAAAACACTTCAATTTTATCCCCTGACAATGTTGCCATTAACTGGAAGACTTGGAGCGATTTATCTCCCAATGTCGCAGAACTCCACAACCAAGTTGAGGATCCCAACCTGAATAAAGGTTAACAATAAACAATGCAGTGAAAAGCCTGTCCATGTTCAGGTCAGACATAAGTTAAGAAATCCAGTTCTTACCAAGTTGACAGCCAAACGGATGAAAGTAAGAACCATTTCGTTGCTGTCTGTTCCGGTGTTCCCGACTTCTGAGAATGCAAGACCAACAATATGGACATTTGAAACGGATATATCAGGTTTTCAGTTTTCACAAAATAGCTGGTGTATATGATTCCAAGATCAAAACCTATCTATCAGAAAGTGGCAAACTGCTGTTGAAGTTTCTCGGTAATGATACAAACAATCTTGTCCAAGCAGAAAGCTAAACTTGGATTCTATCTGAACAGAGAAATGAATGATACAAGGAAGGAGGAAAACTACACTATTATACAGCTCAAGGGATGAAAAGGTTAACTAATGAATCAGAGTCACTCAGATGATTACCGAAGAGGTGAACTTTTCTATCAAATCGAAACAATAGATTGTGTGGTGGTGGGAGACCTAGCTAGCATCACCAGAACCAGCTACTGCGGCTATCAACTGCCTTGACGGTTGTGGATACTAAGGGCATTCGTCCAAACTCGGCTACAAATCTGTTGATACACTGACTTCTTCTGTCCTTATGACCACCCAAGCTACTGATCCCAGTCGAGCCGATCTCAAATATTTTACCTGCAATAGACACAAACTCAAGAGTATGAGGAATAACAAACAGATATTCATCCAACATCTTTAGATAAGAAGGTGCTTCAATTGACCACATGATCCAAATTGCAGGAAGTCACTATATAGCACAAAAGCACAATCTAAGACTTGTTTGAAGCCCATTATCCAATGTCACACTTCGTCTTCATTGTTCATTGCAGAAAAGAAAAGTAATCACCTCTCTAAAAGTATCAGGCTGAATTAGTTCCGTTTGGTTCAATCAGGTGGAGGTTTATTGGAGAAGTCGTCAACTTGTGCAAGTAGTAGAACAACAGGAGCAAATAGTAAAAGTGAAAGTGTGCGGAGAAACAAGTGGAATGGATAAGTGGTCCCAGATTTAGATTTTAAATGCAGAAAATGGGAAAGATGCATTTGATACAGAAGCTGGTTATTAGATCAACTGGACGCACCAACCGATTGAATCAATTGGAGTTGATCTAAGGTTCTCAAACAACGAAATCAAATCAAGAACCTTAAGAAAATGGATAGCATATAAGTTCATCAATGTCAGACAAATAACATACCCTTCACCCATACAGGTGGTGCATCAGTTGCATTTGCAACCAGAAAGGACATAGCAATATCTTCACAGTTCCTGTTAAATTCCATTTCAAGATCAGTGGGGAACAATTTTAGCAAAATGCACGGAGAAAAGCGACCACACAGACTAATTGGGAAGCACCTGTTCTTGGTTATATAGTCCTTGAGTGATGCTGGCATCTCATTTGTGTACAACCTGAGATACTTTTTGTGGAAAAATGCAGCCTTCGAGAGAACCATGCTGTAAGTACCCGTCCACCAAACAGACCACCATCCACCATAGCTATAGTATTTATTATTGTCATGCTGCATGATGATCAGAGATCTACAGAGCTTTAGAATCTTCAGATTATGTCTACACCCAGATTTTATATCGGAAAGAGAAATAACCAAACAGCAAAATCCCTTCCCACATTTCAGCTATTTTCATACTTCATGCTTTATGCATTAAGCCCCATCACACTTAAAGATACTGTTACTGGTTCATATTTTAGATGGAAGACTGCAAGACAGCATCTAGGCACCATGCATATTAGTCAAGTACAACATTGAAGAAAATTATTATGGATGCCCAACTAGTTCCTCCGGCGAAATTGTTAAGAGCTTGACCAATTTTATAGCTTAAAGCAAGCGACTTTTTTCCATGCAGATGAAACATACACAATTGACTCCCACAAGAATATTAATCAAGCATGATAAGCATCACTAATTGACTTCAACCAGAAATGTCATACCGATTGCTCCAGCCAATGGGCACGTGGTACAAAGCCCACCATGTTATCTGGCGCACTTTGCCATACACGGAAAGCAAACTCCACGGATGAGCATGGAAAAATGACATCATCATCAATGGAGAAGACAGCATCTGTCTTCAAATCTTTGATCTCTTTGAATCTATTGTTTAAACTGTCTTCCTTGTTGATGTCAAATTTCAATTCGACTTGCCTTGGCCCTCTCGACTTTGACTGAAGGATATGGTTTAGATGTGCAACAAGAGACTCAGAAGGAGGATCAGGTTCACTCCACACGATGTGTATTGAATCGAGTTCTGAACATGATGCATAATGAGCAATTGATTGCTTTAACAAATCATATCTTTTCCAAGTATTCATTACAATAGCATAACCTTTCCTGCATACAAATGGAAATTAAGATGTTAGTTATTAGGAGCCATATATGCTAAAACTCATAGCAAGGTGGTAAAAACACGATCCAAGAATTTCATACATATGGAAATATTCTGTTGATCTTCAAACGTGGTAAGTGTTCCCAGAGCTCAAGGCATCATAATTACATGATGAAGAACACTATTAAACTATAGCCTAATCAAACCGTTCAAACATGTTTTAGATTCCTAACGACCGTAAGAACAAAAAGGGACATTTCCCCCTGCAGAAATACCAAAGTAACCAACAAACAGTACTATCCAAGAAAATGCAACAAATAAAACAGCAACACCATAGCAGCAAACAAGTTTTTTGCAAAGGCCCACTCCAATTATTTCAAATGTGTCTCAGGTATTGGAAAGCCATGATTTGTCTATTGCTACATCCTGTGTTATGGGAGCAATTGAAAATGGACAAATATATTATTCAAACTTGTTTCACTAAAATAGCAATAACAGCAGAACAGATGATATAGGATACTCAAAGCCACGTCTCTAGCCCAGGGGCTTATATATTCCACTAGAAAAGTTTAGCCAAGGATCCTCCAAATGTTTCGTAAAGGATCCCAAAAATATTTTGCGAAACCAATCAAACCTAACCAAACTCGACCAGCAGGCAGCATGCTGTCACACAATTATTTCTCAGCGCTAATGTTTTGGCCTCGGCATTACCACACTGAAGGCAAACATTTTCCTTCGCAAAACCAAAGTAAGCAGCAAACACTTAATCCGAGCAAATCAATTGATCGAATAGCAACAAACTTCCAGCACAACTAAATGAGTGTCTTAGTACAGCCCATGCCGAGTATTTCAAAAATGGTTTCTGGCAACCACTTAGAAGGATACCTGTCTTATTCCCACTTCCCTTGTTTATTTGCCATCGAATTAAATGGAGCAAAAATAAGGCACTAAAAGAAAATCTTTATACAATGCTCTTACATTCAACTCGAATGGTTGAGGAAGCAAATATTCACCCAGAATTCTCATAAAGGATAGCATTTCTACTCTACCAAACCAGTCAGAACTTTATCAAGTTACCATTTGGCGCTATTGCTTCCATTCGATCCAAATTACTACCATTCAACTAAAAGACTTGAACCCAGCTCATGGAACTGGTGGAACCCCCTGACTGGAAAGAATAAGGAAAGGCAACTACCTTTCCATCCTCTAACAACAAAACTTGAGAAGAAATAGCAAAGGCACTTTCCTGCTAATAAAAAAGCAAATAAATTCCTAATTTCTTTGTTTTGAATGATTTACAGCAAACCTTTCCTAATTCAAGCAATAATCGTCCCTAAAATCGGATATTAAAATCGAGTTAATGGATTAGTTCACCAAACCTGGAGCGAGTCGAGTTCAGTAACTTCCAAAATTAGCGTTTAAGCAAAGCAGGAACAGCCACGAAAAGGGGAGCGAAAACAATTTGTTTATAAACAAACTTCCTTAAGAAGAAAGAACCATAAGAAAGCAGGCCATTAATCGCACTAACCCTGGCGCTTGGAGCCGATCATCGGGAGCAGAGAGATTGCTCCATCCCATGAACTTGGACGCCCAGCCTGGGAGCGCCAGCAGCGTGAAAGCGATGCAGCAGAAGAGCAGGATCTTGATCTTCGCCGATCCGGTGGCTGTAACGGCCAGTTGCCGGAATCTCTGCAATCCACGGCGGTTCATCAGCAAGCTGCCTCTCATCGACGCCAGCGTTTATCGGCTTCAGCCTTACCAAATTCGCACGCCGATCCCCGTATAGATCCAAAACGGACACTGAAAGTCAATGAAACGCCGCGCGGCCGATCCGGACCGAGCCACCGCGCGACAGATTCATCCGTTTCGAACTGAAACGGTAGAGAGCTCCTCGCCGTCGGCAGAGGAGTAGGAAATCCGATGAGAAGGCGGCGGAGCCTGGAGCGTCCACGTGGCTCGATTCACTGTCCGAACGACCGCACGTAACTTGTGAAACTGAATTGCCGTTGTTCTTCTTCTCCTCTTCCTTCAGCTCGTCTCCTCTTCTTACTACTTCACCTTCACATTTTTTGTTTCTTTTTCTGTTCCCTTTTTTATTCTTTACTTTATTGTTTCTTGGTATTATTGGGTTTCTTCACTGCTTTTCCTTATGGGAGTTCTTTTTAAATTATTTTTAGTTTTTTACTATGAGGTCATATTTGTACCATCTCTTTTTTTGGTAGAAAGATTGACGCTAGTGCGTGTAATTCGTTACTGTAATAAAACGGTCCTGGGAAATCCCCATTACATCATGAAAGAGCCAGTGTCTAAGACCGACTTCGTACACATCGAATGAATGTGTACCAAAAGAATAACAGTGACCAACATTTGCAAGATAGTCAGCTGCACTATTCATTTCTCTAAAAACATGGTTGATCTTCACCTCCCACTCGAGGCTCAAAAGTTTGTTGATAGTTGCTGCAAGTAGTCCGTGTCTGTGATCATCATCAACAGAATTCTTGATGATTGCAATGGCAGTTTCCGAGTCAAGGTTCAACTCCACCTTCTTATGCCCCTCATCCCACGCAATCTTGAGACCCACTGCAGCCGCTTTCAGTTCAGTGCAAGTAATCGAACAGGAGCCCAAGTTGCACACAAATGCTTTACTGCATCTTCCAAGGTGATCACGAAGCAGGCCCCCTGCAGCAGCACTGCTCGTGCACGATACAAAAGTGCGACTTAATAATTATAACTAGTTATGACATTATTTTTAAATAGTAATACAAAACATAAAATATAAAAGGTGAGAAAGTCGATCTACCTTTTTGGGTCGTTTGGATGCAGGTATTTTGAGGAATGGGTTAGGGTGATTACTTGTTTTTTAGTAATCACGGTGGCAACCTATTTATATATCATTTGATTAATTATTTTCCCTTTTTTTTAATCTTACGGTCAAGATTCTTTTAGGATAATTTTGGAAATTAAAAAGTGATCACACGTGATTATTCTATATAATCTACCTAAACCCTAGTTCTATCCTCCCTCCAGCCAAACCCGTCGTAGCCACCTCCACGTACCACTCCCGTCGCACCGCCGGCAGCAGCCCCGACCAGGGCCACCGCCACCAGCAGCCCCCGACCACCCTCGGTACTCTCTCTCTCTCTCTCTCTCTCTCTCTCTCTCTCTCTCTCTCTCTCTCTCTCTCTCTCTCTCTCTCTCTCTCTCTCTCTCTCTCTCTCTCTCTCCTTCCTGCTGCTCTCTTTCTTTCTCTCTACCATCACAACATACATACCAAATAGACATATTGGTAGTTTTCGTTTATGGATTCAATGTGCAGTGGTATTGATTGTTTATATTGGTAGTTTTCGTGTAATCGTATAGATTTATTTCTGCAATGATATTGATTGTTTATATTGGTAGTTTTTGTCTAATGGTATAGATTTATTTCTACAATGGTATTAATTGTTTATGGTATAGATTGTTTATATTGGTAGTTTTCAGGTAATGGTATAAATTTATTTATGCAATGGTAGTTTTCGTGTAATGGTTAGATTTATTTCTGCAATGATATTGATGTTTTTCAAAGTGGTAGTGTTTGTCTAATGGATTGGTACTGATTTTGTTTTTTTTTTTTCCAGAAAGATTGAGAAAAATATGGAAAGGAAATCTGGCTGGAGATTACGGAAGTGAGAGAAAGAGAGAATTTTAATTAATAGATTTTTGTAACTACCTTAAATGTAATTTATTAAAAAATTAATTAATATATTTTATTTTTCCATACCCAATTTACCCTTAGTAACCACGGTGATTACTACTTTTGTAGTAATCACTGTAACCTGTCCCGTATTTTGATGAGGTAATTTGGTTGAAATAACTCAGAATGAGGTATTTCAATCAAAATAACTCATTTGGCAAAAATAAAGTAGAATGTGGTATTTTATCCATGAGTCAATTGATATAACTCATTGTGAGTTATTTGAAATACCTACCCACCCCCTAGTTATTTGATTATTTCAAATATCTCATCTCCCAACTTCTTTTTCCACTTCATCTCTTCTTTAAGTGGTGAAATACCACAATATTTGAATGATTTATCCAAACAAGACAATTACACCAATTACCACATTTCAAAATGAAATACCATATGAAATGCCATATAGCAAAATAATGCATCATTTGGATTTGAAATACCATAGAACCAAAATAATGCATCCAAACGACCCGTTAAGTGATCACCTAGAATGATGGTTACTAGTAATTGTCTGGTTTTTATGATTGCGTGATCATTTTGTTATTAAATGACAAAAGAGTTATAAGAAGTACATTCATTATATTTCGATCCTATTTTATATCATGTAAAATCTCGATGATTTCAACTTTAGTGATAGTTTCATTCTCAAAGTTCACCCACTTCAATGAAATGGTTTTTTTTAACTCCTTCCAATTTAATTTGAATATTAGGCCTTCCAACGCTCTCGTCTTTCTCTCTCTCTCGCTCTCCCAATAACGAGTTTTGCAGCCGATTGGTTGCTGTCAACGATGGTGTTTCGCTCAAGTAGGCGCTCCGAGCTTGTCCCCTAGTGGATCAGAGGGAAGTAATTGAGGAAGGAGCCAAGCGTTGGGAGAATGCGCTTGTAGGCCAGTTTCTTGGCACGCCACCATCAATCGTGGTGATTCGTTCTTTGGCCAATTAGATTTGGGGAAATGCACGACAAAATTAGAGTTTTTGGACTGGGTGGTTCAATGTTTGTTTTTCAGTTCCCTACTGAGAGATATCCAATTGGGTATTCGAATGGGAACCTTGGCACTGTCGCCACCGTCCTCTATTCTTGAGGCGTTGCGTTGGAAGCTTGACATCCACACGAGGACAATGGATAACTCCAAACCTCCAATTTGGGCAAAGCCTCTCAATCTTCATGTTGTACTAGTGGATAATCATGGTCTAAGTCAAATTGCCAGTCTTTAAGGCAAGCTCCTCTATATGGAATAATGTCATGGATCAAGCGACCAAGCAGGGAACTCGTTTAGGGTTTGTAAAAGCATGCCTTGAGTTGGGTGCTAGAAATAACTTTCCTTAAAGGCTTTAGGTTGTAAAAGATAATCTTTTTGAGCTTATGGTGGATGTGCAACAATGTAATGTGCCTTATGCGTGTAGTTCATGTGGGATATTTGGGCACAACTGCGAGGAAGTGGACAAGATCAAGAAGGTCTGATAAAAAAGAAAGAAACTGGAAGGAATGATGTCTCGTGGAAGGAAAAAGGAAAAGCAGTTTTGACTGTCCCACTATTAGAAGCAATGGTGGAAATTGAATTTGCGTATCACAGTTTGAGGCACAAGAGGATAGTCAGCTAGTGTATATTGAATTGAATTTTGCATAATACTCTTTTTTTTAGACAAAATCTCTAAATTTCCAGTGAACTCATGGTGTATTGTTTATATGGAAATAATTTCCAATGAATTATTTCCTTAATATGGAAAGAAGGAATGTGAAATGAACCCTAACAGACCGTTTGGTACCAAATGAATCGAGAATTTATTTCATTGTAAAATGAATTATCGTGTAGAATTCATTATCAAATGAAATCCTATGTTTGGTATGTTATATTCAAATCACTAAAGTGTCGTGTAGAATTCATTGTCTAATGAATTTCTGTGTAGAATTCTTATCTTCAAAAAAATTCAAAATTAAATTATCATGCACGATTCCTTTTTTTATTTATTTTTTTTTCTCTCGATAAAACATCACTACTCCGTTCAAGCTTGAATCTAACATGTTCTACATCCTATATGCATATATAGGAACTAGGAGGCAACAAACAAAATTTTTATAAAAGGAACACATAATTATTAGTTATTACTTCAACAATAACACTAGACAAAGTGTCATATCCAAGTGCTTCCATTTTATAAAAGCTTACAACCACTAGAAAGTAGGAAACTATTACACATTGCGCTTAGAGGCTCGACCAATTATTACATTCGAAAATCATTGCTACAGATCAGCTTCTACATATTCTCCTACCGGCGGAGCCTTCAAAGATTCAACGATGAGTTCAGGACCGGAACCAGAGAAAGAGGTGTCTCCCTACGAAGAACCACAGAGCTCCACTCGCTCATATCCAACTCCTCCACCCCTTCCGGCAATTCCCAATCGAACCAGCACATCAAATTGGCCGCCACCAGCCCCACCTCCAGAATCCCCATCGTTATCCCGGGGCACAACCTTCTCCCGACCCCAAAAGGCAAAAACTTCCCCGTCTGACCCTTGAAATCCAACGGCTCAGCCAGAAACCTCTCCGGCACAAACTCCTCCGCCCTGTCCCAGATCTCGGGATCCCTCATGATCGCCCACACGTTGATCATAACCATCGTCCCTTTCGGAACGTCGTACCCTTTCAGCTCCGCATCATCCGTCGCCTTCCTCACCGACATCGGCGCAGGTGGGTGCAGCCTCATACTCTCCTTCACCACACACTGCAAGTACTCCATCGCACCGACGTCCTCCTCGTCGATTCGCGACTTCATCCGGACCACCTTCCGCACTTCCTCCTGCACCCGCTTCATCGCGGACGGATGCCTCACCAGCTCCGACACCACCCACTGCAGTGTCGTCGCGATGGTGTCGGTCCCTCCCGCGAACATGTCCAGGAGGATGGCCTTGATGTTCGCGTCGGTGAATTTTAAGTCCAACACTGCTTCTTCTGCTCTCTCCTTCTGTACTCTCAGCAGGATGTCCACCACATCCTGCCTCTCTGACGACAACTGAACACAATCCGATGTCGTTCTGTGGTCGTCGATGATTCGGTCCAGGAGGTCGTTGACCTTCTGGGCCACCCGTCTGATCTCGTTGTCCAGCCCAGTCAACGAGTCGACCCATCCCAAAAGAGGGAACGAGTCCTTGAAGCAGAATCGCGCCAGGAGGTCCAGCGCGCTGCTCACCAGCGGGACGAAGTTCTCTTCGTCCCCGCCGCCGCTGTTATTATACGTTTTGCCGAAGGCGGCTCTGGAGATGACGTTGTTGGCGAAGGTGGAGATGGCTTCGCTGAGATCCACCGCGGTTTTGTTTTTAGATGCGTCCTTGAGAATGCCCACCAGGTGTTCGACCTCTTGCTCGCGAATGTAGCGGAACTGGCTCACCCTCTTCTGGCTGAGCACTTCGACCAAGCAGATTTTCTTCATCTGGCGCCAGTACTCGCCGTAGGAGGAGAAGATGATGTCGGTGCCGCCGCCGAAGAGGGCGTCCGAGGCCTTCCACCGGGGCCTTCCCGAGAAGCTGACGTCGTGGTCCTTGTCGGTGAGCTCCTGGACGGCGTCGGGGGAGGAGACGATGACGTAAGGGATGGCGCCGAGTTTGACCATCATGATGGGGCCGTAGGTTTTGGAGAGGGTGCGGAGGGAGCGGTAGGGGAGCTTGCTCATCTGGAAGAGGTTTCCGACAAGTGGCAGAGACGGTGGAGATGGCGGCAAGTTGAGCTTACGGCGGTTGTTGCCGGGGTTGGTGATCTTCCGCAGCAGGTAGAAAGCTGCGGAGAAGAGGAGAAGGATGGAAGCCACCGCGGTGGTGAAGAGATCGGACGACATAATTGATTAGTTGCCGGAATTTTTTTGCTAGCTAGCCCACTGCTTTAATTTGCTTGTGAGGGGAGAACTTGAAACGGGTACTTATGGACATGATGAGGAGACAAATAAGGGTAGCAGGCTAAGTGGCGGCCGATGGTTTGGCAGCAATGTTGATAATTGATAGGTAGCGTGGAAAACGGGACAAGATAGTATAACAACACTCTATTTGTTGTTACTATAACTACAAGATCCATTAAGGGCAAATTAGTAATATAACAATAAATTAAAAATAGATAAGAAAACAAATCTAAATACTCTCCTCCCTCCCAACAACAATGGTGGGCAGCACTGTATCCCACACAAACTGATTTTTCGTTTTCTCCAGCGCTGATCCTTTGCCATCGCACCAGTCAACTCCCACCCGACCACAACCACACCGCCAACTACTCTCCTTCAACCCGCCTTTCGCCTCTCCTTTCCCCCCACCGGATCTCGTTTTTCTCCGGCCGCGATTACTGGCCTCTGATGGATGCCATCGGCAGCAAACCAAAAATCATCATTGATGAGCGAGCCGCCGGCAAGGTGCGGCTTGCTGAAAGAGAGAAACAAAAGAACCACCACATTACATAGTTCTCGCCCGACCGAAACCCTTCCGCTGACTCCCTACGACCCTTTTCACCATATTTACTTTGATTACCTCTCCTTCGACATCCCAACGCTCACCGCCGAACAAGGTAAATTTCACCTTCTGGCGATTACGATGCAGTTTGCTCGGTTGGACGCTTGATTGTATCTTTTTCCTTTGTGCTCTTGATTTGATTTGGTTTCCACCGGTGGGTATCACGCCGTGTTGACTTTTGTTGGTCGATATTGAGATGGAGTTAATGAATGATGAATCAACTTCGATGCACAAGGTCAATTTCAATGCCAAGAGCGAGTATGAGATGATTTAGAATTAAAGTTCCTTCAGGATGTGTTCAATAAACTCAAAATCACAAAGGTATATGGATTAGCGACTTCCACTTTTGTTTGAATGTATCGCTTGATCGATTCCATTTATCTTTAATAGTTTTTATGTGCTTTTGTTTTCATGTTTTCCTTCGACTAAAAGTATATTGAAGTAAGCAAGCTTGTGAAAGGGAGGCCTCTGGATAATCTCGGAGCAGTGGCTGAAGCATATTAGAAACACTACAAAGCAAACTACACATAGTTCTAAATCACACTAGAAACCTCCTAATACAAATCATAAATGCGATAAAACATACCAGAAATCTAACAAAGCAAACCATATAATTTTCAAAAACTACATAATGCAAACCACAAACACGACAAAGCAAACCACAGAAAACAAACCAGATTCTTCCTGATGCATAACACAAATCTATTAAATTAAAGGGTTAATACCTTAGTTTGGCCCGAACTATACTCATACTTTCTACTTTGGCCCGTGGTATTGAAAATTGCTACCAGGGGCAGACCCAGGGGGTTTAGGGGTGTCCCCGGACACACCTAAATTTTGAAAAAACGATCATCCAACCCCGGTGGTAATTTACGTATGGACAAAAAAATATAATTATAGTGAGAGACACCCCTTAAATTTGAAAAAAAAGATTATCCTACTGTCATTTGTGTATAGGAATATAAGTGGTAGGTTGGATAATTCAAATATAGAACACTATTTTTATTAATAAACTTAATTTCCGTTGAGCTAAACTCATTTGTTGTTCGATTTTGAACAATGTGTAATAGTAAAATGGCATTCCCTATCTCTAATTATTTTAAAAACCTAACAATTAAACTAATTTCAAACTACCCTTAATTTGTATTGATTTTATGATTGTACGACAAGTGTTGAAAGAGTCTTTCAGCTTTGGTTTACATCAAGAACAAGTTTACAAATCGAATATGCGATAAGTTCGTGAATGATTGTCTAGTAGTGTATATAGAGACAATTTTTTTAACACTATAGACACCAAGTGTATTCTACAATTATTTTCGAATATGAAAACACATCATGGACTTTTTTAACATGTACGAGTAAGGTATTTTCATATTTATAATTTTATTTTTATTAATTATTTTTATTTTTATTTAATTTATTTTTTAAAAGATGACACCCCTATGAAAAATTTCTGGGTCCGCCACTGATTGTATGGCCTGAACTATGTAGCAAACTTCCTCATTTGGCCTGAAGGCGGGTTTGACCGTCAAATTAGACGGTCAAACCTGTTGACCGTTAGTCAATGTACACCTCACCTGCCACGTCAGCTTTGAAGAAATAAAAAAATTATTTTTTAAATTATTTTTTCTTTCGATTAATAATATTAATAATTCTTATTACCAAAAAAATAATCTCTAAAAAAATAATCAAAAGAACGAAAAAAGCCAAACACGAATGCGGATCTCGACACGTTCCGACTGTCTCTTCTTCTCAATATCCTCGACTGTCTCTTCTTCGAATTCCTTATCGCCGTCGCCCTGATCATCTTCAACGGCCGCAGAAGAAACCACCTTCTCTTCACAAACGCCAAACTCCCTGCAACTCTCCTCTATTTCCTCAATTCCAGATGGCTTCTTCTCAATTCCACAAATGGATTCATCCAAACCCTTTTCAAGCACAGATTTCGCCTCCTTCGTAACATCATCGCTCTTCACAACAACAACACCGACCTTCGATTCCAATTTCACCGGCGAATTCACAGCTTATTTCCCAGAATTGCCAGCGGATCTCACCTTCCCAATATGAATTGAGGAAATAATGGAAACTCCTTCAGATCACCACTTCTTGCTCACCTGAACGGGACTCCTCGCAATTCCCTCGCTACTCCCTTCAGATCTCAACTTCCTCCCCTAAATTGGCAATTTCTTGACTCCATCGGCTGACGCACTCAATTTCGCCAGCTGAGTTGGACCCTCGAAGCTCTCCAACTTCCACGTCTTCCTCTTCCCGCTGCTCGCCACCGTTCCCATTGCGAGGTTCCTCGGGGGAAGAAATTGGTTTCGGAGAAGGGATAGGGATTCATTTTTCCCCGATTTTTTGTGAGGGGAGAGGGTATAAATGGTGGTTGGTGGCTTTTTTTCATTTTTTTCGTTCTTTTAATTAATTTTGTAGAGTTTTTTTTTGGTAATAAGAATTATTAATTTTATTAATCGAAGAAAAAAATTAAAAAAAAATTATGTCCTCAAAGCTGACGTGGCAGGTGAGGTGTACATTGACTAACGGTCAAACCCGCCTCCAGGCCAAAGGAGGAAGTTTGCTACATATTTCAGGCCATAGTAGCACTTTTCAATACCACGGGCCAAAGTAGTAAGTATGTGTATATTTCGGGCCAAACTAAGATATTAACCCTAAAATAAACCAGAAACCTCACAACCCAAACCGCATAATTTTCAAAAGCACACCAGAAACCCTCTAATGCAAACCACAAAAGCAAACCAGAAACTTTCTAATACAAACCACAAATCTATTAGAACAAACCAGAAACCTTACAAAGCAAACCACAATATTTTCGAAAACACACCAAAAACTTCTTAATGCAAACCAGAAACACAATAAAGCAAACCACAAAACACATGAGAAACCAAACCATAAATTTCATAATGCAGACCACAATATCCGGTGGTTCTTTATGGTGTTTCTAGCATTCTTTATGAGCATTATGGGCCGTTTTATGAAATATGTGGTTTGTTTTATGAATTATTTTGGTATGTTGTTTCGTGTTTCTTGGTGTGGTTTACTTGTTTGTCATATGCTTTATGATATCAATCCTTCTTTGTTCTATCACAATTATTCTAGCATTATTAATTGAATTTTTCTAAATTATAACGTGCGTTTTACAAGATACATGACATTGGAATTAAATATTTACTAATTTATTATAACTAATGGTATAGACTCCAACTACCAAAATGAATAATTATCTACAAATGAATCCAATGTCCCAAAATAAACAATTGTAGTCGAGATTAATTATCAAATTTTCCATCCCAAATTAATCAATATTAATTAAATGCTATAATCCACAAATTTGATTAACTTTTAATTGCACACAAAAATTTCCATCTCCTTTCCCTTTGATTCTGTTCCCTTCCATCTTTCATCTTTGGCCTATTCTCTTTTCCCATTTTCTCCAACTTCTTCCTGTCCCAACTCCCAACACATGTAAAATAAATAATCGGCTTGATGGATACAGACAGATAATGGAGAAGAGATATATACAGTCAGAGGATGGAATCGATTATGAGACGGAGGGCGGAGATTAAAGCAGATGCAGCCGGATGGCGGGATGCGCTGCGATTTGTACAGGACAAAAGAGGTTGAAATGGAGGCGTACATGTGATTTTCGGTCTCCGTCAATAGATTAGGAGTAAGCTGGAATGGAGGAATTCGTTCAACGCCGCCATCGTGAGAACGGAGCGAAACATCGAGGTGCCGAGACTGGAATGAAAACTAGGGACGAACAGGCGAAGGTCCATGGCGGAGTCGCAATTGATGAGATGGTTGTCAGTGCGGGAGAAAGGTACGTCGAGATCAGATCTGACTGCGGCGGCTGAGACATGGGGGAGAGAGAAGCAGTGATAGACCGTGGAGGAGTTTGACGGCCGGCGCTTGGTGGTAAGGGTGGGATACTGGGATCGGAGAGATGGGGGGAGAGAGAACCAGTTATTTTCTCGAGATTTCAATTTTCTAAATGACTAAATTGTCCTTGTTTGATTTTTACACGGTAAAACTTGAGTCAACTTATGTAATTAAAAAGTCAGCAGAATCGTGTATTTCTATTGGCTGTGTAGTATTGTTGTCACTATAACAACATATGGGGTGTTGTCATAGTATCCATTCCCGTGGAAAAATGTGAGTGACTACAAGTTAATTTATGTTGTTAATTAATATATAAACTTGTTAATTAATATTTTTATTTAATTTGTTGTTATTGACCGATGTATACAAGAAACTTGACTTCATCTAGGTACGTTACGTTCCATCCATCCATGCATCATGCATGTATTGTGTCATTTTAAGCCACTAATTAGTAAAGGACGCTTTTGTCCTTGTAATTAGCTGAAGGCCTGAAGCGTATTGATAGGATTCTAACCCTAATTAAGCTGCAATTATTGACCCTTGTTCTAGAACCATGTGTAAGGTTTCCACTTCCTAAGTTCTTTCGTTTTCCTGGAAGTGTAATGTGTAGGTTACTAGCTTTCCACTTCCTATGTTCTTTCGTTTTCCTAAATGTGTAATCGGGTCAAAGTTTGCATCATGTCTTCATCCTAAGGTGAGTTTTAGTAGGGATAATAATGGAGAAAAATTCATGAGAGACTTTAGTAAAGTAGCGAGACTTTAACATGATTGGGGTACTTAGAAAATTAATAATGTTAAAATCAATATATTTAATGTTATTTGAGTTGATTGGGATGCTTAGGTACAACTAACAATGACGATATCGAGTATGGGGTGCTGAATTAGAATTATCATACGAAAAATTTACGCATCTAATAATGGATTTTATGCCCCACTTTTTGCCAAATGTTATACTCGGAGCCCTATCCTCAAGTAATGGCGTAGCTAGAATTTCACTCAAGATTGATCAAGGCAAAAATAGAAATGTATAACCTAATTCTATTAATTTTTAAATGACCCAAGAATGAAACATTAGAGATGCAGTTATATGTAAAATTTAGAGTTTTTTACGTAATATGCAAGATTAATGCGAGCTACAAAGTTCTCTACAATATGTTGGTAGACAACTAAAAGTAATAAACACGAGGGGTTTGATTTGCGTATTACAAGTTTTATACAAAAATTGTTATTTAATTTTTTATATTTTAATCCAGAGCCAAAAGGTGGGTCCCTCTGCCAAGCTAGCTCAACCATTGTCCTCAAGCCTTCCCTATTGTCACTCGAAGAAATACGTGTTGATTATCACCATTTTTTTTCTTGAAACGATAAATTAAAGGATAGTGATACTAAATTGACTTTTTAGTTCTCATTTTTCAATCCAACATAAATGTTAATGTTCTATTCAACATTTTTGGAAGACAAATTTTTTTTTATAATATAAATGTACTTGTATGTTATGTCTGGCAATTGAATCAAACAATGACATAAATATCTTGATGAAGTGCGAACAAAATTTTGAAATGTGTTATCAAAGCCTATACTTTTCTCAATCAGTTAAAATTCAGGTGTGAAGTTTGCATCAAAATTTTCACACTCTTGTCGGACAATTTGGACTTTGTTACATGGTACTTGAATTTTGGAGTGGGTTTATAGCCACAAATGTGTTATTCCAACTTGTAGACTCGTACAGAGTCCCAGTCCTAAGTGGCGACTTTGAGATGCCAATTTGGACCGTAGTAGGTGATGTTTCAGACTCAGAGTATCAAATCAGGTGCCAGTGACACAATAAGCTACAGGATCTGGCACATGCTTAAGCCATTTTGCTAGCCACTGGATTTGAAAAATAAAGATCTTGCATGTGAGGCAATTTGGTCATATGAAGAAATTCACACACAAAAAAAATGCGAGGGGGAATTGGACAGTGCGGGTTTCAACTCTTCATTTATTGGTCCAAATCTCAAAGTCATAAACTCATTAATCAAATGAGGCCCAAATTGTCCCATTAATAGCATGGCCCAACCCGATCAAAGTGGGTAAAACCCATCGTTGATGGGTTTCAAGACGGGTTCAGATAAACCCGCTATTGAATTCTACGGGTTGGGTTCGCGTTTAGGCCATACCCGGCCCACTACACAGTACACACCCGCACCCGGAGCTTCCACTAGCGTCGTTTTGGAATTCCAATTTTCCAAACCCACACCCTAACTTGCTTCGGCCTTCGCGCGTGCTCTTCCTTACTGCGACCCTCTCTGTTTTTGTTCTCTAAATCGCCAGTCGCCCTCTTCCTCACCTTCGACTGCGAGACCGCCGGCGGCGGCAGTCTACCAGTTCCTCTGCCATCTGCCCGACGGATGATGAGCCATATATCCGACGAAAGCAGGCACCTGTGGCCTGTACTTCTCTAATCGAGAGACACCGTGTAGTCACTCGAAGTCTCTCTTCCCTTTCGTTCTTCATATCCCCCCGTCTGCTTGTGGAACTGGATGCATTTGCAGTAGCTGCTCTCTGATTTCTTGATTGACAATGTGGAGATCACCGGCGATATCTTGTATTGTGAGTCCTTCCTTTTTTTCCGCTTATGTTGTTGCTTTAGAACTCAAAAGTGCCATAGGCAAAATCCATGTTGTCTTACTCATGGCGTTTAACAGGTTAGAAGGTTCACCCGAGTGCGATTGGGAGTACAAACTCTTAGTTCTAGCTATGGTTCCGTGCTGCAGTCTCAATTCTCAGATAGAGAAGATGCAAAGGATTGGTGTTCTTCAGAGGTATCAAAGTAACTCTCACTTCTGTTATGGATAGTTTTGTTGGTTCTCAATAATTCCTTTCGGATTCATTTTCTACTTTCAGTCTTGTTTAATTGATCATTTGAGAAGGATTCCGTAACTGAACCCTTCTTGAACTTTTCTCGATTGATCCTGTACTTGTGGTTGTACCTATATGTTGCTGTCCTGATTGACCTCCTTCTCGCAACACGGCAGGCACGATTCAGTCATCAAGCTGCATTCCAAAATTTCGACCAAAATGCTGGAAGTTTGCAGAAGGATAAAGTAGGGAAGAATATTTCTCGAAAGGAGAAGACAACCTTTCTTATTACCACAGTAAGCATTTGAAGGGTTTTGTCAAGCTTCTTTCTGCTTACGTTTGTCTACAATTAGAACCAAAAGAAAAATTGTCTAGATGTAGAATATACTTTTTTGCAGCTTTGGACTACAAATGATTTAGCATATCTGGTATTCTGATGATATAGGCTTTTGTACTGTATGTAGTTAGTTGGGAGCTGGCTTAGCAAACCTATGATGCTCTTCCCAGTTTCAAGTTAGCCAATTTACTTCACCATCGGGGTAGCTTAGATTAAAATAAAAGCAAATTTTAATGAGCTTCTGACACTTTTCTACTTGCCTAGCGTCATGATCCAGTGTCATTGAGCCACTAGTAGTAGCAGCCGTATGGATAAAATGGAAAGAACATTGAAGTTAGTAGGAGCATCAGTGGCAGTAAAATATGTAGATAAGAAATTGTCTATGTTCACCATATCCAAATAAGCTAGCTTCTTGCTTTATGTTGCTTCAAACATCTAGTTGAGACTTGAGATAACTGCATTTTGTCCCTTTTAATCGTTTTTCTTCTTTGGTATGTTTGTTCATGCTGTTAACTCTTATTATAGGCAAGTTAATGAATCCCTCATATCTGTAGCTCATGGATCTCAAGGATAACAAAGAAGGCATTTATGGTGCTCTGGATGCTTGGGTCGCATGGGAGCGTGAATTTCCCATTGGTCCTCTTAAGCATGCTTTGCTAGCTCTCGAGAAGGAACATCAGTGGCATCGGATTGTTCAGGTGCAAACCATTTCACTTTCTGTTACCGTATCAAATCACATCCTAACTCATTTGTAGAATAGCCCTTGCATGTATTTCACTTGTGTGTATGTCCATTTTGGCATTTTCATTAGGAAGCAAAATTCAAGTGCTAATTTGTCTTCCCTCATCGACTTGTCTCTTTATACGTTTCTTGAGTTTCTAATGTGTAGGTTAAGCTTTAGAAACCGAAAATTCGAATCATTCTGATAATGCTCAATCTGTTGGACTTGTTTTTGTGCATTTCCCTTCATTCCGTGTTAATTTTCCTCTAGGTGATTAAATGGATGTTGAGCAAAGGTCAGGGAAACACAATGGGTACACATGGGCAATTGATACGTGCATTGGATAAAGACCACCGAGCAGAGGAAGCACATACAGTTTGGGTGAAGAAAGTTGGTACCGATCTTCATTCTGTGCCATGGAAGTTATGTAGCATGATGATATCGGTATACTACAGAAACAACATGCTAGATAGGCTTGTTAAGGTAAGCTGCTAGTACTTACTTCTTCACTGCCTGCAATCAACTCAATTCAAGACTAATCATGATTCTGCATCTTAAAGCTTTTCAAGGGCATGGAAGCATTTGATAGGAAACTCTATGACAAGGTAATAGTCCAGAGAGTAGCCAATGCACATGAGATGCTAGGGATGCCAGAAGAAAAAGAACGAGTACTCCAAAAGTACGCTGATGTTTTCGCTGAGAAGAAGCAACGATTTGGGAAGAGATCTATACAGTCCACTACAAAGGAGAAGCAGGATAAGATGCAATGATCATTAGTCACATGATTAAGTCAATTTCAGTCATAGATTGTAATTTTTGTATGATGTTCAGGGAATCCGATCCTCAGTTGGTTATGAACAAAGGTAGGGATGTTTTGCATCCATTTATAAAAAAAAAATGAAATTTACATTACATGTCACTAATTTTGTCTACGTCATCATTTTTGTAAAACATGTCAGCACATTCAATGTTACCTAACGGATAGCTACAATTGTCTAGCAAATTAAAACGTTTGGCTATTTTAGACATTTTTAATGATTTTGGCTATTTCAATTCAAAAGTTAAATGGTTTGACTATTTTTATGTATTAACCTTTGTTTATGGTTTTTTTTTTTAAATCAATCAGTTTGCTTTAATAGTTATTTGACCTAGAATGTTCTGATCATATAATGTATAAATGAGGCTCATTGAGCAGGATGCACGATTGTTTCCATAATGAGGTATTTATATTTAACTTATTGTAGTTCGAAATTTAAATGCAATGTCAGACATCACTAGTTAGAGATGTCCCATCCGAACGGAGATGCCTTTGGCGCTAATTAATGTTGCGACTAGCGGATATCGAGAAAAATGTCTTATGTGACATTCGTGTCTCGATAATGATAAATAAATGATAGTCTATGTTGTCAGATTTCTCTGTCGACATCTTGTCTGGTGATAGCTGCCTCTAGAATTGTGTTGACAAGTGGAGTCCTTGTGTCTAACAAAGTTTAACTTACTCATTTTACTTAACGTTATATATGTGTATATTCGAATTGGAAAAAAAACCATATTTCATCCATGTGTTATGTGTATTTGTCATTTTCATAACTTGTATTTAGAATGATCAGAATACATATTATAAAACATATTCGTACCAAAGAAAGACGTATTCTGATTGAACAAAAAAAACATAATTCATACGTGTGATATGTGTTTGTGTATTTGTCATTTCCACAACTTGTATTCTCCACGTTTCCAGACAAAAAAAAAAACATAATGGTGGGCAATCTCGATGCAGGTATCCCTAAGTGGTCTTCATGCCTTGGTAACTGGAGACAGACCCGTTGCCCTTCGAGCTTGACATTGGGCTTTCATCACGACTTAGGATAGGGTGAGTAATCTTTGGTTACTAACCTATGAGTAACTAAATCTGACCTTTAGATCCAAGTGGGTCCAGAAAATCCAGATCTAAGGGTTGTCAATTAAAAACATTTTATTTTCCCTAGTTTTCATAATCGGCTCTTATCATTTTCTTCTTAACTCGGATTTCAATTTCTTTTGCACACATGGAACGAGTTCGTTGTGCTCTACAAAATGAGATCAATTTTCAATATATTTCGAGAAACTTTTTTTTTACCAACTACATACCATATGGTTTTTTTTTTTTTTGACGAAAACCTGATTTCATTACGAAATAGGGAAGTGATACAGAGTTTAGACCATAGTCAAAGAAAGATAGAAGCCTGACCCAAACGACAATGCAAAGCCCAACCAAATACAGAAGCCCACCGAAAAACTAAAACCAGAAAACACACACAACAACCACATTCCAACAAACACAAGAACCCAACAGAAACCCAACAACCTTTCCACTCCAATGAAGCCCACAAATACAACCCTAGCCCAAAGCAATCCCAAACCACCAGCCACCTACTTGCTGCCCCAAGTAGCCGCCAACAACCAACCCTGCCTCAATCTCCCACCACCGCGCCGCCACCAAACGGAAGGAAAAACAATCCACCACCAACAAAGTCAATGGGATCAAAGAGGGGAAAAGATCCACTCTCTCAACCCCGCCGACACACACCGCCACCGTCGCCCCCAAACCACGCACGTCAACCACACCACCTCAGCCACCGCAAACCACAACCACCACCCGCAAAAGGAGAAGAACAAAGAAAAAAACAACACCCCCATCACCTGTGACTCACGAACACCACCAATCCAAGGCCAAACAACATACATGAGCAGAGCAGCAAGAGATCGAAAAGGAGGCAGCATCCCTACACCCCCACATGACAGTAGAACCAAGAGGCATCAAACCAAACCACGGAATCACTACGCCATTCTGAGTGAAGCAAGGTGGACAGCTCTAAAAGTCACGAAAGAAGATGTAAATTGCAAAGCAATTCCCTCTGCACACAGAGAACGACCACAAGATCTGAGACTCAGATCTGAGGTGTGGAAGAAAACCATCTCAAGAGATAGGTTTTTGGCAAAATCCACTTAGGGGTAGCAGTCTAGAAATTCATAAATCCACAAAGGGATTGGCAAAGCATGAAAGAAAAGAAGATGAAGCAAAGGAAAAACAGAAATGAAACTGGATTGGGTGGCCGCCGATCACCTAAAGGTGAATCGACGGCCCCCGATTGGAGATTGGAAAGGGAAAAGTTTAGAGAGAAGTGGGAGAAATTGAAAGTTGAGAGAGAGAACCGACATACCATATGGTTACTTCTTCGTTTTTAAGTCGTTTTTGAAAACGTTTGCTGAGAAGGAACGAGTTCATCATGATCTCTTGGATCTACAAATTTCTGGGTGAAAAAAATACTAGACCAAAAATTACCATACTTTACCACTATGGTATGTGGGTGGTAACTTATATCGTGTTTGTTTAACCCCAAAATATCTTATTAAATCTCATTAAGTAAATTCTCTATTCATTTTTATTAAAACTTTATAAATTACACTTTGATGGGGAAAAAAACAGACATATTAATAATAATATTTTTTTCAATCAAACAAAATTTAAACGATGGCCTAAGAGAAAATACGCGTTTTACAATCAATCGATTAAAATGAACTATATGACTATATATTATTTGCTATCAAACACTCACTTCTTCCTAATGCATATACTTATAAAATAAAATAAATATAATTTATATAAAAAATGTTTGGAGATAAACTTGACAGAGCAATAATTGTTATTTTTTGAAACACTTCTTATTCATTTTGAATAAATGAAGATATATTAATTATGAATGCAAACTTTTAATTTATCTACACCATTTTCCCATTTTGATTGCCTCTCTAGAAATAAAATCCAAAATTGAAAATAAGAAATTAGATAGAGAAGGAAATGGTAATGCAAAATTTTGAGCAGTTGTAACATATTTTTGTCTGTTGATGAAAGCAGTTCATCCTATCATTGCGAAAATAAGGTGAACCAAACCGAGGATTGTCGACTGCTCCCTCTTTCTCCTTGATCTAAAACTGGCAACTGCTCACTCTTCTTTACATTATTTTCTTAATTTCTTCCAAATTAAAAATGCTGGATGGTAAATTTCCCCACTCAATGAGAGATTTGTTTTATGCTCTCTATTACTTCATATACTTTTATGTAAATAGATAATATGTAATTAGAAGGGATAATTGGTTGGACTTAGGGCATATCTCCTTTGGTTGAATAATTGATCGTTTTCCTTAAATCCCGATGCGGGTATCCCTAAGTGGTCTTCATGCCTTGGTAACTGGAGACAGACCCGTTGCCCTTCGAGCTTGACATTGGGCTTTCGTCACGACTTAGGATAGGGTGAGTAATCATTGGTTACTAACCTATGAGTAACTAAATCTGACCTTTAGATCTAAGTGAGTCCAAAAAATCCAGATCTAAGGGTTGTCAATTAAAAACATTTTATTTTCCCTAGTTTTCATAATCGGCTCTTATCTTCTTCGTTTTGAACTCGGATTTCAATTTTTTTTGCACACATGGAATGAGTTCGTTGTGCTCTACAAAATGATATCAATTTTCAATATATTTCGAGAAACTTTTTTTTTACCAACTACATACCATATGGTAACTTCTTCGTTTTTAAGTCGTTTTTTAAAACGTTTGCTGAGAAGGAACGAGTTCATCATGATCTATTGGATCTACAAATTTCTGGGTGAAAAAAATACTAGACAAAAAATTAGCATATTTTACCACTATGGTATGTAGGTGGTAACTTATGGTAAACAATGATGAAAGTCGTAAATGACAGTTAGTATACTCCTACTATCATGTATTCAACCTTCTTACCATATTGGTATGTTCGTACCATCATGGTACGCTTTCTTACCATATGGTATTAAATATGAGCATACCGTGTGGTAATGACTGGTAAAAAATTATTCAATTTTTTTGTACTAAAAATATATCAAAGTGGATATAATTTTAAAGAGCACATTTAACCTGATTTATCTGTGCAAAAAAATTTAAATTTCGACTTAAAACGAGAGAGAAATCGTCCGTTAAAGATTAAAGGGGAAAAGATAAAAAGATTTTCCAGGAGAGAGGACATGTTGATGTCATGCGCATGTGGACATGTTACTGATGATTACTCGCCATATGGTTACTGACCTGATCCGCTCCCCTTTCATCACCGTACAATCTCTTGATCTGTATCTTCAATTTTTGGAAACTTAAATCTGACCCCGATCAATAAACTTACAAAACCCTTCAAATTGTATCCCTCTATCATCGAGGCTTTTGTCCCAATAGTATTTGGCCCAATAGTAACCTAGAGCAATTCTACTATGCTATATAGTCAGTGGCGGAGCCATATGAGGCCAAGGTAGGTCATTTGCACCACCTTGGCCCAAAAAATGTGGAGTAATTGTATTTATGCGATTATTGATTGAATACAAGATCTCCATATTATAGTTTTACGAAAAACTAGCATTCTGTAATCTATATTTAATTTTTAATTTATATATTTTGTAAGTGAGTTTAATATAAACAAATACTTGAAACTTAGGGGGTGTTTGTTGCTATCAGTTGTCATTCAAGTGATGAAAGAGGACTTACTGCAATAAGCAAAGTAAAGAAACACTTCTAAGTAAGATGAGTTGTGGAATCATGAACGATTTTTCGTTGTGATATCTTAACATCTTTCATAATTTGCATGATGAATGTATTTTAGAAAAAGTTTCAAAACATGAACACATCCTGAAACATACATTATATATATTATTTTTGCACGTTTGACCCACCTTAGATTAATTTCTGGCTACGCCACTGTATATAGTATTGGTGCTTTAATGTACAACTTAAAGTTGTACCATAACATTAAATGTATAAGTTTAGGTTGTACCATAAAACAATTTGTACCATTATGTTATGGTACAACTTTACAACTTAAAGTTGTATCATCACATAAAGGTATAAGTTCAAGTTGTACCATAAAAAAATTTGTACAACAAGTATAGGTACAATCTAAAGTTGTACCATAACGTAAATGTACAATTTTAAATTGTACCATAAAGATAAAACCCTATAGCACCAATACTACATAGCATTGTAAAATTTCTCAGTAACCTAATATTAGAAACTTCCGAACTTGTCTTGTCTTTGCTAGGCCAGGCTAGCTTGCAATGTGCATAAGTGAATTTTTCTTCTTAGAAATAATGTTCAGGAGGTACATTGGTTCTTCTAAAGAGTTTGCTTCTCTATGCAAGTGTTAAAAGTATTTTCATTATAATGTACTACACTTGGAACATACTTCCAAGTCAAATCATTGTGTCGTCGACGACGATATGGACCTTCCTTAAACTACTCTCTATATTAAGCCAACGACCCCTTCGAGAAAAGAAAGGACCTGGAACCCTACCCATCAACGACCCTCTTGTTTCTTTCCTCTTGTTTAAAAATAAAACCAATGGGCTGCAGCTTCTCTATAAGTTGCAAGAATTCCAAATGCGTCCTGTTATTCGCGGTTTAATATAATGCAACATGCATGGGTACGTGGATTATATATAAGCTCAACTTGCCCACGTACAGTAGAGTTGGTGCCGGCGGCGTACTGGTATATATATTACTATATTAACAAAATCAACATATGCGCGCAACCGCATGCAGAAAGAAATCTCCCTTCTCTTGCTAATTCAATCAAAGCCATCGATGGAACCCACTCGATCTTCTCCCGTCGGTCAAATCCATCCTCTAGCTACCACTTGCTTCCTGCCGGCCGACTGAATTTCCCAGCTCCATCCCTTCATCTCACTCTCCTACAAATACCCATCTCAAACTCCACAAACCACACCACAACAATCCAACAACACTACATTCTCGCCACTCGTCATTCATCAAAAAGTATCAGTCGTCTTGATTTCAGAAGTCAGTGATACATCCAATCAAACAACAAAGCAGATCATCAAGTCTTGATGGCGGACCTCTTCATCACCGCACTGGCTTCCGTCCTCCTACTCGCCTCCGCAGCATTCTACCTGCTGCGGAAGACCACCAACCGCCGCAAGTTCAACCTGCCGCCATCTCCGCCGTCCCTGCCTCTCATAGGCAACCTGTTTCAAATGAGCAAGCTTCCCTACCGCTCCCTCCGCACCCTCGCCAAAACCTACGGCCCACTCATGATGGTCAAACTCGGCAGCATCCCTTACGTCATCGTCTCCTCCGCCGACGCCATCCAGGAGCTCACCGACAAGGACCACGACGTCATCTTCTCGGGGAGGCCCCAGTGGAAGTCCTCGGACGCCCTCTTCGGAGGCAGCACCGACATCATCTTCTCCTCCTACGGCGAGTACTGGCGCCAGATGAAGAAGATCTGCATGGTCGAGGTGCTCAGCCAGCGGAGGGTGAACCAGTTCCGCTACATTCGCGAGCAGGAGGTCGAACACCTGGTGGGCATTCTCAAGGACGCATCTAAAAACAAAACCGCGGTGGATCTCAGCGAAGCCATCTCCACGCTCACCAACACCGTCATCTCCCGAGCCGCCTTCGGCAAAACCTACAACAACCAACCGATGGCTGACGGCGTTAGTAACGGCGAGAAGAACTTCGTCCCGCTGTTGAGGAGAGCGGTGGACATTCTAGCGCAGTTCTGCTTCCAGGACTCGTTCCCGATTCTCGGGTGGGTCGACGCGTTGACCGGATTTGACTCCAAGGTCAGGAAGGTGTCCAGGGAAGTCAACGACTTCCTGGACACGGTCATCAACGACCACAAGAAAAAAAGAGTTGTCGTCGTTGCGGAAGAAGATGATAGTCATGATGGTCCCGATCACGATCACCCGGAGAGGCTGCAGGCCGACATCGTGGATATCCTGCTCAGGGTACAGAAGGAGCGGGAGCTGGAGTTCAACTTCACCGACGCGAACATCAAGGCCACGCTCCTGGACATGTTCGCGGGAGGGACCGACACCATCGCGACGACGCTGGAGTGGGTGATGTCGGAGCTGGTGAGGCATCCGACCATCATGAAGAAGGCGCAGGAGGAAGTCAGGAGGATTGTTCTGACGGGAGGATCCGAGAGGAAGTCGGGAATCGACGAGGCGGATATCCACCGGATGGAGTACTTGAAGTGTGTGGTGAAGGAGACGCTGAGGCTGCACGCGCCGGCTCCGGTCTCGCTGAGGAAGACGTCGGAGGATGTGAAGTTGGGAGGGTTTGATATACCGGAAGGGACGATGGTGATGATCAACCTGTGGGCGGTGATGAGGGATCCTGAGATTTGGGAACAGCCGGAGAGTTTTGTGCCGGAGAGGTTTTTGGCGGAGCCGTTGGATTTTAAGGGTCAGACGGGGAAGTTTGTGCCGTTTGGGGCTGGGAGGAGGTTGTGTCCTGGAATGACGTTGGCGCTTGTGGAGGTGGAGCTGGTGGCGGCGAACTTGCTGCGTTGGTTCGATTGGGAGCTGCCGGAAGGGGCGGTGGATTTGGATATGAGTGAGATTAATTCGGTGGTTGTTCGTAGGGAGACACCGCTTTCTCTGGTTCCGGTTCTCAACTCAGCGTGATCGTGAAAGAGGAAGACTCATTTCGGAGATGTGATTTTGTTATTTGATTTATAGTTTAATTAGTTGCTTCTGATTTAATAATTTTCAAATTTAATGCTTCTTTGTTGAGCTTCAATGTGTTTTGAATTTTCGATACACACTTTTTTGCTAAAGTTTGTTGAACAATAATATTTCTTTTTCGTTGAGTTATATCAATAATATGTTCCGAATCTAAACTTTAATCACAGCTGACTCAGGATTTGCTTTTCTACTTGAAAATTGGGTATCTATCTCGAGTTAGAATTTAGTCAATTTAATGATTTATAGATGAACAGAACTTCGCCTTTAACCTGCAATCGCGGCCCCCATCAGTAGCTTGTATAAAAAGGCTTTCATTGTTGGACCTGAAACTAGGGGTGGGCATACGGTTCGGTAAAACCGAACCGAACCGAATCGAATATAAATCGAACCGAAATCGAATTAATATTATTTGGTTCGGAATTCGGAAGAGAAAAGGGCATATTTCGAAAATCAGGGTCCTTTCGATCGAACCGAATTTCCGAATTTCGAACCGAAAAACCGAATTATTATAATTGCAAGCTCTAAATGGTGGATTTTTATGTTTCTACTTATTATGAGACTTAAATATTTGAATCATATGACTTATGTGTTGAAATGTTTGATTTTATCATTGATGATACATATTTATTGTTTACATTAGGGTGAAAAATAATTTAAAAAAGAGAAAATACAAGCTAACCTCACTATTTCGGTTTTGTATGAAAAATCGAACCGAATTATAATTCGGTTTGAACCGACCAAACCAAATTGTAATTCGGTTCGAATTCGGTTTGAGGTTTGATGGAATTAGGAGACCTGGTATGCATAATTTTGGTTCGGTTTGAACCGAACCGACCGAATGCCCACCCCTGCCTGGAACCGAGTTAGCCTAAACCAATGCTCGATCAAGCTTTACTTATCATAAATCGGACTTGGATCAGCATGATAATAACGTTACAGTTTCAGATTTGCTGTCAGTTACTGAATCCAACGCTTCTGCTTGGGAGAAGATAGGGTGCTAACTTCATGGGGTTAGCACCATCCTAACTATTTTTTTAATTTGAAAGTTATCATTAAAGAAAGGGTATAATCGGAAATTGGGATAAAAAATTAAAATACGAAATTAATGTTTATTTCTGGGAAACTGCACGTCCGGATTTTGTGGGATTTCCTTCAGAGACGTTTCTATTCCCGAGAACAAAAATCAATACTTACCTGCCACATTCCTAAAGGAAAAACACTACTAACCTGCCATATAGTTACAAGTTTCACTCAACAACTTCTCTCTCCCTTCTCTCCATCACGTCTCTCTGTCTTCGCAGAGTAAAACACTACATTCTTTGGAAAACACTACTAACTCTTTTCTTCAGCTATGTAGTAGCAATTTGGTGTGTGGTATTGATTTTATGATACATTAGTAGTGATTTTGATAATTTTTTAGTAGTATCAATATTACTATAGGTTCTTGCAGTCAATAATAATAAATCACTACTAATACAAAAACATAAACACTGCTACATCGTATTCGTAAATATGGGATCCATAAATTCACTGCTATAGAATCATTGCTAGTACCATCATATCTATAAAATCACTATTATGAAATCACTATACTATTATTACAAAACCACTACGGAGAATCCTCCACATTCTACATCTTCCATACTCCTTATGATTTCATGAGTCCACAACTGCAAACAAAAACAATAACAAAACAATTACTTCCACTTCCACCTTTTAAAACAATAAAAGTGTAAATAAAATTGCTACGACATTAAACTAACAAAGCAAAAAAGGAAGACCATAAAATCCTAATTTACTGCAAAACACTACTACCGTAAACCAGAACTAGTCTTAGTGAAATGGTTACCGCATCAACAAAAAGAAGTGAAGTCTGCAAATTAAGCATTGTCGAAGACCAAAAACAATTGCATTCGAATCCAATAAACAAAAAACAGATTCTGAATCCAGAAATCCTACGCTCAACCGCCCTTAATGCCGATCTTGAACCAACTATGCAAACACCAACAAAAAAGTTCAAGAGCTGGCGGCATGCAATGTCGCCGATTACAAAATGGATCGACGATTGATCAAATTAAAAACTACATGATACGAGCTTGTCGATGGCGCTGACGATGGCGACGAGGTCAGGGGCGTTGAGGGCAGTAGCGTTGAGGGCAGCAACGTCGAGGACAGATCAGGCGAACCCAATCCCGACAAAGGCCACTGACGAGGGAAAGTTCACCGACGGGAAGGGCTGTGGGAATCGGCTGGGCTGGGGCGTTGAGGGCGGCGGCGCGCGAGCAAAGCAGAGGGAAAGTTCAACGACGCGAAGGACTGCTGGAATCGGCTGGACTGGGCTTTGAGGGCAGCAGCGTCGAGGACAGATCAGGCGAACCCAGTCCCGACAAAGGCCACTGACGAGGGAAAGTTCACCGACGGGAAGGGCTGTGGGAATCGGCTGGGCTGGGGTGTTGAGGGCGGCAGCGTCGTGAGCAAAGCAGAGGGAAAGTTCAACGACGCGAAGGACTGCTGGAATCGGCTGGACTGGGCGTTGAGGGCGGCGGCGTCGCGGGCAAAGCAGGCGAACCCAATCCCAACACCACTGATAAAGGGTTGCGGAAATCGAATGGGCTTCTACTCTCCGATGGGTAGAGAGAAGAATAAAATCTTTACTTGGCTTGACTGTTGGGATATCTCCCACCACAAAAATCTACCCTGTTTCAACCGGCTGATACCACGGCCTGTATCATCTAATAAAACTCAACTTACCAAAATGCCCCCGACAATTAAACACTCCTTTTTATGAATTTTAAAACGCAATTGCTTAGTTGGGTTAGGACGGTGCTAACGGAGTAGATGGTTAGCAAGCCATCCCATCCCCAAGGCCAAAGCCCAATAAAACGGGGCTGCCACCAATAAGCAAACCCATCAGACTAAAATGCAAGACAATATAAAATGTCTATATAATTTTTTTTCATCAAACTTCGCCGTAATGTAATGGGTACATCCGACGAACGTTCTTCCTTTATGAATTAGACGCCTTGAGCGTTGATCTTTCTAAAAAAAGAAGATAGATGAATTTGGCCTTGAACCTGCAATTGCGGCCCCTCTGGCCCTCAATAGCTTGTATAAAAAGGCTTTCATTTTTGGAGTTGGACCTGGAACCCAGTTAGCCTAAATTAGTGCTCAAGCTTTACTTGCCATTAGCGGACTTGGATCAGCATGATAATAATATTACAGTTTCGGATTTGATGAAGGTTGTCTTGTACTGAATCCATCAATCCAACACTTCTGCTTCAAGGCCCAAGCCCAATAAAACGGGGCTGCCACCAATAAGCAAACCCGTTAGACTAAAATGCAAGACAATATAAAACTTCGTCTACACAATTTTTTACACCTAAAAATACTTGCACAAAGAAACAGTAACGCAGCATATTCTAATCCTAATAGTATAGGTCGTTGTCAAGATTTCGATTCATATGGTCTTGGAATAACTTGTTCTTAAAGCTAGTTGTAATATGATTGTTGGGGAATTATCTAGTTTGCCAACTTAGTTGTTGGAGAAATTCAAACATTAATTTTATATCATTCTTTTATGCAATTTATTGTAAAAACTCATTATAGAGAATATTAGTATTGTATTTTAAAGTGCCATCTTCTTACTCATCACTGGAGAGGGAAAATAATGGCAATAGTTAACAGCTTCATACATGTTCAAAATAAATTAAGCATAGAATTTGAGTGGCCATAAGCGAATAGGCGGCGGTTCTACCGCAGTATTATTGACTTTCCCCTTATATTGACTAGCTTATAACCCGGCTCGTTGGCCGGAATGTTCATATTTGATTATTTATAATTTTATGTTAATTTTAAGTCTATCAACCCGTTTAAATGGTTTAATTATATATAGGTCAAACACTCGAAGAAATACCATCATCATTTAAGAATATAAAATAAAAAATGTATAATTGATTTCATTTTCATAATGATAATATTATATTGGTTAGTTGATAAAAATAGAATATAAAAGCTCAATGGAATTACCACACGACCCATATATAGTTTGAAACTGAATCTAAAACCTCACAATCCTACATAAAGGCTGCAATTCTCTCCTTTTAGGAACAACATGCCACTAATAAAAAAGAAATAGAGAGTAATTGGTTCAAGTCAACTATATTCTACAAACTTAACTAAGAGGGAACCATCAAAACTTGAGAGCAAACGACAAAATTAGGGTTACCTCCAATATACTAATAGACTTGATCAAAGTCATAAGACACAAAATTAGACACTCATTTTCTATAAGTTTCAGTAGGTTGAATAAAGAATCGACCTAATTCAGTAAATCAATCAATGATTTCTCGTTTTAAGATAGAAATAGGTTGTGGTAGCTGCAAAAACCATAAACCTAAAGAGCCAATAGCCACCATTCTCCGTTGAACGACCAAATTTTTATCCACTCTATCTTTAATCTCAAGAGGCATATGTTCCAACCAAACAACTCCATTTCTGCTACTTTGATGGACCTTCTCTCCGTAACCCTCAATTTCTCTTCCAATTGGGGTTCTTGTCAACTCGCTCTTCAACTCCTCAATCTTCTTCTTGTGTTTGCTAACTCATCTTCCTCGGGCAGTTGTAATAAGTTCGCTAAAACCAACATTCATCTCCTGTTCCATCAATATGTTCATCTCCCCCTTGTCTGCCTTCACCCGCTTCAGTCCACTTCCTTGCCCTTCAATAACCTCTCCATTTTCATTACTATCCTCATCATCTCTCACTTCTCTCTCGTTAACTGCTCCATTTTCGCTTCCATGTCTTTCAACACTCTCCTCAATTCATTCACTAACCTCTCCAACTCCCTCTTCTCTGCCTTCACCTGCTGCAGTGGAACTTTACTTGCTACCAAATCCAAACACAATTTCTTCCCTCCACCACTTTCATTCTCAAACTCAATTCCAACTCTTCTACTCCAAGTTCAAATTCATAACTACTTGATTGAACTCCATTCTATTCGTCATGGATTGATATCAGATTTGAAATTTTCTATTTGCGTAGCTTAAATCCCCAAAATAAAACTATCCTGCCAAGAGAAACCAGAAGATTAATTTTCAAATGCGCCCTTGTACTCGAAAGTGAAAGGACCAAATTATTGCACGATGGAGGGACTTTCGAAGTAAGTTATAAAGAGATAAGAACAAAGATAAAAAAACACGAAATTTAAATTTAAATTGAAAAATGCAATGACACAACACGTAGAAAAGAAATAGTTTCTTCCATATTAGCCAATTACAAATTTACCCAAACGAAAATTAAGTAGAGCATGAATTTTAAAATGGATAAAATTACATGAAACTCTACTATGGAAATCGAAGTATTAAGCACCATAAAAATATATACGGTAGACTTAGTGGGCTTGTTGATCATGATGTAAAAGTCATTCATTTTCTAGAGTTGACTTAGTGTATGTTTTGTATTCAAATAGAAACAACAAATTTGTTTAGTGTAATTGGTTATAATCATTGTCTTTGTTTGAAGAGACCCGGTTATTTGAAATAAATCATTAATTGTAAAGACAAAAATATCCTTCCTACTTTCACTCTCGTTGCAGAAAATTTGAAATGGAGAAAATTACACAAAACTCTACCATATATTAATGGAGGATTTGATAATTATACGTAAGCTTCTTTTTTTTTTACAGTAATAATTATACGTAAGCTCTATGCTCAAAGAACATTTATATATTTCATGGCTCCAAATTTGCCAAATGTCACTGTAAGTCTGTACTCTGTAACAACGGAAGAAACTCCATGTTGGATTCTTTCGGTTCAATGAAATTCACAAAATGAAATGTCAGTTCTCTCTAAAAACACTTTTATGTATAGACCCATTGACCAGCCTGTGCATTTTGGAAGAATCATCCAACCCAGCGGGTGAATGAATGAAGTGCTTATTCATCCAAGCTGATATGGTTTAAAAGATTCTCCCACAACGGCAAACGACGTAGCAAAATTTTCTATATTATCCTCCCAAACCACTCCAGCTATACAACATACTAATACAATTATACAAACTCCATAATGCAACCATAAAGGCCTTACTTAATCTAATAAAAAACTGGTAAACTAATAAAGATTAGCAGGATAATCATCATTAAGGTCATTAATCCTCTTGAACGTCTCCGTTTCTTAATCAATCCTATCTTTCCAGTCCACCAGCTTAGCGAAGTTCTGTTGGGTCGATTAATAATTGTATGCTCTTTGCTCAAGATCACGTTGATAAGGGCTGGGCTGGCCTGGCCGTATAGGCTACAATAAATAACCATATGAAATATACATAATTGATCAGCTACTGAAAATGAATGAATTCCGTTTATTTTTTCGTTTATGGACACAAATACCCCTGTGCAAAATTAATTCCAATATTTTTAATAGTGTTTGGTGTTACTTGCATCAATATGATATTATGATGTAATATTATTCTGTGTATAGTATATCCTACCACAAGTCACTTAATCTAGTTGAATAAATTGTACACATTTTATGAATGTTGATGTTCTCTGCATCTGCTAATAAGTTGAACGGACAATTCATTTCATAATTAAAGAACGAATCGAACCTAAATAGAACCAAATATCGAACGTTATATGAAATCCGCTCAATAACGTCTCCATTGAAAATGGTTACCCGGCTTAATGGATCTGTATACCAGAGGACTTGTGAAGTTTAAGCAGTCAAACAAGGCTGCAGAAAGAGAAAGACTTAACTGTTTTACTAGATACGATGATGAACAATTGTCAGAGTACCTACGGACGTGGCATCAAGTTTATGGCTCATAAATAGCATATCCGCCATTCTACTGCCACGTGTGGCCAAAAATGGCACGAGGTGCACATGTGTAGTGGGTGTAAGACCCGTTGGACGGAGGGCCGGGCCCAGCAGCGGAGGAAGGGGCGGCCCGGTCGGCCCACAATTATTTAATACGCAGGATATGTCTATTCGCTTCACTAGGTTGATTTCATCTATAATTCAATTACCACACAGGTTTTCCTACCAGCTTTCGCATGCAGTGGTGTAAATAGTAAATTGTAATTGTACAGCAACATCGGGACAGCGTACGTAACATTGATTGTCCTTTCCCGTCGCCTAAACCTTACATGCTCAATTATCTCTCATAAACTGAGATTGAGAAGAGATCAAAAGGGTTAAAAATTAGCGACGTGATATGGTTTCACTTCCATTATTATTATGAAAAACATCGAGATATTGGTATATCACGGATGATCCCTGTTCCAATAACTAAACCATATCCAAATCATATGACTAAACCATATTCAAATCTTGGAACAAACTTTTAATTACCATTATTTAAAATAATAAAAACTACCCAGACCATGTAAATTACCATATAGAAGTCTGCAATCCACTTCACCACTGCACTCCAACAGTGGCCGCCGGCTGGGCCTCCATTATTCTAACATGGGCGGTGGGTTTTTATGAACCGTTATCATCATTTTCATGACAACTATGAAAAGCACTCCCCCAAAAATGGCATTTTCCGACCAAAACGACAGCACATCTTCACCTAGTGCAAAAAACAAAACTCCATTTTCCTACCCATTTTCTTTTTCCGCCTCCCCGCAAAAATAATTGGTAATGGTCGGTCGTAGGATAACTCAAAATAAACCCCCTCCACACGATCCCCCCTCCTATAAAACCAACTCACCACTCTGCTTCCCCTTCTCATCCTTCCAAACAACTCCCCACAAGAAAAGAAAAAAACAGAGCTTTTCCGGCAGATTAATTCAGTGAGAGTGAGAGAAAATGGAGGGAAAGGAGGAAGATGTTAGACTGGGAGCTAACAAGTTCAACGAGAGGCAGCCGATTGGAACGGCGGCTCAAACCCACGACGACAAGGACTACACGGAGCCGCCGCCGGCTCCCCTGTTCGAGCCAGGGGAGCTCACTTCCTGGTCCTTTTACAGGGCCGGAATCGCCGAGTTCATCGCCACTTTCCTCTTCCTCTACATCAGCGTCCTCACCGTCATGGGCGTCGTCAAGAGCCCCTCCAAGTGCTCCACCGTCGGCATTCAGGGCATCGCTTGGGCCTTCGGAGGAATGATCTTCGCCCTCGTTTATTGCACCGCCGGAATCTCAGGTCCCCTAATTAAAAATTAAAATCCAACTTTAAAATCAAATCAGTTTCAGCCAAAATTGAATTGGAATCTGACATCGATCGTTTTTTACAGGGGGCCACATAAACCCAGCGGTGACGTTCGGGCTGTTTCTGGCGAGGAAGCTGTCGCTGACGAGGGCGGTGTTCTACATGGTGATGCAGTGCCTTGGCGCGATCTGCGGCGCCGGAGTTGTGAAAGGGTTCGAAGGGAAGCAGCAGTTTCAGCTTCTGGGCGGCGGAGCTAACTCCGTTGCCGGTGGGTACACCAAGGGAGATGGGCTTGGTGCTGAAATCGTCGGCACTTTCGTCCTTGTCTACACCGTTTTCTCTGCCACCGACGCCAAGCGTAGCGCCAGAGACTCCCACGTCCCGGTAATTAACGAATTGACCCGCCCAAATCGCGTTTTGTTATCGGTCTGTTTTTTGTTTGGATTGAAACTAATGGTGTTTTTGGTTCGATTACACAGATTTTGGCGCCACTGCCAATTGGGTTCGCGGTGTTCTTGGTCCACTTGGCGACAATCCCGATCACCGGAACCGGCATCAACCCAGCTCGGAGCCTTGGCGCCGCCATCGTCTTCAACCAGGACAAGGGCTGGGACGATCACGTTAGTTTTCCCGACACTTGAGTCCTAACCTTTTTTTACAAATTAAGATGATGAATCAATAATCAAATTCTTTGAACTGAATTTGCAGTGGATCTTCTGGGTGGGACCATTCATCGGAGCAGCGCTGGCAGCTCTATACCACACGGTGGTGATCAGGGCCATTCCTTTCAAGAAGTGAGGCCTTGAAGATCAACGGCCATGATTTGCTTTTGCTTGTGGTGCTCTGTTTTGATGCCCTGTAATATTTAATAAAAAAATCTCGTTTTCTTATTTCTGCAAGTGAAGTGAAGTGAACATTTTCTCCCCTTATGTGTTCTTATTTTCAAGCTGTGAGGGGGGAAGGGAATATGGCGAGTGGTGAACATGGGTGTGATGGATGGTGGGCCCACAGCTTAAGCTGAGGGATGGGCCCCCAGTGTTTGTATGTATTTGTCATGTGGGCTGTGGCTATGGGCTATGAGATAATTGAAATGAAATGTCATTTTCCGTCTTTGCCGACCAGCAAAAAACCTACTATTCTACTCTCTCCCCTTATCTATCGTGACGACGTCCATTATTTGACCTCTATTAATTGCAATTTGTTGCGCTGTGCTTTGCTGGGATTAGGTATGGTGATGGATAATTAGGGATTAGGTGGCTTGTTCCAGTTGATGATAATCGAGTTGTCATTGATTATTGATAATCGGGGTCATTTAGATTGGAGTTTTTTTTAATCACTTTCAAGTGATCCATTTTGATGAGAATGACTATTCAATAAAATTGCACTGATATTCTCGGATTTCTTGAAGTAATACAATTTGTTTTAGAGATTTGAATTGTTTTGAAAGGTTTCCGATAAAAGTTTATCATACATATGACTTTCTCCACATATTTTCTAGTGCATGAACATTTATGAATATTGAACATGGTTGTCACGCCGGCCGGCGTGTCACCGGTTGTATCTGGTTCAATCGATATCGGTCATAAGACCGGCATGACATCACCAGTATGACCGACATGATCGATATACGAATCTCTAAGTAAAATGACATTATTTTAGTGAATTTAATTGATAAAAATTATTTTATTATTTATTTTATGAGTATAAAAGTTAAATATTGATGTTATTTGTTGGATTCAAGTATAAATGTTTAGGTATTGACGTTAAATGTCATGTTTAAATATGAGTATTTATAATTTTATTTGTAATATTGACCGACATGAACCGGTATATGCCATCGGTTGAACCATTCCACTTGCTAAACTGGCACACTAACATAAACCGTTTTGACAACCTTGATATCGAACTCAAACAACACTTTTGCACTATAGAGTACAAAATTGTACGCAAAATATATAGAAGGTAATAAAGAAAGACTTATTACAAGTTACAATACACCGATAATACACGGACCTCAATTATTGTATCTTGTTTATTTTTTTTTTTTTGGTATATTGCGTATTAAAAGTGAAATAGAGACACTATCTTGTTATTATAAAAAAAAAGTGAAATAGAGACTTTCATTGATACTTAACAATAGACAGGCTAGCGCTAGTGCTTTGCAAGGTGGAGTCTAGACTCTAGACCGTTTGAAATCACTAGAGTTGGGAAGGGTCTGCCGAGTACTATCGGGATAAAGCCGAACCTACTTATCCAGGTTCAGAAGAGTGATCAAGAAAATGAATCATGAATGACCAATCTTAAATGTGAAGAGGCGTCGCCCAAATCTCTTGATTTTGGTATGCGGAATTTGAAGTAATTTGATTTGTGATTTTGCCATGTACACCAATCTCAACATCTTTTGTTGTAATCAATCTTTACATGCCAATACAAATTTTGGAATTGTTTAGCAAACATGTGTTGTAGAGTACAAGAATTTAGAGAAATCACGAATTTTACAGCAAAGGTGATGGGAATTCGTGTATTGTTAAGATTTGATGACTTCGCAAAGTTTTTCTTTTTTCTTATTTTGGTTGCAAGTATGTGGTAGTTAGTGGATGGATTTTTGAAAGCTTTTAACTGTGGCAAAATCTTTGTAGAATACACGTACCCATTGACTGTGACATTAAATAAGGTACAAACGATGTGATGATTGTACAAACATTAGATAGAAAGAACAATCTACACATAATATAATACGCCGAAGGTAAAAAAGAGAGCCCCATTTCAAATTTCCTGCAACGAGAGTGAAAGTAGGAAGGACATTTTAGTCTTCACAATTACTTTTTTTTATTCATTAAAAAGACACGTACTGGGATTCGAACCATGACCATTTTAAAGAAAAGCTAAGATCACAACCAATCACACTAAGTACATTTGTTGTATCTTTCTAAATTAAAAACATATAATAGCAGGGAGGAAAAAACCCTTTCCCCATTTCAAATTCTCTGCTCGAGGAGCGTTTGTAGGAAAGGTAGAATAGGGAGTGTCAATTTTTTTCTCTTTCCAAACGGGCCAACTTACAGTACACATGCGAATTTAAACGGGCCCAGGAGTGTCAATTTTTTTCTTTAAGCCCTTTTATTTCTCTGTTGTGATAAAATATATATGAAAAGGAGTTGAATGCATGGTATCTAATGAGCTAATCGCTAACCATAAAATAAAAGAGTTGAATGGGCCTGACCTACATGGGATTTGGCCATCAAGTGAAACAAATGAACATCATTGGTTTGTCATTCTAAAACAAGCTATTTTCTCTGACATAATATATATTATGCTATTATTCTATATCTTATTGGCTAAAATATAATGTATTTTAGAGTTATTCCATGGTTCAACCTCGACCAACCCAATTAGTCTAATTTTTATCATTTCAAATATATATTTTATAATTATTTGATATCATAATGATCAAATTATAGTGTATTTTATACGGAGTCGTTTGGTATTTGTTAGTAAAAAACTAAACATAAAAGATCTATTTAGTTATTTTAAACATTAAAACGATCCTAAATATTTTCAGTTCCTTTTGAATTTCTATGGTTTTATTCCCGAATAAGTGATGTGCAAATGGCGAATTGTAGTCGTCTCTTTTCTTTCACTATTTTTTATTTTCAAATAGAAATTAGAATTTGGCATGGGTCGGTCAAACAGGCTGAATTTCAAGTTTTGGCCCGTTTGTTTTATGCATTGCAAAATTATTAGCATGTTGATGGAAATGGCTTGGAAAAAAGACATATAAGTTGTACCTTTGCATAAATGTCCTCAAATGTTTGAATGCATTGTGAATCAGTTTTCGTGACTTTTGTGATGGTGTATGTGCTTGACGATTGCTCGATGTTGTAACTGCTTAATTTGAGAGTAAATCTTTTGATTTTCCCTATGAGTTGTGATACCAGTTCTGGTGGTTGCAGCATGTTGTCGTTGTTGGCCTGTAAAAGTTGTTCAGTCGTGATGCTAAATACCTTTCTTTCTTTTTTAACAAATTGTGTAGTAGTGCTATGAAACAGACCACCCATGAACGCGACGCTTATTATGGTCTGTTCTTACTTCCGGTGGTGAGAAATTGTGAATTGAGAATCATATTCGCCTACCGCACTATGTCTGGCTGGTGGCTGCTTACTGTGCTCTCTAGAGTTATGAAACAGACTACCCATGAACGTTACCCTTAAGGGTCCATAACTTTGCGAAAAACCAAATTTAGGCAATCAAAGGTGGTGGATGTGTGATGATTTTTTATGGCTTAATTGTTTGTGAATTGGATATCTGATCTTTGTATGATTAGAGGGGATGTTTGCTTAATAGAATAATATATTTTAATTCATGTTTATTTTTAACATGAACTTTAGTAACTCAAAACCTTCGAGACACATATCACCCACTGCATTGTATCATTTTCCCTGGGTGCTTGCTGTGTTGTCAAACTTCTTTGCTGTTGCTGCTGCTTTTATACTAACAGGGGAGTTAAGAACCCATGAATGTTTCCGTTTGACACAAACAGGAGGAATTGCTTCTAAATCGTGCACTAAAGATGATTGGAGGAAACATTTCTGTTGCAGTTGATATACTGGAGACCAGAACAAAAGCAATTTATCACATCAAAACCAACCATATGAACTATTAGCATTGTTGCTTTACTCTTTTTTCGTGGTTGAGTCTCCTTCAAAAATTTTAGTTTGATTTTAGAAAATTTTGCTTCTGCAGTCCTGTCTTGCCACCAACGCGTTCAGTAGATGGAGATGGCAGAGGCGAAGGCTATTTTTGTGTTGTTGTTGCTGGTTTAGGGATCGGTTTGTGAAGAAGAGGGAGAAGAGAGGGGGAAAGGGAAATGCAGGAGAGGGGGGTAACTCTTTTCTCCGACAAAAATGGAGTGAAGAAAGGAATTATGATCAGTAAGAATATGGTTATCTTACATAACGGTCTCTATTCTGTTTGAAATGAGCTTGGGAGGCAGTGTTAAAGACGAGCTGCAACCAATTCATAGTGAGAAGAGAGCTATGAACTGTGATCATGTCTTATTTCAAGTTAGAAGGTAGTTTCAGTATAAGGATTATTTAATTTGACAAGTTGTTTCGTCCATGATTCTTGGTAGTTTCAGTGCCATTCTAGCCATTGTTTAGTCTGTAATTTTTGAGAATTGATGTGCGAGTAATGACTTTCACTTAGCTTCAATTATTATGTGTGTATTTATTGGCATGTGATAGAAATCTCTTTTCCTTTTCTTTGAATTCAGTTTCATACTCTAATTGTATCATTTGTACATAGGCAAATCATGCTCGAGATGACTACTCGCTAATATGGCTGGTGCAAGGAACGAAAGCCATCATTAGAATTCAGACCGACAACGGGGAGGAATGCCCAGGACTAATTTAATGATGATTGATGATGGTATAATAAAAACTGCAGTCTGCATCAGCACCAATTTCTAGGCCTAGGTAAAGTTATTCAACCCAGAACTCTGCTTAGCGCTAAAAATTTCCCTCGCCCAACCTTGATCCTGTTTGACCCACTTCTGAAGAGTCAAGATATATGACTAATCCTCTCCGTTCGTATTTTCTTATTGACTCTTTCTGACCCTTTAGGTTAGGACGGGTCGGGAAGAATCAGATTAGTGGGTTGGTCCTAATAAAGTGGAATCCCAATCCCTTCATTCTCACTTGCTTTCTCTCCCATTCCACAAGTGGGTAACATACAGTAGTCTTGCATGCGGAAGACTTGCAGCTGGCAAACCCAGCTTTAGGTACCAAAGTTTATCCTTTTACTTCGTTCTTCCATTCCCATTTTGGTTTTAAGCTTTACCAAATAATTGGAGCTTTGTTGGGGTTTTTCGAACCTATTACAGAAACCAAAGATGACTCATGTATGCTACATTGTTCGTTATCTTGATCGATGCTCTTTACTGGTGAATGAGTCTTCTTTCTTTGTCGGTGCATCATACTTTAATATTTTATAACTGTTTTGTGAAGTAGAAATTGTAGTGGTATAACTACGACAAGATGGTAAGTGGTAACTGAGAAAAAAATACCAGCTGTGATTTGATCGGGCCGTGGAACGATGTGGAAGATTACTGTGATTTGGTTGTTCTCAAGTTATTCTTGCCAATGGGTTACTGAAAGTAGTTGGTCAAAGGTCGTGACTTTATTTATTTATGGAGTTTCTGAAGGTTTTGTGAGGCAAATATACCTTCCTTTCTTAATGTAGATATATAGTAGGCAATTATGCGTTCCTTTCTTAATTAATGTACATATATAGTAGGCAATTATACGTAGTTGTTGGATGACCCATATATTGCTAGAACTTTCGGATGGTTGAGTTGCAAACTCTTTTGGGCCATCCGGACGAGGGATTATGATAATTAGGAATTTATATGTAGTATGTGTGGCAAATAGTTTGAGCCCCCTCCAATTTACTAATGACTGTTCCAAACCCAAAATTGCACAATAGCTCAATTGTTGGGCGTGAATTAAACAATTTTGTATCAGGATTACAGCTTTGGAAATGTTAATATAGTCAACTGATTCTCCTGAGTTTTGTGTTAGAGCTTATGAACTTACAGGTGATGCGGATTCAATGGTCTTCCGCAGTATGTTGGTAGGATATATGCAGTATGTTGCAGTGTGAAAGTACTTTTGTTTTATATATGTTGGTAGGATATATTATGCTTCCTTTGTTTTAAAAATTGATGTGCTCTTTTCTGTATACACCAGCAGACTTGCCATTTTCCCAACCCATATGTTCATGTCCAAATTATCTATTTGCGACATGTAGGCTGTAAAGCAAGAACCGGGAAGTGTTGACAACTAAGTTTCAGATGCATTATTTGTTTTATAAAGGGTCAAACTGCAGCTTCGGAAATGTTAATAGAGGTTAACTGATTCTCCTGGGTTTTGTGTTAGAGCTTATGAACTTACAGTTGCGGTGCGGATTCAATGGTCTTCTGGATCTCGATTTAAGATGCCCCTCTAGAAAAAGGATTCGTCTAGCATTTGTCAGTTGTCATCCTATTAAATATTAATATTTGTTTTTTTTTTAATCTTGGGAAGCACATAGTATCAGGATTGCAGTTGATGTCGGGCAAGTAAATTCATGAAGAAATATGAATTGATGGACCGGGTTGTGTAAAGTGTCAATATTATTTGCCAAAAAAAATATGGTACTTCCTTACTTTATATAATTTATATGTATTTTCATCAACATTATAGTGCTTTTAAATGTATGAAATACTTCTAAATCTTTCGTGATGTAACTGTGGGTATCGATACTAATATTTTTTAAATGCAAAATGACTGACCATTACTTAATTATTACCAAAATCTATTCATAATGATTACTACACAACAGACCAACGGGCCGAGCAAAGACGCATTCAAGACGCAAGCTGATGTGTAGATATTCGCAACAGTTCTGCGACCAATTCTTTTGGGCTATCTCCGGTCAAGGGGCCGGGTAATAAGCTAGTTGTATTATGAGATGTCATGTATAACGAAAATCAGTGGCTAAATGCCAAACCGCCCAATGTTTTATGTGCAAGGAAAACCGAAGAACCCGGAGCTTGGGCTGAAATAAAAGCCCAGAACAGTTATCGGCTGGACATGAACAGGTTAAACTTGAAGCCCAAATTCAATACATTTGGGTTTTTTCATATTTCCTAGCCCAATGATGATAAACGTGGAAATTTACGCAGGGCCTTAGCCCTTAGGCAAGCTGTAACTCGCAACTGCAAACTGTTCTGTTGTATTGCTCAGCGCCAAAAACCCTAGATAATCGATCGTTCTTCCGCTCTCCTTCTTCCGTCTGCCCCTCTCTGCTTCCATCGAGATCGGAAAAATGGCGACGGGCGAGCAGACAGTACTCCAATTCGCACCGACGGCGTCTTCGACTACCTTGTCGGCGAAGGTGCACCCGCTGGTCGTTTTCAACATATGTGACTGCTACGTGAGGCGGCCGGACCAATCTGAGCGGGTTATTGGCACATTGCTGGGATCCGTCTTGCCTGACGGAACTGTTGATATCCGCAACTCTTATGCCGTTCCTCACAATGAATCTTCCGATCAGGTAATTCTCAGCTTACTTTCAACTTTCTGAATCAACGGGGGCTGTTAACGGGCGTAGAGTTTAGGTCAATCGAATTTCATGTTCTGAGACCATCGATGGTGTGATGTAATACACCATCGATTGTCTGCGGTGAATGTTTGGATATGGAGGAATTATAGATTGAAATGAGGAATAACTATTTTGCGACTAAGTCTAGTGTTCACGGATAGTGGGATTTCTGGAGCTTAATGGGCTCTGCTGTTAGACGAATTCATGGCAGCTGTATGTGTCAGAGTTTCCTGTAGGTATGGATTGGAAGGGGCTGTTTCAAATAGACTGTAACTTTGGGGATGATAAAATTCTTGACGTTTAGTGTTCCCTTCTCCTGGGGTTTTGCAAGATGGAAATTTTTGTTAAATGTCTTTTGCAGGCTGTATTAGGTTTCCTTGTTTGGTTTACCAGCTATGGTGTGTTTCTGATTTTAGCTTATGATAGTTTGCATGGTTTTCTGAGCTTTTGTTTCAATATGCAGGTTGCATTGGATATTGATTACCATCATAACATGTTGTTGTCTCATCAAAAGGTTAATCCGAAGGAAGTTATTGTTGGCTGGTAAAATCCCATTTCTATGTTTCCCCTATATTTTGTTACTCGCGATTCCTTATTGATAATTTGATATGAAGCGCAATAGAGTTCCTATACGAGCTTTGATGGTAATTTAATTAACTTTGCTGGTCAGAGCTTTTGAAAAACCCAACCTTGGGGCTGGAATTCCTGTCCTGTTAATACGATGGTTCTCTTTCTTTTACTATATGAAATCTGAGCCTGATAGGGATGTGCTTTTGCACTTTGTATTGCTCTCATATTGCGAGGTACATCTGTGTTAAATTACTGTTCTTCAATTATTGCACTTAAATCTAATTATTATTGTGCCAGGTATTCAACCGGTTTGGGAGTCAGTGGTGGGAGTGCACTTATCCATGACTTCTATGCTAGAGAAGTTTCCAACCCTGTTCATCTAACAGTTGACACTGGGTTCAGAATGGGAGCGCCTGCTATTAAAGCTTATGTGTCTGTTAATTTGTCCCTTGGAGACATTCAGCTTGCGGCACAATTTCAAGAAATCCCACTTGATCTTCGCATGATTGAAGCAGAGCGGATTGGATGTATGAATCCTCCTAACTGAACATATTGCTACAGATGATCCAAATGCAAAGTTTTGGTTGAGTAATGCCACTACCGCCTAATCTATATTTGTTATTCTCTTCTCCTTCTATATTATTTTGTAGTTGACATCCTGAAAACAACAATGGTCGACAAGCTACCAAGTGATTTGGAGGGGATGGAAGCCTCAATGCAGCGGCTACTTGCACTGATTGATGATGTCTATAAATATGTTGATGATGTGGTGGTGAGTTAAGATAGTTCCATCCATTTATCTCTTATTTCTGCACCCGGTTCAAGCCTCTGATGCAGTGCTACTACCTGCTTTCTTCCTTGTTCTCAGCAAGGCGAGACTGCTCCCGATAACAGTGTAGGAAGATTTATATCTGAAGTCGTTGCCTCACTTCCCAAACTGTCTCCCGCTGTATTGGATAAGTTAGTCAATGACAACATGCAGGTAAACCCATTTTTGTTCATCTGAGAATAACACCGAGTATTTCAACACTTTATTATATAGTGGTTCTTGTTCCTGACCATGGTTCTTGTCTTCCCTTTTCACAGGACCATCTGCTCTTGCTATATTTGTCGAGTATAACAAGAACACAACTCAGTATAGCCGAGAAATTGAACACAGCTGCCCAGATTATCTGAAGAGCTCTCAGGGTTTCTAAGTTCTGGATTTTTTTGACGCATAATGACAGCATCGCCAGAGTTGAGTATCCAAATATGAGGAACCAATATCGATTTTGGATAGTGTTTTTTTTGTCCTTTTTAAGTTGATCTCAATGATCCTGGTTTAGTCCTAATCACATCTATGTACTCTGTAGCCTGATGGTAAGAAGCTTGGTTCGTTGCATTGGTTTCGAGATTGTTGGTGTCTATAAGTACCTGCCTTATCTTGATTAGGAATGGCAAATTAACCTATTACCGTGGTACCCAACTGAATCTAAATTGATTTTTTCCCCATACAAGGGTGATATAGGTTTATTTTTTGTGATTAGGTACTGCTTAAGGGATTGAAACCCCATATTGGTTACTTTTAGTATGGCATATTAAGTTTCTGCACAATTTTAATTAGGAGTATAATTACAATTTTAAAGCCATGGTTCCTGGCTCCTGATCAGGGTATTCCCCGCAAGAAACGCTCCTTATTCTTCAACGTAAATCTCATGGTGCGCAGCTTCCAATCACAGATAACAGGCCCGAGCTCTTCCAACCACTGAATTCCCAGTATGACATCCCCTGCAATCGGCAGAGCATACAGAGTAACCGAAACCTCCAACCCTTGAATATCCATCACCACCGCCGTGTATTTAGTTCGACAAGCCAGCTGCTCGCCGTTCACCGTTCCAAGTCTCAACGGTTGTACTAGCGGAGTTGCTTTCAACTGAAGATCGACTGCTAAACGTTCATTAATGAGATTGATGTTAGCCCCGCTGTCAACAAGCACGGTCACCACCTTTGTCCGGTTAATATTTGCGCGGAATCGAAGCGTAGCATGTGGTGACCTTGCTTCAAGCTTCGGTGGCGGAATCACTGCTTGCCCGAACGGATGCCGCAACTTCACCGCCGGGAAATGGTTGAGGTAGACATCGGAGATGCTGCTTCCGGCGAGAGAAAGGCAAACCAAACTCAGGCAGAGCTTCAGAAACTCCATGGCTGTTTCTTCGACACAATCTTTCCACAAGAGTTGAGAGCTGCTTCGTAGTGTGGCTGGCTGGCTGGCTCCCCAATAAATAAAATCCTTCGCCGCCTTATTTAATCCGTGTGTAATTAGGAGGTTTAACAAGTCCGCTGTTGGAAAGGAGAGGCTTTGTGTTTCCTTTTAACCGTCTTTTTTCCGACTCCATATTGAATATGGATTTAACCATATATGCGGGCGGCTGCGAGAACAATATGTTGACGTCCTATTAATAATGATTCAACACATCCACAAGTGTGATTTATGACAATTTTGTTTCAATTTAGTTAGTAGTGAATTGACAGTTTATACTTCGGTTGTTTAAAGATTTTTAGGATGAAATCAATACCCGTTAGTACGAAATTATTATCTTGGTTAAGCACTACTCAATGGAAGAAACTGCATTCGATGTTGTTTCGGTTATGGTTATTTATATGAGTAGATCACAAATGAAATTGGTAAATTGGTTATAGTTATTTATATGAGCAGATTACAAATGAAAATGGAGATTCGTAACCGAAAGGAATAAACTTTCGAAATGGACAAAAAATGGTCCACATCAAGAACTTCCCAAAGGAATTCACTAGTCTAGTATGCAACAATAGTTAAGTTGTTTGATCCATCAAAAGGTTATATACAAACTCTCCATTATCTTTTTTTTTTTACACTTGTCAAAAGTGCTCACTCATTGAGTCCCAAGTCCCAACCAGATAATTAAGAAACCACATGCGAAACTCTATTAGAGAAATTATGGAAGGGACGCAGCTAGCTTAACCCTACTACACAAGCAAAATAAACTTTGTCATCGATTAGAACAAGATAAATCATCGTCAACTCAAATTTCACAATACTGCTTTTGAATAAACCAATATGACACAGAATGAATCAAATACAAATAGATAGTAATAAAATCCCAAACCTATTTGAATAATAAAATGAATACATTAATACCGCAAATAAAATAATCGACTGTCGAGAGTGAGTGACATAACTAGGTTGAACCCTAGGAGGATCCCTTGGCCCACTCCCCAATCATCACGGTTCGAATCAGTCTCTCATTCAGATTTCAAACTCCGCTACCAACCCGAGAAATTCACGAATTGCCCGTTCGTGTAATCAAGGTAATCCACGCAACAAGTGCTCCTTATCCCCCGATTGAAACTTCATAGTTCGCAAGTTCCAATCACAAGTAACGGGTCCGAGCTCTTGCAACCATTGAACCCCAAGAATGACATCCTCTATAATTGGCAGAGCATACAGAGTTGTAGAAACCTCAAATCCTTGAATGTTCATCATCACCCTCTTGTATTGAATTCGACAAACCAGTTCCTCGCCGTTCGCCGTTCGAACCCTGAACGGCTCAACTGGAGCTGCGCTCAACCCAAGTGCCATTGCTAGAACTTGATTGATAAAATTGCGTTCAGCCCCGCTGTGAACCAGCGCAAACACCTCCCTGTGTCTGATTCTCGCGCGAAATTTGATCGATTTTGGTGGCCGATCAAACCAGATATCCATCACACTCGGCGGGGGAGGATTGGTTGCCGGGAAAGGAAGGTAAACCATACTCAGAGTCAGAGATACGCCGGCGGCGGGGTTTAGGTGAAGAAGATTTAGTAAATAAACCCAACCCGAGATCATGATATTTATTCGCAACCTGATTGAGTCCTTTTGTAACTAGTAGACGATTTACTAGTCCTAATCTGTTATTAATTCCTAATTGCCTCGAAATTAATAACACGGATAAAGCTCCCAATGGGCCCTCGCTCGCCAGTTGCTCGGGAGATCGATCTCTAGGAGTGTGTGGGCCAACGGGGTTGGGCTGAGTTTTAGGTTATGACAATTGGGATGGGATTATAGAGATTTTAATTTTGAGGATGGTAATAATTTGTGGTATCCTTAAATTAATTGAAGTTTGGATAATAATACAATACTCTAATCTTTAACATGTGAATCTTAGTAGTTAATTCTCTAAACACAAAATTATTATGTCATGTTAATCGAGAATAACAACGATGATTCTTATTTGTTGATATACATCTAATTATAGGTGTGAACCCATTCATATATTATGCACCTATTAGATACGTTGCAATCACTACTACGGACTTAAATCTTAAACCACTACTACTGATTGTTCATATTTATCGTTTATAACTTTCGATCCATTGATATGCGATTGAAATTTAAGACGCAATTTAAATTGCATCAAAATCAGCAATAAGTCCTAAATCTGATCTGCCTGTAGATTCTCACATAGTTTTTTCACTTTGACATAATTTCCAACAAAAGTACTTCGAACCAACCATAATTTCTTCTAAAACGGCTCACACCAAAACAAACAGTATAAACAACATTTCGAGTTAAGATTAGTAACATCCGTTTACGAATACATTGAACCGAACACCCCATTAAACAGAAAAATAAACATAAATGGATAGCTTTTCTTTGGCACCCTTTTGTCAGCATGAATCTGTGCAGTGTAGGCAAAAAGCACAACCCCACTTCCTAAACAGAAAGCCGGTTTAAGTGTGTCAGTGATCAATGATCTATATGATCGATCCATTGTTGGGAGAGCAGTCCTCCTTATGATTGGGATCAAGAACCCCCATTAATCCTCCTCATCAACCCTAGCTTAGCTTAACTTAGCTTGTTGCCGCCCACTATGTTTGGTTTTTTGCCTTCCTGTTGATCATCCTATGGAGGCTTCTTTTTCTTCACTACACGACAGAAACAGCTGCATGATTCATAATAATGATCTTCAAGCACTACTAGTGAAGTACTCTTACAACTAAAGTACTCGATCTGTACCAATTAGGAAGAATATGGTAGAGATAAATTTATCAAGTGTTATAATTAATTAGTTGATAATAATAATTTCCTACATCCTGTAGATTATTGTCCATGTCTCTGGAATTAGGGTTATAATGAAAATGTATCATATACTCTACATAAAGGTTTTGCGTGGTTAACAGAAGTACAAGTTAAATTTCTATAAACGGTGCCATAAGTACCATGATTTTTTTATAATTTTTCAAAGACGTCGTTAGTGTTTTGTATACGTTAATTCGAAATCAAAATCGTACACAAATTTTTGAAGTATATCGATTTATATGAAACTTAGAAACATATCGAGACGATTCCATTTCCATGTTGCCTGCCACTGTTGTTGTTATAATAATAATAATAATAATAATAATAATAATAATCATGGGATGAATTGTATAGATCATACGACTCTACCTATTGTATTTTGTCGTTAATCTATGATGAGATCTTACTTTTGCCATGCACTAGTAGTTCATCAAAATATGTAAAAGCTTCCTTGGTTCCCTCCATTAGTGTTTGGCGACCTTCCACTATCATGCAGACTGAGGGAAAAAAAAAGGGGGACAGGAAAACTTGGATCGGAGCCCGACCTGGCTTCCTTTCCTGGCTGCGCTTTTGATCGATTATCATCACTTTTGAGCCAAACCCTAGATAGATTTCACGCGTGCATGCCCTTCTTCTTCTTCTCTCCCTTTTTACGCTCACTAATTTAAATGCCATCCTAGTACATTGTTTTTTTTATAAGACCCCAAAATCCTGAATATGTTTTACTGCTTAATAACATGTTGATGACAGGTGATTCAAAACTTTTCTTAATTAGTATTTTTCTCGAGAATAACGGCGAGACTAATAATTTTCGATTGAAAATAACTCTCAATCGGTCAATCGAATCGGTAGTGGGAGCAAAGGAGTGGTGGTGGTGTCTTTGAAGCAATGAGCTGCGATATTGCTACAAAGAATTTTGGATATGAAAGAGGGAAGGAAGGGAAGGTAGGTTTCCCATGCAAAATATTATCTCTTATCTCCATTGATGCAACCCATGAGAGAAAAAGACAGGCAAATCAGACACTTTCACCACCTTTTCCCCGATCGAGCAGTTTGTCTTAACTTCTTCTCCCTGTTTGCTTACCAGTTTTCGTACCTTTTTTCAGTTGGGGACAATTCTAACGGTTATTTTGAGACAAATTTAGTTTTATATCATTTCCTTGTGTCGAAATCAAAGGCTGGCAAATCCAGTTGAAATGCATGCGGTCGATCCTCGATCGATAATCATGGGTGATTAGCTAGCTAGTTAATTTGTAAATTACTACATTTAGGACGAGAAAACAATAATATAAAGACAAATTATATAGAGTAGTGGTGGGTATTAATTTGATAATTAAAGTAGTGGAAATTGATTTAAGGGTCGGCCTAGGAGTTAGAGAAGACAAAGTACCGCGGGCAGCCTGTAGTGCCAAAGTAGAAACAGACAAACTGATGCATGAGAGAACACAAGAACATCCTCGGGAATTTGAATACCAATATATATCTTGAACTCTGCAAATCGGTTTGTGGAACTCAACCTAATTTTTACACACTTCATTTACTTTAATTAATTAACTTAGTTGTAGTTTAGTACCTAGTTGGCTAGCCCTTCTCTTTGGTTACTCATTTCCTGTTTTCATTTTTTACTATAATTGATGATTTGCTCAATCTTTTCCTTTTCGAAGGGTAAAGGAAAAGGTGCGTGGTCTTGACAACTTTTGACATTAATTGCATCTTGCTCTCGTAGATATATAATACTTTGAGAGTGATCATTTTGAACATAAATACACTCATTGTGTTTGGTATTTGTTCCTAGTTTACTATCCTGCTTTTGTTTCGATCGACTAGTAATATCAAGATCGTCAAATTCGTATACAAGATGTTTTTATTATCTAACTAATTCATGAAAATGCTGTAAAATTTACTTTCAGTTGTCCTCACATAAATGCTAAGAGTTCTCTACACGAATTTATTGAGGATCGTCATCGATCCGTTCTCTTAACTAGGGGTGTGAACAAGTCATGGTCGTTCCAATATGAGGGACACCAATATAATTGTTGTGTTTTTTCAATGAAATTGAAACGACTGTCTTAAGGAAAATTGAAGAGCAAATTAAAAACCCGAGACAACTCTCAGGTGAGTCCAACAACTTTTACTATTAGGGCCGTAATGCTAACATGTCAATTGACAACACTCATACGAGTACAACAACCTTAAATATTAGGGCCGTAATGCTAACATGTCAATTACGCCATTTTATGTACTCAACCGTGATTGTGCCTTTATCGGGATATTTATCTTTTTGATGTCCTCTGTGCATGTGCTTTTACGATAGCAAATCAATCAATATAGAAAAGAAATCGTAATGCGCGTCTCGATCGACAATATCATGTGCTCAAGTCAAATACTAACGTTGAAGCTTATTAAGTTCAACATATGATACACCAGGCATTCACATGTTAAGAACCTCATTTATAACAATCATACGGAATTACGAATTGTTCAGTTGTTTGGAAATGTTTGATATTCATGTGACCACAGAACATGCACATTGATGTTACTATGTCATAATTTTTTCAGAATTTCATATGCACTTCCCCTACCTTTGAAAATTGAGTGCACTCCCCCAAACTGCTATAGTGGGCTGATTTCAAATATAAAAAAGGGTTACTTCATTAAGAAAAGTGATAAAAGGGGTTGAACAGAGCTTCCTAGTTCCTAAGCCAAGACACAATAAACTCCAAATCACTTCCCCTTTAACTAATTAAGAGAAAGAAAGGGTCTTGGTCATGAGTTGTGTCTCCACTAAACTTTCAGTTTCTTTTCAAACAGCAAACCTGTCTTCTACTTTATGTTCCCATTCCCTTAAAAGCAGGTTTCAGTCCAGCATTATTTGACTGATCACCTCTGCAATTGCTTTAGGAGATAGAGTCAACCAGCTGATATACAAGAGTATCTTTGTCAGTAAACTTGAGATCATAACCATCCAAGCCAATATCAGACAATGTGAACTTTGACTTTCACTTCCATCAAAACTCATCTTCTAAATAATTACCATTCACAGCCATGTTCTGCAATTATTTATTCTTAAACGCATTGGATCGATCCCTATGTTTTTTAGCATATGGTATTCGTTTGTTTAAAAATCTAGATTTGGATTGTTCTTCCTGTCATGTCTACCTTGGAGTGTTATGGTGGAGATTGGATTACTCACCTTGTCCTGGTTTATGCTATAGAATTCTGACCTTATTAGTCTACCATTGATTAGGCCACATAAAGACAAGAGGTTAATTGTGATGAGCTGATTGTGCAAATTAAAAGACATAACAGGAGTTGTAAACTCAAACCATGATCTGATGAGTTTTGTGGTTTATTTATAAACACTTATTTTTAGGTTAATTTGCAACCAAAGGGAATATATATGATGATATCCCATATTGATTTTTGTTAAATGATTGTGATTCCTAATGTTTGGATTCAAAATATGGTGAATGTTATCATCATTTCTTAGATATTTAATCAATAACACCACAACACGATTAATTAGAGTGTTATGAGACAATAAAAGTATCACATCGTATATACATGAAATAAATCAATAGTACACTTATATATATGTGCTCACCAAACAACATTAGTAAACCCAAAAGTAATTAGTCCCTAAAGGGGACCCTCGTTCCAACAGCTGGTATCAAAGCCTAATTCGAATAAAAAATGGTTGACTATTGAGTAGACCCTCGTTCCGAAACATCGGGATTTGAGATAAGCATATGGTGGATGTTTATCTAGCGAATCAAAGATTCACTTATGAGTTATGACAGATCAACCTATATATACATATGATAGATCCTTGTATCGAGCATAGTCTGCGATACAAGTTGTCATAACTGTTGATGGGAGGACAAAGTTCATGGTCCTATATCTTGAGGGGCGGTTGTTAAGAGACAATTGAAGCACCAGATTGTGTATACAAGAGAAATGACTTGATTTTACTAAAATCTATTAGTATAAGAATTTCGAGAGAAAACTCAAAGATATCGAGTGGAATTGATCCAAGGCGAATAATATCATACTACGAAACACACGATCCAGTATACATCGTAGAGAAAGATGAAAGATGAAGTCACTATGTCCAACATCAATGTTAGAGATAAATATCACGAAGTGTAATTACTAATTATAGAAATTGTAATGCAACATGGATATTAGACCATTTGTGTAAGAAACCATTTTTTTTTATATAAGAAATATTCAAGAAAAAAGGAGGCCATGAAGCTCACTTCTTGTCTGCTCGCCGACCAATACTTTGAACCAGTGGCAGCTTTTGCGCATGTATCCCCACTACTCATCGCTCTCGTTTCCCTCAGCACAAAAAACCAGGCACGATCATATCCTTACAAAACACCCCCAATATTTTTTCCTTGGTGAACTGAAAACCCCTAATGTTCATTGACCTCACTAAATTCAAAGCACATGACCGATCCAAACAATATATATAAAAAAAACGGTTGTTTCTAAGTTCTACTAAAGAAAAAAGAGGGTTGCTAATACAATTTTGATTTTGTATTTCAATCCAAACCAAGTCAAGGAAGGTTATCAAACAAACTCTTGAAGACTCATGCCGGGTTTTGCACTCGATTCAAGGGGAATTGATGCGTCAAGTGGTAACTGATGTCGAGTATATATAAGTTGGTTGATCTTCTTCCAGAATCAAAACACTATTATTCGTGAGTGCATAGAAATATATGAATGGATTGTGAAAGTAAAAAACAATTTACCATAAGCACACATCCATTTTATGATCACATGATTCGTAACACTCAATTAATACAAAAATGTCTACGATATAACCAAATTAATGAAATCCCAAGCGTCAATCATTGAATTAAGTATCTGTGATTTACAAATTTTAAGTATAATACCAAAAATTAATACATACCAACCCTTATCTTAAAACTACAGTAAAAAAAGAATTTTTCTAATTAGGATATTCATCGTAGGGTTCCGAACTTATCATGTCGTCCTTGTATTCTATCTCTATATATATGCCAACAAATGCACACGGCTGGTGAGAAAAGAGAGTACAGTCTCCTCAGAAATCATCAGAAACCACAGACTTCTTTCTTTCTTTCTAGAGAGAGAGAGAGAGAAATTGTGTGTGTGAAACCCATGGAAGAGAGAATGTCAGGATTCTGCATCGCCAAAGCTCGAACCCATCTTCGCAACAGCAACAACAACAAGAACAGCAACAACGATTACGGCAGCGGGACAAAGTGCGGGCGGTGGAACCCGACGGCGGAGCAGGTCAAGGTCCTGACGGAGCTCTTCCGGTCGGGGCTCCGAACCCCCAGCACCGACCAGATCCAGAAGATATCCAGCCAGCTCAGCTTCTACGGCAAGATCGAGAGCAAGAACGTCTTCTACTGGTTCCAGAACCACAAGGCCCGCGAGCGCCAGAAACGCCGCCGCGTCAACCTCGACGACAACGACGTCGTTCTCTCATCCTCGTCAATCATATCCCCACCTTCCAACCTCATCCGCCGCGACGATCCCTTTTCCTCCTCCGCTAGATGTACGTTAAGTCGTCGTTTCTTCGAACCTACTAATCTTTCGTGATAAACCAACAGATTTCAATAACAAGAAGAGATTTATGTATGGTATTTTAACGATTTTCTTACAAAATAAAAACCAAATCATGGATGTGGAGTTTGCACATGCTTTTAAAGTTAATTCCAATAACTCGAGTCAGTTGAAAAATGTCCATATCACTTCCTTACCGGTGTCGTTACTAAATATGGTTTTGTTCATTTTTGGTGCAGATTTTTCAGAGATGAGCCATAACAGGCATCTTCAGTATTATAACGAGGAGCCGCCAGCAGCAAAAGCTGAAAGGGTGATAGAAACGCTTCAGCTGTTTCCATTAAATTCCTTCAACGAGGCTACTGATCATCATCAATACTACTATGGCCGTAAGGAAGCAGCAGCAGCTGCTCGTGGGTTCTCCTGTGGGTTCAGTTCAGAAATGGACCATCCGCCGCTGGATCTACGATTAAGCTTCCTGTAATAATATAAGTCGTGGTTATATGTATGGCTAATATAATGTTGTTCTGATCGAAACAATGATGTAATATTAGGGTTTTTTAATTACTACGTAGTAGGGAAACATCAAACATGGTGGCTGGAAAGTGAGTTTATGATGAGCAGCAGGTGGGAAGTGTCAGTTCTCTTGGTGTAGTGGGTGTTACTAGTGGTGGGTCGTGGTTTCTCTTCAATCAATGTAATAAATCTAGAAAAGGGATGGAGAAATTGACCAAATCGATCGGGTCGTGCCTTTGAACATTCTTCTCTCTGCATGCTTTTTGTTTCTTGTTTTGCGGTAGAAATTGTACTAGTGCGCGTATCTTTCATTTCAAGCAAATATGATCAGCATAATCTTGATTGATAATTATGTCCTTGAAATTGGTTTAGTGAAGATTTTATATGATGGATACCACCGCTTTGTGTGCTAATGGTCTTGAGTAATGTTTTGGAAAACCCATTGTGGCATCGTTCATTTGATGTTATTAGAGAGCTATAAGTGTTGCGTCGGCGTGTCGCTAGTGGTTCACATTTTATTGATTCAAACGGTTTTAAACCCCTTTAAAATTATTAAGAAACTATTTAATAGATTCGAATCTGAGACCTACAAGTTTAAGAATAAAGACTAGTGATTTTACCACTAGACCAAGTTCTCGTTCGTTAACAGAATAGACATAGTAACACACTAAACCATTAAGTATATATATATATATATATTTTTTTTGGGGTGAGAACTAAACCATTAAGTATAAGTATGTAACTAGAAATCTATTGGTTTATGGAAAAAACGTTATCCAATGATAACATGAGTAATTTTCGGGGATAGAAACTATGTAATCGCAATGAAAATAAAACTAGGAAGATTTGAACATTGTACAATCAAGCATATAATTTCTAAATAACAAGGTAAGTTGTAATTGGTTGCATAGATCAAGAATCATACTATTGAATAGCATATCATAATAATTTTGGACTTAGTTTTCCAATTTAGCTGGTTTTGGACTTTCATGAACTGGCTGCACGGTTCGACCCATTTTGAGCGGTTAAATAGTATTTGATCATAGCATGGTATTGTAATATAAATATTTCATCATGGTAGACTAATTACTAGAGAGAAGAAAAAAACAGGAAATGGTGACAAAAAAAAGGGGATTTATTAATTGCTCTGTGCATACGCTGTTGGATTTTGATTTCATCAAATTGTTGGTGTAGTAGTAGTAGGAGGAGGGTCTGCCTGGGAATTTGGAGTGTTTGCTTTTACCGATCACAAAAGAAATGTCTGTCCCTCCTCGGACTCCACAAACAAAGACGACTGCTGCCGGCCGGCCGGTCCATGCACACACATATATAAATATATAGTTGATCCAATATACAATTAATTGAATGAAGAAGTAGTAGTGATTAAGATTTCCGTGCATTGGGTTTAATTAAGATCTTGAATGCCTCCATCGTTGAAATTTCTTGCATCCTTCTACTACAGCGCACAGATCTCCGTTCACATCTGGAGGATTCTCCTTGAGGATTGTGAGAGGAACATCACGTAATTTCCTTTGCAAGTCTCTTAGGTGTGTGAAAGTCTCGACTTTCTGGTGTCCGTTTGCCAGCCAAATCTCACTTTTGAATTTATACGATCCATTCCTGCAGCCTGCCTTGCTGCTTTTGGTGATTGTCAAAAGCTGTCAGTTCACCCCAACCCCATAGATTATATGGATTACACGCTTTAGGGAGTGTTTTTTATCCAAGGTTGTCAAATCCGCGGCTCGACCCATTTTGACCTGACACGGTGAGAAAAACGGGCCGTACGTATGCACCCGTCGGGTCGACCGCTACAAGATACCGGGATGGAGGTTAAGTTGTAACATTTATTTATTAGGTTTGCAGAATGCGCCTATTTTTTATTTTTCTTTTCGTCTAACTCAATATTTGGAATTTTAAGTTGAACATTTGAATATTGATGTTATATAAGTGTGTGTGAATTTTCACCGTATGTTGCATCTAAGTACGACATGTTATTTTGGTGGAATATTATATGTCATAGATGAGTCATGAGATTTGATATAATTTAGGGTCAATACCTTAATTTGGCCCGAATTATACACAAACTTTCTACTTTGGTCTATGGTTTCGAAAATTGCTCTTCCGGCCTGAACTATGTATCATACTTCCTTATTTGGCCCGAAGGCAGGTTTGACCGTTAGATCGGACGGTCAACAGAGTTGACCGTTAGTCAATGCCCAGCTCACTTGGCAACGTCAGCGAGCAGATAATAAAAAAATTATTTTTGGAATTTCTGTATTTTTTTCCTTCCTTATAATTATAATAAACATAATTTTTTATTTCATTTCTTATAAAAATATAGAAATTAAAAAAATATATATTTTATTATCTACTCGTTGATGTGGCCAAGTGAGCTGGCCATCGACTAACGGTCAACTCTGTTGACCGTTCAATTTAACGGTCAAACCCGCCTCAAGGCCAAATAAGAAAGTATGATACATAGTTCAGGCTAGAAGAGCAATTTCCGAAACCACGGGCCAAAGTAGAAAGTTTGTGTATAGTTCGGGCCAAACTAAGGTATTAACCCTATAATTTATTAGGATAAGTACAATATAATGACTCTTTTCATATTCTGGACTAAATCCGTTGACCCATTAACCCTTGACACACTAGCTCGATCGGGGCCGGATCAGCCCGCGGGCTGACAACCTTGATTTGATCTCTCTCCTTTTTTTTATTATCAAAATGTATTAATGTAAAAATGTATGCATAGTTGCATACATAGTTTTTGTTAATGAAAGGATATGTGTCTTACATACACCTAGTGATGACAATTTCAACCCGCCCCGCGGGTATTACTCGACCTGACCTGCGATGGGGCGGGTATTACCCGACCCGCAGTAGCGTGGGGCGGGACATGGATATCTACTTCCGACCCGTCCTGCCCTGTCCCGCCCCGTTCTAGACTCATTTTATCTCAATTTTTTACAATATATATACATATTTCTCCTATTTTGATTTTTCTTCAACTAGTTAGAGTCAATCTTTCAACTTGTTAGGCTCAATTATCCATTCTATTATCAATATTTTTTATTCTTAAAGTGTTTTCCCCTACGTTTTATTGTAAAAAGTAAAATTTACTTGTATTTTTTTTTTGAACAACATGTAAGAATGGGTCGACCCGCCCCGCCCCGTACCCGCGTGGGTTTTACATGCCCCGACTCGTAGTAACATGGTGCGGGGCATGAAAATTGAGGTACCCGCCCCGTCCCATTGCCATCACTACATACACCAACATATAAAAATTATTTTATGTGCTTTAGTAAAGATTGTAATTTTTATTATCTTGAAACTGACAATCTTTGCACGGCTAAAAAGGAAAACCAAGGAAAAAAAAAAAAGAATTATCCCTAATCGTACCGGTAACCACGGTTATCGGTTAAACCGGTAACCGAATCAAAACGGTAGTCGAATGAGTTTTTGTGGCTGGCGGTACACCGGGATCGAATTTGTGATTTACCGTCGGCCGACCGGTATTCCCACACCGACTGGGAAAAGGAAAGCAAGCCGTCACCGATTAGGATTTCTAGATTTGTAGGAATAATAACTAAACGTCGGCCACCCAAAAAGACCTAACCCAAGTAATTAGACCTAAATCGGACTGTTATAGTGTTATTCTATCCCCTGCCCGCACGAGCACGACCGCCGTCGGAGGTTAATCGCTCGACCGCACAGCCCAGCAGCTCGTCCTCTCCGGCTCTCCGTCGATTTGAGAGGTAACCTGTGTTTGTGTAGCCGACACCCGAGTTAGTTTCATTCTTTCAAATTTCAATATTGACTCAATTTGTCATAGCCAGGCTCGTAGCCGAGCACAGTGATGAAACTTAGAAAGGTGTTTGTGATAAATTGATAATTTATATACTGATAAATTGATAATATATATACAGATGGGCCAACGAGCATCTGGCCCAAAAGCCCAATTAACTTTGTCATTGTCTCCACCGAACTGAAGGTATTTCCTGTCCAACAAGCCAGCCAAAAAAAAAACTAAAAGGAAAAAAGGGCCAATACTCGATTCCAGCAGCGGCACTCAGAACCGAATCCGAAATCAGTCTCCGAAGAATTAATCGGAACGAAACGAATCGCTGGCAATGGACGTGATCAAGACCCAGCAAATTGCGGCGAGGCCGATCGAGAAGGTGGTCGTCCACCCGCTGGTTCTGCTCAGCATCGTCGACAACTACAACAGAGTTGCCAAGGACACTCGGAAACGCGTCGTCGGAGTCTTACTCGGAAGTGCTTCTAAAGGAACCGTCGACGTAAGCAACAGCTACGCCGGTCAGTAATGTTCTTCCGCCGGCTCCGCTCTTTTCTTTTCGTTGTTGTATTGGTTTTCTGCGCTTCTTTTCCTTTCTTGTTTCCAGATCTGTTTCTAGCTTAGACAGGTGCTTGTATTCTGAGATCTTTGTTGCTTAGGGTTCGAATTCATATAGCCTTGGTTTTTATGCTATGACAGTTGAGCTGGAAAGGATCTTTTGCTTACACGTTTGGTTGAATTTGGCTGAGAATCTAGGGAGTATAGGTGGCGCCTCTGTAACATTTTGGTTGTGGAGTAGATACTCGCAATTAGGGTTTTGTGGGGAATGTGAGAGACTAGGTTATGATAACTATGAGATAGTTGGAAACTATTGATATTACTTATTAATCTCAAAGAAACGATTTTGATGCATATTAGTGCAATGTAGGGATGGGTGCAGATTTATTCAACTGTTGTGTATTCCAAATTAAGTTTTTTTTCCATCTTTTAACTTCACCTGTATCCTGCTAGCTTCTTTTGCCATTGATTCTAAAGGTCCAATGCTATTCTGATTGTTTATACAATATCTGAATTGCGACTTTTCAGTGCCATTCGAGGAAGATGAGAAGGATCCCAGCATCTGGTTTTTAGACCACAACTACCATGAATCGATGTTTTCCATGTTCAAGAGAATAAATGGTATCAGTTGTTGCAATGTTTATTATTCTTTTGTTGTTTTTTGGAGGGAATGCGGTATTGAAAAACTCTTGTCACTTTTGCAGCAAAGGAGCATGTTGTTGGGTGGTATAGTACAGGTCCAAAACTGAAAGAAAATGATCTGGATATTCATGGCTTGTTCTCCGAGTAAGATAGCCTACTCTGACTTCCTAGTTTTTGTGCTTTTAATTGTGCTTATGCTACATTTTGTTTGTGGAAAGCAAGTAGTCTTGTTCTGAACTTCTCATAGTTTCGTAAAACCATATGGTAGTTCTATGCTTAACTTGAAGGTATGCATGTTGACCAAGAGGAATGTTTTTCTTAGAGCTCTAATGGTCAGTTCTGTGGTGGCGCAGCTATGTTCCAAACCCTGTCCTAGTCATAATTGATGTCCAACCAGTAGAGCTGGGAATTCCTACGAAAGCTTACTATGCTGTGGAAGAGGTCAAAGAGGTAAGGGAAAATTGAGAGTTCGATGTGTTGTTTGGCCTTTATTTTTTTTTTTTTTGGGGTTGAACTGTTATATGCAGAATACAAAAAGGAGTTAAAGATTGAGATGCTTAAGCTAATGTTTGTTAATAATTGCAGAATGCAACGCAGAAAAGTCAGAAGGTATTTGTGCATGTGCAATCAGAAATTGCAGCTCATGAGGTTGAGGAAATCGGTATAGCGTCTCCAATCCAGAGTTCTATTACTTCCAAGTCAAAACATTTTTAAAGATCACCTTGTGCTTGCAGGTAGCCATTTTTTTATACTGAAATTCCATCTCTTTCTTGTGCCTTCTTTATCACAGGTGTGGAACATCTACTTCGGGATGTTAAGGACACAACTATAAGCACCCTTGCAACTGAGGTGACTTGTCTGGTTAAAGCTCATCTGTCTTGTTTCCTTCAAATTTTCTGCTGAGCTGTGAGCACTTATCTCGTTTGTTGGGTTCCATGTAGGTGACTGGCAAACTTACTGCCTTGAAAGGCTTAGATGCAAGGCTCAAAGAAATAAGAGGTTATCTAGACCTTGTTATTGATGGAAAGCTTCCTTTGAATCATGAGATTCTGTACCATTTGCAGGTTCGACTCCTCTTTGGATCCATTTTAACTGATAATCTGAGAACTTTTCTATCCTAGTTGCTTAATATTTTCTGTGGATCTTTTCTCCATGAAAATTGACCGAGAACTGAATTCCTCTGATACAGACTGATTCTTGTTGCCTTGTCTGAGAATTCAGTTCATTTCATGGGGAGGATATAATGTGATTTCCATGTCCTCGTATTCTTAGCTTGGTTTTAGTGTTAAGTCCTTATAATTTGTTGTGAACCCATTTGAATGTCACCTCCCTTTTACTGATTATGTTTTTCTTCTCTCCTTACCAAAGGACGTATTCAACCTACTTCCGAATCTCAACGTTTCCGAGTTGATCAAGGCTTTTGCTGGTAAGACACAAACACAGCTCACTTTTGAAGTAAAGTTTCTGCTCGTATATTCACACCATAGCAATTATGTTGGCAGTGAAAACAAACGACATGATGTTGGTAATCTACCTCTCGTCCGTCATTCGAAGCGTTATCGCCCTGCACAACTTGATCAATAACAAGGTCAGACTACTTATATCGTTTTACTGCAAACAGAACCTGTTGTTATAGTTGTGATAATATCTTTGTTAGTCACTACAACTTGAATCCCTAACACGCATGTTGATGAAAATCCAGTTGCTCAACAAAGAACACGAGAAAGCTGAAGATTCGAAACCAGTCTCTGTACCAACTGCCACCGGAAGCTAGATACACAGGATCAAGTTTGCGGCTGATTCTCGGAGATACTTGATCTTCATCCATTTTCTTTGCGATCGAACTAGTAAGACATAGAATGTTTGGAAGATTTTAGGGATGGTTTGGATGATGGATTGTGTCTATGTCCATCAAGGCAGTGTCAGAATTGATCAATCGACCCACTACTTTTACTTTTATGCCTCCCAGGTTTTTTAAAACATTTGTAGAAGGGTGTTTTTGTTCTATTAACCAGTCTAGCAATCCATAACTTACAGTTGTTAAAAAGATTCGTCAGTTGCTTCAAAATCCATCGTTCCGCACATTTAACCATCCACCAACCAAATACAAGTCTCTTATCCTCTTCCTACTACAGAGTAATAATACACTAGTTTATATGCAATGATCAATCAGTAGTGTCATCAAGATCAGGCTGAACGGACTGCTCGAACTCAGCATCCATGATAACTCCATCCATCACATGAACAAGGATCGCCTTCCTCCTGATATCCACTCTCTCCGCCGGAATCCTGTTCACGACCAGCGTTCCCTCCGAATCCTTCGACACGAACAAAGTCAATCCTGACAACGAATCGTAAGAAACCTCCTCTCCTGGAGCAACCACGCTCGAATGTAGAGCTCGAGGTACGGCTGAGAACCCCAGAACTCGAGAAACTACAGCGTAAGTATCGTTCCTCCTCGAGCTGTTATCATCATCGTCGGCAGCTGCAGATCGTAGCCCAAGGTCACGCTCGAATGCCCTCTCGGAAGGCACAAAGACCGTGAAAGCAAGGTCGTCCGGCAGCATTTGAACCATCATCTCACCGTACTTGCCGAGCTTCTCGTCGCCGGCGACCACTTCCTTCCGGTTGCTGAAGGTCTTGTAGGGACCCATCATTGCTCTGTTCCCGCCGAGGGTCACATCTGGGAGCCGGAGGAGTGAGAGCATGACCACGAAGATGCAGCAAACGGAGACTAGCAGACCCACGAACGCAACTGAGTTCTTCAGAGTGTAGATTCTACCCATTTTTTCAACCCAGATGGTTTCTCATCCATTGAAGCTCCAGCTTCAATCGCCAGATTCCGCGGGACTAAGGATGATTGAGCAGAAGAGTAAGGAACAGAGCAGATTGAACCAAAAGGACGAGCGAGGGATTGAAATAGTGTAAGGAAGGAAGTTTCACCTGGCAAATGGAATGCTCTTCAAGAGAAGCAATTGAAAGCTCAGTTTACGGATTTGTAGAGACGTTACTGCTTTTGATTTAAGTTTGGATGATAATGAAATTTTGGACGCAGAGTTCAGTTGGGATAAAGTTAGGTCTACATCGGATTCCGATGCACCAAATCGGGGAAAGCGCTCCTAAAAGAAATTCACTGCCTAGGGAACTGTGAGTTCTGCAAGCGAACCAGAAGGCCCATGGGCCACAAGGCCCAGTCAGATTAACATTGCTGGTCCAGCCCGAATGGCAGATTGCCGGTACCCGGGAGTCTTCTTTCTTTTGACATGGGCTGCAACATTTACGGTGAATACTGAATACCTTCACAAAAATAAAATAAAATAAATAATTTCAGATTTTTGAACATTGGCGTTACATTGATGACTCAACCACAAGATACACAAAATCTCTCACGACAGAAAGACAACAGGAACTCGAAGTTGTCAACTCACCGTGGAGGTGTGTAATTGAATGTGTTTTTGTCTTATATTGTTCAGAAAAAATTGCATAATGTAAAGGAATTTTACAGCATGTTTGAGTATTATCTATGGTTTGTGATACCGTACTAGAGACAACACCATATTCAGAGATATTACGATCGCGTCTCTATCAATAACACATCAATGTAACACCGTTGTTATCGTAAGATTAAAAATGAAAGTTATATGTTCAACATGCATCATATGAGTAGATAGTCTGTTTAATCTCATAAATTCCATCAATGCGAATATTCTTAGTATCTCCGTCATATCAACCACTGATCTAGTTAGTGATAGAAATTTTTGAAACCCGACGACCAATATTAGATGGTAAGAATATTGATTCTCATATGTTATATAGGATGGAGAATTATATCCTTCTTTGAGAGTGAAGGTACATGCAGTTTGTAACATCTTATTCTCTTTCGACAGTTGAAATACCAACTTCAAGTTTGATTAGAATTTTTTTTTTCCTTTTCTGCAATTTTAATTACACCTAATTAAATAAGCTGGCTGACAGAACCATAACCTCCAGATCGCTACGTAACCTCTAATTTTGTCTTTGATTTTTTAGCTGCAGACGGCCAAAAAAAGTACTTGTTTATTGTTTATGGCCAACACAACATATCCAATCAGTACTTATCATTTTCTGGAGAAAACAAATCTTAGAAATGGATGATCAGCATTCGGTCAGCAAAAAAGGGGAAAAGCCAAACAAAAGTTCGTCCATCCCACTTTGATGGTTTGATTTCATCTCATCTGGTCCGATAAGGTTACTTTCTTCCCGCTCGGTTGTTCTTTTTCTTCTCTCATCTTATTCGAATTGTTCATTGTTCCAATTCAATCTTCGCAGAGCGTGCTAGCTAGATATCCTCTAGCTTGCTGGTAGTGATAACTGATAAGGACATGATATCTAGAAGGGTGTGGGACTGTTTCATTTCGTCCGTTCCAAATTGGGGAGAATCGCGGTCCAACAGTACTGCAAGTCATTTTAGAATTAAGTATTGGGCCGACAGTACATACGGTCTATTTTTATCTGGTTTAAATATCAATTCAGTTCATTTTTCTTCTATATTTATAAAATTAATGGGACCAATGACTGAAACATATTATATTTGGTTCAGTATGGTCCAATTCAATCATCGATTTGGTTTGATACAGTCCGCTACGAAGCAACCCGTTACACACCCCTAATATCGGAATTGTTCATTGTTCCAATTCAATTTAGTAAACACAATCATTTTCTGTTTTTCGTAGTCAAATAATCGAAAAAGGTGGGTTTTTTCTCTCTCCAAGAAAAGTGGTATTTTTGTAAATAATATAAATGAATGGTTGAAAATTTATACTCTAAATCTCCATATTATAAACCATCTACAGATTTTAACTAATCGAATTGTTGAAAAAGGATTAGTGTTCTGCTTTTTATAGCATTGATGGAAAACATTCGATTGAGAATATGAATTTAATTTGTTATCAAATAACATGTTTACTTTTTAACCAGGAGATTATTTAGTGGGTTAAATCATAAAAGATTTCACAGATCAAAATATAAAATCTCTCAAATTGACATCTATAAATTTCATATATTTTAAACTTATGAAACTAAATGCAATGCAAATGTTTTGTAAGAACTCGTCAGGCATGTGCCAATCATAGCAATGAAGTAATTTTGCTATCTTGCCCTAGAATATTTGGTTGGGGTATAAAGCCCAATAAATGCAATGTATCATCATTAGATTCGACAAGGAACTCCACTCCAGGCAACCAGATCAGTGACCAAATCGATCTCGATGCCACTAGCTCAAAGAAGCTCACACCATCACCAGTCTTTTTGCAATTCATATGCTTGGATTGTATCCAAATTCCCACGTATATGACACATTGAATCCAAATCAGTGAAATCACACAATTCTTTTCAATTCACCCATCCTCACCACCCAATATGTGGATTCTTTAACTTTTCTTCCGGGCCCTAATCAACAAGATTGATGGAAGAATGACAAAAGAGTATAACAGTAGAACAATGATCACACCGGCCAGCATAACATAGTGGAATTTCAAATTCCAACTTTGTGGAGGATACTGGCCACTGAATCGATTCAGCCATATCTTATTATCTTGCACTATTGTTTCAATCGTTTTCCATTAATAGCATATGCTCAAATTCCCCCCCAACTTTTGAGTTATCCATAAATGGAGCTTTCTTTATTCTTTTTATTTTCATCATCACTGGGCTTAATGGGGTAGAATCGATCCACAAATTAGGGGGAGGAAATATAGATCCCCTGCTGCTGTCTTCTCTCGTCATGTTTTCTTCACAGGAAAATACAGGAAAGGTCTCAATTAGGTGCACTCGAGTGAGTAATAATTCATTTTCTTGACTTCCAGGGCAATGATTTCTGGCTGAAAAAGAAGGGAAGGAGAAAGTAGCTAAGCTAGGCCCGTTCTAATCAATGTAGGTTTTGATTCTTTAGTCCCATACATGTCTGGAAGCTTTCCCCATTTCCAAGTTCCCAATTCCAGCCTCGTGAGTTTCACATCAGACACCAACTTTTGTAAATCACCATAAGAGATGTGGTTTTTGTAAAAGGGTGGTATATATGACACCTCTAATTGGACAACAACAAGAGGTGATTGATTGTAGTCCGGCAGAGTTATAGTTATTATTTACGTTAATTGATTTTATTGTTTAAATTATTTATGTCTTATATATTGTTTTAGTTTATTATTGAAATATATGTGATCTCTTATCTAAGAACTTAATGTAGATTTTATGGGGCATTGATTTATTATCGGTTAATTTCTCAATCAAATAACAGACACTAAAAATAGTTTTTATTTCTTGGTGTAAGTCAATGCATGGTTTGATTTAAGAACTCATTCAGTAAATCAGTAAATATATACTAAATATTGACTCTTGCCTAACTTACAGTAAAAGTGTGTTGAAAGTTCACAATATTTGGCATAACTACTAATGATAGTTCAATTGTCTAGTTTTAGCTCATGTACTCAATGGAGGTGTGTATGTCTTGTGTAGGATTTTGTGTCAATATTTCTAATTCAAAACACTCGGTTCATTATCTTATACAATATGCATCAATCTATCATTTTCGGTGCTTGGTCGTCTAACTTTCAAAAAATAGTAGTTGTTCATTGGCTTAAAACGTTCATGAGATTTTCTTATAAGTGATCATCATCGTGTAATCCTATATATATGAGAATTCCCTAAACCTTGAACTGTAAATTCTCAATGAGTGAATCATCGACACTGAAGTCTCTAATCTCTAAACGTTGATTATTCTCATACGTTGAGAAATATCCAACATACTACCAGGTACACCATAAAAGGGTTCGGAGAATGAGGGTACATGACTCAATCACTCGAGTAAGGGTATAGTATCATACTCCCAATTCTAATTAATTCTTGGATTAGATATTGTTGCTCTGCTTAAGGGTATGAGGTAACTCTGAATTAATCAAGGGTACCACAGATCGAATTCCTTGTAGATGATGTATGAGGACTATTGCTAATTAATTTAAAGATAATATATGTAAGAAAGTAGTTAAGATCCAGGTCTTTCCCAACAATTTTAATTATTGAGATCATTTGGTTTACTACAATATGAAAACTTGTTCAAGTTCTCACTAATCTCAATATTAACCGTTCAATTAAAACACCTGATATAACACCCGTACAAACTTCAATCTCATAAACCGAGAAATTATAAAACCAGGCCAAAGTGCACGTAACTCACTACTATATATTGGTCTTATCCACTCAACAAAGCATTTCACCTCTTTCAATGAATGCCGCCCATAGATGTATGCATAATGCATGCATGATATTATACAACAAGTCCTCTATCTACATATCTTGGCCGGTTTGCCCACCCCTTTGACTAAGAAAGCCTTCAAATCATAATTCGCAGAAAACTCATCGTGTCTGTCAGAGCAAGAAGCTAGCTAGCAACATGGCCTAGTGGCGCCGATTTCTGATATTGACACCAGTTTTGTTACTTACGAACGCCTAGCTAGTTAATTCATCAAAGCGAGGGATACAATGTATGTTGAATCTATTTATCTAGGAGCTATGACTAGTTGCTATATATATAGGGCTTCGTTGTTGTACTAACCATTGAATAATATATGGCGTTATTCAACAAAGAAACACACACAATATATATATGGCTTTTGCAAATTGCACGGGTATTTGGGTTCCTGGTTTGTAACTGTTTTCCTTTATGAGATTGGATTAGGTTTAGACCACATGGAGAAGTACTATAATTACTTCTCATATTCTCTGTAATCTGCATCTCCTTGACGTATAGTGAAACTGGTTCTCACCTGCCCGTTGACTAACTTACACACATCTTGTTAACGAACCACGTAAATCCGTTTGTCGCGTGTTCGTTCTTGTTCTCATTTTCTTGGTTTATCAAATCCTCCAATTCTCTGATTTGCATTAGCGAGTTTAAGAAGAAAAAAAAGTTATCTATATATAGTGAAATATGGTCTCTCTCAAGTCCGTGGATGGGTAGCTGATGATTAATCACATGACTTCGTCTAACGTTTATTTGCTCGTTTCGTCCATTGTTGTTTATATTGAGAATCTATCATCGATGGATGTATATCGCTAGCTAGCTAGCTAGCTAGCCTGTTTGAATCATCGATCGTGCTATTATTGATGTTGATGCAACAGATACATTAATATAATCAGCGTTGCAATCGGAGCGTGTAGCATATAAGTCTACAAAACCGACGGTAACGGTGGACGGTGACGGTGGTGGTGGGCGCCGCCGTGGCACCGCATGCAAGTGGTAGTGGCCGGCCGCCGGGAAGCTTTCGTCAATTGGCAGTAAATGTGATGAGCATGCATGCATTTTGTGAGCGCTATAATTTTACATGCATGCATGCACAGTTTTATTTCCCTTCTGCGCTGTGAATGATGAATCCCAATCCAACATATCGACGCATTCCTATTAGTCAAAGACTTCATTGTTGCCTTGGCTTTTGCTACTCTCTGTGTCTCTTCCTTTTCTTTTCTCTCTCTCTATATATATATTTTTTTTTTGGTTGGAACCCTTTCTCTTAACAAATCGTCGCATATGAAATTTTTTTTAAGAAATTATCACTAACAAAAAAATTTAATAGAAAACCCCGTTAATTTAAGGGCTCAATGCTGAGGTATAATTTAGAACTCTTGAAGTTGTTAAATGGGGGCAAGGCGACAGTTTTAGTAGTTGAATCTTCAAATTAAGGGAAAAAACCGACTACCAAAATGTGGCCAAATTCGGGTTATCTTATACGCACCCATCTATCAATCAATATATAAAAAAATAAATAATTAAATATACAGGTCATAACGGCGACACTGACATCTACCTTCCATCTTAAATGAATTATAATTGCCGTGGGAGAGAGAATTCTGTTGCATATTGCCAAAATAAATCCCAAATTATGTCACACTTAATTGCGTCGTTTATTCTGATCAAATTGTATTGTTTTCTTGATATTCTGCTAATATGTTTACAAATAGTTTTTAGAGAGACCATCATCAACTCAATAATTGAACTTAAATATTCTCTGTTGCCTGATATATTTTTTTAAGATAAGAATATAGAAGTTCCCTGCAGCCTTTTGTTAGCGGCTCTCTCAACAAATTATGATGCTCTTTTTGTTAATTAGGCTAACAATATCAATAATGACAACGTTTTGTCTTTTATTCATAAAAAAATAACAACGTTTTGTCTTTTACGCACAGAGGAACATGTATGTAACATTTTACACGTACACCTAGCTACTACGTACCCGTTCAGTTTCCAATGTTAGTTTCTAATCATGTGGATCGATACTTCCAATAGGTCGTATAGTATCACCGATAAGTTAGAGAAAATACATGTGTTAATATTTTTGTATGGTCTAAACTTTAATCAAAATAAATATTCTTGTCAATTTTTTCGATCTATAACATCTTAGCCCGAACTATACACCAAAATAAACAGTTTGGCCAAACCCGATGTTTGACCGTTAACTTGACGGTCAAACGCGTTGACTAACGGTCAACGCGCCATGTCACTGCCAAGTCAGAAAATCTTATAAATATTTAATTTTTTTGTTTATTATATTTGGTTTAACTAAGGTATTAGATGATTTTTTTAATTTATAATAATTTAAAATTAGGGAATGTGTTGAAATTGTGAATTATTTTAAATATTTTATGCTGACTTGGCAGTGACATGGCGCGTTGACTAACGGTCAACGCGTTTGACCGTCCAAGTTAACGGTCAAAATTCTGGTTTGGCCAAATTGTTTATTTTGGTGTATAGTTCGGGCCAGGATGTTATAGATCGAAAAGATTGGTCAGAATGTTTATTTTGATCAAAATTCAGGCAATACGAAAATATTAACCCAAAATACATATATAAACCATCAAGTTCATTCTCTCGCGTTGTCCAGCGGGCGCGGGCATAAGAAGTTGAAATGCTACGTTGTTAGAACAATTTGCACTAATTAAATAAACTCTTTGGTAAAAGTAGAATCAAGGTTGTTAGAACAGAAATAAATGAACTCTTAACCAATGATAAACTCAGGTCAAAACTTGTGAAATAAACAATAATTAAACGCGTGAAGAAGTAATTAAACAGCCAGGGTACAAATTTTGACTACTACTTCCTTCCTCTAGCCCTACTAGATAGACAACTATATATGCATAGTAACATGAGTTTATTTAATTGCAAAACGCGGTAGGATTAGCTAGTCAAAATTGTGCAATACGGACAATTGACGCATAAGCAGAAGAAGACGAAGTTAATAAGATATATATAATGCTGCACTTGGAGTTGGGGAGCTTCACTCAAACGTGGCCCAAAATTTTGATCCTAATCTATGATAGATTCATTCAACTTTGGAAGCTTCTCAAAATATGACATGCTTGTTGATACATACATTTCATCTTGTGCCAATTTTAAGTTGATTGAGAAAAGCTATGATTTTTTATATATATATGAGAAGAACACAATCATAGTACGAACACAATAAATTCGGATTCAATTGTGAATAAGAGTATTGTTTGTACTCGGGTGGATATAAAATGTGACAGTGATGTGTATTATTTTGTATGAAAAATGAGTTATAGCCAACTTTAAACCCTCCATCAATTGAACGTATATTTGAAAAAGTCTTTGTATAGTTTGTTTGGACAATCAAAGAGAAGTCTAAAAATGATACAACACAATTTTGAAATTTGATGGCCACCTCATAATTTACGGAACATTCAGTACATGAATTAACTTTCACAATTTAAGGCATGTTTAATTTTCTTCCTACAATATGATTCTATTTACGCAAAGAAATAGTTGCAACAAAGCGTGACACATAATATAATTTCCAATTTATGTTTTTTCACATACGATGAAACATACATACATAGCTAGTCTTTACTTTCTTTTTAAGGTATCATTGATACATAGCTAGTGTTTACTTTTGTGTGGTTATAATGCTTAATCGCTTTGTAGTAAACAATGTTATCTTAAACTGCTTTAATTAATTTCCTCGATTGGTTACCTAGCAATAGGATTGTGTCGTGTGTACACCATTGTGGTTTGTGGATGTGGCTCCTCTGTTCCATCCAATGTAAGTGGAAGACTTGGGTTTAAGTTGTTTCGTTTTCCTCGTTTCCTTTTTGTCCCCGCTTACACGACTTCTAAAGTAAGAAGACTAAAAAAAGCACTTCTTTAAACTTGTGTCCAGAATCAAAATGATAGCTTTCCTGACTATAATTGCAGAGAATTCATGGGGTTAAAAAAACATTTAATAGATTTGAACCAATATTGTTGTAATTGAAGAGAGAGCTAAATACTTACTCATTATTTCAATTTTTTTATTTTACATGAAATTTTATATCTACCTTGGAATTGAGGGCTCGATCTAACTCCACCACTGCCTTGAAACCACAGTTGTTGTTTATGAACCGTGTCTGAAATCAAGAGATTTGATCATTAGCTAATATTAGGGGTGTTCAAACGGTGTGGTTACCATGGTAACCGTTTTAACCAGTGTACTATTTGGATAATTTGGTTTGGTTAATTTGGATAATTGGTTTGGTTGGTTAAAGTTGTTAGCTTGTTTGGTTTAGGTGGTTTGGTTTGGTTTCAGACACTCCTAACTAGCCAAACCAAATTAACCAGATAAATAATTAGTTATATATCTAATATATACACATACTTAACACTTTGAATAACCACTCAAGAGTTAAACGTTCATCCTTTTAGACTCATAAAATATAAAGCTTGATATTGTTCCTATAATGTATATTTGTATATGTAGAGTGTAGACCACAACATATGACCGCCTAATTTAGATAAATCTCATACATTACGTTGGATGAAAATTTAAAAGCAGGGTCCTTTTCAGCCTATGAAAATTGCTAAAAGACTAAGTCAATTCAAACAAACACAACAATTCATTAATCCATACCATTGTGATAAATTTTTGTTAGGTGAATACTTCTATACTAATCGTAAGATAATTGTCTTAGTTGCATGTATTTTTGTTAAGGGTCAACTATAACTATGTGTTGATTGTTATGTTTTATTCATTATATAAATTGTGAATTGATAAATTAACCGAAATTTTTATCACTTGATGATAATATTATTTTATATTGGTTAATCTGGTTAACCAATTAACCAACTCGATTAAACTTTAGTTTGGTTAATTTGGTTGTTGTATTAGTTTGGACGGTTTGGTTATGATATTGCATTCCATGGTTAATAAAATTTAGGCTTATTTGGTTTGATAATAACCATGGTAACCATTTGAACACCCCTAGCTAATATAAGTAATAGCTATTGATGAACCATGTCTTGTTGTTCGTAAAATTATTTCACTTGTAGGGGGGAGATAGAGAATTATTCATTATATGTATTTGATTTCATGTTAATTATTTAATTAAGAAGTGGTTACGAGGATGAGAGATGAGAGCGTGAATGAAAATTTGGTCTAGCAGAGCATTTCTCTTTGGTTTTGGACTGGAGATCTCAGGTTCAAATCTCAGCGTCTTATTTCTGTTATGAAAAGTTCGTTTGATGCATTAACTTGTCCAATTTTGGTGTGGTGTAGTACGTGTCTCTATAATAATTCCATAAGAATTATAGGGGGAAAAAATTCAAATTAGTTTCTCTTATCCGGATTTTAATAAAACAAGGAACAAATGTCGCTGTTAAGGTGGTTACAGCTTAATTAGAAGTTAGAACACTGCAGTGCGTATGTAGTAGGAGTAGACGTTTTTGGACGGCCGGTCCAAAAATTCATACAGTGTTCAAAGAACGTCAAATTAGTTAGTTAATTAAGAATCTAATTGAATTTGTCCCCTTCCATTCCATGTACTACTCTTCCCTTCAAAATTCAAAGGTTGTTGTATTTTTAATTACTTAATTATTTATTTATAGCTGGCAAGTAGCAGAAGAAGATGCATTGCATGATAAACAAAACACACGTCCTTTCTCCTCCCATCTTATTCCTTAATTCCCCTTTATTTATTGTATACATTAATTTTTGTCAAACTCTACGACTCCTCCTAACAGTTAGAGAGAGACAAAATTATTCGACTTCTACAAATAATACAATAATACGTATATGAACTCCGCCATTCCTTTCTTCTCGGAACAAATATTTTTTATAATTACTGTAAAAATGAGCTCTCATATCTATTGAAAAACAGTAGCTACAAACAGCGCTTTAAAATCAAGGTAAGAGGTTTCATCGAGAGGAGCTAAGAGCATATACATATAGGAAAAGCCCTCATTCATATCTTTATAAAACACGAATTTGATTCTTGTTACGATAATAACTGAGCTAGTTTGACTCTGCACTAGTTTTTGAAAGAAAAAAAAAACATGTAAGAAACCTTTAGAGAATTATTAGAAAAACAATTGAGTGTTTTTTTTAAATCCTTTCAAAACTCAACTACAAAAAAATGGAATCACCACACACATTTTAGGGGGATAAATACAACTCCCCGTTTAGTATTGTTGCATGTTTTTGTTTTTTGTTGTGTTTTTCAAGATTGGAGAAACCAAGAAAAAAAACCATGTTTAGTTGGGTTTCTATTTTTTGTTGTGAATCAGATTTGCACAAAAGGGCCCAAATTTGAGAAACAACAATTTATTGCTTTGAATTTGATTCTTGTACATGTTTTACACGGGATTCCCGTTTGTTTTCATTAAAACAACCCTCAATTCGAATCCCACCTAAAGCAACAAATTTCCCTTTTTTTTTTAAACTCCCAAACCCACCTCCAAACCATAGTCGGCCAACCCTACCCTCATTTTCTCCCAAACCCGCCGCCCAACAGCTCCCTCCCTCTCTCAACTTCTTCCTCTCGAGACCCAGGCCGCCGATATCGTCCATCTCCCCCTCGTCGTCGATTTCGTCCCTTTGCCTCCGCCGCCTCCCTTTCCCCTGTCGCCCGACCTCGCAACCCCTGCCGCCTCCTCCTCTCGATTCCCGTCGCCGACTTCGAATCCTTTCCCCCGCCGCCACCTCCTCTCTTTTCTGGTTTTTAATTCTAATAGTAGTAATTGAACGCGTTTTTGTTTCTTGTTGTCTGCTTTCATTATTTTTCAGATTATCAACTAAACAGGTTTGTGTTTTCTATTATTTTCCTGTTGTGGTTGTACATCTGTTTACACAACACCACTGCAACCACAACAACAACAAATCGATACTAAACGGGGCCTAAAAATAAAGATTTTGCTTGTTTCAGAAATGAAATTGAAAGATCACCAAACGACATTGACAATAACCTCAGGATCTACCACACCTACTTTGTTATTGAACATCTACACGTTGCATGCCCAATAATGGAAATTGCTTCCAGTCAAAGTAATAACAGCTAGTTGATTCACTAAGAATTAAGAAGATAGGGGTGATTCGGGGACAGGTTACGGTGATTACAATTTTATAGTAATCACAGTAGTTACTAAGGGCAAATTGGGTATAACAAAAAATTTATTAATAATCTTTTTTAATAAATTACATAAATATATTAAATACAATTTCTCTCTCTCTCTCTCTCTCTCACTTCCACAATTTTTCATCCAGATCTCTCTTCCTTCTTTTTCTCAATCTTTCCTTGATTTCGTTCATCCAAACTAATACCGCTGCAACAACAAAACAATAAATCAATACCAATCCATTAAAAAAAATACTACCATTGTACAAAACATCAATACCATTCAAGAAATAAAAACACTACCATTTCACAAAACATCAATACCATTGCAGATTTGATCACTACCAATGCGACAAAATCAATACCAATGCGACAAAATCAATACCAATGCGACAAAAATAATACCAATACGACAATAACACTACCACTACGGGAAAAATGACTACCATTTTAAAAAAATCACTACGGAAAAAAATGACTACCATTTAAAAAAAACATACCAATCCTTAAAGATTGCTGGAGTCCAAATCCATGATTGAGATTCATTTCCCCAGCTCCAACCACGACGAATCCTGATGATGATCAGAGCTTCCCGTGTTATTCCTATCCAACGGCTCCGATTTCACGTCCGATCCTCCCTCCTTATCCTCTCGCCGCATCGGATTCCTCCCCCGTCGTTCGTCGTCTTCTCCTTCGTCCACCTCTGCCAAACCCTCGTCCTCCGTCACTGCCACAGTGTCTTCCTCATCTCTCCTCATCCGCTTGACGCCGATCGACACTCCAAACAGCATCGGGCTCGGATCTGCCAGCTTCGACACGCCACCAACAGCAGGCTCCTCTGGCATTGTCGCGGCCGTTGCCGTCGTTGCGGGCATTAAATCCAGAGGCTTCCCTTCCGATGGGGTTTGATTGTTGTCGCTCACACTGTCGTTGGCCAGGCCGGAGGAGGCGTAATTCGTCATCAGCGAGACAATATTGCTGCAGAGGCCTCTCAATTGAGTCAGCTCGCGGAAGGAGTCGTCGGACAAGCAAACCCTAAGCCATCGTCGGGGAGGGTGAGAGCTTGCGGCTACGGCGGGTTTGGCTGTAGAAGTAGGGTTAGGGTAGAATCTACACATAAATATAAGGGAATGTCAGCATAAAATTTCTGACACGTCAGCCTCTCCTGTTTAAACCGCATGATGCGGAGGGATTGATTTGTCAATTCCGTATCGGTACTGTTCGCCAAATATTGCTGGCCCAATTGCTTTTTTATTGGCCCAATTGCTATTTTTATTGAGCACGTAAGAACTATTTAAATTCTTTGGTTTTTACTTTTTACAACCCCACCACTCACGTCCGTCGCATCCTTTTTATTCAAATTCCTGTTATTATTTTTTGGTGGAAGTCATCTAACAATAAAATAAATTATTTTTTTCTATTTTTTCAGTTCCTCTTTTCATTTACTTTGGTACTACACCATAAAAGATTGATCCAAAACCGTGTTTGTAAAATTGTATTGTACGACGGTCCGATCGGAAAAAAAAATCTTTAACGGAAGTCTGATTGTTAAGTAATTTTAACAATGTGAATCAGTTGAACCACGGTTAAATCATAATTTCACGTAAAATATAATGCCGTCTTTTTTGGTACAAACCTTAGTACAATTTTACAATCTTTATATAAACCAAAAAAGGTTTCATGTAGAATACCAACATCTTTTCACTAAGACCGAAACTTTTATCATGTATATTATTGAATCCAATCCTTTTTTCTTAAGAAGCTGGGTTCTAGGTAGATTAGTTAGATATGGGTTTCAATAAAAATTGGGGTTTATTTCACCAAAAAAAAAGTTGGGGTTTCAATAAAAATAAACTTATTGCATTGTTATAGATAATAGAGTTCGTTTGAAAGTTGTGATTGTTATAGTTTTGTTTATTAAATACATGTTTTAATATTATATATTATCTTTTATTAAAAAGGGGAATCTATTAAAAAATGATAAAGAGGGAAACATAAAAATGTGTTTATTGATTAAGGAAGCATATACCACTCACCAGGACACAAAATAAATTTTTATTAAGAGGTTTGGAAGCCGAAGGTTAGTTTGCAAACCATGAGGAGGATTATCAACATATTAATTTTCTCTTTTGTTACGGAAGCCAACTTACATTCCAGGACTAAACTTTAGCCTACATTGTTTCGTTATTAATTTTTTGTTTTGAAATTATAATTTATACTTAATTTTGTTGCTTTATATTTTCACTAAATTTTGGAGTTCCATTAATTTTTATATGATTATAATTAAATAAATTTTAAAAATATTATCATAAAGACACATATATAATAAACTAGAACATATAATTATCCGGCCGACCGGCAGTGGCCGCAATCTAGTATATAGAATAATCAAGTGTGGTCCTTTTTTTTTCCAAAATTATTCTGAGGCAATCTTAACCATAAGATTAAAAAAAGAGGAAAGAGAAGAAAATAAATGGTGGATACTGATGTAGCCACGGTGGCTACTAGAAATTCAGTTTCCACCCTAACGCATTCCGGGTGATTCGTATCACAAACTTGACTTATAAACGTAAGTAATTAAGGGTTTGAAGTTTTTAAACTTACCGGTTAAAATTTCGATTCTCATCTATCATCAACCTTACGAGTACTAATAACTACCAGTTCACGTTAAATGCAATCATATCAATTATCAACCCTTCATATAGAGTAATTAGTACGAACATCTCCCTCTACCAAATTGATAAAGAAGTAATAAATAAGGCAACCAGTTCGTAAAAGGAAAAATATGACTAACTAATTCCTAAAACTCCTTTTTTCTATAAAAAAAAACTTATTTTCTTCCGTGAGTAAATTTTACCAAATAACCAACATCGTAAGAATGTGAGCAATTTTAATTCCTGGTTCCGTACTTGGTTCGTTGGGCCTGAACTGTCCAAGAACACTATATTACTCGAAACTTAATTTGGCCTCAAAATCAAGCAATGAAAGCATAATAGCATTTATTAAATGCTAACGCCAACGCGAATTAATTAATTACATTCTTAATCCAAAGTAGTTGTTATTGAACTGTCACACACGTGGCAGCTGTACACTTACATGTCAAGCTCAACCATATTAACTTCTTTCTTATAAGATTCCACGCCAGCTCATCCCTTATTCGCCTAATTACCTTCTATTTAACCTTTTTTTTCTTTATATATAAGTTTGTCTAAATCCCTAATTACACGGTGGGCTTTCACTTCAAGCTTATCTATGCTATACACCTTAGCGAAATTTTAATAATATATATGACAGCATTTTCCAAAAAATAAATGAAACGATATGTGAATAAGCTACGGACCACGTAAATTAATATTCGCATAAAGTTCATATAAATCGTATGCAGATTTATAATTATAAAATAAAATAAAAAATCGTATGCGAATAAACAAGACAATTTTGATTAACATGTCATACATACGAATATTTGATTATTTTGTTCCAAAGGGTTCTATATCTTCGACAATAAGAATAATAATGGATTTCGATGGAGATGATTTTCCTTTGAACCAAGATTTTAAAATAGTATATGGTATTTATGTTCCGATAAATAAACAACATAGCAATGTTCTGTTCACCAAATATTTTGTGTGTTAATTCAACTATATTTTGGCGAGACTACCATTCATCTCACATTTCCATTTTATTCAAAATATCCTTTACTTAACTGATAACTAAATTAAGCTAATAATAATCTGTATAGCAATTAGCAGTGGCTTAGCTAGATAGCAATGCAGGAATCAAGTCAACATAGTTAAGTAATAATATAAATACGTGCCTGCTGTATAAAATTATAATTAGAATAAGAGATCGAGCGATCCTATTGGGCAGTAAGGGGATTAAATATTGTTTTCCAGGCGCCGACAAATCAGAAATGGCGGTTGCAAGGATAACCGACCTTTTCCCCCATAAATCTCAGACAGAAGAGCATGTTAATGAATAAATGGAAGTAATTAGACATGGAAGACAGATGAGGCGGATCAGAAGCAGTGGCAGCAATGCAAAGCAAGCAAGTAGGCGTAATTAATGATAATGTAAGGGGGAAGACAGTTCAGTATTAGCTAGCTAAATTAAACACTCATGGATTTAAATTAAGTACATTTGTAAGATTCTGGGAACCGCCGACCTTTCTCGGGGACGGCAAGAATGACAGCCTACAGACAGAAGGTTATTATTAGTATTGTATTAGTGATCATGCATGGAATCTTGTATCCATCTTAGAATCTCACTTATATACATCTCTACTGTATGTGTTAAGGAATTCGTGATTGATGCATGATGAATGATGAGGCGTATTATTGTTTTACTAATTTGTTTTCGCCAAAATTAAATTATTTGTTGATATTTTTCGTTGGGTCGGCCAAGTGGCAATGTGAGACGCTCTAGCAGTGGTGGAGCTACGTGTAGTTCATGAAGGGTTAAAGTCTCCCTCAAATTTTCATCGAAGTTTTTATCTAAATTACTCAAACAAAGAGTTACGTCGATAGAGATGTAGCATATGTGTAATAAATGTTAAGGGATTGATTCTCTTCTTCCGATGTGGACATTCGGATGTTCCCTCTTTTTCTAAACTACTATTGATTCGATCAACTGCCTAATTTCGGGAGCATTCACGTAACCGTTTGACACTTGACTGATCACGCTTGTATTCACAACTTATGTAATTCAAAAATAAGATATAGTTGATTTGTGCAAGCTTCAAATCTTAGTAGATCGAGCATAAAGTTTCCATTTAAATTAAGGCGTGAGTTAAAGTTAAGCAAACTAATATTTGATTAATTGTTTAGATATTTATAGTCCTAGTTGTAACTAGTTAACTGCTTTTGTGTTTGAAGTGTGTTTGAGGGATGGGATAAACATAGTTATAAGTTATAAAGCTAGACAGAAAATCTGGTGGTAGTAAAATTTGGATGCAAATCTCGTAGATTAGGGTATTGTGTAATAGTTCAAGGTAGATTATAGAAGATCACCACCACGACCAAATTTGGTTTGATTTGCCTGAGATACGAAGGTAAGATCGATGAGGGGAAATTCGATGAGATTTCAGGATTAACTTGGATATGGTAATCAGATTTAATAAGACCTATTTGCTTAAACTAATTAAAAATAAAAAGTAATGCATCAAAACCTATGACCACGAAATTTCGGTTTCCTACAAGGTCTTCTTCTTGTTTGCATATGCTGCATTTGAATTTAATTTAATAACCACCACCATAGAGCCAATTATTCGATTGTTGATACGGTGGAGAGAGGCTGGTTTTGGTCGCAATATCTTTGAAAATCCAGTTTGTTTAAGAAATTGGTGTTTGTTTTGAGGTAAATAGGAATCGTATATACCAAAAAATAGGAATCGTATATACTTTTTTATAATTACAATAAATCAGTTGTACAAAAATACATCGATTTCAAAAATTCAATATGGGTAATTTTTTTCCTATTCGTAAAAAAGTTTTTTCCTAGCTCAAAAAGTTAATTTTGGATAAAATCTCTTTGATATTGAATTTTTTTAATTGCACATATTTCGTGTAACACGTTTGACAAATCTCACATCGAGAAAGTACGGGAAGATCAATGATTCATAAGTAAAAAGCCGACATTAACTGACAAGACTCGTTTGGAGGTGAAATGAAATAGTTCTTGTAAGAACTCTAAAATTATACGTGTTCACTTTGTCCTAGTATAATATTGAACAACCTCATAAGAAATACATTTATATTTATATGTATTCTAAGACAAAATCCGTGAATATCTACACAAAAATTGTTGGGAAAAAGTTTCGTGATATCAAGGATTATATTTACTTTTAATTTTCTTTTCCCATGTAGTCATGGGAATTGAAGTTGCGTGCTCAACAACCTTGTGCATCCCACTTGGCTACCTCTTCTGCCTGTAGCAACCAATTTCTAAAACCTTTTCCCCTTCGTATCACTTACTTAATGCAAATTTTCTTAAAAGGAAGAAAGGATTGTCCTGATCTCTTTTCTTTCGACAAGATTTCCAGAGAAGAATCTCATTGTGTTGTGAAAAGAAAAGACAAATACAGGCAATTGAGGTAAACGAGAACAAACTTCACGTACATAAGATGGCTCCAAATCACCAATTTTCTGGATCGAAGACACCTTGAAATGAGCAGCCAAATGCAAAGACAGGTGTTGCTCCTTGAAAACCAGCCATAACAGCAGCAGTATGGCCGGCGGTGCTAATTCGGTTGGTCAGGACTCAGAACTTTATAAATAAGACCTCGTCTTGGAAAGAAGAATGGCAGTTTATTAGTCATTGTTCCAGACTTCCAGTGTTTGCTGCAGTGCCCCTCTCTCTGGTAAGTCCTATATATGTACTGCACTGCACTGCACTTTACCCCAGCAGCTGCCAGAAGGGAACCATTGTACCTGAATATTGCAATTGAAAACTCAACAAGTGGAAAAGAAATTAAAACAATATCCACAGAAAATACAAAAGCCCATGCTGCCTGTAACTAGATATAAGTAATAAAATTACAAATAATAAATGACAAACGCCCACCCTAGCCTTATTAATTTAATATTAAACAGTGCTAGTAAACTATCAAAATGGTAAGCAAATAAATACATAAACAAATACCCCTCCCATGACTTCATCACGGAATTAAAGAAATAGGGGGAAAAAACATTAAATTGCCACCTCAGCAAAGGTTCATGAACCCCGAATTTCCCCACACTTTCCCTCTCCGCTTCTCCCTATAAATACTCCTCTCCACCTGTCCAGTTTCCTCACCTCTGGCTCTCATCATCACCTCCCACTCTCTCTCTACTTTCCCCCCAAATCAAATCCCCAAGCGATAGAGCTTAGAGAGAGAGAAACCCCAAACAAACAAACAAATTAATCTAATTCCAATTCCACCATATCCAAAAATGCCTGCCGCTCCACTCAATTCCTCACTCGTCACTCTCCTCTCCAAATGCACCGTCGTCCCCGACCAGAAATCCACCATGCCCGACCTCAAGCTCTCCGCCTCCGACCTCCCCATGCTCTCCTGCCACTACATCCAAAAGGGCGCCCTCTTCTCCCGCCCTGACTTCCCTTCCGCCTCCCTCCTCCTCCTCCTCCAATCCTCCCTCGCCCACACCCTCTCCCTCTTCCCCCCACTCGCCGGCCGCCTCTCCACCGACCCCCACACCCACCACGTCTACATCGCCTGCAACGACGCCGGCGCCGATTTCATCCACGCCGCCGCCCCCCAGATTTCCCTCTCCCATATTCTCGGCTCGGTCCGGGGACCCGACTTCGTCAACGGCTTCTTCTCCCACGACCGCACCGTCAGCTACCAGGGCCACCACCGCCCCATCCTCGCCGTACAGGTCACCGAGCTCGCCGACGCCGTCTTCATCGGCTGCTCCGTCAATCACTCCGTCACTGACGGCACTTCTTTTTGGAATTTCTTCAACACGTTCGCTCAGGTCGCCCGCGGAGTGAAGCGGATCCCCTGTTTACCCGACTTCACCCGCGACGGCTGTCCCCTCATGTCCTCCGCCGTCCTCCGCCTCCCTGAAGGTGGCCCACGTGTCACCTTCGACGAGACCGCGCCGCTGAGCGAGCGGATCTTCAGTTTCACTCGTGAATCCGTCCTCAAGCTGAAAGCGATTGTTAACAAGGACAACGCCAAGTGGGTCGGGTCCGGGTTCGACCCGGTGGAGCTGATGGGCAAGCAGAGCAACGACCCGTTTTATTATTCAAACCAACAAAAGAAGGTGCTGTCAAACGGCGTCGTTCTGCAGGAGAAGGAGATCTCGTCGTTTCAGTCGCTCTGCGCGCTCGTGTGGCGGGCGGTGACACGTGCGAGGAATTTGAGCCCGTCGAAAACGACGACGTTTCGGATGGCGGTGAACTGCCGCCACAGGGTGAGCCCGAAGATGGACCCGATGTACTTCGGGAACGCGATCCAGAGCATCCCGAGCTACGCGGCGGCGGGGGACGTGGCGTCACGGGAGCTGCGGTGGCTGGCGGAGAGGCTGAACGAGAACGTGAGCGCGTACGACGACGCGAAGGTGAGGAGCGTGGTGTCGGAGTGGGAGGCGAGCCCGCGGTGCTTCCCGCTGGGGAACCTGGACGGGGCATCAATGACGATGGGGAGCTCGCCGCGGTTCCCGATGTACGACAACGACTTCGGGTGGGGCCGGCCGCTGGCGGTGAGGAGCGGGAAGGCGAACAAGTTCGACGGCAAGATGTCTGCTTTCCCCGGAAGGGATGGCAGCGGGAGCGTCGATCTCGAGATTGTTTTGTCGCCGGAGACGATGGACGCCATTGAATCTGACCGCGAGTTCATGCAGTATGTTTCAAGCTGATTAATATAATAATATTTGACCCGACTGTTGTAGAGAGAGGAGTGGGCCTGGGCCGGTAGAGTGTTTGGGGAAAATTGGGCCGGACGGTGAGGTGTAATATGCTGTTTCTGTTTTGTACCTTTGTGACATAGCTTTTGTACTGATGGCTGATTTCTAAATGGTGAATTTCGGTTTCTCTTTACCGAGGCAGGCGTCCGTTTTCCTCATGTTGAATTTGGGAAGGAATTGAATTGGCCTAACTAACTAACATAAATAAGCGCAACTTGGCTCTGTTTGGGAGAGTAAGGGTTCAATTCTAATAAAATAAAATAAAATATGCCAATTATTTATTTATTTATTTGGGGACTGAACCAAAAAACAGAAAACTAATGTAGGGACGGCTAATCTATACAGCGAAACTAATAAGTGAACTCGCCGCTTTTGTGGACAGTTGACTTTTTTGTTTATTAATGATCCTATGTGTTCCTGTGATGAGAAAAAAAGAAAAATCTTCCACCAAAAAGAAAAGAAAGAACGAAAGAGAAATCAACCCACGAGTCCACGACCTATGGTCCTCTGCAGTTGACTAACGTCCATGTCAGTTGAGGGAATCTCTTGTCGCCACCACCACTCGGAGAGTCGGAGTTGAATTCGAAAGGAAGGAAGGAAGGAAGGAGCTTCTTCGGTTGCCAGCGGCGGGCCGAGCAGATGCCCCGTAAAAAACAAGCGGGAATGCGCGATCGACCGCCCCCACAAAGCCAAAGGCCCCAACTTATTCAATTTGCTAATATTAATTACTTAATTAAAATCGTGGATGCCCACGTGTTGGGATAAATGGTTGTTTGATTTATAGTTAAACTAGGGGGAATTTTACAATTCTATATAGCATTTGTGCTATATGTTTTCGCTTTTATGGTACAATTTGAAGTTGTAACTTTAATATTATTGTACAATTTTAGATTGTACCGTACACTTTTTTTAATGATACAACTTAAACTTATACCTTTATGTGAAATTATAAAGTTTTTCCGTAATATAAATGTACAAATTCCTTTATGATACAACCTAAACTTATCCATTTAACATTATGGTACAACTTCAAGTTGTACTTTAAAGCACCAATGTTTTATAGCATAATAGAAGTGCTTTTAAACTACATTGTTAAAATACTTGCATTTTATAAGAATTAAGGAGTCTAACTAGGGATTATTTTTGTGAGATTGTTATTATACACAACACATGAATTGTATATGTGATGGAATATAAACTAAGACTCAAAATAATTTATTTTATATCTATTTTTTAGTTAGATAGTTGAGTTGACATAGTTTGATATAATGTAAAGTGATAATTTTTTCAAAACTTGTAAACACAATCGCGCATTTGCCATTCAAATCACAACTTCAGTGAGTACTGCTGCAAATTCGATCACCTCTCTAGCTTTTTGCTCTGACTTCTCTCTTCTTTACTGCTCTTGCTCTGTTTTCTTCTTTCTTTGTCCCAGAATTTGCTTCTGGATGATCAACCTCCTCCTTCTGTGAGATGATTACATCCCTTCTTAGCGTTAGCTAATGGAGAAGTGTACTTACAATATCCCATCTAATTATCATATGTCAGCTAGAAACATTTATACTCAGCTGTTTCAGCCCAACTACCAGGAGAATTCAATGCTCCAAAGAAGAACACACAGATGTATTCTGCTGCCGAAAATTAATACAGCAACAAAGGATAGGAGTTATTGCTACTACTATTCTGATGTAAGGAGAAGATCCAAGGCAGATATCAGTCTCTTCAAGCCTCCCTTAATCCCATTACCCTGCAGAAGTAGAAGAACAGAGAAGCTCAAAAGTACTGACAACGGATTGTTCTACAGATCCTCTAGATACGCCTTAAATCCTAGTCTAATCGAACCACCCACTATAGTTGATCCAACCACAAAGGGAAGTGGAATTAAATACGAGGAGAGGGTGGGTATAAGCACTATAAGAGGAAGGGTAATCCCAGCAGGTAACATATTCAAATTCCCAACAAGTTATCTCTATTCCAAGATCAAGTCGGCAAACAAACAGCCAAAACCCAGAAAAATGAGTGTCAACGATCTGATCAATCAGGCAGGGGAGTGGGATTTAGAAATGGTACCTGATGAAGGGAGAGTGGCTAATCGAAATACTCTAGTGGGGAAGATCTTCTCAGAAAGGACTATCAGTCTCAGAGCCCTAAGAGGAATGGTGAGATCTGCCTGGGTTGATAACCCCAAACCAAAAATGCAAGAAATGCCCAATATCCAGCCGCTGGAGGACAACACTTTTGTCTTTGATTTCGAGAAGAAAACTGAGATGGAGGCTATCTGGAGTGACAGGCCATGCCCAATCTCGGGGACGGTGATGCAGCTGAAGAAACCATCTGCTTTTGAAGATGCAAAGGAAGTAAAGTTCCAGACCATCGAGTTCTGGGTTCAAGTGCACAACCTGCCTGAGGCATACAGATCCGAAGGTAACATATCGATGATGGAGAGGATGTTCCATAGGGTCGTTGACATCGACAAAGCTGCCATTCAAGCCCAGATCTACAGGAAGTTCATCAGGATCTTTGTTGAGATAGATGTCTCAAAATCTCTGCCGGATGGCTTCTACATAAGGCAAAAACAGAAGCGGAGCTGGGTCGAGTATAAGTATGAGAGGCTGTACTCTCTTTGTTACTTCTGCGGCAGGATTGACCACACCAAACTTGAGTGTGAGATGAAGAGGAACTGTGATGAGAATGGGTTGCCTTACCCACAGCCGGAGAAATGGGGTCCTTGGACAAGGGCAAACTCTCCGGTCTTCTCTCCCAGAACAAACCAGCAAGTGGATGTTGAGAAGGTGCTGAACCGGGATACCGCCTCCGCATCAAATTCTCCGGTGGGCCTGATCAACCCTTCATCGGCGACAACAGCGACGGGAACAAGTCAGAACATCTATCAGGGGGGCCCACATGCCTTGAGCTTCTCACCAAGACCTGGTCAGTCCCCATTCTCGAGTAATGGTCATAATTTCACTCTCTCAACGGATCTATTTCAATCCCCCAGCTATTTCTCCCCTACACCCCAAAATCACCCACCTTTTCAGCAAAACCAAGAAATGATAGCCTCTCCCCCCCAAAGCTTAAAGGTTGCCAGAAACCTTTTTGGAGATATTCCCTTCTACCAGTCTAGCCAAATGACTACCACGAGCAACCCTTTCCTCCCTGTGGGCTTTGCCAATCCTAACCTGAGCCCAACTACCTACCCGGCCCAAGCAAACTACATTTTCAATCATAACTATTTCCCACAGGCCTGTACCTCTGCTCAAAAGCCCAGGAAATTCCTATCAAATGAACAGAGAAGAGGACATAACGGGAGCCCAGGGATTCAAAAAAAAAAGAGGAAAGCTAGTTTGGTACAGATGGTTGAGGAAACAGGGGCTGCTGAGGAAGAACAGGGGAAGACGCGCAAAGGGCAAGCAGGGGAGGTGTTGTCGGAGGAGGACCCAAGAATCCCTCCTGGATTTGAGCCGGAAAACACTGTGGATATGGTGGCCGATTCCAAGCCACCGGGGGAGCCATGAATGGACTGGTTTGGAACTGTCGGGGTTTCGGCCAGTCCCCCACAGTTCGACAACTTCGAAAACTGGTTAGGAAGAACAAGCCTGCATTTGTGTTTCTTTATGAGACTAAGAAGAAGGAGTCATACATGGAGACTAAAAGAAAGAGTCTGAAATTTGCCAAGAAATTCTATGTAAACCCAGTTGAGAGGGCCGGGGGTCTAGCCTTATGGTGGTTAGAAGACTTTCCGTTGCGTATTCTAGATAGTGGTAGGCATTTCATAGATGCTTTTATTGATATTGAAGGGGGGTTTTTTGTTACTTTTGTCCATGCCCCGTCAGAACCTGCTAGACGTAGAGATTTTTGGGATCATATTAGCAACCTAAGAACTAATGCAGAAGACAAGTGGATTGTTATGGGGGATATGAACGTTGTTTTGTTCTCTGAGGAGAAACTGGGGGGAGGTCCTCCTAGAGCGGATTCTGTAATTCCTTTTAAGGACTTTGTTTCTGATAATGCATTAATGGACCTTGGCTTTTCGGGCTACCCTTTCACGTGGAAGAATAACCAAGAAGGATCAAGAAGGGTTGAGGTGAGACTGGACAGAGTGTTGTGCTCAACATCCTGGTTCTCCACCTTCTCTAATGCTAGGGTCATCCATGAGCTGCCTATCGAGTCTGATCATAGCCCCCTGATAGTGGAGTTGGAAGGTTTAAAGCAGAGAGTCAAAAGTCCATTTCGGTTTGATACAAGATGGCTAAAGAGAGAAGAGTGCCATGATATAGTCAACAGGATTTGGGAAGAGGAAGGAAATTGTGAAGAGAAAATGTCTAAATGTGAAAAGGAGTTAAGGATTTGGGCTAAACAAGTTTTTCAAGATCAAAATAAAAGGGCTGATGAGATTCAAAGAAGGCTAGAGGAGATTCTCCTACTTGAGCGTACTGAGGAAATAATCAATGAAGAGAAATTGTTGATGAATGAATTGGCTATAATATGGAAGGATGAAGAATTGTTTTGGAGCCAACGATCTAGAATCAGCTGGCTTAATGAGGGAGACCGGAATACTAACTTCTTTCATTCCTCAACTATTCACAGGAAGCAGAGGAACAAGATTGTTAGGTTGATTGATGAGAATGGTGGTGTTATTTCACAGCCTGAAGATATTAATTCTCATGTTAAAGAGTACTATAAAACTCTGTTCACCAAGTCAGAAGGCAGGGATTTGTCCGCTCTTCAGGATTTTCCTCATCTTGTGTCACAAGAAATGAATTTAGATATTTGCAAGGAACCCACTGTGGAGGAGATTAAAGAAGCTGTGTTTGATCTTGGGCCCACAAAATCACCCGGTCCAGACGGTTTTGCAGGGAGCTTTTTTCAAAATTTTTGGGGTAAGATTGGCCCAGATTTCTGTAAGGAAGTGCAGGTGTTCTTTGAGACTTCAATCATGCCTGACGGGTGGAACGATACCCACATCGCCCTCATTCCGAAAGTCCAATCACCGGAATCTATTAAACAGTTCAGGCCGATAAGTTGTTGCAACTTTCGGTACAAAGTCATATCAAAAATTCTTTCAAGCCGAATGAAGAAATGGCTGCCTGGACTAGTCTCGGAAATGCAGGCGGCCTTCACTGGAGGTAGACTAATACAGGACAACATCATTATCGTTCATGAAATCCTCCATCATTTCAAGACCAGAAGGAGTGGGAATTGGGACATGATGATAAAATTAGACATGCGTAAAGCATATGATCTTGTGGACTGGGAGTGTTTGGATGCTATCCTTCTTGCTTATGGATTTGCTGATAAATGGAGAGGATGGATAAGATCTTGTGTTCAAACTGTCAGATTCTCATTATTAATGAATGGGAGCCCTACAGAGAAGTTTCAACCTTCGAGAGGTATTCGACAAGGGGATCCGATTTCTCCTTTATTGTTCATCCTCATGTCGAATGCATTATCTTTCTTGATCGATAAAGCAGTTGATAAGGGTGAAATTCAAGGTATCAAGCTCAATCCTAACTGTCCTAGGATCTCACATTGCTTATTTGCCGATGATACTGTTATATTTGGAAAAGCAAGTGTCAAAGAGGTCGATCATATTCAGAGGATCCTAATGAACTATGGAGGAATTACAGGGCAAGAGATTAATGCCGATAAGTCCTCGATCTTTTTCAGTAAGAACACGCCGGATGCGCTCAAAGGTATTATCACAAATAAACTGGGGTTCTCGCCTTCTATTTGTCACGACAAGTACCTGGGAGTTCCCTCGGTTTGGGGGCGGTCTAAGAAGGAAACTTTTCTTTTCCTACTTGAAAGGATGGAAAAGAAGGGTGATTCATGGAAGAGTTTACTCTTATCTCTGGGAGGAAAGGAGGTTCTTTTGAAGGCAGTGATTCAGGCTATTCCCACTTATCTTATGAGTATTTTCCTTCTGCCCCTTTCCCTGACTAACAAGATGGATTCGCTGCTTAAGAGGTTCTTCTGGGCGGGTTCTATGAAGAAGAAATCTATCCATAGGTGCGATGCAAGAACTCTAGAGAAACCAAAAGAGGAAGGGGGTCTAGGATTTAAAAATTTCCATCTCTTCAATGTTGCCTTGATAGGCAAGCAAGTCTGGAGGATTTTGGAGAATCCGGATGCTCTTTGGGTTCGGCTTCTCAAAGGGCTTTATTTTGGTGATGGGGATTTCTTCTCGGCCTCTAAAGGAAGGAATGGGTCATGGATTTGGAGTGGACTCTGCGACACAAAAGAAAAACTCAAGATGGGTTTGGTTAAAAGTATCATGTCAGGTAATGATACCCTGTTTAATTCTGACCCTTGGCTTCTTTCTGCCCCTTCGTTTTCCTTGTCTTCTCTAGGTCTGAACCAGTCCAAGGTGAGCGATTGGATTCATCAACATGATAGAAAGTGGAAGAAGGAGAGCCTGTATGAGGTGGTTCCTGAAGGAGTGGTTGATGATATCCTGCGCATCCCGATTGGTCCTCAGGAGGCAGCAGACAAGTGGATTTGGAAGTTTTCTAATACTGGAGCTTACTCTGTGAAATCCGCGTACAGAGCTCTCAAAGATAATAGGGACCTTCACTTGCAGTCAACGTCATCAAATGACATACGACCTAATAGCGAAGACTGGAAGTGGCTTTGGTCCCTGTCTCTCCCTCCGAAGTTGCGTTTCTTCATATGGAAGATTGCAAAGGGTGCTATTGCCACTAAATCTAGGCTTTTTGATCGAAAGTGTGCTCCAAGCCCTTGTTGCTCCATCTGCAATCATCATGTTGAGTCCATCCATCATTGCTTCTTCAAGTGCCCTCATGCTTCATCTACGTGGGAACATTTGGGTCCTTCTTCGTTCCTCCTGCAGGAGGACTGTTCGTTCTCGGATTGGTTCTTCAGGCTTAAGGACAGTTTTTCGGTGGATTTCATCAAGAGAAGCGTGTGCATCTTGTGGAACATATGGATTGCTAGGAATGGCTTTTTATTCGAGAACAAGGTCATTTCCCCGACCTCTTCAGCAGTGTTAGCCGATCGTGATTTCCAGGCCATTGAGGAAGCAAGAAATTTCATTTCTCGCCCTACTTCTTTGAGATCAGCTACATTGCAATCTCAGCCAAGGGGATCCCGCTCTCATCCTTCACCACCGCCTGGTTCTTTTCAGAGGATTGTTCACTGTGATGGTTCTTTTTGTGCAGAATCACGGGAGGCAGCTTATGGGATTACTATTGCTAATGCCCATGGTCAAGTGTTGGACGGCAAGGCTGAGAAAGTCTTTTGTTCCTATCCTATTCAAGCGGAAGCTTATGCAATTCTTAATGCTGTCTTATGTGCATCTCGGGATGTTTGCCAGACGTGTATCAGGTCTGATTGTCAGATTCTGATCCTCGCCTTAAGGCGTACTCCTGATCGATGGCCTTGGCAATGTCGACCAATCTTGGCACGCATCATTTCTCTCCTCCAATTGGCTCCCTGGATCAAGGTGATGTTTATCCCCAGGCGTCTCAATGGTCTTGCGGATTGGGTGGCGAGGAATGAGCGTTTGGGAGCTCTTCCTGTGGATTGGTTGACTGTTGCTGAGCTTGTTTCTCCTTTGCTGTAAGAATGTACTTGGTTTCCGTTGATGGGTTAAGGAATAAAAGCAGTTTCTATTCAAAAAAAAAAATGCCATTCAAATCACGAATTAACTGAATTTTGAAGCATTCTACTAGATTCCAAATCACAGGAAATATACTAGAAAGTAGATGGTTCATAAATATTAAGAAATGTACTTGTTCTGATTTCACAAAGACAAATGGAGCGAGTTAATATTTTTGTGTCAACCAATTATTAGAAGAAAATATTTTTGTGTCACTAATTGCAAGAACAAGTGAATATTGTGATGTTTGCTTTAACAACTAATTGAAAAAAATGGAAACTATCACAAGTTCACAACATTGTGTTTTTTTTTGTTTTGTATATTTGTTTTCCAACCTTGCTTCACAATAGTTGTTTTTTTGTTTACGTTGCGTTGTTAGGACATCACTATGAGTCTATGATTATAACTAATCCCCTCTTATAGGTGGCCGTACGAGACAGTAAAGTAGCAAACTCAGAGTAACCTATTTTTCCATAAATATGAACCTTGCATTCGTAATTAACACTATGTTTGGGAAGGGGTGCAAATGAAAGGGGGTGCAAGTTTGGAGGGGTAAACACAAGTTCCAAGGTGTTTACCCACGTTTGGTTATTTTGTAACAGTAGGGGGGTGCAAAACGTGAGCGTAAATTCACTGTTTCGGCTTACCCCCCCAAATTGGGGTGCAAGGAAAGGAAGGAAGGGAGGGGGAAGGAGGAGGAGGGGAATTATGAATTTTCAATTAGATTATAATTACATAATAATTAATATTATTAATTTTTTCTTATATCTATATTAGTGTAGAAGTTGTTTGGGGTTGACCGTTTGACTAAGAGAGCAATTTTGTCAATGTTCGCCTCGTCAAATCGATATCTCTTAGTTGACCCGAATTTGCATTGAAAATTAGAGATAAGAAGCATTTGTTGAAAAGATAGAGAGGAACAGTTTAGTTAACTCGATTTATTTTAATAAGTAGTTAAAACTTACAGATTCGAACGTGTTTGACTAAGTTTGACCATATTCAATTTAAAGTTAGGCACGAGAACCCCCTTAGGATGACCAGTTACGAGTTGGATTTCGAGTTTCGAGGTTGCTCGACCAATGATTATTGTTGTTGTTATAAATAATTATATTTGAGCATTATTATATAATAATTATTTTTATTAAAATTATTTTTATTTATTATTTTTATTATTATATATTGAATTTTCATGTTATTATTTTGTGATAATATTTTATAAATTGATAAATCTATTTTATAATAATATAATTACTTACTTTTTACTCTATTTGCACCCCCTACTTTTTCATCCAAACAACAATTTACCCCTCCACTTACACCCTCCACCAAATTGCACCCCCCAACAATTTACCCCTCAACTTATACCCCTCGAACTTGCACCCCCTTGTTGCCAAACATAGTGTAAAGGATCAAATGATACGTATAAGTAAACCTGATATTCAAAGTTGGACTTCTCTTTGGGTCTGATACAAAAACAAAACCTTACACTCTTTGGATTGTGAATTGTGATGATGGTCTCCATTCTCTTTTGGGCTGGGCTTGATCACAATGCTTATCACTTTAGGCTTGTGGCTTTTATATGTGAGATTAAGTAAAGTCCTAATTGGACCTTCTCAACGGCCCACACAGCCCAACGTGCCAATATCATTTTTTCGATAAGATCCAAACGCAATATCAATAGATAATAAATTTATTAAAAAATACAAATGAACAAGGTTGTCAACTCGCGGGTTGACCCGGACCCGGTCGAGCTAGTGGGTCAAGGGTTAATGGGTCAACTGTTTTTGCCCGATTTGGCTCGGAAATATAGAAAAAAGTCATTATATTGTACTTATCCTCATAAATTATATCAAATCTTATCTAGCATATGACTTATAACATATAATATTACACCAAAATAACATATCATACTTAGATCCAACATATAGTGAAAATTTACACACACTTATATAACATAAATATTCAAATGTCCAACTTAGGATTCCAAAGATTGAGTTAGGCGAAAGAAAAATCGGAAAATAGGCGCATTTCACAAACCAAAGAAAAAAATGACACAATTTGACCTCCAACCCGGTACCTTGTAGTGGTCGGCCAGATGGGTGCGTATGTCCCATTTTTCTCACCGGATCAGGGTCAAAGTAGGTCGACCCGCGGGTAAACCCGCGGGTTGACAACCTTGCAAATGAACAAAAAACAGAAACTCTCGCAATTGCTAGAATGAACGACCTGCCTAGCCTACTCAATTTATTACACACACCAAACCCAACGGAACGGAACGGAACGGAACGGAGGGCCAAATGGGTAATAACAATAATATAATATTAAAACACAGAGAGAGAAAATTCAGAAAGAAAAACTCGGCAGCTAGCAGCATTACAGAAAATGTGCCCCTCCCTTCCGATCACTTCGGCATGCGTGATGTAGGTAAGTAAGTCAGAGATCAGTCTCAGTTCCCTCTAGGACTCCTCCTCCCTCCCTCTTCTCTCCTTCTTCCTTCCTCCCTGTGCTCTGTCGTCCTTCTGCTTTCCTTTCCCGGCGAAAAAAGTTCCCAAAAGGAGGGGGAAAAAAGATTATACAAAGGATTCGGTTTCAAAATCGGAAGAGTTCGGTTCAGCGAAATTCCGGCCATGTCTGAGGCTCTGATCAATGGCCTCGCCGGAGCCGGCGGTGGGATCATCGCTCAGCTCATCACTTATCCTCTTCAGACTGTACGCCTCCCCGATCTCTCCTTTTCTTCATTCCGCTCTGCATCCTTATTCGGCCGGGAATTGGCGAGTTTGATCTGGTTGACGGTGAAATGTCTCTTTCTACAGGTGAACACTCGGCAGCAAACGGAGCGTGGCGTGCAGGAGGAACAAAAGAAGACTATTGGCACCATACAGCAAATGTGCCAGGTTGGGATTCCTTCTTAATTCTCTTCCACTTCAGTTTGTTCAATTCGTTTCCATCTGATTTTTGGAGAATTTTAGGGTTTGGATTCGTGCTGGTTTTCGTTTCGTATTATGGATTGGATCATGCGTTGACTCGAATAGGAAGGAAAAATTTGTTGTTGACTAGGGCTCGTTAGAAGTTTTGCGAATGGCCGCCATGTATAAGTCTCCCAGACTGATTGTGGTCTGCTTCAATGATTATGTAGGTTGTGAGGCATGAAGGATGGGAGCGACTGTATGGAGGATTAGCTCCATCACTGGCAGGGACTGCCGCATCGCAGGTATGAATTCGGTTTTCAAGCTTACTAGCTGTTTTACGTCATTGTATTGCTCAGTTACACAGTTTAGTCGTTGGTAAGGTGCTTCAAAGTTCTAGTGAAGATGATACATGAGTGGTTGTGGCACGAATAGTTGATAAGTGTGAACTGATGTTGTGATCTCTACATTGAATTTTATGCTGGCGCTGTGAAAAGTGCATTGACTGTGTATGGAGTGGCTGATATTGATGGCTTACAAATTTGTAGAAGTTCATATTGTTTGAAATGGCACTTGGATTGCACTGTTGTCATTGTAGAAGGTAACATGCCTGGTGTCTATCTTCGTTTTGAAAGTCTAAATGTAGACCACCGTGGTACATTTTGCTGTGGTTTCCAGGACTGTAACAACCTTTCACTGATTCTTGCTGAGTGAGCGATTTGAAATTTGGATAATCTCTGTTCAAACAGAAAGCTTGTTATTTAACTCAGCAACTTGCTGTTTTGTTTCTACAGTCCGGATTGCTTATATGCGTGCGTTCATGCTACAGGGTGTTTATTATTATTTCTATAAAATATTTAGGGACAGAGCTGAAGCTAAGGCACTTGAGCGTCAGAGGAAAGGGTTTGGTGATGGATCCATCGGGATGCTTTCGTCACTTGTGGTGGCTGCTTTAGCAGGGTAATATACTTTCGTTTGTTTGGTCAACTACTTCAGGTCACTGTATTGTTTTTCAAATGTCTTATTGCAATTTTTATGCGATAAATTCATAAAACCATATTCCTCTTCAGTTCATTTTCTCCTCTGTATATGTGATTTAATCCTTTGGATGGAATTGATAATGTGCAGGTCTGTAAATGTGTTGATGACAACCCCAATCTGGGTTGTCGTTACAAGAATGCAGGTAAACACAACAAGGTCTAGTTGTATATTTGAAAGTTTTTTAAATTGAAGTACGGTATCTTGCCTTAATTCTTAGATTTATCTCTCATGACATTTTGTGATGTCTTCTTAACTTATTACTTCACTTGCATTCTTATCTTATGTGTAACAAGAAGCCTGTTACAGAGAGAGCAAAAAAATGCGGCTCTATTTTGCCCTGCGTCAAGTTGTTGATCACCTAGTGATTATACTTTGTTACTCTTGTTAGTTCAAGAGTCTGAATAACTTCTGCTCTACAGACTCACACAAAAGCTGCAAAGAAATCAGAACCTAGTAGCTCATCAGATGCTTCAGCTAAGCTTATAGTTCCAACTGATCCTCCTCCATTTGGAACTTTTAATGCGGTTTGTACATTCATTTCGCTCATCGTCGGCCCTTTTGATATTCAAATCAAAATTTTGGGACATGCTGTGGTTCTTTTGTTCTTTGTGAGCTTTAGTAGTTTTTCTCATCCCTGCAGATTCAAGAAGTTATTGATGAAGCTGGAATTCCAGGTTTTTGGAGAGGTGTATTGCCAACACTGATCATGGTACGTGATTGTCCACTGTTGAATCTGATTAGGATGGATTATCAATGAATGTCCAATCTCTTGTTTGTCAGGTAAGCAATCCCGCGATACAATTCATGTTATATGAAACCCTGCTGAAGAAGTTGAAACAACGACGCTCATTGCTTAAGAAGGGTGAAGCCGGAGTAACTGCTTTGGAGGTTTGCTTTTCATATATTAACTTCAGGCTTTGATCTCTTACTCAGTTGCTTTTCCCCTCCTCCCCTGTATGGATTGCGTAGACAGCCGAGTAACCTTGTATCTCTGCTTCTGTGTGGTTTTCCTAGACATTTCTTCTCGGAGCATTGGCTAAACTGGGAGCTACTGTCGTAACCTATCCTCTTCTCGTTGTTAAGGTAAAAATGAAATTAGCTCCTTGGATGCACATTTTATCTGTTACCATGGTTCGATTTTTTTTTTTTTTTTTTTTTTTTGTGTTTGTAAGATCCGTGTTTTGAAAATTAAGAAGTCAGGAAAGAACAATTTACTGGACGGCAATTATGCAGCGAAACTCAACCCTCGTAATATGTTGCAAGGCCACAATCCATCGTAGTATCGAGAAACATTTATGTTTGATTTATATTCGTTTTTGAAACTCTTCTAAGTCGGAAACTGTTTGCTTTTTGCAGTCACGCCTTCAAGCTAAACAAGTTACTACAGGAGATAAAAGACATCACTACAAAGGTTCGAAGAATTCTGTATCACTTGAGTTGTATTCTGAAGTTTGCATTAGTTATATTATTTTAGCAGTTGATCCCCTCTGCAATGAACATTCCGACTTGATTAAATCTCTCTGTTCTTTTCGCCCTTCGATTTTAGGTACGCTAGACGCTATCCTGAAGATGATCAGGTATGAAGGTTTATATGGGTTTTACAAAGGAATGAGCACGAAGATCTGTCAGAGCGTGCTAGCTGCTGCTGTGTTGTTCATGGTGAAGGAAGAACTCGTCAAGGGTGCCCGTTTCGTACTCACCGGGGGTGCTGCAAGCAAAGCACTGAAATCAAAGCATCCATAAGACCATAACAGCTCCACTCCACCCCACCCCTGCAATCTCTTCATGATATAGGTATCGTTTGCTTGTGAGATTTGGGTGATGGATTTGATACCAAAACCCTCATTTTCAAATCCAACAAGCAAACGAGCCGTAGTTTTCCTGATTCAAAATCCACAGCCAATTGTTAGCTGATGAAATTAGATAATAAAGAGGTACCCTACAATTGTTTGGTTTGTCATTACAGTGAGGCTCAGGCAGCTTCATTCCCATAGTTTAAAAGTTCTGTAGTATGCAAAGATTTACTATAGGAATTAGAGCATGTGGATCTATAATAATAGTGTTTGAAATACAAAAACAAAAACATCACTTGCGGTTTCTTGGTTAAATGTATGAGATCAAACGTTAATATATTTTTGTTTTTGATGCGACAAACGTTAATGTATTACAGTGTAGGTCTCGGGTACCACTATGGTACTAGATGTTTTTCGTGTTTTAGGAAATTTGTGCTATGTTAAGTTGTCAACAATTATTAAACTGACATGACTGATTTTCTCATTTGATATAATGTGTTTTGGCCTTTGAATTTTTATTCATATATAATTTAGTTGGTAAAAAACTAATGCTTAACTTTAACCTCTCTTTCTTATAGCAGCAAATTGTTTCTGAATGACGAGGATTGATCAATGAGTCAATGCCACGTGGAACAAAACTGATTGGCGGCCGTCTGTTAAAAAATATTGCCCTTGTAAACGACGTCGCTTCCATGGAATCCCTGACAAGTGAGTAGTGACAACAAGGGGGATTCCGGATGCCTGATCACCATTTCCCATTCAGGCGAAGAGTAACAACAGAGCTTGGAAGTACTTTATAAAAATAAACAGCGCTTGGAAGGCTGCTCCATCCTTCAATCGAAAAACCCTTAGAAAGACAAACCGGCGGCGATAATGGAGAACAAGTCGGAGCCGACGGTGAACAAGAATCAGAAGAAGGCCAACCTTCTAGATCACCACTCGATCAAGCACATTCTCGACGAGTCCGTCTCCGAGGTGAGAAAAAACCCTAATAATCCGCTCAATTGGATTTTAATTGCTACTGAATTCCTTATCTGATATTATTCTTCTGTTCTCGTTTCGGTTGGGGGAGAGAATTCTGTAGATCGTTGCCAGTCGTGGATATGCTGAAGATGTCAGGATGAGCAATGTCAGGTTGTTTCTCGGGACTGTCATTATTGCCGTTGCTCTCGTTGCTCAGTTTTACAAGAAGAAGTTCCCGGAGAACAGAGACTTTTTGATTGGTTGCATCGTATTATATCCTTCGTTTGATCTAAACATTCACTAGCTGCTATCTCCTTAAAATTTTGCTCCGTTTGTAATCGTAGAATTGTGAATCATTCCTGTGTATTTGTTCCAACTCTCTTGGGAATTAAAATGCCTGAATTTTGTTGATGGCTAAGTTGTTGGATCCTTGACTATGGCAAGTATGTAGTCCTCAACGTGGTGTTGCAGCTGATCATATTCATAAAGGAAAAGAACGCCATCTTGTTCACTTACCCTCCTAAGGTAAACTTTGTTCTTCCTGTGATTACAGATCCGTACTTGTGTTGAGTAATGTGTGGAATCAGAGCCTTATGTTGATAGATGCCGTTGGTTGATTGCATCGGATGGTTTTTGAAATGGTTAGCTGGCCTATATGCTTTTGTGTTAGTTGTCTTCCATCTAGCTTTATTTCTCTGTGGATCTTTCTCCTTATGCGCTTTGCAAGTAAACAACGGAAGCATTGAAGACTACTAGTGATACATGTAAACACACTACTCTGGGTCGACTGACTCCTTAATTTAATATTATAGAAAGTAGAAAGAGCTAATGCTCCCATCTGTGAAAGAGCTACTTCCTTTCTGTGAACAGTTCATCATTGTTTTAACTAGGGGTTTTGTACTCCTTGAAGTACAAAGTGAACCTATTTGCTCATTGCTCAATTGTATTGTGTTACTTCGGATCCCATAGGGACTCTGGTATCCTGTGTCCTTCAGTTGTACTTTAGTTATAGTAATTGGTTGAGAGTGGTGATTGATTGGCTGTGGTAGGATTGTACTTCTTGTTGTTTGCCGAAGTGCTTATGGATAAATACACTTGGTTGGATCCATGATTCATTGCGAAAATTATGTCAATGTGCACATCTTTCGTTTTTGAGCTAAACATCCTTTTACTAGGTGGAATGAGTCCTTAGAGATTTTGAGTATGAAAGATCTGTCTTTAGCGTTATTGGTCTTTTGAAGTACTAACTTCAAAGAAACTTAATTTTATTGTCTTTGACGTCCAGACAATGAACTTTTAAACTGTGTTGTATTAGAAAGATGCAGTCCTCGTTTGTCTAGACTAGACAACTTAAACATTGTTGCTGTGGAGTGGATCATGCACACTGGACTGATAATTCCTAGTAGGTTGCTGATTTGAATGTTTGGAATTCTACTCCTAAAGTGTAGGAATCTTATACGCTATATGCTAGCAGAATTAATTTGGATAAAGCTGATGCTACTTGTTTTTGTGTAGGGATCTTATACAAGTACCGGTTTGATGATCTCTTCCAAATTACCAAGATTCGCTGATGACTACACACTTACTATAGCAAGTGCTGATCCAAAGTCAATTTCTGCTGGGAAGACAGTGGAGTTGACTAAAAGTGTTACAAAATGGCATGTCTCTGTTCTCTCTCTCTGCTCTTTGCACCTATTCACTGAGCGTCATAGGCCATAGCTTTGGATCTTCATGAAACACAGTGCACAATTGGTAATGTAGTATGTGACCATCGTTTTGCAGGTTCACTAAGGATGGAGTTCTGGTGGAGGGCCTATTCTGGAAGGATGTTAACTCTCTCTTAGACGAGTATGCAGGGGAGGTAAAGAAGAGCAAGTGATCTTTTTAAATCTGATCGCTCGATGACATAGGTGAAAAGCGTACATTAGTTCCAATGTTATCATGATGCTTCAGAACTACAACTTTCAAATGCCAAAGGACAAGGATTAGACTTTACATTATCTTCTTAGACAATCCATCGTTACTCTCAGCAGTTGGCACAAGCGATTCCGTCTAGAGAATCATTTCCCCACCCCCCTTGATTGAATGCCCCTTGTATGTTGATGATTAAAGATGTTGTACAGCTACAACATCCTATCGAACAGGAAGAACTGCAATCTATGCTTAAGGGCACCCGGAGAAACTAGCATTTGGGAAAGTTATAGTTGCGTCAAATGTTTTGCAGGTCCTCTACCAATTTTGCCACTCTGGTGATGTGCATAGTGATAGTACTGATGTTGTTGTATTGCACAATGCAGGGATCTGAGTTGGATGCACTCGTTGAGTGTTGATGTTGTAGTATCACATCGTGCATTCAGCTGTCTGAGATTGCTGCATTGCATTGCATGGTCCAACAACTAGGGATGGCAATTTCGACCTGACCTGTTTGGCCTGTTTTGGGGCGGGTCCGACCTGTCCCGTAGGCAGGGCGGAGCGGGCATGGGTACTCTCATCGACCTGACCCGCCTTGACCCGCCCCATTCTCGACCCGTTCTTGCCTAGATTACACGTAATTTTAGTCAAATTACTTAGGATTTTCCTTTTATTACATAATATTTTAGCTGTAATAAAGTTGTAAATTAGCGAAAAACTTAATTTCTCCAATAATTTAACTACATTTATCCTAATATTTTTTGTTTTACATGTCCCAACCCGCGACCTGTGATAAATTACCCGATCTGAATCCGACCTGTCATGAGGTGGATCTGAGTACCAAGAAACCCGTCCCGGACCAGCAAACACCACCTTCTCTCCCCTACCCAGTAGGGTTGGTAGTGGTCTTTCACTCTTTCTTTCTGTTGCCAGCCTTTGCATGGGCCCAACTTTCTTTTGGGCTGACTTTTGTTGGGTGTGAGCTTTCTTGTTGGGCTGCAGAGTTCTATTATCTTCATGGTTCAGATAATCCAAGCAGTCAGTGCCAGTGTATCACCCGAATCCTCGTTGTCGATAGGGTCCACAGGAAGATATTTGTGTCGCAGTAGGGCCCAAAGCCTTGGTCCATCTATCCCCGTTGGTCCCATTCAGCGGTCCCGACTCCCGAGCCTCAAGCTCACCGTCTTAAGTATCACACAGTCACCACCACACATAAAATTAATGGTACAAGTAGCATAACGATGATCATTCATTTCATCATCTCAAAGAGAAGGAAATGAAAGGATTTTGTTTTGCCTATATACGGTAAAGTTCATCCATCCGGCAGTTATGTTAATTCAAATGGTGAAAATGAGAGTGGATGCCGGTACAAGAGGTTCTATCGTAAAACGGCAATTACGGCCTAGTTGTAAGGATTAGATTCTCATAGTTTGTAAAAATTACGTATGAATTATTGTTGACCAAATAATGAACCGAACTCTTGAATTTCTGGTATATATATATATATATATATATATTGAGAACTCTTCAGTTGATTTTTGTTAGATGCTTGAAGCAAGAAAACAGTTTTGTGACCTTATCAAATCCTCAAAACCTGTTGATGAATTCAGGTTATCCAACCAAGGAACCCAAAAATGGAAACTACCTAATTGGTCCATACTCCATACAAATGCTCTTTACTTTACCTACCATTTCTTTACCCAGTTAAGTTAATTTCATGGTGCGATCTGACTCTTGGCGTACGTTTCCTTCCCCACTGGGCCGTTCGGTCCACCGCCCAATCATGAGTAAAAGTCTGCTCTTCTCGTGACGTGGTGCTTCGTTCAGCACCCAGCTCAACAGGCCCACCGAAGGGCCCACGTCCACCAGCTGGGCCCGCTGACGTGGAGCCTATGCAAATTGATACCTTCGGACTTGAAACCAAATTTAGGTAAAAACCAAATTTTCATAAATCTCGTTCGCGTCCACCAGGGGCTAGCTATCTATATAACCAGATTTTCACAACCAATTCAACTCCCCCTAATTGCTGCCCATACCTCCTTTCCTTTTGCGGATTTGCGCTCTTTCTCGTCGTCGCCGGCGTGTGCGAACCTGATCCTCCTCTTCCTATCCGACTACGGGTTCCTCTCCGATCTCCGCTGTCTAGAACTGTTCTTGCCTTTGGATTACAGCGCGAGAATTGTGTTGATTCCTAGGGTTTCGCAGTTCTATCTTGAATTGGTTTTTGATTATCCTCTTGCCGAAGATGTCTAATTCGAGGAGTAGAGAATGCGACGACGAGATTTCGGACCGGGACGAATTTGAAGAGTCATCGTCCATTTCCAGCGGCGTGGAGGCATCTACAGCTGGATCTGATACGGTTTCGCCGGGGAGAAGCGAGATTGGCCTGACCGAGCGGTTGACGGAGATTCTCGTGGACGAAGGCGACGGGGATTTGCTGCTTCAACGAAGTGATCGGGAGGATAGGGTCCTGCAGTGGCTACAAGCGCTAGATATGCAGGTCATGGGCGCTTGTCGCGCTGATGAGAGGTTGAAGCCGTTGTTGAAATCGAATGCTTCAATTGGCGCTGCCGAGGATCGCCTTCTGGCGCATCTGAGTCAGGTAGTATTGATTGAACTTGACTGCGGGGGATGCTGTTTCGTGGTTTGCTGTGTAATTGGAATTGGGAATTGATGTTTGGGTATAACTATGTGACAGCACTTTGACGCCTTTGAGGTCGGCATGCTCGCGAGGTGCTTTTGCATACCCCTTGTTTCGATCAGGGTAGGGAAGATCAACAAACAAGGGAACCTATTCTACCCTACATCTGCAAGGTAATTTTATTCCCATGGATGTCTGCGCTCTTGATCGAGGCTAGGTGGATGTGCTTGTATCCGTATCTGACGTAATTTGACGTTTAGGATTCTAGATATGCTTTGGATTATTCGCTTAAGCTGTTTGTTTGTCTCCTCGATCTTAACCTCGGCCATTGCCATTCTGGTTATCTGTTGCAGCAGTTTAGTTTACGAGCCAAGACTGGCGTTGTTTCTTGTTTGCTCATTAGCTCTACTTATTCACTCTGTTTTTTGGTTGATCGTCCAATTATTGCTTTTTTCCCATTTGTGAAGTGCCTGGTATAGTAGGGATTTGTTGCACGCTTCTTTATCCAATTGTCTGTTAGTATATATCATATATGAACTACGTATAGTGATTTACATCCAATATGCCTTCAATATTCATCTGCAGGCGGCGGATTTAGACCATTCGTATTATTATTGTTCTGGTCTTAAGGAGAATGTCAATTATTTTCACCGTTACCTGTAAGTTCATGTATATGCATATCTTGGGTTACAAACACGAAACACGGGTTGGTTTTTCTTACTGCATTTCTTAGTAGTTCCAATACTGGTCATCGATTGAAACCTGGCCTTTGGATTTGGTCCTCATTAGACACGTATTTCTCATGTGCTATATGGTTTATAATTTAATAAGAATGGTCATTTTCTTGTTGTAACGCTTGGCAGTCTTGAGGTTCATCGCTTGTGTGATGTGCTGAGTGACTGAATCCTTCTCTTGCTAGATTTTTATATATTTGTGAACCAGTTTTATGTCTATTTGTCGATTGTTTGTGCACAAGAGAGACTGCCGCAGCCACTTGATACCCTAGTAAGGTTGGTGGTGGTCGATTGTGTCCCGTTGTAAATTTGATTTCAACTTTTGATGGCTTGTCGATAATTTTAATATATACCTTTGTGGTGTTCTTTGAAATAGAGGCCCGGACGCTTTCTGTCTGTTCATGTCCCTCATTGCCTTAGTGTGCTGTTTGTCTACAGAATTGTGTTTGTTTTGTTTCTTCAATCCTATCTGTCACATATATATCTAACAAATGCTTTACAGAATTGACTTGGGGTTTCCTTAATGTTTGCCTCAACTTACAGGCATGTTATTGTTGGAAGTAGTGTGAAATTTATGCATTCTAACTTATATCAACAGTAGTGATTTCAGGATTTTGTCTGTTTATGATATCTGTGGTGAAATTGTTCATGCTTCCAAGTAAAATATCTTTTCACTTGTAGGTAAAGTGGGCGTGTTATTGATCTCTGAATAATGAGGAAGTAAAGGTAGTTTCATCTCCTATGTTAAATAATTATATGGCTTTTCCTGGCTTGCAGATTCCTAACAAAACGATATGAGTGAATTAGATGTCAATTTGATTTTCTTGTGGTAATTCGTCTTATAGAACTGTCTCTGATTGTTGGTTGATTTCTTTTTTTGGTGTGTTCTGGTGTGATTTGATTTTGTTGTAATTTCTGTTTGTTGTTTAACTTGTTTTATTTTGTTGACGATTTCAATGGATAGTCTCAAATGCAACCCATATTTATATACACGTACTTTACTATGGAATTTTGCTTTTTGTTCTTCTGTCCAAAATAATGCTAAAGTACTTTGCGGAACACAAATGGAGCTTTTATGATTTTGGCTCTCTTCCAGTATTCTTGGTGAGCTTATTTTTATATATATATGCTCTACCTACTGGTGTTGAAATTTGAAAACCTCATCTTGGATATTGTAATCTCTGACTTCTGGACATTCGTGTCTATGAATCATGGATTTGAGCCTTAACCACAAAATAGTGTTCTGATTTTGGAATTTGCTCTGTAAAATCCTTCTGCTGGCAATTCATTATTTATTTTGTTCTTTTCTTGGTGAGAGTAAAAGAGGAGAGAGGTGGCATTGTGTTTTTATATCAGATTGTTGATTTTTTCTGATTTTATCTTCACGTTTAGTTGTACCCTATTGGTCTCTTATAGTCTCATTGGTCCAACACGGCTTTTTTCTGTGCGTTCTAGGATTGTACTTGCCCTTTACGCTCTGTATTTTTCTCTTGTGCTTTCACTGTTTAATACTTTCTTCCATTTTTTCTTCATTATCCAGAGGGAATTTGAGTCTTGCAGTCTTGCCGACGTCTTATCTCCGACTCTCATTCATTGGGGATGATGGTAGCACTGAAAGACTAGTTACCCTAAGTGGTAAATCTAATTCTGCAGCTGTCGTTGTTGAAGAAATCCCAGCAGACAGTTCTGGCCGATCTTTCCAAATAAAAATTGCTGGTGGGGCAGATTTTTACTATTGGTGCTCTGAAAAATCAAAGCTGTTGGGAATCGAATTAATTGCCAAGGTATGCAGAAGGTTCCACCAATTCTCAGCGGAATGACTCTTACAAAAGAACAATCTTGACTGCATCACTAAGCTTGTAGAGTTTTAGTTAACAGATATTTGGTGGAGCTGGTAGATTTAGGACTCTATATATGCACATTGTTTATAAAGCTTCTAAATACTGGTCTTGTTTTGTTTTTATGATGCTAGCTGCTACCAATTAACGTTTGTGTGTGCTTTTATGAATAATAGATGAAGGATATCCTGAAGAGGAAGCCATCAATAGCAGAATTAACTGGAATTAGCAACTGGCGCCTCGATTGCTTCGCAAATCACATTCGGTCGTATCTCATGGGCCTTAGCAGCAAAGAATGTACGGTTGCTGGCCCGTTCTCTTTCACCTCGGATGACTCTTCTTCAGCTTCTACAAGTTCCCAGTCATTGACGCCCCAGCAGCGTTCCAGACACCTTGGCAGTGGCCAGCCACCAAAGTCCAGCAGTAGCCATTATCAAGGAAGCCTCAGCCCACGGTCAAGTTCCTTCAAGGATGGTCCAAGCAAAAGCTACGTGTCCTCCTCTTTGAGACGGGAAAAGCTACGACGCCGTGGAGATAGCAACTTGTCACCACTCGACAATCAGGTAGTCAGATTGCCATCTTCCATTGATTCCTCAAATTCAAGACCTGAAAATGGCAAGTCCCCTGAAAACGAAACTCTTGCTGTGGGACTTTCGAGCTTTACCCCATCACTTCAAAGCTCTACACTGCCACTACCTTCTCTAAGCTCACCCGCCCTCTCACCTTACTATTGCTGGTGTCCTCTAAGTGGATCCCAATACCCTTCAGCAGAGTCTCGAGAAATTCCCTTCTCATCAATACAGACACCTTTGCTTCCTCCACTTTCTTCCTTGTTGTCTGCCTCCTCCAGCTTGTTAGCACCACTCCCGCATCTTGGCTTACCGGATGCTCCATCGCTTGATTTCCCAGCCTTGTTCCCCAACCCATTGGTTCGGCTTCCTATTCCTACTTCTCAGCAGATTCCTACCTTCACCCCATTGATATGTGATCCAATTGTTCACATCCCAGCCGTTGACATTTGCTCGTCTGGTCCAGCATACCTGGTGAGTGCCGGTCCCACAACAATCACTGGTACCATGGCACCATTTGTAACTTCTTCCGAATCGGAAGCAGCTTTGGAAACCGGCGCAAGGGAGACGCTTCGCTTGCTCATCAGTGGTTCGACAGGCACTAATCCTCAACTAATGAATGTGTTGCCTAATCTCTACACCACCAGTGCTGACGATGGTAAGAAGAACGGGATACTTGTGGTTGGCAGCCGAGGACTCTACAGTAGGGACAGTGACATTGATTCAATTGCTAGTAATATGGCCACATTAGGCTTCCTTTCCTTGTCCCAGAGCACAATGGGAGATGGTATTGCTAGTGAATTGGATGATGCGTGCGAGAATATCGAAGTTTTGCAGAGAGAGTCTAAAGGTATGGATGAATCATCATGTTCGTGATAATATGATGCTTATGTTTCGTTTCAGACCCTCTTTTCTGTTGGGGTTTTGTAGTTGAGCTTTTGTTCCTGGAAAATGAAAAGCTATATGCATGTATATAGTATATGTTTGCAGCTGCCTTGGCGTATCCCAAGTGTAATTAGTTCCTCCAAGTATTTGGTTTGCCATTGTATGGAGGGGTAGTGTGCGCCCTCGCCTCTTGTTTATTGATTGAAGTTTTTGTTGTTGGAAATGGACGCCTCTGTAAGGTTTCTATTACTCATTTCATACATGCATAAGTAAAGGAAAGAGATGATACGTAGTTTAGCTTCTGGCTCGAGGTTGAATCTTCTTGACGAAGTATCTTTCTGGATGGGACTAGTGCTTGGATCAGATGAACCACGTCATGATGCTAAGAATTTGAGAGGAAAATTGTTTCATTTATTCTCTTAACTTACAACCTATATGTTGTTGTGCGACATGAACAAAGTTGTCAACCCGCGGGTCGACCCACTTTGACCCTGATCCGGCGAGAAAAACGGGCCATATGCACTCGCCGGGCCGACCGCTACAAGGTACCGGGTTGGAGGTCAAATTGTGTCATTTTTTTCTTTGGTTTGCGAAATGCGTCTATTTTCCGATTTTTCTTTTCGCCTAACTCAATCTTTGGAATCCTGAACATTTAAATATTTATGTTATATAAGTGTGTGTGAATTTTCACTATATTATTGGATCTAAGTACGATATGTTATTTTTGTGTAATATTATATGTTATAAGTCATATGCTAGATAAGATTTGATATAATTTATGAGGATAAGTACAATATAATGACTTTTTCTATATTTCCGGGCCAAGCCGGGCTAAAACGGTTGACCCATTAACCCTTAACCCACTAGCTCGACCTGATCCGGGTCAACCCGCGGGTTGACAACCTTGGACATGAATGAACGTAAGCACTTGGAGCTTTCTCCGCCAACTGGCTAAGTAGTGGGCGATCCGATCCATCCAATTTGATCAGAAAATTGTATGGTCCATGAAATCGTACCGGACACCGTATCGGAAAAGTCAGCGATAGGGTAATACCATTAAATATCGCTTATCGGTTTAGCCTCCAATACTGGTATTTTATGGTTGAATCGTTGGTACGATACGATTTCATGGACCATAGAAAATTGGAGGAATTTGTAGCCACAACTCTATGTGGTTGCTAATGCTAATACTAATGGTGGAGGTGGGGAGTTGTGCGTTTGTAAATATTTGGTTCACAGTACTGCAGTAGTATAGCAGTCTCTTTTATGGTGGATGCTGAGAGTGGGGTTCCCATTCCCAGGTTGGTCCCGTTGGACAGTTATCATCAGTATCCTACTCCTGATCTTGAATGAATGATGGGCCCCCATCCGAGACAGGCAGGCCCAGACTATCTTATCGGCCCATGACTTTCTGTGATCCTTCCTTTCCATCTATCAACTTCTGTAAAATAAAAGAGAGAGAGAGAGAGAGAGTTTGTGCCCCCTCGTCTCGTGGCTGGGAACAGACGAGTCAGTCTCACAAAGCTGGACAACATATGTATTTTATGTTTATCTAAACCCCCCACCCAAGAAATCAAGATTCCTCCTCGGCCACCGCCAGGCATACAATAAGAAATGCAGATACTTCTCAATCTCAATGAATTCTGTATTTTGCACTAACGGCTTATGTGACGTCGGAATGTAGTTTTTAGGATTGTAACGATAGCAAGGAATTCTTGAGATCGATATGTTTGTTTACAGATCATATGTATTATGATGTCCAAATCTCTATTCGGATTTACTTGTGAGGAATTCTTAGGATTGTAATGATAGCAGGGAATTCTTGAGATCGATATGTTTGTTCAAAGACCATATGTACTACGATGTTAAAATCTCTGCACGGATTTACTTGTGAGGAATTCTTGAGATGGATATGCAACTAATCACATATATGTATTATGATGTTAAACATGGGTAGCTCAATTAGTATGATATTGTTCGTTTTGACTTTTGAGCTAACTCTGAACATATTTATTTTTTTGGTATCCTTCTATAAAATGTTTCATATAAATGAGGTTGGTGTACACATACAAGGGTTTATTCTCTAGCATTTCAGATGTGGTTCTTTTATTATCTCATAACAATCCTTCCATTAATACAAGACCACGAATATCGTGTCCTCCCTCAATGATTATCTTGATCCGCCAAACACCTTGCATATTTTATCTTGACCCGTAGGTCAGATGTAGATCAACTTTGATCTACTAGACAGATGAGGATCTCCTTGATCCTCCAAACATGCGTTGATCTCTCCTAGATCCACCAAAAGACGCATATCTCAAATCCAAAGGTCATTAAATGAGCCCCCACCAAACTTAAGCCCACAACCCTAGATCTAAACCAGACTCTGATACCACTTGCTGAGATCGGATAGCTCATTAGCACTATATTGTCCTCTTTGGGCTAAACCTAAACGAATTTACTTTTGGGTATCATTTCCAAAACGCCGCGTACTAATTGGGATTAGTGGACACTCATATACAATAGTCATTTCCCTTGCATTTCCAATGTGGTACTTATCTCATAATAATCATCCGCTCAAGAGAAGGACCACAAACTTCTTGTTTTCCCCTCAGTATTTATCTTGATCCGCCTAACCAAATGTAGATCTCAATTCCCTAGATCACCGAATGAAGGTCCACCAAACTAACATTTACTATCTAGATCCGAAACACCAAACTCTTTTCTAATACCACTTGTCGAGACCGTGTAGTACTTAATTGGGGTCTCTATATAAAATAAAAAAACTTCATCATAACAATGGAATCATAAGCTTCCATTGAGATTAGCATTATACTTAGGTCGTTTGGATGGATCAAATGTAAAACGAGACAATTTGACCAATTGTTTCATTTTACAAAACGAGTCATTTAAAATGAGTCAATTCAGATTACCTGCCCCCACCCCAGACAATTGTAATTGGCTCAAAATGAGTCAATTCAGAATTCTCCAGTCCAAATTGCTTCATCCAAATTTTTTGTACCCAAACGGATCAATCTAGTACAATTGACTCAAAACGAGACAATTGTATCAGATTGATCCATTAGAATTCCTCATCCAAACCACCTTAGTTGTTATAACACATAATATATTAGTCCCATCCAGTAGACATATACCTTATTTTTTTTACTCTCACAAGGGAAAAAAGTATTTGAATGGAAGATGGCAATTATAACAGAATGAAAAGTTATCATAATGACAACTTTAAGCATAAAGCTGCGGTATAATACTGGCATTAGCCCACTATCCAATTATTTTGTAGGGTAGTACTATATACGTTATCTATAATTTTCTTTCCCTGCCTAATTAAAGAACTTTAATTCATAACATACCCAACGGAATAGGTCATGTGAATTTAATTAAATCGAAATTAAGAATATAGAAAAATCAAAGAGTATAAATAAATATAGAAAAATTGAATATTAAATAAGAAAAATTGATAATATTTAGTGTAAAGTTAAAGTTTATTATGAATTATTATAATTTTAATTAATTTTATCCTTTTTAATGTTGATTGGTTATGACTTATTGTAGTTAACGTCCATAGAAAGTAGGCATAACAATTTCACCTCTTTTATTCTCTCTAGAAGACATTCAACAAAGAATAGACTCATATGTTTTGGAAAAAATGTCTAATAAGAAAGCAAGTCTTCCCCTTATGTGGTCTATTCATCCTTTTAGCATTTGGACTTAATATTTTTATTGTTCTAACCATATAATTAAAGTCCAATACAATATTTTTATTATAATTTAAACAAATAATTAAAATCCAACACATAGTAATTTGCCTTGTACATAATGGAGCTAACCTTTTTTTCAATCGCTGGCTAGGCATTAAAAATGGCAAATTTTCAAGGTGGATCCAACAAGTTTTAAATCACTGGTCCCCTCTTTCAATCCAATAATTTTTACATTCAATCACACATTGCAATTTTGATAATTGTGAACCCACTAACCTATCATTCCTTGTAGAGGAAGAAACTCTTTGTGCAAAAAATAAACAAATTCGAATCATTAACTAGTGGCCAAGAGTTCACCTAAAAGAAAATAAAAATTGCCTGGGCCAATGCCTCCAACTTCGTACAAATACTATCACCTTAATCCCTTCCTCAACCACGTCTGATCCTCCTCCCTAATTTAGTTGTTATTAAAAGTAATCAATCACATTCCTTTGTAGTTATTATTTATCGATTGATTTGGTCAACAATATGACTTTTGGAGATAGGACAAAACTAAATGCTAATATTTGGTTCAATTTGTTCATAGGTAATGAAATTCAAACATTTTGCTTGTTTGTTTTGAATGTATAATCAATAAAATCACTTATAGATTCCAATTGAAGCATCGAGATCTCTTTTAGTTGTGTGTTATAAAGAAAGTGATCATATATAATCAATTATATATGTGACCCCTCTCCAATCATGAGAAATTTTACAATGCTATATAGTATTGGTGCTATAAGTTTTTGCCTTTCTGGTACAACTTAAAATTGTACATTTACGTTATGGTACAACTTCAGATTGTACCTATATTTTTTTTACAAATTCTTTTATGGTACAACTTGAACTTGTACCTTTATGTAATGGTACAATTTCAAGTTGTAAAGTTGTACCATAACATAATGGTACAAATTGTTTTATGGTACAACCTAAACTTATACATTTAATGTTATAGTACAAGTTTGAGTTGTACATTAAAACACCAATGCTATATAGCATAGTAGAAGTGCTCCTCCAATCATATTAACCCTTGAAATTTAGCTTTCCCCCTAATTTGGTGATTAAATTAGCAAAATCCAACAAAAAAATGACTTTTTCTTTATCAACACCACCCAAAACTGGAATTCAACACTTTCTAGAACTTGTCGTGCTTCAGCAAGCAATCAGTATAAAATCCACAGTTTTCCCCGGCTCTTCCTCCTCTACCGAAGGAACATTTATTTTTAATATAATAATATAAAATTTGTTCCCTTTTATTCTTAGATCACTTTGTCACTAAAATTAATTACCGGAAAATCTATAAAGATAAATGACCTTACACTACTCTCTAATATGCAGGGGGACGACAACTCGTCTTGACTCACCATGCATATTTACATTATAAGTTCTTGTCTCACTAGTCACCACACAACCAAACTAACCATAAGAGTGAAAATTACATATCTTACGCTAAATGACAGCTCCAATTTGACAAAATATAATTTTTCATCAACTAATCTTAGAAATGTATAAAAAAAAAGAAAAATAATACAAATAAAAGTATAGGAATAATATCCTTATTTGGAATTAATGTGACACTTTTGACCCGAAATTTGAGTTGACTATCAATCAGTGGCGGATCCAGGGGGTGGCCACCCCGGGCCCCGGCCCAGCCCTCCTCTGGATCCATAGTTAGTATAGGCCTTATGAATTTTTCGATTTTAGATATTCGGGTCGTTGTTATTTTAAAATAAGATTGGGTATAATTAGAAAAATAATTCAGATGAACATATTCAAAATCACTACTCTAAATTTAGATTATAAATTCTAACCCCAAAGATTATTCGTCTAAAAAAACAATGAAACCTAAAAATTCAAAAATTTTAAAACGTAAAAGACTAAAACATATATGAGGTTTGTTACTTTGGAAAATTTACTAGAGCAGCTGGTGGAATTAGGGATGGAAACACAATGAAAAATGATTAGTAGATTGATTTGTCTAGTGTTGATGCTGCTCGTTTCAACAACTAATACGAATAGAACCTTTTCAACAACGAAACATGTGAAAATTGATTTACGCAACAAAATGAGCGATGGATTTCTAGTCGATTGCTCAAGTATGTTATTTGAAACAGTGTATACTATTGGTATGGATGTGGACTCCATTATTAATGCATTCGCTAAATTAAAATATCGTCGTGTACAATTTACATTGTAAAAAAATTATAATCATTATATTTTTTTACTATTCTAATTTTCTAATAAAATGCGGCCCAGTGCCCTTCTGTGTTCTGGATCCGCCGCTGCTATCAATACTAACAGTCAATCATTTTCACCGTTAATGATTCATCCAAAAACTGCGGAAGGTCAGACATTTTCACCATTAATCACTTTTGGCCCTACAGGCTTTGATAAGTTGGGACTCATCAAGTACTGGAGAACATTGATGATTAAAACTATTTGCAACTAATCAAAGTATAAGTATGTGTTATACAATTCCCATTGTGTAATGTACTCATGTACAAGTACACAATAATAATGTATGTGTTGACAGCCGTAGTTGTTCAAAAAATAATTGTCTCACCGCAATACTTATATAAATATTTTCGGGAAATAATAGAGACCGAAATAATAAATAATTTAATTAAATAAAATAGACAAGTTGGGCTTTTTACCGTTACAGTGAAACCAGGCCACGTAGGATACTCTTGGTTATTTATTCATCCCAGAGGCATCTAATTCCTTTGTCGTTTTCCCTCTCCAATCTCTTTCCACTGACTTTTATTTTATTTTCGAGGCACCTACTTTATATTTCCTCTTTGTTCTATACTTTTTTTCTTCCATTTAATTTCCTGTCCTTTTTATTGTAAAAAAAAAAAAAAAAAATAGTTTGTTTCCTTGGCCATTGCCATAACTAGGGTCCCCGTCCCTTCCATATGTGCGGCTCACCTCCATCGATCCCTTCCTAGTTTCATCCACTATAAACTGCTTCCCAACTGTCGCCCTCTGTTTTTTTCCCTTCTTCGCTCACCGCCGTCATCCTTCGCATCTCTCTTTTCTCCCCTTCTTCTTCCCGTCACTTCGCTCAGTTGACCCAAATGAAGCGATCTGTATATGGTTAATTGTTTCGCCGGCGGGTAATCGATAAAAGGTTCCTCCTTCCCCTATTTCTCGTCTTCTCGGATCGTTCCGCCGGAAGACACGCTTACTTTTCTTTCTATTCCTTCTCAGCTGAGATTAGATTTAGATAAATCGTCCCCCTTTTTTCTTTTCTTTTTCTTTGGGGTTGTTTCGTTTCTCTTTCTTCTCTAAATTTTCTTTCGATTGCATGATGTAGAGTGGACAGCTGTGGTTGTTCAGCCATGGAAATTTGTGGGTTTTGGGAGATACGGATTGGGTTCTTTCTCAATTTGCCCAATTCGATTGGGATTCGATGGAGCAGCTCATAGCCACTTTTATAGAAAGTTCGAATTTTGTTCGGATTTCCATCTCTGTCTGTAATTCGAAAATTTACCTTTTCTTACTCACGGAGATTGAAGAAATAGAAATCCCCATTCACTCCTCGTCCAGAGACAGAGTATCGGCTTTCATCTTACTGACAAACTAAAGAAACGCCGAATTTGTTCTTCCCCTGTTCTTCCCCTGGAGATGGAGAATAACGGGAAAGTCAACAGAGCGAGCTGCTGCAGCGAGAGCGGCGGCGGTGGCGGCGCGTACATGGCCGACGTTGTTCTGGGCTGCGTGATGCCGTACATCCACGACGCCCGTGATAGGGACGCGGTGTCACTGGTCTGCCGGAGGTGGTATGAGCTAGACGCTCTGACCCGTAAACACATCACGATTGCGCTCTGCTACACGACGAGCCCAGATCGGCTCCGCCGGCGGTTCAAGCACCTCGAGTCGCTGAAGCTGAAGGGGAAGCCCCGGGCGGCCATGTTCAATCTGATACCGGAGAATTGGGGCGGATACGTTACCCCGTGGGTGAAGGAAATCGCCGAATCGTTTACCTGCTTGAAATCGGTTCACTTCAGGAGGATGATTGTGACGGATTCGGATCTGGAGCTTCTCGCCAGGTCTCGTGGGAAGGCCTTGCAGCACTTGAAGCTCGACAAGTGCTCTGATTTATCCACCGATGGGCTTCTTCAGGTGGCTCGATTGTGCAGGTAAATGGGATTTTCTCCCCCTTTTCCCTTTTCAGTTGTATGTTTGGTACAGCCTTGCAACACATTAGAATGTTTTTCTCTTTCATTTGCATTTCGGGAATGGAAGTTCTGCTGCCGGGCTTCATTTTTGTGTGTGTGTGCTTCGTTTCTTTTCCTTAATGGGATACAAGTCTCCGTAGTCATATTTATGGCTGGGAACGCTTATGGAAATGGAAACTTCTGCTTTGTTTTGTAGCAGTGTTGACCATTTCAGAATATGGGTTTATCATTTGCAAGTTTTATGTACTCTCTGCTTGTGGTTCGTGGCGTTTGGGGTTGGTAGGAAGCTCTGCTCTCATGGATTTCATCAGCAAAATGAGCTCTTTTCTTTTGCAGAAAAGGATCTGCCTTTTGCGCCCGTGTAGGTTGTGATTGTTTCCCTAGATTAGCTGTCAAAGCTCTGACACTCCAATCTTGCAGGGAAAGATTAGCTTTACTTAAAAAAAATGCAGGGGAAGTGCCTCTCATAATTGGATATCAGATTGCAGATTGATTCTAACGTGTGTTTTTTTTTTGGGTCTCATAGCTTCTCTCAGTTAGCAGTTGTAGGATTTATTCTGACCTGTTGTATTTGGTTGAAAATGGAGTGATTGTAGTTTGGTTGTCAGGGAGGTAACTAAGTCTATCTGTCATATTTTTAGTAACAGTTCTATGTTTCATCGCAGCAAGGTTGCTTTAAACTGGAAATTGAGCTTTGTGAGCAAGAACTTCTAGGGTTTTCATTTACCCTCATGACTATGACCTCATTTGTTATCGTTTTTTTACAATCTTTCTTCTCCTCCATCTTTTCTGTTTTACTTGCCAAAGGTGGTACATAAGTATGTGTTAAGCATGAGCATATATTACTGTACCTTGTTTCTGTTCTCATTTGAAGTGAAGCATATTGGTTTTGACACTCTTATTTTCCGATTTGCTGTACTTTCGTGGTTTTGACATTCTGTATAGTATCATGAGCATCGTACTCACTCATGGGGTTGACCTGTGGTTTGCAGGCAACTGAAGACTTTGTTTTTGGAAGAGAGCATTATCTTGGAGAAAGATGGTGACTGGCTACATGAGCTTGCTACACATAATACCGTACTTGAGAGCCTAAACTTCTACATGATAGACCTCACCAAGCTAAGGGTTGAAGACCTTGAGCTCCTAGCCAAAAACTGCCGGTCCTTGATCTCTGTAAAGATAAATGATTGTGAAATCCTAGATCTCATTGGCTTCTTTCGAGCTGCTACTTCTTTGGAAGAATTCTGTGGTGGTTCTTTTTCTGATTTACCTGAAGATGATGTACCAGACAGGTACTCTGCTGTAACTTTCCCCCCTAAACTATGCCGGTTGGGTCTAACCTACATGGGAAAGAAAGAAATGGCCATAGTATTTCCATTTGCTCCTATTCTCAAAAGGTTGGACCTCCTTTATGCATTGCTCGACACAGAGGATCACTGTCTTTTGATTCAGAAGTGCGCCAATCTGGAAATCCTTGAGGTATGGCCACTCTTATATATCCCTCATTAGCACTGATGTTACTCATCATCTTTTACTCATATCTGTACATCTTGTGTCTGTTTGCCTGTTCAGAAATGGTTTCCTAACCTTGTGTTTGTTCCACATACTCTTAGACTAGTAATTTCCCTTCATTCTTTCTTGTTTCTGTTATTTACACATGGACAAAGGCTTAGGTGCTAGATGAACAAAAACTATTTAAATGCTGAGAAACATCAATTTCTTTTCTCATGGGTAAATGCCTAGAAATCAGTGTGTCGTAACGTACCATACAGACCAGTTTTACCTGTCAACCTACATACCACTACCAGTGCCAGTATGGGTTTGACAGGTTATAATTCATTTTATATATTTTTGTAATAAATCTCTGTTTTACTTTGAATCACTAGCCTTACTGATTTGATATCCGGTATGGTTTCACAGTCCATGCTAGAACTAGAAGTATTCTTGGATTGAAAATAAGTTTTTGGGATTTTGGTGCCAAAGAAAATGGCTTTTGACTGAATACAGCTGCTCTTTGTATGTGCGCAGACAAGAAATGTGATTGGAGATAGAGGGCTGGAAGTTCTTGCAAGGAGTTGTAAGAAATTAAAGAGGCTTAGAATCGAGCGTGGTGCAGATGACCAAGGACCAGAGGATGAAGAAGGTGTGGTTTCACAAAGAGGACTAATCGCTCTCTCCCAGGGCTGCCTAGAACTCGAGTACTTGGCTGTCTATGTCTCTGACATCTCAAATGAAGCTCTCGAGTCACTTGGCACCTACTCAAAGAACCTCAATGACTTCCGCCTGGTCCTTCTAGATAGAGAGGAGAGAATAGCTGATCTGCCACTCGACAATGGAGTTCGGGCACTATTGAGGGGCTGTGACAAGCTCAGGAGATTCGGTCTGTATCTAAGACAGGGTGGGTTAACTGATTTGGGAATGAGCTATGTGGGGCAGTATAGCACAAACGTGACGTGGATGCTACTGGGTTATGTTGGGAATAGTGATGAGGGTCTTCTGGCTTTCGCCCGTGGATGCCCTAGCCTGCAGAAGCTGGAGATGAGAGGATGCTGCTTCAGCGAAGGTGCACTGGCTAGAGCTGTACTCCAACTGGGATCTCTTAGGTACCTGTGGGTGCAGGGTTACCGAGCATCACAGCACGGAAGGGATCTTCTAGCAATGACTCGCCCGTTCTGGAACATCGAGCTGATTCCTCCGAGGAAAATAGTCATCCCGAGTCAGGATGGAGAGACTGTGATCGAGCATCCTGCACAAATACTTGCTTACTACTCTCTTGCTGGGCCGAGATCGGATTTTCCTGATACCGTTATCCCCTTGGACCCAGTAACCTAGCTTTGGTTTTCAAGTTGTTGTATATTAGAGATATGAGTCAGCAACCAGTGTCTATAGTTTCATCCAACCTTCATGTTTCTACATTGATCTGTTGTTTAACTGTCCGTTTTCTTCTTCTTGGTGTCTGGGTTTTAGAACTTTAGATGTTCTGGTTAGAGACACACCCTTCTGTCTGTACTAATAAGGCCCTGCTCTTCTTATGTGTTTATGCAACATGTGTAATTGGGTGTAAAAGAGCACTTGAAATTGTATTTGAGAGTTGTTACTGAGACAAAAGACCAGAATCTGGAGTTTGATGAAATTATATCAGACATGGTAGCATGGCATGTTTCTGAGTTTGATGAAATTACAACGATTGACAGATTCATTATACTGTGCTTTTCTTTTGGGTTCATAAGTTGACCGAATCAGTCTTTCAGATGTGATTAACTGGGCTGGGCCTTCGAAACCAATGGACAGAAAGCCCAAACTGAAATGACTTTCGTACTTACTTTAATCAACAAACTAGGAAGGAGGCACCAGAAACCCAAAAGGCCCAATCCGTGTCGCTTCCAAGTTCCATCTCTCTTTTTGTTTTATCGAATGATTTTCTTTCTCCTTCATTTCGACGCCATGGTTCCCTTTTGTATTTCTCTTTCTTTCTTTCTTTCTTCGTGTCCACTCTGTCTGAGGTGGGTGTTCTTTTGGTGCTTGCTTAGGCCACCTTTACACAGTCCAATTATCTTGTCTGGGCTGAAAATAGGAGCTATGACAGGGAAGGATCGATGAACAAAACCTTTAATTACAATATCATTAAAACCTTGTCCTATATCCATGTTTATGAATTGTTTCTAATCTCTTGTGGTTTGTGGGAACAAGAGAAAAGGAAATGGGGATGGGAGTAAAAGGTGGAGGATAGATATCATACATCATGCTCCAACAAACATGGTTTGGTTAGATGTTTTGGGCTAAAAAATAACCACAGAGTGGTATGGAAAAGTTACCTTACACTCTGAAAAATTCTAGGTAAAATGTCTATAGTCTACTACTATGATTATGAGTTATAGAGAAGTTAAGTAATTAAATAAAGTGCTTTAATTTTAGGTTGAATATGTCTAGTCTTCTTCATTCATCTCTTTGTAAGAAACCCCTTGTTCTCCAACTCATAATTAAAAGATCGTTTCATGTGTAGCTGTTTAAAAGTTGTTAACTTTATCGTGTGCGAGACATGTTGTATAAATCAAAAATCAATTTTGCATTGTGCATAAGAAGATCATTACAACTTGCTCAGACCGCAACATCGTACAACTTCAAAGTTGGATCTGCGTTTGTTACACAACTCGGTCATGTCAGCATGTTATGTAATTCCAAATTTAGATATCTTTAATCTACGCTTTTTCCCCATATGGTACAATCTTGGCCATATCCTGTTTTTGTAGAATAATAAACATGTAGCTAACCACATGTTGTTCATACATATAGCCCATTTTTACATTTGATGATGCATGTTTTACATTTTGATCGTATCACGCAAACTTAGCCATGTTATAGAGAATTGTACGCATCGTTTGATTTGACCATGCATTGTACAACTTTGAATATGGAGTTAAACACGCCTGTCAACTTACACCTCAGACATGTCGTATAACTTGGCAACGAGCTTCATGCCTCGACGATCTTCTTGGCATCTTGATTGAGTAGGTTAAGGGGGAGAAAGGGAAGAAGTTGAAGTGAGAGATGGGTTTTGGAACATGGATGTGGAAGAGATGAAGCACTTGGAAAGGGAGAGGGTTCGATCGAGCAGTTGATCCTATATGTATCAGTTCGACCACCCCACCACATATATAACTTCTAGCTAGGTCCATTCATTCACATGCCAAAGTAACTACATTAATCATATCTAGCCTCTTAACGTAATATTTGCTTAATTAACTTACTTGACACAACTTTATACACTACACGTTTTGAGTATTTTGATTTGTAAAGTAATTGATCAGTATTATTGTTGAGACAGAATATTCGAAAATAGAAGTGGAAGAAAGATGGGCCAGAAAATACAAAATAAAAGGTTTGGATGACGTCAGTAATAATGGCCTTTCTTTTCATTCTCCATTACATATGATATGATATGATACGATGAATGTGTATATATAGAGTGGCAAATTAAAAGATGGCTTCCTCATGCTGGCTGTCATCCAACTTGGAGTACGAAGCAATATAATCATAATATTATTATTCAGATGGAAATAAAATAATAACTAAATAACTTGATTTTTACAGAAATGTTCGGATTGAAAAAAAAAAGACTAAAAAATGGATTTAGCAAAACAAAACAACTCGATGTGGTTGGGTTTTTTTATGCTAATTAATAACAGTTTTTATGAAAAGAATTATCAAAAAATTTATTAATAAAGTGGTCTGAAAACTTATTTACGTAATTGATGAATGATGATGATGATGGTGGTGGTTTTATTAGCTAAGCTATCACAAGAAAGAAAGAAAGCCCACAAAGTGTGCAAAGCAAAGCAGGTTATTATTAATAAAAAGTGCCAAACTAGTGACGTCACACCATTATGTGTTGTTATTCATTCTGTATTTTGTTTTTATCCCCTTTTTGAACGAATGACAGATCTGCTGGGAAAGAAGAAGTTGGTTGGGTCGACCAAGCTTAGCTTGCTTCTTGATAATCATTACCAAACAATAATATTAATTAACTCAAATCCAGACTAGTGTTTGTTACCGACTTCCCGTGAATGAGATGTTTTCGCAGAATCCATGTAAACATAATCCACGTACTGAGCACTCCCCCCAAACAACAAGCTTGCTGTAGCATGTGTTTTCAGCTCTTTAATTAATATTCGATATGTATGATTTTGACCGATATTCTTAACACTTGATTAATACATTTTAATGAGAATTGATAAGATATAATGTGAGTTTGAGGTTTGGTAGCTGAGTTTGGATATAATATTATCAAATAATGTATTTGATTCTAATAACCAGTTGATCCCAATAATTCGAGTTGTTGGGAGAGGTTCAATCGTGAATCATATACCACAACACTAACACGCTCCCCTCAAACGAAAGCCACTCACAAGGGCTTGAAGTTTGCACAGGTCTGAAGACAAGATACTATGTGCTTAACAAATGGGGGTCACAGGGAATCGAACACAAGACTTCTTGATCACAGAAGGCTCTGATATCATGTCAAGAACCGGTTGATCCCAATAACTCGAGTTGTTGAGAGATGTTCAATCATGTATCATATACCACAACACTAACCACACCAAAATGTAAATTTGTATTGATATTTTAGAACTTATATGTAAAAAATTAATTTTATATCAAGCTTGAGTAACTCCTCACGTGTTTTTTTGCTAAACCTTCACCACCAAAACTTTAGATTCCATAGCAAATCCATGGTAACATACAATTAAAGGACACAGTCAATTTCGTATCTCTTCGATTGAGGTAGCTAGGTCGTAGAGTAGAGTAAAAGGAAGGAAAAGTTGTGTGTATGCAATCTCTTGGTGCTCCTTGTCTTTTAGTAAGCTCCTTAAGAATAATAATAATAATATTCTTAAAGCTAAAATAGCTATAAGATTCTTTATTCCTGCAAATTAGTACTGAAAAAGAAAGGACATGCAACAGGGAGGAAAAGAGGAAATTGTCCATTAAATAACAAAGCGGGAAGCCCTTTAGAGCACAAATCCGACAATTAACCGGTAATATATCAAATATCGATAGAATATGGTTAGTAAATAATATTAAAATAAGATAATATATTCGACTAATGATATAACGATAACGATACTTATTAAAACCAATAAAACCAATCACTATATTTCGAGTAAACGGTTTGACTATATTATGCCGACTAAAATACATACTCTTTTTTTTCTAAATATGTGTACTCGATTTCTCGATTCGAGAGACAAGTTTCGTGCTCCGATCGCTAGTGACAGGTTTAGGGGGCCGCCACGGACCAGAAACCAGCCCACCTCTAGATCTAGAGTTAGTATAGGATTTGTAAATTTTTTTATTTTTAAGTATTTGTTTCGGTACTTGTAGGGTTACAACCCACCTCCTCTCTATCTCTTTTCTATTGTGACCAAGTGCTCTACATTATTATGGATCCGCCGCTGCGGACCGCCATGGTACAGTACAACAAACCGTATTCAAATTTGGATTGGCGGAAGCAAAGGAGAAGAATAAAGCAGTGAAAATAAAATCCAGAAAGAATCGCACTTTGCATTTTCCGACGTGGATCGGTCGTTTCCATATTGGAGGAATATGGGTTTTGATTTTTGAAGCAGCATGTGATGCTTCAACTGTAAGTGGAATGCAGACTCAGCTGCAACTATGAAAAATTGAAAATGATGATTGGTAATTTGGTATGGTCAGCTTTCTTTCAATGCCTTTTCTTTTCAGTTTCTTTAATGGTCAACTTGGCCACCTTGGCTTCCATCCATAATATATATATCTTATTAAACACACAAAAAAAAACCCCTAATAATCACTTCACTACAACCATTCTAATTACCTTTGTGCTCTGATTAGGTACAAATCATTTTATTTATTAGGGTACCCACGACACACGTGTACAAGATTATATATATAGTCTCAAGTCCACAAACCATCAACAATACTAGCAGATAGAGTGATCATTAAAAAAAAATAGAAATAATTTAATGTAATTACATGAAGAAATCTAATGAAAAAGTTGCCACTGATGACGGTGCTTGTTTGGCCACATCAGGCTTATGAGTCGGCAGATTAAAATCATGTACTGCTACTTTTTCCCCTAATACAATGATGATCTTATCATAATATGTGATTTTTCTGACATAACAAAAAAAAAAAATATTTTGATAGTAATGAAACAAATCTTGGGCACCAATTTCATGTGGACGAGAAGAAGGTATGGCATCCTACTCAGAGTTGATACATAGAAGATCGATCATATCATATCATGCATATAGAACTAGAACATTTGTAACATATTTGACAGCTTGTTTCCGTTCCGCATATAAATTTCTAATTAGTAAAAAAACAGAGAAGGACAATCTACGAAGCAGTACTCCTTCTTAGCTGCGGATTCTTCGAGCCGCCGAAAACTGGAACGCCGCCGTATGGCGAGCGGCGGCGGCTGCATACAGGTTTTGGTCATAGGGGGACGAACCCATCATGAACAAGTCGGCGTTGGGATGGTGGTGGTTCCAGTCCATCCACGCCAGTTTGTGCGGCGGCGGGGAAAGCAGGTGATCGATGTGCGGCGTCGACGACGATCTCTTGTTGCCGTCCGAGAATAAAGTACCATGGTTGTTGTTGTTGTTGTCGGCGACGGCGGAGGAGAGGTTGACGGTGGTGATGTCGTGGATGCTCGGCCTCCTCTTGTCCTTCACGCCGGAGAGCTGTTGCCTGATGAAGTACTTTTGGGCATGACTCGCCACCTGAGTTGGCGTCTTCGACACCACGAAGTTTCGAGAAATGTTCCTCCAATCCCCTTTCCCATACTTCAGCAGCCCTTTCAAGAATCGCCTGCCAAGAGAACAGAAATTCAACCCATTGAAGCACAAATTTTACCAACGAAAATTTCGTCGTATCGTTTGAGTACAGATCGCTCGATGAAACAAATAATGGATATACAAACCATTACATGAAAATTAGTCACATAAGTAAGGTGTATAATTTGACTACGAGAAATTTGTAAATTTGACCTCAATAAATGCTTGACAATAACAATTTAATGTTAAATAAATATAATTTTTTTTGGGGGGGAAGTGAAGAAGAGTGAGTGACCGGCCAATCCCAATCCAAACCTGTGCTCGTCTTCAGTCCAAGGGACGCCCTTCTTGCGGCCCTGATCGGAGGTCTTAGTGGAGCCCATGGGCCGCTTTCTGTACGAATCGACGAAGTCGGGCCCGGCGATGAGGTCCAGGCTGAAAGCCGCGTCGTCGTCCGCGGCCAAGTAACCGGGGATCGGGACGCGCCCAGCTTCGATCTCGCACACGTCTTCTTCCAGCTCCCTGTACTGTTTGATCACATCGGAGACCGATTTCCCCGGGATCATGGCGGCGACTTTGAGCCAGCGGTGCGGATCGTGCTCGCCGTAGAGAGCCAGAGCGCTCTCGAAGGCCTTGTTCTCTTCTCTGGTCCACTCCGAGCTCTGGCTGCTGCTGCTGCTGTTGTCGTTTAGCAGGTGGTGGCTCGACATGTAGAAATGCGGGTAAAGAGCTTCCATGGCTACTGATTCGTTTTTGTGTCTGTTCTTTTGCTCTCTTTTGGTGGGTTCAAAGAAGGAACGGAGTCTTCATGGTGAAGTGTGGGAAGAAGGAAGGGGGAAGTGGGGATTTTTATCAGAAAACAGAGGAGGGGGGCTACTGAAGAATCTGCCTTTTCTTGTGTGGAGAATCTGGGAAAAGGGGAATCGAGGGAGGGGGATTTCAAAAGGAGAATAAAAATCTCTATCTCTTTGTGTCGATTTCAACCTTAGGAAGGAACCCAGATCGGGAATTGAGGCGAGATTTTGTGGGGGAGGTAAGAAGGGCAGAATATGAGAGGAAGAATCCGAGAAAAAAACAGAGTCTTTGATTTGGGCGGTTTTACAGTGGAATCTTAAATTGGGGAGGAAGAATTGAGATGTGGGTTCTGGATTTCTATGTGTGCCTGTGTGGTGGAGATGGGATCGAAGAGGGAAGGTCGGGAAGAAGAAGGCCAGGAGAGGAGAGGAAAGGAAAGGAAAGCAGAGGTTTTTGGCAAGTGGGAAAGGTGGCTGCTGGACATTGGAGTGGGGAGTGTTTTGCCACTATATAACACCTCTATTGAAAGCACTTGCTACTGTTCTCCCTTTTTCTCTCTTTTTAATTTTAAATTGAGGAAGATGACAACTGAATTTTCCATTGTAGTGGTTTTTTTTTTTAATGAAGAATGGAGATCTCTTTCGATTGACGTGAATACTTCGGTAAACACTCACAAAATACATAACTTCATAGTTTATTATGCAAGTCCATATGGAAACTTCTAGGTATACCTTTACTGATATTATTAAACTACGGTGGTATTTTGATGAATTGAAATTGTTGATTGTTCATTATAATTAAATAAGTTTTAGTGGTTAGGATTGAGTGTTGTAGGATATAGAGTTGAGTGTTAGTGTGTACGGTGTAGCGCTTGTAAAAGGCTATCTTGTTAGCGGTGTAACTAATAATTGAACTGGAATTGGTGGTTAACGGTTATATCGATAATCGATTAAACAGTAAATGACGATTCTCCCAAATTTAGCTAATTACTAAACGACGGATAGGCGGTTAACCGATTACGTCCGTTCTCATAGTTAGGGTTGAAAATAATAGGCTCTCGATGAGCCGCAGACATAGGCCGAAAATAATGTGATGTTTGAAGGCGCCTACAAGACCACTTACCTAGCCACCATAATTGTAATAGTGACATAGTTTCACATGAGAATAATTTCAATGAAGGGCTTTAGAAGGAGTACAATATAGAAAATTGGACTTGCGCAGAGTAGCTCGACGACAACAATCAGTAACATTTTACCTTCCATGTAATTTGGTGGGGTTTGTGGGTTGAGTAATTGTTGTTGGGTCTATTATTCTTGTTTGTTTCTTCAATCAAATTTGACAATAGAATGGTGTTATTGTGTACTTGTGTTGGATTGAGTTGATTATGGATTGATATCTATATTAAATTAGATTTTAATTATACGATAACAATTAAATTATTTTTTTATGGATGATAACCTAAAATAAAATATTAAAGAGAAATTAACAGTCGATGCTGAATTATACGTAGCTCCAACAGACCAACACTAATTAAAATATCTGTTCAACCTTGTATTAATACGAGGGCCAAAGAGTATGTTGATTGATAAAATTCTTAATACTATATATTCTAAAGAAATTTTCCTTATACGGGTCAGTGTGGAGGTCATAATCTAAGAACACACGTATCCAGCTAGCTATATACTACTTTGACGACCAAGGCGGCAGCTAAGTTGGCGCGAGTTATGTTTTGTTTGTGGCATTGGAGCAAATCTTGGTTTGTGACGTTTTGAAAAAAACTTGCCATTGTTTTGTTGTTTTCAATTTGGGGAGTTATGGTCAGTCGACTTCTTCAATGGAGAAGATGAAAACGACTTCCGATCGATCTCCGGCGATCCCTCCAGTTTGAAACTTTCAACACTGCAATAGCTACCTAGTTTTTGTTGCACCACACCAACACATACACATGAAGACAAAAAAGGTTCATCATTTTCACTTCATCATTTTCCTTTGGTGATGGGTCATTTCAGAAAAGAGTTTTTCACACAGGTACGTGCATAGCCATTCTTAAGTAGGTAGAGATTTTTTTTTTACTTATAACGGGGAAAGAAACAACAACGAAGCAACGATGATTGATGCTATCTACATTGTTATCTTTAATTATTCAGGTGGTGTTGCTTGACAAAATTTAAATATTTTGTACGTGTTCATTCGATATTAAGTGTTGAAAGTTGAAACACTATTGTAGGTCCTTGTAATTGTGGTCGCCGATGAGTACTGCATTTTTGTCGTCAAAATTTATTGTCGTTGCTCGTCATCTGTCATTGTTTGTAAGGTCACTCCACCCTTCCCTCATGTGCCTAATCTTCTTCTTCTAGTTCACCTAATTATCGAAGTTAATGAAATCACCTTTCCAATATTTTTGTGGATGGGCATGATAGTACGAGGATTGTGAAACTGATGAAAAATAATCAACAAACAATAAGGCATGGAAGAAGTATCGTTCTTTTGCTTTATCTTCACTATATGTACAGTTTTGTGACTTTCATGTTTGTGAAAGTTGTAATACAAATGAATTTAGAATGCTAGTAAGTGGGAGTATACTCCAGATTCCGGTAGCTAGTTTGTGACTCTTGTAAAATTATGAGCAACTACAACCTCAAAGTAAAACTTTCGTCTGGATGCATCTTTCTTTAAGTCAATAAGCGAGCTTTGATGTCATTCCCGAACCGTACCTCGAATTATTTTATCAATCGAAATCTAATAATAATTGAGTGAATTCAAATACCGCCGAAACGTGCTTGTGGCTGAAGAGGTTATGAATTTCAATTAGTAAGGTGTGTACTAATCTCTTAATGTAGGTAAAACTTCCCCATATCCCTTGAATTTGTTGTCAATCATTTCTCCCCGTGAATCTTTGCCCATACCTATATTTGCTTTTAATTCCATTATTAGTTTATTACTTTGTTATTATGCACATAAATTGGCAGAACGACAAGGAGAAAAGGAAAACGAATACCCCAAACAATCCCCTCTTTGTGCTTTTGTCATAAAATGGGGAAACGCAAACGACAAAGAGGCCCCAAAATGGAGGGACCCGATTTTCACTTCCCTTCAATTGGAAGAGTGCAATTTTACAAACAGTTACAGCCATTTTCCCCATACACAACTTGCAAGTGTATGACTGAATCCCCTGTTTTACACTAAACAACAAACCTCTCTCAAATTGCTTGAAAGAGAAGGGTAGAGACAGAGATGGAGAGAGGGAGCCATGAAAGTGGCAAAACCCTAACTTTGGTGCAACCCATTTTTTATTTTACCCTCTTTTTTTTTCTGTTCAACTTTTCCCTTTGGTGGTATAACTCCAAAAACAGAAAGGGGGGGAAAAGATTTGTGAAAGGCAAAAAGGAAAATCAAAAGGTTATTATTGGGCTTCTTTCTTTTTATTTTCCTTGTGTCCAATCATTGTAAGCCCCTTTTTTTTTTTGTACCCATCACCTCAATCATCACATCTCACTGAAAAAGAAGAAGGGAAAAAAAAGAAAAGATTCCCAAGTCCCAATTTTTACATAATAATTTTGAATTATAATAAAAAAAATATAAGATGCAAAGTTTTTCTCACTCCCCTACTACAAAGTACAAACCTCCCCTGTCTGTCTACTAACCCTACTCCAACTGTCTCTTTGTTGATTCCTGAATTCTGCAGTTCAGCCTTTGTACTTTGTAGTATTGTGGGAGGTTAAAGTACTGACTCATTTCATTATGGACCTTTTCCATTCTCCACCTCCAAATGGCAATGCAAAAACCATACACCTACATCCACATCACATCCAAACACACAATTAACTAGTATATTTGTAAATTCGTTTCATACGATTTTATAATCCTTGCTTTCTGTACAAGTTTACAGACAGTAATGAGGAAAATATGTAAAAATCTTCAATTATTACAACTCGAAAAGGAATTAAATTCATCTGGATTATCGGCTCCGAACCGGATCGTGTGTCCATCCTCCGGTGGGGACACTCATGGTATTCCTTTGGACCGGATCAACCAAATTGAAGCTGATGGGATCTTTACCCTTGTCGAATATTCCTCATTCTTTTTCCAACCACGAAGAAATTGAGTTCCATGAAGATGGATGGGATGGCTCTACAGACTACACCACCTGCATTTATCTTATAGCATCTCAAACCCAGCCACAGATGAACTCTATGTTCATGCAGAAGACAAAACAGTAAGTTGTACTTACATTGAATGTGTGCTTTCCAACAGCAGAATGAACCAATGCTGGGAGAAGGACGAGAATCATCAGCAGCAGCATCGTTCAACCGATTGATCGATCGATCTCGTGATATTGGCTCTGCCTCTTCCCCTGCAGGCTCCTCTGGAGATTTTCTACTGCAACGAGGGGAAGTGTATATGTTTCTTCCTTTTTAAGAGGGAACACAAATCTGTGATTGACCACCTTATATCAGTATATGGTTATCAGATGTGCTTTGCTGGAATGTCTTTTCAACTTTGTTAGGTGAATGACAGTAGCCCTCAGCTCATACTGTAGAGAGAGAGGCAGAGCGATTCTATATTTGTCCAGTTTTCTTGTATAATACACAGAAATGTTCTTTTGTTCTTACTTTTGTATGGATGGCATTGTCAAATTGACTGAAACCCCATCTGCAAATTGCAGCCCAGCTGCAATTTCTTTCAGTTTTTTGTTCTTCTTGTTCATATCGATGGACTAATCTCTTCGGAACCAGAATTCAATTGTTCATTTCATTCATTTGACTGAGTGCAACATTCTGTAAAAAGGAACCTACATTTCGAGAAGCCTATGTATTGAAAGCACACATTGACGTAGTGAGGAAATGAAAACAGAAAAGAAATTAAAGAAGAAACTAAAAGGTGCCAAATATACAGATATCGTGGTTAAGAAATGGATTTCTGGAACTGCTACTTTTGGCTTACAGCTTTATACACTTCTCTGCACCTTCTAACACGTTTTCTCCAAGGGCTTGCCTTTTCCCAGGACATCCAACAAACACAAGTTCATGAAACAACATGCACCTGTTTTCATGACATATCACTGTTTATGGCAATGTACAATATGATAACGATTAATGTATTGTGCTCTCGGCCTGTTTGAAACACGAACCAAGAAGACTGACATGTGTGCAACGCGTGTCAATAGGTGAGTGAACTTACAAGGGAGATGTTGTGTTTTTCTTTCAAGGAATTGTTTAGGCTAGGGTTGCTCCAGCTTGAATGGCATTACCAATCCTAGCAATGGAAGACTTGTAAACAAACCCCAAAAAGTCTATAATATCATCTTGAGATACACCTTCCAAAGGGTCTATCTCAAATGACCAGACAACTAGTGTACTTGATCCTTGGCCCCCATAATCAACAAGCTTGAGCTTGTTCACAGAACCATCCAGACCAACATTGCTGGCTTCCATCTTGTAAGCATAGCTGTGGGATGATGGGTCAATGGAGATCAACTTCTCCTTGATCCATGATCTTTCACCATCTTCTTGAGGGAACATGAACCCGGAGACTAGCCGCACATAACCCACCTGCCCTTCTTCTCCGGTGAGGATTGTGCATCTCTCAACCATTGGCATCCACTCTGGGAGTCTCTTGGTCTGTGAAACCATGCCCCACACTTTGTCTATAGGTGCATCCACGATTGCTCTCACACTACCTCGCCATTTCAAGTGTTCGGAATCGAGTTCCTGTGGTCAGGGAAAATATGAAATAATTGTTTGCAGTAGCCAAGGTTTGTCAAGAAGAAAGAACATTACCATGGTTGTCTTGTTCCTCGTCTGATATAGGACTGCAATTTGCTATCTCTGTGTTTCTGGCTTAGGCATTCCCTGGCCTTGATTGGTAATCCTTATTGAGGATGGAACTTGAGGTAGCTAGCAGACAGAAAAGATTGATTTGCTCAAGGACGTATATAGTTTATGCTGATAAAAGCAGCATATGCTTTGATAATAACATAATGGTATATGTCGAAATGATATGAGAAATGGTGGAAAATCCAACGCTATGGGAATCTTGTTTCAGAGAACACCATTTGGATTTGTATATGAGTCATGTGGTATGATAATGATTTTCTTGCCTTCCTGGTCAGCTCTTCATTTGTCAGATAGATGTAAGGCATGCCCTTTGGCATATAGATCTCTATGTTTAAGCCAATGAATCATAGCAGAAGGACAAAATACCAGATCATTACTTCATTACACATCCATCATATGTGAAACCATTTCAGTTCCATCTGCGACATGGGATCTGGCTGAAGGCTGATATGCTAGTTATTGAGACAAGTTGTGTACAAGATAGATTAAAATTTCTTGCTCGACAAAGCAGGAGCAGCTAGCAGTGGTATTGGAATGGTTTAAGCAGCAGCTCCAACAGGTACACCACCAGCCTCCTTGAGCCTCGACTTCCCGTATAGAGTTTCTTCAAACCGGATTATCTCCTCTTTGGACCCGTAAGCAACTTGAGTTCTTTCATCGAGTTCCTTGATCTCCTTGTCTAGAATAGATTGGTGGCCGTCGCTACTGTAACCTCCAGCATTCTCAATTAAGAGCCCTAGTGGAGCTACCTCGAACAGCAACCTCAGCTTCGCCTTGGTAGTTGGCGATATGACGTTGGTGAAGATGCCCTTTTCTTTCACAATGATCTGATTAACATCCGGCACCATTCCTCCTGTGTATCTCAAGGTGTACTTCTCCTTGACATAGTAGTTGATCAGCTGCAATTTTCAAATGAAACAGAACAAAATTTTTGATGAAATACACAAATCAGAAATTTCATGGCTGCAGAATAAAATGAGGAGAAACCTTGTCATAATCAGGATTGTCAAATGTTGCTCTCAAGTTGCCAGGTGAGAATAGTTTGCCTTCACCGATATCGGTGGTCTCCTTCACATGCTGCCATTTTCCTGTAACAGTGATCATGAACTTTGAGAAAGCTGCCATTAATTTTGAGAATCGAAAACATTGAGAAGGAAGCCAACAAAGCAAACCTTCATCCAGAAGGAGGAACTCATGAGTGCCAGGGAAGCCCTTGATTGCAAGAACATATGTAGTTCGAGGACCATAAACCCCCATAGCGGCAGCCACTTGATCTCCTCCTGTAACCCCAGTTAGCTTATCTCCTGGCCACACTCCAAAGATGGTGCCAACTGCAAAATTGGTGTCCACAATGCTGGATCCATCCAGTGGATCAAAGGCAACACTGAATCCACCTGTTTGATACCGTCCGAAAATCGAATAAATCTAGATTGTGGTTTGTAAGTAGCTTGAAAGAAACCCTTATTAATGCAGAAGTTAGATACCTTCAACAGGTCCTCCCATGTCTTGAAGCTCAGGGACTTCCTCAGAGCAAGCATATTTACAGAAGTGAGAGTGCTCCAAGGCCTATATAAAACTAATAATGAGAAGCAAAAGAAAAAGATAGGAGCTCAGCAATCCAAAAAATGATTAACTATTGTTCAGAAGAAGTAGTGACCTCAAAGAGCAACTTGTCAGCAAGCATATCAACAGCAAGCTGCTCATCTCCAAAGGAGTTGACACAGGCAGTTCCTCCACAAGAAGCAGTCCTAACTTTGTATCCAATTGTCCTTATTGCCTCTCCCATGCAAGTCAGTACCCTCATCAGTCCCTTGTCTGTTGTTGCCTTCTTCAAAAACTCTTCCTGTTCACACAAACAAAAGATGTTTTTTCAGGTTCCTTGATCAAAAGAGCAAGAAACTTTAACCCCCAATTGGCTGGTCTTTTGACTTACCAGACTATCACCAATCTCACTTCTGGTGATAAAAGAAGTGCTCTTTGCCTTGGAAACCTTAAATGATGATGATGATCTTGGAACCAACTTCAAAGCTTCTCCAAACAGTGAGCTTGACTTCAGGTTCTGCGTGAAGGTAATAACACAATCAGTCAAAAGCAGCTAATGAGTTTCCACACAATGAAAGAGCTTAGCTGACTAGAGGCAAGTAAAAGTACCCTGGAGCTGAAGGAAGGGGAGATGGATGAAGGAGAGACCAAAGATTTCGAGTGCTGTGAAGGCATGAATGCCCCACGGCCGCAGTAAGCTATACCAGTCTCCATTCTAGATTGGAAATCTCTGCAAAAACTTCAGTAAAGTTCCCCAAAAACAGAACTGGAAGTAAACTCTTAATCTGTCTATGGCTGAGCTCAACGTGCTTTTGGCTTCTTTCAGTTGCTCTGCAAGTTGGTTTGTTGGGGCCTGGGGGAGTGGGGAGGAGATAGATAAGCAGTTCACTGTGTAATGACACGTGGATGATGGATGGGGTTGTGACGAACGGATAGCGCGGACGGGGGCAGCTTAAATTGCCATCGCTCAATGTATTTGTGGCTCTGCGTGCTTTAACCCCTTCCTCATAGAGATAATGCAATTGTGCCCCTTGCCCTAATTCCAGTATTAACGAACACACCCATATTTACGCTTTCGCTGGTCTATATGATGCGTTTCCACTTCTGGGCCAGTCTGCATTACGTAAGAAAGAATGCATGGCATGTAGTTCATTAGCAGCTAACTGCATTCTGGTATCTTCTTGGGCCATGTGCCAATCAACTTGCCATTATCAGTTATCATAACCCCATACGCTTCATAAATACGTTTCAACCAAAAGAAATCTGAACAATAAGGTTATCAGCCAAATCCTGCATTTTTTGCTTCCAAGAATCTACAGTAACAGATATCAAAATCAAGTTGAAGCAAACTCCCCACGTAATCTTACATAGACAAATGCAGAACTTTGCCACAAGATATTGTTATTCATCCTTCGCTGCCTTAGTACACTTGACTGCAAGCCACGAGAATCAAAATTGAGTTTGAACTTCCGATTCACCCCATGAGTCCTGCTTTATAGCTTGGTGAAATCGGTTATTGAGTTGCTCTGATTCCTCTAACCTGCATGTGGATTTAACTAATTCAATTTCAGTCGCAGCATCTTCATAACAGGGTATGACATCATCTAGCCAGGCCATCAATCACACGGTTTGCTCATTCCCATAGCACAGTTTTCCATATTCAGCCAGTTTAAAACTCTGACCCCAATCACCACATTGTCAGGAAGACCAACAGTCCTGGCCAGTTCGGCAGCTGCTCCAATGTAGTTGTGGGGTGTCAACTCCAGCAGGTACGATTTAGCTTCTTCAGGCAGCTCCAGGCCTTCGATGAACTCTCTTATGCTATCCTTCGTAACATCTCTTCCCCTTGTCAGCTCTTTCAGCTTCTCGTATGGCTCTGGTACACCATATCGTCGCATCACCTGCAAAGATTCAAGCAGTGGATAGAGAAATTTGAAATGCATAGTGCAGCTCAAGTCAGCAGTAATCGTGAAATTTTGGCTGTGCATAGGATAAATGAAGTAAGCTTAGAGAAAGTATATAGAAGTTTCATACTGTCTGTATGGGTTCTGCAAGCACCTCCCACCACTGGTCCAAGTCCTTAGCCAAACGAGCTTCATTAACCTAACCAAACAAAGGCACTCATCAAATGGATAGCTTTTCCTACACAAATATGTTGGTGAACCTTTGAATTCACAAGCAGCACCCATAAACGAGAAAATTTTCTGGGCCACATCTAGAGCTAGATAGCAAATGACATTATGAATGTTTTGATATTGAGGCCAGTCATCTCAATGCATACCTGAAGTTTTCCAATACCCTGCAATGTACTCTTGTAGGCCAAAAGAGAATGTCCCAGGCCTTCACCCATGTTTCTCAGAACAGTTGAATCGGTCAAGTCCCGCTGCAAAAGAACAAGAAGCATGTAAGGTTAATGCTAAGGCTAGTGTAACAGACAACAAAAGCAGAGCAGCTAACGCCTGTTTGAAGCTTGGAGAAGGTTCGCTCTTAATGAATACCTATATCATGTTCTCAATTTGTATAGTGAATTAGGATGTTATTATTCTGTCCTTAGATAATAATGACACGGAATATACAAACGATTACATAAAGAAAACAGTGCATGAGTTCACCAATGGAAATGCACTAGGTGTTACCTGAAAACGTGAAATGGGCAACTTCTCACTTAGATGAGATAAGTTTCCATTAGCTTTCCCAAGATTACCTTCGCTGTTTTCAAAGTCAATGGGGTTTACTTTGTGAGGCATAGTTGACGACCCAATCTCACCAGCTTTTGTTATCTGCTTGATTTTAGTATAGAACACTGATCAGTTATATGATCCAAAGGGAAGTAACTAAATTGTCAAGTCAAAAGACAAAAGCTTCTTTACCTGCTTGAAGTATACGTTGGATATATACCCCCAGATATCCCTATCAAAACCAATCAATATTGTATTGAACAAAGTGATTCCATAGAAAAGCCTAGCCATATAATCATGTGGCTCAATCTGCAAGGAAAGAAAAGGAAAAGATAAGTAAAATTTTACATCCTAGAAGCAAGTCAAAAGAGACACTCTAGAGATCCCAGTATTTCTTTCATTGAATACCTGAGTAACATATGGATTGAAAAACAACCCAAGAGATTCAACAAACTCTTTGGAAATCTGAGGCCAGTCAATGTCAGGATATGCGCTAATATGAGCATTGTAGTTTCCAACTGCACCAGCAAACTTTCCTTTTATCTTAACTTGAGAAATTTCTTGCCTTTGATCGCTCAACCGAGCAGCAAACACAGCCATTTCCTTTCCCAATGTTGTTGGTGACGCTGGCTACAGGACACAAATAACAAAGAGGTACTCAAGCTTGGCACGATAAAATTCAATAGAGTTAAAACAAACAAGAAGCTAATCCATGACAGAAAACAAGCTTCCACTTCATGTCTTTATACCTGTCCATGAGTGCGAGAAAGCATAGGAATCGAAGCATATCGTTCAGCCATGCTAGATATCTCTTTGATCAATTCGTCCATGGCAGGGTAAATGACACCACTTAATGCCTCTTTCAGCATCAATCCATGTGCAAGATTGTTTATATCCTCCGAGGTGCAAGCAAAGTGGAAAAACTCTGACACCTGCAATGCAAAATTAAGTTAAAACAGATGTAACCCAAGTACGCACCACAGATGCAAACAACAAAATAATACCCCGACGGCAACCATATTCCACCTTAGCAATCTCAGGATGTGATCCACATTTCTCCTTTAAGAAGTACTCCACAGCTTTCACATCATGGTTGGTCGTTCTCTCAATGTTTTTAACTTGCATAGCATCGTCCACACTAAACCCATCAATCACTGCTTCCAAAAACGACTTAGCATCCTGGCTAAACTCAGGGACCTCTGAGATTTCAGGAATCTGTGAAAGCTTCAGCAACCATTTGATCTGAAACAGGACTAAACATTATCAACATTCACCCAAATACATCAAGTATCAATCAACTTCAAAAGCTCAGGAAAATCATGAGAAAAATAGCACCTCAACAAGTACGCGGTAGTATATGAGACCATATTCGCTCATGTATGGAGACAAGTCCTTCACTTTACTCCAGTACCGCCCGTCCAACGGCGATAAGGCCGTCAAATTCGAGAGCTCGAACACTCGGGCGTCGTCTTTCCTCATCTTCAACACCAACAATGAACAAACAAGACTCAAGATTGAGGAAAATAAAAGACGATAGACAACTGGTGATTAAGGAGGGTAATATACCTTCGGCGCAGAAATGCTGCAAGAGCAATATCGGCGAGGTGAGGGAGAAGAGAAGCGGAGGAAAGCATTCGAAGGGAAAATCGAACTTGGTTTTCGGTGTCCCGGGGATGTCGATGGAGCCAACGACGAGAGATGGCTGCTGCCGTTGAAAACCCTCGAAGAAGTGCCGATCACCATTGATGGAAAACAGAAAGGAAGGGATAGATAGCTCGAGCTCAAGAGTAGAGTGTAGAATGTTAGAATTGTTTGCCGCTTCTTTTTCTTTTACCCTTTCCCTCCCGGCGGCGCGAAGTCAGCTGTTGCCGCGTTGCCGTCAAGCTAAAAAACCTAATTTGGTTTCCCATGGTGGTCCCACTGGTGAATTGTGTGGGCTACGGTTAAGTTTAGATTGGGCTGGGCTAGGCTCTCTGCGCTTGGATTTAAGCTCAATACTGTTCGAATCGTTCAAAAGATTGGGCTTTCATGTAATCCGGTTGTAGACTTGTAGTGCAGACAAATTGCTACGGTTTGCAGCACATCTCTAAGTAGGGCTAGCTATTTGGTTCGGACTTTTTAGTTTTATCCGAAATTGAATTGTATAATTTGGATCGTGATCGGATCAGGACGGATAACAAACAATTTAATATCATTTTCGGGCTTAGATTTTAGATTAAAAAAATCGTTTAGGACCGGATCGAAAACTAGATAAAAATCGGATAAGAGAACCCAACACCCAAAGTTTAACCAACTCCTCACCCTTTGAGGCCTCATGTCACTCAAATCCCCATTCCCCACAAGCTCAATCTGAAAATCAAGACCAAATTGGAACCAGATTGGGTCAAGACCGGACCGGATCAAAACCGAACTGCATCCAATCCAATTTTTGGTCCTTATATTCCCGAAAAAACCGGACTGGATCAATTTCTGTCAATTAAACCGGACTGGACCGTATAGCCACCCTATCTCCAAACTCATAAGAGTTTCGTTGATCTCCCATTTGCTTGTCTTGATTTCTAAGTGGGTTTGGCGATTTTGTTCCGTAAAAAAAAATCCATATACTAAAGTAATTATGGAAAGCAAGCTAATTGAATATAGAATTCAAGAAAATTGATAATCACCATGCATAATTTATTGCATAATCATATAATGTTCTATCATCAATTATCTCCATTTGTGAACAAGAAATATCTTATGGATAGCTAGTATATTTTTAAAGGATCGACATATAATTTATGCTATAAGCCAAACAGAATTTTTGAAAAATAATTGTCATTTGATTTTGAATCAATCACAATTTGACAATCTGACACACATAAAAGAGGTGTATTTTTACAAAATGTAAATTAATAACAAAGTATATCAGATGATTTTGTGGGTCAAAAGCTCACATTCATCGAACATATCCCACCCAAACACGTATTAAATGAATTATAATTGGGCGGATCTGATTAGGTTTCACTGTTCACCCCTGACTATCTCTATGCTTGTTAGTTTTCGATATAGTGTTTTGATTAGCCAATGAAAAAGAGAGAATGTACCCCTCTATATAGCTTGTGAAACTGACATGAAAAATAATCTAGCCAGGAAATTGACAGGTAAGAAGAATAGAAATTTTACAATGCTATATAGTATTGGTGGTATAGGTTTTTGCTTTTATGGTACAACTTAAAATTGTACATTTACGTTATGGTACAACTTCAGATTGTACCTATACTTTTTGTGCAAATTCTTTTACGGTACAACTTGAACTTGTACCTTTATGTGATGGTACAACTTCAAGTTGTAAAGTTGTACCATAACATAATGGTACAAATTACTTTATGGTACAATCTAAACTTATACATGTAATGTTATGGTACAACTTTGAGTTGTACATTAAAGCACAATGCTATATAGCATAGTAGAAGTGCTCGTAAGAAAAGAAAACCTAAAAAAATGTTTTAGAAGATGATGATTAGAGTGAGTTGGCTGCTATTAGTCGTTATCCGACGACGATGACCCCACTTTTAGCTGGAGGTTTCCCAAACCTTCCTTCCCAATAATGCTTATCGATTTAATCACCAAAACAAGATAATTTTTCAAATGCTGAGACACACCTAACACTTAACCGTCTAAATCCAAACTAAAGAAATTAACTGTCTCAAACCAATCCAGCTCGCAGGGAGGAAGAGTGATTCCCCGCGAAACTTCCTCTGCTCTCCCAAAGTCACCTTCGTGGTGGGGCCATTTCCACGTTCCTCCTTGGTCTCTTTCTCCATTAAACCATCCATGGTGCTGGAATCTTTTACATCTTCATGATCTGCAATCCTAGTTCCATCAATTTAATAGCAGCCATTTGCAACCCCAGCCCAGACAGCATTATTAACTCTGCCTCTCTCTTCCCTCCACGCCTTCACTCCGGCTTTAGACTCTCCCTCCCTCTCTCTCCTCTCTCTCTTGAAATATTTGACTTCCTTGAATCGGGCTGTTTTTCTGGCTGCCCACTTCTCCGATTTTGCTGTTAGACTCTGGAGATTTCCAGCTGGAGCGGATCATCATCGTACATGGTAGATCTTCTTCTCTGTGTTGTGAACAGAGAGAATACAAAGATTCAACCTTTGGGCTTTCTTTTCCCGTCTTCCACTTTTGCTGCTGGGGAATATGAATAGATCAGCGAGGCAACAAGTAGAGAGATGCAGGAAGGCCTTTCCCTGTAGCTGGTGGTGGTATCATGGTTGAGTCATCTGACACCTTCTTCCTCTGCTTGTATGTTGTTTTGTCTCTTCTCAATTCTCATTCCCTGCTCTCAGGTTTCGTTGCTTCATTGATCTTATGTGTTTGAAATGGTGTGTTGTGTTTTCACAGGATGCCCTTCAGCCATCTGGAAGGAAATTGGACAATTTGACTTGTTTCGTCCTCTTAGCTAAAGAAAAATGTCAGCATATGCACACCAAATGGAGAGGGAGTTCTCTGCTGGCAGCCTCTCCAGTGGAGAAGATTCTGGTAACCAACCACCTTTTCTTCAAAGTAGCATGGAATTGATCTGCATTTTGTATCTGCATATATTATACGGATCGGCTGAGGCTCTTGTGTTTTCTTTGGTTGTTGTTCTTGGTGGGTGTTTTGATCCAGAAGAGATGAGAAGCCGATATGTGATGGAGTCGGGATTCTACATGACATCATTCGCCGCAACAATGTTCATTGCTCTCCTTGTCACGGTAGGAGTGTTGATGATCAGCTTGCTCATTCTACTGACAGTAATGCTCCAATCCTGCGAGAACAGGAGCAAAGGAGTCATCGAGCAGATGACGCTGCAACAACAGCCCACTACTAGCTTTTTCAAGAGTTACCACAACTGCAGAAGCTTTGCAGAGCTCAACAACCTCAAATCACCAGACTTATTACCTCCAATGTGCTGGGATCGTATTGTTGATCACCACAATCAGGCAGCCGCAGGTGGTGAATATGAGAGAGACTTGACGGCTAGTCTCTGGGTTGTCGAGGGATACTTCGATGGGGTCAAACCTTCTGATGATAATGGTCAAGATGCTGTGGTGTTGATTGACATAGACAACAGCATTATCTTCAACTCCAAGTAACCCTTCTCCTGGGATTTGTCCTCAAACCTTTATTTCTTGAAAGCAAGAAGTAGTTTTTTCTTGGACCACCTTTCATTCACTATGGCAATATGCCTGTTCCTTGTTTTGCAGACAGTTTCGGCAACAAGTGCTGCTTCTGAGAGTGTACAAGAAACTTCAAGCTAGTGGATGGTCGCTGGTTTTGGTATCTAGAAATCCAGAGAAGCAAAGAAATGCCACTGAGGAGCAACTCGTTTCTGCAGGATATGGAGGTTGGTCCTCACTAGTTCTGAGGTAGGCTGACACAGAATTTGTTTTCATCTCTATCGAACAACAATTCAACACTAAAAAAATCATTCTAGAATTTGGATTTTGATACTTGGCATGCGGCTCCGATGATGGATCATCCCTCATTTTCCAGACCAGATGATGAAATGGAGCATTCTACAACTGAATACATATCAAGACAAAGAGTTCTTATGGAGACGAGAGGCATTCGGGTTGCAGCAATAATCAGTAGCCAGATGGATGCTCTGACTAAAGGTCCTTCAGGTTCAGGAACACGTGTCTTCAAGCTTCCAAACCCAGTATACTACTACAATGACTACTTTCAAGATTTCAGGATCTCAACAGAGCTGCCAGAAGAGACCGCTTTGACACAGTGACTGATTCCCTATTAATTAGCATCCTGGTTACCAATCTGCATTTGTGAATTGTTGTAGTTCCCAGCTTGGAAATTCTGTTGTAAATGAGAGAAATGCTGTTAATATATTAGATAGAAAGATAAGTTGATCGATAGTTGCTTTATCGAAAGATCATCAACTGCAGGAATTGTTTGCTACATAAACAAGATTCAGTCTAATGGTGAAAAGAACGAGCTCGTAGCACCAGCCTCCTCAACCACGCAATCCGAACACTAGGGTTTTTCAACTCAAGAAAGATTTCTCTGTACTCTTTCTTCATGAACATATCCAATGCGAATAAATAGAGTTCACTCCCTTGCTCTATCTCTTTCATCCCATCGAGACGTTCAATGCAGTCTCCAATGCTGTAACTTGGTCTGGATTCTGCTGTCTGAGTTTTCACAAAACCTACATCATATTGCTGCATTATAAGTGGACTTGATTCACCGTATTTTCTCGTTGGATCATCATGGTCGAGCCTTCTGCGCTGACTAAGTGGTTCAACATTGTAGTCTTCAACAACTGTTGTTCCCTCGAAGAGTAGGTCTAATTTGTCAGCAAATTGGAGTACCTTGAGCCGAAATTGGGCAGCTTCTGGGTATTCCTACAAGAGAGAGCAAGCAATGATGATATTATATTATCAATCAGTGACATATAACTGAACCTTTTATGATAGATTTTACATACATGGATGTAGTTATTCCATTCCCTTTCAGTAGCACCAAATTTCTGGGCAACTGGATCCCATTTCATGTAACTAGTGGCAACCAGCTTAGACCAAATCCTCCACTGCTTCTTCACAGAATCCCAATGGTTCTTGAACTGGACCTTGTTTAGCATGAAACCAGTCCTTGTGTAGAATGAATCAATAAGGTTTATCCATCCCTCCTTGGACAAATGAGATCCACGTTTATTACCAACCGAAACTTGCTCCAAACACAGATCAATGAAAGTTCTGTGGGATTCTTCAGAAGAAGTCCAGGAGAAGTGTGGCTTTCTTGATCTAACTGAGGTACTGCCAGACATGCTCTGTTCACTTGCTGCAGTTGCCCTTCCATCGTTATAGTAAAAAGCAAAACCACTATCCGAAGCATCTTCGAAGAGGTGGTTGGTTTTCACATCCTCTGGACATTCTAGAGACAGAGTTTCCCTACCATCTTCCAGGTTCATAAAATCAAAGACGATTTCCAGCTTTTCCCGATGTTGAAGTGGTTTGAACCGAAATATTCCAGCTTCAGGGTGCACCTACAGACATTCAACAGAAAACGTGTTCACTAACTAAGCAACTCAAAACAGAAACCAAATACTAACAATAACAGCAAACATACCCTCAAATAGTAGCTCCATTCTGCATCAGTTGCCCCGAACGAACCAGTTTCAGGGTTCCATTTCATCATTCTAGTGTTAACTAACTTGCACCAGGTTTTCCAATGCTCCTTTGTGATATCCCAGTGGTTTGTCAACTGCTTCTTGTCAATATGCAACCCATCTATTCTGTTCAATGCCTGTAATATATACTCCCATCCATACTTGGTGAAACACGTAGAGGGTCTATTACCCTTCAAAGTCTGATCCAGACAAGCATCCACGAATACTCTATGGACTTCAGGAGTCCAGTGTACTTTTGGTTTTCCCATCAATTCGGACGACATTTGGCAGTTCTTAGTTCTCCTTGGCTCGCATCACATCACCACCACTACTGTAATAAGCAACTCAATAGGTTAACAGACCTGTCCGCAGCAAACCCAGAAAAAAGAGACGAATTGAAACAACCAGCCCAGTAAAAGTGATTCCCCCAAACGATTACTTAAGACAGAATGCAAAGTTGAGCAAATCCCAGTTAATTTCGCACCCCGATAACTGAAATTAAACGCTATATGATAATTGAGGACTTGGTGGAGGGTAATTGCAGAAAGTAGCCATAGACCTACCTGCAAATGCAACCCGGCGGAGCCCCATTTCACGGAAGAAATCTGCTTTTAGCCACCGAGTTTTCTATGTACTGTAATCTTTCGCAAACACAAGCACTGAAATTGACCCCTGGGGCTTGGGTGGGATTGTGGTGGGAACTGGGAAGAAGATCGTCCCTTTTCTTACGCTGACAGGTAGTCAGGTAGAAGACTCTTTTCTAGGCCCAAAACAAACAGCCCAACGTGCTCAGAAGCCCAAACCCACCAAAAGCACAGTGATCCAAATAGTTTTGATTATTAATTAATTAATTGATTTAGTTAAACTTGAGTTAACCATTATCTGTGTAAAACAACCATCTTTCCATCAAGCAATTAATCATGATGCAACTAATTCAACTAGAGTTAACCATTATCACTAATTATCTGCTAATCAGAATTCGGAATTCAGATGAAACAAACCAATTCAGGGGAGCTAATCGTCATTATTATTCATCATTACAAAACTGTAGTTACATGAGGGGAATTCCTCAATCTGATTCCATCTAGAACCCTATGAAGAGTTCAATCCAAAATTGGAACCAAGCTATGAAACCACTATTTCCCAGACCAATTCACAAAAAATTTACTCCGTTACAACAGAAGATCACCATATCAATCCCCCAATTTGATTTCAGGGTTGTTCGGACGCCATTCTTAGATCTACTGGAACAACAAAGATGCGAGCACAACGGTGGACAGAAGAAGCAATCTCCCCAAAGGAATGGTGTTGTTCCTAGAGGCAGAGGAGAAATCGAAGTGATACTTCTTACTCATGTTTGGGTGTAGAATGCCCCAATTGTGCGCCCCCTGCTGCAGCGGCAGCTGCTGCTTCGGATCGGATTCAACCAGCTCGTAGATGTAGGCCTGCGCCACCCCTTCTTTCCTCAGCGGCGTTCCCTTGCCGGAGATCAAGTGTGCCACCAACGACTTCAAATACAACTCAGCGTACGCCGGATTCGCGTCGGCGTCGGCGGCGGCGCTGTCTACTGCCGAGCTTGGCCATCCCGTCTCGGTAACGACCAAGGGGATGTTCTCGTGGCCGGCGACCGCCATAGAAGTGACGACAGCATCCACCATCATATCGAACAGATTGAGGTACCGGACTCCAGTGGCGAAATCGTCGCGGAAATTGAAACTGCCTTCCTGAAACAGAGCCAATCCGAGCGGGATCTGAAAGTGCAATCTGTACATGTTGTACGGGTAAAGATTCACCAAGAAGGAAGAGTTGGTGTCTTCCAAGAACTGGAGCAGCGGCCGAATCACCGCCTCGCCGATCGGCTCCTGGAAAGTGGCCGCCGAGGGAGGGAACGCCGTCGTCACGATTTTGATGAAGGAGAAGGTCGTGGAGACGGAGATCGACCTGATTCCGATGTCTCTGAGCGCGAGATGGACGTTGCGTATGGCAGGCAGCAGGAACGAGATCTGTGGGGCGGCGACTGCGTCTTCTCCGACGGAGATTGTTGCGATCTTGGAGCGCGGATAGAAAGGGAGGACGTGGACGCGGAGCCACTTGACGGCCAGAGTGCGATTGGAAGCCAGCGGGGGGAGGAGGCCGTTGGGAATTGAAAGAAGCAGCGAGGTGTTGGTGAAGGCGAAGGCTCTGACGAGGTTGGGATCGGGATGCGTGAGGCGGACGGCGCCGAAGCGGAGATCGGAGACGGCGGAGGCGATCGTCTCCGGATGCGCGCGCTGCGGCGGCGGAGGAGTCGGCAGCGACGAATTGCCACCGGTTGAGGAGGATGGCGGCGAGGGGAAAGGAGAAGTGTATGTGACGCCGATTACGGCGGCGGAGGATGTGCTTGGAGCGGAGAGGGTGGAGGAAAGAGAGAGCAGGAGGAGGTGGAAAAGCTTCAGCAGAGCATCCATGGCGGTTCTTGGCTCTGAATCTGAATCTCTGCAGAGAGTGAGAAATAGGGAGAGAGTTTGTTGTGGGCGAGAGGAGATTCTGTTACGCGCAGTCGAGACTTGAGAGCGTGCTTTTGAGTGTGTGCCGGCGATGGCGGATGAGCTAATAACCGCTCGATTCGGATGATGACGTCGGCTACGCTGGCCGGGAGTTGGGCGGGAAAGAGGTGGGAGAGCGAGGTGAGTGAATTAGAGTCGGGGCGACGGGGGATTCGGGTCGGATCAGTTATGCTGTGGGTTTGCGAGGGCGTGGGAAAACAATATACTTCGCGTCGGTGTTGTAATTTTGAGCCCGTTTTCATTTTTCGGGCCCATAAATAAAAGCCCAACTCAAAAAATATGTGCAAGTTGCCACTACTAGCCCATAATGTCAGCTGCAGATTTTTTCTCCTCCTTTTTCAGGGATTTTTCCAGAAATAACACCTTAAAAAAAAAAAAATAGCACCCAATCAAAAAAATTTACACTAATAGCACCCTTTTTTATGGACCGCACCTTAGAGGTGCGGTTTATAATCCTGGACCAAAATCGCATCTTGACCAAGCGGTTTCAGGTCTGACCTACACAAACCGCGTGGGCGAGGTGCGGTTTTGGCCTGACCTAGCAATATGGAGATGCGGTTTGTTTATGCAAAACGAAACTGCATCCCCAAGGTGCGGTTTTGCCACACAAACCGCACCCTCAAGGTGCGGTTTTGGTCAATTAATTTCCGACATGCCATGCAGAATAACAGACGTGGGTCTGCATGGCAGACGAAAACCGCACCTCTAAGCAGTGGCGGAGGGAGCCTTTGAGGAGATGGGTCCTAGGACCCCACTTAGCAAAAATTTGGGTGTCAAAATCCTTTAAATTTATGCGTTTTAGCATGATTCTTGAAAGATAGGACCCCGTACTTTCGCCGATATTACCTCACGTAAAGACCCCAATCAATTCAAAATTTTTAAGGACCCCGGTCCATTCAAAATATTGCTACGCCACTGCCTCTAAGGTGCGGTTTTCATAAGTGATTTTGCCTATAAAAGACTTCCCGGAAAACCACTTCTCTTCACACCTCTCCTTCTCCCTTTTCAATTTTCTGTTGTAGCTCTATATTTCTTTAGTAGTTTTGCGATTAACGTTAACTCGTAAGTTTATTTTGTATTACTTTTTATTGTTATTTTTTATTTTTATGATATTAACTGAACTACGGTTTTTTTGCAGATGGCATTCCAAAAGTTCACGTTTGGCTTACGGTGGAATGGTTACACGGAAGAGAAAGGAAAGGGGGTCACCTACGTCGGTGGCAATTTTCAGAAGATAAAGGTCGCTACCAGACCGCTGCTTGAAGACCTCCATCAAATGTGCGCTAACGTTACTTGCATGGATGGCACGAGAAGACTTGATCGTATGGTGTACCGATATCCAAACAGAGAAAGTGGGTCATTGTGGCATGAGGAATATCTCATAACCACTCAGGATGAGGTAGATGCCATGCTCGAATTCTTGAGGTCCAACAATCTTTCCAAAGCCGAGATGTTCGTTTACACCGAGCCGGTCGTAGGCGTTGGAGGTCATTCTGGACACGGTCAAACATCTGGTATCCATGGTGCACTAGCGGATTCAGGGGGTGGCCACCCCGGGCCCTGGCCCAGCCCTCCTATGGATCCGTAGTTAGTATAGTACTTATGAAATATTATATTTTAGACATTCGACCCAGTGTTATTTTATGATATGATTGGGTTTAACTAGAAAAATTATCAAGTTGAACATATTCAAATCAATACTCTAAATTTAGCCTATAAATTCTAGCCTCAAAGATTATGCATCTAAAAAAAACAAAGAAACATAAAATTCTAAAAAGTTTAAAACGTAAAAGAATAAAAGAAATATGAGGTTTGTTCCCTTAAAAATTTACTAGAGCAGCTGGTGTGCAGGGATGGACACACAATGCAAATTGATTAGTCGATTGATTTATCTAGTGTTGATGCTGCTCGTTTCAACAGCTACTACGAAGAGAACCTTTTCAACAATGAAACATGTGAGAACTAATTTGCTCAACAAAAATGAGCGATGAATTTCTCGTCGATTGCTCAAGTATTTTATTTGAAACAGTGTATACTATTGGTATGTATGTAGACTCCTTGATTAATTCCCTAAATTAAAATACAGTAGTGTATAGTTTACATTGCAAAAAACTATAATCATTATATATTTTTTTTTACGGTTCTAATTTTCTAATGAAATGCGGCCCAGTGCTCTTCTGTGTTCTGGATCCGCCGCTGCCATGGTGGAGGTGAATTATATGGCGATCATCCCTACCAAAGTTACCATGATCCTCATTCCTATTTTCAGTACCAAGAGTAAGGTGAAGGTCATCATCAATCTTTCCCGTCATATGAATAAGAAGTTTAACCGGACCTCCACAACCAACCTCAGTACAACTTCCAATCGGGCAACGGTGTTTAACCTGATGAACTTAAGAAACACTTCTTGGTCTCCCTCAAATGCCTTGTTTAACCTGATGAACTTAAGAAACACCAAAGAGTTGGAGTAGAGAGCATGAAAGAGTTGAGGGTCGTTGAGCTAAGACTTCATTGGTGATGCTAATTAGCTGGGTTTTTTCTTTTCTCCTTCACTTTCCATGCATGCTTTGTGAGAGCTAATTTTGCGTTGCGCTGCATTTTTCTAGTATATTGTCGGGCAGGATGAAGAAGGAACAGTGTAATCACACGGGTTTACTGCAAATCCAGGAAAGAGAATCCAGGGTACGTGGTATATATCTACTATATATCTTGTTTGTGGGCTAGCTCTTTAAGCTGATGCATGCATGCCTGTTCTTTTGACCCTATACTGGTAGACGACAAGCAGTACTGATTGAGCTTTCAGTTGTGGCAACAATGATAGGATAGGTATGGAAACAAATACAATTAATACAACCGATCGAGGGAGAATATATAGGCCTATGTATATATATAGCACAGAGTCCGGCCGCCAACTTAGAAAGCCATTGACCCCAATGAGATGAGATTAGAAATAATGACCCATATGATCACCTGAAATTAACCTAGCTAATCTAATAATTAAAAATGATCGATCGAACAATAACCATAATTGATAATTCAGACCAAAGCTATACCAAAGCGAGGGGCGGTCAGTTGGCGTTGGCGCTTCTTCTTGATCTTCTTCTTCTTGTACGTGACTATGATATCCAAACAGGCTAGGGGCGGAAATCCTACCATATAAAGCCAGAAGTAAACCTCCCTTGTCTGCTTCAAGGCCGTAGTACTGGATGACGTGGAGCGCGATTCCGATGCCGATCCAGCTCAAGGAGGTGATACCCGAGTATACGCACAGTACGCCCAAGATCCTCGACATTGTCCTCACTTTCATTCTGTTACTTACCACCCCAAACCAAAACGGACGCAAGAGGAGACGACGGAGATATCTGATTTGTTCTCCTCCAATTTAACGGAGATCAGATGGCTCCCAGCTGCTAGGGTTTCGCAAATTTTGGGGACCATGCGGACGGACACCGATTTATATGCCTCTCCTTAATTACACCTTTGAAGGCCCAAATTGAGTTTGGGTGAAGTCGGTGGATAGTGGACCCTTTTTGGGTCTGATTTTCCCTGCAACGTTGGGCCTCCTACCGGGAGAAGAGAGAATGCTAATCGAGTAATCAACTATCATTTTTTTTGGGTAAATAAGAACGGTTAAGCAATCACAATTATCGAAATACAAATTATTAGACATAACTATTGCTATGGGTTAAGATATGGCTACCATTCCGTTATCGTCATTAATTTTGTAACGGAGACAGCCACGTCAACATCCATATTGGCATCCACATCAGCAAATCATCAAATGTATATTTTTTTATTTTAAAATTATTAAAAAATAAAATTAAAAAATACCCAAGCCCTCTCTCCTCTTTTCTTTCCCTTCTTCTTGTTCCCCTATCTTCCTCCGCGAAACAAATCGGCCAAAGGACAAGAGGAGAGCATCCAAGAAACGGAGGTGATTAGGTGAAAGAAAGAAAGGAAATGAGCCAAGAGAAATAGAAAATCCAAGTTCAATCCACGCCGGCAGGGAAAGATGTAGAAAATATCTAGAGGGCAACGGTTTGATCGAAAACCCGCAAGCAACGAGCTGCAGGGTTGTTTCTCATTTATACCCAGTGTCAAGTTTTACTGTGTCCAACGGTAAAATAAACTGAAATATAAATTCACTTTAACACGTGGTGAGAAACAAATGACAAAGATAAAACTAACTCCACTACCACTCAATACGACGACGCGTTCCAAACGAAGGCTCGAAACGTTTCCCATACAACGAATCTCTTCAAGTCGGGAAATGCGTTTCATAGTCTTCTTCAGGCTGGAGCTCGATGTGTCCATTCCAGCTCTGCATCAGATGCTTCACCTTCATGGACCTCTGCTCCATCTTCTTTATCGTCTTGACAGCCTCCCTCAAGCTGGAGTGTGCTAACTCCAAGCTTGTCCAATAATTCTCGAATTCTGTATCTGCTTAAACCTTGGTAAATAGGTCAGCAACCTGATCAATGGTACGAACATAAAACAGTTTAATCAGCCCAGACTTCACTCTTTCATGAGTCACATGGATATCAATCTCAATGTGTTTCGTTCTTTCGTGAAACATTGGGTTGTCAGCAATGTGTATGGCCGATCTGTTGTCACAGAACACACCAATAGGCAACTGAACATCCACACTCAACTCTGCAAGCAAACCTTTCATCCACTGCAATTCGCATACTAATTGAGGCAAAGCTCTGTATTCAGCTTCTGAAGATGAACGTGAAACAGTGGTATGCTTCTTAGCTTTCCAGGTGACAAGAGAACTTCCAAGAAAAGTGCAGTATCCACTAATAGATCTTCTAGAATCTAGACAGCTAACCCAATCAAAATCGCTATAGCCTGATAGCTTCAATGTGGAATTAGATTTGAAACAAAGTCTCTGATTTGGTGACCCTTTGATGTATCTGAGAACTCTGAATGCTGCCTGCAGATGGTCTGAGTAAGGTTCTTTCTGAAATTGACTTAGTTGCTGCATAGGAAAAGTTAGGTAAGGTCTAGTGGTGGTGAGGTAGTGCAACCTGCCAACCAGACTCTTGTACTACTTAGGATCTTCAAGTGGGACTCCTTGCTTTGCCCTCAATGAAACCTTTGGATCCAATGGGGAAACACATGGTTTTGAATCTTGATATCCAGTGTCTTTAAGGAGTTCCAGACAGTATTTCCTTTGGTTTACTGTGATTCCATTATTGCTTCTAGCAATCTCAAGTCATAGGAAGTACTTCAACTTTTCCAGGTCATTTATCTTGAAGTTTCTGCTAAGATACTTCTTGACCTCCTCTACATCGTCTCTACTATCACCACCCACTATAATTTTATCAACATATACCAACAATACCACAAAACGTCCATGGACCCATTTTGTAAACATGGAATAGTCTGAAACAGACTAAGAAAACCATGTTGCAGCAATGAGGAGGTCAGTTTTGCAAACCATTGTCTGCTGGCCTGTTTGAGTCCATATAAGGATTTCCTCAATATGCACACAAGCTTCTCAGGACCATTATCCCTTGGATACCCTGGTGGTAACACCATATAAACTTCTTCTTCAAGGTCTCCATGCAGAAATGCATTGGAGACATCCATTTGATCCAACACCCAACCTTTGTTAGCAGCAATAGCAAGCAAAGCTTTTACAATATTGATTTTAGCGACAAGAGAGTAAGTATCTAGAAAGTCTATACCATAAACCTGTGTAAAACCCTTTGCCACCAGTCTTGCCTTGAATCTTTCAATGCTGCCATTTGGTCTTCTTTTAATTTTGAACACCCATTTGTTCTCTATGGCTCTTTTTCCTTTAGGTAAAACAACAACATCCCAGGCGTGGTTTTCTTCCAAGGCTTGAGTTTCCTCATTCATTGCTATATTCCAGTGTTCACTAGTTGTTGCTTCTTGGTAAGAACATAGTTCAACTTCATGTAAAACATTCATAATGTAACTTCTGTCAGCTGGAGATAGTTGATCAAGATCCAAATATTCTTCTATGGGATATTTACTAACACTGCCAACATGATAATCATTAAACTTGACTGGCATTTTGCCTCGATTAATACAAATAGGCCTGCCTTCAAACTCCTCTTGAACTTCTAGTTTAGGACCATCATCAACAACATCATCAATAGCCATACACGATTATGGAAAGCTGAGGTTCCTCTTCAATCTTCTTTTCTGTTAGATACTCAGATTATGGAAATGTTATGTGCATTTATTTAATTAGTATAGTTATTTAATTTTATGTTGTTGTGGCTGGGATTGGGAATGACGTGAAGTTTTGGGTAATTAGTGGGTTAGTGGTTAGCTAGAGAATTAAAGTCATTTGGATGAGGAATTATAATTGATGAATCTGGAATAATTGTCTCATTTTGAGACAATTGGGCAAGATTGACTGTTTGGCTGCAGAAATTTTGGATGAAGCAATTTGTGATGAACAATTTTGAATGGACTCATTTTGAGTCAATTACAATTGTCTGTGGTGGGGGTAAGTAATTTGAATTGACTCGTGTCAAATGACTCGTTTTGTAAAATGAAACAATTGGTCAAATTGCCAAGTTTAACAATTGATTCATCCAAACGATAGGGGAATGAATAATGAATTGAGTATAATTAGAAAAGGATTTTACACGCCTAGGTCAATTTAGGAGGTTGGCTTTCCTCAAAAAGTTTAGGGGTTCTGTTCTCGTCATTAAGGAGAACACTTCTCTTCTTCCAATCTATCTATCTTTCCTCCATTCTTCTTCTTCTTATTCCGATCTTTCTTCCCATGTAAATCGTATTCTACAATACGTGTACGTAAAAAGCTCCATGATCCGAGCATTGAAGGTTTTTATTGACTTACTAGAATCGATTTTAATCGTCCTACCCATACATGAAGAAGAAAAAAAAAAAAAACAGAACTTGATCAAGAGAAAAGAAAAGTGAACAGAGCCATTGTCCCATAGGAGAAACGAAGAGTTTCGAGAGTGTTTTCACCGCCCCAAAGCATTCTTGTTCTTCATTAATTATTGTTAGTACATTTGTTACTAAAATACTTGTTGATGTGACTTGAATCAGGCTATCAGCCGCTACGACTAGTAATCGGGGGTCTGTAATATGTAATCTTCTCGATATAGTGAAAGTGACTCTTTCTCACATCGTATTAGTGAACCACGTAAATCGTGTATCGTGTTTTCGATTCTCGCTTTGGTATTCTTGCTGTGTCGATTCCAGCGATTTTCCCATCCGTAGCAGTGCGTTTTTTAACAATACTCTTTCTAATATTATTATTAGTTTGGTGCTAGCACATAACATGTTAGCAGTCTATCTAATCCCTAAATAAATATATATATATATATAAAATACTTATTTAGAATGATGTTATTTGATTAAAAAAAAAAAGATGGATGTTATTTAGTTTTGAGAGTTATTACAAGAACTCGTCCACTTCACCCAAAAAATGTGTCTAGACAGTTAAAGTTAGTTTGTTACACATGAATTATAGATCTCTCGCCGCGTACTTTGTTGATGTGAGATTTGCGTAAAGTGCTACATACATTCTCTTTGGGACTCAACGTCGTGTTGAGGTTTTCCACACCATCGGCCAAGAGGCCATCCCAACCTTTTTTTATGACCAATATATTGTCCACTTAACATCTACCTAACACGGTTTTGCTTTTAGGGTGAAACATAATCACTTATCAAAAGGTTACATATCTCTACAGTGCTTAACACTAAGCACATTTAACTCTAAAATTCTCACAACCTATCGATTAAAATTCATTTGTTAATGAAAGGAATGAAAAGGAAAGAAATTCATTTGTTAATGATGAAACATAAATCTCTCTCGGTATTACATAAATTGTGAAGCCATGATTCACCCTTTTTTGTTGTTGTTGTTGTTGTTGTTGTTGTGAAGACATGAGTTGGTACTGGGCCAAAATCTGGAGGCAATCCGAAGTTGTAAGCCCTAACCTAAAAGCCCCAAACCTCTCATCTCTCCTCGCCTCGGCAATCCGAAGTTATAGAACCATTGAGAGTACGAAAAGCTCAACCCCGCCATCGCCCGGAATGTCGAACGCGACTGAAGCTCTCCATCGCAGGCTGACGCAGTAATTGCTCTCTCTATCTGTCTCTGCATTTTCAAATCTCAATAGCCATACGCGATTATGGAAAACTGAGGTTGCTCTTCAATCTTCTTTTCTGTTAGATTATTGGAGTCGTTACTCGCCCATCTCTCCACTACACCATACGCGCCAACTGAAGGCTCAGCCGTCTCCGTGAAATTCATCCTCCAGTCTCTCCTACACAACCCTTCCTCCGGCGCCGGGGAATCGCAGCTCCAGGAATCAATCAGGAATTTTGTTCTGGCATCGGCCTTGCTTGCCGCGTCCGAATCCTCCACTCACGAGTTGCTCTCATGGATTCCCCATCAGCTCTCGGATGCTGCTACCGCCGGTTTCCGAGATCTCTCTGATGTGTATTGCCAGGGCGATGACAATAGGTTGGTCGCAGAGTTAGCGCCGGAGATTTTGCTGTTGTTGAAGGACAGGATAAAGGAGAGTTCTATTGATAAGGGTACCGATGGTGATGAAGTCTCCGCCGCTTCGGCTAGGGTTCCGGTTGGTTTTGCTATTCTGGCTGCCTATCAGCTTAGATGGTTTGTTACTCAGGTTTGTTGCCATTTTCTCGTTTGTCTGGCATTGCGACTTGGGACTGTTTGAGTTCTCCTGCGAAATTGCCTGCTTTGGGGGAATGTAAAATTTTGCCTGCTTGTTCCGTGTAATAGATTGATAAGTCGAACTTGGGGAAGCTCTGCAATTTGGTGATTCCATGTGCATTGACTGCTCTTGATCATTGGTCACCGGAGGTGAAGGCAAGTAGTTGTTCCCTTTCATAGTTGCTGTTGTTCTTTCACTTTTTGTAATTGAATGAAGTATGACATTTCGGTTTATTGGGATTCAGGGCCAAGGGATGATATGTTTCATTCATCTAGGGAAGAACGTGAATGCTGCTGAGTTTGGTGTGTACCAGGATGTCATTCTTGATGCTTGCTGCAATAACATTGCATCTGCTGATGAAATATGGCATCTTGTGGTGGAAATATCTGTGCTTCTGGTGTCGAGCATCCACCAAAGTAATCCAAGAAGCCATTGGTAGTGTTTACTTTTGCTCTTACTCTCTTCCTTGGACCACCTCCACCACATGCAATCAATTAGTAATTTCAAATGTTAGCCCCTACTACTGCCACATAAGTAGTTTTAGCAATTACTTCATTCAACTATTCCATACCATCTACATCTATCTGAGTATAATTTGCAAATTGCTAAACCCATAATTTCCCCCTTTGTCACTTTGGTTTCTCTCATTCAGGTATGAGAGGATACTAGGCGAGATGCTTAGTCACCTGGAGCGTCAGCCAAGAAATAAGGAACGCCGTGTTGCTTGGCTGACATTCATAGAACCACTCTTCCAAAGCATGGGTCTTGTGTTATTGGCTCATTTCAGGAGGCTTTTCCCACTTTTCTTCAAATGGATACATGCTGATGATGATGAAACTGTCCTTCTGGTGTGTGACTCTTTTTCTGGTAGATCTGTAGACAAATTCAATATTAGGGTTTAAGTTAAGGCAGGTTCTGAAACGGCCTACTCTTTTTGGTGCAGGTTCTGAAACGGGTTCATACAGTCTTGAAGTTAACATGGATAAGAAATACACCATATATCATGAGGTTGATCATCTAAACCCCTCTGTAATGTCTCCAGCTATCCACCATAACCTCATAGTGTGGGGCATTTTCACTTTTTGGTTAATAGATTGGTGGATGAGCTTGTTGCGTTGCACAAGGAAGCAGCATTAAGAGTATGCCGTGAAGAAATTAGGACGAGTATACTTGAGGTCCTGCTCTTACTGAAGCAGTAAGAACTTCTTCTCCCAAACTACAAATTTAATGCAGTCTTTCCTGTTAGTTACCCTGGCATCACCGTTTCAAATATGTTAAACTTACTTCACTTCCTCTGTATCTTTTTCTCTGTGCCATCCTGTAAATGAACCAAAGATGCAAGGGGCAGCAGTTCACGGCGGCCTGGGAAAAGCACAGGGATGACTCAAATCTAGCAGCTTTGTGTTTATCTTTAACTGAAATCTCCATTGATGAGGAGAGTTCCACCAGCAACGCCTTGAGGAGTGACAGCCCACAAAACTGCCTGCAACTACTAACTACCCACTAAGTTGCTGGAGAACTCGATGTGTCCTTCCACTAGACTTCATGTAAATACGATCATTCACCTTCTGTAGATCGAATGTACACGTACAGTTAATTTATTGCAGACCACGAACAAGGCCAACCTTTATTACCAATATGAATGACTGTTTCAGCATGGATTGTTGCCCCCAAATACGTGGATTTTGCTGAAGCGACCATTTGATCAGTGGATTGTTGCCTCAACACATGGATTTCTTCTCATGTCTATCGGTCAAGAATAGAAACGAGTTCTTGTGAAGCAAAAGACAGTTGATCTATTCCATAGAAAAAATAAGGTAACATCAGTCACCGAGTTTAAACTCTAAACCATCTTGTATAGTAATAAAATAGCACATGTGAAAGAGTCAAAGAGAGACAAACTAATTATTAATTACAAAGTAATAAGGGTAACTTAATATCTTTTGCTAACATTATGCAGAAGTATACAAGTAGCCAATAGAGATCAAGTTAATATCACTGGAACAGTGAACCCCTGAGTAAGTCTTTCATCATAAATTTAATCAATATGACAAATGTTAATAACAAACTCTGATTGTATGAGGGGGATGATTGAATTCTACAATCTTTCCTAAAAGAATATAAAGTAAAAAAGAGTAAATGATATTCTTCCTCTACAAAACCCAGGCAGGGAGTAATAGAGAGAGAACTCATCAAAGTCTCTTATTGAGCCCTTTGTTTTCTACTATTCTTTTCTTTTTTAACTTTCATTTTTCATCTGGCTAATCATCCTGCAGCTGTTGCTGATACAAAGTGGAAAACCCTAACCCTACCCAGAACCCCCAGGCTTCCAAAGAAGATTTTTTTTGGTGTATTCTTCTAGAGACCAAAATAGTGTGATACACCCTTTGCACTGCACCATTGCTCCACTGAGCCAACCTGCTCTATCGAAAGCATTGCAGCTGCCGCCACCTCGTGATCTTTTGACAAAATAACAGAATGCACAGTCGTCTTTCTTACATGCTGACTAGGATGCTGGCATTTTGTCATCACTTACTTCTTTTCTTTACTTCACTGTAGAAGATGACTCCGAGAACTGTTAGAGAGTAGCCAAGCATCCCCGTAATAGATACTGGATTCTTGAAGATTAGAATCGAGACGACAACTGCCACAGCGCCTTTCGCATTCCCCAAAACCTGCAAATACAGAAGCAAAATATGATTGTTTGTTATCCGGGTTGCAAAGGAACTTAGTCCTGACCTAATCTCAGTATTTAAGTTAGAACTGCATAACCAAAAAGGTCTAAACCCAGGACAGACTTTTCATAAGATCAAGATTCTGAACCCTGAACTCCATGAGTAAGTACATTTTTTCCCTAGAATCAATTCATAGTTGGCTAAGGATCACTTCATAGCCATTGCATTATGCTGATGTGACTTAGAAGTGCATGGAAGGCAGCATACCTGGAGAGTGAGAGCGCTTGTGTGTTTAGTGACCAAGAAGTTGGTCAAATTGACAAAGAAAGCTAATACGGAGTTGAAGAACAGCATCCACATGAACTTTGGATCATCTCTTGCCAGAGCCAGAGTAATACCAACCACATTCCCTTCCATCGTTAGGGTCGCAGGCAGCAAGAACACAACAGCAATTGGAGCCATGTATAGGAGCAGATTCATGGAATTCAGCTTCTCCCTTGAGACAGAAATAACAGAACCATTTTTCAGCATGTAATCCTACTTTCAAACTTTCCAATATCAAATGAATTTCAAAAGTACTTGTGCCACTAAAAAAAGGACCTTACCCCTCTGAAGAAAGCAATATACCCTGGACGACTGACTTAAGAGCTCTTGCTGCTGTAGCAGCGATACACATTATAAACCCAAAGAGATGGAAGCTTGGTTCACCCTGTTGCAACAACACACAAAAAAAGACATAGATCAGAACCAACCCAGAAGCATGAAACTCTATCTACATATAAAAAACACAGAAAAGCAATCCAATTAATTGATTCAACCGGATAGCCTGCAGAACTGTTGAGCATTTGTCATCTCTAGAATCAACCTTCGAAAAGCAATCATTTAAGAAGCAATGATGAAATGCATAACCATTTATCAGAGAAAAGAGCTGTTCCAATAGAATTTCACTGACAGAGCCCAATTTTAACCCCTCACTTCAGCAATGAAATGATTAGAACACCAAATCCCATTGCAGAAACTCAACCAGCTAAAATCTAACCTCACACTGGAAAATTGAGAGAAATCGGTACTTACCCCAGTGGCAATAATGACTCCAGTCACCACAGGAACCAAAGTGAGGTAAGTGAGCCAAGCCTCCCTCTTGAGAGTCATCACATAAGCAAAGACGGCGGTGAAGAACGGGGTAGTGGCGCCGACAGCCTGATTAAAAGACACCGGAAGGAAGCGGAGGGAGATGTTCCCAAACACCACCGACACACAGAAGATCATGCTCAAAGCGGAGATCTTGAAGAATTGGGTGCGGGATCGAATGGTCTGCAAGGGGACTACCTTCATCCAAACAATGGAGATGTAGCTGAACAAGCTGCAAGCCGTCATGTGGCACATGGTGAGGAAGATTGGGAACTTGAATTCGTAAATGCTGAGCAAGAACTTGTTCATCAGCAGGACCCCGATGTTGGAAGAGTACCAGCAGGCGACCAGACCGATCGTGAAGAGCAGCGTAGTCGCCGGCACGGCAATGTTCCCCTTCACTGACTTCTCCATCTCGACTTAAGCTTTGAGCTATGGAGATCTGAGAAATCGAGGGGCGTGGGGTGGGCGGCTTGAGTTTTCCCTTCTTCGCTCGGATTAGTCTGCAAAGAAGGGAGGTTTTCAGTGGCTTCGAAGTTCCCTAGATGGCTATGGATCCGGACACGCCATGGATCTCTGCCATAACAATGGAGGAAAGGGGGAAGGAAGCAAAAGGAGAAGGTAAACTCGACGGGCGGAGAGGGATAGGTGACGGGGGGAGAGAGAGATGGAGAGAGGGTAGTGGGAAAGAAGGAGAAATTGGTCAAATGGAGGGGAAGTGCGACGGAGAAGGAAGAGGCGGATTTTTTTTAAGAGGGGGGAATTTGACGGTGGCGGCGGAGGAGAATGAGGTGGCGGTGGTGCTAAAACGCGTTGAAGAAGGGAAAATTCTGGTAACGTGGGGGGTATTTTCTCCGGTTTCTGTTTGTTTCTTTTTTGTGTAGTTTTATAATAAAAAGAAGAAAGATTAGGGGACTTATTTCTTTATTTTAATTAAATTAAATAATTCATAGGGGTTTTATGGTGTGTGCTGGTTTTGTGTAGGGGAAGGAAAGGCGTAGTTTGACTTCTTTAGGGTACTAATTGTGGGGGAAAATTTGTTTAGGGACTCTTTACGTCCTTTACAATTCAACTCAATTCAAGATCTAGTCCTCGCAAATTCAGTGAGATTTCGTTTCGTACAACTACAAATCGACAATTTAATTTTATGATATTATTTCCATTTAGTTGAAGCATAGATTTGGTTAATCAGGTTTTAATTTGGGGCGTGCTTTCAAGGCTATAAATAGATGCTTTATACCTTAAAGAAATGAAAAGGAAAACTATGTATATAATTGTATATGCAAATTAAATGTGAATTAATAATCTGAAAAGTTTGTTATAAGAGCCCCAACTTATTTCCGATAATGGGGAAAAAGAAAGGAATCACACGTTGAAGTAGTACAATTAAATTAACTGAATCAATCCAGGAGCCAATCAAGGTGTTTATTTCTGACATTGGTGTATGTATGTAATGGCCATGGGCCCTTTGTGATGTAGACCTAATTACAAATTTAGATGTTGAAATCTCTTCATTAACGTGTGAAATTTCTCGAGCTTTAAGCTCGTGGAGCATTTAGGGTGTTGATCAGTATGAGCCCAAGGGCCAAAGCAAAGCGTCGGCCCAACAATCCTTTTTTTCTAGGCTAAAAGGCCGAAAAGTCAAGTTGACTTCATATTCTACTTATCCTGCTGTAAAAAGCAAGTAGATGCGCGCGCGATGAAGCGATTTTAGGTTTGGGTTAAATAATAGAAAGTAGAAACAAGAGCACAAAGTTTTTGCTCTCAAGTAATACCTAACCAAACGAGTCTCATTTTTGTAAGTTCTCAACCGTGTGGGTACGTTTGCCAAGTGAACTTGAACAGTCGCTATGCACACGGTATCGAGCAACAACACGAGCAAAATAAAGGACAGAGGACTGTTCTAGCATACGAAACAATTCGAACGAAGGACTTCTGCAGATAGTCTATAATAATACCAATAAGCAACGAAAGAGAGTTCAAAGAAGGAATTGATTACTCCGATCATTCAAACATGAACGGGGTGGGGGATTACTAATAATGAAAATGATCCAAATGGTGTACAATGTCCATCCACCATACTAAACAAAACAAAACTCTCCGACAACAAAAGAAGGCACAAGAAAAATCAAAGCTCAAATTATCGAAGAACCCATGTAATCAGAAGTTCCCTCCGAGACAAACAAGCTCCCCATCCACAAAACCTGAGCAGCAAGGAGAGCAAGACTTCAGAAAAAATGGTACAAGAAAACCAGGTCTGCACAAAGATTCAAATGCAACTGAAGCAGCTATACCGAATTCGACAAGTAAAAATGACTACTGGATTCACGCCTGTGATTTAGTAGGACAAGCACTTCCCTATACCGAATTCGACAAGAAAAGGAAAGACAGCGCTAAGCCAAGACGACAAAGCCTAATATCTTCTACTTAATCCTGAAATTCTAATTCAGATGACAAAACTACACATCTATATTTCAGGGTATACTAAACAAACTAATCCACACATCAACTAGAGAGTACCTTAGATATTGCTGGGGTACATGAAGACTCTTACTCTGTCTCCCTGCAACATAAACCAGAACTCTGGTAAGTCGCAACAAAACCAGCAAAATTAGAAACTCAAAACTCTGGAAATCGTATCACTTCAAGTACCATGGACTTGGGGGGGAGGTTGGACGTGAACTTTGCTCTAACAACACCGCTGTTTCCATGAGACCGTGAGACCTTGCCCCAGATGCAACGATAGTGCGAGCCATCCTTCTTAACCTTGGCCTTGTAGATATAGGCCAAGCGCTTTCCAGCATACCATGCTACCTCTTCCTTTGTATTCACTCCCTCAATTTGGATCAGAGAAGTATTGGGGTACTGGTTTGCCTTGGACCTATTTATCATTAACAAAATCAACATTCAATCGCTCAACACAAACCCTAGAAAGATTACCACATTAACTGAAAACTAGTAAACTACACTAGTTATTCGAATTCACTTTTCCAATACACCGAAGATCTGAAATACTGTTATTGAGGACCACATTTCCTGAAACCCTAACTAGATGGTAATAGAGAAATAGGGGAATCATCGAAGTTCAAGCCTCATTACCTCTTGTACCCTAGGATGGTTCCTCTGACGTAAAGTCTGCAAAAAAGCAAAACGATCAAAGAAGAATAATTATCTTCAATCCACCACTCTCTCAATTAACAAACTTGGTAATACGAAAAGGAAATCTAAACTGCGAGCTGGAGAAAACAGTTGACAGTCGGTCTGGGATCGTAACCGGAATTGGAGATATCCAGCGGAAAAGAGCTCGAAGTAACAGAGAGGAGATCGGGAAAACCTATACCTGACGCGCTCTCCTTCGCGACCTTTCACCATTTTCGCGGGTTGGAGGCGGAGTTTCTCCCTTTTCCCGGTTGCTGCAGAGGTGGCTGGAGTGATGCGATTTGATGCGGGAGAAGACGCTTCCTAAAACCCTAATCTCAGTGTCTACTTCATTTAATTTAAAGAATAAAGAGAGAACGCGGGGCAAACCTCCGTGCTAACCATTAGGCCCTTGATAAGAAGGCCCAGTTATTGAGCCCGCCAATGCACAGATGATTATCTCCAGAAATATCCATGGGGCCTCAATAGAGCACCAGTTCTCGGCCCATTCCAAGTGCAGATAAGTCATAATTTTTTAATTACGCAGATAAGTCATAATGATTAGCTATTTAGCTCAATAGGTCAAGATTGATCTTTCTCTAATCACTAGTAATAATGCATACTCTTCTAGTGCTAACTACAAACTAATTTTTTTAAAAAAATAAGTTATAATTTTTTAAATAGACTATTCTTTTGTGAATCCAATGTCAACCCCAGTATTTTAGGAAAACTAAGAAGAATGGTAGATAAGGGTTATAGAAAAAAAAAAAGGAAACTGTTCTAAAAAGAATTGTTGGATTTCAAAATCACGTTGTTTACCAATAAAATAACTTAATATCAGGTTGGTTAGTTTTAAGGAATGGTTGTAAACTTGTAGTTTATAAGGTTAGCTGAACTATTTAATTAAACATTAAGCATGACATGATCATAGAGGGTCAACGTGTGCAACCCGAATCCTTACCCATTAAGCACCTAAGTGTCAACCATCACATCATCCTGCAGGGTTAGTGCGCATCCACCAAGTACAAAAGTGTCAAGCATCATGTCATGCTGAGGGGGTTAGTGTGTTAGTGAGCATTCATCAACCCCCTCGTTCTCGACCCCCATGCCCCCAAGCACCTAAGTGTCAAGCATGACACCATCCAAGGAACGTATAGTCGGGTATCAAGCACGATACTTACCAAAAAGACCATCTAGACTCCGTGGATATCCTCAAGGCATTGAGCATCGAGGTACTCGAGATCGATGTGTCAAGTTGGCGACCTACTCATCATGACGACAACCCCCCCCCCCCCTCCTAAGCGTGTTACCCTCACATGTCCAGCATGACAGACTATCTAGGTGTTAAACACGAGGCGCCCATTTAAGTAGTCATCACGTCACATTCCATCAAGCCTCCAAACACACAAGTCTATCTAGTAAGGTATCAGAACAAGCAGTCAAGCAAGATACCTCCTTGACAAAGACTACCCATCAAGCACGTTATGAAGTCTTCAAGCCGTCAAAGTATCAAGTGACTAACACAGAAGGATGATGAGTTAGAGAATCAAGCAAGCTACATCAAGTACTATGACTGTTGGAGGAGTATTACCGAGGAGGTTACACCAAATGGCTATCAATAGGAGAAACGAAGACTAGAAAATGGTTTAGAAAACCACAACTCCTACACAGGTCAAGTTTATATTTTTCCATGCAAAGTACCCATATGCAGTTTCCAGATCTCTCACTGAACCTCCATACGAGTACATAATAATTTAACATAGCTTGTTCCTAAAAAAAAAAAACTCTATCAAATACATCAAACACTGTCGTTCGAACATTGTTTAGAGAGATGTAAACTATGTAATTAATCAATATCCAAAGAATTCAAGGTACAATCTATTATTATCAAACATAAGTCCCTCGTCGAAATGCACATGCTTTATGTTTCAAATTGTAAACTCATTAATTTCCATATCCACTATTTTTTAGTTTGGTTCTTAATCATGCTAATCATTTATGGACCTGATATAAAAACAACATAATAAAAGTTCTCAACAAAACATTAGAAATCAAAATAAAGAAAAATATCACCAAGGCAGAGAGCTTTATTTGTTGCATATTTCGCACTTTCAATATCTAATCCTAATTGGCGGCTGCGGTAAATCCTTTCTTTTGGATGGTTTTCTCCCGTCCTTGTTCAAAATCGAGCAAAAGTAAAGACAAATTTTGGAGGGAGGGAGAAAGAGGGTAAAGAGAAAGGAGGGAGGGGAGAGGGGGTAAACAGAGGGATAAAAAATTTGGGTTTCTTAACCTATGTACATTGCATACTATATCTATTCTCTGTTGATTCAACTTATTCTTTCTTCTTCTTATTTTTACCATCCCTTGTTCTTTTCTTGGTTGGACGTTCTTTCTTTCAATCGGGCAATCTCTCTTGTTTTATTTATTTTTGTACATAATTCATTTTGCATTATAGATGTTAGCACAATGTCGGGATCTGATCAAAGTTCAAGCAACTCACCTTATTACATGACTCGACGGCGGGTTGGGGATTTTTTAGAATCCCAGGACCATAATGGCATCATCGGCGGAGGGTCAGGTGCGTCTGGTGGAGGAGAGAAAAGAATGATGAATAATAAATTGACGGAGCTGCTGAAGCGACGTATGGGGAGAAAGGGCACGTTTGGGGTATTGTTACTAATGGCATTCTTAACAATGTTGGCGAAATTCCCCCTCTTGCACACCCTCCAAAACATGGAATCAGGTTATGGATTCATCATGGCGGGTAGCCAACGACTTGAGATTGGTCTCACGAACGAGACTTCTACAACAGGTAGTGTCGAGAAGTTATTGAAGACGCCGCAGAAGTTCTTGGTTAGCATACACATATCATAAACTTTTTCATTGAAATTAAAGAAAATGGGGGAAGAAAGCAAATTGGTGCTTGGAGTTTTTGTTTTCCTTCTATGTTGCACAACATTACATTATTTTGTAACTTTTTTATACCAACACTCTTCTTTTTTATTTGCAATTTTGAATTTTCTTATAAATTTTCAATTGGTATGTCAAGAATTTTTTACATCTTTTGTGAACAAGTACTCTAACGAAAGATAACACCAAATAATTGTGTTCGTTAAAAGAACATAGACGTTTCTATACCTTTCCACATTTAGGAAAATGGAAACAAGTCATGCCCAAAGACCAAAGTTGTATTCAACATTTAATTATTGAGTTAAATCGATAAATCACATGCAATACTTTTTACGTTCGATGTACATGTTTGTTTCTTTCCCTACTATCTTTCATTTCCTTTGATGTTGCTTGCAATGAAAAAGAAGTGTACCTGGCCAATTATTTCTCAAGTTGTTTTATTATTTTTCTTAATGAAAGAGAGAAATGATAAATTTATATATTTAATCGTTATTGATTGATTTTATCGATTTTTACAGATTTCAGACATATGGGAGAAACCTAACGGTGAAAACCTCTACAAATGCATTAACCGGTCAAAAAATGACGAGAGTAAGCACTTTACCCTCGAGGAGTACAAAGTACATGGTATAATGAGAATAGTAAAAGTTAATGCTTGGACAATAAGCAATTCTACATGTAAAGTATTTTCCTTTCAGGGAATACAGCTACGACCACCAATGGGTACCTTGAAGTTCACGCTAATGGTGGATTGAACCAAATGAAAGCTGGGGTAACAAATATATAATGAAAATGTATTCATTCTGTTTCTCCCATTTGAAATCTCTCAATTTTCTCATTTCCCCTCAGATCAGTGATATGGTAGCCATAGCCAAACTAATGAATGCCACTTTGGTTCTTCCTTCTCTCGACCACTCTTCTTACTGGACGGATCCAAGGTAAGCACTAGTATGAGTAAATAAATGGTAACTTTTTATATAGTAAAATGAAACCATTGGTCACTAATTAGTTTTGTTTTTTTCTCTCATTTTTTGTGTTTAGTGGTTTTAAAGACATTTTCGATGTCGGCCACTTCGTTGAGGTCTTGAAAGACGATATCGAGATTGTGGAGTCAGTTCCTCGAGAACTCGATGGGGTAACGCCATTGGAGAAACCGCCAGTTTCGTGGTCCAAGGTATTGAGTTTCTTCTACTTTAGGTTATGCGTCAGGTTAAGGCCCGCAATCTTTTTTAACATGGATCCCCTACAGCCTGCGTATTACAGAAACCATATGGCTAGCCTGCTGAGAAAGCATAAGGTGATCAGGTTCACTCATTCTGATTCTCGACTCGCCAACAATGGCCTTTCTGCCTCCATTCAAAGACTACGTTGTCGCTCCATGTACGAGGCCCTCAAATTCAGGGAAGGAATTGCAGATCTCGGGAGGAAGCTGGTTGATAGGATCCGGGGTAAACAACAACAACGTTTCATAGCTCTTCACTTGAGGTAGCGTCCACGAAATAGAGTCGTGACCTACGTTCACTCTTTTCAAAAGAACATTTTCACCATCCACAATTACAAAGTCTTGAGTTTTAAGAAATTTGTTGCTTCTACTAAAATCAGCTGGAACAATAATGGATGACTTGCAGATATGAAAAGGACATGTTAGCTTTCACTGGATGCAGTCACAACCTTACAAAAGCAGAGGACGAGGATCTATTAGCCATGAGATTAAGCACAACCCACTGGAAGCACAAACACATCAACGGCACAGCAAAAAGGCTAGAAGGGAATTGCCCCATGACACCCAGAGAGGTGGCCGTTTTCCTTGAAGCCTTAGGGTATCCTTCTGATACACAGATTTACATAGTTGCAGGGAAGATCTACGGCCAGAACGGACTTGATGCACTCAAGGAGAAGTATCCGAATGTGCACACTCATTTCAGTCTAGCAACAGAAGAGGAGATGGAGAGCTTTAGGAATAGACAGAATCAGCTGGCCGCCATTGACTACATCGTTGCCATCGAGAGCGATGTTTTTCTGTATAGCTATGATGGTAACATGGCTAAAGTAGCCACCGGTCACCGGAGATTTGAAGGGTTTCGGAAGACCATCAGCCCTGACAAGTAAGCAACAGGAGAATAAGCCATAACATATATCACCCCCATTGTCTCTAACTCTCTTATCATCAATAGAATTTGCACCGAAGTTTCTTGTTCTATGTTTGTTGCAGATACAAATTTGTGAGATTGATCGACAAGCTGGACAAGGGTCTGATACCATGGGACGAATTTGCAAGCAAAGTGCAAGAGTTGCATAAGAACAGGACTGGGGCTCCGTCGCCCAGACACCCAGGGCGTTCCTCCAAACATGAGGAGAACTTCTATGCAAACCCTTTTCCCGGTTGCATATGTGAAAGGACACGAGAAAACGAAAGGCTTAATGACCTAAGATAGGGTATGATAAAAATGTAAGCTAGCAAATTTTTTTACTTCTTACATTTGTAGATTAACTTAACCAGTAAAGCTAGCACAAAGGTGTTGTTGTATTGGCGTTTGATCAATGATAATTGCTCAAAGTAGGATGAAGTCTTCCAGTAAAAACAACAGTTGCTTTTGGTATAAACTAAATCATGGACACCAACCAAATGAATCAAATGCTAGCCTAAACTACACAATAGATGTAAAGTATTCCAGTTCCCCATTAACATTCTACATGAATGAAATCTAAACATTGGGAGAGTTAAAATACTCTTACTCAGCACCTGCAATTGCTCAATCTTGAATCGTTTGGCCAGGAACTTCAGATGCCATGATAGTGACAAATTGTCGGCATGGTATCATCACAAGTCAGCAAAAACATGGTAAGTTTTGGAATCTACAGCTATAAGCCTCAGAGCAGCAACAAGTGCTGCCAGGGACATGAACCCAAAGAAGATCACATTTAGCCAGTGCCAGAGCTTTTGGAAGGAGCTCAATTTGCTCCCCTTGGCCACTAGGTACATGTGGTTTGCCAGAATGAATGTTAGGGGAAAGGTGCTGATTGCCCCTGTGAGGCTCATGAAATCTCCTAAGAATGGCAGAAGTGCTGACACCAATGTGTTGAGGGTAAGGTATCCACCTCTCACTCCCAGCCTGAACGTCAAGTTTCGAATGGCGAATCGATTCCCCTTGATCCCGTACTTGGTGTCCAAGAACTCGTACATAGGACTCGCGAATATGTGTAAAGCGATGACCGACTGAAAGAATGCAGCAATATTGGCCATTGCCTTCACCCAAACTGGACCATTGACGCTGCTAAGCAAATAGGTTGATGTGGATGAACCATACGCCCAGTAGCCGATGAAAGTGACAGCATACATGGGTAAAACTCCAGCCGTGAACTGGAAGTAGAGTGCTTTCATCATGTTGTTAACTACTGGCTGCTTTATTGTTGCCTGTTTGTAAATCGAGTTCAAACAAACTTATGTAAGGGAATAAATTTAAAGTTCCACATAAAGCTGCAGAACTTCTAAATACTTCTCAAGTACCTGTATCTCTGGAAGCATTCCTGTATTAAATGCAAAGACGAGATTGGCAGATGCTCCAATTGTCGTGAAGATCTTGCTCGTTGTGGTTCCTGGGATGCTGTAGTCCCTGGCTGGTGTATTGACCCCTGAAATCAGCATCGAATGTTTCAGAATACTCGGAACTAAGGAGGATTATCAGCCTTAAAACAAGTGCCTTCACTAAACAGCAAAAGGGATTCAGAGAACACGCAAAATGTACCATCTTTAATGGAGAGTACAAAGGCAACTATGATGTATATCAGGCTAAGGACTGTTGAGACTCCCAGCCAAACTCTCAGTGCAGATAAATGAGGAGTTGAAATGGCAAACAAGCCACAAACAACCCCAGCAATGGCTATGAAGTAGGGAAGCTTCATTGGACCATCTTCATCGAAAAGAACATAGGCAGCCTGGAGTTAGAAACATCCAGTCAGAAACACAAAGAACAATCCATAATGTATGCCAGCCATATAGGCACAGTCTATAGACCAAGCAGTAACGAAAAAGCTGCAACCTGAGAGACAACTCAACCAGCTCACCTTAAGAGCCTGGCCAGCTAAGATGATATAACCAGTGTTGATCATGAAAAGGTTCACATACTGCAAACCCCATGTTACAGAATAAGCTCTCTTACCTGCAGCAGACATGGAGGAACAAAGCAGACATTTGAATCAATTGAACTAATGCTGCAATAGTGGCTACGAGGTAACATATTTCACATACCATATATGAATCCAGCCAAATCTCTGTATCTGATATGCCTTTTGCCTCCAAACTCATGTAGCTTAGCCACCAGAGAGTTCGCATACAATGAGATGGCAGTGGCCAGAATCAAACCAACCACACCAGGAACCCATCCCAAAGGGACCATTATGGTCCCTGAATAGCCTAATACATAGGCACTGTTGATCCCAGTTGTAAGAACAAATCCCACTTGGAACCATGAGTCTGTCAAGAATTAAGTTCAAGTTATCAGCATCACTGTCTGTCAAGAATTAAGTTTAAGTTATCAGCATCACTGTGAGTGTGAACCAACAACCAGAGCTCTCCATCTGACAAAAACCCCAAATAAGAGATCAAAGACAATCTTTTGTCACACCCATTTCCAGAAAACCCTTTCCTTCTCACAAAAAGGAGTGTCCAAAGAGATTCAGATGATAAATGATTAGGACAAAGCTTCCCTTTTCAACTTCATAAGTAAGAAATGGCGAGACAGAGTAGTGTCCTATATCAAACGTGAATCCCACCTTCAAACAAAAATCCTTTTTATCTTCCTTTTCCCACCAAAAAACAATCATTTGTTTGAAAAAGGCCTAAAGAAGTACACGAACAAGAGCCAACTGAAATATGATCCTAAGAAAACTCGAAAACCGCACACCTTCGGATTATGTCAGCAGCCACAAGACGCCAAAAATGGTCAAACCAAAAGGGGATCAACATAACTTATTAAGAGGAAAAAAATTGAAGTAGAAAGAGGGAATTCACCGCTGCTAATCTGATGGGCGGTCTCCGGGATCGCAACGGCTAAGTTTTCCTCGTCATGAACTTTCCTCGTCGGCCCAGAAAAGTCCCCTCCGCCGCCGTCGCCGTTTCTGTCCATGATCAGAAGGGTGGTTGGTGGTCGGGGCAATAGAGAAAAGGCTTCCTCGCCGTCTCCCCCTGGTGATTCGTCGGTCGCCGACTCCTCCTCCAACACTAAACTGTGAGAGAAAGCCAGCTTGCTTTGATTCAGAGATTATAACTTCAGTTATATAGTTGCCGACTTCTTCGGCCAGGCGGGTAGAATGGAATCAATGCGACCCGATATGGATTGTTCCCAATTCCCTCTCTCCCTCTCTCTATCTATTTTTTTATTTTTATTCAAGATTACTGCTTTTTTTCTGTTGGAGGCACAAAATTCCGGAGGTCGAGAAAGCAGAGATCTTGTTCGCATTTAGTGGGGCTGAGAGAGAAAGAAAGAAGAAGAATGAGAGAAAGAAAGAAAGAGAACCGTTCATTTCATTCCTTCTTCTCGCGAGAGTCAATTTGTTCTGTTTTAGGCTTTTAGCTTAGCTGTTGCTTTCTGCAATACATCTAAAATTTATTATTCAATAAATGAATATTAATACCACCCATCAGCCTCAGTTGTTTGTAATTTTGTATGGCAAAAATACGAGACGCTTGTTAGTTGTTAAATAAGCACCAAATATAATGACACATGATGAACAAGGATCAAATAAGAAATGATGTTCAAATGAGATATAAGTAAAACATACAATTTTACGAGTTGAGATTATTTTGATCATATTCGTAGACTGACGTTTATTGATATTTCGATGTTTTTAATTTTGAGGCGTCTTTTTATGGATTAGATTCTCGATAGTGTATAATAAACACTCCTTTCAACCTTATATAAACTTTAAGAGGCATACATCAAAGGAATCATTTTTCATCTGGACTCTACTCACCAACTTTATATGATTCCTCTCTTTACAAAGGAGTTGGACCAAGCTTCCCTTAGAGGAATAAAGCTCGGTCACTCTCCAGCTTTAAAAGAAAAATTCCCTTTTTTTTTTTTTGGTAAGGGAAAAATTCCCTTTCTGTAGAAGAAAAAACAATCTTTTGAGCAAAGACCCAATATGATGAGGATTCTGTCGGACTAGGTGATCAGCACTTCATGCTGGTACCTGCGAAAGAGAAGGAATGACAGAGTCCTGAAAGTCACTATCCAACCGAACCACAACTGTCAAAGAATCACAAATTGGACCAAACTGACCAAATTTTTTAGGGACTTGCAGAAGCCAGGATGTGGGAAGATCCAACGTGCTTAGCAACTGTTATTGTTCGAGGATTTCAAAACCCTACTCGATTAACAATACAAACTGAAGCGCCATTTATGCGACTTCTTTGCACAAACACTTTACAGAAACGCTGTGTTTGTACCAGCGCTGTATTATATAAGCCTATTTTCCTGATCGTTACAAATCAGGTGGGGCAGGGCAGCATCTGGAGGAAAGCCACCATTACAAGTCCGCGAACAAATGGTAAGTTTTGGAGTCAACAGCAATCAGCCGTAGAGCAGCAACAAGTGCTGCAAACGACAGAACCCCAAAGAACAATACGTTGAGCCAGTGCCATAGCTTCTGAAACGAGTTCAATTTGTTCCTCTTTGCCACTAGGTACATGTGGTTCGCTAGAATGAACGTGAGAGGGAACGTGCTAATCGCCCCGGTAAGGCTCATGAAATCTCCAATGAATGGCAGCAGTGCTGCAACCAATGTGTTGAAGGTGAGGTAGCCACCTCTCACTGCTATCCTGGATGTCAGGTTCTGGATGGTGAATCCTCTTCCCTTGATCTTGTACTTGGTGTCCAAGAACTCGTACATTGGACTCGCGAATATCTGCAGGTATTAACGCCAACATGATTAGAGAGTTCGGTATACGGTGCCATTTTTCGTTACAAGCAGAAGGGTCATGTCACATGTGTGTTGGATAGTTGTTTACGTGTAGAGAAATGACTGATTGGAAGAATGCAGCTATGTTGGCCAATGCCTTGAGCGAAACCGGACCATCCACGCTGCTAAGCAAATAGGTCGATGTGGATGATCCGTAAGCCCAGTAGCCAATGAAAGTGATGGCATACATTGGCAGAACCCCAACTGTGAGCTGGAAGTAGAGTGCTCTCATCATGTTCTTCACTACTGGCTGCTTTATTGTTGCCTGTTTGCAGTTTTGAGATCAAGCTTTTAGATTTCCACTCAAATTTAAGCTGCAGGCTGTTTCGAGTCCAGTCGAATGAATTTAACTACCTGTATCTCTGGGAGCATTCCTGTGTTGAATGCAAAGAAAAGATTGGTAGTTGCTCCAATGGTTGTGAAGATCTTGCTTGTAGTTGTCCCTGGGATGCTGTAGTCTCTGGGAGGTGCATTGACCCCTAAAAACCAAATGAGTCTCATAAGGTCAGCTGAGGATGTAGCTTGCTGCTAAACAGCAGATGATGAGGTTGGATTAAACTAAATGAACGATCCGCGTACCATCTTTAATCGTGAGCACAAAGGCGATAATGATATAGATCAGGCTGAGAAGTGTTGAAACTCCAAGCCAGAGTCTGAGTGCTGACAAATGAGGAATTGAAATGGCAAACATACCACATACAAATCCAGCAATGCCTATGAAGTATGGAAGCTTCATCGGACCATCTTCGTCGAAAAGAACATAGGCAGCCTAAACAAAAATTCGACATCGCGCTCAGATCGAAACATCCACTATGGATTGCCATATCTAAATAAGCTCCACCCCAGTCGAGTTCTGACTCACCTTAAGAGCCTGACCAGCTACTATGATAAAACCAGTGTTGATCATGAACAGATTCAGATACTGAGAGCCCCATGTCATATAATAAGCTCCATCTCCTGCAAGTACACATGCAAAACAAAAGTCACCATAAGATACACTAGCTAACAGGTGTTACTCACATGGTAAGAACCTCCATTGAATGTTTGCTGGTTTTGTTTGCATATACTAACCATATATGAAGCCAGCCAAATCTCTGTATCTGATGTGCCTTTTCCCTCCAAACTCATGTAGCTTGGCGATGAGAGAGTTTGCATACAGTGACATGGCTGTGGCCAGAATAAGACCGACCACTCCATATGTCCATCCCAAAGGGACCATTATGGTCCCTGAATAACCTAGTACAAAGGCACTGTTGATCCCAGTTGTAAGAACAAATCCCACCTGGAACCATGAATCTGCCAAAAGCAGAGGAAGGTAAAATAAATCAGTCCCTAATCTTCAGCTCTCCAGCTCTATGCTAACAAACTGGCTACACAGGGATGCAAGTCTCCATATAATGAACTGAACCAGTAATGTCTATATCATCCAAATCCCAAATAAGCAATCAAAGACTTCAACTTTTGAGAACCCCATTTAGTCAAAATCATTTCTTTAGCATGATAAGAAGGGTCAACCCAGTATTTTTTAGGGAAGTCAACTCCATATATATACTGAAATGATTCCAGCTCGTACTTATCATTAATACCACGCATAAAGAATTCAAAATACGCAGAATGGCATTAAACATTATCACAAGACAAAAACAAAGGGTACGTTGGTTTAGACTTGTTCTTGACGTACGAAACAAAAGAAAAACATTCTTTTCCTTTACATTTACCGGGGAGAAAAAGATCCTGCCTTTTCAATCCATCCAATCACATTTACCCGAGAAATAGAAAGCAGCCAATCATAATTCAGATACAATTATACAACACAATTCCCACTGGCGCTAGTGGCAAAGTAAGCGACAAAAGAAGAAGGGGGAAAAAACAGAGGAAGAAACGATGAACTGGCTCACCGCTGCTAATCTGATGGGCAGTCTCTGGAACCTCAACGGCCAAATTCTCCTCATCGCCAACTTTCCTCCTCTGCCCACCAAACCCTTCTCCTCCTCCGCCGTCGGCGTCCATTACAAGAGGAACGGTCTCGTCGGCGAGTCGTCCTCCTCCGGCCTCCGCGGCCAACACAGCTCCGTCTGAGAAAGCCAGCTTGATTTCTTGAAGTAGCTCGTTCCTTAGCTTTATATAGTAGTAGCCGAATTCGGCTGCCAGGTGGGCGGAATCGCAGCAATTGGGTTCCTCGCTAGCTCACTGCCTCTATCTTTTTCCAAAAGATGAATTCTGGGTTTTTGCTGTGACTCCGAATAAGGAAAGGATTTCTCGAAGATCGAATCGGTAAAGATGTTATTCGCACTAAAAGAAGGTTGTGAGGGGAATAGACGGACAGAGAGGCTGGGAGAGAAGAAGGAAGGAACTAAGAGTGCAGAGTGGGAGGAAAAAGAACTGGATTCTCTTCCTCAGATGCAAATTTGATTAGCTTTAATCAGCTTTTTGTTGCTGTTTTCTATGATATATCTGCAATTTTTTATTATCCGATTTTTATATCGTGCAATTATTGGTAGCTTGTTCTGTTCTGTACATAAATAAATGAATAAGCTCCGGTTTCCTTTCTATTTTATCCAACCATTCACGCATGTTTTTTAAATTTAATTTTTATTTTATTTGCAGACGTATTTGTTTAATGTTTGTAACAATTGTACCTTTTTTTTTTCTATATTGATATCCCTTATCGTAATAGAATTAGCATCTCTGCTGCAAGAATATTGGACCAGAAGAAGAGTTTATTAATATTATGATGTTGTTCCTTGATCATCCAAATGTTTTGGTCCCTTAAGAAACAAGCCAGCAAGCATCTCGAAATGTCAAGCTGATTAATCAAATATGTTGAAGCTAACCGGTTAAAAAAAATTCTTATAGGGGAGGAATATGACATAGCGTTTGGTGAAGGATTTTAAATAAATTGTAATTGTTGCAAAATATATAGCTTATCAATTCATAGAAACAATAAATTATTTTAGGGTTGGCCTAAAAAAATAAGTTGGATTAGGTGATTTAGTGTTTTAGATTTTAGTCAAACCTTAGGTTAATTTGCCACATGATGAAATAGATGATCATATTGAAAATGGATGTGCCACATTATATCTTTCTTTTTGTTATTGTCTATTTCTGAGAGTTGCAAAGTTATTCAACTTGAATTATTTTGTCATAAGTTTCATTAATTTAAATGTTCTTCATCGTTTAACTTGGCTATTACCGTGCGACAATCCATCTCAATTATTACATGCAATATATGATGGGCTTCTTTTGTAACTTGCATTCCAAATAAACATGGTTATGCATGTACTTGCGCATTCGGAAATTCGAGAAAAGAGAAGTTCAAGCTCATTTTGTTATAACTGATAGTTGGTGAACCAGACGAGGGTAACTCCTCCGTATTTAGTCGATCAATTTCGATCTCACTTCGTCATGCTAAAGGAATATGTTGATCGTTCCTCTCATCACAAGAAGAGGGTGACTCCTCTATATCTAGGCAATTTTTATCACAACAGGGATATACTGATGACTAATCTCATAACATGAGAATATGTAATTAAAAAAAAACCCCACTGCATATGATAAATCTTAATTTCGTTTAACTTATATAATTAGATTGGATTTATATAACTCGTTTAATTCATTGTATTTAACCGATGTAATCTTTTGGGCTGGGAGTTTGCTTTTTGATCGAACCTTAAGCAATGAATCAGTTTTATCCCCACAAACCGATTGCTCGTTCCTCATGCCAAACTAATGAACGAGGTAGTTGGGTTGGGAGCTCTAGTACTTAGTTTTCAAGGAGTCAAATACCATAATTAAGCAAGTGCGGTGGGCTGCACGTCTGTATCGAGGATTGCTTATACTGTGCTACGTGTTGCTTGCAGTTCCAGTCCTCTTCGTCTGGTTACGTACCGTTTATAATTAATTACGTACCTTCTGAAATTGCTTATTTTTGCAGTGCCTTGGCTTCTCAGATTCCTGGGTTTGGTTGACTTTTTAGGAATCAATGGCGTCAAAGATCCAGCTGCTACAGCGGTCGGTTAATAGAGTAAGTTAGGGGAGCAGTTCCTTCCTGCCGCCGCCTGCTGCGGTGGTGATCAAACTCTAATTAATCACGCTCCTTTCTCTATCGAATTTGATTTTGATTTATGATGTGTAGCCCGCCAAAGTTATTATATGCGAAGAACTTGATTTGATTGTCTCGTGTTCTTCGCGGGTTGGAAGTTGATGACGAGAAAAGGATTGTCTTGTGTTTTGGTGGATCAAATTATTATTATTATTATTATTATTATTATTATTATTATTATATGGAAGTGAACGCTTAAGTTTTCATACACGAATCTTTTTTAACAGTTCGAGTTGATGGAACTAATTGACGTGTGATTTCTGCAAACTTCAAATCAATGAGTTGACTTTTATTTTAGAGGGCGTGTAAGAAAATGGTCAATATCCGTAGACCTCTCCAGACAAGTCCACTTATTGGGACAGTAGTTACGTTTGAGGTGATAAGATAAGAGTTTAGCTAGTTTCAATCTCATTGTGCAATAAGTAGATCCATTTTCAAAAGTTTAACAACCACATACGGATAAGATAAAATGAAATCGATAACAAGTGTGCTAAGTGATGCATAAACTTTGAGCCTTCATGGAATATGCACTCAATTGCGCTCATCGAATATGGACTTCATTTACGGAACTACTTCATGTATAGTGTTCGTCTCGTTCATGACTACTGATGGTGGTGGCGTTAGTGGGGGAAGATTTTGATGTTAGCAGATAAGTACAACGACATAATCTTCCTCTCATGGTCATTTTATACCGAATCAGTGGTTAGGTAGTGACCAATAAGCTATTTGGACATAATTATAAACTGGGGAATTTAGGACCGTTAGAAATTGACGGTTAGAAAAATAAATAGTTCATATACTTGGGAATTTAGGACCCATATTTTAGAGCTCAAATGACATTAACTCTATACAATAGAATTGGCTACTCCATCTGTATCCGGAAATCAGATTCAACGACAGTACCAATTCGTATATGATTGTTTCATTGATTCAGTTAGCTCTTGTTGTCAAAGACCTTGTTATCTAGGCTGGAAACTAACTAGGGGAGGAGTGGGCTGAGAGGACCAGATATAGCTAGGTAGGCCGGGTCTAGGAAAATGGAAGGTATTGGGCTTTGCCACCCTCTTATATCTTGAAAGGAAGTCGGCCAGGCAAATATACGATTGAGCCTAAAGGGTTGAGCCCAGTCATTATTCTTGTATTGGGCTGTGACTCGAGGGAATACTGGGCTACTGGCGGTCTCTCACAAATCGGCAAAGCACCGGAGTAGGAGTGGGATACGGCACTTCCTTATGTTATGGGTGTGAAGATTCACAACCAAATGCATTTTGGGTATAACAAAAAATAAATAAATTAATTAATTTTTTTTATTAATTATAGATTGAGAATTAAAAATTTATATTAATTAATTTTTCTAGCAGTCACACCACTCCGACCGGCTGACTTTCCGACCGATAGATTTTCTCCGGCGAAATTCTTGAATAATACTTGCTCTGACAACCTGCAAAAAATTATCATTCCATCAGAGCGCTAGTGGTACACTAGTGGTACACTACTGCTACCACTGGTACCACTGCCAGTATAGCGGTACCAGTACCATCTGGTAGCTGGTAGTGATAGTGTACCACTATCATTTGGTACCACTACCATCCGGTACCTGATAGTGGTAGCGTACCACTATCATTTGATACCATTACCTATCATTTGTTACCATTCCCTGGTAGTGGTAGCGTACCACTACCAGGTACCAAATGGTGGTGGTCAGGAAAAAAAACCACTAGAAAAAATCAGATATGAAAATAAAAAACTCACAGATCTGAAAAAACGAAGGAGAGGAGAGTAAGAGTATAGTGGCAGATGAACTCACACCGAAAAAGACAAGGAGAGGAGGCACGACGGAGGCGGCAGGGAGTGAGGGAGGAGGAGGTGGTGGCGGCGGTGGAGGGCTCGGCAGGGGGTGAAGGAAGGCGGCGGTGGAGCAGCCGTGATGTTCATATTCGTACGTTGGAGGACTCGGTCGCCTCGAATCGTCACCTCGCCCACCGCTGTCCCGTTGAGCCTTATCAAAGCCGTGAAGTCCCTCCATGCAAAGCTGGCGTGGTTTTCGTTGTGAAGGCCGATGACCACTGGGACTGTGACACCGCCGCGGACTCGGAGTAGATCCTGCAGCCCAACGGCGGGCAGGACGACGAGGTAGATGCTGAAGATTGGGTCCGGATACTATAACAACACCCTTGTTGTTGTTATAGTAACAACAAGATTCATTAAGGATAAAAATATAAAACACATAATTCACGTAATGAAAATCAAAATTATTCTCCGTGATCTCTGTCTTTCTTCCTCCCCGAGAAATAGCAGCAGCCAGATTGCGACAATCTTTTCTCTTCGGCGACAATCCTCATCTCTGCCATCGCCGGCGGCAATCTGCATCTCTCCCATAGCCGGCGCCATCGCACCAGCTTCCTCACCAAGGTTATGGAAAGAAACTCTCTCACTTCTCCGGCCGTCTACTGAAGCTGTGGAATCGGCGCCAATTGAAAGGAGCGGCCGGAGCAGAGGTTGGGAGGCGGAGTGAGGAAGATGGAAGACGAGCGGCTGATCGGGGAAGGATGGCGGGAGCGTGAGATATCCAAAGAAGGTTGTGATGATGGCGGCGGAGAGTGCCGGAGGGGAGAGCTTTTTGAGCAGCGGAGAATGCCTTTTGTGGTGGCGGTGGTGTTGGAGCTGACGCCTGGACGGATCTCCCGTTTGAACGGGACGGTGCCCAGTTTCTTGAATGACTCGTCGATCTCCACTGCGTGCACACAAAATGGTTTGCAATCATGAGGATCCCCATAGTTTACGACATTAGGGAAGTTTTAATGTGTTTGTTAATTTCCAAATGATTTGTGAATAGTTAATGTAGATGTAGTAGTGGCAGGAGATGGAGAAGAAGGAATTCTTGTTTTTCTAGTGTTCTATTATATTTCTCATATGCATTTGTTGAGGATATGAATTCGTATTTGTATTTCGAATATTCATTATTGATTCTGAAAAGTTTATTTCAGTTGTTGCTTTTGTCAAATATTCGTTGTTCATAATCACATAAAAAATCTCATAATATAAACCACAAACACGGTAAATCAAACCACAAAAAGCATACCAGAAATTTACTAATGTAGACCACGAGTCTCCTAAAACATACCAAAAACCGCACAAAGCATACCACAAATATTTCTGATGCACACCAGAAACATCATAATACAAACCACAAACACGATAAAAAACCCCACAAAAGCAAACCAGAAACATCCTAATGTAGACAAAAAATCCCCTAAAACCTAATAATGCAAACCACAAACATGTTAAAACAAACCACAAAAATAAACCAGAAACATGCTAATGCAAACCACAAACCTATTAAAACATACCAGAAATCCCGCAAGCAAACCGCAAATTTTTTGAATGCACATGATAAACTTCTTAAGGCAAATCACAAACACAAGAAAAGACCACAAAAGGTTACCAAAAATATGAGAAACCAAACCATAAATCTCACAATGCATACCACAATATCCAGTGATTGTTGACCATTGATTTTTCGTCAAAGAAGTTATTTTTCAAAAAGGATTCGTTTCCAACTAAATGATTGAGCTCAATGTAGTTGAAATTGCACTTTAAAGTTTAAAAACTTACGCATTTACGCTTCTAGATCACCAAAACACTTCTACGCATAATCACATTTAATGTAGTTAAAAACTACAATTTAAATTCTAAAAACTTACGATTTTACGCTTACAGATCACCAAAATACTTGTAGCTAGAAACGCGCTTTTGACTACATTGGCTCATAGCTAGTCTGTAAATTTATATAAATTTGGATTACATTCATTTTATACACAAAGAGGGAATCACATTTATTACTTTCCAAATATATGAACTCTCTCTTTGTTATGGAAATTAGGGACAGGATAGGGTGACAACCCCCTTGGGGGTTGTCAGATTCACAACCAAGGGTATTTTGGGTATGGAAAAAATGAATATATTAATTACCTTTTTTGTATTAATTATATTGGGAATTTAATACCCATATTAAATACAATTTTTTCTGAAATTTAAATCTTATACATTAATATCTCTATCTATCTCTCTCTCTCTTCCTTTCTCCAGCAGCCACTCCGCATCGACTGACAAACTTTTTCTCCGGCGAATTCTCTCCGGCAGACTCCCTCCGGCAACCTGAAAAAATGTACCAATGCGTTAAAAAGTGTACCAATCTATTAGTCTACTGGTAATTAATATACCAGTGCTAGTGGTACGCTACCAGTACGTTAAAAAATGTACTAGTACTAGCGGTACCAGTAAAAAATGTACCAATACTAGTGGTACGCTACCAGTACAACGCTACCAGTAGAGAATAACACAACGCTACTAGCACTGGTAGCGCTACCACTAGCATTGGTAGCGGTACCAGTAGAGAATAACACAAAAAAACAGATAATAGTGGTATTACATGATAGTGGTACCAGATGATAGTGGTACCAGTGAGTAGTGGTAGGGGAGCCACTGGTACGTACCAGTGAGTAGTGGTATCGTACCAATAGGAATTGGTACCACTAGCATTGGCAGTCTTCTCCTCGAGATTCTTCGCACCCCCGGCGGTGGCCTTGGCGTCGAGGAGGTCGTTGAAGCCGACGCCGGAGGCAGAGAGCTTGGTGTAGAGACGATCTGGACGTCGATATGGACGTTGCTGATGAGAACGCGGACGGAGCCGATCTGGACGTCGCGGAGCCAGGCGGCGGCGTAGATCTCGATCATGATGGCGGGTACAGCAGACTGTGAACGGTGGGCACGGGAGAGGAAGAGGGAGGGGAGGACAGCGGCGCGGGGAGGACAGCGGCGCGGCGGCAGGGGAGGCAGAGGCGGCGACGGTGGTGGAGCTCTTGACGGCTAGGGTTTTTTTGTTAGAGATATGTGAGAGGGGAAGAGGAGGGAGACGCAGGAGAATGGGGGAGGGTCTTTTTTTTTTTTTTTTGGGTAATAAAAAGTATTTATATGGAAAATGGAAAGGATCTCATGTGGTAAGTTTTCCATTTCGAATTTGCCCTTGGTTTAATCTTAACCATTAATTTAAAAAAAGAAGAAAAAGACAGGAGAGAGAACGTATCTGATGGCCACAAAGGTGGTTGTGAATCTGACAACCCCCAAGGGGTTGTCACCGTATCCTATCCCTGGAAATTAATGTCCTAGATAAAAGTTAAAACTGGAACTCTTTGTCAGCTTCTTTTTTTCAAACTTTGGCTTCTCGCATAGGAGGATAATCAATTAGTATTAATAATAAAATAATTATTGAAAGTGAAATGGGCATTAATTAAAAGTGTAGTGCACGCGCATGAGGAAAAAGCTCAGTACATGCGTGCGACATGGGATGAAACTTTTGTAGTGACCATCATGCCCTTCCTTTAATTTTAACTTATAAAAATTCAGTCAACTAATAAAATTAAAAAGTATGCAGAATGGTGGCTTCTTATTGGCGGTCCTATATTATTGTCACCATAACAACAAATATGGTGTTGTCGTCATATCATATCCCCTGAAGATTGGGTCCCTTGGGCGTAGCGATGGTCGTAGCACGGTCAGCGCCAGGGCGGCGAGGGTCGTCGAAATGGCTATAAGGACGACGAGAAGTGTCAATGCCGCTTTTACCCAGCATGGTTTAATTTGCTGTTGGTCATCGTTACCTGAAACGAACGATTAACCGTGGCAAATGGAATATGGGAGTTTTTTTGGATGGTTTAATAGAGCCCTAATTAATTAAGCTGCCGTTTCGGAATACTTAATCTGATCGTGACGGCAATGGCAAGGAAAAAAAGCTGCATCTGTATGTCGTTTTAATTCATTTGTCTCTACAGTCTACACAGAAACTCGAATAAAAAGACTTCTATTTTTTGTTTGTATACACTGACGTACGACAATCGAAATTAGGCAATATCGATGCTCTGCTCTTTTTGGGATTATTTTCTGTCTTGTCTAACCGTTTGCTCCATAATTTCTGCAGAACTAGCTAGCTAGGATATGGTAAATTTCTGATATGCTGTTCCAGCTACGACATGATTCACAGGGAACCATTACGAAGAGGCATTTGTTGGTTGAATTGGCGATTTATCTTGAATCAAACGTCATTAATTAATTTGATTGAGCTCATAGGAATGCTGTATGTATGTTGAGCCTTTAATTCTAGATCCTCCAATGTTATCACATTTTTAGATATACATGCTAAATCGGGCTAAAGAAATCATACCATTAACTCTCAACCCACTACCTCGACCGAGCCAGCGAGATAAATTGGGTTGACAATATTAATTTGGACAATACCCAAACATCAATGACATTTGCTCAATTGCAAATTCTAGACGACACTCAATGCAATATGCAATTGTAAAAGAGGTTTTATCACTGACGTTTTTTATTTTTATTTTTTGCCATTAGATCTCTTGATTAGAGAGATAAAATACCGATCGAAAAGAGTCTGAATACACCTAGCCTATTGGCTAGTAACCCAAGGAACGTAGTCGAACCTTTGCAATAAATGAGGCGACAGAAACATAGCCTTACGGCCCACTAAATGAGCCACCCACCCTGAATACCCCAAATGAGACCTTAATAAACCACCAATATAATCTCTTGGAGAATTACCCCTGCCCGAACATGAGAAAGATGGTGACTGCAGCAACGATCAATCACCACTTTAGCATCCCCGAATCAGCACTTGAAGATAACCATGATCAATGCAGAAAGACAAGCAATCTCTCAAAGCGAGCGCCTCAAGAACAAAAGCATCAGTTATCCCATCATAGCGAGTCGCTTTGGCATGAAGGACGGTGCCCTCCGGTGAACAAATAACAAAGGCTGCAGAACCTTTCTCAACACCCGCAGTGGCCGCATCAAAGGAGGATTTGCAGAGATCGATAATGAGACGTCAGACGTCAGACGGCTTGGAATACCGGTTGAGGCGCTGTGATTGAAAGTAGGCAGCAGTTGATGACGCAGAACAACCTTGTCGAATTCCTCAACCTGATGACTCCACTGCCACAGCAGAATGTTTGGTTGAAGTTGAAGATACTCAAAGACCACCTTGCAACGACGACTCCACAAGCGCCAAAGCCCACAAACCACTTGAAGAACGTAACTTTGAAGTCCAGATCATCACCTGTCATACCAAACAAATTCGAACCAAGAAACATGGCAAAAGAACCTGTCGACAAATCCTGAGAATTGAAAGACCAATGGTTCTCCAAAATCGTCGGGCAAGGGAACATTTAAACAACAGATGCTCTATAGATTCAAACCGACCGACGATGACAGACATGACAAATAGGGATTAGATCAATACCACGAAAATCAAGAGCCTCCCGAGTCTGCAAGTTTGCATTAAAATTTAAATGTCCTGATCCGGGAAAATTGAAGGAATTGGGCTGTACAACCCTCTTATTGAAGGGATGTCGGCCAGTCCATATACAATTGGGCCTATTGGGTTGGGCGGGCCCAGGCTTTATTCTAGTGGGCCCTGAAACCAAATAAAGCCACCTTGGGCTACATTCATTTTGTCGAGTATCGACCCATACCATCATTTTGCAAGAGGGGAAAGAAGAAGGAAAGAAAGGAAGGGAGATCCTTCTGTCTCAAGTCTGAAGTCTGAACTAGCTCATCCTCTTCTACCAAAAACAAAGGAGATCATCGGCAAGAGAACCAACATGGACTCCTAAAACGATTTCCAACTATATGTGATTAACGAATCAGTACGTACGATGGCAATAGACAAGCTGACTCCTCATCCTCTTCTATCCATTAGGGGTGGCTATACGGTCTGGTCCGGTTAAATTAGACCAAATTGATCTGGTCCCAGTCTGGTCTTTTCGGGAATATAAGAACCAAAGATGGGATTGGATACAGTCCGGTCTTGACCCGGTCCGGTCCTAATTTGATCTTGATTTTTATATTGAGCTTGTGGGGATTTGAGTGTTGGGGTCTCTTATCCGGTCTTTATCCGTGTTTTTTTACCTCAAATCTAAGCCCGAATATGAGATTGGATTGTTTGCTATCCGGTCCCAGTCCGGATTATACGATCCGGTTTCGAGTAAAACCAAACAGTCCGGATCAAATAGCCAGCCCTAATCCATATGACTCATTTGCTTTCAATCATGAGGTGCATGCGGAGACCAAAACCGAAAGGAGGAAGGTCGAACCTACATAGGTGATTGTTCCGATAAGTCAGATTGATGGCTGAACCCAAAAAGCAAAATTGGCGCTTTTCATTTTACGAACTGACCGAGTTTGAACTATAATCTCTCTCAACTTTAAAATGCATCAACTTTAAAATGCAAGTAATATTATGTGTAAGTAGGGCTGTTAATGAGCCGAATCGAGCCGAGCTTTGCCATAGTTCGGATTCAGCTCGTTAATATATTTCCAAACTCGAGTTCGGCTCGTGTTCGTCACGAGCTTTAATATACAAGCTCGAGCTCGGCTCGTTTATGAAAATGAAAGTTCGAGCTCGACTCGAGTTCGGCTCGTCAAATAAGTTTATCGAGTCCAAAATCGAGTTCAGCTCATAAAATGTTCATGATAGCTCAAAATTGACTTAGAATTGAGCACAAAATTACATTCAAACCTGTAGCAAAGTCTACTAAAGTAAAACACAATATTTATCCCAATTTCGATACTTAAAATACAAGAATTCTAATCCTTTTTTATGCCAAACCATTAAATGAGCTTGTTCGCGAGCTTTCGAGCTGAACATGGTATGACTCGAGTTCGGCTCGTTTAGTTAACGAGCTTGTTCGCGAGCCAGCTCGATTAAGACGAATCGAGTGTCGAAGGAATTTTTCTCGAGTCGGACACCGAGTCGTTCATGAGCGGCTTGGTTCATTAACAGCCCTATGCGTCACATTTGCAATGAATTTGAAAAATAAATTAGTTAGTAAGAGTTTAGGTCTCTCGTATATTGACCATAATTTAAATTACACAAACATAAAAAAATTTAGGTCTTTATTCAAATTTCTAACTCTTCCACTCCGCTGATTACTTACTTGCCGGAAAGTAGCAACAGCTTCTTGGCCGTCCAGCACGAAGCCTGCCCTCCAAAGGCACCGTTCTTCCTGGCGAAAGAGATACTGTTTATGTACATGAAACTGGTACAATCAATCGAAACCGAGCCACGAACTCCGGGGGCTGAAACGACGCCGAACGCCTTAACCTCCCCAAACACCGTCACGGAGCAAGTGAAGTTCAACCCTCCGTCGTGTAAAGCATCCAGCACTGATGGCAGGTCGAATGGCTGGACCAGCAGTTTGTCCAGCTGAAGTGTCGGAGCCGCCGTGATGTTCATATTACTGCGTTGAAGGACTCGGTCACCGCGAATCGTCACCTCGCCCAACGTTAACCCGTTGAGCCTTATCGACGCCGTGAAGTCCCTCCATGCAAAGCTGGCGTAGTTTCCGTTGCTGATGCCGATCACAACCGGGACCGTTACATTTTTGGCGCGGAGTAGATCCTCCAGCCCGACAGCGGGCAGGCCGACGAGTGCAATGCTGAAGGTTGGGTCCCTTGGACGGAAGACGGTCAGCGCCAGTGCTGTGACGGTCGTCGAAATAGCTACAAGGACGATGACAAGTGTTAATGCCACTTTTACCCAACATGGTTTAGCGGCCTTTTTGGGCATGGTTTTCTCGTTAATGGTACTCATGGTTTTCGTGGAATATTGATTATTAAGCGTGACAAATGGAATATGTGGACCGGCGATAGGCGTTATTGGATGGATTAATATAGAGCCGGTTGGAATACATAGAGTCTGATGTGACGGCAATGGCTAGGAAAAAAGCGGCATCTCCGTCGTCTTTTAATTTGTCTCTATAGAGACGCTCGAATAAAAGAAACTTGGGGCTGGCTGTCTGTGTACGACAATGTAAATTAGGCAATATCGCTGCTTTCGGGATCATTTTCCGTCTTTTGTAACCGTTTCAAACATAGTTTCTGCGGAATAATTTTCTAAATACACATAATAGTAAAACAAATTTTTAAACTACCATACTTATAAAAAAAATTCCTAAAATATTTAAGTTTGGAGTGGTTCGAGTTTGAGGAACTCGAACTACTAACCGGTTCGAGTGTAGGAGACTCGATGTAGTCGTAGATCGATGATATATCATATAAGCCTCGAACCATGTGGGGCTGAAGTGGTTCGAGTTCAGTAAACTCGAGCCACTCCTTTGAAATTTCCAACAACCTTAACTTTGTGCTCGGTTATCCGATTGTAGCAAACTTTTTTTTTTCATTTCGCATGACTTTTCGAGGACTACAACTTTTATAATAGAAATATTTTCAGAATATATGTGAAAATGTGAAAATTAAAGTTAAAGTTACTCCCAGAACTCCTTATATTAAAAACTATTCCTATTTTGAAAATTTATTCCTAGTAAATGTTATAGTACTAAAAAAATCTATTGGTGGCCATCAATATGTTATATTATCAATTCAACGAGGAAAAATTGTATTGTTTGCTTCCATAATTTATCGAATATTCAGAAAGGTAGGGTAGTGCCTGATACACTCGTCATAAGAGTTTGGGGGGAGGGGGTCCAGGGGGAGGTTTGATGGGTTGTTAAGTAATTTATATATCCATAAGATTATTGATGGTAGTGAGTAGGGGTGTAAGTTTGACCCTAAAAACCTACCGACCCGTCCCATCCCTGAGCGTCGGGACGGGTTAGTTTATCTATAGGGTTAGTTTAGTGACGAGTCAGTTTTTTACCCTATAAGGGTCGGGACAACTTAGCGACGGGTCACTTTTTGACCCTGTGACTCTTAGCAACAACAAATATCTCATACCACATTGGACCTCTTTGTAAAAGTTTTGAAAGTTTAGGTACTACATTGCAAAAATAAAAAAATTTGGGTACCAAAATACAATTTTACTACCAAAATGTAAGGACTTATTTGTAAAAAAATTTAGGTACTAAATTGTAAGAAAAAACAATTTTGGGTATCAAAACGTAATTTGTAGAAAAAGTAGTGTGCAAATTAGGGTTTGCCCGTCCCGACCTCTTCCATCTCTTGAGAGTCAGACAGGGTCAAGAAGGAAACAGGGACGGGAAAATTATACATATTGACTTTTTAGGAATCCTTTTTCTGTTTAGAAAGGCTTAGATAATGAAATTATTGAAGAATGATCATACCAAAGCTAGTATAGGTTAGCTATTATATACATACATGTCCACAGGCATAAAAGTAACAGATCAAATTAACTTTAATCTCATGCAGATCAGAGGAGAGATCGGAATATATTAATTGTTGGGACTCGATCATTTGAGGTTTTGACACTTGTAAATCATAGTACAAAGTGGGGCACAAGATGATCAGTAAGTTAAAAATGTGTTGGGGCGTGCAAAATGTAAGCCATGTGACGAAAGGAAGAGCAAGAAGCAATTTTCTTGCTAATTAGTAGAATGTTGGGGTACATGTGGCACACACATGTAGGGAGTGACAGAGGTAGAATTCAAAAATATACTTGTGTCCTTCTTTCAAAATATAAATAAATAATTAATATAATTAAAACTAATATCTTATGGAATTGGAATTAACATGATACATTGTGTCATCGCGGCCTGAAAAATGATGAATTACGTACCATAGTGATGATGAATTTTTCTTTTACAGAAGAAAGATTGGTCGATCGTTTTGGTGAGAAGGTGAAAATCAAGTCAATCCATTGGAAGCATGTATATAGCAGTATTAATGGTAGCTAGGGAAAAGGTCCACCACCAGACCAGCCAGAGATCGACCCAGAATAGAGAAGAGAATTAATGGTCTCACTCTCTTCTCATGGTCATGTGGGTACTAAAAAAAATGCTCTCACGCAAGCTATCTGGGTTCGGTTAGCATGCTAACTCCTTAGGGATTGAAAAAATGACACCCCTTAGTATATTAAATACAACTATAATTAATACACAATAATTAATACACATTAGGAATTAAATGTACCATATTAATTAGGAATTCTCTCACTATTAAATACACATTAGGAATTAAATACACACATTAAATACACATTAGGAATTCTCTCACTATATTTGATTTTTCCTTTTTCAGCAGTCTCCGACCACCAGACTTCCTCCGACCGCCACACTTCTCCGGTGAAAATCCCATCGGCAGACTCCCTCCGACCACCTCCAAAAAATATACCACTGCACTGATACGGTGTACCACTGTACTGGTAGATATACCACTGCACTGATACGTTGTACCACTATACTGGTAGATATACCACTGCACTGGTAGCGATATCAGTGCACTGGTAGCAATGTCATACCTGAGTATCAGTGCAGTGGTACAAATATCAGTAAAGTGATAATTAATGTGGTGTATTTAATGCTTACTTTGTATTTAATAACAGAACATTTATTATGTTTACTTTCATTAATACTTGTCAATAATTAATGAAAAATTGACCAGGGGTTGTCAAAAAACCAACCCCTTAAGGGGTTAGCATGCTAACCCGTCCCAAGCTATCTGGTTCGCTGGAGAATCATATCGTAAATAGTAAAAACTAAAAAGTGAATTATTAAAAAAATTTGACCTTTTGAGAATTTAGGATGAAGAAATATCAGCACAACTAATAAAACCCGGTTGAGGGGGAAACAATTCCTTGAATAAGGTTCTCATTGGTTTATTGGGAAAATTTCCATGATTAGACTTCGATGATGACGAGACGTTATCTTGCATGGAAGAGAGAGAGAGAGAGAGAGAGAGAGAGAGAGAGGGAGAATTACTTGATCATGCGTGGCATCATCTGGAGGTAGTTAACATTATTGTAGTTTCTCCGGCGAGCGTCTGAGGTCGGCCGGCGGCGGAGGTATAACAGAAGTGATAATTAATTAGCTACCGAAGGAAGAATCGAAAGGGATAGCATGATCCAAAGGCAACATATACACCAACCAACTTTCTCTTAGGATCAATGCGATCCCATTGGATGCCTCCTCTAGTTGCACTTGCTTCTTCTTCTTCTTCTTCTTCTGTGTATGGAGTGCGGATCCCCTTCCCATTATAACTACACAACTCTCTCTCTCTCTCTCTCTCTCTCTCTCTCTCTCTCTCTCTCTCTACTTTGTCTTTGAGATCCAATGATGAGGAAAATGCTCCTTTTTTAATTAGAAGGAAAATGAAAAACGAGCAAATCAGCGGGTCGCGCCAAATTTCATATTATGAAAATAAATATTCAAGAAATTAAAACAAGGGCTTAATTGCAAGTTTGGTCACTCGAATTGCTATAAAATTTTACGTTTGCCACTCAAATTAATTTATTCTATTTATAGTCACTCTAATTAGTTGAACAGTTCAAGATCGGTCACTCTCCGTTAACCTCCGTTAACTTTGACTGACGTGGCAGTCAACTCTGACCGTTGATCGTTAAATGTGTGACGTGGCAATAAAAAATAATTAAAAAATAAAAATTAAATTTTTAGAAATTACACATCATTATAAAAAAATTATAATTATCAAAAATGAAAAAAAGAAATTATCAAAATGTCGCCGAAGAAGACAATTCTGCCGTCCTTCTACGGCTCCCACACCGTCGTTTCCAATACTGCACATACATAAGAATTCATTTCCAGATTCATATTATGTAAATCAGTCAGCCAATCAAACGAAATTCCGAGCATGATCCTGGAATCGTTTCACTGCTTGCCCAAAATTCCTATAAATCAATCGCCCATGTCAATTATTGAGACATCACCTCTTAGACACTGAAACCAAGCTACTCAGTACTGAAAACCCATAGCCACCACCATCATGTTATTCTCAGTGGAGCTCCTAGTCACCGGCTTTCTCGTCATACTGGCGCTGATTCTCTTCCTCTCCCCTGCTTCCGGCCGTCGTGGCTCAAAACGGTACCCAATAATCGGCCACGCACTGGAGCTGATAAGAAACAAGGACCGCCGAGTTGAGTGGACAACAGAGCTGCTCCAAGCCTCTCCGTCCGGAACGGTTGCCGTGCGACTCCTCGACCGGCAACAGATCCTCACGGTTGATCCCGCCGTCGTCCAGCACATCCTCAAGACCAAGTTCAACAACTACCCCAAGGGAGAAGACAGTCGAGCGATCCTCTTCGACATGCTCGGGGATTACGATCCTCTCTCGACGACAGCCTTCTCGTTCCACTGAGGGTAGCTCCCGCCGTCGAAATCCGCCCTGGTCGCGATTACGATCGGAAAGACTAATGCCGAGGTCTTGTCGCGAATCTCGATAGGGGGTTTCGACAGTGAGCGGACCGAATGAGAGGGAACAGTAAACGGAACGGTTGTTCCGTCACGTTCTTCTTCTAGGAAGAGAGCGAGTGTCCCCTTTCAAGTTGCTTCAGTGGAGAAGAATCCAATTTCAACGATGCGATTGGAGAAGCAGAGCCGCCGGCAGGTTTCGACCCAGGAGCTCCGCCGCCCTTCAATTTGGCCGATATTCGAGCCGCCATACCCAAGCATTGCTGGGTTAAGGATCCGTGGAAGTCGATGAGTTACGTAGCCAGGGATGTCGCCGTGGTTTTCGGATTGGCTGCCGCCGCGGCTTATCTCAACAATTGGATTGATCGACTATCTTAAAATCCATTCCATCCCAACTTAAGGAGAGATAGAGAGTGAAAGGGGTGGTTCTTGAAACTTCCCTGTAGAATTATAAGAGAACAACTTGCCTGCATAATCTCAAACGTGAAGGGGGTGGTTCTCGAAATTTGAGGGGTTTTTTTTATTTTTTAATTATTTTTTATTTGCCACGTCACACATTTAACGGTCAACGGTCAGAGTTGACCGCCACGTCAGTCAAAGTTAACGGAGGTTAACGGAGAGTGACCGAACTTGAACTGTTCAACTAATTAGAGTGACTACAAATGGAATAAATTAATTTGAGTGACAAACGTAAAATTTTATAGCAATTCGAGTGACCAAACTTGCAATTAAGCCTTAAAACTAGATCAACTTGGTTTAGACTTTTAGTTTTCCAAACTATACTTTAATTAATAAATCAACCGAGCAGTTAGTAGGAGGATGAATTTCCAGTGAACATAGAATTTGATTCCTGATGTGGTTCAACATGAATGATCTACCTATATAGTATATATTCAATATATAAAAAGTGTAAAAAAATCTTGAAGAGGGAAACAAATCGAACATAATGTCGAATAATTGGTGGCAATAATAGCATTTAATAAATTTTATATATTTTTATTTTCCTTTTACTTATTTTGAATGAGCCTTCTGTTCTATGGTGGTCCTCCAAGCTACTCCACATTGTTCCATTCCATCTCTACTCACAACCAACCCTTCCTCTCTTTTCTTTTCTCTTAATGCTTTCTCCACAAGGAATACATTCCCAATCCATTAATAAATAGAGAATACTAATGCTAATTACAACTACAATATATAGTACCAATAAACTAATGTGCATTATTAAACTATCAAATATCATGTATGCCTTGGAATAACTATTTTCCAAATGAGCGCTTTAACGTACAAAATACCATACCAGAATTTTTAGCTTTCACGTAACGTTATAAAATTTATAAATATATATCATTGTGATAATAATAATAATATTGAACAAGAAAGTGCATATGGCATAGATGGATTAAAAAAAGTATGAAAGTCGTTGAATAGGGATTTAATTAACTTTGTCGGAACATAGTTGGTACGAGGTAACTTTAAGGGATTAGTAGACCAACACTTCACAATTGATTCAAGACCAACAATATATATTCAATTATTCATAAATATTTAAAGACCAATTGAAAGAGCGATACTACATAAACTCTCAAATTATTGAAAATAAAATGTAAACATAGAGAGATACCAACGGCACGCGCATATGATATGGACATCCATTTTACTAAGTTCATAAGAATTTAAGAACAAGTGTATGTAATAAAAAACACCAATGGGATCAGATGGGTTGCTAACCATCTATCCCGTTAGTACCGTACTAACTCCCGTAACCTCCATCCTTTTTTATTATGGCCGATTAAGAGTGTTGTATTGTCAGGGACATTTTGGTAAGTTGGGTTTATTAGATGACATCATGCCATGATTTTAGCCGTGTGGAACGTGTGCGGTTTTTGTGCCGGGAGATATTCCAACAGTTAAGAATGGGTTTACTTATACATGCATAAACAACTACGACATATTACTAACGTACCACTTCTACCAATGCAAAAACAATTATGCCCACTTCCACCAATGCAAAAACACTACACACATGTTCCAATGTAATTCAATTACAATGCAAAACCACTACTAACAAATCCACAACCAATGAAAAATGCTACATCTTCCAACGTCCTTCAACTACAATGCAGAACCATTACTAACAAATCCATCATAGTAGTGATATGGTCCATTGTAGATGGAGAATTTTTGCATTGGTTGTGAATTTGTTAGTAGTGGGTCTGCTGCATTGTAGTTTAAGGACGTTGGAAGATGTAGCATTTTTGCATTGGTTGTAGATTGGTTAGTAGTGGTTTTGAATTGTAGTTGAATGACGTTGGAACATGTGTGTAGTGTTTCTTTTGCATTTTTTCACACGTTTCATCCACCACAAAAACTTCCCATTAGCACAAGCAGACTTAATTAAAAAATGAAAATTAATATTTAATGCAGGTGATTCCTAATTTACCCTTAGTTTTTTATAGCCATTAGATTAGAATTAGAGATGTACGGTTAAGATTATAGTGGGGTTAGCACCCTAGCTTCTCCCTAATCAACCCATATGATACAATGATTCTATAAATTGACCCCATAGGCCTAGCTAATTAATCCGTATTAATTAGTAGGTTTGATCAGCAGATCCAAGGATTATTGTATGACAATCAGACGGCTCAAGATAGGGTGCATAACCATGGGTTATGCATCCATTAATAACCAAAACTAGACCTTCATTTAAAAAATCCAGATCTAAGGATGGAGAATTAAAGATCATTTTTATTTTCTCTAGCTTTCTTAATCGGCTCATATCTTTTTCGTTTTAACTCGGATTTTAATTTTTTTTGCACAGGTGGAACGAGTTCATCGTGCTCTACAAAATGAGATCAATTTTCAATATTTTTTTAGAACAAAAAATTCTGGCCTCTCGGTACCAACTGCATACCATATGGTATTTTCTTCATTTTTAATTCATTTTTGAAAACGTTTGCACAGAAGGGACGAGTTCATCATGATCTATTGGATCTACAAATTTCTGGGTGAACAAATTACAGGACCAAAAAATACCACACAATACCATACAATACCACCCTGGTACGGGGTGGTATTGTATGGTATCTTATTCGTTTTTAATTCGTTTTTGAAAACGTTTGCATAGAAGGGACGAGTTGATCATGATCTATTGGATCTACAAATTTATGGGTGAACAAATTACATAACCAAAAAATACCACACAATACCATACAATACCACCCTGGTACGGGGTGGTATCTTGTGATATACAATGTTAAAAGTCGTAAATGAAAATTAATATATTTCTACTATCATGTATTCAACCATCCTACAGTCTTGGTTTGTTCATACCACCATGGTACTTTTTTCAAACCATAGGTATGCTTTTATTTCAATACCAGTCAATACCATATGGTATATACTGGTAAAAAATGGCTCAATTTTTTTGTTCGAAAAATATATTAAAGTGGATATCATTTTGAAGAGCACAATTAATCTGATCTAACTGTGCAAAAAAAATTAAATTTCGACTTAAAATGAGTGAGAAATCGTCCGCCAAAGATTAAAGAGGGAAAAATTAAAGGCTTTACAGGAGAGAGAGGATGCTGATGTCATGCTGATGTGGGCTGGTTACTCATGGTTACTCACCATAAGGTTACTGACCTGATCCGTTCCCCTTGAAATCGTATCGAAGATCGTACCGAAAAAGTCGGCAATAGGATATTTTATAATAAAATTGATTTAACTGTTAATATTATTAAATACTGCTTACCGATTTAGCTTCCAATACTAATATTTCGTGGTTGAACCGTCTGTACGATAAAATTTCATAGTTCATAGTTTTGTTATATCAATTCCTCCCAACCCCGAAGTCTGTCTCTCAGTGTCAGCCGCCTCTATTAAGTCCTAGACTACTAGCTAGCTCGAGCAGCAAATATAGAGGATTCCAGGCTATAAGGTTAGAGGCCAATATAAAATCTATTATTGAATATTTTTAATTATTCTAAGTTATTTGAATTAATTAATTGTTGACAAGGTATCAGAACATTTTGTGACCGAGATATATTATGTATTTTTGTTTGAATATTGGTGATTCCATTTGTGAAACATACGACATTCTCGTATCCAATACATGTGCAAATGAAAGCTCCAATGAGTTGGGTGACTTTATTTTTTTGTTAGGGGTTTACTAGTATAAGATTCATTATTAAACCTTTCATAACAACTTAAATGATTGGTACCAATTGGTTATTGATATGGTATTAGAACCTTCTGTGACCGCAAGTTCCCCCAATCCCGACGATGACCCTCCTTTATGAAACTCATAGTGTGCTCGCAGCAAGCCAGCAACCATGCAAAAGGAAGTCCTTATAAGTTGACTTGTTTTTCATTTGAGTGAATATGCTAATAGATATATAGTGTAAAATTCATTATCCAACATTTACCAACTCGAATGATTGGCGCAACTCTTGTTGACATTATAAACCATATTGGGTTAGCTCTCTAGTAATGTCAGTGGAGAGATGGTGAATCAATTCAAACATTGAAAATTCATTATTTGCGAGAGGGAAAAGTATATATTCTCAAATCAGAGATATCGATGCCATAATGCCTGATACCAACAAAAGGCAAAGTTTGGCGCCTGCAGGCCGCTGATTACTCACTTGCCGGAAAGTAACAATAATTGCTTCTTCGCCGTCCAGCACCAAGCCTGCCCTCCAAACACACCGTTCTTCTTCCTTGCTAAATGGATACTGTTTATGTGCAAGGAACCGACACAACCAATAGAAACCGAGCCACGAACCCCTGGCGCCGAAACGACGTCGAATGCCTTAACCTCCCCCAACACCGTCACGGAGCAAGTGAATTTCAAGCCTCCGTCGCGCAGCGCAGCTAAAACCGACGCCAGGCTGAAGGGCGGGAGCTGCAGTTTTTCCAGCTGAAGCGTCGGAGCTGCCGTGATGTTCATCATATTCGTACGTTGAACGACGCGGTCCCCTCGAATCGTCACCTCGCCGACCGCCGTCCCGTTGAGCCTTATCGACGCCGTGAAGTCCCTCCATGCAAAGCTGGCGTAGTTTTCGTTTCTGATGCCGATGATGACCGGGACGGTGACGTTTCTGGCGCGGAGTAAATCCTGCAGCCGGACGGCGGGCAGGCCGACGAGGTACATGGTGAAGGCTGGGTCCCTTGGGCGGAAGACGGTGAGCGCCAGGGCGGCGAGGGTCGTGGAAACGGCTATAACGACGATGAGAAGTGTTAATGACGCTTTTACCCAGCATGGTTTGCCGTTGCTCATCGTTCGTCACTGGAAAGTGGAAAATGGAATATATGGGGACAGGGTAGGAGTTTTTTTGGAATGGATTAATAGAGCCGTAAGTAATTATGCTACCGCTTTTGGAATACTTAGTGATCTGATGTTGACGCGGCAATGGCAAGGGAAAAAGCTTACATCTGTATACACTGACGTACGACGATTTAAATTAGGCGCTCTACTGTCTACTCTTTTTGGGGGATCATTTTCTGTCTTTTCTGACCGTTTGCTCCATAATTCCTGCAGAACTAGCTAGCTAGCTAGGCTCATTTTTCTGATATGCTGTTCCAGCTAGGTCATAATTAGCGAGAGGCATTTGTTAGTTGAATTGTCTATTTGTCTTGAATCCAACGTCTTTAATGTGATTGAGCTCATCGGAATGCTGTATGTTCAGTCTTTAATTCTATACCCTCCCATTCAAAATCTACATGCGGTGTATTTGTTTCTACTCAAAAGTGTCTATTTTGGTGCGGTACACAGAAAAAAGACAATATCGACTATTTCAATTTAAATTCAAACTTAAAAGTTGGGCACGAGTACGCCCCAAAAGCAAAATTATCTCAACCTAATTTGACTCATACTGAGATGAGTTTGGATCAAGGTTGTCAATCGCGAGTTGAGCTCTTTTGATTCGGACCCGGTGAGAAAAATGAGAGCGACACACTCGCGGTTTGACCCACAGCAGGATTTCCGAGTTGGAGTTTATACAATGTCGGATTCCCTTTTATTTGCGAAATGCGGCTCTTTTTCAATTTCTCTCTTCGCCTAACCCTATCTTTGGACTAACTTGAATATTTGAATATTGATGTTACATTAGTGCTCCTTTCCCTTTTATTCTTTAACAGACGATTTCTCTCTCGTTTTAAGTCGAAATTAAATTTTTTTTGCACAGATAAATCAGATTAAATGTGCTCTTTAAAACGATATCCACTTTGATATATTTTTAGTACAAAAAAAATTGAATAATTTTTACCAGTCATTACCATATGGTATACTCCTATTTAATACCATATAGTAAGAAAGCATACAATAATGGTATGAACATACCAATATGGTAAAAAGGTTGAATACATGATAGTAGGAGTATACTAACTGTCTACGACTTTCATCATTGTTTACTACAAGTTACCACCCACATACCATAATGGTAAAGTATGGTAATTTTTGGTCCAGTATTTTTTTCGCCCAGAAATTTGTAGATTCAACAGATCATGACGAACTTGTTCCTTCTGAGCAAACGTTTTAAAAAACGACTTAAAAACGAAGAAGTTACCATATGGTATGTAGTTGGTAAAAAAAGTTTCTCAAAATATATTAAAAATTGATCTCATTTTGTAGAGCACAACGGACTCGTTCCATCTGTGCAAAAAAAGATTGAAATCCGAGTTAGAACGAAGAAGATAAGAGCCAATTAAGAAAACTAGAGAAAATAAAATGTCTTTAGTTGACAACCCTTAGATATAGATTTTCTGGACCCACTTATATCTAAAGGTCCAGATTTAGTTACTCATAGGTCAGGAACCAATGGTTACTGACCCTATCCTAAGCTAGGTTGAAGGGCGGGAGGTCCAGTTGAAGTGTCGAAGCAGCCGTGATGTTCATCAAATATCGACCGTAGCTATGGAACTATTTCATATTTTGCCTCCATCTCATTAATGATCATTGATAGTAATGGGATGGATCAGTGGCGGAGGCCGGCTTTGAAATTACTCATTTCCTCTTTTCTGAATATAAATATATAAATATTTAATTAATAAATATAATTGACACTAATAATATTCAAGTAATTTAAATAAAAAATAATCGACTAATACAATCATTGTTTTCATATTCCGAAAGAAAAAGAAAGTACAATATTCATTGCCTACATTCTCAAGTCGATTTCATTGTATCATACTAAACAACCAATATTAAACTGGTTGCCGATTGACTTAGGAGTTTGTTCTGAACATAGTTCAAAGCTGAAAATCGTCTCTCTACACTTGCAGTTGCAATGGGTAGAATAGGTTTTAATAAATGAGACAGCTCGAACTCGACTCTGCAAGGCTGAAATTTTTGAGGGGAAGTCGTGTTTGCAGCTAACACTTGGCCTAGATATATATGGTTTATATGCAGCAAAATGCAACATCTTAGGCAAATCTCATATTGACAAAGTAAGAGAGATATCCATAATTCATGAGTAAGAAGTCGACATTAATTACCAGACGCGTTTTTCGGGTGAAATGAAAGAGTTCTTGTAAAAGTTTCAATGTTAAACATGCTTATCGTAAAATAATGCTAGAATTAGTGACCTACCCTAAAGTTACCTTGATATGATGTGCATCTAAAGACAAAAATCGTGCGAGTTTAGACAAAAAGCGAATAATATCTTGATCTGAACCATGTTCGAAATGGTACAAATAATGTAGAGCATTTTATTTTATTTGTAAATGCAAGATCTTGAAGCTATAAGGTACGATAACGTGATCAAGTGCGGAGGCCGTGCCTTGATAGGGTGTTCCACTGCACATCCTTGAATTGGAACAATAACAGGATTAAGATATATTAGTCTACTTGCAACAACAAACCTATTCTTATTACTAGTATTTCTAATAGAAAACTACAATTAATATCATACATTTAAATTATCTTTAATCATAGATTAACACATAATTTGCAAATAAACAAAATCAAATCAAAACCACATGCGAATAACTCAATCTTTAAATCTTCAATTGTTAGATAATTGTTAGCTCCAATGTGTGACGACTCTCATTCTCTTATAATACCACTATGCCAATTATTGGTGTTTGTATCTAATTATCCTCAAACATGGTTGCAAAGTCGCTCGCCTCTACCATCTCATTCCAACCGTCGGTCCTCGGCTATCCATGATCACTTGACCGACTTTAACGACACAAATTTGAATGATTACTAGTATTTGGTAGAATATATTGACAATAAGTCTTTGGTAATTTATATGAACAATACATATTTTATAAATTTTATTCAGAGTATATAAGACGTTGGGTCATGACAAATAATTAATAAATTTTCATATAAGATATATTTACTTTTTAAAAAACTGCACCCATTGCATAAAATCCTAGCTACGCTAATGAACGTGATCAACAATAATTAATAGTTCCAAACCTTGAAAATTGTGTGTGAGATGATACAGAAACTGCCTGATTCGATCCATCTCCATATCTTCAACTGAGTTCGACATCTAGAACACTATTCGAATCCAAGTATATGTACCGCGTGCGTAGATACTCGGCTGAAGAGTTAATTAATTAATTAATCATTTTAATGCGATGCAACCAAAAGTCAAATTGTGCGTTCGTTTCCGGGTCAACTATATAGCATGAAGCCAGCTCCCGCGCTTGGAGCAACAAACATATCTGCGCCCCTTATTATTATTATTATTATTATTATTCTATAACATAAAGCGAATTCTTAATTAGTTTGTAGGCAATATTAATTGGCACGTGTCATGCATTAATGGGAATTGAAATTTGAAACAAACCTCAAGTCAAGTTATATGTCCGTTTCCGCGGTCAACAATTTGGTACTGTGTAGAATACGATCGAGTACGTGTCTGTATACAATGGAATCAAAAGTATGCATATATATATTTATATTGAAGCACAGCTTGAAGAGTTGGCATTCACAAAGCAAATCAAGTCTCATCGATCAATTTTCAAAGGGAAGCGATTGGAGGAGAAAGCGTTGGAGAAGAAGAACCAAGGAAAAGACGATCGAGCTAGCTAGCTAGCTAGCGTGCGGAAGAACATATAGATAATTCAGCCCAGGTACGTAGCTATATAGAAATTTGGTGTGTCGTTGTGTATATACGATTTTCTTCGCGATCGATAACAAGAAGTATATACATATTGTTCTTAATTACTTGATTTATTCTCGATTTATATATAATCACAATCGCATCCATATATAATGAATTAGTATTCTTTATTTATACAGGCAATTAGAATGACTGCAAGTCAATCAATGAAAGTTTCAGTGAGGTCAAGAGAGATTGTGAAACCGCAGCCATTAAAGTCCAAGACCGCCATGGATGGTGAAGTCGAGGGCGAGCAGAGACGTCCTCCTTTCAAATTATGCTTTCTGGACCAGGTCACTCCACCATACTACACTCCGCTTGTCCTCTTCTACCCTTTGACCAGGAAGGAGAGCAAGATCGCTTACTGGAGCCCCGAACTAATGTCCAACAACCTCAAGAAATCGCTATCCCACGCCCTCACCTCTTTCTACCCGCTATCCGGAAGGGTGAAAGACAATGCCATCGTTGACGACTTCGAAGCAGGCGATCCCTTCATCGAATCTCGCGTCCAGGGCCATCGTCTCTCACAATTTCTCGACCCTCCCAAGCTAGAATTTCTCAACAAGCTTCTCCCTGTCGAACCATGTTGTCGCCACACCGAACCCGGGCAGTTGCCTCCTCCACAAGTCACCGTTCAGATGAACACATTTGACTGCGGCGGGGTCGCAATCGGCCTGTGTTTCTATCACCAGACCATGGATGGCGCCACCATAAGCACGTTCCTCGAGACTTGGGCGGCTCAGTCCCGCCAATTAATCGCGCCTGATAGTGCAAAAAAAGTCGCACACGTGTCTTTAATTGACACGCTGTGGTTTCCACCGGAGAAGAACACCGCCGCCACAGCCGCAACCACCAGGAGATTCGTGGTCTCGAATCCCGCGATAGCCGCCCTGAAATCTCGGGCGACTGGCGCGGGCATTGAAAATCCAACTAGGACCGAAGCAATATTAGCTTTCGTTTGGAAATCCATGCTGGCAGCGGCCGCAGATTCCGAATCTCCGAAGCCGTTGTGTCTTTGTCAATCCGTCAACTTGAGGTCAAGAATGAAGAAGAAGAATAGTACTCATGGTCATGATTTGATATTTTCACCACACTCCATTGGAAACCTCTTCTCGGTGGCGGTGTCGTTTTGCGACAATCCTGATGACGTGGACGATGACGATTTCATTTGCTTTCTATGTTGTTGTATCATCATTTTAATAATAACTTCTTTCTGTCTTTGCACTTGTAATACGAGTAATCGAGTATGAACGTTACGTAACGTACGTCTGATTTTTAGCGTTCCTACTTTGGGTCCTTAACTAATGTGTGATTTATCACGGGCCAGGCTCCCAAGATGAATGATCTGGTTGGGCCCTTCTTTTACTAGGCCCAATTCTTTAAGAGTTGACACGCAAGCTATCTGGTTCACTGGAGAATCATATCGTAAATAGTAAAAACTAAAAAGTGAATTATTAAAAATTTGACCTTTTGAGAATTTAGGATGAAGAAATATCAGCACAACTAATAAAACCCGGTTGAGGGGTAAACAATTCCTTGAATAAGGTTCTCATTGGTTTATTGGGGAAAATTCCATGATCAGACTTCGATGATGACGAGACTTTATCTTGCATGAAAGAGAGAGAGAGAGAGAGAGAGAGAGAGAGAATTACTTGATCATGCGTGGCATCATCTGGAGGTAGTTAACATTATTGTAGTTTCTCCGGCGAGCGGCTGAGGTCGGCCGGCGGCGGAGCTATAACAGAAGTGATAATTAATTAGCTACCGAAGGAAGAATCCAAAGGGATAGCATGATCCAAAGGCAACACATACACCAACGAACTTTCTCTTAGGAATTAGGATCAATGCGATCCCTTTGGATGCCTCCTCTAGTTGCACTTGCTTCTTCTTCTTCTTCTTCTTCTTCTGTGTATGGAGTGCGGAGCCCCTTCCCATTATAACTACACAACTCTCCCTCTCTCTCTCTCTCGACTTTGTCTTTGAGATCCAATGATGAGGAAAATGCTCCTTTTTTAATTAGAAGGAAAATGAAAAACGAGCAAATCAGCGGGTCGCGCCAAATTTCATATTAAGAAAAATAAATATTCAAGAAATTAAAACTAGATCAACTTGGTTTAGACTTTTAGTTTTCCAAACTATACTTTAAATAATAAATCAACCGAGCAGCTAGTAGGAGGATGAATTTCCAGTCAACATAGAATTTGATTCCTGATGTGGTTCAATTCAACAAGAATGATCTACCTATATAGTATATATATTCTCTCATCAATATATAAAAAGTGTAAAAAAATCTTCAAGAGGAAAACAAATCGAACATAATGTCGAATAATTGGTGGCAATAATAGCATTTAATAAATTATATATATATATTTTTTTTATTTTCCTTAACTTATTTTGAATGAGCCCTTCTGTTCTATGGTGGTCCTCCAAGCTACTCCACATATTGTTCCATTCCATCTCTACCCACAACCAACCCTTCGTCTCTTTTCTTTTCTCTCAATGCTTTCTCCACAAGGAATACATTCCCAATCCATTAATAAATAGAGAATACTAATGCTAATTACAACTACAATATATAGTACCAATAAACTAATGTGCATTATTAAACTATCAAATATCATGTATGCCTTGGAATAGCTATTTTCCAAATGAGCGCTTTAACATACAAAATAACAAACCAGAATTTTTAGCTTTTACGTAACGTTATAAAATTTATAAATATATCCCATTGTGATAATGATAATATTGAACAAGAAAGTGCATATGGCATAGATGGATTAAAAAAAGTATGAAAGTCGTTGAATGGGGTTTTAATTAACTTTGTCGGAACATAGTTGATACGAGGTAACTTTAATTAACTCTTGTTCGCAAGACAACGAATTTTATGTCAACCTAGTTGTTGTTGGTGTTCTTGTTTGTTACCCATTTGGGAGGCCATTGGTCACTGCCTCTAATCTGTTTTTTTTTTATTGGGAATAGTTATGACAAAAAAAAAAGTTACACAACATGGATTTATGCAGCTCATTAACACTAACATGTGCTAGTTGCTGAAAGGGGAAAACATATTTTACTAATTTGAGTAGAGAGCACCGCTAAAAGGGGGAAACATATTTCATTAGTTTGAAATCGATCTCCTCGCTCCGATCCTATGTGCTTGCGCTTTACCTGTTGCAAGATTTATGCAAATTCTCGTTAAGTTAGCTATCAAATTGCATTTTGGATCTCCTCCTCTCAAATACAAGCAAAGTGGCCATCAAAGAGAAATGAAACACTCTGGATGACAAACGAGTCATTTATGTCGACGTCCCAACTCTCAAGCAAAGCAAAGCAAACCACCATAAAGTTTAGAATTGGCCTTTTTCATTACACAAATGAAATGATGATCACTGAAATTGGAATTCCTTCTATCATCAAATTACTTAACATATGGGTAAATAATAATATTAGGCAAAGGAATCTTTGGTCCGTACAGAGAGAGGACACTTCAGTTGGTTGGGAAAACGAAGAAAAAGAAGAACACCCACCATTCCATTCCATGATCCCCATAACAACAATAAAAAGGAGAACAACAAGGGAGGGGAGGGGACCATCCATCCCAATTCCCACACTCAACCAATTTTTTTCTTTCCTTTTCGTGTAGGGTTTGTTATTGATTGTGGTATATGTTTACGGTTCCAACACGATTTTCTTCTTCTGAATGGTGTTTTGCCAACTCTTTTTAATTGTTTACGCCTGTGAGATGTGTGCTCCGATCCTTGGCGTGATAGATGGATTTGGATAATAATATATGTATGGATGCCAATTGCACTCAGGAAATGAATGGGAGGGGGACCAATGATGCATCATAAGTGATATTCCAGGGAGGAAGCTCTAACATTAAGATCACCATGTAATGATTTGGAATATCGACATATGTAATTAACTATGTATCGATATATATATATATCAACCCTACAAATTGAAGAGATATGACCAAACAAATTAAATATATAGTGTGACAGACGAACGTTGTTCAGCGAGTAGGTATTTCCATCAAGTTAAACCTCGTTGACGATGATAGATAACCATTTGTTGTAACAATATCGTTAATTGATTAGGTTCTCTAGACCAATCACTAAAACCAAATACTATGATTTGTTTAGCTGAAGGTAGGGGTGGCTATACGGTCCGGTCTGGTTAAATTGGCCCAAATTGATCCGGTCCAGTCCGGTCTTTTTGAAAATATAAGGACCGAAGATTGGATTGGATACAGTCTGGTCTTGATCCGGTCCGGTCCCAATTCGGTCTTGATTTTACATTGAGATTGTGGGATTTGAGTGGCCTAAGGCCTTAAAGGGTGAGGAGTTGGTTAAGTTTTGTACTAAGTGCAAAGGTTTGTGACCGTTTATGCAAATTACCCTTAAGTTTTGGGTGTTGAGCTCTCTTATCCGGTTTTTTACCTCAAATCTAAGCCTAAAGATTGGATTGGATTGTTTACTATCCGGTCCCGGTCCGGGTTATATGGTCCGGTTTCCGGTTTTTAATCCGGTCCCGGTCCAAATAGCCACCCCTAGCTGAAGGTAGTTAGTCTTTCAGAACCAAAATCACCCAAATGAGCAAAGTATTAGGCATCTCTGTGGAAAAACTGGATTAAGTGAACAACCACAAGATTTTATAAAAATCAAATTAGAGCAAGAATCACGTAAGCGAATCAATACGATATCTTTCCGACAAACTCTCTTAGAAAAAGCACTTGTCTAGATTGAAACTAGACCATTAGGTGGTAGTAGCGAGGGAGGGAGAGGGGTGGCAAATAAGAGTGAGACAATGTAGGTAAGAATATGTCTAGTTCATATTTGTATTACCAAATTGGGAATGTGACCACAACCAATATTACCTTTACTCATGAAGTTTTGTCTCACGAAAGAGGAAGTATGGGTGGTGGTGGGGTTGGTACAGGCACATGGTATTGAGCCCCAAACCTTGTAGATGTTCCTCCAGCCATTTGTGTGTCTGTTACTTCCTGGAAGTATGTATGAGGAGCATTTGGATTCTTTTTGATCAATTTGGTCTCACTTTACTTGGAAATGTTCCTACCTAGAGGATGTCAAGAACCTGATTCTAAAAATTTGTTGATTCCATATGCCTACTACCCTATCATGTCGATAAAAACTCAATCTTTTCGCGCGATTTACTTTGAATGTTTTACTGTTATATCACTTTGATGTTTAAGGTCTAGATTGTTGGAGGGGAGGCTCCCTTACGAATACTGAAAGCACTAAAGTAATAAATTGTAGTGAAACACCATCATTTCAATCTGAAGTCAACCCCTTGAGAGTTTTAATTTTGAATCATTGTGTAGGTAGGTACCACAACTTGAAAAACAACATATTGTCGAGGAAAGGCTATGAGAAAAATATTAAACAAGGCCGAACAGAGATCAGTAAGAAGTTGGGCCGCGTTTTCTATTGAGCTCGGGGGGTCAAGGCTTCGTCACTTCTGGCTGAACTCTCTGGGCTTATGGAGACGGGCGGATGATTGGAAAATGAAACTGGGCCTAATGAAAAGAGGAAGGAAATGGTTGGGCCAGGCGAAACAGAGGGGCCTAGGAAGCGGGCTGGATCAGATCTGTGATAATACAGGAAAGTGCGACTCTGGGTCCCACCGATTAACAGAATGTAATGTCACATTTCCAAGTGTGCCCCACAAAGAGCTATTTTACCGGAAAACCCCGCCTTCTCAACTACTAAACCACCAATTGCCAGGGGTACAAGCGTAAACTCAACCCGTTCTTCCTCCACAATCCAGCTCCCGAAGTCAATGGTTGGTCAAATCGATGCTACAACGAGAGCGAGGAGCAGAAAAGCGGCGCGAAACGATGCCAGCTTCATGGGCAGGAAAGTAATTTCGGAAGGAAACCGCCTTTACAGTAACCGGAAAATGGGAATCGTGAAACCCGAAACATCAGCCCAATTAAACTCTCTCTTTGCCCCATTTGCAGTTAGAGAGGTAGGTACAAAGAAAAACCAAAATTCAAAACCAGTCGAAAGAGAGAATGGGGAGCCGAGACGGTGGCGATGAGGCGATGAGGGAAGCGCAGGAGGAGGAAGAAGAGGAGGAAGATACTGGCAATCTGGTGGACTCGCCTCCCACGACTGGCGGCGGTGGAGGTGGTGGGTCTTCAGAGGTCGGGGGTGGTGGCGGAGGTGGAAGCGGAGGAGTGGTGAACAGTAAAGTGAAGGGGCCCTGGTCGCCGGAGGAAGACACGGTGCTAAGTAAACTGGTGAGCAAGTTCGGGGCGAGGAATTGGAGCTTGATCGCTCGGGGTATTCCAGGCCGGTCTGGTAAATCTTGTAGGCTCAGATGGTGTAATCAGCTTGACCCTTGTTTGAAACGGAAGCCTTTCACTGGTAAGCTTTTTACTGCTCCTGAATCTCCCCCACCGCTCTCACTCTCTGTCTCTGCTTTGCGTTTTCCATCCAGAGCGGTTTTAGGTTTTCTCAAAGGGTTTTTGCTTTTGATCTTGTTAGTTCGGTATCCTTTTCGCTTGCGTTTCTTGGTTGCGGGAGAATTTTGTTCGGAGTGTTGAACTGTCTGATTGTTCCAGGTTGCCTCTTAGCTTTGCGGAACTGATTATGGATCACACGATTGTTTGGAGATCTTTCACAAATTGTGAGGTTGCTCAAATGGGTTTCTTAGTACGTTTGATGCCGAGGCTGAGTTTGTTTTAGGGAGATAACCGAGCAGCTGATGTTTGGTGGTCTTCAATTGACAACTTTCCTTCGCCTATCTTCCATTGACTAGTTATCAATGTGTTTGAACCAAGTATGGACTTGAGTATGTTCCGCTGAATTGGTAGAGGAACACTAGGATTCATTCATGGGCAAGAAGAACCCAGAAGCTGACTCTGTGGTAATGTTTATGTCAGTCAGTTTTATGGTTAGTGATTATGACTTCAGTCCTTGAATCCTTCATAAGGGGGGCGTGTGTTGAAGGTGCTTCCTGTCCTATATTTAGCTTGTCAAGTCAGCAGTGTATTGACTGAAGAAAGACATATATCAGGTACCTGTGAAGGTGCTATAGATGTGGGAACGACACAATTAAATCGGCATAATGTTTCTCAAGATGGTTTCTATGAGAACATATCATATTTCCTGTTAGTTGTTATAGGTTCTATTTGGTAGTTATCTCCGACCATAGAGCATATCCCGATGCTTCATATGTCATGTTAGTTCCTTTCATTGTATCGTTCTCACATCATGCCTCCATGCTGGATGACACAACTACTTGTGTTGCTCTTGGTTGTTATCGTCATTCTTAAAAGGTCCTAGCCAATAAGCATGTGAGATGATTGTTGTAGCCTTGTAGGCATTCCAGCTCTTTCGTATTAAGAAGTCAAAGGTGTATGCTTATATTATTGTATCATAACTTATGCTCTTCAACTATATGAGACCTTTCGACCCTGCCAATCCTTTCCATGGACTAGCACCAATCATACACCTGTTCTTATGCTGCTTTTGATCCCTAAGTATGGTTCATTGTTTGTGGTGATATTACATATAGAACTTTGAGGAGCCCAATCACTATATATAGGGGAAGATTGCTCTTTCATCGGCTGCTTTCTATCCTTTCTCTTATTCGGTTTGTTTTGCTTGAAATGCTATCACGTGCTGATTAATCAACGTGCACTCAACATTGCAGATGAAGAAGACCGTATCATTATTTCAGCTCATGCTGTCCATGGAAACAAATGGGCAGCAATCGCAAAATTACTGCCCGGTAGAACAGATAATGCTATTAAGAATCACTGGAATTCAACTCTAAGGCGCAGGTATTCTGAGCTGTCAAGATTCAAACGTGCAGCTGTCAACATGATGCTAATGGAAAATGGAAGCTACGACAGAACGAAGGCATCATCCTCAGAAGAAACTCCTTCGGTTGGTGAAGGCAATTCAGTACAACCCATTGAACAGCGAGATGTTGCAATGGAAGAAAGACCCCAGATGGATGAGGAGATTTGTAACACTCGGGATGTGGTTCACTATGCCCCGGTCTTACCCCAGGAACAGGCTCCTAGCCTTCCTCGTCCTGTGCCGAGAATCAGTGCATTCAGTGTTTACGTTCCTCCCAATGGCCCAAAATCCAGCAGTGCAGCCTGTCACATAAGACAAATTCCAAACCACAAACCTTTGGTCCAATCTTTAAAACACGACTCTTTTGGAAGTGGAAAGTTTCTTGAAGGAGTTTGCAGCGAGCCGACAGTTCCTCCAAAATGTGGGTTTGGCTGCTGCTCAACACCAAGTGGTGGTAGCTTGTCCGGGAGCTCGGTATTGGGACCCGAATTTGTCGACTACGAAGACTCATCACACCCCTCTTTCTCAAGTCAGGAGCTAATCTCGATCGCGACAGATTTGAACAACATAGCTTGGATAAAGAGTGGGCTTGAGAACAGTAATAACAGTTTCTTACAAGGCAGTGCTGCTGCAAGCCAGAGAATCGTCCCTCAAGCACCAGCCTTGGCTTCACAAATGGGAATGCCTGAACAGAACTTCAGAAATGGCCATATGGATGGTCAAACTAAGTTCGTCGGGGTGATGCCAGATCATATGTCATATGCCTGCTAGACCTTTAGCAATGAGAGCTGAAGTCGAAAGCTTGAGCTAGTAAACCTTGCAGCTAGTTCGTACTCCGAGATATCCCTTCTCCAGAGGAAAAGGACAGAATCTTTCATCGTGGCCGGTACTATCTTTTACTTGATATGATTATTTTGTCGAACTGAGGATCGTATATTTCCCAAAATTGGCTTATAGAGTCCCGGATATGTTACTAATGGTAACTGTCACTGGTTGCTTTTGGCTTTTACTAAGTAGCGAAACTTGTCTATAGCTCCTCCCAAGGTAGGAACATTCCGAAACTCGATGAATTAGATGTTTCATGACCATACAACAGACAACTTCCTGGATTGTGAGAATGTTGTTTGTAAACTCACAGTTTTTATCTGATGAGGGGTGTTTGATCGGGATTTTTCTATTGTAAATTTGTTCTGCACTGTGAAACACGGTGGAATTATGTTCAGCTGTCATCCAGAGGTGGTCTCAGTTGCGGATCAGGTACGATGGCACCAAGACAGGAGACTTCGGTCATGCTTTTAGCCTTCTCGCTGTTCCACAGGCCTGCACTTGGATGTGCTCGAGGTCGGTAGTGCAAATCCTTGTCTCTGCCCCATTCACTGGGCAGCCAAGTTAGTAACCGAGCAGATGGAGCACGGTCCTGATGCAGGTGTTTGGCTGTGTTCACCTGCAATGTACGACCATGTTGGAGGTCGTCGTGTAAGTCCGGGTGCTTCTGTTCATGTTCATGAGGTTGTTATTATGGGCACATTGTAGTCTGGTTGGCCAAGCACAAGTCTATCGATACCTCGCAGGTTTCGTTCCGAGTTGGTTTTGTGTTGTTAGTTTTGAAGCTTCAAAATTAACATCTCTTCGTATTTTAGGTATAATCAAGCAAACAAATGCAGTCACCAAATTTAGAAAATTGCAGAGAATTAAAAGACGGGAGAGTTAGCGTCCTAACATAACATGGTCTATCCCTCAGGCTCAGAGGAGAAATAAAGTAGCATTATGGGCAATGATGAGGCAAGGTGCTGCTCATCTGCTATAGTATGCATAACTGGGCTGAACAGCCGCAGAGGCTCGTGATGCAATTGAAAACAGCCCCAAAAGAGAGAGAAAAAGAAAGAAAGAAAGAAAGGAAAAGGGCAGCGAAGCTAAGCTATATCAAAAGCAAAAAGAGGCAAATGGGAAACTTGCTTTTCGACACCTAATTTTAACCTCTTGCTGTCTGTGGCAAAATATCAATTATGAAGGTGCAACTTCTCATCTTTAATCACCCCAATTCTTTGGCTTCATTTCTTTGTCCCTTTTCTTCCTTTTCCCAGGAATCCTCAACAACTATCAATCCGATAGCTAGTGAACAACTGGTGAAATTTTATAAACTAGCGGGTTGTATGAAATTTTTTAATAGTAGACATAATCTGTAATGTGTAATTGTGTATGATTAATAGTAAAATAACCAACTACAAAAGTTCTTCGGAGTGAAGCATCTACTTGTACTGTTTCGAGTCACACTATTGCTAATAAATCTCATATATGATTTTCCTCTGTATCACCCAACCTCTGTGGATCAATGTTTGCAAAAGTAGGCTCGATAGGTGACCATGAAACTGTTACATGCTCACACTTCTATGATCCATATCTTTTGTCGTATCAAAGTTTCATTTTTTTATCATTCGACGCATCAATGCACAAGCTGATTGTGTTGCGAACGAGCAATCTTGTACTTTACTATTTGTGCATCAGTAAGTCCACTTCATGAAATTTTTGGAAGTATGTATCCTTCTGTAACTAGTACCATATGAAACATGCACTCTAACCCTGTCGATAGAGATAAGCAACAGCTCAGTTCAATCAACCTCTCGCAATTCCCCTAATAATAAAAGTAGTCACGAAAAAAAAAACAAAGAAAACAACCCCTCCTCTCCTCCTCCTACATTTCTCATCTCTCATAGTCATCTCCTTCAATCCCACCACACCTCAATAATACACTCACTCTCTGTAATTATGAACCTACAACAGTAAAGTGGAAACCTTCTGCTCTTTCCCTTCCTCCGCTGCCAAGTTCTGCTCTTCGGTCTCCACTGACACACAGAGAAAAGAGCAGGTAGTAGTAGGTCTCTGTACACCAGAGGTGTTCTGGGGAAAGAAAATAATAATTTATTATTGTATTTTTTTTCCTTTATAAAAACAACAACCAACCCTCTGTACTTTGAGGAAGAAAAGAGGGGAGTATTGATTGATGATCTTCTCCCCCCCTCTCCATTACCATCTCCTCAATACATGAAGACTCGCCCATCAAACTCTTCTCACAATGGATGCTGCTACCCACAAACCCCGCTTAGCTTCCCTGATTGCATCCACCGACGATGAACCACCACCACTACAAGACACGGGAGATAGTAGCCGTCGCGGCCGCGGCGGCGGCGGCGGCGACCCTTCTTCCGGCGAGGAGGAAGAGGAAGAAGAAACAGAACAGGAGAAAAGTTGCAGCAGCGACTCTGGGGATGAGATAGTGAAGGCTAGTAGGAGGAGAGGAGATTCGTCGTCGTGCTCGGAGGATGTGGATCTGGAGCTTGGACTTGGCCAGAATGCGGAGATTGATGATGATGAGGAAGAAGGGAAGCAGCTGCATTTGGGTAATAATGTGGAGGAGAGGGATTGCAGGATTTGTCATCTGAGCTTGGATACAGGGAATGAGGACTCTGGCTTCCCCATTGATCTGGGTTGCTCTTGTAAAGACGATTTGGCCGCTGCCCACAAGCATTGCGCTGAGGCTTGGTTCAAGATCAAGGGTAACAAGTATGTAAAATACATGCTCATACTTCAATTTCAATTACCCATTTTAGCAATTTATGTTCATAATAAGGGAATGTGGTAAGTTTCCCAAATTTGTGGCTGGCTTTGGGATTGTGGGTTTTGCTCCAAATAGATTCAATTTGACCGGTAGATGAATCATTGCTCCAAAGGAATGTGCTTTCTGATTCCCCTTTACAAGTTGTCATTGGTTGTTTTAGTAAGTTAATGGATTCATCATGGCAATGGAAAAGAAATTGTGCTGCAATTTGCGTTTGGAGTTTCAGATCTCACTGCAGGAAGTCACCGTTTGGTCAAAGAAAGTATTGCTAAGTTGGATCTTGTTGACTGCAGAACCTGCGAGATATGTGGATCGGTGGCGCGGAACGTGGCCGGAGCGACGGAAGCGGAGACGGTGGTGGAGCAATGGCATGAGGGCAGTGATGAAGTGGCGGTGGCATCGTCAGTAGCAGCAGCTGGGCAGCCGGCGGCGGAGGGCAGCAACGCAGGTCGACATTTCTGGCAGGGGCATCGGTTCCTCAACTTCCTGCTGGCTTGTATGGTATTTGCATTTGTGATTTCTTGGCTCTTCCACTTCAATGTCCCTTCGTAATTTGGAAAATGTAACAAATGTAAACCTATAAAATCATCCCCACCTCAAGGAAAGGAAAAGGGTTGGCCTGACCTTAATGGTTCAAGGTTATGATAAGTTGTGTAAGGATCTATGTATTGATCCACAGTTCTATGGGTTTCATTAATCTTGGTGTGCTTGGGAAGTGCCTAAGTGGGTAATGTTTCTTAATTATTAGACATCAGTTAGTATCCTCCAATTTCTTCTTTTTGTAGAAAATGGAAAAGCATCTCAGCCTTTGCATTAATAACTCTTGGTGGTTTGACCTTGATTTGATCAAATTACTAGCTCGTACAGAAATAGCGGATACAAGAACTCCGAGCAAATGTCTGTACACATGTTCCATCCGAACAAGCCAAGGTCTAGTCAATAAACGTGATCGACCTCTTAACACGAACTCAAAGTGTGGATGGTTTATTTTAGCCGATCGGATGAGGTGAATAGTTGTTTGAGAGTCGGTTTGCATAATAATCGTCCTAAATTCCAACTCCCGGCCAATTCTAAGACAATGTCCAATTCCAGCCAGCTCTGCATAGGTGATGGAACCCCCTCCCTACTTCCCCTCTCGATTGAATGAATAAGCTCTCGAACCGGTGATTATTCCAGTTCTATCCTCGAATTTCTAACTATGCTTTGTTTGGAGATATTTTGTGGTTGGGATGGATGGGGATACTTTGTGTTTGTGGCAACGGTAGGATCATAATTTACAACCCGTTGGATCTGGGCTTGGAGTAACTTGTTATGTTTCCCCGCGCTGAGGGTAGGGGGTAACCGGGTCCCGCGAGCGGGTTCGATTGAGGTCGTGGGTGGGCCCAGATCCGATTTGATCGGATTTTGCTTGTGTCTGGATTGGGCCCGTCGTATTTGGGTCATCGCCTCTTGCCGGAGTCTGTGGGGTTGTCCCCCGTGTTAAAAGATAATGATAATACGATCCGTAAGGTCCGGCCCACAACTTGTCTAGCAGGACTGGTACGCTGGTAGGGCTTTGTCCTCATCTTTTCCTCTTCATCCTTCTCAGTTTTTCACGGCAAGAACTAGTAAAGTTAAGCTAACCGCCCATGTGTGTGTGCAGTAAGGCGCAGGAAGGGACTTTTTTTTTTTTGTTTGTTTACTTGAACAGTTGAACTAGAGTAAGTAATTGTATATGTCTTGGTCTTGCCTCTTCTGTACGTAGTTACTTGTAAGCTAAAATGTAGCTTCATCTTAAGGGTCAAGTAGATGGTCTCATCTCAAATATCAATTGAGATTGTACGGTTGAAACATTGGTAATGTACGAACCGATCGGAATTTAAGACAACATATTGAAATTCTTTGTGACAACATTTTGTCATTAACATTGCCATATACCACTTATTTTATGAAGGAACAAATTGAACTACATTAAGATAGATTGTCTTGTAAACACATCCAACCCAACCTCATTCCAATGTCATAATCATTTTGAAGACAAGTAGTTTTATTTCCCCACAGAAGTCGGGCGCTCCACTTTGCTTACATAAGGAGCTTGCCGAGCTAAAAGTACATGATATTCAGTGGCGGATTCAGATGGTGGTTAGGGGTATTCCGAGACATCTCTAAAATTCGAGAAAAAATTAACGAACTTTCGATAGTAGTTTGAATATGGAAGGGGGTCTATGTGATTCAAATCATTATACTATAGTTATAGGAAACATGTCTTTCATTTGACTAAACTTCATTTGTTATTGTAATTTTAATATAAATATAATTATAAATGTGTGACTCTATTTCCAATTCTTACAAATTTTAAAATCAAATCCATGATATACCCCTTATCTCCACCATATTCTAAGTTTCTAACACATGATCGATTTTATCCTAAAGAGTTTGGTCACATATCTGATTTTTTTCTTCAACAAAATTTTGAGAATCATTATCATTGTATTAAGAATTACGAGTTATTACGTAGGTTAAATGGAATTGATGAATTAGTTTAGTTGATAGTGAAGACAACAGTACTCATGAATCTATCATGTCAAATTGATATGTACTCCTGAATTTGAAATTGAAGGAGAATCAAATATCGAATCAACTAGACTTGTTAAATTCTTAATACGTAAATATGGTTTGACGAATTATTTAAAGATGGATTAAACTTGTTTGATTCTTGATTTCCCCTTTTTAGGATTCCGTCTTATTACTTGAATGAGAAAAGCATCGTCCATCCAACTTTCTCTCTTTTAGCATCATGCAAAGCAAACCCCCAAAGTCTACATTCAGATTGCAGAACAGCCCCGAAAGCAGAAGCTAAAGAAAGGATTAAGAAGAGGATTCTAGCTGTAAAGCTGCAGCACCCAACTAGGCGACGTAAGAACACACGAACAACACACAAACAGACAAGTAGAAACAGGCTAGCTGTGGAAGACAGATGAGATGACGACAACAGTCTTTTTTTCTTTTGTCCACAGGTTTGCCAACGTTGTTTTCCCACCTAACGAACTAATTAAGGTCTCCACAGCTAAGCTAAGCTAGTTCTGAAATGATCAATCATCCGTAACTGGAGGAAGCAGCTGGACTCTGCTTGTTTTGGGACTTTGGCGCGCCGGAGCAATTCAACTTACTACTTTAAAAAGGCTCGGCTATTTTGATTTAATTAAGGAGCCGCCAGTTTAAAGGCCAAGTGTCGAAATTAAGGCGGTTGTGACAGACAGACTGATGATCATCGTTGTATTATGATAGTTTAGTTTAAGGTCGACAAGGGATTGGACAAAACTGGATGCCATGTTTCCAGTTCATTACAACGTTGTTGGATGCCACCTTTGTGATTGCGACGACGTCCCACCCTCCGTAATTCCCGGCGTTGCCTTCTTCTATCCCCATTTCACTTTGACACCTGATGTACTACTTCAGGACCTCTCCTGCTCAATTGCCAAGTCATGTCACTAATCACAGCAATTAATCCCTAATCAGTAATCGCCCATCCGCTTTGCATTGAGATATCGCAATCCCAACTATGGTGTGCCCAGAAGGGTACTTTTCCATCTACACTACTCTATGGCAATGGGACAGGGTGAGGTAGGGAGTACGTAGTTTATCTCAATACTCATATCTGTCATGTACTAAGCACGGGTCGAATCGGGTAATTCTGAGACGGGCCAACCCATACTTATATGTTATTTGAAAAAGAATGCTCACTTTCAACTCTTTTACTAGAACTTACACTAATAATTGAATAATTGAGTATAAATAGTTGAAAGATAGAGTATTAAATTTTATTTTGAATGGAAATATTATTTTAGAAAATTCGAAAGATGAGAAATGCATGTAGATTTTAATGCATATCATGATAGAATAGGTGGATGACGGGGTGGGCAGGTCTGAAGCAATACATATGTTCCGTTTTACGTTACTGCGAATCAGGCTGGGTCGTTGCGGTCAAATCAAAAATTGACATCACTGCATTATTCGTATCAAACATTCGAATCAACATACGTTCCTAACGAGTAATGCAATTAACTAAATCTTTTTGTGTGTGTAAGTGGATGATATTGCACACAAATTTGAGAAGATTACAATTAACGAGTGATACCTTATTTGGGTCTGAACTATGACTATATAATCAACTTTGGCTCGTGGTTTCAGAAATTAACAACCTGGCCTCAACTATGCAACATATAGACTCAATTGGTTCGACACATGGTTTGACTGTCAATTTGGACGATCAACATCGTTGTCCGTTAGTCAACAGGCCATGTCATTGCCTCGTTAGCCTAAAATTCATTAGAAAAATTAAAATTAAAATTATTTTCCTAATTTCTATTATTTAGCATTATCAAATAAACCAAAAAATTAAAATTATAAAGAATATGAAATAATTTTTTATTTGTGGATACTTTGAAAATGATAAATTTTATAAATTAATCATAAATTATCAATTTTTTTAATTTTGTAATTTTTAATGGATTATTTTAAAATGATAATAATAGAAATTAGGAAAATCATTTCAATTTAAATTTTTTTAAATGATTTTCAGATTGACGAGGCAATGACATGGTGTGTTGACGAGGCAATGATTTTCATTGACTAACGGTCAATGATGTTGGCCTTCTAAATTGACTGAAACCATGTGTCGGACTAATTGAGTTTATATGATACATAGTTGAGACCAGGATGTTAATTCCTGAAACCATGGGTCAAAATTAATTATATGGTCATAATTCAGCCTAAGATATTAACCCTTAACTATTCACCAAACTTAATTAGTCGTGGGCATCTTTCTAGCCCGGAAGGGACGAGAGGATGAAGTGAAAATACATTGAGGGGACAGACAACTACAAGATTTGCTGAATTATGGGGTAACCATCTTGCAATTAAGAAACCATAGAACCCATCCCTCGTAATGAATAATTGATAGCCGTATCCGATCCTATGTATCTATTTTTGTTCCATGTATTTGTACAGTTCATGCGCACCAATTTCTTTAATCCTACTTTACATTTTTCTTTCAGTGGGTCCAAAAATAATACAGTTGGTATTCCCGCCCATGTTCCCCATTTCACTCCCAAACAAAGCCCACAATATTAAACCACGATTATAATTAAGCTGCCTAAATACATGATTAAGATTTCATATCAATCCATATTTCCCTTGCGATAATTGCCTCCCTTTGTATAGAATAGACACTACAAATGTGTAATTCAAGATATCCAAGGCTTGATTCTAATCACAACGTGCATCACATAATTGCAAATTAATTAACAGATTCATGATTATTATTATTGTTTTTAATTGTGTACAATGATCATTATTTATTCTAATTGAGTTGTCCTCGATTTGCCTTCAAGGAGAGTTAGAACTATGTGTTAACTGTTAAGCAACTCCTTGGACACTCCATTAGACATCTTCACTGGTCATTTTTCCCCGTAGATGATAGGTTTAAAGATTGGTAATTACAAAAAGTTGAGCAATCAAATGCCGCAGTCCATAAGCACTCAAATTATCAATCAGTCCATAGCATCTCTTCAATTTTTACATGTAGGTAAATTTACATATAATATTTGTAACAAATTTCAAAAACAGACTAGTTGATTAGCCTCTGGCCCCCCTCCCTCCTCTCAATCCTTCCTAATGATCATGGTTCAAATCCATCAAACTTGGATTTTCTAGCCCTTTCATTCAAATTTCCGACTCCACTCGCAGAAAGTAGTAGAATACATATATGAAAAAGAGAGTTGAAATATCGAAGGCAAGTCGCCCTACTAACAATGAAAATGTATCTCGTATCACTACGTGGACAATCTCATTAAACCGATGAGACGTGCAAGTACAAGAAAATACATTAAGGGTCCGTTTGGATAGGTGTATTTCAAATGCAAGATATTTGTAATACAATCATTTGAATGGATGTATTTGAAGTACTAGCATTTGAAATGCATGTAATTCCAATTCGTTGTTTGGATTTGTTTGCATTTTAAATTTTATGATTTTTTGTTTTAATTTTAAATTTTATGGTCACTTACTACAAATTTTGGTAAACTACAGTTTGGTACCCAAAAATATTTTTATTACAATTTAGTCCCTAAATTACAAAAAGGTCCTAGAATTTTTATGGTAAAATTGCATTTTGGTACCTTTATATGTGTTGTCCCACACTAGTACATAAACTTATAATATTTTACAAATAGGTCCACTCTTTTGTTAGGAGGTATTTCAATCACTAGTTGTTGAAATGTATTTGAAGTTGACAAGTAATACACTAGTCATGTATTTGAAAATCACCCCATGAATTTTATACAAATCCATATACAAAATGTAATTAATATCCAAACACACAATTTGATATTTGGAAATTCAAATTACAAATACCAAATCCAAATCATTCTATCCAAACACACCGTAACGCCAAACTTCCTCCAAGAAAACTCCGTGGATTGATCAAAAAGTTAGGAGAATGAATGGCTTTGTAATCCTTTTATTTTGGTCCTAGTTAATGACCTCATGTATTGTTTTAAGGAATAAACAATGTCGGCCGTGCGCTCCGTCTCCGGGATCCCCCCTGGTACCGATCGGCTGCCGACCTTTTCCGGTTTAAAAATTTAGAGAATGGATTAAGTTAATGCACAGAGACACATAGGAGCCCATCATTTTTCTATTGAGGTTTTCAACTTTCCCTACCCTTGGGGACAGTTCAGCTTTACATTACATTTCAGAAGGTTCCAACTTTGGTACCAACGATCAATGAGGAGAAAATACTCAATGGTCCAGACGGTTTAAAACATCATGACCAAACCGGATAATATAGTTTGGTCTGGACTGTAGATCGTTAAGAATGGTTTGTCTAGTTCATGGTCTGTATTATATGATGTTTTGATCTCTTGACCTGATCTGGTCTAGACCGTGATTTACCGGACCAAACCGTGGATCCAGTCGACTTCCCAATACGTGTTAGCAGCCCACTCGAGCACTCTACTAATTCCCTCAACAAGACCCAAGTCTCAATCCTAATTTTGAGAAACTTGTCCCCTCTTTCATTGACAACCAAATTTCACCAGAGAGTAGAGACGATCGTGACTCCATATGACATTATGTTAATGTTTATGACGTTATGGTGCAAGTTGGAATGCTTTGACTTTGTATTTTTTTCTGTTTACCGAGATGTAGGGTGTCAAAATTCTTCATGCATGTTGCAGTTTACGTTTTAAGGGGAAAAAATCAAAATTTTCTCGGTTACTAATTCAATTTTTTGTGTGATTGACTAAACAAATTGTTCATTTTCCTTCATTGTGATTTATCTGGATCATACCATACCGGACCAGATCGAACATGCATGATATGGTTTGGACCGTATAGAACGTGGTCTAATCTCTGCTTTATACTCCAGCCTCTCGGTCTGGATCATAAATCGTGTAAATGGTCTGATACGGACCAGACCGCACCGTTTCCCACCTCTAATATTGACGCGGTACTATGGAAACGGGTCAGAGCACCCAAACTCATTCCTCCACATTCTGTACAACCTTGGAAATACCTATCTCACAACCCAGTATTTACAAGAATTTTCTCGTCAAATAAGTTAGAGGGTGGGTCGGATACTCACGACTATAAACGGAAATGTCAATCTTTGCAACCCTTTTTAATCTTCAACAAAAACTATAGTCGTGCATGTACTAACACTTTTTTCCCCAAATAAATAACATCGACACTATTTTTATATCAAAGAAGATAAGAAAATTAAAGAGAATTCAGACCAATCACCTACACATTTTCAATATATTATCGATACCGCTCGACCAATGTGCAAACACAAGTTTGAGGTAAACATGTATAAGCTGCTTAACCAACTAAATTGGTCCTCTTCAAACAAGCTGTATAATTAAAAACAAAAAATATATGATCCAGAGATTTGTTTTTGCTCCCTTTGGCAGGCAGGAGGGCAGAAGTATCAGATTAGATCCTTGGAATTTTGGTAGAATTAAAAAGGAAATATATAGATCAAATAATCTGGCAATAGGATCCAAACAATGATTCAGCTGGGGATTTTATTCTTTTAACTAGTAACAACAGATCATAGGCAGCCAGCCAGCAGAAACAGAGGATCCAATATCGGAAAATTATACCAGAATCTATATTTGCAACATGCACCAGGAACTAGTTAATGGAAAAAATGAAACCCTACCAGCTACAGAGCGATAAATCGTATAAACAAGTTGAAATATGGCCAATTAAAATGGGTCATTTCTGTTTGGCCATCCATCAAAGCGACAATTATGCAACAACTTATTAGATTAGATTAGACCCCAATTTTCTTCATATCCGGTATTTTCAAAGCTGAGGTTGGTGAAAGGGTTGAATCAAATTGAAGTCTTCCTAAAGTAAAATGGGATGCAACAACAAACATTATAGTCATATTGTTATGAAAAGTTGACTAGTGAAACCCATAATTAAGAACTCTACATCATCGAGCCATTTCTCGCCGGGGTTCTTTTCGTCCGGAAGCCCTTTCGCTATACAATCTTTTATCCAAATTTGTTAAGTATACAACATAGTTTGCTAACTCATATTTATTTGAAATATGAAAAATAAGAGTGATTTTCAAACATTTTATTTTCTTGTATTTTCGTCACCACCATCTTCTTATTAACTATTAAGCTCCGCTTCATTTCGTAAACACCACTATTCATTTATTAGTTTTCTTCGTCGTTAACAATTCGATGTTTTTCTTAAACGAAACAATTCAATGTTTTCGAAATCTACTTTTTTCAGTAAGTCTCCATCGTGGCAACAATTTTCTTCTATCATATATAATCTCTTGGAGTACTTCACTTGAAGATTAGAAAAAAATGGTTAGGAGAAAACTTGGAAACATAATTAAGATTTATTTTGGTGTTGGAAACTTGAAACAACGAATTTAGGATTACAAATAAAGAAAGGTGAGCTAAGAAAGAAAAGGGAGCAAGGCAAACAAAGAGATACAGAGAGAGCGTGCAGACACGACATGGACAAAAGTACGCCCCACGTTGGTAGTGGGCAATGGTCGGTTGGTAAAATGTTAATTGTTTGAGTACCAAAACCGATAAACCCTAAAAATAATCAGATACCACTCTCCCCCTTTTCTTCAGTCTCCCTTTCCTTCCAAGACTCACTCTCTTCTGTATTCTTTCTTTCCTCTGTTTTCTCCTTCTGCTCCCCTCTCCAAATCTTTCGCTCTCCCAGCCAAAAGATCGTTTCTTTTCTTCAAACCCAACCAAGAAAACAACCCCCTCTTTCTCTATAACTAATACCCATATTCCTTCTCACTTTGTGTTGTGGCTGCTTCTGATAAGGAAACCCTGATGAGGAAACTCTGTCCAAATCTCGATCGCGAAGATGGGCTGGAGACGGTTTTGGAGGTCCCCATCCCTGAAGAAATGTTCAGCCCTTCGGGGCACAACAAGAATTACTCGTGGCAGAGTATGAAGTCCTGGATGACGAGGCCCAACACAGCCGTCGCCGGCGGCGGGTATAATAGTGACCAGAAGGCTCAGTTGGCAGCATTTGGGGAGAAGAGCACCGAGATTCAGCTCCTGTTGGGTGTTGCTGGCGCCCCTTTAATCCCTTTTCCTATCAGCTCTGATCATCAGTTCGTTACCCGGAATTTTAAGGACCAACCAATTGTAAGTTCTTTTTCTACCCGCTTAGTGCTTGATCAAATGCCTCTGAGAATGTTGTTTCTTGTTTCGAGTGGGGATCAGTGTGTTAATGACGTGGTGTGTGGTGTTTGCAGGAGTCATCTATGGCGAAATACATTGTGCAGCAGTACGTGGCGGCGGTGGGAGGGGAAACGGCTCTGAATTCCGTGGAGAGCATGTGTGCAATGGGGAAGGTGAAAATGGCTGCCTCGGAATTTTCTTCCGGGGAAGGGACAACGAACAACAAGGTGGTCAAGGTGAAGAATTCGAAAAGTGGGAGTGGGGAGATGGGTGGTTTCGTTTTGTGGCAGAAAAGGCCCGAGCTTTGGTGTTTGGAGCTGGTTGTTTCAGGCTGCAAGATCAGTGCAGGCAGTGATGGTAAAGTTGCTTGGAGGCAGACTCCATGGCACCATTCCCATGCTTCCAGAGGTCCCCCCAGGCCACTCAGACGCTTCCTTCAGGTAACTAAAAACACTTCATCTCCAAAATTGGGACCAATAGAGAGCTTGTTCTTATTATCTCATCTTTGTTAGGATTGGGACTTGTCATCTGCTATTAGATTCTGTTCTGATTTCCATGTGCTGTTTTGTTTGGGGATTTTCAATTGACTGACTGAATGTAGTAACCAGATGATGCTATTGCTGCCCTCTTTAGTAAAACGCCAATTGAGCCTCCCATCTGTTCTTTATGGTGGTTGTTTTGGATTGGTTTCTTGGAAGGAGGAATGGAACCACCAACTAGCAGCCACCAGGCCATGAATTTCATGTTCACATGTAAAATATCAAACTTTGTCCCGCCACTTGCAGCCTCTCACACCCTATTTTCCCTTCTGGTGGGACCTTAGCCTACCAAAACTTTTTCATCGGGTTGTTAGCTTTTCTTCCCGTTTGTTATAGTAGTCTTTGCCCACTAAGTTCTTTTCCTTTCTTCTTTAGTATAAAGTCAACAAATTTGTGTTATAATCTTATAGATAATTCAAGTTCAGAAATGTCAACACAATGGTTGGAATGCATTAGAATTTAGAAACTTCAGTTAGCTGTTAGTTAGTTGAACATGGGCCATGCCATGATGTAGGGCAGCCCACCATAGTAGAGTAGCTAGCTTTCAGCCAAAGCCCAAACCTCATTTCCATCAGTTAGCTGACCTGAAATTTCACATTTCTGAACAGGGTCTTGATCCAAGGTCGACAGCCAACCTATTCTCCAACTCAATTTGTATGGGTGAAAAGGCGGTCAATGGCGAGGACTGTTTCATGCTGAAACTGGAAGCGGACGCTTCATCACTACTATCAAGAAGCACCAACAACGTCGAGATCATAAGACACACAGTATGGGGATACTTCAGCCAACGAACAGGACTTCTAGTCCAGCTAGAAGACTCCCACCTCCTGAGAATCAAAGCACCAGGAAACAACAGCGTGTTCTGGGAGACGACGATGGAGTCGACGATCCAGGACTACAGAACCATAGACGGGATCAACATCGCTCACGCAGGGAGGACGAAGGTGTCGTTGTTCAGGTTCGGTGAGAATTCAGAAAGCCATTCCAGGACAAGAATGGAGGAGGTGTGGGCGATTGAGGAAGTCGATTTCAACATCAAGGGGCTGTCAATGGACTGTTTCCTTCCACCCGGTGACTTGAAGAAGGACGAAGAAGAAGGGTTTGGGGTGATGGGTAAGGGTAATGATGGTGAAAAGTTTCCTTCGAAGATTCGATCGGGTTCTACCAAGATCAGTGCATCTAAAGTAGTTGCTATTGATGTTGATGTTCCTGATAATCCTGAAGAGAATGATGATGAAGAAGAAGATTGGTGATAAACTGTTTTTTGTTCTTTTTTCTTTGGATGGGATGCGTGAGTTCTGTAAATATGGTTCATTGCAATCTCCGCGATGAACACCCCAAGTTTTTGGCCTTTTAGCCTTAGCATTAAACTCGGTATTTCTACATATAAAGGAAAAGTTATCAGTATAATTTCCAATATGTGTCTTCTGTAGTTTCTTTTTTGCGAGGAAGAAGGCACCACAATCCAAGAATGTAATCCCCACAAGTTCATTGTACATAACTCTTATCTATGGCTTCGATTTTTTTAGAACAGTATACTTCTTTTGCCTACAATGGCTGCTAATCCATTGTTGCAAGGCCTCGAGTTGGGTTGGAGTCTTGGAGATGTTAGCAGAAAACATCGGCCAGGATGCCTCACTTGAAACAAGACAAATTGTAGTGTCATAGTCTGTTTGGAAGCTAGCACAGGTGTTAAACCTTAAACATCTTGATGATGCGATAAGGTGTCAGCGACCGACGATTCCTTCCTTCACCAGTCACCTTCTTCATAATGTCATCAACAATTCTTCCTTTCGCTTCCACCAAGGATCAAGGGGGGAAAGCGATGACAGAATCCGGTCGCCGGCCGATACCGCCCACCGTTACTCCAGCGCCGCCGCCGCACGTTCTAATGTTTCCTCTCCCGGTGCAAGGCCACGTCACCACCATGCTCAACTTAGCCGAGCTCCTCTGCCTCTCCAACCTCAGAGTCACCTTCCTCAATTCCGACCACAACCACCACCGGCTCCTCCGCTTTACCACCGTCCAGTCCCGTTTCGCCATCTACCACCAGCTCTTCAGCTTGCAGAGCATCTCCGACGGCCTGCCTTCCGACCACCCCCGCAGCGGCGAGCGGGTTCTCGACCTTTTCGAATCCATGGGCACCATAACCAGGCGCCTGTTCAGGGATTTGCTTCCCTCAATTCGCCCGCCGATCGACTGCCTGATTAGCGACGGAGCTCTTCAATTCCCTCTCGAAGTCGCCGCCGAGTTCGGGATTCCGGTCGTCCATTTCCGTACGATAGGCGCCTGCTGCTTCTGGACTTACTTCTGCATCCCTGCCATGATTGAAGCTGCCGAGCTCCCAATCCGAGGTAAATCTTTGAAAGACGAAACATCCGAAAATCATTTTCCGTTTTTCTTAGTTACGCCGATAACGTGTTCGATGAAATTCCCCTGAGAGCAGGAGAAGAAGATATGGAAAGGCTGATAACCACAGTACCAGGAACAGAGGAATTTCTCAGGTGCAGAGATCTTCCGAGCTTTTGCCGCTCCCCAGATCTCACCCATCCATCGCTCCAAGCTTTGGCATCCGCCACTCAACAGTCCACCAAAGCTTGCGCACTCATCCTCAACACATTCGAGGGCTTAGAAGGTCCAATTCTGACCCAAATTGCAGCTCACTGTCCCAAAACATACACAATCGGACCAATTCACGAGCACTTGAGATCAAAGCTCACCCTACAACCATCATCATCATCGTCAAGTCTGTGGGAAGAAGACAGAAGCTGCTTGGAATGGCTAGACAGGCACCCACCCAAGTCCGTCCTCTACGTGAACTTCGGCAGCATAGCAGTGATGACACCGGAAGACCTGATCGAAATCTGGCACGGTCTCGTCAACAGCAAGCAGCGGTTCTTGTTGGTCATGAGGCAGGGCTCGGTCGCCGAGCTTGGAAGCAATACTAACGATACAATCACTTTCCCTGAAGAGCTAGGGAAAGGGGTTCGAGGAGAAGAATACATGGTGGTGTCAGGATGGGCGCCGCAGAAGGAAGTGCTCGATCACGAGGCTGTGGGTGGGTTTCTGACCCACAGCGGATGGAACTCGACCCTGGAGACGATTGTAGCTGGTGTGCCGATGATTTGCTTGCCGTATTTCGCTGATCAGCAAGTGAACAGCAGGTTTACGAGCGAGGTATGGAAGCTGGGATTGGACATGAAGGATGCTTGTACGAGAAAGGTGGTGGAGAGGATGGTGGTTGAATTGATGGTGGAGAGGAAGGAAGAGTTCGCGACATCGGCGGCGAAGATGGCCGAGTTGGCGAGATCCAGTGTTGGCTTTGGAGGATCGTCGCGCCAGAACCTGGAGGCTTTGATCGAGGATATTCGGTCAATGAAGTCCAAGTAAAGAATGGTTCAACCTGCAACCTTATTCGTCTGATGAGCTCAAATGCTCTAACTACTTGTCTTATGATGATGTTTATCGGTAGATATTACATAGTTTCCAAGGTAACTCTGTAAAAAAAATTCTCTATCCATTTTCCCCAAAAATTTATAAGGTGATGTGTATAAATATAGCAGGCCAAACTCCATTTGAAATGAAGGGGCAGAAGTAGCAAAAATGGAACAAGCCACCGCAATCTCTCACGTTCTCATCTTCCCACTGCCAGTTCAGGGTCACGTCACCTCCATGCTCAAACTGGCCGAGCTCCTATCCCTAGCCGGTGGCGGTGGCATCCGAGTCACCTTCCTCAACTCCGACTACAACCACAAGCGTCTAATCCAGTTCTCCGACGCCGAATCCCGGTTCCGAAACTACCCAGCCTTCCAATTCAAGACCATCGACGATGGTCTTCCGATGGACCAGCTTACAAAGGGCCACAAGGTCTCTGAATTGGTCGGAGCAATGGGCTCGAAAACCAGACCGGTTTTCAAAGACTCGCTGGTTCAGATGGATCCACCGGTCACCTGCGTCATCGGCGATGGCGCTTTGGGGTTTATCAGCGAAGTTTCCCTGGAACTTGGGATCCCGAATATTCGATTTCGCACAATTAGCACTTGTTTCTTCTGGATTAACTTCTGGCTGCCGGAAATTATCCAGGCCGGCGAACTCCCTATCCAAGGTACTATTACTCTGTTATACACGAACTTATCTTTTTCTGAATTTTAAAATACAGAATTAGTTTAATTATAGGCAATGATTCGACTTTTTGTAATTATCTTGGAATTTACAAAGGCGAGGAAGATATGGACAGGATGATTACGAAGGTACCCGGAACGGAATCTTTCTTACGGTGCCGAGATCTACCGGCGTACTGTCGGGGACGTTCCGACGAACCGACTCTGCTTCGGATCGTAAGGGCGAAGAGGGAATCTTCGTCGCCGCCGTATCCTCTCATTCTCAACACATTTGATGAGTTGGACGGCCCAATTCTTGCCCAAGTCCGCCACCGCTTCCCAAAAACCTACGCAATTGGACCGCTCCACGAGCACCTGCGATCACGGCTCCATGCGACGTCGTATTCGTCGCCATCCAGCAGCCTGTGGAAGGAAGAAGCAAGCTGCCTGACGTGGCTGGATACTCAGCCACCTGGCTCCGTACTGTACGTCAACTTCGGGAGCATCACGATGATGAGAAGAGATCAGGCGGTCGAGTTCTGGGAAGGTTTGATCAACAGCAAGAACCGGTTTCTGTGGGTCATAAGACCCGGTTCGGTTTGTTTCGAAGAGGAAATGGGTTGTGACAATATGCCTGAAGAGCTTGTGGGAGGGGTTGAGAAGGGGAATCTGAAGGTCCTGGTGGGCTGGGCGCCTCAGGAGGAGGTTTTGGGTCATGATGCGGTTGGTGGGTTCTTGACTCACTGCGGGTGGAATTCGACATTGGAGAGCATTGTAGCTGGCGTTCCGATGATCTGCTGGCCGTTTTTCGCGGACCAGCAAGTGAACAGTAGAATAGTGGGTGAGGTTTTGAAGTTGGGTTTGGATATGAAGGATGTTTGTGACAGAAGGGTTGTGGAGAGGATGGTGAATGAACTGATGGTGGAGAAGAAGGAAGAGTTTGGGAGGAAGGCGGTGGAGATGGTGAGAATGGCGAAGGAGAGTGTTAAAGAAGGTGGATCTTCTTACAGGGATTTGGAGCTTCTGATTGAAGATATCAAGTTGATGAGTGCTCAAGCAAAGGAGTTGAAAGGGTCCAAGAGCATTTCGTGATAGAAAGTTGGCTTTGGGGGGAAATTGGACATTGTAGAAGGCTAGAATCAATATTATGTTTCAGTGCATCATGCTTGCCCTAAGTTGTTCTTGGGCACCAAAAAAGCATTCTGGATTTTGGCTACTTTGCCTGTTATGTCATCCTTTCTGGTCCCCAAAAGTATTCAGCTTTGTTAGTTTTTTTTTTTTACAATAGGGATGAGGATTCATTACAGAAAAATGGACAACCCGAGTTTCAATAGCAACAGAGGTCACAAGAACTTAGCCAACAGGAAGAACAAAACAAATAGGAGAGCGAAAAAAAATAGAGATAAAATGAAAAGAGGAAGAATAATCGAACCACATTACTGTTACAACAAATGAAAACCAAAAGGCATCTCATAAATACAGTAACAAGACAAGAACGACATCGGATCTAACCAAAAGGATAGCAACAAGTGCCAACAGCACACCACACCAATTCACAACTGCCACAGATCACATCTTAAGAGTTATGGTGAATACGATGTTTTAGAAATCATACCAAATTTTTCACTCGGATTGAGAATATCGTGTATCATTATTAAATCGGTAGGTGTTTTTAAGGATATGTAATGATTGAATAACAACTCCCTCCTCAAACTTTATTCTTGGCGTCTTGAACAAAAGGACACGGTAGAAACACCAATTTGTAGAAGGCAACATGAAATATATTATATGACGTAACTTGCAACAGTTAAATTATTTTTATAGTATAAAATATTATATCACTAATTCTTGCTATATAAGCTTATGTATAGTTTCACAATCTTTGATTAAATAACAACTCCCTCCTCAAACTTTATTCTTGACTTCTTGAACAAGAGGACACGCTAGGAACACCAATCTGTAGAAGGCAACCTGAAATGTATTACATGACGTAACTCGCAATTAGTCGAGTAATATCTAACTACGATAGTGTAGGACAGGGCATGGGAACCACTCCCGCCCTGGCTCAGCTCGTTCTATTTTGATTTGTCTCAATATTTAATTGTATTTATCCTATTTTTACTCATCTTAGTTCTTAGATAATATTTTCACCCAACGATACTTTACATAACTTTTTCAACTCATTTCACTCAATTAGGCTAACTATTATCTCTACTTTCCATTTATGAACTATTTTCCTTTTGTTTTTATAGTTAAAAACAAAAAATTCTTGAAATTATATATATAAGTATGGGTCGACATTCCTCTACCTATACTTGCACGGATATTACTCAACATAACCCACGTTTGAGGTACCCGCCATATTCTGTTTCATTGCCATTCCAAATGCTAGGTGTGGTATTTGTAAGGAACCAGCAAGTAAGTTATTATTAGAACGGATCAATTAATTAATAATGCAAAAAAAAAAAATTAAAGACATACATATTTGTGTTGTTCATTAATATAATGTGTATTAATAAATTCATGGGGAGGAAAGAGTCAATCTCAAAAGTACATATTTTAAGTACATATCAAACGATCTAACTTCGTGACTTCAGCTTGAAATCTGACTGAAATCATATCAACCATTATTAAAAGTGTTTTACTAGTGACTTATGCCAAGTATCAAAGCTTTAAGTAGTCAATACGGCTGACTGACTGAGACAAGTTTTATGGTGAGAAAATACTAACTAGTTTTATGAGTGGAGATGGCACAACAGATCGATGAAGATCTAATTGACCAGTTGAAAATGGCCAACTCTGTAGCAGTCCGTGACAAGAAAACAACAAAAATGCAGGCGATGTTTGGAAATAAATATAGCCCACACAAAACCCCGCATCTCCTGAATTCAATGATGGAAGCAGCAATAATGGAACAAGCCTCTTCAATCCCTCACGTTCTCATCTTCCCACTGCCAGTTCAGGGCCACGTCACCTCCATGCTCAAACTAGCCGAGCTCCTGTCCCTCGCCGGCGACGGCGGCGGCATCCGGGTAACATTCCTCAACTCCGACTACAATCACAAGCGCCTAATCCAGTTCTCCGACGTCGAATCCCGGTTCCGTAAATACCCCGGTTTCCAGTTCAAGACCATCGACGACGGCCTTCCAATGGACCAGCTCACCAAGGGCGAGAAGGTCTTGGACTTGATGGGGGAAATGGGCTTGAAAACCAGGCCCATTTTCAAAGATTTGCTGGCCCAGATGGACCCGCCGGTCACATGTGTTATCGGCGACGGCGTACTGGGGTTTATCCGCGACGTCTCTGTGGAAGTCGGGATCCCGATTATTCGATTTCGCACAATCGGAGCTTCTTGCTTCTGGATTAACTTCTGGCTGCCGGAAATTATTCAGGCCGGCGAACTCCCCATCCAAGGTACAATTTAAAAACAGTTAGATCTGAACTTATTTTTGTCTGAATTTCAAATTTATGAGGAGTTGATTTCGTAAATTGATTCGACCCTTTGAGAAAAGGTGAGGAAGATATGGACAGGATGATCACGAAGGTCCCTGGAATGGAATCTTTCTTGAGGTGTCGAGATCTACCAGGGTACTGCCGGCTTAGCGCCGACGACCCGGTTCTGGCTCGGATTGTAAGGACGACGAGAGAATCTTCTTCTTCGCCGCCGTCTCCTCTCATTCTCAACACGTTTGATGATTTTGACGGCCCGATTCAGGCCCAAGTCCGCCACCTCTTCCCCAAAACCTACGCAATTGGGCCGCTCCACGAGCACCTGAAATCACGGCTGCAGGCGACCGCGACGACGTCGTCGTCGTCGAACAGTCTGTGGAAGGAAGAGGCCGGCTGTCTGACGTGGCTGGATACTCAGCCACCTGGCTCCGTGCTATACGTCAACTTCGGGAGCATCACAGTGATGAGAAGGGAGCAGGTGGTCGAGTTCTGGGAAGGTCTGACCAGTAGCAAGAACCGGTTTTTGTGGGTCATAAGGCCTGGGTTGGTTTCTCATGAGGAGGAATTGGATGGTGGTGATGAGATTCCTGAAGAGCTTGTGGAAGGGGTTGAGAAGGAGAATTTGAAGGTCCTGGTTGGCTGGGCGCCTCAGGAGGCGGTTCTGAGTCATGGCGCGGTTGGTGGGTTCTTGACTCACAGCGGGTGGAACTCGACTCTGGAGAGCATTGTGGCTGGGGTTCCGATGATCTGCTGGCCGTTTTTCGCGGACCAGCAAGTGAACAGTAGGATTGTGAGTGAGGTTTTGAAGTTGGGTTTGGATATGAAAGATGTTTGTGACAGAAGGGTTGTGGAAAGGATGGTGAATGAACTGATGGTGGAGAAGAAGGAAGAGTTTGGGAGGAAGGCTGTGGAGATGGCGAGAATGGCGAAGGAGAGTGTCAAGGAAGGTGGATCTTCTTACGAGAATTTGGAGCTTCTGATTGAAGATATCAAGTTGATGAGTTCTCAAGCACGGGAGTTGAAAGGGTGCAAGAGCAGCAAATAACATTTCCTGATGGAAAGCTGGTTTTGGGGGGGAAATTGGACATTGTAGATGTATAAGCAAAGATTATGTTTCAATTTAGTCGAAGGTGTGTTTTGAAAGTTGGGATCGTTTTGGTTAGATAATTACTGTGTATATGTATTGTTTAGAATGTATCGTTTTTTATTTTATTTTTTTAGTAAAAACTATACATGGATTGTTTCTGTGATGTGACAGAAACGTTCACTCATTTGATTGTTATATCTCAACTTTTAGTTGTGATTATTTAGATAATTGAGTTGATATTGTTTTGTCTAACCTATTAGCTGATGTTACGTATACAATCACACATACCAAACATTGTAATTTACGGTACATCAAATTCAATAATATATATATAATATTATACATGAATTCCCAACAATACATATATTCAACGATTCAACGATGCAACTTCTCCAAATATTTCTGTATTTCTATTTCGGGGCTTTTTTTTTCAAGATGTATTTCAGGCCTTTAAGCTTGTATTTTATACGAGAAAAAGCCCAATCTCGTATTGCTCATTCCGCGACTTCAACCGAGCAGATAACTGGTCCAGTCCACTACCATCCACGTGGATATGTGTTGATAGCAAACTAAACTAGTTCGAATCAACAAACGACCAAATCGGCCCTATCTTCTATGAGCTTAGAAGGAGCCCATTCGCCCAACAATATAAGGCCCAAACACTATAAATGGGTTCCCACAACACTTGGGGGCGAAGGGCGCCGTTTAAATTTAATTGGCAACATCATTGCTTCCCACTACCATCGAAGAAAGAACTTTTGCATGATTACTAACAGGTGTTTGTGCAATCCAATGGGCCAAGAAGGCATGTTTCTTGCAAAATGACAGTGAACCAACCCACTTTCGCGAGACGATGGCCCTCCAAATTGTCTTGTTTGGTATAACGTAACATGAGGAATCATTTCATCTTGAGTACTGCGGATTCCAGGATTCTCAATTAGGGGATTTAGTACGTCTTATTAGTGCTCACCATTATTATGTTCAGAAATAAAATAATAATGGAGTCATTAAAAAAGAATTCTCAACATATTATGTATTCCGCTTTGTTGCGCTTCTTTCGAGTCAAATGGAAATTCGCATTCCGTTAATTTGGATATGTTGTATTTCGTCACTATTCATACTTGTCTACAACAATATGATCAAGATATCTCACTATGAATTTAAGAGTTCGACTAACCTACAATCAACGAGTCCTAAAGTGTGATATGTGTGGGTCTTCATGCAGGTATATTGTCGGTGTATTTGGAATGACAAAAACTCAAAAAAAAAAAATATAGATAAAGTAGTTTAATACTCAATAGAATTTTCAGAGAGGTCTAAAAACAATATACAATGCATAATCAAGTAGTGTAACATGTCAAAGTAAGAAATGCACACACTTGTTTCTCTCAAAGAAACGACAAATATCAAACATCTTATAAGTGAAACTATCAAATCACTTAAACATGCTCGTGGTTTCTCTAATATGTACTCGATTGGATCACAAGTCGTGAGTGAGTGTGTGGATGTACTTGCAACATAGCATTCCTGGTTGACTTTTGTCTTATTTTGGCATAATACATTTTGTTGCCAACTACGGTATTCCAATAGGAGAATTTTCTGCTTTTAAATAAAGGGAGTAGCAAAAAGGCTGTTGATGAAGCACCATGAACCCAAATTTAACTTCAATCCTACACATTACACAATTAAAGATGAGATTCTCGAGATCACATGAACTCGTAAAAGTGATTTAGTGAAAAAAAGCATCAGCGGTGAGGTAATCACATGTGTTGTACAAGCTAACCCATAAACATTTTTATTCGAGGTGGTGAGTCCTCCTCAGTCCTCTCCTCCCCAACCCGCCATGTGCAGAGCAAAGATGGATGACATGACATTCATTTCATGATTCCTTCCATTCTCCAACAAAGACATTCATACCAATCCAAATCAAAAAAATGAATCAGCTCAACCCTTGAATTTTATAATTGATGAGGTAAGTACATTGCGGTGACAACCCAACTCTTCTCTCGAAGTCAGTCACCATCAAATAATTTAAACAAAAGAAATTGACTTCGGCACCTCAGTGATGGGGTGGTAGGGGGTTAATTCTCTAAATATTGTTTTTTTTTAATTTATCACGTATGTAGTGTTTTTAAAAGTATTTACAACAATATTATGTTTTTTTATATGTCTAAAGCGCCGACGCCTTAGACTCAGGCGCTGCCGCTGGATGCATTTTAAACAAACAAAATACAGCGGCGGCGCCCCAGACTGGGGCTTTGTCGCTGCCATTTTGTTCCACTCCAGCACCACCCCTCACCATATATACTGCACATTTCCTTCGGTTCTTCATCACCAAAAAACTGAAAGAAGTTCTGAAATAAGCTCTGGTGTTGCTGTCTGGTTGCTGGGAAGATGGCTAATAACAGGTAAGAGTCGTATTTATTTTTTTTTCATGTATTCATCATAATGATTTTTTCTAGTTAGTAATTAGTGAGTTTGTTTTTTATGTAGTAGTTTTAGAAGATTTGAACTAGCTGTTCGGTGGCGATCAGAGAAAGTAGAAGACAATTTGGGTGTCCATTTTGTTGGTGGTCTAAGTTTCCAGATGACTATTCCATCCAGGGTGAACTATCAGAAACTTTGTGATCATCTAATTCAGAGAATACGGATTAGAGACGAAACAGTACAAGATAGTGTTGTGATTACAGGTTTCACCTACTGTCTTCCAGAATGGCAGAATGGTGTTTTATTTCATTATGCAATGTCTATTGTCAATGATGATAGCTTAAATGTGCTTTGGAATTTTATGGCACAAAATCCTTATTGTTTGGGTGCTGAGATACATGCTGAGCTCAGTGAGGATCGGGGTGGAGAGGAAGATGATGATGACGGTGATGACACATGGAGCATGCCATCCGATCATGATTATGATGACGGTGATGACGGAGATGAGGAAGACGATGATGATGAGGAGGAGGAGGACGACGACGGGGAGGGAGGAGAACAACCTAATTTTCCTCCATATTTTTACTTGCAGGGTAATGAAGAGGACGAGGAATTATCATATGTTGATTCATATGGCGTAATTCCAGGGTCTACTGTTGGTGGTTTTGATGAAGAATTCTACAAGGGGCAAATATTTCACTCGAAACAAGCTGCACAGGTGGCGATGAAACACTATGCACTACAACGCAACTTTCAGTATAACGTGGTGGAGTCGTCACCTTCAATCTGGAAGATCAGATGTTTGATGCACAAGGAGGACAAATGTCCTTGGATGGTGCGGTTTGGATGTCGAGAAATGGGAGGCGATTGGAGCGTGAGAAAGGTCGAGTTGGTGCATACTTGTAGCAGTACGACTCAACCGATGGATCATCGCCATCTTGATGTCGACGTGATATCTGAGGCTGTCAAACACTTGGTACGTGCCCAACCAAATCTGAGTGTTCTAACTGTTCAGGCCGAGTTGAAAGATAAGTTTAATATGCAAGTTACTTACAAGAAGGCTTGGTATGGGAAACAAAGAGCATTGGAGAAGTTGCATGGAAATTGGGAAGAATCCTATGATTTTTTGCAAACATTCTTGCGGGTGGTCAAGAGAAAAATGCCAACATCGGTGATTCATTGGGTAAGAGTTCCTTCGACTCAACCAGGTCATTCAATATTTCAGCGAGTATTCTGGGCTTATGGACCTTGTATAGATGGATTCAAGAAGTCCAGGCGTTATGGTTGTTGATGGAACATTTCTTACTGGGAAGTATAAAGGAGTGCTACTCATGGCGAGCTCATTTGATGGATGGAATATTTTTCCAATTGCATTTGCCATAGTCAAGAGTGAGAATACTGATAGTTGGCCATGGTTCATAAGTCACGTTCAGGGTTTGACTGATCGAAATGATGTATGCATCATCTCAGATAGACATGCAGGACTCTATGAAGCCATGAATAACATCGGAAGAGGTTGGGAGTGGAGGTGGTGCATGCGACTCTATGGTGCATGCGACCAGTCCTCGTCGGGTATGTCTACTACGACGGCATCACCGTCGATCGCTAATCCGGTGAGTGTGGCAACGTCCTCTAGAGTGATCGTCACCTCACCGAACGGCATGTGAAATGTCGATGTCTCGGGTCGCCAACTCTCTACGAGCGCAGTAATCAAACCCGGATCACCGGTAAGAGGAGCTAGTGGCAGAACACTAGACAGGCCGGCATCAACGAGATACGGCAGGTACAGTGGATTGTATCGAACTAAATTTCCAGTATGACGAATGTGGAATGGTCGATCACCAGCCTATAATTAATGCACAAAACTATATTAATTCAATTCCTTCAATTCACCTAATATTTATATTTATATATCTAAACTAAAAATTTTCTAATATAATATAATCGTAACTTAATCTAATTCTATTCCTAATTTAATTTAATTCCAATCGTAATTTAATTTAATTTAATTTAATTCTATTCTATCATATTATTCAGCTAATAAAACTATAGAAATAGTTTGAAAAAAACTTACCTCATTTGCCCAAACTGCGTCAATCCGATGGTGACCATGCCCCCAAAGAAGTTCCGGATCCATCGGAGTAGTATCGATCGTCGCAGGTGGTGGTCTCATCGAACAAGGATCGATAAGCCTAGGAACTGGAAAAAAAAATATTAGAACATAAAAAAAAATATTAGAACTGGAAAAAAGTGGCCGCCGGCGAGAATCCGGCCGGCGCCGGCGAGAGAATCCGGCACTCACCCCTGTACCGTTCGCTGCCGCCGGCGTCACCGCCGCCGCCCTCGGCCTCTTCCTCTGCCGCCGGGGGCCTGTTGCTCGTCGCCGGACATCCCGCGTCGCCGCTGTTGCTGGGGCGTTGCCGCTCTCTTCGTCGCACCTCCGCCTGGGTCTGAGGCGCTGCCGCCTTTAGCTAGGCGTCGCCGCTCGGGTTATTGGCGTCGGCGCTGGTAGGGTGAAGGAGGGGATGGAGGGAGGATGAGAGGAGGTGGGTAAGGGAAGGGATGAATGGAGGGTGTCTGGTGCGAGAGGGCGAGGGAGGGGAATTAGAAAAACAAAGGAAGCCAGCGAGGGCGCCCCAGTCTATGGCGTTGGCGCTATTTGAAATTTTCAAAAATTTCAAATTGCGCCAACGCTAGAGACTGGGGCGCCCACGCTGGCTTTACCTTTAAAATCTCTATTTGTTGAGTCTCGGGCGCCGGCGCCAACTTTCCTCCATCAAAACACAATATTGTTGTAAATACTTTTAAAAACACAATATTCGTGGTAAAACAATATTTAGGGAATTAACCCGACTCATGGCTCATGGGTTGGCAGAAAAAATATCCTTACTACTACCTTGGATTGAGCGTTTTGCGAGATATTCATTAGATGGACACGTACGGTAGTTTGTTATAGTTCAATGTAGCGATGGACTCTTTGGTCTTGGCGGATTCCATTGGTGAGACTTTTTATAGAGGTTGGGATATGTACCGGCTTCTGCTCTAAGCGATAGCTTTATGAGCTAGGGTTTCTTGTTCGTCACATTTTATTGTGGGTTTTGGCTTTACTTGTGTGTGATTTGGGTCTGGTTGTGAGATCTTCTTCTCTCGTGGATTGTTCTTTCTCAGAGTTCGACTTATGTATAGGTCCATCTTGGTTGTGGTCGTGGTTACTATACACATAAATTAATAACTTTTTTACACGTGAATGTAAAATTTTTGTGAGAAATTATAAAGCGTGTATCGAATAATTATAGATCATGAAAAAACACAATCCATGGCACAACTCACCCTTTGGGTCTGGTTGTGAGATCTTCTTCTCTCTTCTACTTCTCCAATCCTCATAAGTCATAACATGAGACTTTGAATTGGAGAAAGCATGCACATTGCACACTAACAAAGGCCTCCTTTATTTGTCCTTCCCTCCCCCAATTATTTGAACCACCTCCCTCTCCTCTCCTCCAACCACTCTCACCTGCAACTGCAAATTGCTTTTTTTCCAATCTCAATCTGGCTTTCTTTTCACCTTTTGAAATCCAATATATGCTTACGCATTATGATCCCCAGTAATGCATCACCAAATCGGCTCTCTTTCTCTCTTCCCTTCACGCATCTGAAAAACTTTGCTTCCTTTTCCTTTCCACCTCTTTGTTCAGGAAACCTGACAAACTTAGTCGGTACTGAACTGAAGTCCGTTGAGTCTCAGAGAGAGCATGGTTTTCCCTCCAAAACTGAAACTTGGAATTTGAATCCCAGCGGGTACAGTAATTACTGTGATTATGGTCATCTTCGCGGCAAAACACGAACCATTTACCTTAATTCTACGATTATGGCCAACATTTGTTGGAGGTTTGAGATTTTGGAAAGAGGAAAAGAGCCAATTAAAATACTGTGGGCATTCACGAAGAACTTGATCGGACAGAGACTGGTGATTTGAGCGCTGTGGCTGAGTTGCTGGCCTCTCACTGGGCTCTGGTGATGATGACAGACAGACAGCACAAAAGGGTAGCTGCTGACCATACATTGGGTCTGCCTCTGCTCTGTTCTCTCTTCTCTTCCAACATTTTAGTTAATTAATCTCAACTCAGCCACTTAATTAAGTTGTTAATCTAATCTAACTAGCTCCTCTCCCTTTCACATCAATACAATAAGCTTAACTCCACTTTCAACTCAACCTTTTTCCAACATTCGCCCCTTAATTACGCTATCAAGCACCCTGTTTATTCTATTAATCTCGCTGCAGATTGTACGAGCCCACTCTGTAGATACATAATGATGAAGCACTACACTACCTGATCAATGGGATAGCGCATAATCAAGGATAAAACCTTCCCACAAACTTGCTTCTTGGATACATTTTATGCCCAAAGAATGGAAATAGATCAAACACCTCTGGAAATCGATTTTGGAATAGCATAGAAACAAAAAAGAAAATCGTTTAAATCTATGTAAAACAATTGATTGGAAAAATACAAAATTATCTTGCTTCCCTTTTGTCAAGGAATACACGGTGATCGCATGTTTAGGTTCATAATTCTTATAAAAAGCTTATTCATATCACTACAAAATATATCTTTGTAATCAGGTTGAATGCTTCTTAGAATCATGGATCTCTCGTGGTTTTGTGAATATTAGGTTTGTGCCTAAGGTGTACAAAAATGGCCATGTATAGAATTAAGAAGAAAAATATATATTGGTTGAGTAAATGCCCATTTCCTTTTTCTGAAAGAAATAAATGTATCCTAGACTATAATGAATTTTGTTTTTTGAATGAAAGAGCCGGGAAAATCGGAAGTTGAACTTAGCTGGAGGAGGGAAGGTACAACATGGGGCCTAGCCTGTGGGGTTTCAACAAATGGACGGTGGAAAGTGGCCCAAACAGATAGAGAAGCCCAGTAACCAGATATATATAGAGGAGTTGCTGTGGAGCCCACCTAATTCTGCCGCCTGCTAAACAATAGCGTACGAAAAGCAATTCCTACTAAAACATTTGGAGAAAAAAAAAATATTTATTTATTAGCTTCAAAATTGCGTTTCATGAACCCAAATGGTCCATCCAATTCCAATCTCAGTTCACAACACATCAGTCCTGTTGTACTCGAACAACTGGATCCAAAGTAAGATATAAAATAAAAAGCAAAAATGAACAGAGGAGGATTGGATTGGATTTGATTGTTTCTGTATTACGAAATCTGGTGCTTCAAGCTGAAGCAAAGCTAATTTGCAGCAGCAACCCATTTCACCTTTGCCCGCCCTTTTCCACTTTCCCCCTCAACCCTCTCCTTTCTTTAATACAAATATCGGTGTAGATCAAGGCAAAAAAAAAAAAACTCATCACTTGAGCTTATCCGGTGTTTTGTTATTCGCTCTAGTAATCAATCGATCATGACTTTATCACGATATTTATAACATGACAACATTTTGAAACAAATTAAGTTTACTCTTATAAAAAATGAGAGGTAGGTGCCTTAAGAAGCGAATTCATAGCATTATAATTTATAACTCCGGAATCTGAACAGTTTGAGCTATAATTTTATCTGCAAACACAAATGCTATTATTTTTACAATCTTCACTTATACCAAAAGGATAAGTTTTGAGTAACATGAATAATAGGAGTATTATACCACTAGCCTTTTATTTTGTAAAAAGTTGAAGTGGTAGTGTGTAGTATTGGAAACCTCCCTAGTGTTGGTGCAGATTTCGAAGTTAAACTCTCACGACTGTTAATAATAACACAGAGCCCAAGGAAGTTGAGAGCATGTCACTTTGTCTCCTAATCTCTGCATGCAGCAACCCATTCTTTCTTTTCCCCTTTTGTTTACAGATATTCCAACGAGAACGAGAGAGAGAGAGAGAGAGCAACTTGTTAAAGTTAAACTATTATGGTCAAAGAAGCAGCCAGCCGGCCTGCATTAAAAGGTACAAGTTACAACCCAACAACATATTGGATCCACTTGGTTTCTTCTTCTTGCCCTTTCACTTTCTTGGTTCAAAGACCCCAGCCCTCTGCCTCGGCGACATCAACAAAGTAAAAAAGCTAACAGACGAAGCAGAGTAAAAAATAGGAAAAGCAGAGCACAACCCAACACGCCAAACCATTCAAAAAAAAAAAAGAAGGAAATTCCCTTTCTTTCATTTTCAACCTTTATTAGAATTTTACAGTCCGCCTAGGGGAGGAAGAGGGTAGTAAATAGTAATGGTAAAAACTGGAAAGTAACACCATTTTACAGAGTCTTGAGAGAGACATTACTGGATCCTAAACAGAGCCTAGAGAGCTCCTGGAGAGACTGAGAGAGATAACAGAAGAACTTATAGATTTAAGATGTCTCCATTCCCTCTTTTCTACTGTTCTTTCTTTTCCCCTTGGATTACAAAGAACCTTCCCTTCCTGTTCCCTAAAGGACATCAAAACCAATAATTAATATAATAACTAACAAATACCCCACTCTAGTTTATTACTAATGATACCCACATTATTACAAACAAAATTACCCCCCTTCTTCATCTTCATTCTTCACTATCTTCTCCCACTTCTACTCCTGCCTGGTTCAAAATCAACACCCCAAAAACAAGAAGAGGAACTTGATAACTTCTTCAGTTCTCTCCTTCAACTAAAGTCTAAAAAAACCCATCTTATTAATGTTGCCTAATATGGCCCCAAAAAAAAAACCCTAATCCCTACTATCATTCTGCTTCTTGCTATACCTCCTTCCTTCACCAGTTCCACCAAAACCAAAGACCTTGCGAATCAGTACGTCCACTCTTGAGGCAGAGCAGCCCCAATTTCATGGCTTATCAATGCACTTTCGGCAAGCATTGCTCTCTTCTGTTGCTGCTGTGCCAACATCGCATTCCTTCTTGCCAACAGGGCCGCTGTAAAATAAAAATTAACAGAGCAAGAAATTGAGTATTATAATTGAGAGGGGTTAAGAAAAATTAGAATTAATACAGGAATACTATTGCTTTTCAGTTTTTACCATAATCAGCGGCGAAAGAGGCGTTGATACGAGACTGACCCTGGTTGCTATAACTCGCCGTCTCCTCCAAGTTCAAGTTGAGTGCATGGACAACCTTCGCCGGCAGAAGAACTGCTGAGCAAGCTTGAAAGTGACAAACACACAAAATGTCAGTGTTTGAAATTTCAAAATCAAACCCCCCCGAAAGTCCACCACGAGGAACCCAAAAGAGGGCAAGAAGAAAACAACAAAAATACTAAGAAATTAAAATGTTGGTACCAGAAGGAGCAGGCTTCTTCTTGGAATCCACTGTAGGGTTCGAATATCTACGAGGAAGGAAAACCCCTGTCCCAGCGCATTCCCTCTTTGAACTAGAACCAAATCCGCCGCCCACATACCCTGCTGATGCCCTAGTTCCCAAATTCGAACTCGATAGAGTTTGATTTTGGTTGTATTGAGCACGATTCGTTTGAAGCGGCGGCCAAGCGGGCAGCGGCTGAGGCGGCGGCCGGACAACAAATCTTCCGCTTTCATACACACCTTTACCGCAAGAGATCTGCGGCTGCGGCGGCTGAAATTTCTGCCAGTTGGCTGCCTTCACTTGCTGCTGCAACTGCTGCCTCTCCCAAACCAAATGCAACTGTCCCCTTGGAGCTGCATGTTCGTGCCTCAACTGCTGATTCTGCACAGAGAAAGGAATAAGCAAACCAAATCTCGGAATTTCCCCCAACAAATTACAGAGGTAGCTTCATAATTTTACCTGAGCCACGTGCTGCGGAATATTGTGGCTGAGAGGGTAAAACGACCCAGATGAGGGAATCCCCTTAAAGTTACTACAGCTCTTGCTAGAAGCTCCGCCGTTGCTGCTGGCGGTGGCCATTTTCAGCCTCGCCACTTGTCCGGCGGCTTCGTAAATCAGATCCCACGTGTCGGTTTTAGCACCAAACGGGGACGTAGTAGTGGCGGTTGTCGGCGACGAAGCTCCGTTGGGGCTCCCGTTGCTCGAAACCGACATGCTTCCCAACCCGTTCAGCGTCGACTCGGGCGACCCGACCACAACCCGGTTCTTCTGTCAAAGCAAAAGAAAATACAGGGTTAGGTTCTGTATTAGTAGAAAACGTGAAGAGGAAAAGCAGAGCGAAGGGGGAAAACGGAACACAAACCTGGGACTTGAAGGAGAGCTGCTGAGTCAGGCGACGAGTTAACCCGGCGAAGAAATCGTCCTCGTCGTCGCCGCTATCAGTGTCGGGGGACGAGTCAAACTCGTATGGGAACTCGGATGGGAAGTGGAACTCGGGTTTGAGAGGAACCCTGGGGTCCGGGTCTGCGACGGAGAGAGTAGCCATTAGAGAAGGTGGGGGGAAGAACAGAGTGATGAAGAGATTAGGGAGGGAATGAGAGTCTGTGTGGTGGGAAGGAAGAGGGAGGAGGAGGAGAAGAAGGAGAAGGGAGGGTTTAATAAAAAAAAATGGAGGAGACAGTCAAGTTTCCGCTGGATTTGCAGGCACTGGTGAAACAGAAACAGAGGGCCCAATAAAAAGAGAAGAGGGAGAGGAGGAGTGGGTTAGTGGTGGGGTGGAGTGGAGTAGAGAATGTGGGTGGAAGACATGTCGCTTTGCTTTTATTAAGGTTTTCTGAGTTTCTTTTTAGGCGAACCCGAAACATTTTTCAAATTTAAAAAGAAAGACCAGGAGAAAGAAAACATCTAATCAATTCGAAAATTAAATATTTTTGGCTATATGAAATTGTTGAACCATGATTAAACTTTGATTTCTGTATAAAATCCTTTGTCGATACAACTTTCTGTATGGTTTCACAATCTTTGGCATTTGCATGTTAAGGGGTTATTTGGAAGTTGTGATTGTGAAGAATCTCAACAAAAAGTAAAGATTGTAAATCTCTCAATATTGACACTTTGTTTGGCAACAAGGGGGGTGCAAATTCGAGGAGGGTGCAAAGTGAGGGGTAAATTGTTGGAGGGAGCAAATTATAAAAGGGTGCAAATTGGGGTGCAAATTGTTGTTTGGGAGAAAAAGTAGGAGGGTGTAAATAGAGGTGTTGATATATTATTTATAATATAAAAGTGAATAAAGTAATAAAAAATTAATATTATATTTGATTTTCTTATTCTTTTTAGCTTTTTACTTCCCACTCTCTCTTCTCTCTCCCCAATCTTTCTGATCCAACCCCCTTCCCCCATTGTTGCCGCCCAATTCTCCTTCTCTCTTCCACAAAAAAAAAACAAGCTTTTCTTTCTCCCATCTTCACTTCTTCGTCTCTAACCTTGGGAAATATCCCTCTCCTGCTTGCCTCTTCAGTCCTTTGGATCAAGCCACCAGGCAACCACACGACCAATTTTTATGGCTCTAAGCTGCGACCAAAACAGATCTAGGTGAGTGGTTTATTGATCTGGATTTGCATGTGGGACGAGTCCTCCGATCTGGGACGACGGAGGGGACAACAGGCCGGTGGACACTCAATTTTGCTATCGTTGTTGTTGTTTTCATCTTCCCCGCCTTCAGATACTCTGTTTTACAGGCCACCAACGAGCTAGGAATTGAGGACGGCAGCTGCCGGAGAGGAAATCCGGTCTGAAGGCAGAGCAGCTTTGCCGTCGCGGAAGGAGGAACGAGTGCAGCCTGGGTACAATCGGAGAAGACGATTGGGAGAAGAAATAACTAACGAAATTGAGGAAAAGGAATTTAGAAAGAAACAAAAAAAAAATGAATGAAAGCCTCGTCAATTTTTCTCTCTCCACTTCCACCCCAATTTGGGGGGCTTGTTCAAACAGTAGTTTTGCACCTCTAACTGCCCGCCCCCCTACTGTTCAAAATGTTCCCAAACAGGTGCAAAATCATTGGGAATGGAATTTACCCCTTGATTTTGCGCCCCCCTACACTTCCTCCTCTTTCCAAACAGAGCGTGAGTGATTGTGGTGGGGTATCCAAAAAGTAAATGCATGTATTCTAGTTCTATATAAATAAATAAATAACGACTTAATCTCTCAAATACATGAATTAGATCAATACACCATTTGAAATCACAACTTCCAAACGACCAATAAATTTTGCTCAATAAGGTCAGGCTTTAGATTAGCTGGCTTTCTGCAATCACATTTGAAAAAATAAAAAGATTTTATGCTCTGAAATGGTAATAAGACGTGACATGACTATTTCGTTTGAACAAATTTAAATCTTGCTAGACAAAAATTAATATAAAATATCATTTTAACATTTGAATTAGTACATTGATTTTGTTCAATAATTGGGTTATTAAATTTTGTATGAACAGCTTAAGAAATTTGATTTGTTTGTAGGGGTCCAATCAGTTGGAGGGATTTTGTCCTGCTATTTATATTCAACCCCACCCGCCAGTTGTGGTGTTGATAATTAATCCACTTTCATTACTACGTGTCTTTATATTATTAATCATTCATTCACGTTAATTTGGTTCCTATCGTTTACTTTATTAATATTATTATTAAGCTCCTGATTGGTAATTAGTTGTCGGTTAATCACATTTGGGTGTGGCGTGGGTGGGGGACGGGCCGGCCGGGTATAGTTAAACACAACCCGGTCCCATGTTTTGTGTGTCTCTCTCTCGTGTTGTTGTTCTTTCTTTCTTATTCCCTCTCTTGCCCTACTTTTGGTGGGGTTTTCTAATTATCCATGGGATGAATGAAGGCAGTGTAGATTTTCTTTTTTGGTTATTTTGAAATTGGATTTGCCTTTGGAGTGGGGTTATGCGATAAATTTGGTAATCGAAATGAGAAAACTTGTTTACTTTTCATTCTGTTTTTTATTCGTTTCCAACTATGAAAACAGAAAGTGGCAACTTCCTGCTGTTTTCGGAAACGACAAAAATGTTGTTTCCACCTGTTTTCAACATCTGTTTTCTCAAAAACAGGAAACAGAAATGAAAGTAAACAGGCCCGTAGTTTCTTCTTCTCTCTGCTTTTGGGTATTTTACTAAACGGGCCGGGTGGACTGGTAGTCCAACTGTGGATTCACTCTGTCTGTCTCTTAAATTGCTAGGGTAAACTAAAAGTGGGCTACAATTTGAGGGGTGGATATGTAATGTACTAGGAAGTGATCAAAATAAATCGAAAATCGACTCATTTGGAATATTTGAGCATATCTAAGTGGGCTGCATATATAAGCTTCATTTTCCATAATATGATTTGGGAGAGGGAGCAAAAAACCGGTCAATCAGGACAGACCACCGATTTTTTCAGTTTTGACATGCTATTGGGGTTGTAGGCGAACTAGCTTTCTCATGAAAGTTTTCAATACCAACTTTGCCCAAACCTAATCTAACCGACCGACTCGATTACAACATGTCAATCTTGGGGAAAATTGAAGAGAGAAACACATAGATTCCTCTATTTGTTGTTGTTTCTAAAAAGGTGATTAGAGTGGAGTTCCATAGCTATAAAATTTGTTGTAATTACGATTATAAAAATGGAGCAATCACAAAAAAATAAAAGGTGATTGAAGCTGACAAGCCTATAAAAAGTGCCTTAATATGGAGATAATCCTATCGTATTTTTACCATCATTTGTCATTGACTTCTGCTGAGACAAGGCATCATTTGCTTGAGCAATATACCAAAGTCAGAAATCATGCATAATCCATTGCCATGATCGGCAATACACACACACTCAACACTCTCCAAACTGCAACATGCCCATAATTATTGTTGCTCACCGCATCCCCTTTTTTCACCACCGCAACAAAGAGAAAAAGAAAGAAAACCCACACACACCAAAACTGCAATGAAGATGCTCATTTCATTGACATGATGATGATTATGATCGATGCACTTCACCAGTCTTGCATAATTGCTTAGACAACAATAACAATGCACCAAATTCATGCAAATACCATTTCCACCATTACTCAATCGTCTCAATTTACAACCCTAGAGCTGCCCCAATGAGAGAAATTCACCTATCCCAGAAAAGAAGTTATGAGCCTCAGCACTGTGTAATGAATGACTTTGTCCAATTCCCAACTCCCTCCTTCTGGCTTCTACCCTTCCCCATGTCTCCCTGCTGTGCCCTGGCTTTTCAATGAAACCTACTGTAAATTATGGTAAGTTGACAGTGTGAAATCGATGGCTTACCCCAACTACCCAAATGAATGGTTTCGATTACAAGTTGTGTGTTTTGGAACATAAGCGAATTCAGATTGAGCAGAATTTGCTTCTATTCGTTCATTATTCGCCTGTGGCCTGTGGGTATGTATTGATTCGTATTTCGTAGAGTTGAGAGATTATGTGCTTCGAGAAAAAAAGGATGTTGGGAGGGTGTGTTGTGTTCATTGACTTCATTTGGTTGTCATGCCGGTGGGCGGTGGCATGCCACTCGGTTGAACCTGGTTCAACCTGTGTCGGTTATGAAACCAGCATGACACCACCGGTATGATCGATTTACGTATTCTAAGTAAAATGACATCATTTTAATGAATTTAATGAATACAAAAATTAATTTATTATTCATTTTATGAATGTAATAGTTAAAAGTTGATGATATTTGTTGGATTGTAACTCAATTGTTCACAAATATGTTTAAATACATTGGATATTAATTGTTTTCACATTTTTTTAAACCGGCATGAACCGGCACAAACTGGTTATACCATCGGTCGTACCATTCCACTTGCCAAACCAGCACAACGGCATAAACCGGTTTGACAACCTTCCCAATACCCAAAACGAAAAGGAGAAGAAAAATCAGAGTGAACAAATTTCAAATAAAGAAAAAGAAGATTTGCGTAGGTCAGTGCATATTCTTGGCGGGCTTTGCTTCAAGTTGCCGCAAATTTCTTTTGATTTTCCCGCCGAAAGAGAGAGGAGGTGGGACTTTAGGCGGTACTCGCGGAAGGATGGCTGCTGGGCCTGGCTTGCCTTTTGGATTTGCCCTCTCGATCGGATCGGATCTACACTTCTTGCACTGTAGGTTGTCACTTTCAGAACAACATATCTTAACCCATCACTTGACTTGAATTAATGTCGGAGTTGAATTAATGTTCATACCTTGTTATTCGCGGCAGAACCCTAATGATTATTTAATTTTTAAATGAACAGAGGTAAGGTTTTACATGTGTTTCCAACCCTACTTTGATAAACACCTTTTTATATTTTGAATACCTAATTGAATCAAAAACTGACATTTTTTTTTCATATACAAAAGAAAAAATGTTTGAAATATTTTGTTTCGATGAAATTTAACTGCATTTTAGTTGGGATAAGAGAGGCTCGCGACATAAAAGAGAGAATTGGGTTGGATCATGTTGGTTAGAGGGTTTTAGATTGGTAGTCTTAGGCTTTGGGTTGGCCAAGCAGTTTTGTTAGGATAAAATTTTAGTGACCTGGGGCAAATTTGGATGGTAAGTGGAGGGAGGTTGACACAATTATTCAGGTGATATAGTTAATTAAAATGCAAGTGAATAATCTATTAAGAGGTAAACGTTAGTGACCAATTTGTTAGCAACTCCAAATGCAAGTGACCATTTATGCTATTGATTCATTAAACCCGTATGGCCTATGATATGATCACGAGTAGCATTGATTTGATGTAGCAAACCCACCCGCTCCAAAAATATTTGGCAGGCACATCAAACATTATTTGGCATTTAAGGCCGTCACGCGCTTCATCGCCACCAGCAATCAAATCCCTCGGCCCTCCCAAGCTGCCTTGGCATGTTTTGGACCCTCATATTTATTGATTCCCCACATGAATGGAGCTCACTTTGTGGGCTATTGGTTACTAGTTATTGTTGTATCATATGGGGTTTTTTAAACACGGAATTTGAAGATACCGATATTTCAAATTTGATTTGTCAGACTTGTACGAGTACATTGTTAATTATGTTAGTAAATGGTATATGATTCATGATTGAACATTTCCCAACAACTCGAGTTATTGAGATTAACTGATTTTTGACATGGTATCAAAGCTTTCTGTGACCGAGAGGTCTTCTGTTTGAATCCCGATGACTCCAAGCCTATCTAAATGGCTTGAGTTTGAGGGGGGGTGTTAGTAAACGGTATATGATTCACGATTGAACCTCTCCCAACAACTCGAGTTATTGAGATCAACTGGTTCTTGACAAATTATAAACATAATTAACTAAAACACTCCACATCTTCTGGCACCATATGAACCCAAAGAGCCGCAACACCATTATCTGGTAGGCGCCCGCAACAACAACAGCAAATCCACCCAGGAGGACAGCTTCAAAAGATGTGTGCAATGGTTTGTGTATGCTTTCCTTTTACTTGTGAACACTCCTACTTATTTTTTATTTTGGTAAAGCAGACGGTTCCTTATATGATATTTTTTCCACGAAAATTATATGGAGTTTTCTACATGATAAAAGCCATCCGAAATTCAAATAGCCGTGACCGAAATATTCTACATTTGAAGCTGATTGTTGTAGTTAATTTTCGACTTGTAATAACTAATAACATAAAAGACAACAATTGATGCGACAACTGCGTGTTAGCATCGCATTTTTCACGTGTACGACACTTCATCATGTTAAATCTCTAATTCTAGGAAAAAGAAATTAACAAGAAAGAAAGAAACCATGGTCATCCAAAATGTCAATTTTGTTTCCGAGTCCGACCCATCGTGAAATTAACCGTGATTTCATTATTGATTAGCCTTCAACAAGAAGGAAGGATCATTGATGACACCATAGCGTGATTTCAGAATTGTTAGCCAACAAGTATTAACCAGTATCTTCTAAAACCTTATTCAGTCTCACGATAATGGGTAGAGGAATTGGTGGAGTTGTCTTAAAGGGTGTGATAGCAAAGTAGTTGAGCCACTTATTGTTTATGACCTCGTACAACATTATTGTCAATCCAGCCTAAACAACTATCAATATATATGGTCCATCATTGAATCCTTTTCCAACCAGGACTGGATCTTAGTTGGACCATGATGCTAAAATTCTTCGTAATCAGGTGTCCTAACCATGGTCCATTAAACCGTATCGTACCGACGGTTCAACCACAAAATACCAACCGATAGGCGGTATTTAACGGTACTAACGGTTGAACTACGGTTTTGTCATAAAATACCCTATCGCTGACTTTTCCGATACGGTTTCATGGACCATGGTCCTAACAGGCTAACATATGATTAGAAACCGTTAATCCCAATTTCCCAAATGAACTAAAAGCACCCTAGTCGGTTTAGTATCCTAAAAAGAAAACCCTATGTCGGCGAGGCCCGAATTAAATAGAGAATGGATAACAGAGCATAAAATAACAGAGGAACTGAAAAGAACACAACAATTGGGGTATTGGATTCAAAGAATCCTCACGGAATCAGCTTCGTCTTTGGTATCATATGGTACAGCACAACAGCGACATGACTGTAGCCGGTATCATGATCAGAAGCCTCTGCTCTTTTATTTTGTTTCTCCTTTTTTGTACATTACTTCACTTCCCAAATACATTTTTGGACGTTATCTGTATGAATTCTTACGGGCATACATACAAGTAACAGAAAAAAGGGAAGAAAGCAAAACTGTGCTTAAAAAGTGGCCAAAAGGGAAAGGTTATCATATGGACAGATCACATGTGCTTTGGTACCAACCTGTTTGTTTGTTCATCGTTAACACCGAAAGAAGAATGACATGTCAATGGAATTATTATGTGTTGATGAGTGGAGGAGGAGGAAATTTCCTCCAACAACAGTTGTTGCTCTCCAGAGATATGTGCTCGAAGAAATGGAACCCAGGTGAGAACTTGTTAGCCACTTCACTGACTAGACACTGGACAGGGAAGATTTGATTTCTTTGGTGGTGGGATGAAAAGGATAAAAAGCTCACCACAAGAAGATCTTCTTCCGTTCCGAACGACTTTCACGCTTCTTCTAAGCATTTGGATGAAATTCTCTCATTCTTCCTAAATTTTTCAAGTTCGAAATTTGGTTCATCAACTGGATTACAGAGTTTGATTTGTATAAATTGGAGCATATAAAGATCCACATGAACAAATTGAAGAAAAAGGAGTGCACCTGGGGCTTGCTGGATGTCGTATTTCAAACTCGTCAGTATCAACATGGTAGCCACATATCACTATATAATGACTTAAGAGAACATGGAATGAGAAGTTAAAAACTATTTTAATGGTGACAATCACACTTGCAAAAAAATAATAATTCAAAATTTTCAATTCAAAAAGAGTGCAACAAAGATAGTACGTTATCCAATATACATATCGATATGGAAAATGTTGTCACGGATTTGTTATCCTCACCTACATAGTCTCGTTGTCATCATCCAAACTTGACGAGATAGCATCCTCTAACCATGTGCAAATGTACAAAAAAAATAAAAAAACATAAGAAAAGTTTTAAAATCATTCAACTCGAAGGATCAATTAACAATGAAATGAGAGACATCGAAACAATCTTATAGAATAAATGTACCGTACCTCAACTTGTATTGATTAACTAATGAATGACAATATAGTTCCCAGATAAAATCAAGTGGGCGAGTTCGTTTTCATTGATTGACCTGCAGTGTAGAAAGTAAGGATTAATGCCTTGATCATGCAAATCTTCTTAAAATCTTCACTAAATCATCAACATTAAAATGAAGTTCACATAAGAACCAACTAAAATACAAGACAACTGATGGATGTGCAACTAAAATCATCAGCATTAAATTGAAGTTGACATAAGAACCAACTAAAATACGAGACAACGGACTCGTTTTAGGGATGATAGGCTAGAATTTAGAGAGATTTAAGGACTTAGAGAAAGAATCGGGAACTTGAAGAAGGATTTGAGGAAGGGAAGAGAAGAATGAGTGGTGGGCTTTAGGGAGGAAGATAAACGAGATTGTGAGTAGTTTCCATAAACTACTCCTAAATAATATAATTAACGAAACTATTAAATATTCTCGAAAATCCACTTAAAGTACTCAAAACCGCAAAATATCTCAAGATATCACCAATACATAATTGAGCAGTTTGCGACGTAAAATGATAATAAATACAGAATGACATGTTTGAATCAACATACCAGTATATTGATCCCTTCCTCGGATGCTTTTTCAAATAACAGATCTAATCTGTGTACATCAGTTGACAGTTGCTCCTGCAAACATCCAACTAGATTGCCACTCTTAAGTATGAAAATCTAACCGAAAATCACTTTAGTAGAGACGCCAAATCATTTGTCCAAATACTGCAAAGAAGACATAATAATAATTCAAAGATAAAGTTCAGTTAGGAAATTCCCCATACTTTTCTCGAAGACAATGTTAATAACTTAATATGTGCAATGAAAATACACAAGACCATCAGAATGTAAGAGATAAGGCTTCCTTCCCGAAACAGATCTTCAGACTTCCAATTCCAAAACACCCTTAAATTGGTTGGAAATTTGGTAATATGCTAAGGGAGGAAAAATTAAAGGAGGAACCTTGTTATTATGCTATAATGAAATCTCTGATTAAACATAGTATATAATCATACCTAGTTGTGCAGCACATGTCTGCTGAAGCATCGATGCTGCAATCATTGACACCAATGGCATTCAAAACCACAACAGCACATGCCAGACCACAATCCCAAGAGTGAAGCTGGTTTTTATGCGGCACCTGCATTGAACCATGACAGGAAAGGTGAGCTACAGACTCCCTAGTGTAAAAACAAATTCTAAACAAGTCTCATGGTACAATACTTACTGCAACAAAGTGTGATAGGGACACAATTCTTTGTCTTCCCATTTCCTGACTAAACCATCCATCTATAACTTCATCTTCATCTTCTTCTACAGCTTCTACATTGAGTAACTTGCTGAACGGAACATGCAAAGGCCACATCGGTAGACACAGAAGTACAGCAAACACCAGTATGGTCGAATGATCATCCACTGATCCGGAAGAATCAAATCAGGAGTATATTCCAAAAGTCCTCTACTTTTGGCTCGTTTACAAAATTCCGCCTGATAAGATCAAATTCATTCCATAAGGATCGAATTGTGAACAGAATTATCACAGCAAACAAGTAAACCCGCTCATTCAGATTAGTCCAAGGCCAATCTAACAAACCATGGAGAAAATCAATACAGAACCGCCAGCACCCAGCAACAGAAATCGAATTGGCTCAATGGAAACGATAAAGAACTTGATTGATACATAGTTACATACCAAAAGCTTGCAGATTTGCGAAGAAAGTCACGAATCCAATCGGGGATGGTAAATTGGAATCACAACGTATCGCGTTACCCAGATAGCAAAAAAACAGAACTCGATCAAGGGCGGAGAAAAGCGAACAGAGGCGATTCCCCCCAAAAGAAAACGAAGAAGTTCGAAACAGATGCACAGCTGATGATGGAAGATTAACACAAGGATTCGAAAGAGATTTAACTTTTACCTTCATTCGTTCTTCAGTAACGGACGATCGACGTAGGAGATGGAAGAGGAAGAAGAAGAATTGGGAAACGTGAGTTCTGCAATTCGTTCTTCCCGCGGCGCCTGGAAGCCGCTGTGATAGCCGGTTGTCGGTCGTCAGTTGAGTGGTTTCTTATCGAGGAGGTTTGGGCCGTGAGTTCTGAGCCCATGAGAAGTTGGACCCAAGTTGGGGAAGGCAAAAGCACACATCAAATTAGACGGCCCAGCTAGAAAGTGGCCCATTGAGATGGCAAAACTTGGGGCTCATGATTCTACCCCAAAGAAAAAAGTTCGGTAAGGGTTTCGGGCTTTAAGTCCAGTGCCAGATCTAGAAAGGGATGGCCAGAAAAGGGAGGTGTAGCTATAAATGCAGGGGCAGGGCCCATAATTTGAGTGGATTGGTTCGAAGTGGCTAAATTTTATTTCTCTCCACCGGCGAAGTGGTCCAATTTTGAGTTTTGGAAGCACTGGTCCGAATCGAATGTAAACAGAAGAGACAACAACGGGATCGCGCTGAAAAGGATGGGCGGACGGACGGGCCTCAAATTTCAAAATTCGGAAAGGGGATGAAGCTTGCTTTTCGGTAAAGCTTGGTTGGGCCTTTTTCCATGCTTTGCTTTCTGTGGAGGAACATGATATGATAACGGCTACATTATCGTCTTTCTAGGTTAATTTTTTTTTTATCATTTTTCGTTATTTTTTTTATTTATTGAAACATACGAACATGCATAGTGCTAACAAGGTTGCTTGCACCCAAGGGGCTGAGAAAATGAACTCATTTGGCTTAGGGATGTATCCTAAGAGATTGGAATGACAAAGGTGTCTTTGCGGTAGAAGACTCAAAGTTAAGTGGTCTCCCGAGCTTGCTGAAGGTATAGTAATTCTTTATGGTATTAGATTGGTTAAAGAGAAAGGTTTTGGACCGGTTGTTATTGAACCTGATTGTAGAAAGATTATTCAGCTTCTGAAATTTCACAGAACTTGCATAACTGAATCGGGGAGCATTTGTTCGGATATCTCGAAGGAAGTGGAGGGTATTGATGTTCGTGACTGGTCTTTTGTGTTTAGAAAGTCAAACAATGTTGCTCATTTGTTAGTCCATATAGTCTCTGATTTTGAGGAGTCTCGTTTTGATTGTAATAGCTTACTTATTATGGTAGCTGATGTTGTAGCCGTTGAGACTGATTGATTCTTGAGTTCAATAAATCCCCATCAATTTTCTCTCAAAAAGAAGAAGAAGAAGAATCAAACTACATTATGGTAAACCACGAATTGATTTGCGTTGCGAAGGATGGACATGACTATTGGCTGGAAACAACAAAGACCAAACCCGTTATGAATCCAGTGTTGTCAAATTTATGTAGATTAGTATTTGTATTTGAAAAAAAAAAAATTCAATCTAACTAGTAAATTAACAACTAACAATGAATATATATATATTTTTTTTAATTGTGTCTACATAATGACTATCGAATCTCAAACTTGTATATTGCGTTTAAAATACAAATCAATTGAGTGCCAAAAAATATAATTAAATAAAATTGACCTTAACCTCGTACTAGAAACATCTTTAAATAGTCTAAATAGAGTGAAACACAATCCACCGTTGCTCTCCGTGAGTAAATATTAATGCTTAATATTTCAAATTTTGATAAGTAGATAATAATCATTGTTTGGACATCAAAAGTCAACAAACAAATGAGCAAGCTGTTTCTTTAGCTTTTGGCGGCCACAAAGCTACACGTTTCCCCTTTCGTTGAGCAATTTTGTAGCCGTTGCCGTTAATCAGCCTTTATTCAGGCTTTAGCTTCGTCGGTATTTAATCAATTTTTTTTGTTACTGGGTTAGTACTCTAAAACAACATTACAACATTGAAAAGAGGTCAGAGTTGAAAAGTAAAGACAGTAAAATAATAATAACAACAGGGTACGACGGCAATCAACCGCGGCCTGAAATCAAACAAATAATTTGAACTGCTATTACCAAATTGATTAACTAATCAACCAGACAAAAAGTTTATTCGTTGCCTTTTAGAAAAGTTGGCCTACACTACACATATAAAAATGATGAGCAAGCCCTAGGTATCTAGGTGGAATAACGGGGTGCTCGTTTTTTTTTTTTTTTTGCGACGATCGAAGTAATAAGACATCAGTAATAGATTGATTGTCCCTAACAACAAAAATGAGTGAATTTTCGAAAGTGATTACTATAGATCAAATACCATAATTTTGATTAAAAGTGTGCCCCATGTTTCTCCTAATTGTTCCATTACAAATAGAACGATTGGATAATAATTTCTCAGCTTGGGATCTTTTCGTGGGCACTAGCATGCAACCTTTTATCCCTTGATTCAAATGCGCTGAAGCTTTTTCTCAGGGAGTCATCAATGTTCGATAGTATAAAGATGATGAGCAGCCACTTCCTTTTTTGGACTTGTACATATCCAATCATTTCTTTTTGAATAGTAGGAGAAGCAAACGGTTGGGATGAATCTTAGTTTCAGTTGACAATATATTATTTAATATAATTAGTCTTCTATTATCTATATTGAGCCGTGGGTTAGGTTGCAAAGGGATGGAATGCAACTTCAAAGTTGGTGAAGAAGTATCCTGAATCGATTCCATAAGAAAAAATGAGTCACCTTAAGTTCAAAAAAATGGTCAAATACTAACATCGCTGAAGATGATAGAGTAGAACATTTCAATCTAATAACCACCAACTTTGTATGTTGCTCATTTGTGTTGTAATCCAGAAACTGATCCACTATCACTTTACCCAATTGTTGAAATAGATACGTTGATAACTCTTTTTCCAGCAAATGCTAAAAATGCAAAAAAATTGAACGGAATCAGTATTTAGAAAATTTTACGGGTGTCAGTGCCCCGCTTGCTATCCAATGTCACTTAGACTAACAGAAAAAAAAAAAAGAAACATTCAGCACGCGGCCTCAACATTCTAGCCGAAACCAACTATCACAATCACATCAAATTGTGCTTGCAACCTAGCATAGTGCAGGGTTGGGTAGATGATAACAACACTTTTATGTTTATTAGATAAGGGTGATATAGATTACTTTTTTGTTATTAGGTACTATTGAAGGGACTCGAAGCTAACAACACTTTTATGTTGAAAACCCTAATCACCTTAGTGGCTACAATGCATCAGTTGAGCCTTACAGTTGAGAGAAGAAGAAAACTTGGGTTTGAAGAAAGTACATGTCAAAGGAGGAAAATACAAATTAAAGAGATTTGGGTATTACTTGACAACTTTGTCAGAAAGGATATCACTCCAGTTACGAGCACTTCCTCCCGTTGACAAGTTGATCTTCTTCTCTATCGACAATAACTCAAGTTGGGCAAGACGCGAAAATAGTTATTTTCTCCAACATCTGCATGTAGTAACACCATTTCATTGTGCAGTTCTGTCAACACAAGATGTATGAAAAACGATTTTGCATTCAGCAATGCTATACACATAGTACATTTTCCACCCATCGATCATTAAATAGCAGAAACAGGCGAGGATTTACCAGAAATTACGAGGTTCATCAATTCACTTTTTATTAGGTTTGGGGGGAAAAGCGCAACTTTGGTAATAACACCTTCCGTCGACGCTGTCCGGCCGGCCACAGCCACCTAGTTTGAATTTTTTTATCATTAAATTTGAAATTTAATATTCTTCTCCACAGTTGAGATAGCAGCTACTAAGCTCAGAGGCGGACAACACAGAGAGACGTTAAGCCATCTCACCCAACCGCATGTGCTCCCTCTGCCAGTTACTACCACCCGTCCTTTCTTCTTCACTTTCTTCTCCAACTTCAAAATCAAATTTCTGTCCCAGCCATAACTCCGAGAGAGATAGAGAGAAAGCGACAAAGGGAATAGAATTACACCAGACCATACTGAGAGAAAACCCCAACCGGAGTCTGAATTCCCCTTTCCGTCACCACCAAATTGGGATATGATATGACCCACCGCACATCTGCCTTCTCAAACGCTAGCACCGGCCCATCAGCAGCAAGCAATTGAAAGCGAAAACGGAAACTAGTGGTGGCTGGTGTTGTCCCACTTTGCTGCGCTCGCCAACTGTTTGAAGAATGGTCGAGCTGAATCTTTGACGAATCTGTGCTTTTGGGGTGGTTGCGAAAGATTGTTACTTTTTGAAATTTTCTGAAGGGATGGCGACTGTGGTGAAGAAGGGCAGCGGGGGAATTGAGAAGAGGAGAGATGGGTCTGACTCTCCTGCGGTGAGCAGTAGCAGCGGTGGGGAATTGAGCTCCAAGGTTGAGGGAAGGCGGAGCAGTGTTGGGCCGTGTGGTTCTCCTTCTTCTCCTTCTAAGCCTCCTTTGGGTTGGCCGATAAAGAAGGCTGGAGAGAGGAAGAGCTTATTGTCATCTGGCGGTGCCATTGGAGGAGATGAGGAGAATGGTAGTTGGTTAGAGGATTCAAAGTTAAACAAGCTCAACTCCAGTAATTCTGGTAGGTTTTCTGGTCTTTTTCTGTTTTGTTTTTTTTTCCTCCCCTTTTTTACAGTGGTCTCCGAGTTGATTTGCATAATTGATTAACTTTTTTCCTGCCCATTTTACACTTTGGTCTGAATTTCTTTGTAGATGCGGATTTGATGAAGGAGAGGTTTGCAAAATTGTTGCTTGGAGAAGACATGTCAGGTTCTGGGAAAGGGGTTTGCACAGCTATGGCTATCTCCAATGCTATTACCAATCTCTGCGGTATGTCTTTCTCTCCCTCTCCCTTTTTTGTAGGCTCTTTCCTTTTCGCGTTTTGCTTACCGGGATTTCGCATGCTGCATCTTGTAGCTTCTGTGTTTGGGCAACTGTGGAGGCTTGAGCCAATAGCTCCTGAAAAGAAATCATTGTGGCGAAGGGAGATCGAAGTGCTTCTCTGTGTTGGCGATCACATCGTAGAGTTAATTCCTTCTTGGCAAACTTATGCTGACGGCAGTAAGCTTGAGGTAATTCTTATTGTGACGTTAATTTTAAAATTCAAATTTGTAGCGAAACGATCCAGTTTAATCAATGGAAGAAGTGCTGCTCTTTGGATGTGTCTACTAATTTCATTACCTTCCATTTACAGGTCATGACTTGCAGACCCAGATCAGACCTTTTCATCAATCTCCCAGCTCTACGGAAGCTTGACAATATGCTTCTTGTAAGACAGACATTCCTTGATTTTACCTTAATCTGCTTTTCCCTAAACGCATATAGTCGTTTCCTAAGTCTCAATACTTACTATTGTTAAACTTTCATTTCACAGGAAGTGCTAGACAGTTTCACAGACACAGAGTTCTGGTACGTGGATCAAGGGATTGTAGGGACAGATGCAGATGGCTCAGCTTCCTTCAGAAAAACGATTCAGCGGCAAGAGGACAAGTGGTGGCTACCGGTGCCACGAGTTCCAGCTGGTGGTCTAGGTGACAACTCAAGAAAGCAGCTGAACCACACTCGTGAGTGCACAAATCAGATACTCAAAGCTGCACTGGCGATCAATGCCACTGCTCTAGTCGAAATGGATGTTCCTGACTCGTTCTTGGAGTCCCTTCCCAAGGTATGAACACAAATTTAAAGCAAATGAATGATAGAGCTTACCCTTGACCTGGAACTATGGCAACGACTCAAAAATGGGCTTTTGCCAATTTCACAGAATGGGAGAGCTTGTCTTGGAGACTTTGTATACCGGTACATCACTTCAGATCAGTTCTCTACTGACTGCCTGCTCGACAGCCTTGACCTTTCTTCTGAACACGTTGCCTTGGACCTTGCGAACCGGGTTGAATCCGCAGTTTATGTATGGCGACGAAGAGCTCATCATCCGAAACCTCCCACACTCCAAAACCGGTCCACTACCAGGACATCGTGGGAAATGGTGAAGGATTTGATGATTGATGGCGATAACAGGAGGGAATTGCTTGCAGAAAGAGCTGAAAGCCTCTTGCTTTCCTTGAAGCAGCGGTTTCCTAGTCTAACTCAGACTACACTAGACACCAGCAAAATCCAATTCAACAAGGTGAACCCTCGAGGACGAACTTCCATTTACTCAATCTCTTACTTTGAACTCTTTTCTAACTTTATGGTCAACACTTCCAGGATGTGGGAAAATCTATACTGGAGAGCTACTCAAGAGTACTGGAGAGCTTGGCATTCAACATCGTTGCCCGCATCGACGATTTGCTATATGTAGATGATCTGACTAAACGCTCAGAGAACAAACTCTCATCCGTGGCAACAGTGAGTGTGATTTCACACAAGAAGAAGCTCTCAATCCCGTTCTCCCTAGGCACTCCATACAAAGCAAGTGTCAGCAGCACGCCAAGCTTCTCGCCTTCTGCTTCCCTTGTCAGCCCTGCAAGAAGGGAGAGAACTCCGTTCGTGAACACCACCAATACCATCGCCGCCACGACCAATGTTAATCGGAATCTACGCCGTGGCTTTGGAGTGAAGAGGGTGTTGACAAATTATCTCGGCGTTGACACGAAATCGAAAGTCTGTGGCAACACAACTGACGCATCATCGTGCGTAGAACAGAGATCTCACGAGAAGAGCTCCATGGCACGCCAGAATGAGAACAAACCACAGCAGAATGTCGCCAAGTATAGTGTATCTTGAGTTCTTTCCAGTATATGCTTGGGGTTAGGATTGTGATCATCTTAGGAAATATGCTTGAGTTTCGTTGTATGGGTTGTTATATCGACACAATTACTGTTGTATGAACGTTCATTCATTTGTTTTACGACTACCTTTCTCCTAATCTCCTTCCTTGCTTGTGCAAAACAGAAAAAACCTGTAACCATTAACACAACCAGGTACTCTTTATTTGTTGTTATGAAAAATAGAAAATGGGGGCATTCCGAGAATTGAACTCGGGACCTCTCGCACCCTAAGCGAGAATCATACCACTAGACCAAATGCCCGTTGATGTTTTGAAAATGTTCATAGATAATTTAGTACAATTAGGTGGATAATTAGGGGTGGCAATATGTTATGAATAATTTGATTATGTGTTCGGCAATTCCAAAGTAACATTAGATGGTAGTCTGCAATTTTTATACAAGTTTTGGTGGAAAACATTTTAAGCCTAAGGATTAAAGAAATGAAACACTTAAGGTTAGTGGTGATGGGACCAATACAAGAGGATTGGGAAAGAAGAAAGAATCTTAACCGAAAAAATTTCCTATGAAAACAGGTGTAATTACAATTGTCTCTCATCCAATAATATGATGGCGGGTGAAATCACTTGGTAGAGTTTTATAAAATAAGGTGGATAAAAGGCAAGTTATACATTAGACAATCGAGCATTTCTACTATGTTATATAGTATTGGTGTTTTAATGTACAATTCAAAGTTGTACCATAAAATTAAATGTATAAGTTTAGGTTGTACCATAAAGCAATTTGTACCATTATGTTATGGCACAACTTTACAACTTGAAGTTGTACCATCACATAAAGGTACAAGTTCAAGTTTTACCATAAAAGAAGTTGTACAAAAAGTATAGGTACAATCTGAAACTGTACCATAACGTAAATGTACAATTTTAAGTTGTACCATAAATGCAAAAACCTGTAGCACAAATACTATATAGCATTGTAAAATTTCTCTAGACAATAGGCTAGTCTCACTGTAAATAATACATTAGAAAAACTACAATAACAAAAAAGTCAAAGATATACCAAAATGATGTATATGGATCATATGGCCTTTGGAATGTCACCCTTACTAATGTTTTCAAATCAATTATAATTGTATTCGATAATCATTTGGAGAAAGCAAACCAATTTCCAAACTACAAATTCGGATAGAATCCATCGATTAATGAGTTTCTCATAAAATGCAAAACAATACATGAGTTGAAAAATTGAAATTATTAGCTAAAGCATACCTTCTGAAGTTCTGTTGTGTGGTAAGAAAGGGCAAAGGCAGTGTGTTATTGGGATATATACTAGAAGGAATCGAAACTAACTTCAAGGTCGTTGTAGTATAGTGGTAAGTATTCCCGCCTGTCACGCGGGTGACCCGGGTTCGATCCCCGGCAACGGCGTTTTTTTGTTTTTGTTATAGGTAACGGCGACCAATTTCTCCGAGCGTCAAAAGAACAGAAATATTTTAATCTTCTGACAACCACCGCAAATAATTCGCTTCCATTTCTCCGATCCCCCACTTTCCGTCTCCCCGTTCAACCAGCAAGCAACCATGGTGACCAGCATTCAGATAACAGCGCTCGACGGCATCGTCAACGTCAACTCCCTTTTCACCTTCGCCGTCTTCGTCGGCCTCGCCTGGAACCCGACCAGCCCTTCCGACACCCTAATCACCGACCCTGCCTGCACCGCCAGCCGCAGCGTCGGCGAGGCTCTCATCTCCTTCCACGTCTACTCCTTCAGCTGCTTCCTCTTCTCCAGCTTGGTCGCGCTCGCTCTCAAGCAGGCAATCCGGATCTCCCGGACACCCGGCTACTCCATCACCCAGAACAACCCTTTCCATCTCCCCGCCGAGTTCCTGGGCCAGGTCAACAAGAACCTCCTCCGGATCGGAATGCTAATCTCCGGCATCGGATCTGCTTTTGGGTGCGTCTTTCTGATGCTGGCTCTGGTTAACGTGGTTCAACTCAAGCTCGGGACGTTGAGCTGCGGCAGCTCCCACACTTACGCCGCAGTCGTCCCTCTGGTGATTTTTGTTCCCGTTGCTATCTTGATCTACTCTTCCCTCGTTCTCTACGCTTTCACTCGCTAGTAGTGGGCCGGTTTTGTTGTTAGATTTCATCCTTTTGGTTTAGATCCAGAGGCGTGATCTGTTCTCTCTGTTTTTAGTTTTACCTTTTAGTTTCACTGGGGAAATAGATCGAACATGTTATGAGCATTGCGCAGAAGTGTGAAAGGATTTGAATTTGGATATGGGTTTGATTTGATGCTATGTGGGTCTGGCTGGGGCGATTGGTTAATGATGTCATTTTGTGATTAGAAGCTGTTTCGGATTGCACTGACCGGCATTGCTAGTTTAATAAGAATGTTGCCGAAAGCAAAACAAGCTGTTCTAGAATCCATGGTGGAAAGCAGTAGGTAGCTCAATTAAACAAAAAAAGTTTATTTTTTTCACCCCCATTCATAGTGCTATCTCCACTATGATGCTTATGGAATTCAACGTGTAAGCATCTTAGCAATTTTCATTCCCCTCGCTTCCTCTATAAATTTCCTCAACGATTACTAGCTCTAACCATGTAGCAAACAAGCAGCAGTGTAGTTGAGAGTGAAGAGAAAAGGAAATTAGAAAGAGAGGAGAAGAAAAAAGGAGAGAAAATAACAATGGCTGCTGTCTCAATGAAGTCTTGCATTTGCCTTGTTGTGTTTGCTGTGTTTCTGGGAATATCTGGGTTTGCTGCTGTGGATGGAGCAGGGGAGTGTGGGAAATCCACCACCCCTGACAGGGAAGCTTTCAAGCTGGTTCCTTGTGCATCGGCTGCACAGGATGAGAATGCTGCCGTTTCAAGCCAGTGCTGTGCTCAGGTGAAGAAGCTGGGCCAGAACCCAGCTTGCCTCTGCGCTGTGATGCTCTCCAACACTGCTAAGAGCTCTGGCGTGAAGCCGGAGGTTGCCATGTCCATCCCCAAGCGCTGCAACCTCGCTGACCGCCCTGTGGGTTACAAGTGCGGAGGTTAGTTTGTTTCTGCCGTATAAATGAAATCCTTCTGTTTCCTTCTCGTTTGATCGGTTTTGTTTTTTCAATATGCGATGAATTTGATTGTTGGCTCGTTTGTTTTGATGTTGCAGCTTATACATTGCCTTGAAGTTATGGTGCTGGAAGTGTTGACTCTATGGTGACCTTTGTGACTTTGTGTAACGTTTTAATGTACTTAGTGGTGCTAATGTACTGGAGTGTTACAGATTTGTTGCTTGCTGGTTGATCTAGCTCAAGCATATATGTACAACTACTGTGACATCCAGACCTATCCCAAATAATGAATTATGATTGGATCATAAGAAGTAAAAATGTCTGCTTTGCGGCTGGCTTGTGCAGTTGTTGTCATGTTTTTTGGTTGATTTTAACTCTCTGCTAGTGGCTGTTGAGGGAGTCTGCAACCTAACAGGAAAGGACATATCTGGCCTCTGTTGCTGGCTTTCTGGTTTGGGTAAGGCCAATAGAGAAGTGAATCAGATGGAATCCAATGAAGTTTTAAGCCCCTAAGCTTAAACTGTGAAACACCATGACAGTTCTTGACCTTAACTACTGGTTTGAGCTATGACTTCACAGATTGTGCTTCTCTAGAACTAGTTTGGTTGGTTTGCTTGTTGAGAAATTATCCTTGTACGGATGAATGTGATTATCCTGCTGAATTCTAATTGGTAAGCAGCACACTTTACAGATCAGCATTCATCCTAATATTTCCTGACAAAATGTTAATTTGAGGAATCAGATGGGGTAAGCAATAAGCATCATTCTTGCAAGTTGCAGCCACCTCTTTCATTCAGGCCTAGTATGGCTTAATGGTGCCCTCTTTCATTGGGCCTTGTAACCGCCAACATAGTTGGACTTAGATCTTTGGTCCACCAAACTCCTCATAAATGTCATATTTGGTCACTGAAATTATTAGAAAAAATTAATATTAATTTTGGTCACTTGAATTACTGAAACATGTCTTCGAATTATTGATATCATTTGATTTATACATGATATAAGATCTTATTTATTGTCTTTGAGGTCATGTGTTTGTGTCTTCCTAACCGCCAATATTAATTGTTGTCTTAAAAAATATGGTATGCAGTATTGCTCTACAAATTTCAAGTTCATAAATTAACTTTGGACTGTGAACTATTATGGCTAGTTTGTTTATCACAAGAACTACTATATACACCTAAAGGAAATAGAAATGAGACTTTTTAGGAGATTTGCTAGGACTCGAGTATATGATCCCTAGATTATGGACTATAAACTCTTTTCTTGCCAGTGAGTATAGTGATGAACATAATGTTTCTTATATTTATTTTGGTATTTCTATAATTCAACTTCTATATGCAACTAAATACTAGTCCGGTTTGCACTTCACTAAAATTGACAGACAGGTTCCAACATAACTGAAGTTAAGTGAACTTGTAGGAATCTTATGATCTTTGGTATTGCATCAGTGTCCCCCATATACAAATAACTGAAATTTTTGGAGTCAGTAATGCGAAAGTAAACGTTTAATTAACTAGAACGTTCGAACGCACATTGATGCACCAGTAGTGCAATAGTGCGATACTATTGCAATAAAGTGAGCCAGGAATTACAAGAGACGAGCATAAAGTGAAGTTAGTTAAAACCGGTAAAGGCAAACCTCGTCACTGTTTGATCGATATAGTACATTAGATTTCACAACAGAACTTTCTAAAAAAGAACACACACAGTAGACACACTACTACAACTAATTTGGTGGGACAGAAAAACAACCCAACAAACTACAACAGGAATCGATCTACGATGATGATGATGATGGTTGATCTCCGTTCATGCATACAGCCGATCGATCCACTACTTGTCTCTGTCTTTCTCTTCTCTAGTCTCTAATATTGACTCTTCACTAGCGGACTCCATACATATAGTTACGATTATCAAATCAACCACTTCATCTTCGTTCGTTTATTCCGGTAGACTTGATTGGTACCTTGATTAAGATCATAGGTGCCGAGTTATGGGGTAGTAGCACAAGCGATTAGTAATAAAGGGAACCTGCATGATAAGAAAATCATGTAGTTAATATCGTTTACATAGCGCAATTACTGATCTTAATGGGTATTATTGCATGGAAAAGTCATGGAAATTAAAGGGTACCTTGCCACCAGTTGCCTCTGGAAGCAGAGTTATTGCCATTTGGGTCGTCATCTCCTCCACCGTCTTTCTTGTACTGTTACGTTACACGTGTCAACCAGACATCAGACAGCATTCATTAACGAACCAACAAGAGAAAGAAATGAACAGTAACGTATACAATATACGTGTTTCTTGTTTATTGGGCTCACAGTAGTAGTGTTATGGCGGGCGGAGTCGACGGAGGAACTGCCGTGGGGAGGCGTGGAGGAAGAAGAGGAGTAATTCTCCTGGCCGCCGTAGTAGATCGACGAGCTGAAGTAGCACGACGGCTCCACCGTCCCACTTCCACCGCCGTTTTGGTCCTTCCCACCTCCATAACGGGCGTTGTAATTCTCTGTCATTTCATATAATTAACGAAAATCATTTCTATATGATGGTTTTTAATTTTTAATTTTTTTTGTTTTGCATGTGTAGACGTATGGAGAAATTAATGTATACCAGCTGGAGGAGAAGTGGTTCCGGCGTATCTACTACCAGCAGGACCGTCCCTTCCCATAATCTACAACAAATAAAAAGGGGGTAGAAGTTCATCAATTAGTTAGCGTGATGAACTCTCCTTGAAATAATTAAAGTAGCGAATTTGGTGAACAAAATTAAGAGCCTTAATTACCGTGGAAGGAGGGGGGAAGATGGAGCCGAAGTAGCTGGAGGAAGATGATGATGAAGAAGAAGAAGAATCCTTGGGACCGAACAGATGATCCAATGAAGAGGAAGATGAAGAAGAAGAGGAGCCACCGCCAACTTGCTTCTTGCTTTCCATGCTAGCGCTTTTAATTTATGGGTTTGTTTATAGCAACAAGAAGAACGTAATAAGGAGGTATCTTTCTTTTTTGGTTTCCCCCTTATCTCAGTGTGGTTTGATGGACAGTTATATAACAGTAACCTCACCAACGACCACTCTGACCGACCGACACCAACAGGATAAGGATTTGGCTAACAAACAACCGCTAATAACCAACACAAGAAGAAGAAGATGGCTACTGCTGCTAAGCTTTTTTTTTTTTTGACAGAGGCAGAGAGAGAGAGAGAGAGAGAGAGGGGTTGGTTGGTAGCTATGGATGGAGAGATAGCAGAGCACGTGAAATTTCTGGGGGTAGCTTGTGAATGTTTTTGTGGGTGTGGTGTTGAGGATGAGTAAAACTGATCAAATTGGCTGCTATTTATAACCCCCAAAAAGGCAAGAAAAGGAAACGGCAAAATAAAAAAAACAGGGCACCTTCTCTTTCCAACGAGAGGCCCTTTCTTCCTTAATTTGCCTGCCTTTTCTTTTTCTTTTCCTTTTTTTTTCTCTCTCCCCGTATTCTTTTCAACGGACTTGGCTTTAGTTGATTCAGTTTGAAAAATATAAAGTTGGGAAGGCGGGCTTAGATTCCCCTGCAGGCTGCAACTTAAACCAAAAACAGAGCATCCCAAAACACATGCTCAATTCCCATTCCCATCAAAGAAGAAAGAAGCACAGTTAGATTGTAAATCCATTCTCTCTTAACAACAACAATTACGAGAACTGATCAAGTTTTTTCATGTGGTCTGTTCTGTTTGTGTTTGTGTGTGGCAGTGTGGGGGAAGGGAAGGGAAGGGAAGGGCCATGTGATGTTTACGCAGTCAGAATTGACAGATGGGTGCTGTGAGCTGCCACCAAGTGGAGAGTTTGGCCTCCATCCATCCCCTTCCCGCCACGCGTCCTTTACCTTTCCCGCCTGCCCATACCCATCCATCCTATTCTTTTGACCCTCCCTCCCTCCATTTTTTGTCAGCTTTTTTAGCCTTTTGTTTCTTTCCTTCACGTTTTCTTGGCTCTCTCTACCCTTTCTTTCTGCATGGGATGGAACAGGATCAATCGGATAAGGTCTGCCTCCCTACTTCCATGTCGTCTCGTCTCATTTGGAATGGAAGAATCAGACTCAGACTCTTCCTAGTTTAGTTAGAGCCCTGGCTAGCTGGCCAACCAAAACCGTAACGTAACTAGATCGATGAACGTTTTTCTCAATACAAAATAATAATAAGTACCCATTAGGAAGGAAGGTTGCATTGCTACCCAGCTAGCTAGGGTTTTCCTTTTCTGCAAATTATTGTTGGGGGGGACTGCGACTGGGCTGGGTATCTCAGCAACTTGGCGCCATGATTTCGTTGGGTATATGCCCGTTGGTCGATCGGGCCTCTTTTTCTATCCAGCAATCAATTCTCTGGTTCTGATTGCACACAAAAGAACACTTAATTAATTCTGATGATGAACAGTTGACTCTGTAGTACATCTATCTTCATCAGCTGGCATGGCTGGGATCTGATCTCTTTTTTTTTTCTGTTGGTTTATTCCTTTAGATATGTCAAACATAAAGATACCCAGATTATGCATTGCATGCGTTACCACCCAAATCTATATACGCCCCAACTCTCTAGATTTTTATTTCTGGAGGAGTTGGGAATCGAATTTAGGGACTACGTACCCAACTAGCAAGTTACACAGAAAATAATGCCCGCCCATCCCCCTCTGGCCCTCCAAATCGAACCAGCATTAGCATACTCCTTAGCTTGTCACACTCAATTAGTTCTCTGTTCTGTTGTCCTGTGTTCCTTCCTATACACAATGCGGCTTGCTTGTCACGAACCACCAAGCCACCAACTTGTCATCAATTAATTAGTGTGCCCACCTTATTGATCTGGGAAACAATCCATAGTTAACATATAGAACTCTTCCAACAACTTCAATTATTGGAAACCGACTAGTTCTTGACATGATATAAGAATCTTTTATGTGACTGATATGACTTTTGTCCGAATTCCATTGACCTCCATGTGTTAAGCACATGGTATTCGGATGCAAACGTCAAACCCAACTTTTGTTTGACGTGATGATGTGTTAGTAAATGATATAAGATCCATAATTGAATCTCATCCATCAACTCAAGTTATTGGGATCAAGTGGTTTATGACACGATATCAGAGTTGGTTTGTCATTGAGGTGACGTGTTCAGGTCCTCGTGCCCCCAATATTAACACTACATTTAAAAACACATGGTATAACTGTTATGTGTATACTTCAAACCCATGAATTCATTTTTGTTTTAAAGGGTGTATAAGGAAAGGAAGTGGTTAAGATTCATACATGCATGAAACCTCTCCCAAACAATTCAAATTGTTGTGACCAACTGGTTCTTGACAAATTCCTATTGAGGAGTCTTAACACATGAACCTCAACGTACTAGGATTCGTAAGAGTGCTCTATTCATAGTTGTTGACTATGGAAATTCATTGATCGAGGAGACCCAATTTTCGAACCGGACTCAATTTTCTAACAGAATCCATAACCTTACCCTTCATGATGAAGAAATTAATTCTTAAGTTGAAAACTAACAATAGTACTACTAGACTAAATCATCATTGGCAAGAATCTTGTAATTTGAGTCGTCACACTACTTTACTTAATTTCTTATTAGTCCAATATCGAGTTCTTGATGAATTGACCTAAGATTCAAACACAAGGTTTGTTGGTCTTCATCCTACATACACACCATTAGACCAACTCTATGGACTATAATCATTATGCCTGATGTCCATCTTGATTGATTGGAATTAACTAGAACCATCCACCAGAACTAGAATATTAGAGGTGGCTGTCCTAGATACTGTGTACATAACCCATATGATGATATACTTAATTGGGGCCCTCTTATGTTCAAAAAGAGGTTGCTTATCACGATGAACAGTCGAAGGATATAAGATAACATTAATATGTTGATCTTCTAATCATTAGCAAAGCACGCTGGAAGGATATGACAATATCCTAATCATGACACTTAACCTTAATTAATTATATGCCTCTTTTAATTCGGATGACGACCAGAGCACACCAACCGGTTACATATACATATCGAGCCATCATTTAAGAATGTAACGGATAAACAAATCCATAACTGTTACATGAGATAAGGTTCTCGATCTCCTTTTTCTGGGTTTGAAAAGAGAACAAAAAAAAAAGGAACAGTAAATAATATTATAGAAATCACAACAGGAAGAGAAGATCTGGACAACAGTCCTAGCTAGCTAGATCTGTTCTTTCTTAAAACCTGTAGAACTAATGGCTGCATGCGAATAATATGTAAAAAGATCCGATACACATTGCCAAAAGCAGCAAATAGAGTCTTTTCAAAGAGGTTAGTAAATTAAAGGAAAGATTGGATATATGGAGCAAAAAGAAAATGGATTAGGATGAGATTGTTACTTGTGGAACTCTATTTAGTACCCTGCATGGGTTTAATTAACGAGTACAATGAGTTGTCAAGGTTGGATTCATCAATGCAAGGTTAGCAGTTCTAAAAGGATTACTCGATCTTTTGATTTGGGGTTATGGGTTCATGGAGGAGATGAAGAACATTCTCTAGATATTTCATTCCCTTTCTGCAGGAATTCCTTTCGGATAGCTTAGGATAAGTGCAACCCGGCCCTAAAGGTATATGTAAAAGCAAGTTCAACTTTATGTATATATAACTCCATGAATGACCTCACTGTTGGTTTTAGTTTTCTTCAAAAATGGGGCCAAGATATAGTTAGCTAAGATAGGTCTCCTTCCAGGAAGGAGGCAGCTGCATATGCCTTTTCACTTGCCCAAATCCACTTTAATTTGAGACGGCCGGTGCCTATATTCATCAACCCATTCAGATAAAGAAAATTGATACCCTAATTCTTCAATGTCTCTTCCAATAATTTAATATGTTATTGAGACTTAACTGATATTTTTTTGTCTGGGTTACGGTACAATACTTAAGAGCTATAAAACCTTGTGTTTTGTCATTTTTTTGGCATGAATCATAGCACTCTTGATATGATCATATCAAGGATGGTAAGACACATAATTTTGTTGGTTTTGCAGTTTTGGATTTTGTACTCTATTATTTCTCATAATTTTTACATGATATCGGAGTGTTTGACAAAGAGGTGTTGTGTTGGAATCATTGTAAGTACTAAAATTAATACCCGACTTAAGTAATATGGCATTACATACTTGCGCATAATTCGAATTTCCATCTAAAAACATATAACAACATAAGATTCAATATCGAACATCTCCCAAAAACTTCGAGCTACTGAATCAACTGTTCTTAGAAGTTAGAAGCTCCACATTTGAGAAATTTTACAATGCTTTAAACCATTGGAGCTTTATTAGTTCTTTGTCTTCATGGTACAAATTGAAGTTGTGTTTTTAACGTTATGATACAACTTCATGCTGCTATACCTATAATCTTTTTGTACAAATCTCTTTATGGAACAAATTCCCTTATGGTACACCTCAACTTATATATTTAATGTTATGATAATAACTTCAATTTATACCTCGAAACACCAATACTAGTTTCAAGTATGGTAGAAGTGCTCTCCACATCTATGTTAACAAAAAGAAAGGGGAAAAAGGTGGGTTTTTATTCCCCATGACTCAGTTATCTGGTATGATTCTACTGCATATGTGGAAAAGACATGTAGCCAGGAACAGTTTTTGGTTCTTTGTCTGCGTACAATGTCTGAATTGCATGCACTTTGGAGCCTGGATGTGTTTTTTTGGGACAGATTAAAGGTACCAATACTATTATCACTAGACAGCAAGCTAGTAGGATAAACATGGGAGGTGACCGGCGCGCTGCTGAAGTCAAGGCAGGCTGAGGCAGAATATATAGAAATAGAATTCAGAATACAGACAGACCAGACCAGTAGTACTTATCTCTCTCTTTTTTGATGAAACCGTCTCTTTTGTCCAAGTTACCAGGAACATATGCAACCCTTTTGAGTTAACCCAGCAGCAGTACATACGTGGCCACTGTTGGGAATTTTACTTACCCTCTTATCTATTCGTTTTAATTTCCCAAATTTGTTCCAAACAGGGTAATGCTTTGAAATGATTTAACAAAGGTGTGTGTTTGTCTGTGATTTGTATTCCTAAAGGAATGCTGATAATTGTAATTGACTGATTTGATGAGGAAGGCTTGTGTGTAAAGTATTATATATTGTTCATACGTGGATTCTCAAGATTAGTGTAAATTGTGTTTTGGTTCCTTGATCATAAGGGCCTTAAACCTACAAAATAGGCCATATTCGAGAACTAAGAAAAAATACTCGCTAAACCTTAAAGTCCTATTCGAGAATCTACATCTAAATATAAATCTAATCTATCTAAAGAATATAAGATGGTAGAGTTTTGCAGGATTTTCACCATTTCAAATTTTCTGGCTTCTTATTAATTATAGGTAGGATATAAAAGTAATTATAACTTGACTTTAAAATTAAAAAATAATTATCTCTTTATTTTTAGCGGTGCACGCAATAAACTGGGAGAGAGAAGAGATTAGAGGGAATAAAATAATATAAAAGATGTTTAACATTTTCAAAAAATATTTATATTTTTACATAACAGTTTCGTATATTTTTTGGAATATTATTTGATTATGAAATCTATAATTAATATAAAAATATCTATAATTAAAAAAAATATTATGTACAACACGTTCCTTCATTTTATGCTTTTGGAATATCATTTAATTTTCATGATTAGAGACCTTTACTAATATAATTTTTATTATGTATTCTAAATAAACTATTGAACGGGTAGTCTGGTATTGTATTGGATTGTTTTGAGTTTTTTTTTAACTTTTTTTGTAAACCACTTATGGAAAAATGATTTTTATGGCTATATCAATATAGCTACAAATTGACAATTGAGTACTAATTCACCGGAAAAAATAGAAGAGGTGTGGTAGAAACTCCAAAATGCTTATCGAGTACAGAGTCCGATTATGGATCACATAGCGGGTTTACATACTATAAATATTACTAAGAAAAAAATAAAATAGACGAGGTGGTGTTGATAATCACTTTTGTTTTCTTAATTTCTTAGTTCTTATTATTTCATTTCTATTTTAGGTTTATTCTTAGTTAAGATCTCCTTCCTTTTGGAGTGGTTCATGTTCTCGGTTAAGCTATATTGTTTACAATTATCATTGATTTTCAATAATTCTATATGAGTTCACAAGAATGACTGATTAAGAGTTTTATCTATTTAGTCATTTATAGAATTAGGATATGAGTTACAATACATCCTTTTGATTTTAGTATTAAGGGTAAATAATTTAGTAATTGACTATTTTTGTATGATTCAAACAATAGCAAATTAATTTTTGTTAATTTAATAATTAATGGATAATTTTACAAAAAGTTATAAACTCAAATATTCCGGCCAACCGACCGGGCACATGCTAGTATGGAAAGGAACGGATGTAGAATTGGGTTAAAGGCCTGATGTTTTCAACCAAGACTCCAATCCAATAACTAAAAAATGGGCCTCAGATTGTGGGAGGCAGTCGTGAGGGAATGTCTCTTTGGGCCAGCAATTTTGGGTGAATGAAATTTGGATACCATCACCAGGAAAAGGTTTTATGGGATTAGGAGAGGTCGAGTCGAGAGGAAGCTTTCTTCCTTGATTGCAATCTCTCCTATTTACTCTGATTTCTTAGTGATGATGAGTCAAACTTATAGTATATTCTTTTCTTCAATTAATTATTTAAATGAACTCTAATTTGCCCAAGCTCGTTGGATGTACATCGATGTGGCTTCAGTATAGAGAGAGAAAGGGTAGGAATGTATCACACCTCCTAACAAATTGATTGCAAAATCAATTACATATAGGTACCCTAACTATTACAATGTATTAGTTCAATCTCCTATACCCCCAATGTAAAGTCCCTGAATCTTGATCTTTTACAATTTGCTAGTCTAATCCATAAAAAACTAGGCATGAATCGGGCGAACAAGAATTTAATCTTGTAGTATAACTGGTTTTAGATTTGAAGGTTCAAGTTTCGAATTTCTTAAACTTTAACTAACTATAAAAATAAAGTTATATCACCCTTTATCCAAAAGAAATAGCAATCAATTTAAGGTCTAATTTGAATATGGAAGTCTTAGGTTCAAATCTCTTAAATACTATTAAAACAAGCATATACTTCGCACATCAAACGTATCACCATTTTTGGCGACACACCCCAGGCTTTCGTGTAGAAAATCATCAATACCAGTCAAAGCGCAAAAAAGGGTCCGTATAGTTGTTTTGTAAAAGGGTTATATAATAACATTTCGGTGTTTGTGAAACTATATTTGGGTGATGGATTTGACACCCAAATCCCAACTATCAAGAACTTAACACAAATTCGTGGGGCTCATGAATTCAGACTCTTATTATACAAACAATGTACTCTTCCAAATCCATAATGCAACAAATCCATCATAAATCCAAAAGTTTAAAAAAAAAAATCAAGATCCTCATTTTCAAATCCAACAAGCAAACAACCCAAAGTATCATACAATTCACTAATCTGGTTCAACCTCCTATACGATTTTACCATCATTTGAATGAAACTCTTGTAACGCTAGCGGCCTTCTGATTGGAGAAGTACTTATCGAGAAGTAATCAACTACTTACTACTTTGATGAACAGATGGCCTCTGTTTTAGGATTTTGCTTGTAACTCACAAGCGAGAGAACGATGTTGGTGTCGATAAACCTTAACTTTATTATTCGATAACTTGAACTGATACAGAACTTACATATTTATATAAGAAATAAACCCAATATGTAAACCTAATACTAGCCGAACTTCTATTCCTACTCAGCTACCCCTCTCCTTACCACCCAAGAAACCCAAACCCACAAGAAACCCAACACTACCCTCTACCCCTAAAGCCCAACCCGTAAATCTACTCATCATACTTCCTCATTATATATGTGCATGCATGCTTCTTGCTCCAGCAATTCAAAAAACTAATAAATTTCCGGAATGATCCAAATAATTAACTGATACCCTGGAAGCGTAATGGTGCGATGGATTCAAAACTACTTTTAAGAGTTTTTATGTGAATAATGGGATCTTGCCGCTTACTTTTAAGAGTTTCTATGTGAATACTCTCCAACCAGACATCTTGTAGCTGTCGATCCAGCGGGTGCGTGCGACCCGCTTTTCTCATCGGGTCAGGGTGAAAGTGGGTCGATCTGCGGGTTGTAATCTTGGTGAAGGGAGAGAGCTAGTAATCATTAGGCAAATATAATCCTTGCAATATTTTAATATAAAACTAAATTCGAATATTTTGCATAACGAGTGGGGTTTTCTTACTATCCAATTTGAACACGCTAGATTATACATATGTGTATATATTTATCTACAAATGATCTTTATTTTTCTCATCATATTTAATATTTTCTATACATATATAATATTTTCATGAAATTTTGTGACTAATTTTCTTTATTCTAGTGATTTGTTGCTGTATTTTCACTTGGATAAAAAAAATTATAGGATAAAAGTGATATAGGTTTTACCTTTTTTATTTATTAAGGTACTACTTAACGGATTCGAACCTGAAACCTCTAGAAACTAGATTAGTGGTATTACTACAAGGCCAAATTCTTGTTCATTCACTTGGGTAATTCCAATATACTTGTAACTGTTAATATGTGTTGTTAAAGTTATGAAGGAAAATTACTACCCATGGATAACCACAGATACCGAAACTTGAATGAGTATAGGCCATGATCTCGATTTTCAATTTAATTTTTGTGTGGGTATAGGTAAAATTTGAACTATTTTGGATAGAGAAATGAATATGCACTATCCGCCTTCGACCAATTTGTTGACATTCTTACGAATTTCTTAAAATGGACCATAACTTTTTTAAAGCACACCACATTTTTTTAAGCAATGTCATAAACCTCATAAAATATATCACAAGTTCCTTTAAAAATTAAAACACACCACAAATTTATTAAAACAAGCCAAAACATTATAAAAGAAACCACAAACTTTTTAAAGTATAACATAAAATTTTATAAAGTTAATCACGACTTTTTTAAAGTAAACCACAACTTTTATCAACATCACCTCAATCTTTGCTTCTTCAAAGTTAGGAAGCTGGAAAGTGGAAATTCATATGCAATGGAATCCGAAAAGCATAGTACTGTAATGATTCTTCTGCAATGAATCTCAACTGTACCAAGACTCAGCCCAGTTTAGTAGCAGCCACTTCAAAATTCATCTCACAACGTTGTTTTGACCTTTGAGTCAAGGAGCAGAGGTCACAGCGTAATTAATTACACATCCTTATTAGCACTGGGCAGCATCGAAAGGTCACGTTACTCAAACAAAACAAGAAAAAAGAAATAGCGGGGCAAAGAGCAATTATACCCAAAATTCAATCACCCCGACGGCTCGTTTCTTCCAAGTCATTCCAACTCTTTTAATTTGGTCGTTTTTTTATTAATATCAAAGGGAAAATACATTTAGTCTTTGTACAGTGATAGAGTGTCGTATTTATAATCTACTATAAGTAAAGAAAGCTAATTATAACAACAACAATTTTCTAAAATAAATTTATTCCAATTGATTACATATGCACTATGCATGTGCGATGTAATATCCCATAAGCCTCTTTCGTACGTTTGAATCATTTCGCTAGCTGGTACAGGAATAGGGTGTGGAGTAGACTGAATCTGCCCAACAGAATTATATATCTTGTATGGTACAAGAGTAATCAGCAGCCCGAGCGCTTCAGGGTACACATATTGTTAGTTGTTACGAGAAGAGCTATCGTATTAAAATGAGAAGGTTTGAGTTTATATTTGTTTTTGGTGCTTATATTATTTAGTTAGTATTTTGACATTAATTAGGCATATTGGTATTAGTTATTATTATAGTTTTATTATTAGTAGTTATGATTGTAGGATTTGGATTGCTATTAATTAATTGTCTAGGGCTAAATTCTAGTTTATTTGTAGGAGAATTATATTCATATATTTTGGTTAAGAAAAGGGAGAGATAGGGTCGAATCATGGGAGAGAAAGAAGAAGAAGAATTTTGGGTCTTCCAATGCCTACTATAAATATGTACTTGCTCATTCATTTAACGTCATTAGAAGATTGAAATTCAAATAATAGTTTGCTAATTGTTCTCTTTTATTGTCCGTCGTTTTAGTTTCTTTCGAGTATTGGTTCTATTTAGTTCTTGAGTTGTTAATAATAGTTTCCACCATATTTTTGCTCTCGTAACACATGTCAATCCATAAACCAAGTTGTTAACTAATATACGGTACGTTATGTATAAGATCTATTATCAACAATTCCTTTAAGTTATTGGTACCAACCAGTTCTTTAATTCTCACATGGAAGGTAATGAACGCTTCTGGCAGCAGGGTTAATGAATTTGCACCCTTTTTAACTTGTGCGCAGTACGACTCGCTCGATCGATGAATCCCACGGCCGGGCTAAAGAAAACAAGCCATAAAACGGATCATTGATTGCAAAGCCGCAATCAGCGCGGCAGAAGCCGGCAGCCCATTATGGAATATTATTGCAGTACGTACGGACCCGTTGGTTTGGGGAGATGGATCATTTCGATCGGCCGCCAAGAGTAGATCGAGTACACATATATCGCAACAGTAGGAAGGAAGAACGCAAAGACGTAAGAGAACGTACGACTCAAAATAACACAAAGAGGCCGGTTAGCTGAGCTGAGTTGTCGTCTTAATTTTTCAGAAGAAAAAGAAACCAAAGGATGTCGGCGATTATGAGAGCTACATCGGACCGACTTCATCGCGCGGCCGCTCTCATAGCGGCTGCTGGTTTCATGCTGCTGATCGGTTGCACTTGCTGCTGCGCTGAAGACAGAAAGGCAAATACATTATTATTTTTTTTTTTTGACTGAAAATCTGCTTTACTTCCATTAATCAGAATCCGCCATAGCGTTATCCAGCTGTAGCTGGTGAACTAAACAAGGAGGGGGATTATCCAACCAAACAATTGCATTAGACGAGAGATCTCTGGAGTGTGCCATGATATGCGCTGCTTCATTTGCCATCCGACGAACATGATTCCACGAACCTTGCCCAATCTCATTAAAAATGCGACGAATGTTTCTGCAAATCACCCCAATTTCTGTGTGTATACTTGCCGCTGCGTCGATCTTCTGAATCAATGGGAGGCAGTCGGATTCCAATATGGGATGTGTGATCGCGAACTGCAGAGCCAGCTGCATTCCGTATTCCGCCGCCAGCGCTTCGCCCATCTCCACTTCGAAGCTGCCATGTACTCGCTTAGTCGCCGACAGCAAGAACTTACCTCCTGAGTCGCGAATCACTACACCCAGCCTTATACCATCTGCCTCGTCAACCCCGACATCCGTGTTGATTTTGTGAGACCCCAAACCTGGCTTCTTCCATCCTTCGCTCATTTCCTTCTCTTCTTGTTGTATAGGATGCAGTTGTTGGTGGCGCTGATAATCATCAAAAAAGCTCCACGCCCTCGTCGTAATTTCCTCTTCCGGCACCTTTACTCCATTGAACATCTGGGCATTCCTTTCCTTCCACAAAAACCACAAGAGGACACTCCACCTTCCCAGCTTCTCATCGTCAACTCGGTCCATCACCTGCTGCAGCCATTGGAAGCAGTTCAGAGCCGGCTGGTATTCAAAGCAGTCTGCGAGGTCAGACGCCCTCCATATTCGGCTCGTCCACGAGCAGTCGCCGAAAAAATGTAATTGTGTCTCTTTCAAATTGCAGAACGGGCACTGGTCTCCCCACCGCTGACTCTTTCCACTTATGTGATCCCCAGTCGGCAACACATTCCTAGCGAACTTCCATAAGAAGATTTTTACCTTCGGAGCTACCTTCGCCGCCCAAAGCTTCTTCCAAACTCCCTCATCACCTGCCGGCTCCACTCCCTCTTCCACCTTGAACTGTTGCAGCCACACATGATATCCATCCTTCACTGTATAATTCCCATCTTTGCTGGAGCTCCATATTAATTTATCCCGCTCATGAAATCCACGCAGAGGGATCTGCAGAACGGTCTGAATCATCTCCGCCGGGAAGCATTTCTCGAGAGTGGGCAAATCCCAACCTTCTGTAATGGGATCGATTAAGTCGCTTACCCTTGCATCCACTGGCAATCCCCTCGGTGATGAAGTGACATACTGAATTTCCTTATGCGGTATCCATTTGTCTCCCCATATCCTGACCGAGTCCCCGTTGCCAATCCTCCACCGTAATCCCCTGTGCAAAAATTCCTGAGCTGTAAATAAGCTACGCCAAACAAAACTGGGATTATGACCCACATTCGCCTCCAGAATGGACGACCTCTTATGATATTTTGCTCTTAAGATCCTTGCAATCAGTATTCAGGGCGTTGATAGAGATTCCACAGCTGCTTGGCTAATAGTGCTAGATTAAATCCCTTCATATCCCGAAAGCCCATACCGCCCTCCATCTTTGGGCGGACCAGTTCCTCCCTTCTTATCCAATGAACTCTTCTTTCAGAGCCCTTCTGACCCCACCAGAACGTCGTCATCAAGCTGTGTACTTGCTCAAGAATACCCTCCGGGATTTTAAAAACCGACATCGCATATGATAACTGAGCTTGAACCACAGACTTAATAAGGACTTCTCGTGCTGCAACAGACATCACTCTTTCTTTCCACCCTTTTAGCTTCTTCCGAACTCGGTCTACTAACCCAGAAAATAGTTCCTTCTTTGATCGCCCTGCAGTTGTTGCTAATCCCAAATATTTCTCATGTTTCTCAACAATGCTCATACCCAGAGTGCCTCCAATAATCAACTTGGTATGCGGTGAGACATTCTTGCTAAAAGAAACTTCTGATTTGTGAGGGCAAATACATTATTATTATTGAATTAATCCTTCTACTTCTGCCCATTAATTTTCTTCTACTACTTTCTCTCTGATCATATCTTGTATTTTCTTTCCAAACAACGTAACTCACTAGCTAGCATATTTTCAGATCATACATGAAAATGATTCAAGACAATTAATTAGACGTGCATATATATTATATATGCAATGGTGTATTTGGGCTAATTTCTGCATGACTGATCATGGGATCTAATGGCCCTATCTAATTTTTCTTAATACTTCTCAAGCAGGTTTATTCTCGAAAAAGAATAATACTCAAGCTATGTCTAATAAGTTTCTTTTCTTTTAACATAGCCCATGTTTGATAGTTATGATTCTTTAAAGAGATGCGTTTAATCAATTATATAATCTAATTAGATGTGTTGTTTCATGTATGAATTTTAAAAAACATATTGTTTGGAGTTTGGCTTTGGTGATCCCTTAAAAAATGAGGAAGAATATAAAAAGAGAAATTGACGATCATAATAATTTTCCGATTGTGTTTCATTTAAAAAAAAACCACGAATTTTACTAATTATTTGTATTGTCTAAATATATTATCCGAAATTTCAACTGAATAATAGATAGTCAAGTGAAATCTAATTCACAAAATAAACAAAATAATTTGATATATGGGTACAAAAAAATGGATTGTATTTCAATTGTTTCGGAACAGGCTGAATGGGTTTGGGTTTAAATTTGTTTGGTCTTCATGGGCCAGAAACCCAAAGAAAATTGGGCCGTTTGCTAACGGCCACCGATTGCATTTGCAGGTCTACATAGTATACATGGGCGACCGTCCGCGACCCGGAATCGCTGGAACTGCTGCTGCTGCTTCTGCTTCTCTCCACATAAGTCTCCTTCACCAGGTCACCGGCAGGTAAAAAACGATTAACCCATTTCGGATTCCCAGCCAAAACTTCAGTTCCGATTTCTGAATCAGTAAAGTGTGATTTTCCGTCTTCCAGTGCCACCGCTGCTTCCGAGTCCCTGGTTTGCAGCTACAGCAGGAGCTTTAATGGCTTTGCCGCCAGGCTGACCAAGACCGAGTCGGAGAAACTTTCTGGTTCCTAAATCGCGAACCCAGCGAGCAACATTGTTTTTATTCGATCAGAATTCGTCATTAATTGATGTTAAATTGAACTGTCTTTGCACCGCAGGGTATGAAGGTGTAGTGTCTGTTTTCGCCAGTCAGAAGAGAGAACTCCACACGACAAGGTCATGGGACTTCCTGGGTTTCCATCAGAATGTCAAGAGAACGACTGTGGAGAGCGACATTATCATTGGGATGCTCGACACCGGAATTTGGCCAGAGTCACAGAGCTTCAACGATTCTGGATACGGGCCACCTCCGCAGAAATGGAAGGGCATCTGCCAATCCTCTGCCAATTTCTCCTGCAACAAGTAAGTTAGTTAGTGCATCCTCTAATAAGAACTGGGTCTTTCCCAAATTTCGTGACCCAGTGCCGCTGAATTCCAAATTCCATTACTTATGTCTCGTCCCTTGATGCCTTACAGCAAGATCATTGGAGCCAAATGGTACCATGCTAGGCGCAACTACAGTGAACATGACATTCTCTCGCCAAGGGATTCTCTAGGTCATGGAACTCACACAGCTTCTACAGCAGCAGGCAACTTGGTCACTCCAGCAAGTCTTTTTGGCCTTGCCTCCGGGACTGCACGAGGAGGTGTGCCCTCTGCCCGACTCGCCGTTTACAAGATCTGTTGGTCTGATGGCTGCTTTGATGAGGACACTCTAAGGGCATTCGATGATGCAATTGCTGATGGAGTCGACATTATTTCCATCTCGGTCGGCGGATTGTTTGCAAAGGATTACTTTCACGACCCCATTGCTATAGGAGCTTTCCATTCCATGAAGAACGGAATACTCACGTCCAACTCAGCAGGTAATAGTGGCCCTTCTCCAGGAACATTGTCTAATTTTTCTCCTTGGTCACTCTCTGTGGCTGCTAGCACCATGGACAGAAAGTTCGTGACTGCGGTGATGCTGGGTGACGGGAGAACTTATGAGGTGAGCTTTTAGAACGTCCTATTATTGCTTTGGCCTTATGTTTATATATATGGAGCTTAACAGAAGCCTTCCTCCAATTTAGGGAGTCTCTATAAACACCTATTCTCCCAGAAGGTTCTATCCTCTTGTTTATGGTGGAGATGCGGGGAATAATAAATCTGGAACGATTGCAACTGATGCGAGGTGAAAATAGTGATACACAAAAATATGACTAGAACTTTGTTTTATATATGTTTGTAAAAGTAAAACGTTGGTTCAGAAGCAATTGATGGATTGCCCTTGTATTATGAAAAAATACCTACTCCAGGTATTGCGCTGCAGGAAGCTTGAACAAGACTTTGGTGCGAGGAAAGATTGTGCATTGTGATGCTATTGGTTGGGGAACACTCACAGTGGGCGCAGCTGGTGCCATAATGGGTTCCTCTTTGGTTGAAGATCAAGCATCTTCCTTCCCTTTACCTGTTTCCATCTTAACGGATGCTGAAGGAGCCACCATTGTGGAGTACATAAACTCAACCAGGTAGCTCTTGGAAACAAAAATGACTTGTTTGGATATTTCTGAAATTGCTAGACGGGTAAAAGAAACATGACGGAGAAACAACACTAATCTTGTTACTTATTTTCTTTTGATGGATCTCCTTGCAGTGATCCAATAGCACAAATATTTATGACTCAAGACTACATGGATAATTCATCTGCATATGTCATCAGCTTTTCTTCAAGGGGTCCGAACCCTATAACAAGAAACATTCTTAAGGTATCATCAAACATAAGTTTTCACTTCCACCCTTTTGAGCTTAATCCTGATGTGATATGGGTTATATGGTGCAGCCGGACCTTACAGCACCAGGAGTTAATATCCTGGCTGCATGGTCTCCAGATGCAGCTCTGACAAATCTTCCGGGAGACACTAGGATTGCTCCGTTTAATGTAATCTCAGGCACTTCCATGTCCTGTCCTCATGCAACTGCAGCAGCAGCTTACGTTAAATCTTTCCACCCTACATGGTCTCCGGCAGCCATCAAGTCTGCTCTAATGACAACAGGTTTCTGATGTTATTATGCAATGAAATCTCCTACGTATGCTTTTATTCTTTGTGATTCTGACACCTTTCCCCCCTAACATTCACCACAGCTCATCCCATACGTGTCAAAGTCTTACCTGATGCTGAGTTTGGATATGGATCAGGGCAAGTTGATCCTTTGAAGGCTGTGGTTCCGGGATTAGTTTATGATGCCGGGTTAAGTGATTATGTCAAGTTTCTGTGTGGCCAAGGATATACCAATGCTCAACTCCGTGAGATCACGGGAGATCAGAGTTCATGTAGTTCTGCAGCAACAAATGAAACGGTATGGAATCTTAACTACCCTTCTTTTATATTGTCCACGGAGAAGCCAAGGACATCTGTTACTCGGGTGTTCCACCGGATAGTCACAAATGTTGGATCAGCAACATCAACCTACAAGGCCATAGCAAAAACTCCAGTGGGCCTGATGATCCAAGTTGAACCACCTGTGTTTTCATTAAACAACACTGGGGAGAAGCGGTCTTTTGTTGTGACAGTAACTGCTCGCCTGGGGAGGACCATGTTGTCCGGTTCTTTGGTTCTGAGTGATGGGACTCATTCTGTGAGGAGTCCTGTCGTTGCATTTGTGGCATCTCAAGAACGTAACTGATCAGGTGGTTTGGGTTAAGATCGGGTTCATTCTCGTAACTGCTAGATAGTAACTTCTGTTAGGAACGGAATAACAAAAGGAACGAGGTTACCGAATCTGGAGCTGAGTCGCGGACTAGGTCGCTTTCTTTAAGACGTTCGCGGCACTGCCTTCGATGCGCACGGCAGACTATCAACCGGTCGTCTCTAGGATAAAACAGCTCCTCTCAATACTCGCGGTTTTGTGCGAAAACCGAAGCTCTCTAAACACTTTCTCTATTGTGTTTCTGCTCGTTGTGATGTGTTTAGAGGGGCTGGGGAGGCGGCTATTTATAGGAGCCGAACCCCTAGGAATATACCCTCTTGCTTGGGGAATAAGTCGGATTAATTAAGGAAGATAATTACTTCCTTAATTAAAACCGTCGGTTAAGATAAACCCGGAGGGATTATCCTTCGAATATTCCGTTTTAGTCGATTATCCTTAGGAATATACCTCAGAATAACAGATTAATAATTAATTATTAAATAATTAATTTCGTCCGGAATTTCTCCAAAAATATATATATAGTCTCAAGTGAACCAACCGACCGACCGACCGGTCGGTCGGACGAACGGCGCGCGCGCGCGCGTGTGTGTGGTGGTCCATTAGGTCCTCCCTCTCCCACAAAAGTGGGTCACCCCAAGGGGCATGCCCTTGGGAGAGAGGCTCCTATCTTTATACACATTTCACCAAGTAAAACTACCAATGTGGTAGTTTTTTCCACTAGAGACTCTATAGCTTTCAAAGCTATTCATATACATTCATTTCCAACAATCCCCCACTTGAATAGTTTTGAAACTATCTCTTAGCATCAACAGTTCCATAAGATCGGGCATAAGCTAAGGTATCGCGAAGATTTGAACCTTAGCGTAGTGGTTACACTTCCGATTTCATAAGGGTGACTCGTAGTCTTGAACCCTATCTCAGACAGTGTAGCACACCGGATCTTTTCATTGAGTTGTGTTCTCTTCATAGCCCGTGCGTTTATGGCCATGCACGTTACCTTGGTAGTGAACGCTCTAGCAACTTTGTGCCTCCAAAGTTCCATAGGGAGCGGCCCCACTCCCACATTCACATAGGTGAGTCTATCAAGAGTACCCCCAAAGTAAAGTACTCCACCCCACATAGGGTATAGATCTCATTAAGAGTTATTAACTCAACCTCCATTGCTTTGGGATTCATGCTTCACTATGCATGAACTTTTCGCATACTACTCATGACTTGTTATTACCCATTGAACCCATTTCTTGGGATCTCCAGTCTATTGGGTCGGGTTACCATCACTTGTAGTCCGTGGTTCGGTAGGCATAAGTCCCATACCCTTGGCGGTATTCTGGACTTTCTCTCTAGGTAATCCTTTCGTCAAAGGATCAGCTAGATTCTGTTCGGATCTTATATGATCCACCCTCACTGCTCCTATCGTTAGGAGTTCTCTTACAGTACTGTGCTTACGACGAATCTGTCGTTTCTTTCCGTTATAGAACCGGTTCTCAACTTTAGCGATAGCTGCGGTACTATCACAATGGATCAATACCGGAGGGACCGGTCTTTCCCATAGGGGAATCTCTGACAACAATCCTCTCAACCAACTTGCTTCTTCACTAGCCGTTGCTAGTGCTATCATCTCTGATTCCATAGTTGATTGAGCTAGGATTGTTTGTTTCTTTGACTTCCAAGACACAGCTCCACCAGCGATGTTAAAAACATACCCGCTGGTTGCCTTGGAGTCATCTGATAGGGTATTCCAATCCGCATCACTATACCCTTCTAGTACAGCAGGAAACCTTTGATAATGTATACCAAGGTTTGCTGTTCTCTTGAGGTATCTCATGACCCTCTCTATAGCATTCCAATGCTCTCTACTAGGACAGCTGTTAAACCTGCCAAGCAATCCCACGACATATGCAATGTCTGGTCGAGTGTAATCCGCAGCATAACGGAGACTGCCAATGATGCTAGCATATTCTGATTGTCTTACACTGTCTCCAGTGTTCTTAAATAGCTTTACACTAGCATCATACGGAGTACACGCAGGTTTACAGTCGAAATAGTTATACTTCTTCAAGATCTTCTCTATGTAGCTAGATTGATCTAGAGAATAACCATTTGCTGTTCTAGTTATCTGGATTCCAAGCATAAACTTTGCTTCTCCCAGATCTTTCACTTCAAAGCTCTCTTTTAACATGGCCTTTGCTTCATTGACCACGTGAATATTTGTTCCAAATATCAACATGTCATCTACATACAAACATATGATAGTACAAGTGTTATTTTCTGACTTGCAGTAAATACACTTGTCACTTTCATTCACCTTAAAGCCATGTGAGAGAACGAGAGTGTCAAACTTCTCATGCCACTGTTTTGGAGCCTGTTTCAAACCATATAATGATTTGTCTAACTTACAGACTTTCGAGGCATGTTCGGGGATAACAAACCCTTCTGGTTGTTCCATATAGATTTCTTCATCTAGATCACCGTTCAAAAAAGCGGTCTTAACATCCATTTGGTGTACCACGAGATTGTTCAAGGCAGCAAGAGCAATCATTACACGAATGGATGTTATTCTAGATACTGGTGAATAGGTATCGAAGAAATCTATATTCTCTCTCTTCCTGTAGCCCTTAACTACTAGGCGAGCTCGGAACCTTTCGATTGCACCATCAGGTTTCCGTTTCGTTTTTAGAACCCATTTATTACCTAAGACTTTGCAGCCAGGAGGTAAGTCTGTTAGATGCCAAGTCTTATTAGTTTCTAACGATTCCATTTCATCTATAACGGCCTCATTCCAAAAATATGCATCTACGGAAGTTAATGCTTCCTGCAAACTTTTTGGATCTTCGAGGGTGAATACTGTAGTAAAGTCATCACCAAAATCTTTAGAGATTCTAGCTCTTTTACTTCTTCTGAGTTCATCCTCAGAACCAACACCCCCACTAGTTCCGTTATCTCTAATAGTAGGTAGTACATTACCCCCACTATTTCTTGTTTTAAATGGAAATCGTGTCTCAAAGAAATCAGCATCAATGGATTCTATTATAGTACGAGCATTCAAATCATAGAATCTATATGCCTTACTATTGGCCACATAGCCAACGAAGACACATTCATATGCTCGACTAGCCAATTTAATCCTCTTAGGATCCGGAATTCTTACGTAGGCCAAACAACCCCACGTTCTTAAATAGGACAGATTAGGTGGCTTATTCTTCAAGATCTCATAGGGTGATTCTTTTCTATTTGTTTTTGGAAGACGGTTTAGCACATAGCAAACTGTCAACAAAATATCACCCCACCAAGAAGAAGCAGCTCCAGAATTGAGCATAATAGCCACGACTAATTCTGTAAACGTCCTATTTTTTCGCTCAGCTTTACCATTCATTTCTGGTGAATATGGTGCCGTGGTTTCATGAATGATACCATGTGAGCTATAGAATTCCTTGAAGGGATTAGAGTCATACTCTGATCCTCTATCACTCCTAAGTCTTTTTATCTTTCGATTGCACTGATTTTCAAATTCAACCACAAATACCTTGAACATATCAAGGGCTTCACTTTTGTTTTTCATCAAATAAACAAAGCAATAATCAGAGCAATCATCTATGAAAGTGATAAAGTATCTCTTGCCAGACCTAGTTAACGTCCCATCTAGTTCACAAATATCAGAATGAATAAGATCTAAGGGTTCTGATTCTCTACTCACAGATTTATGGGGCGTTTTCGTTATTTTAGCTTGGCTACAGAAATCACATTTATCAAATTCATTCATTGAGAGTTTAGGGATATGCCCTAGCTTGCTTAAATTCTTCACAATTCGTGTGTTCACATGACAAAGACGAGCATGCCAAACATTCAAATCACACACCATGTAAACTGAAGAATTCATCTTATTAATTTCGACATTCAACTTGAACATCCCATTACATGCATATCCCTTTCCCACAAAACTCCCATTCTTAGTAAGGGTATACAAGTCTGCCCCAATAGTTTGATTAAACCCAGCCTTATTAAGAAGATATCCTGAAACAAGATTCTTCCTTATCTCTGGAGTGTGCAACACATCCTTGAGCACCATCTTCTTCCCAGAGGTGAAGTTCAGCTCCACTTCACCAGAACCAGCAACCATAGTAGTGTGGGTAGTCCCCAACAGTACTTTCTTGTCAGCAGGTGCTTCTGTGTATGTTTTGAACATAGCACGATTGTTGCATACATGCTTCGATGCACCTGTATCCAGCCACCATCCTTCTGAGTCACCGGTGAGGTTAACTTCAGCGATCATATCTGTGATCATGGCTATCAAATCCTCTTCTGTCAAGTTAACCCTGGCCGCAGCGGCAGGGTTTTGCTTGTTCCGGCACTTCTTTGCCATATGACCCGGTTTTCCACAGTTATAGCAGATAAACGGTGGGTCATTCTTAGAGGTTTGGGCCATGACCCTTTGGTTACCTCGAGAGGCACCATTCTGGTGGGGGCGGACTTGCTGGTTCTTACTCTTAAACCCTTTCTGGTTAGGTTTAAGAGCTCTAGGGGTGGGTCGTTTAGCAGTGACGACCATCACCTATTCTTTCATATCCTGCTTGCGGGACTCTTCCTCAATCCTTAGGCGAGTAATCAAACTTTCCAGTGAAAATTCTTTGGTTTTGTGCCTAAGCATATTCTTAAAATCTTTCCACGAAGGGGGCAGCTTATCAATAATGCAAGCAACTTGAAATTGATCGTCCAGAGGCATACCTTCAGAGACGATCTCATGAGCTATTTTCTGAAGTTCGTGGGACTGAACTTCGACGGACTTGTCATCCACCATCTGGTAGCGCAGGTAGCGGCTGACAGCATACTTCTTAGCTCCAGCCTCCTCCGTGTCGTACTTCTTTTGAAGCGCATCCCAGATCATCATCGCGGTGTTCTTACTGTCCGCATAGTAGTCGTACAGATCGTCTGCCAGGCCGTTGAGGATGTAGTTCTTGCACAGGAAGTCATGCTCCCTTTCCCTGGCAGAAGCAGCCCTCTCCTCATCGGTCGCTTCTTCCGGCAGCTCGACAGGCATGCTGGTGAGGCAGTGGGCCAGCTTCTTGGTTGTCAGGTAGAACTCCATCTTTTGCCTCCAGCGACGGAAATTGACCCCAACGAAGCGAAAGGGTCGATTGATATCGACAGCACCAGATCCGGCCATGTTGTTCTGTTCAGTCGACATAGCAGCAGCCGAACGTCTTAAAATTGTTAGGAACGGAACAACAAAAGGAACGAGGTTACCGAATCTGGAGCTGAGTCGCGGACTAGGTCGCTTTCTTTAAGACGTTCGCGGCACTGCCTTCGATGCGCACGGCAGACTATCAACCGGTCGTCTCCAGGATAAAACAGCTCATCTCAATACTTGCGGTTTTGTGCGAAAACCGAAGCTCTCTAAACACTCTCTCTATTGTGTTTCTGCTCGTTGTGATGTGTTTAGAGGGGCTGGGGAGGCGGCTATTTATAGTAGCCGAACCCCTAGGAATATATCCTCTTGCTTGGGGAATAAGTCGGATTAATTAAGGAAGATAATTACTTCCTTAATTAAAACCGTCGGTTAAGATAAACCCGGAGGGATTATCCTTCGAATATTCCGTTTTAGTCGATTATCCTTAGGAATATACCTCAGAATAACAGATTAATAATTAATTATTAAATAATTAATTTCGTCCGGAATTTCTCCAAAAATATATATATAGTCTCAAGTGAACCGACCGACCGACCGACCGGTCGGTCGGACGGACGGACGGCGCGCGCGCGCGTGTGGTGGTCCATTAGGTCCTCCCTCTCCCACAAAAGTGGGTCACCCAAAGGGGCATGCCCTTGGGAGAGAGGCTCCTATCTTTATACACATTTCACCAAGTAAAACTACCAATGTGGTAGTTTTTTCCACTAGAGACTCTATAGCTTTCAAAGCTATTCATATACATTCATTTCCAACAACTTCAGCATACTTTCGGATAATTTCAGTGTGAGTTGTTTACCTATCCTGCCTTTGACTGAACTTATGTAGTGATGTTATTGATATTGCCAATCAGCATTAAGACTGAACAACTGTGTGTGCGAGGTGGGTATGTGTGTCAAATGTAATGAATGCCTTCCTATGTGTGTCTTAGTAAAATATCCATTATCGATCCTGCTTGAGGTGATTGGAAATCAAAAGGCTCAACATCTGGACCAGAACCGATTGCAGTAACGACATGTCATTTTGTTTCTGCGCAAGAATAGCACTTTTTCGCATCGTAATCTCTTCACTTGAAGATTGCAGTATCATTCAAATTAAATGATCCAGAGTTTCCATAAAGTACTTAGATGATGATGACGCTCTGTGATACTACTTCCCAAAAACTTTATAAACATGACTTCCAGTGGTTGAAATTGATATCATTAGAAAGAGTAAGCTCTGAAAGAAACAGGGTTCATAGGAAAGAGAAGCTTTTTTCACTGTCTTGCTCGAATTGTTATGCTGAGCTGCCATGGCACTGTGGCACTGCATAAAAAGATAGATTGGCGGTTTTTAGGAGTTAGTATAGACATTAAAAGTTGGAAATTGGAATGTTTTTGGGAGGAGGGTTTCCGAAACATTAAAACTCCGGTGGCTGTCGTGTCATTTTCGAAACAGTGGTGAATCAGAACTTTCTGCTCTGTAGCTACTTGTAAAGCACTAAAAAGGGATCGGTTAGCTTGACTACCCCATGGAGGGGACTGATTTTCGACACCCCCATCCACAACCGTCCATCTAAATTAGTGGTAATGTAGGGTGAGGATTGAGCAGCCTTTTTTGTGCATTAAATCCTTCATTAGTTGGCGTCACCCACGTTGGAAAGGGGAAGAAATTTGGGGACTGGGAAAAAACGATTTGACTTTCTCCTTTTGATTATTTCCCCTTTCGTCTCTCCCACCAGACGACCAACCCTCCTCCTTCCATCACCAGCAGCCGGCCATCTTCGACCTTCTTCGACGACAACAATGGAGGTTGTTCCTTCCATCGATCGAGAATCAACCTGTCAACCAACTCCTTTCCTCTTCCCTTTTGCTCTATTTCCGTCAACCACCTTCTATCGGCGACACCAGGCTTGCCGCCGCGACTCTCCATCTCCTTCCACAAAGCTCAGCACTGCAAAGGGATCGACGGAGAAGACGACGACCCTCCTCACCTTCCCTACGAGATGACTTCACTCATGTCGTTCCTGCGGTGACCCTCCTCCCCTTCCCGACGAAGATGACGACGAAGAAACTGAGGTAGCTCTCTCTCCCCTACTGTCTCTTTCTCCCAAACTCAAATCTAGGTTTTCGTGTGGATTTTTTCATGTGGTATTAGTACCAGTGTACTGGTATGTCTATCACTGGAGTGGTATGTCTATCACTGGAGTGGTATTAGTACTAGTGTACTGGTATTAGTACCACTGTACTGGTATGTACTACTGATTTATATCACTGCAGTGATAGTTGCAAAGATGTATTGGTAATTCTACCACTGAATTCTACCACTATAGTGATAGTTGTCTTACTTATCAAACTCATATTTCTATCACTGAATTGATAGTGTTGATTATTATCTATAGGAATGGTCAAGACGAAGAGACCGTAACTTGGAGTGCTTAAAGGAAAGAGTCATGGAAGCTATGTTCCTTGCCATGTAGAAGTTGGGGTAGGTCAAGATCATTCATCGGGTGCGAGTACCAACAAGAAGCAACGCTGTGAGAGCCGGGATAACGGACAATATAGGGGGAAGAGGAAACGTACTAATGATGTTAGCGGCAAGAAGTGAAACCCCAACTTTATAATTCAAATTCTGTTTTTCCGTCAAATTACCTAAGTCACCCGGTCATCTTTCGACACCTGATTTACCATTGTTTAGACTTCCCGCAAACAATTTCTTAGTGACTTCATGTTTTATTTGTTACATTGGATGGATATTTTATTGTTGTTGGCATTTTCCTTTTTTTATAACACATTTTACTTCACGGCTAGTGGTGATACTAATGGAAAATTGTTGGTTTGCTTACGTATCAAATTGGTTGTACAATGTACATGTATCAGTTTAGTGGTACATGTGACAGTTCAGTGATACATCTATCAGTACAATGGTATGTGTATCAGTTCACTTGCACATCTTTCAGTTTAGTGATACATGTTCCATTTCAATGGTACCACTCAAAAGTATATCTAACACTGCAACATGAACATTTAGGATGAATTTCAATTTTGCTAATGGTACAAGTACAATATATCTAACGCTGCAAGTGGGTGGTCACATTTTGTGTGTGGAAAGTATGACAGTACATATACCACTCTAGTGATACATGTACCACTCTAGTGGTACAGTTCAATTATATATGTACCAGATCAGTGGTACATGTTCACGACAATGTCGTTGTCTACTAGACGTTGTAGGGTTGCACTCCACGACAAGAAGCGGTAAGAAATGAGTAATCAGCGCCCTCCATTTTGTACAGGTGCAATATATCTAAAGTCTATATTGCAATGAAATGAGAACATTTAAATGAGAACATATTGATGGTGGCCCACTCCAAAGTCTATCTAACACTGAAATGAGAACATTTAGGATGAGTTTCAATTTTGTACAGGTGCAATATATCTAACACTATAAGTGGATGGTTACATTTTGGTGTGGAAAGTATGGCTTGAATAGTTGCACTGGTACTTGTACCAGATCAGTGGTAGTTGTACCAGATCAGTGGTACATGCTCATGGAGTGTCGCCGTCTCCCAGACGTTGTAGGGTTGCACTTCACGACAGGAAGCTGTAAGAAATGACCCGTCGCTGCCCTTCATGTTCTTCTTCATATCCGACGGGTTCTCCGCCGACGAGAAACCCCCTCGGTGTTCTTCTTCACGTTCTTCTTCGTCTCCGCCGCCGCCCTTCATGTTCTTCTTTATCTCCGACGGGTTCTCCGCCGACGAGAAACCCCCTAGGTGTTCTTCTTCATGTTCTTCTTCATCTCCGCCGCCGCCCTCATTGTTATTCTTCTTCCCCTGTGTCTCGTTCTTCGGCGAAGAGCAACCCACCAGGCAGGCGAAGGCGATCCCACCGTCGGCGAGCAACTCGATGGTTTCCGGCCGCCATCGATTTCTGCAGAGGAGAGGGCCACCGTCAAGTTCTGCAGAGGAGAGGAATGGGTACTATTTTTTCGGGAGGGAATATGGGGAATATAGGAGCTGAAAAGGCACTTTCCTCCTCCAACGTTTTTCTCCTTCCCCATTCATAATTATTATCACAATTAAGGCTTTCCCAATTTACAAGATTATAATAAATAAAATAAAAAGCAACTTTCATTAATACAACTTACCAAATGATTAAATGGATAATTGACCAATCAAAATGAGGGTGTCGAAAATCACTACCCCTTTAGGGGTTAGCATAGTATCCGACCCCACTAAAAAGCTTCAGTAAGTCTTGCTGTCATATTAACAAGTGGGGTGGTGCAGAATTCGCCTGTACAGAACATAGGAAAGAAGCAGCGAGATTCAGACACAGCTGGCGGTGGCCGAGCGACGAGCTTCTCCCAGTGATGGTCGAGTGGAGAGCTTCTCCCAGCAGTGGCCAGCGATGAGCTTCTCCCACCTCACCAACAAGAGCAGCCGAACAACAGAAAGGGCGAAATTACTTGAAAATTTGAGGGACAAAATTGAAAACCGAGAAGGATTAAAAAGTGCAGATGGAAGGTAAGATCCAAGGAGTACGGGCTTGAATAGGCAAAGAAGGAAGCTGCAGACTAGGTGGTCTTCGTTTCTAATCTAGAGCGGAGCGGTCGATAAAGGAAGAGGCCTCTCCGCGGCAGCCAATCAACTTTCCGCGCTCGGTGGGAAGTTTTCCCGCGGCGCATAGGGGATAAGGATAAATTAAATTAAATTAAATTAAATGCTGATGGAATTAATCATATTAAGGATTAATTTGAATATCGAAACGTACAGAAAAATCACCATCAATGACCAGCGGCTTTATAATATACTCGATCACTACTGTTCTTAATTAATTGACGACATGGTTTTTTCAAACTTCCGGATTTACTGCAAATTAAAAGTGACCGTATTTAAATTGTAAATACTCCGACATGTTTCATAAATGTCGGAAAACACTAGTCTAACTTGTATATTAAACGACGTTTATCAAAACTATCACAATATACGTCTCTATGAAATATGGTTATTTTGACTTTTTTTTTTTGTAAATGACCCAACACACTCATCTAGTTTGCGAATTAACCAACATTTGTCAAAATAATCGTAACTTATATCGCGGTAAAATATAGGTATTCTGACGTTTTTTATGAATGACGCCATACATTCATCCAATTTGATGATTAACCGACATTTAGAAAAACTATTGTAATATATGTCGTTATAAAATATATTTTTTCGACATTTTGTATAAATGATGACATAATTATTTAGTCTCCACACTAGACCAACATTTTTCACAATTGTCGGGATGAAAATGTCGTTAGTAGGATTTTATTTACTAGTTGTTCCAACATATTTTGTATATGACGTTGTATCCTCATCTAGTTTGTTGATTAACCAACATTTTCTATTATTGTCATTACTTATGTCGCTAGAAAATATATGTATTATGACATTTTTCATAAATGATACACTCATCTTGTTTCGACATTTGCAAAAAATATTGCAACATACGTCGCTTTAAAATATGTTATATCGACATTTCGAATAAGTGACGACACAACTATTTATCTCTCGCATTTGAACGACAATTTTCAAAATTGTCGTAATAAAAATGTCGCTACAAAGGATTTTTTTTTATGTAGTGTGTAACTAGTAAGCAATGAGCTAGTCGTGTGGTTAGTGAAGCAAAATTTATCACGAGGAACGATTAGAGCTACCCAGTACATGAAAGAATGGGGGCTGCTACAGCAATGGTGTGTCGTCCCAAACATTCAAGACATGTCATTTTTTTAGTTTGTTTGAAACGGTCTCTCCACCAGACTTAATGAAACTTCTTAAGTAACGAAGAACTTTGTTTAATTTATTGGTTTTTTCTTGTTGCGTTACATAATTGGTTCACAAATGAATCATCTGACCGATCGAGACTATTAGACACCAGTTGTTAAGCCGGGCATCACCTTTAGCACACCCTTCACCCCTGCAAAATATGGTTCACAAATGAAATTAAAATCCAATCAGAATGTATATATTGGTGATTAATTTGGACAGTAATTTAAATATATTCTGATCACTTACTTGCCAATTTTTTGGCCTCAACTTCAGTGAGTACTGCTGCAAAAGTGCAAATGTCTCGAACCACAATTTGGTCTCTATAAGTACGTCTTCTGGTTTACTGTATGTATGGGCCACATTCAAGATCCAATTTAGAGGTGAAAAAATGCGAGCCAAAAAGTTGTTAGTTAGACGCGAGAAATAATTTTCTTTGATCATTCTTTATAAGTATAATAACTAACCGTGATCGTAAACTAAATGATGATAATAACGAAATTAATTTTTTTTAAACTTTCGACTTTGCTCATATTCTAAATAGATCGATAAATCATGTGGCACGATGAATCGATACTGATGGTCAAATGTTTTTTTCTTTTTAACTTCTAATAATAAAGGTAAGAAACAAATGTTTTGTTTTTGTTTTTAGAGGACCTTGTAATTAGAGTTATTTTGGAAACTTACACTCCTTGCACAACACCTTTGAGAACGGCCAAATGGGCAGATTTGGTATTGGGTATAATTGATGAATCCAAGTCCACGTTATAGATCTGCACAACACAACCCATATAATAACTAATAAGGAGGAAATAACATAGTATTAGAAAAAATTCCTATTACGCTTTCGAGTCACGTGATTTAAATTTGGAATATGTTATCACAGATCTTACAAATTGCAATCAACATTACATAACATTTTATGGTGAAGTGTGTTTTTTCTAGACGCGTAACATATATCGTGGTAGCAAGGAAGCGTCTACTATTGCAGACATTTTTATTTTCCTTCAACAAGTGAATGCTGAATTGTAATTGGGTGTTAACAATTTAATCTTGCCTTTCTGGTGGTCTCATCGGCCGCCTGGGTATGCAGATTGACACTGGCAACAAAGATGATGAGGGCTACTAGACGCACCAATCTCAGAGATGCAACAACCATTTTGTTTCTGTTGATGAATGAAAAGCAGATGCCTGTTATTGGAGATGACATTCTCTATCAACTCTATCTATCAATATATATATATATATATATCTTCCCAAGCCACAAATTTATTTCAATGTGCATTTCCCAAACAGGGTGTAACATAAAATTTGTGAGAGCTATTTAATATTGGGGGTGAACGGCAAATTCATGGGCATGCTCCTTATTGACTTCTAAGTTCTAACTCCATAATTTTAGCGGTTCGAAACCTAATATAGCGGAATCATTAAATAAGAAAGAAATTTTGGATAATTTTGGATTTTGAGATGAAGAATTATATTGAATTTTACTATTTTGTATCTATGTTGGATTTTATAATTTACTTGTTGGCTTGTTGAATTGTAAAATGAATTTTTCTCCTATAGATTTATTGGTTAAAGAAGGCATTTACTTTCATATCCTTAATGAAGTATTAATTATTTTGTATATATATAATTGATCAAAGAAGGAATTTATACTGCACAACTAGGTGAGGAGGTGAGGGGCTAGGTGCAAATAGGGCTGCAAATGAGTCGAGCCGAGTTGAGTTTTACCCCAGTTTGAGCTCGGCTCGTTAATAAACGAGTCGAGTTCGAGCTCAGCTCGTTTATTAACGAGTCGAGTCGAGCTCGAGTTAGCTTGTTTATTAATAAGGTCGTTTGCTTGTTGGATTTGGGTCATGGATTTGGTACCCAAATCCCAAGTTTGATGGATTTAACATAAGTCAATTGTTTGTTGAAGGGTGCTAAATCCATGAGGTCCACGGATTTGGTCTTTATTTTGGAACCAAATTCGTGGACCCCACGGACTTGTAAATACCACATATTGATTTGGGATTTGCAAATCCTTGATGTTTAGTTATTTATTTAACAAATCCATCATCAAATCTATCATGCAAACATTAGACTCTTCAAATCCATAATCCAATAAATCCAACATAAATCCCAAGATTTTTATTGGCCAAAACCCTCATTTTTCAAATCCAACAAGCAAAATCTTGACTTTTATTTGGTACTTCATTTTGTATATCATGATACATATGATTTATTTTGTTAGCTAATCTCATATTATACTTTGTTGGTATCATATATCATTTAGTTAATAAATTTTAACTACTCCAAATCATGTTATTTCATAGTATCGAAGCAATCTATGATGCATAATTTCTTTTTAAAGTAGAAAATAAGATATATTTGATCACATACTCAATGTGTTAAACTTTATATATGGTGAGATATATAATTTAACAGCCATATGAATTAAAATCATAAGATATAGATTGATTCGTCCATAAGTTGGTAATCGAGTTGGCTCTCTAGCCACATGTTAAGACATATCATGAGCTCTAATCGAGCCAGCTCACGAGTTTAGCTCAACAAGCCACCGAGTCGAGCTAGCTCGCGAGCTTCACGAGCTAAACAAAAGTTAGCTCGTGTTCTGCTCGTTTATTAACGAGCCGAGTTTTGAACGAGTTTTTCTCGAGTCGAACGTCGAGCCGCTCGGCTCATTTGCAGCCCTAGGTGCAAACACCCAACGTATTAGATAATGCTAATACTAGCTCCAAACAATTAAAATATTTCATTTTAATGACTTTTTTTATTCCAAAGTGTTGACGAGAATTAATGAGGATTTACAAAGGAGGGATATTCTTGTCATCATTAAAATTTGGGGCATAACATGTGAGTTGTGCATTAATTGTGGGGACCACAAAATACAAGAAACCACACCACATACATACCACAAAACTTGGGCTTGTTTGCTTGAGGGTTTTGATGATGGATTTGGTCATGGAAATATATCCATCATGGACTTGAACCGAAATTCATTGTTTGTCTTAGGGACTTAGGGAGATGGAACTCGTAGGGCCCACCTCTTTTGGGGTTCCAAATCCGTGGACCACACGGACTTGGAAGTTCCACCTCTTGAGGTGGGATTTGGGTGATGGATTAAAATTCATGATGGTAAATTACATTTCTACACTTACTTATTTCTTTAATTAGAAATTTGTCCTACTTTAATTCAATGGTCATGCAACTGTAAACTGTTATGATGTCGTATTTTATAAATAGGAGAATTGATCATTTCGTTTTGTAATATCGTATTTTATTTAAATATGAATGTGTATGTGATTTGATAGATTCACCTATAAACACCTTATGCTCATCTTATGCATGATTATTTGATTGACTGTCGGATTCCAAAATCGGGGAGTTAGCAAGAAGATGATAAGCTGTAGCAATAAAGCAAGCAATAGGTTGCAATTGATACATAATATTGCGTACATTATTAGATGAATTGTTAATCAGTGCCAAATTGTAATACATTTCTATATTTGTAGTTATTAAATTATTATCCACACAGTGGTAAAGAGTTTAAAATTTCTTTCTATGTTTTGAATTTGTTTTAAATGAAAGATTTGGATGATAATATAGAACTATAATTAGATAATGGTAACAAGGTAATTTGTATTTAATATCCACAAATCTAATCAAACAAAATCCATAATCAAATTCAACAAACAAACAATAGACTTGTTCAAATCCATAATGCCACCAAATCCATCGTATATCCATGACTCAAACTCCTATCTCACCACACCATAAAATTTAAAGGTGATACTCGATGCGGTTACGAGTTAACCGCACCACAAAGGCGGTTAGCCGAGATCGACTAGGAGTGAAAATTGTCCACCGACACCGCCATTGCGAGCTTTATCGGTTAGCCAAAAACCGCAACCACTGACATCTCCTCGGTGAGGAGGTAGCTTACAATCGTCACGAGGAAGGAAGAATGGTCCTTAGCGACTGCAAAGTTAACAACAAAGATGAGTTGGGGAAATGAAACCCTAGAAGTCTTGGGTGTTTCTCATTCATACTTGGGTTTAAATAGATAAAAGCTTTGCACTACAAGAAAGTCTATACAAACATTGACATCAAACTAAACATGATGATGATGATTTCCTCTAAACCTTGTCGATCCACTTTGACATTCATGGTCGCCGGTTTGAGTCTTGACGATAACTTGAAATATCTCCTGATACCCCCGGCAAGCGGGTGATACCACTGCATCTGTGGCTAGCTAGCTGAAATCATCATCTTCTTCTTCAACCGGTGATACCACTGCATCTTTGGCTAGTCGGCATCCCATCTTCTTCTTCTTCTTCAACTCCTCAACCCCCAACTCAGCTTTGTAGCTTGAGTTTCTCCAAATTAACTCGGATATGTTGCTGTTTTTTCTTGGCTAGCTAGCACTCCTTTCTTCTTCATCAACTACTCAACCCCCAACTTCAGCTACGTAGCTTCAGTTTCTCCAAATAAGATGGGATATGCTGCTGCTTTTTCTTTTTACTAGCTAGCACTCCGATGATCTTCAAATGTGGATAGGATATGATGCTGCTTTGTTGCAAGCTACCAATTCCTTCCAAGAAACAAACCTTGAAGTCAGTCGGGGAGTAACTGTTTGACTACTACCCTCTGCTTCTCCAAGTATATGAGGATATGATGTGGCTTCTTGAGCTAACTAGCATTCCAAATAAAAATTACTTCAAACTCAACAGGGAGCCCTTTTAGATGTCTTCCCTCTGCTGCCAATCTCCGGCTTGGTTCGGATATGCTGCTGCTGATTTTTGCTAGCTAGCATTCCTTCCCAAAAAAGAACTCTGAATTCAGCAGGGTAGTTTTTCCCGCTGCTGCAACTTTGGTGCTTTTCTTCATCTACTTCTCTTCTTCCAGAAACAAGGACTTCTTTCTCTTGATTCTGCTCCTTCTGAAACACTTCTTCTCTTCTGATTGTTCTTCAAAAAAAAAAAAAAAAAAAAAAATTGTGCTGCACCTGAACTTGCAGCTCCTCTTTCTTCTTGTTTTTCTATGAATTCAGAACTATAAACTTGAGATTCTTGTTGTGTAGGAGGTAGCATTGGCTTCTCCTTCCCACACAATCACGAAACTCAGCATAAGAACATTCAAACATTTGATTTCTTCTCTTGAAGAACCAAAAAGCACAAACTGACCTATCTTCTGAAGCTCAATCAAATTCTTCTCATAAAAATTCTGCACAATCACAGCTTTCAAAAATTCCACTCCACCCGCAGAAATGGCTGAATTTAGCCAAACAGAACCTCTAACTCGTTCAAGACCAAGAACTCCATTATCGGCAGCTATCTTCTTCTCATTCAATAGGGTGATTTTAGCATCAAGGTCAAGATTTTTACCTTCCTCGTCTAGGTATTCTCTAGTGGGTGTGAAATGCCTTCTTCCAACGATTACCTTGTGCTCTGTAATCATCCCCTGCCTCAAGCTGGCTTTTGATGGCGTTGGCCTTTTTGAACTACAGAGCGTCTTTTTACGTTCCCCGCCTTCTTCAACCCCGCCACTATAGCCAACAGATTTCTTCTCGCTTGGCGCGGTTTGGAAATCGATTGACGAAGTGGGAGTGAGTCTTCTGGTGTCCTTCAGCTGAAAAACGGAAGCCAAGGGCTCCGAAACAGATTCTCGTTCAGAGTCAGTGGATATGATTTTCTCCTCGCTCCCCTCTTCTTGTTCGTCCTCCATCTCCCCCGGCGACAGTGAACTCTCCTCGACTGGGTACCTCTGGTACTAGTGGATCTCACAGAGCTCCTTGTACTCGTTCGGTAACATGCGAACATGTAAGTTTTGAGATGTGAAACAAATTTGGAAGGTGAAGATTATAAATCTGCAGGTTTGGGTTTCAGATTTTGTGGTGGTTTCTGGGCTTTTGAAAAGTCGGGGTTGAGTCGGCGGCAGAGAGAGATCCGCGGAAGATGGAGGGACGCGACAGGTCTGGAGATTTGGGGAGAGCACGAGAATGGCCTGGACTAGATCTGTATTCTTGGGTTGAAAAGGAAAAGATTAGGCAATGATTTTGCGTCGGAAGGTGGAAGGGATTTGTGGGGATTTTGGAAAGGAACGAATGGGTTTGGGAAAATGAAACTCTGCAAAGGGAATTAACAGTGAGGCGAAATGAGGAAGATGGAGGGAATTAACAGGGAGACAAATTGGATCTGTAAATTTGGGGAAGAAATGATGGGTTGGGTATGCTGGGTAGAAATGCAATGAAGAAGAAGAATTGAATTTTTTTAGGGTTTACATCTGAAAAATTTCAGATCTGGATATAGCCCTTATTTTTGTGGGTAGAAGGTTTGTAGAGTTCTCTAGGATCTAGAGCTTCTGATACCACAACAACAAAGATGAGTTGGGGAAATGAAACTCTAGAAGTATTGGGTGTTCCTCATTCATACTTGGGTTTAAATAGACAAAAGCTTTGCACTACAAGGCAACATGTGCAAGCTAGCATTTGAAGACTATAAAGATAAACAAACTAAAGTCTAAACAAACATTGACATTAAACTAAACTTGATGATGATGATTTCCTCTAAACCTTGTCGATCCACTTTGACATTCATGGTCGCCAGTTTGAGTCTTACAATAACTTGAAATATCTCCGGATAGAAGTGGAGATTTCTAATGGGTGGCTGGTTGATAATTTTCTATTGGTGCGCGATGGAGGTGGTGGCCGTTGAGGAACACTTGAACAAAGGAGCATTCACCTCCATAAATAGATTTTCTTCTTGAAATCTTGGCCACAGATCCTCAGCTGTCGTCGAGAAGGAATAACCAGAGCATGCATGAATGCGGATGGGGGAGGCGAGGTGGTGCTAGAACTACTATCGTCGATTCCTTCCGGCTTCCTCTACTCTCACTCTGCGGCGACCACTTCGACGAGTTTGGGCCGTGAGGTCGAAGGCGGGCGGCGGGCGGCGAGTGAGGCGCTGAGGTAGATGACAATGGATGGCGAGTTCTGGAGGGAGAGGTCTGGATGGTCGATTGTCAAGACTCGTGATTTTGGCGATTGATTGAGGGTTGGGTGTGAAGCTTTGAGGATGGAGGGACGATGAGGATGCTTCTGGCGTGACGAGGGAGGGGTTGAGAGCGAAGGGGATTAAGGGAAATAGAAGAGGGAAGCGGTTATTCGGTTCACCATTTCATTTATCGGTTATAAACCGACAACCTTCATTCACCCAATAGACATTGTCAACCAACCATGAATAGCAGTTATCAGTTAGCCGACATTCTCAATTTTTTGGTTAGGCAGTTAACGGAATAACCAACAACCGATTATCACTCTTATAAAATTCATAAAGTAGAAAACTTATAAAATATATTAGAAACTCATTACACCATAAAAGTCATAAACCACATCACAAGCATACTATAAAACTTATAAAACATAAGTTGATTAAAGCACACCACAAAAATCCCCTAATGCGTATCATAAATCTCATAATTAAAGCATACCATAATTTTTTTAAATTACACAATCACACAAAATTTATAATGAAGCAAATCAAATATTTTAAAATGCATTATAAGCAAGGATTGAAATACCGTACCGGAAAAGTCAGCGGTAGGGTGTTTTATGCTAAAACCGTGATTTAATCGTGGTTCAATCGCGCTTCACACCGCTAAATACCGCCTACCTATTTAACCTCCGGTAGAAGATTTTTCTGGTCAAATCGCTGATATGTTACGGTATTTTAATCCTTGATTATAAGGAGTGTGAATGTGGAACCCTCCGTAAACATTAACTGTATTGGTGAACATACCTCACTAAACTCTAGACAGTTATGGTTATCTTACTAGGCTAATTATCTTAGAGAGGAACGAAAGCCAAAGAAACCACAACGGGGCTCCGAACTCGATGACCCGACGACCCGGTCCACACCAAAGAACCCGACAGAACCCGATCCATCTCCTGACCCAGCTGCTGCAGCGCCGGCCCTTTCACTTCCACCTTAAACGTCTTCTTCTCGCCCACTTTCTCGAACTCCAACCTCGCCGGCGCCACTTTTATCTCCATCCCCGCTGGACCCTTCGTTGTTGCCACGTACGTCGACTTCGCAGGCCCCACGTTGGTGACTGTGCGCTGGAAAACGGCAGCGTACGGTGACGTGGAGTCGAGTGCCACCTGGAGGTTCATGGACGGGTAGTTGACGAAGTCATGAGTACTGTCGGAGCATTCTGACGGGCAGCTGACATCTCCTCCGTCCGTCATTATGCTCAAAGACGTGTTGGAGTAGCCTTCGGAGCAGAGAAAGCGGACGTAGTCCACAAACGACATGTCGTATACCAGCCCCGGATCCAGTGCCTTTACCGGGTCGATTTCGCCCGACCCGTACGCGTACTCCGCCAGTGGATTTTGCTCCTTCGCAGCCCGTGCTGAAAAATTAATATATAGATCGAGAAACATTGCAAGAGAGTGATATAAGATGGACCGACGTAAATGAAAAATCAGTTAAATTTTCACATATTATCAAAATTACAGGAACATGCATTAACGTTTTATTATCTAATAAACACGTCTCATAATATATAAGTTAGAATTTGTTACACTTATTAGGTCCAAAATTTCTATGGCTACTGAGACAACTGATTTATGACATATCACGAGCGAGCGAATTGCAGAATACATGCATTTTATTAATTATTTTCATGTTTATTTTTCGGTTTTTGAAAGGAAATTTTTTTTTGTATGGTAGTGGAAGAATATATATTGTATACGTACGTACCGGTGGTCATGAGGGCGGATTTGACGGCGGCGGGAGACCAATGTGGTCGGTGGGACTTGACAAAGGCGGCGGCGGCGGTGGCATGGGGGCAAGCCATGGAGGTGCCACTCAAGAATCTGAAAGGATGGCCGTACGAGTTATCTTCGCCGAGTAGATATGGAGGGAACGCTGCCAAGATGTTCACCCCCGGCGCCATGACGTCCGGCTGTGCAAATTATCAACATAATTTCATGAGTTACAACTGATTATTCTTAACAATTAGGGTTTGGATATTTTCATTTTATGTCACAGACGACAAACCTTCAAAATAGTTCTGGACTGCTGGTTGGGACCTTTGGACGAGAAAACTGCAACGGCCGGAGCAGTAACGTTGACACCCGTGGTCTTCAATATATATGCTCGAGGATTCCTGCATTCAATAAAGTCCTGATCTCATTCTGTTGCCGCCGAAGTAATTAACATAATTAAGCATTTGATTAATGCTATTCTCACCTTTATAAAAAAAAAATAATAATAATAATAAGCATTTGATTATTTGAAGGTACGTACTTGGTAGAATTAATGTAGCCATCGACAATCTGCCCGCGCGTCGGATCGAGCAGCGACGCCGGCATCGGGTAAGTTTGGGGGAAGTCGGGATACCAGGAAACGGCATCTCCGATGAGCCCAACGGCACCAAACTCGCTCAAGGTATCAAGAGGAGCCGATTCGCCGTTCTTGCAGTAAACTATTTTTCCTTTCACCTTCTTTGGGTCCAAATTATTCGTGTCACACTCCCTGTTAATTTGGTTCACAGTACGTAACGATGTAATTAAATTATGCTTTTAACTAAACATTATACAAAGTAAAATGGTTATTAGCAAAGAAGCTTCTTTAATTACCCTGAGGCTGCATTATTGCTGTCGTTAGTAGCTTTTGCTACGTTAGTAATGGGGTACCATTTCTTCGTGGAGAGGTAGTTAAATGTAACACCCTGCACACAAATATATTGAAGAAGGTATTCAACGAATAAAACAAAATTATCAATTATTGTTATATAGTTTAGTTCAAATACTCTTATTTTATAATTTATTTGAATAAAAATGTGGATTGAGAATTTGTTGATATTTGGATCGATCGATCTCCTTAAAATCATTATCTTGTTGTCTTATTGGTATTGCCAGATCAATGATTTCCTCAACGATAGCTTTTATGTTTATGTTTTAAGTGAGATGAAAAAATTGCTCTTATACTAAAAGGTCGTAAAATAACAAAACCATTAAAAAAAGCTTGTGATATTATCACCATATTAAAATAACTCGGATTTGTTCACTTATACATGAATATTAAAACCAACTCATATTATATTATGTTTTTATAAATAGATAAACAATCGATGTTCATGAATATCGACTGTAGCACTTCTTTAGGGAGTTATATATCCATTGTAGGTAAGGTAACACTTAAAAAAGAAAAAGAAAAAAAAAACTAATATTTTTGGTAAAAATGAATTAATTAAAATGGCCAATTTATGGAGGATAACTCATCATTAAATTATTAGTTCTTGATTTACCAGAGTAGCAAAGCGGTTCCCGAGAACGATTGGAGTCCTCAACTGCTTGCCGGTGCGGCTAGCGGCGACGGTGAGGATCCACGGCGCCACGTTCTCGACCTGACCCATTTCCCCTTTGTTACCAGCCGCGGCGCTGACGATGATTCCCTTCTCCATGGCGTGGAACGAACCGATGGCCACCGGATCCTTGAAATAGTCCATCGTTGGCGCACCCAGCGACATCGATATCACGTCGACGCCGTCGTGGATTGCGTCATCCAACGCCGACATCAGGTTGGCGTCGGTGCAAGCGGCTTTGGGCCCGCAGACTTTGTAGATGGCGAGCCGAGCCGACGGGACGCCACCTCGCGCCGTGCCTTTAGCCAGGCCGCGGTAGCTGGCTCCGCCGACGGCTGAGCCGGCCACCGTGGAGGCCGTGTGGGTCCCGTGGCCTTCCGTGTCGTCGAGTGGCGTCAGCGGCGTGGTTTCTAGGTTGCCCACGTCATACGCTCTCGCCCCAATCACCTTACTGGGGGAAAAAAAGTTAATTAATTAATCGAGCTGGTGATTAAAAATCAAAATTTAATGACATAATAATTAATTACTTGTTGCAGCCAGTGAAGTTGAGTCCCTTTTGGCAGATTCCCTTCCACTTCGCCGGAGGTGGGCCCAATCCCTTGTCGCTAAAGCTCGGAGCATCGACGTTGATTCCTGCATGAAGGTCAATTGTTTTGAAACGAACAAGAAAAATGAAAAATGATTATTCTAACTAAAAGTAAAAAAGAGGATGGTAATTAAATAGGTTAAATTGATTATTTGTTACCGCTGTCAATCATGCCAATGATAATATCGGACTCGATGTCGAAATTTCTTTGAACCGAGAGAGGCATGTCTAGGTAATCCCAAGACCAAGTTGTGGAGAGTTGCTTTGTTCCCGATAGAAACACCGATACCACATTTTCGTTTTCTACACAAATTGATCATAATTAATCAATTATTCGAATTGAGTATATCATGTCAGCCCCATATCTTACAATTATTGGAGTAATCAATGTATGTAACTAATCAAAGTGATGAAAAGAAAAGAAAAGAAAAAAATCAGTAAGCATACCTTGTAGCCACTCAGCCTCTTGTGGGAGTAAATTTGCGGCAAATCCGTCAAAACTCTTGCCATAAGAGGTGAGTCTGACGTGTTGAGCTAAATCCTCGCTGGAAAAAAAAAAAAAAAGAAGAAGAATAAATTGATTTGAAGAACAGGCGGTGAGATTAATAATGGATTAAACATGATTAAGGAATCATAATCACTACTACTTACTCTCCGAGCACAGACGAAAGCAAATTGTGGTGACGACGGGCAGCAAGGAGATGGTTATCATTGTTCTTCTCAGCGGATACACTTCCCATGTACACAATGTAAGTCTGTGATAATTAGTTATAAGACTCATTAACGTTAATTAATTGCTTCATATAAATCCAGACTAGAGAAAGGAAGAAGAAGAGGAAGAGAGGAATTTGATTTGGATCTGACCTTTCTTTCTTGGGCAGAAGAAGAAGAAGAAGTGGGTGATCCTTTTACAGGTCCACATAAAACAATTGCTGTAACTACCGCTAGTTTGATGATAGCAATCAAGTGACGATTCATTGTTCTTTGTGTGATCACCATGGCTGCTGACTGTCAAATGAAAACTGGGAGGTTTGTTAGTTAAGTATCTAGTACTAGTATTTATAGAGGAGGAGAAAAAAAAGACGATATTTTCACCTAAACACAAGGAGAAACATAATATATTTCAGATAAACTCTGTTAACAACTTGATAAATAACTTATTTTGGGTTATCTTATGAAAACCCAGTTTGATATTATTCCAATCCGATTTTCTTTACCATCAACTGTGCCTAACTTGACCTCCACGGGATTACAGTATTGCCCCTGTTCTTTTTTTTTTTTGCTAATAAATATAGTGGATTTATTAAGAAACCAAAAAGGATGAGTATAGACAACAACTAGTCACGTTAATCTTATATCGTATTTTTCCATCAAAATTTCAATGTCGTAATTGGCTCGCGTCGTTGGAAAAATTGGTTGTATGCTGAAATTGACAAAAAGTTTTGACTTAATATCTTCAAATTGAAACTAGAAGTAATACCACTAGACCAATTCTTTGTAGAAAAAAATTGTTTATAGAGTTTTGTCAAAGGTGTTGTAGGTGCTAATGCTATCACTAGTGAAGCTGGAGTGTTGCTGATTTGTTTGGTGAATGGTTAGTAAGTATTCGCAGAGCCAATTAGTGATCACATCCCAAATTAAAGAACTTGCACATGAGCAACATAACTCCAATCCAATACTAGCTGAAAATCAATTACCTGCTCTAAACAGCGTTTATTCATATCATAAATAGCTAGCATTCTTCTCTACTTGGCAGCCAAAAATCCGATATAGAATCCGATGAAGCTGAGGTTTGCTTCAGAAATCAGGAAAAAAGGGCCGAGATATGATTGCTTGGGGTTTTATTTGAAACCCGCAATGTCAAAGACCCTCGCAGTACCATCATATGAGACCGAGACCAGGAAAGCTTGATCACAGCTCACGGCCAAGGACTGTATGCATTCGGTGTGGCCCTTGATTGTGCTCACCTTGGTTCCATATCCAGCGTCCCATACCACTATAGCACCGTCTGCACATCCTGCAGCAACGAAACTCGATGTGCCTATCCATGTTAAGCAAGTCAATTCACTCTGCATCAGTAACACACATATTTGACATAGCCCTACTTACAGTTAGATTCTGGGGTCGCAAAGAAAATACGAAACTGTAACATGAAAGGAAGTACAAGCAACTAGACCTCATGATAGTAGATGCTACGAGGAACTGAACGTTGCAGATCCCAGATAATAAGTTGCTGATCCTTGCCTCCAGTTGCCGCCCAAGGGAAGCTGGTCAGGGATATAGATGATGGATTAACAGGGAACACGAAATTTAATTTTATTGTGGTGAACAATCTTGGGCATACACAAGGATGAAAAGAGTCTGGAGCTAGTAATTGACATATTACCTTGGTGAACCTGGCAGAGCAATGCACGAAACTGAATCTGAGTGACCAGATAAGGTACTCACCACCTGTTGGACACACACACACACATACACAAAGTTGAAACACGCCCAATGTTTTGTTTGAGCTAACAGGTGGATGAAGAAAGTTGTTTAGGCATGACACGAGAAGTTGCAAACCCTTCCATTCCCAACGTTCACAATCTTCACAGAACCATCTGAAGCACCGGTTAGAGCCAGAGGGCGAGTTGGATTCGAGGTAATGGATAAGCAAGTTAGCCCTGCTTCGTGATACGGATGCCCTAGAAGCAGAAAGATTATGGAATCCATGTCAAAAAATCGGATATGACTTGTAAAACATTCATAAAAAGTGCTTGTTAACTACAATACTACTCGAATTCTCTCATCATCATTCCATATGTGAGTTGTAAGAGAAAAAAGTTTCAGTATGGCTTGACTAATATCAGAGATCAAAATGTAAGCAAGCATAAACCTCAACTGCACATATTACCTCTTACAACGTGTATACATTGACCAGTTTCCAGATTCCATATTCTCAAACTCTTATCGCCAGAACCAGTGCAGATGGTTCTGCCTGCATCAGTCAAAAGGAGATTAAGAAGATTTCAACGGAAGGCAGCCAAATGTGAACAAACATGAAACACTGTTTTTTCTTTTACAATAAATCAGCAGCAGCAGGAAGAATATCCCAAATAATACCATCAGGGGTGAAATCTCCACAGGTAATAGGATCATTGTGACCGTAAAACACATTGATGCAAGAACCTGTATCGGCATCCCACACCCAAGCAGTGTTATCATTTGAAACAGCCAAGACTAGATGACCTCCAGGCTGCCACCTGACCCACTGTGAATATAAGTAACCTGATTAGTTACAAATGGATAGATAGTATATACCATCAGAGATAACGAAATCACTACACCTCAAGGCCGTCCGTAGGAGAATGTCCACCTTCCTCTATTTGCTCATTCTCAACATGGTCTCCACGAGTACTTTCCTCTATTTGCTCATTCTCAACATGGTCTCCAAGAGTACATATAAGATTTCCAGATTCATTCCAGATTTTAACAACAGAATCAAGCCCTCCAGATGCAAGAAACTGTCCATCGCTACTGAATGCTAAGCTAATAACGGATTCCCTATGACCTTCAATTAGGTTGAAGAAAAGGGTTCAAGCAGAGAATGTTAATTTATATAACACTATGACTTGACGTTTCCCAAAAGGATGAAGCAATAAGCTATTCGTGCAAACATGTACATATAGAGCATATACCTCCTAGTTCAGCAGCCCAATCTCCCTGTCCTATCCTCCAAAGAAACCCTCTTTCATCACCACCTCCAGTTGCTACCAGTGAAGGATCTGTTGGGCTGCAAGCAGCTACATAAACTTCAACTGCAACAAGAAATTAATAAACAAAAGGACTGTGAATTTAGTCAGAACTCATGATAAACTACTACAGCTACTCAATACTGCATCACAGAAACCCTAAACTCAATAACAATGAGATCCTCACATGTATGCCCTATGAATGTGTGCACAGAATCATCCGCATCCTCTGATTACAGAAGCAAAATACATAAAGAGTTATCATTCGAGTTAATTTAATCATAAGAACCTGAAAGATCAGCTAAGAATTTGCTTGTCACGGCATCTTAAACATTGGGTCAATAAAGTTAAGCAGTACCCTCTTCATCATCAAGTGCAATGCATCGATGGCAGCAGCAAGCTCTACATCTCCATCATCACTCATCTCACCGTCCTCCATCTTCATGCACAAGCAATTAAACACAATTCAGCAATATAGGCGAACACAATACGTCCACTGTACATAAAAGCGGGAACAAAAAACAGAGAGAAACACGATCAAAGAACTTACTTTTAAGAGGAAAGTTACCTCTACTTGGCTGCCAAACCAGAGTTGCCAGAATGCGGCTACCGGCGGCAGTAGGGGTATTGGCGCCGCCGTCAATGTGCTCTGACGACAGAGAAGTGAAGCCCCAGCAAGAAGGATTTGAAGTGTTATTTATAGTGGGGAGGGAAGGCAGCAGCGACGACGAGTTGCTGCTTGCTTGGAGTCGAGCCGCGGCGCTGGCTTACAGCCTAGTCGACCCTAATTTTATGATGTCAAAATTCACAAAAGAAAATGTGGCTTCAGTTCAGGACTCAGGGCGGGCGGGGCTGGGCCGGGCTCGCCTAGGGCCTGGGCCAGAGTCCAGACATGGATCTTGTACGGATATCCGAACTTCGAACTTACACCTTCGATTGCTCATTTAAGCAATGTATTAGAAACCACTGACTCGGACTGGAAATATGGGACATCCATTTCAAATTGATAGACAATTTTAGTATTAAGAAATGGTTAGAACAATAATTAAATCATAATTTTAATATAAATTACTTCATCATTAACTATTCCGATATCAACCCCGATCATATATTTAAGTACAAACTCGATTCTTATTGGGAAGTTTAGTAGACTTCAGCTTTGTCTTTACCGCGATGAAACGACAATGTTTCACCCACACCCTTAAACCTCATCACTTTTGGGTTCACCTTGATCAAAAGCTCTTTAGAAGACATCACCATTTTTACGAGATTTTTCTGACAAGGTGAAAGAAGGGTAGTTAAGGTTTCGAATAGGAGTCTTTTTACCCACTTCAGAACAATCCACAACTTTACTTGTTATTCTACTGATTCTTCCACTTGTATCTTGTTCAATGAGTCATCGCAGCTTACTAACACAACATGTATCAATTTCTTCCATTACTAGGCCTTTGATGCATTGAAATCCTCCTGTGATATTCAGAGCCTCCCACTGTAAATGACAAGATACATCTTTCCGCTAAATCAATTATGTTTGATTAAAGTACCCTGTCGCACATTCAGAGCCAAGTACTTAGTTGGCGAGCTTTGTCGTGATTACGGACAGTCAATGATATATAACTTGTTTATTTATATCAAATTGTCTGGGTGGTGTAGTTGGTTATCACGTTAGTCTCACACACTAAAGGTCCCCAGTTCGAACCTGGGCTCAGACATTCATTTTTATTCCTCAATCCTTCATCACTGAAACTTTTGGATTCCTGTCCACAAATGTCAGGATTTTGTACTGTGGAGTTGGTTCTTCCTATTGGGGGAAATGGAAATGAGATCATGAAAATGTACATGTAGTCAAAGAGATGAAGGGAATATATATATATATAGAGCACATGGCATCAACTGTTATTAATCAGCCAGCTTTTCACTCCATCAGGTGTCAACATTGCAGCAAACCCATTAAAGCTCTTCCTGTAGCGGTATAGAATCGAATCCGATGCATCTCCGTAGAAGGTTGAAACCCATTGTGTATGAGTTAGTACTTTGAAAAGGTCAGATTAGCCTTTTCAAAGGTCATATTACTTTGAAGACGAGCAAGTTATACACGGGTAATGATCCTGAAAGGAACTCCTATGAGAGTATCAATTCATCAAAGGGTAAGCAACTATAGGGCTTCTCACAGTATGTTCTCCATCATCCCAGATCAAAGCCCCAGATATAGAGTTTTTGCCCAACTTCACCACCACAGTTACAGTGAACGACTTGCTCTCCCCAACAGACTGGAAAGTCAGAACTGAAGGTCTAACTTTAACCACAACTTCTTCAGGAACCTTGACTATGGCCTTGTAAGTACATGATCCACTGCTCCCTACATTCGTTACAGTTCTATGAAACACCCTCATCACGCTGCCACCACCAGGCTTGACAGACAAGGTAAGCGAAGGGTAGTTCAAATCCCACACTGCCAGCTTCTTCTCATTGCTGCAGTGGATGTCCTCCCCGGTGAGAATCTGAATTTGTGTGCTGTTATAGCCTTGTCCACACAAGAAGTGAACGTAATCTTCCTCGGCAGCATCGTATACCAGGCCGGGGTCTACTGCCTTGACAGGGTTTATCAGCCCTGCACCGTACGCGAATTCTGCATCGTGGTTCTTGGCGCGGCTCATTGGCATTGCTGTTGTCATTAGAGCAGACCTAAGGGCAGCAGGGGACCAAGTTGGTTGGAATGACTTGACGTATGCAGCTACTCCAGTTGCGTGAGGGCAAGCCATGGATGTGCCTGAGATGATGTTGTAATTTGTCACCCTTTTGTCTCCCACTAGTCCTGTCACTGTGGTAGCTGGTGACCAAGCAGCCAGGATGTCCGAACCGGGAGCTGCAATGTCGGGCTTCAGGATGTCTTTTGTTATGGCATTAGGCCCTCTGGATGAGAACCCAACTATGTATGGAGCTGAGTCGTCCCTTTGGTGGATACTCTTGAACATTGTTGCAGTTGCATTTCTGAAACAGAACAGACCAGAACATCTCTGTTTAGCTTCAACTCAGTTTGGAAAACTTTGAAAAGAGAGAAATGACTCACTCAGTTTGTTTCACATAAGCTGAGATTTTAGATCCGGGATCGGGACCAAAGTGGGAAGCTGGGACAGCAAAATTGTAAGCAACATCATTGTATGTGTTGTCTTGCATCATTGCACCAACTCCTCCTGCTGCAGAAACTGACTCTCCATTAACGATTAAGTCACAAAGAACAATCTTTCCTCTCACCAATCTCCTTTCCAATGACCCTTTCTGGCAATTTCTGCATTTTCACCAAGCAGAAATGATCAGATACTTCTGAGATAAAAACACACATTGATGTTATGCTATTGTTGCTAGCTGTTCGGGTTACCTCGCTGCAGTGACGTTTGGTTTCTTCAATGTTGGGGCACGGCCACCGTATATAATGGGGTACATTGTGGGATAAAGATTAACGGTATTGATCGAAACACCCTACATGGCAACAAGCATTTTCAGTCTAAAGATGGAACCGCATAGATAAAGAGAGGTGTAAGTTAAACTTCCATATGCTAACCTCATACGAAGCTCCATTTCCTAGTTGAATTTTCGTCATAAACTTCCTGTCTATGCTGCTAGCTGCTACGGACAGAAGCCAAGGTGCAGCGTTATTGACTGATCCTGGAGTGGGACCATCATTGCCAGCAGAAGTCGAGGTAAGAATGCCATGTCGCATAGCGTGGAACGTCCCAATGGCGATGGAGTCCTCGAAGTATCCCTTTGGGTTAGTAGCTCCGAGGGAGACAGAGATAATGTCAACTCCGTCAGCGATGGCATCATCGAATGCAGCCAGTATATCAGCATCATAACAACCATCAGCCCAACAAATCTTATAGACTGCAATTCGAGCAGATGGTGCCCCGCCTCGAGCTGTTCCCAAGCCAAGCCCTTCAAGGCTTGCCTTGGGGACAAAGTTTCCTGCTGCTGTTGATGCAGTATGGGAACCATGGCCTTCTGTATCTCTTGGTGAAGCCACATCAAGAGAGAAGTTCCCCGTTACCCTGTAGTACTTAGCTCCAATTATCTTGCTGCAAACGAAACAGATCAAAATTACATCAAGATAACAAAATAGAGGAGAAGAATTGTGCTGCTTCACCAAAAGGACTTGTGGGTTTTACTTGTTGCAGGTGAAATTTTCTGACTTCATGCATGTTCCCTTCCACTTTTGAGGAGGTGGACCAAACCCTTCATCTGAGAAACTCTCAGATTCAGGCCAAATTCCTGTGTCAAGCATCCCGACGATCATGTCCCTCTCTAATGGTCTTCTTTCAGATTTCCCTGTAAGGCCAATAAAGGTCCATGATCTTGTTGTGTGAAGCTGCATCTTTCCATTGGGGAAAACAGATATCACTCCCTCCATTCCTGAGAAAAAAGAAGCTCTCGTCATACAGCAGATCATTTGTCAAGAAACAACTCATCTCAATAAATCTTGCATAGTTTACTCACTTGTCAGCTTCTGCACCTCCTCGCTTGTTAGCATGGCGGCAAAACCACTGAAGCTTCTCTTGTAGCTATACAACATATGGTCTGACCCACCACTGTTAAAATTAACAGGACCAAATCATTAGGGGAAGAACAGAACCCAAACAATAAGTTCCTGAAGATCAGATTCTGAAAGAGAGGTAATTAAGTTAGGCCAAAACCTGCCAACCACTTCTTCCATCATATTGGTATGAATCTCTGTTGCTGATACTTCCTTCTGTGAATGACTTCCCATGTACACAATGTAAGCCTGAGTATCCAATAAATTCACCAACATTTCGTTAGTAATACTTTCATAATCCGTTCATTCTGAAACAGAAAAACAGAAACTTGTGATCTTTCTCTTATGATGTTAAGGAGCTGATTTACTTGCCTGTCTATATTCGGCTGCAACATAGCCATGACAGCAGTTAAGAATCAGGTTACTAGTGAGACCAATCAAGACGATCTGAACCACAGATGGAAGTTTTGATGCCATTGGAGACCTGCTGGTTGAGCATTTCATAGGAAGGGAATCGATGAGCTTTTTATATTAGCAGAAGTTGGTCTGCATCGTTAATGAAGATCACTGTATCTTCCATTAAACAACAAGAGACATGTTTTCCTCCCTTTGATTACTGTCAAACAATGTTGGTTCTTGTCTTTTCATTTTTGGCTACCCTCTCAATTATGTTTTTATCTTAATTCACAGTTTTCCTTCTTCAAGTAAATAATGGACAAATGTTTTATGTAGTTTAATTTTGTTTAGTATGGTATACGATCTAACTATTTTTCCTCCCCACATAACCCATAAAAGTAATTATTATAATGTTGAAGAATATAAGATATTATTACACTGTAGCCTCAATTTCGTATTGCAAAATCCCATCAACTTTAACAAACGGCTGAGTATATTTACAACAAAAACAAAAGACAAAACCTATGTGGTTTTGTGTTCAAGGTAGGCATTACAGAGGCTTCTGCAACTCGTAGACAAACTGGTTGCTGAAGTTCTTGGGAACCCCATTAAATATCACAAATGCCTTGAGGCTTTGATTCTAGCGTAGAGATGATTGTAGAAGTTGATCACTTTCGGAAAGCTCTTGTCTTGTGAGCAGCAGAATTTTTGTCATGCACGATCTATCCATTCAAGGTGGTGGATGCACCCGATAATCCTCTTACCTGAAACCATAGCATAGGATTTGACGAGTGAGAACCGGCCATGAATAGCACACAAGCAATTATATGGGCAGGAGATCACGTGCTCTGTTTTCCAGTTCTATGCTAACCTACTTATCCAGTGTCCAAATCAGTACACTCTGAGCTAGCCATGGTTTCATGGAGCAAAACAACACTGCAGCCAGCAAGCTGATGGAAGTATGACAACCATGGTTCTATGTCGCGAAGCCACACCATTCAGGTAGTAGTCTCTATTTTCCATTTACTAGCTACCTCGAATCATGTTGATGCAAAAAGCAGTCATTCCTGCTGTAAAATTTTGCTTCACCAACCAAAGGACTCGTTGCTTACTTGTTGTGAACATGACAAGCAAAACATACAAGTAGATACAAGTAGATACAGTTGTGAGCAGTAAGTCTGATCCTCATTCACGGCTGTTAAAAATGACATGATAGCCACTAGGGTTAAACATTACACCTCACAGATTACCAAAACGGACAAGTGTTGTGCAATCAGACTCAAGTTGACACATTTGGGATCAATACCTGGTCAACAACTTATTCAACATGTTGCGATGAATGTCCACTGCTGAAGCTAGCTGCATCCTGTGAATGACTTCCCACTCATGCATATAAATAACCCTGCACCAAGAAAGATGCCAATCTTTTTACAGCAATTTTCATATTTGCTCACTTGAAAACCTGCAGAAAATCCTGAAATCCGCCCGTCTGTCTTCATCTGCTGTACTGCCAATTCATGGCTCGAGACCAACTAGAATGATACAAGATAGTGGAAAAGCTTTATTCTTTGTGAACAATAAGATTGTCTTCCTTTTTCCCCATAGCTTTACACTTTCCAAGGAAATTAATTTCAACAACTCAAAATCATGTTTCTGAAGTTTTTGTGAAGTAATATCACAGATAAAGGTACTCAATGATCAATCAATGGAACTAAGCTAAGTACAAGGAGTCACATTCACTTTTCAAGTTTAGGATGATGTTCAAGAAGTGGTCTTATTGTGTAGAAACAAAATTACTCTCTGTCACCGCAGTGTCTTCGACACCTAACATCAAACCTTTTTTACTTCATAAACAAGCATGTGGTTTCCAAACACCTCAAGCAGGATCAAGAATGTAAATTTTATTAATTCAGAGATGACTAGGAAGTCACTCATTAGTCATTACATCTGAAACACACCCCGAAATTCTACACTTCTTATAAAGAAATAACATTATTATGCAAATTGCAGTTTCCTGCTATACTCGCAAATCAACTAGACTGATGCTATTGGAAAATGTGGTAGAGTTATCATCTAGTGATTACGAGAATGAACGAACCTTACCTCACTCAACTCAAACCAGCTGATCAGTTATGTTCTTGAGGTGCCACAAATGCGACAATAGGACTCCTCACAGAATGGATACCATCACTCCAAATCAAAGAACCAGACAACATGGTTCTTCCCAGCACAGCCGTGACCGTCACAATGAAGGACTGCTTCTCCCCAATGTTCTTGAACGTAAGTACATTTGGTTCAACTCTGATCGTATCAAAGCCCACTTCAGCACGCACTAAGGCCGTGTAGTTAGATGGCGCATACCCAACATTTGTGACAGTTCTGTGGAACACCCGAGTAACATTAGCCTTGGGCTTCTTTGATGACAGAGCAAATGAAGGGTAGTTTAGATCCCACACTGCGGTTCCATTAGTAGTTGTAGAACTACAAGAGCTCTGATCTCCTGTGACAAGTCGCAGTTGTGTACTGTTGTATCCTTGGCCACACAACATTTGAACATAGTCAATCTCTCCAGCATCATATACTAGTCCAGGATCCATGGCCCTCGAAGGATTAATTTGGCCTGATCCATATCCAAACTCAGCATCAGGCACGTCTGGAACACTTATGGGATGAGCGGTCGTCATTAGAGCAGACTTAATGGCTGCCGGGGACCATGTAGGGTGGAATGACTTAACATAAGCTGCTGCTGCAGAGGCATGGGGGCAGGACATGGAAGTACCAGAGATTATGTTGTATGGGACAACCCTGTCGTCCCCAGGAAGACCTGTCACAGTTGTAGCTTGGGACCATGCTGCCAGGATATCAACTCCAGGTGCTGTAAGGTCAGGCTACATAACATAATCCACGTCACAACATGATAAGCCCGAAAGAGTGGCGTCAAGCCGTCAACTGTAAAGTGATGTTTGCTGGTACCTTGAGAATGTCTGTTGTTATTGGGTTTGGCCCTCTTGAAGAAAAGTAGATCACATATGCTGATGAATTATCCACAAAGTCATGTGTCGTGAATATTTGTGCAGTTGGATCACTAGCAAAGACATCAAAAGATATAATTAACAAGATGTAGTGTCGTTTCCCCGATTTTTTTAACTATAGTTGAAATTTCAGTAACATTCAACTTGCTTGTTTTCTTTCTAAATCTACCTAGTTGAGTTTATGTACTCCACAATGGTGACTCCTTCATCATCGGTCAAGATGGACACAGGTAAAAGTAAGGCATATGCATTATCTTCAATACCAGTAGTCGTCATTATGGCCCCAGTTGCACCCGCTGCAATTTGTTCCTCCCCTGCACTAACATCATCACAATGCACAATTTTCCCTTGCACCAAATTCCTATCCAAGCTGTTTGGATCACAATACCTGGAGTTTTTTCATATTACATGAAAATATATCAGTTGTTCCTGAGTCACATTTAAACAAAAAACATGAAATAATGTTGAACTCTTTATTTGATTCTCAAACAATTTTCACCTTGACCCAATTGAATGTCCTGGTGTTGTATTCGTCGCATCTCCACCATAGATAAGAGGATACACCTTAGTGGGCGCAAAAGTGTTTAAAGAGATCCCCTATATCAGAAGAAAGCCTAGGTTATGCTGCATATAAATATGAGCATAGAGATGTCAACACCAAATAACATTTGGAAATCTCACCTGATAAGTTCTTCCATTACCCAACCTGACCCCAGTTGTGAACTTTCTGTCAATGGTGCTAGCACCCACAGAGAGCGACCAAGGAGAGCAATTCGAAACCGATCCAGGAGAAGGGCCTTCATTACCAGCTGAATTGGATGTGAGAATCCCATTCTTCATGGAATGGAAAGCCCCAATAGCTATAGTGTCTTCAAAATAATCTTGTGGCGAACCACCAACCGAGAGGGAGATTATGTCGACTCCATCAGCAATGGCATCATCGAATGCTGCTAAAATGTCGACATCCCAACAGCCATCTTCCCAGCAAATCTTGTAGACAGCAATTCGGGCAGAGGGAACCCCTCCTCGGGCAGTCCCGGAAGCAAGGCCAAGGAGGCTAGCTGGAGTTACTATATTCCCTGCTGCTGTGGATGCAGTGTGACTTCCATGACCCTCAGAATCCCTGGGGGAGGCAATTTCATCTTCACTGAAATTGCGTCCACCATGATAGTATTTGGCTCCAATGATCTTTCTACAAAGTGGTAATAGTAAAGCATTTGAATTCTCAACATCACAGTTATAGACTCGGGGAAAGTGAAAAGACCAGTTTTTTAGAGGGTTACTTATTGCAGGTGAAATTGGAAGAGCTTTGGCAGACACCTTTCCACTTCTGTGGAAGTGGGCCGTAGCCATAATCGTCGAAGCTCTGCGACTCGGGCCAAACACCGGTGTCGAGCATCCCAATGATTATGTCGCTCTCCACAGTTGCCCTTTTGACATTCTGGGGGAAACCCAGGAAATCCCATGATCTCGTCGTGTGGAGTTTTCTAATCTGACTAGGGAAAACTGAAACTATCCCTTCATATCCTGCAATGATTAAACAGAGGCATTCAAATGAGAATTCTTACCATGGGAAAGGAAATTGAAAGAATCATATATAGTGAGTTGGTTACCCACCGGAGAGCTTATCTTTCTCGGCCTCGGTCAACCTGGCAGCGAAGCCATTGAAGCTCCTTTTGTAGCTATAGACCAGTGAATCGGAAGCAACGCTTACGCTAGGGGAAGGCAAATCATCCAGTTCAAGTTAGTCGCATTCGATTTGAATGATGGCCTCGTCGCAGAATGTTGCGAGACATACCTGCCGGTGATTTGTTGAAGGAGACTCTGGTGTTGAGCGGCTGCCGGAGTTTCAGTGTTGGGCTTGTGGCCCATGTACACTATGTACAACTGCAGAACCGAGATCAAAGTGGAAATTAGTCTTTAGCCGTAGCCCATTTTATTTGGACCAAAATGTTGTGGCCCAATGTATGGCGAAAGAAGCCATGAGCATTGGTATTACTCGGGCTTTAACTGGTAGCCCATTAAGCCTGTTATTGGTAGTACGGGTAATTATAATAAATGTTCACAAACTATTCACTTTGTACAAAACGGTCAGAAACCTTTAATTTTGTACGTTTCGGTAACATATGTATGGAGACTAATAACAAAAAGGTAATTCAGTCTGTTTCCATCCAAAATTCTGTTAGTTTGATCCAGTCAGCTGTCAAGTCAGCATCCACATCATCAAAATAATTAATAAAAAATAAAATAAAAATCAATCAAATCCTAACCAACCCACCACCAAATCCAACCCAACCAATCGTCTACCTTCAACGCCGTTAAACCCCAGCCTCCCCCACTTTGATACGAACAGAGTCGTGTACACCATGGACAACGCAAAAGGATCTTCCTCTTCCTTAACCTCTCCCTTCACGTATTTCTCGAACCCGTCCCGAGCCTCCCCTTCGCTTCCTGTATAAATTCAATCGCGCTGGCTACTGCCCCGCCGCCAGGGATCCAATCGTGGCCGTGACCTTGACCGGGAAGAAGTAGTTCCCGTAGAAGCCGTCGGGGAGCGGAGGGTCTAGCAGCTGGCGGCAGTTCGCGAAGAACAAGAGCTGCACCTCCACGTTGAGTGGAGACCGATCGAGGTGGATCTGTGCCTCCAGAGGCTGTCGGCGACGGCCTGTTGAGCAGATTTTCCCGCCGCTGGAGCTGCAAGATTTCTCTGCCCCCAACAATTCCAAGCTTTCTCGAACTGCAAGATTGAGGTGCCTTGACAAGGCGGCAATAATCATTGATCAATCGGAGATCGATGAATAAGGGAAGGCAAGGAATCCATGGAAGATTGTGCACTCTACGGCAGGTGGAAGGATTCAAGCTATCGGCGGCGACGTTTCAAGTTTGGGTATCGGGAATTGCTTGCTTTATGCCGATGGAGCATTAACAGAGTTCATCAATGAGTTAATTAAGCTTCTTTAACAGTGTGATTGTGAGCTTTCTCTCCTGGACGGAGTGGATGATTTTGGATTGGAATATGGAGATTGGATTGTGAGGATAATTCTCGGATTAGGGTTACAGAGAGAGGGCAACATATTTGAGTCTGTTCTCGGATTGAGTTTGTATTTCTATTGAGTATAATTTTTGGGTGGGGTTGAGTTTGGTTTGATTGGATATAATTGGTTTGGTTTATTGATTTTTTATTATTATTTGTTGATGACATGTCGTGCTGACTGGAGTAAACTAACGGATTTGTGGATGGAGATGGATGGAATTACCTTTTTGCTATTAGTACAAACATATGTTACCGAAACGTGCAAAATTAAAAGTTTGTGACCGTTTTGTACAAAATGAATAGTTTTGTTACCATTTATGATAATTATCCTTGGTAGTACCCATCAACTTCCTACAAAATATATTAAGGGGTTTCTCAAAACCACCTTCCCCATTCAAATTTTCTCGTGCTCTCAGCAATTTTCGGGTTTTCCCTTAATTTTTTTTTCTCAAAACTTTCTTCTACAACATTTATTCATATTAATCTCTTTTTATTTTTATTTTGTTCACACACGTTTTACTTTTTTCCCGTCCCCTTTTATCGAAAATATTCTGGAAAGAAAATTAGTAAAGGGGGTCTCCACGTAAGTTTTGGAGAATTCTCCGCAGGTTTATATTTTTTATACTTTTTGTTGTTATCCATTGACTTATATTATCCCCTACTAAATAGCAATTTATCTTCCAACCAACAATTTTGTATGTGTCAAACTTCAAAATTTTCTTAACTTTTTTCTCAAGATGTGGGCAAGTTCAGTTTGGAAAAAAAAAACGTGCAAGTTTCTATTGTTGTACAATTAAACTTCATTATGTTAATCACAGTTTTTAAATTCGAACCACGAAATAATTTCTCACAACCACTAATTTATATTAAGGATTGTAAAAACATTTGGGTTGGATTGCAAAATCAACAGTAGAGTGTATGTATTAATCGTGGTTCAACTCATTTCATAACATTAAAACAACCTACCGATTTAGAATCTGATAGAAGGATTTTTAGGCCAGTCGCCTACATGGTACGATTTTAGACACTAATTTATCACCGAAAGAAAATATAAGCATCTGAAATTCATAGCTTATATTATTCAAAATGATGGATTTGGTTCTCTTCCATCATAAAAAATTCGATTTCAGTATCTTGATAGATGTTAGTTGAAACATCTATTATTGATTTTTGTACATTGTATAAAATAATCAATTTGAATATTTAGTTGACAAATCATTACATAAGAAGCTAAATTGAAACTTTTTTCACAATATTTAGATTGAAACTTGATATCCTCAAATAGTATTGCACTTCTTTTTCATCATCCTCAAAATAAGATGAACATGTACAAAAGGTAAACTTAATCGCAAGCCAATATTCATCGAATAGAATTTGATTCTCTAACTTCTAAATGTGTATTGTTTAAATCAAATACTAAAAAAATTATAGATTAAATGCTAATTGCTTAGTTTTTGAAATAAACGGTTACTTAGTTACGATCTCATAAACATATAAGAAGAGACCACAAATGTGTTCTTGAAAATGATTATTAAAAACGTAAATGACTTAAAAACTTAAAATAATTAAATATAATGATGAATTATTTGATTAAGATGTAAAATTTACCCGGCCTGTTGGCTGGGGATAAAGCTAGTTGATAATTATTGGTTTGGGTAGCGCATTTTTTATTAACCACTAAATTCTTGGTGGGAAAATTGTTTAAGAAAAGATAGATTCTAAAATTAAAATTTTTTGAACAGATCTATCAATGGCTAACCCCCAAAAATATTGAAAAGTAATCATCCCATTACTAATACATTTTTATTTCCAACTTTACTTCTTAAAGAAAGAAATGCTCTCAAAATTACATTATAATTACTAGTCATTCAGCGAACTAAAGAATGTCTTCCGAAATGAATTGGCAATTTTTGACGAAGTGTGAATGATATCATCAATTACATACTAGTACTGAACTGAAACGACCCATACTTAATCCAAAGAAGTCCGAATTAAACGGAAACTAGCAATTCACTTGTTATTACGAAAAGTGAAAAGATGGTTATTAGGGGGGAAAACACAATCTTAAATACACATGCCTTCCTGTCGTCGTCGTCGTCGGAGGTTCCATTGACAGCGTAGCTCTGCATCATGAGGCAACAAGCGATGATTGCCGTCACAATCCGAATCAGCTTCTGACCACTGCAGTGATAAGTTTTCATTTCCGCCATTGATGATCCCATCTTCATCTTTTCTTTGGCTGCTGTTGTATTTCTTTCCCCGTGCAACCATATATGTATATATAAGGGCTTTTCGTTTTTCGTTTCTGATCACTTTATTATGGACTGGTGCAACATTGTGAAAAAGTAGGCCGGCTTTATGATTCAATATTCCAAACAACAAAAGTGTAGCTTTCCGGAGCTGGAGCAACCATTGTTGAGCTCGCCGCCGATTAGCATCCATATTTGCATCCTTAGGTGTTTACGGAAATATATTGTGCTGATGCTATTGAAACAAACGTCAACTGGGCATCCTTTGCTTTTTTGCCCAATTTAGTGGCTTGTTCTTGTCTTGTCCTTGTTTTCCCAATAAACTAGTATATTTTTTCAGGGATAGGGTTATAGTAAATACTTCGTTTAATACAGGTACGTAACTACGTATGATCGTACGTAGTTTATCCGTTTTAAAAAAATTCCGTATTTGTATTATTGTCGAATCGTTTTATTTTTCTCCGTTCATTTGATGGCTCTCGTGCTAAACACGCATAAAACCTGTATAACACGTTTAATATCCGTATTTGATGACTAAATTCCTAACTTAACTATTAGTTAGATATTTTTTTTAAAATAATATATTTTATCATTATTGACGGACTATTAAAAGTACCATTAATTTAAATTTGAAATAAAACATTCATATGTATTTTATACGTAACTTAAGTACCATATATGTTGCATACTAACCACTTAACTTGTTTTTGTTGCAACTAAATCACATAAGTTGAATTATTGTTGCAACTAAACTATTTTAATAGAATTATGGTTGCAACATCACAATTTCCATCCACAAATTTAACAGAGGGTACCAAAAAGAAACTATTGTACTACCATTTTGAAAAAAGTTAAATCTATAACTATTTTGCATAATTGTCAAACTTATATGACCATTTTTAATAAGTTTGCCTTCCTTCCACTCTCCTACTTCTCTTCTCTGCATCACCTCACCCGTCATCACCCTCCTTTGCTAACAGAGCCAACCCAAATATGACAAACCTTTCCTCTTAAGACTCCGTATTGATCTATCTCCTTCTACACCAGCTAAGCTCTACAGATTCCTACTTCTTTTTCCTTTTAAATCTCACTCTCCATCTCTCTCCCTCTTCCAATTTGTGATTTATTCACAGAGATTTTTGGAGCTCAAATCTAACCTCTGTCTTCTTAATCTACTCTTGCTAGAAAGGAGTCAGATTCAGCAGCTCAAATTATGGACTTTTGATTAGATTGAATTAACATTCGACCAAAAAATTTTTTTTTGCCCATAAATAGATTAAAATGTGCTGAAGTTTTCGCCTGGGGATGGCTCTATAGCTTGATTCCTTCTTCAAGATGTAGAAACTGACGATTGCGGAAATAAAAGAGAACACCGATATTTACGTGGTTTCCCCGAAGATCGGGACTAGTCCACGGAGAGCATAGCTCTCAGGAAAGTGTCAATATGGTGATGAGTTTCAGTACAGAAGTCTGTTCACTCTCTTGCCTTCTAGGGTTCGGCTAGCTACTCTCTTATACCCTTTCTACTAGGTCACGGGTACAACTCAAGCAAGAATTACAAAATGGTCCAAATTAAACCAATCAATTACAAACCAGTCCAATACTCCCCCTCAAGCTGAAGCATGAAGATCACGAATGCCAAGCTTGGATAACAAAGAATGAAACTGGTCTGTCCCCAAGGCCTTGGTGAAAATGTCCGCGAGCTGAGAGCGAGTACCAACCTTGCAGGGAGAAATCTCGCCGGAACTGACACGTTCGCGAACAAAGTAACAGTCCATCTCAACGTGCTTAGTGCGCTCATGGAAGACTGGATTAGCGGCAATATGTAGAGCCGCCTGATTATCGCAGTAGAGAGGAGTAGGCACACGCTGGGGAACCTGGAGCTCACCAAGCAAGAAACGGAGCCACAGAACTTCGCTAGTAGTGCTAGCCAGGGCCCGATATTCGGCTTCTGCAGAGGAACGAGCCACTACACGCTGCTTCTTAGCACGCCAGGAGACAGGGGCGCCACCAAGGTGGATATAATATCCGGTGGTGGATCTCCGGCTAAACTGACAACCAGCCCAATCAGCATCACTGAAGGCGGTGAGCTCAAGCGAACCGGCAGAGGGAAGAAACAAACCTTGACCGGGCGCTGCTTTGAGGTACCGGAGGACACGATGAGCAGCGGCCATGTGATCCGGACTAGGTGACTGCACAAACTGACTAAGCAAGTTCACGGAGTAGGCGATGTCCGGGCGAGTGATCGTGAGGTATAACAGACGCCCAATCAGCCGACGATAGGCATGAGCATCAGCCAGCCGCTCCTCTGTAGGTCGTGTCAGGTTATGGTTCTGTTCCATCGGAAAACCACTCGGCCGAGCAGCCATCATGCCGGAATCGGCAAGAATGTCAAGGGCATACTTGCGCTGACTGAGCACAATGCCATCGGGGGATCGCGCCACCTCAATGCCAAGAAAGTACTTCAGGGTACCCAAGTCCTTGATGCTGAACCTGTGATGCAGGAAGGCTTTGACCTGAGAAATGACATCAATAGCAGAACCTGTGATCACAACGTCATCAACATAAATCAAGATCGCCACAAAGGTGCCATGGCGACTATACAGGAACAGCGAGGGATCTGCTTTGGAGACCCGGAAGCCAAACTCCAAAAGTGCCTCAGTGAACTTGGTGTACCAATTCCTGGAAGCCTGACGAAGACCATACAACGATTTGCGAAGTCGACAAACCCTGTGATCGCCATTGCGACTAAAACCCTGAGGTATCTTCATGTACACCTCCTCGTCTAAATCACCGTGGAGAAACGCGTTGTTTACGTCGAGTTGATGTAATGGCCATCCCTGCTTAGCCGCAACAGCGAGAAGAACTCGAACGGTAACTAGTTTGGCCACCGGGGCGAATGTGTCGTGGAAGTCAATCCCTTCCAGTTGAGTAAAACCCTTCGCTACCAGACGAGCTTTGTAGCGCTCGATAGTACCGTCCGGCAAGAACTTAATCTTGTAAACCCACTTGCAATCGATGGCACGTTTCCCGGGAGGTAAAAACTCCAATGTCCACGTCCCTTGGGCCACCAACGCATCGATCTCGCGTTGCATGGCAGCCCGCCAGTGTGCATATTTAACAGCCTGTGCATAAGTCCGAGGCTCGAAATGGTCGGACACAGAAGCCAAGAAAGCACAATGACGGTCAGAAAAACGATGGTAAGTGACGTGATTAGAAATGGGAAATTGCACAGGCGAGGCATAGGGCAAGTTTACCTCATAAGCATCCAAATGAGCTGGGGGACGACGATCACGCGGAGGATTCCGGCGGGGAAGGGTTGGGGCGGCCAGTTCAGGAGCGGGAGACGTGGCCTCTGCATGTTCCTCTGCATGTTCCATGCATGGAGACGCACGTGGTGCTGGGGACGTGGCCGTGCATGGCGATTCGCCAGGTGCTGGGGACGCGGGCAGATCAGGCGGAGAGGAAAAATGCAGCGGTGAAGGGACTTCGAGAGGAGAGGTGATGCTCTCGGCAGTGGGTTCTTCCTCGACACGCTGCCCCACCTGATCAGCAGGCTCCATATCACCATCAATAAATGGAGAGTCTGCTACCAAGGGTTGGTGAACGAGCGTGTTCGGCGCTCCCGTGGCCCGGAGATGGAAGGGGAAAACATTCTCGATGAACTGCACATCACGAGAAACTAAAACTTTCCGAGTACGCAAATCATAGATGCGATAGCCCTTCTGAGTGCCCGGGTAACCAAGAAAAACACCTGCTCGACCGCGCTCAGCAAATTTATCGAGGCCATGATGATTATCCTTCGCATAAGCGAGGCAGCCAAAACTGCGGAGATGGGAATACGAAGCAGGACGTCCCAAAAGTATTTCAAACGGAGTTTTCCAGCCAATGATCGATGAGGGTAACCGGTTGACGAGGTATGCAGCTGTCAGTACACAATCACCCCAAAAACGCACAGGAAGCCCGGCATGAAACATGAGAGCTCGGGCCGTCTCCAACAGATGGCGGTGTTTACGCTCAACGACACCATTTTGCTGTGGTGTGTCCGTACAAGAGGTTTGGAGGACAATCCCATTTTCTTCGTAGTAATCACGTAGGGAATTAGTTTGAAACTCCAATCCGTTATCAGCTTGAATACGGCGCACTAGCTTGCCATACTGTGTGTGAACCAAGTGGAAATACATCATAAGATAGCGTTCAACATCCGACTTGTGCTTCATTAAATAAACCCACGTGGAACGACTGAAATCGTCCACAATAGTCAAGAAAAAACGAGACCCATCGAGGGATGATGTCCGATAAGGTCCCCAAATATCGACGTGAATCAAATCAAAACACCCAGTAGTTTTGATCATGCTATTCAGGAATGGAGTCCGGCTCTGTTTAGCCCTCAAACAAGAATCACAATGAACGGAATTTGAAGGAGAAAAATTACAATCCACAACGGCTCTCAATCGGCTCTGCTTATCCAGTCCCGGATGCCCCAACCTAGTGTGCCACAGAGTAGATGAGTCCAGCTGAGTCGTCACTTTATATGCTTGACCAAGTCGCATCCCATCACACCGAGGCAAGTAGTACAGGCCATCCTTCAGCTTACCCACTCCAATCAGCGTCTTGGAAGGTAAGACCTGAAGAACGCAGAAATCACGTAAGAAAGTTACCGCCACATTATGATCACGAGCTAAACGGCTAACAGACAAGAGATTGCACTTGAATGCCGGCACATGGAGTACGTTGTGAAGCTGAACATGACTAGAGAGTCTAACATTTCCAATCCCCACAACCGGAACACCTGTTCCATCCGGAATCCGAACCTGTGAATGCCCCCCTGCCTGTACCATAGAGTCCATCCAACTAATATCGCGAACTATATGTTCATTACAGCCTGAGTCTATCAACCACATGTCTAGTTCAGGAGTATTACCCGCCATATGAGTCGTTGGAGCTGAATGATTGTCATTGTCCGTCGATGATAAGAAGTCTTTGAGTGCCCCAAACTGTGCTGCCGTTAAGCCCGGAATAGGAGAGGTGGGGTCCGGCTCCACATGAGCTGCTTTGGATCGCCGGGGAGCCTGCGTATCAGCTGACTTGGCCCGAGGATGACCAGCTGGATAACCGACCAGCTTGTAGCAACTGTCTCGCGTATGCCCAAGACGGCGGCAATTCGAACAGCGGGGGCGATCCTTGTCGTCCCGCGAGCGCTCCTGCTCATCTGGAGAACGGCCTTCACGGAATTCGGCCGCCGCTTGCACTTGAAACACAGCAGTGTCAACAACGGGGCGCCTCGCGGTGGTGAGAAGCCGATGTTGCTCCTCTGCCGTGACCATTCGGTATGCATCGGCGAGCGTGGGAGTGGGGCGCGTGCTAAGGATTTGCGACCTCACCACAGAGTAAGCATCATCAAGCCCGAGAAGGAACTCAAAGAGCTGTTCGGTTTCTTGTTGCTCGTGGAACTGCCGAGCCCAACCGCAGGAGCAGCCAGCACATGTGCAGCGTGCAACTCCCCCTATCGACAGCTTCTCGTCCCAGACCGCACGTAGCTGTGTGTAGAAAGCGGAGACGGAGAGTTTGTCTTGCCGAAGAGTGCTGAGTTTGCGGCGGAGCTCATAGGCCCTTTGCGCCGTCCCTTTGCTGAAACGACACTGCAGGTCCACCCAGATGTCCCGTGCCGTCGATGCCGTCCGAACACTGTTCCGAACCTCGCGTGTCATGGCTGTCTTCAACCAGCCTTTAACTGTCGCGTCACAGCGATCCCAGGCGTCGCGATGAGTGAACGAGCCAGCTTTGTCACGAGGGAAGGATCCATCCACGAAAACGAGCTTGTTTTTGGCGATTAGGGTTTCTGTGATGTCATTGACCCACTCTCCATAGTTGGAGTCGTTCAGCAAATCACTACCGAACAATTGCGCAGGATTTTCTGAGGGATGCAGATAGAGGGGTGAGCTGATCGGGATGACGCAAGGCTCAGAGTCGACCATAGGCGTGCCGCCGCTAGACTCCTCTTCCGGTTTACCCATGATGAAGAAGATTAACGAAGTTGAATCTCACAGCTCTGATACCATGTAGAAACTGACGATTGCGGAAATAAAAGAGAACACCGAGATTTACGTGGTTTCCCCGAAGATCGGGACTAGTCCACGGAGAGCATAGCTCTCAGGAAAGTGTCAATATGGTGATGAGTTTCAGTACAGAAGTCTGTTCACTCTCTTGCCTTCTAGGGTTCGGCTAGCTACTCTCTTATACCCTTTCTACTAGGTCACGGGTACAACTCAAGCAAGAATTACAAAATGGTCCAAATTAAACCAATCAATTACAAACCAGTCCAATACAAGATATTATCTCTGCTTTGCTTACAATTTAAGCTCAATAATGGTAGTCTCACCTGAAAGTGATGCCCATTTCTTCAGATTATTTATTCAATCCATGGAATTGGTAGTTATTCCAAAGACGCCGCTGATATGCTAACCCAATATCTCATTCACATACTGAGAGGAACAAGATATTAAAGAGAGAGGAAAACAAAGTATTTGTGTATGGCTCCCATGGATTCGAGCAGTAACCGGAATTTTCGCGAACTAGAGTGGTGGGTTAAGACCACTATTTCAGTTCTGTTGGCGGTATTTTAAACACAATTTGAAGCTCAGTGGAGGGGGAAAATGCAGTTTAAAATTTTAAATCTCTTCCAGTTTCGTCCTTCCTGAATAGAAAAGGGTAGTGGTGACTGGTGAGCATATGAAGAGGGAGAAGAAATGGGAGATGGGAAGGGTAATTATAAAAATTGGTCACATAATTTTGGTATTTGTGCAAAATGATTCTAGGAATTTTTTCCCCCCAAAATGGTAGCACAATAATTCATGTTTGGTACTTTCCGTCAACTCTTTGGATGGAAGTTGTGACGGTGCAACCGTAATTCTACTTATATGGTTTAATTGCAACAAAATAAAGTTAGGTGATTAGTTTGCAACATACACAATACTTAAGTGGCAACTGGCAAGTGATGCATTTAACCCACCCGTACCATATTTTACTAAGTACTACTTTGCTCCAACTGTATCGCAAGAAGAATTACAAGTACTATCTTGTAACCCCCATCATACGATACGGTGTAACCGTGTAACTGTGGAAGAGGCAAAGCAAACCTCAATAGTAACTAGCATTAACCCTGCCCTTTGGGCGGGTAACTTTTAATTTATGTATATATTTGTAATATGATTATCAAAGCAATAATTTTCTAAAACCGCACAGTTAGTTTCCATCACAAAAATAAAGGCCTAGAGGCACCACCAAAAGGTGAAGAAATCTCGCATCTCAACTTATAGTTAAAATTAAAAAGAAACACTAAAAGGTCCGTCCATCTTGATGAAGTTCTTCGGGGAAAGTTTGGTGGGCATATATTGTCGTCTTGCGTGTGAAGCTCAATCAATCTATGAGGAAGAATTATACATGAATTAATGGTCAATCCTCCCACCCAAATAGTAAGGATTATTTAACATATGTTAATGAGTGAATCTAGATACAAAATATCTCTATTTATGATATATCGAGATTTTAGAATTTGTAATCTCTAAACCTAAAATACACATAGAGAAACAAACCATATTCGTTAAATCTCTAAATTCTATGAATCTATACTTCGGATTTCATTCTCCAAATTACCTCTTGATTAATTTACCATTAATATTTTAAAACATATTTTTGATTAATAATATTAAAAATTATTATGATTATTATTTAGATGAATTAAATTATTAGTATTATTGAGGATAAGTAATCATCAATAATTATAATTTATTTCATCATCTCTTTCCTCCCATATCTCCATCCAAAATAAATTGATCAAAAAGAAAAAGAGAAAAACCTAGTGCAAGGAGGAGTCTAGGGGACGGTTTAAAGGGGATAAAAAAATATGAGTAGTTAGCCTGAACAAAAAAAAATTGACATAAAGGCGAACGCGAATGGTAAAAAAATTAAAAATTAAAAAAAACTCAGATTACTGAAAATTGCGGCCAGGCTTTTAAGGCTGACGTGGAGGGGGTCTTAATCTTAATCCTCTTTAATATATTTTAAGATATTGTCGAAACATACAAACACATAGGTAGTTGTTCCTCTTGTTCGGGTCGAGTATCGAATGTGTATCCTCTTGTTAATTAAGTTTTTTTTATAATTAAATTAAATATGATCTTCAAAATAATATTCATTATTTTTTCAACATATATTTTGATAAATGAATTTTAAGATCAATTATTTCACCATCTTACCATCATGGCATTATAGTTTCATACTACCACAATATAATTTTCGCCATGGCATCTTTTGGGAAAACTGTAAAATTAACAATGTATGAAGAAAATCATCCAAACAGCATATATAAGATTTAAATTATTGTAAGTTGTAACAATATTCTAATCCTTGCAAGAAAAATAAAATAAAAAATAACTCTAAAAAAAAGAAAAGGAATACTTGCAAAACTATAATTCATAATTAATCAAAGTTATTGAAACCAACCCGTTTTATTAATTTGATCAATTAACAATGAACCCATCTCACACACATACACATGATCTCTTCCCTAAATATCCTCTTCTCCCGAAACAAACGCGACAACCGGACTCCTCACATGGTGGATCCCATTACTCAGAATGAAAGAGCCAGATAACATGCTTGTTTCCAGCGCAGCCGTGACAATCACGACGAACGATTGCTTCTCTCCGGTCTCCTTGAAAAAGAGCACCTCTGGTTCAACTCGGATCTCGAGCTCCACTGGGACATCAATGAAGACCTTGTACGTTGTCGGTGCGGGTCCCACGTTCGTAACGGTTCTACGAAACAAGCGAGTGATCGACGTAGGTTTATCGTACGATAGAGCAAAAGAAGGGTAGTTTAGATCCCACACGGTTCTGGTAGTTGGTCCAGAACAATCAGTACTCTGGTCTCCGGTGACAAGGCGGAGTTGAGTAAGGTTGTATCCTTGCCCACACAACATCCTAACGTAATCGATCTCCCCGGCGTCATATACCAGTCCCGGATCCACGGCCTTGATCGGGTCGATCTGGCCCGACCCGTATGCAAACTCGGCATCACTGTTATCTTCGACGCTCAGTTGACGAGCTGCGATGAACGTACATCATAAACATGAAGAAGGGTAATCATGCTCAAAATGATACGTGAAGCGCGAGAATCGAAAGAACACTAGTGTATATATACCTGTTGTCATCAGAGCAGATTTGATGGCGGCGGGAGACCATGCAGGATGAAACGATTTAACGTAAGCTGCGGCTGCTGAGGCGTGAGGACAAGACATGGAAGTGCCGGAGATTATGTTAAACGGGACGATTCTCGTGTCCCCGTCAAGTCCTGTCATGGTAGTACCTTCAGACCATGCTGCCAGGATATCGACTCCCGGTGCTGTAAGGTCCGGCTACATACATGCATATGTTACAAATCCACGGGAAGGCATTAAGATCGACTTATAGCACATGGTGGAATCACTAGACCAAGTCTTTAATCCTTAGAAACACAATTAATTAATCAATCAGAGGATTAATTACCTTGAGAATGTCTGTTGTTATTGGGTTAGGCCCCCTTGAAGAAAAATAGATCACACGTGGGGATGAATCATTGGTGTAGTACTCCTGTGTCTTGTATATCACTCCAGTTGGATCGCTGACCGAAAACAAATCATAAGCATGCGTAATTAGACCAGTGCAACTTTTCTGCTACGACTTAACTTTCTTAAGAAATTACAGCATTATTTAATATGTGCATGCATGCAATCGGACGTGTTTTTTCGTTCGCCATCTACGTACGTATACCTGGTTGAGTTGATGTACTCCAAAAGGTCAACTCCATCGGCATGGGTCAAGATGGAAACAGGTAAAGGAAATGGAAATGCCACCTCACGTAGATTAACAGTTTTGGGAGGAGGAATCATTGTGGAACCGGCGGCACCCACTCTAACTTGCTCAGTCCCTTGGTTGACACCGTTGCAAACCACAATTTTGCCTTGCACCAATGTCTTGTTCAAGCTTCCTATATCGCAATTCCTGTAGTTTTTGTTTTATATAAAATAGAATGATGAGTTAGTTGTGTTTTATGGAGTATACAATAATCCAAACACTTGTAGTGACATATATAATTCTATGCAAATCATGAGTTGAAATCGAGTTTGGGGTATAATACTATATAATCTAACTTTTAATTAATTAAACCTCATGTTCCGACTTTCTAAACCCAAAAACCAATTTAATGAAAGATAATAATAATTGATGATTTGATTCGCTGAAGTACAACGAAATACAACGATCACATCACTTAGCTTGGAACATAATATACTCCTAAGTTACCACAGTCATTGCCATAGAATGATAAACAAAAGAAAAAAACGCTATGAGTTCTCTTTTTTCTTAATTTTTTTTTTCATTTTTAACATCATTGAAACTTTTCACGCCCAATCGTTAGACATCCATAAAATACATGTATTTGAATAAAAAACATGCATTTTGCAGGAAAATCTGTAAAAAAAGAAGGTAATATTAGTATTTGGACGAATTATCTTATTTTTCTGCCTCAAGGTACCCACCCTGAACTGGCAGAAGTTCCGTTTGGCGCATCTCCACCATAGATGAGAGGATACAACTTGTTGGCCTCGTCTGTATTCATAGATACTCCCTACAATACTTAAAGAGACAAAACAATCAATATTACGTTTTAAAACTTAAACACTTATATATTTATGATTTTTTTATTATGAAAATACTTCTACATGAAATCACATTTTTTTAAACTAATATAATCAAAATCTCACTTTAAAATTTAAAAGTTTACGACTTTCACGATTTTCCGTCACCAAAACGCAATGTATCACCTGGTAAGTTCTGCCATTACCCAACTTCACTGCCGTGGTGAACTTTCTGTCAGTAGTGCTAGCCGCCACGGAAAGCGACCAAGGAGAACAATTCGAGACAGTTCCTCGATCAGGGCCAGAATTGCCAGCCGAGTTCGATGTAAGGATGCCATTCTTCATGGAATGGAAAGCTCCAATGGCTATGGAGTCCTCGAAATAGTCTTGTGGCCAGCCTCCAACCGACAGGGAGATAATGTCGACTCCGTCAGCAATAGCATCGTCGAATGCTGCTAAAATGTCGGCATCCGAACAGCCATCTTCCCAGCAGATCTTGTAGACGGCGATTCGGGCAGAAGGGACCCCGCCGCGGGCTGTCCCGGAGGCGAGGCCGAGGAGGCTGGCCGGAGTCACTGTGTTGCCTGCTGCCGTGGATGCGGTGTGAGTCCCGTGACCTTCGGAATCCCTTGGAGATGGGATTTCGCCATTCTTGAAGTCTTCACCGGCGTGATAGAATCTAGCTCCAATTATCTTGCTGCAATTTCAAAGTTAACTAAATTAATTAAAAACATCAATTGAAAAGTTTGTATGATTTATAATAAAAAAAATTTACATGTCACAAATACTAGCTAGACGTATCCATATAAGTGGGAAGTGTTTAAATTACTTGTGTTTTTCTATTTTTTTTTAAATATGAATATCAGTCAACTTATTTAATGCATGTAAAAATGTGGATTGATTGCGACCAAAAGCTATCCAACCTAGCAATTTACCATGCACTCCTATTACTATATTGAAGAAAGAAGAGTTTGTAATTAAGAGGCTCACTTGTTACATGTGAAATTGGAAGAGGATTGGCAGGTACCCTTCCACTTCTGTGGAGGTGGGCTGTACCCAGAATCGTTGAAGCTTTGAGATTCCGGCCAGATTCCGGTGTCGAGCATTCCGATGATAACGTCGCTCTCCACAGTCGTTCTCGTGACATTCTGGGGGAAGCCTATGAAATCCCATGATCTGGTCGTGTGTAATTGTCTCAATCGACTAGGGAAAACGGACGCTACACTTTCGTGTCCTGTGTGGCATGTAATAACATGCATAAACAGCTAATAATTATGAGAGTACTTAGCTTCTAAAGGGGAATAATGAAAGCCATTGAAAAATTCCTGAATTGCCCACCAGACAGTTTCTCTGACTCGGCCTTTGTCAGCTTGGCAGCAAAGCCATTGAAGCTCTTGCTGTAGCTGTAAACCAAGGACTCCGAAGCAAGGCTCACGCTTTGGATAGGCAAATCAAATTTAATTTCAGGGATTAGAGCTCAAGACTAGACGAAAATGATAATTAACATCTGCCACACTCTAGATTCAACTCAAGAGTCAATAATCATCCTTAAAAAAAAAAAAAAAAGGTGACACGCTAGCTTTCTTACCTGCCAGTAACCTTGTGAAGGAGGCTAATGTGAACAGCAGAAGCAGCTGTAGGAGTTTCAATATTGTGGGGACGATCGCCCATGTACACTATGAACATCTGCAAATATATAGATCATAATATAATTAAATGAGACTAATAATATATGAGGAAATTAAAGTAATTAAGCTCGATAATATATATGTCTATATATGTATATGCCTTTCTATCGGTCTCATTGCCACAGCAACTGAGGGTGAGCCAAGAAGCGATGACGGCGGCCACCAGAAGCCATGAATTTAGGAAACTGGAAGTCTTCATTGCCATTGTTGTACCCAGGCCATGATAGATGTTGTCCAAGGTTCCTTTATGTAGGCTTTTTATTTCTGTCTTCTTCCCCATGGCGGGTTTGCCGCATTGTGACACTTCATAAAAGGGACCGAAAACGTCCTTGTGCTGGATCGATTGAATCTATGTAAGAGCGTGAGACAGCACATCCATTTATGGGTATCCTCGCGAACAACTGGAAATTGGACCAGCCGCCAAAAGCTGGAGAAAGTGTGAAGTCCATTGTGGAGCTCGTCTAGTGATCTCTGCCACCAATCAAGTATCATATATCATCATTGTGTGTACGAAATGTGATTATGATGCACGAGTATTATTTATGAAGTCGTTATCGATGGATACATTTATATGGAAACAAGTCATTAATTAATTCGAACTAGTTTAGATTAAAAGCAAAAGGGGCAGCAGATGCCAGATGATGACATCTGACAAGAAACAAAGTCTCGAGAGAAAACAACAATCGACACAGTTTTGAGGGGAAAAAAAAGGAATAATAACCCATTTTGGAAGGGGAAATCAATTTCAAAAGCTACCACCAATTTTGGGGACAATTTATATATGTGCAACCTAGCGTGCGTGGTGAAGAGCACATTTATTGATTAAATTTGAGTGGAATAGTTTCAGGTCCTTAAGCCTACTAACTTAAGAATTATCTTAAGCCATTCTTATTGGTTGATGAAAATTTAGGCGGTTAATAGATTGCTAGTAGTTATTGACGGTTAAGAATAATTAGGGTATTAATGATATTAATTAATTAAAAATTAAAAAGCCAATAATTAGGACTGCACTCATCAATTACCCCCAATCCCTCTCAATTGGCGCCCTTCCCATTGTGAAGGATGTCAAAAGCCACAAAATCCACCGCCACAAGCTTTTCGTCGCCGGCGGTGGTTCTTTTTTTTTTTGGCTGCCGCTTCGATACTTCCAGCAACCACCACCAGGCGAGACTCTGCTGATTTTCCTCCTCGCGAGTCAACTCCCTCCGTGTTCATGGATCTTTTCCCGTCAGAGGCGTTGGTGGATACGGGGATGTCATCGAGTCTTATTCACGGTGGAGCTCAGGATGGTGGTTCCCACTCGGTGATATGTTGTTGCGCACGTTGAGAGGTTTACAATAAAAAATGATGAGAAATCGTTAACAATGATGGATAAAAATTAACTTCATACACGCTAAGAATGACAATATAAATCGTTAATAATTAATTGCAAAAAGTTAATAATATCATTATAAGTCATTGTAAAAGCCATGATTGACTAGTTATGGACATAATGTGCAAACATGAATCGTTAATAAAGATATTGTAAATCATTGATAAAATTATTCAAAGTGTTAATAATAATATGACATAACTTTAATAGTTACTTCTTGACGATGAAAACATAAGTTTTAGGCTTCACATTATTATTCAAGCTATTAATAATAATGTGCCAATTATTGTTAACATTTTTGTTTTAGTTTTGAATGAAATACAATATTATTTTGAATGGAATACATGATTTTATTCTACCATTATTAATAATTTTATGTTGGTTTTCAACGAAATTCAGTTTGATGATCAATGACTTGCTCATTCATTATTAACGGTCTTCAATATTCGTATTATCGGCTTGATGCCATTTTTCAATGATAAATACATCATTGTTAATATTGTTGTTTTAGTTTTGAACGAAATACAACATTCATATGTATGTTTTGGATGATATATGATCGAATATTGGTTTGCTTGATTGATGTTTTACACCTCCATTAACTAATGTTTGGTTTACTTAATCACATATGCAATATGTTATAGATGTCAAAGATTTTAAAAATAAGTGGTATGATATATGATCGATATAAACGACAATGTAAACCAATATCAGTTGATTCCAAAACGTAAACAATGTAATTGAAAGTCATAATAGGAGACCATGATTAGCTAATTATGCACAAAACATTAAAAAGTGATTCCTAATAATGAAGTTGTAAATCCATGATAATTTTATTCAACCCTTTAATAATCGTTGATGGCAGAAATGTAAAAGTTAGCAATTGAACTAAAATCATTAATAATGTAACCGTAAAACATTGATAAGTATATACTGTTATTGTTAACAATGATGTCGTATATAAATAATAATTCATTTCTTAAACATTGATAATGGAATTGCAAATGTTAATAATTTTATTAAAAGTTGCCACGGGAAGAGAGTGTAGACATTCTGAATTTTGAATTTCCTTTTTTAAAGCTTTAAATATTAATTACGAATTTCCATTTCAATTCCAAATATCATTAACTATTAAATAGTAATATTTAATTAATATAATCTTATTTGCACTTTTAGGTGGTTAGACCTCACTTTCTCTCTCCTCCTCTTATTGGCCAATAAAAACTTAAGAAACTCCTTAAGTTTTAGACTTAAGGACATGATCCAACCCGAATTTGAGTCGAGAGAGAGAAAAGAAGAAGTGTTGTCCATCGCAATTTGCAAGCATTGTTTTATTCTTCTATCGATTCTTTTTTTATTTTTTATTTTGGTATTCTTCTATCGATTCCGGTTACATAGATAGGCTCTAAGTAATTATTATTTCCTAATTGCTATATACCTTTTTAAAAAAATGAACAAATAAATCTTTTAGATCATGTCAGTTCCAACTGCTGACCGTCCAAACAGACGGCAAATTAATTAACATAGTTTCGATCTAATAAAGGTAGGAAAGCTCAATAATATTTCTGCAATGCAAATTCTTTTACCATATTACTACATAATGAATCATATAGAAAAACATCAAATTAAAAATAGAATTAATAACGACGTCGACAGAATATATAAACTGCGTTTTAATTAAACCGCTTTTACATCAGTCACGCGACGAACGCCACAAGAGGGCTTCTAACCACGTGACTGCCATCACTCCAAACCAGCGAACCAGAGAGCGTAACGATCCCCAATGCAGCCGTCACCGTCACAACAAACTCCTGTTTCTCCCCAACACTCTTGAAGTTGAGCACGTCCGGCACGACTTCAACCTTTAGCCCCGACGGCCCCAACGGCCCATTTACCGTCGCCTTGTAGCTAGACACCGCCTTCCCAACATTCGTGACGGTCCTATGAAACACTCGGGTTACACTGTTCGCAGGCGTTGACGACGACAGAGCGAAAGAAGGATAGTTAAGATCCCACACTGTTCCATTCGTCGTGGTCGAACAAACACTGTCGTCTCCCGTCACGAGGCGGAGCTGTTTCGTGGTGTATCCTTGGCCGCAAAGCAACTTCACGTAGTCACTCTCCCCGGCGTCGTATACGAGCCCGGGGTCCACAGCTCTTGATGGGTCGATCTGACCCGACCCGTATGCAAACTCGGCGTCGGCATTGTCCTTGACGGTCAACGGACGAGCTGTTGTCATTAGGGCAGACTTGATGGCGGCAGGAGACCAAGTAGGGTGGAATGATTTGACATAAGCTGCGGCTCCCGACACGTGGGGACATGACATGGATGTTCCGGAGATGATGTTGTACGGGACGATTCTGGTGTCTCCGGTTTGATCGGTCAGAGTGTTTGCTTGAGTCCAAGCTGCCAAGATGTTCAATCCTGGTGCCGTCAAGTCCGGCTACATACAAACATGATAATCCAAATTAAACAATCATCAGGATTCAACCAAAAACCAATAATATATATAAGAAAGTGGTATAAAATTCTTAGAAACTTCACTCAATAACTTGAGTGAGTGATTGTGACTGATTTGTTCATTACATGGTAGAGGTGGCTATCTGGTCCGGAAATTTTGGTTTTATCCAAAACCGAACCGTATAACCCAGACCAAACCGGGACCATATAGCAAACAATCCAATCTCGTATTCGGGTTTAGATTTGAGGTAAAAAGTCGTTCGGGACCGAATCGAAAATCGGATAAGAGAGCCCAACACCCAAAACCTAACCAACTATTCACCCTTTCAGGCCTCAACCCACTCAAACCCCTACAAGTTCAATACAAAATCAAGACCGGACCAGATCAAGATCGGACTGTATCCAATCCAATTTTTGATCCTCATATTCCCGAAAAGACCGAACCGGTACCGGATCAATGCGAGCCAGTTTAACCGGACTGGACCGTATAGCCACCACTATTACGTGGTATCAGAACTTATTTGGTCAGGTGGTCGCGTGTGTTCGAAATCTACGACCACAAGGTATGGTGCCCATGTACAAACTTCAAACTTATAAGTTAGATTTTCATTTGATGAGACATATAAGAGAATAATATAAAATTCATAATAAACCTTTCCTCAATTACTTGAGTTATTTTGTCTGAAAATTCCTTTATTTAGACCTAATTACCTTGAGGATGTCACTGGTTATGGGATTAGGGCCCCTAGATGAAAAGAAGACGACATGAGGGGATGATGAATTAGAATCTGTGGAATCGGTGGTCTTCGATATGACTGCAGTTGGGTTCCTGGTAAAAGAAACCATTACAAATATTGCAAGTAGGTTAAGCCATTTGGTGCTCTTGATCGATCTATTGACATGTGTATAGTATCAAGTTGGAAAATGTATATCAGAGTTGTTCGAGCATACTTAGTGGAATTTATGTATTCCAAAACTTTATCTCCAGTAGCGGCACCCATGAGAGAAACGGGTAGAGGAAATGGAGATTCCAATTCTCCATAAGGTGAAGAAGATTTCATTATAGAGCCAACGGCGCCGGCGTCTATCTGTCCCAACCCGGAAGCGGAAGCATCATCGCAGTACACAATCTTGCCTTTCACGAGATCCTTGTCCAATGACCCTGCATAACAGTACCTACAATGTTTACGGGTGAAAGAGAATTCATTAGGTCAGTATAATCATTATTTCAAAGTCCTCGATCAAAAAGTCTTCAGCAATAATTTATTTGGAGTTATATGGATGAAAGATTCTAGTGGATCAATTTGTCTCAATTGTTTCGTTTTGAGACAATCTGGTTTAATTGATCCGTTTGGCAGCATAAAATTTAGATGAAACAATTATGTCTGAAGAATCTCAAACTGACTCATTTTGAATCAATTACAATTATCTAGGGGTGGGACCGACAGTTCCAATGGACTCGTTTTAAATTACTCGTTTTGTAAAATGAGACAATTGGTCAAATTGTCTCGTTTTTCAATTGATCCGTCCAAACGGCCCTTTGCAAAATACGGGTTCTTGACATTATTTATTTACGGATGTGCTACGGTGACCTAAAGTCAAATTGACTTACATTCTCTACTTGCGATAGCAGGTTTTCAAGGTCATTACGTAGTAACTATTTACATAATGCATGTTTCTCTTACGTAATAGTTGTAGAATGGCATTAGGTAAATCTTTCTTAATATATGGTGTTTTTACGTAATGGATATTAACGACGACTTATGTAAGACGCACAACCATTATGGAAGTCTTACGTAATAATATTTTTTTAACATTTAGATAAATATCTTGATAATTGCTCACCTTGACATCTCACCACCAGCGGTCTTATTTGGAGCATCCCGACCGTAAATTATGGGATACATCTTCTTACCAGGCTCGAACGTGTTCAGAGAGTTCCCCTGCATGCATGGCATCCATGCAACGTAGAGCTTGAATTAGAAACCCAGCAAAAACACAGCACAAAACCAAACCAACAGTACGATTCCGCCATCTCACCGTGATAACCTTGCCGTTACCCAACTTCACATTAGTTTCGAACTTCCTGTCAGTGGAGCTAGCAGCCACGGAGAGCGACCAAGGAGAGCAATTGGAGATCGTTTTAAGACCGGGGCCTTCGTTACCAGCCGAGTTGGACGTGAGAATTCCGTTCTTCATCGAATGGAAAGCTCCAATCGCAATGGAGTCCTCAAAATAATCCTTTGCGGAACCACCAACGGAGAGGGAGATTACGTCGACTCCGTCGGCGATGGCGTCGTCGAACGCCGCTAGAATGTCGGCGTCGGAGCAGCCGCCGGCCCAGCAGATCTTGTAAACGGCGATTCGAGCGGAGGGCACTCCTCCTCGGGCCGTCCCGGAAGCAATGCCGAGGAGGCTGGCGGGTGTCACCGTACTGCCGGCTGCGGTGGATGCTGTGTGGGTCCCGTGACCTATGGAGTCTCTGGGGGATGGGAAGTCTTTTGCGGTAACCTTGACTCCGGTTTGGTAGTATTTAGCTCCAATTATCTTACTGCTCGAAAAGGAATCAAATCACAATGCAGCAAGTGTACGAAAGTGGTCAAGTTAAATATATGAATTTCTCTCTAAGTTACAACACGTGATAAGAGAGTACTGATATAAGATTCATAATGAATGAACCTTCTATCGATAGTTTGAGTTATTAGGACCAGTTTCATTTGTGACATGGTATCAGAACTGATTTGTCCCTGGAGTCACGCGTTCAATTCGTCGTGATTCCCAATATTAATCGTTGTTTTTATAGCACGTATGGTATGACAGACATATGCAAAATTGAGCTCGTGAATTAGCTTTCGTTTGAGTAAGCTTGTAAAAAATGGTCAAGTATCATGGATCTCTTCCATCAACTCCTGTTATTGCAACCACCATAACTAGCAACAAAAGTTGAATGAAATTGGAGGGAAAATCGGGAGGGATGAATTACTTGTTGCAGGTGAAATTGGAAGAGGACTGGCAGGTGCCCTTCCATTTCTTTGGAGGAGGGCCGTAACCTGAATCGTTGAAGCTTTGGGACTCGGGCCAGATACCAGTGTCGAGCATTCCGATGATAATGTCGCTCTCCACGGTTGCTCTTGTGACGTTTTGGGGGAAACCCAGGTAGTCCCATGATCTTGTCGTGTGGAGTTTTTTCATCTCACTAGGGAACACAGACACCACATCTTTGTAACCTGGAAACACAAAGCCAGCCACCGGTATGATACTTGGTTTGAATTCCCGGCCTGTACAAAAATTCTTTGACTATTGAAGGAGATCACTTCGCCATTATATGATTTGGTTGAAAATGTTTAGACCCACCGGCTAGTTTGTCTTTCTGGGACTCAGTCAGCTTGGCAGCAAAGCCGTTGAAGCTCCTGTGGTAGCTGTAGACCAAGGAATCTGCTGCGAGTCTTAGGCTGGCCGGAGAGAGACAAATCCCATAGTTAAGTTCATGTTCAAACAGAATGGGCTGTGAAATTTCTCCTTGCTTTTTTTACCTGCCGGTGGCGCGGTGGAGCAAGCTGCGGTGGAGTGCGGAAGGTGGAGCATCGGCTTTAGGGCGGTCGCCCATGTACACGATGTATAACTGCATGCAACCATGCATGCAAATTCCATCGGTCAACGACCGAAAAAGCTTAATTCTGACGTGGGGGCCAAATTAGTGGGCTGGCTGGCACTTAGGCCCACGATACAATGTTTGTTTTTATAATGTAGACTCTTAAGGGTTGGCCCAATATTCTACATGCTCCAGCTATATAAAGCTTTTACTACGCACGACCACAGATTTACAGTCTACTCTACCCAAGTAGTGAAAATACAAGGCTGACAAAGATGAGATGGAAACAGGGAAGAACATGAATAAACTATACCTTTCTGTCTTGCTGCAAGTTGTCACTGCCACCGCCTCTGCAACTGACAACAAGGCAACAGGCGACAGCGAGAACCAGAAGGCATGAAGAAATTGAAGAAGTTTGCTGCATTGCCTTTCCCATGTTGGCAGTGTATAGTTTTCTGCTTGCTTTTATGTGGTGATGATGATCAATGTATTTTGTAATGCATTGCAAACACAGATTGCATTGCTTTATATATAGGATTATAATTAGACGGACGGACATAATGGCCAAAACGGGGACATTGTATGGGCGACAAAAGAAAGAACACTGGTCAATTACAGACATCGGCATCAACCATAGGTTCAGACAAAGGATGGTATCGTTCAATATCGCTACTCCTGACGACGAGTCCTGTCCATCTCCGCTTCTCTGATTTCGTCATTACCTGTGCTGTGTATTAGTATTACTCTCCTTCTAATAAAATAAGCTGGTGTACCACATGGTAGCCATTGTTCTGTTCTGTTCTGTTAAAGCTTCTAAATAAGCGTAGAGATCGTTGGCTTGCTGGCTGCTGCTCGACTTTGAAGACATAAGACCAGAGCTTTTGTCTGCAGAATCTCGAATCTGATCTGAAAGAGGCCATGGAAAGAGTCATTGTAAGTTTATTATTCGAGAAAGAAATAATTCTGTTTTAATGGTTAATAACGTAATGATTAATTTGTAGACTGAATATAGCAACATAAGATCAAACGTGGAATTCTTTCCTTGGGAAGAAAACTAACTGGAATTTGCTGCTCCAACAATATTAGTCACAGGCTCACAGCCCTCTTATAGGCTCTGCTGACATTTCTTAAAGAACCCGAGACCAAAAGAGAAAAAAAGATGGGTAGTTCAGCTCAAAAACTGTCAGATTGATTGCCGGACAACTAGCAGAGTGATCTCTGGTTATAAGCTGCAACACCCTTGTGCTCTAGCCTTGTCCACACAAGAACTAGGCATAGTCTATTGGTTCAGCATCATATATCAGCCCAGGATTCACATCCTTGACAGGGTTAAGCTGCCCTACTCCATATGCAAGTTCAGCATCGGGATTGGTCTCAGAACTCATTGGAGGAGCTGCACAAGGGGAGTGTTCAATTAGAAATTAGCATTAGAAGCCACATCAGGAATATGGACAGAGATCTGAACTTGCTGCAGCTTGGATAATTACCTGTATTCAAGAGGGAAGACTTGATAGCAGAAGGGGAACGTGTGGGGTGAGACGTGAGAGGGTTTTATGTAAGTAGCAGCTTCACTCGCGGGGTGGACAAGCCATTGATGTTACTGAGATGTTGTTATACGCAGAGAATCTAGGATCCTCTGGTAAGTCAACTACGGGACTGACTGGAGACCAAGCTACTAGAATGTCTACTCCTGCTGCAGCTATATCTGGCTGCAACCATTGATATATTATACCAAGGTGAGATCCTACCTGATTGAACTACTTTAGTTTTGAGGATGTTTTTCAACATTAGGAGTGAATTATATTCGGACCCCCCTGATGAAAAGAAAGCAACAATTAGTGCCAACTTATCCTTGGCTTCTGTACTTCTCTTTATGGTAGCAGTTGCATTACTGCAATTGCAAATCTTTCATTTTGGTTAACTGTTTTGACCTCAATCTCATTCTTCTACCTGTATCAAAGTGTTTCTGGTTGGAAGGTCTCTACAGTTAATGGATGCTAAGAATTGCCTCTGTACAGCTCAGGACATAATATAATGTCAAAAGGAAGGGTATCTTTGGCAGTAAACGAATCAGAAAGATGGATATTAGATTTCAATGTACATGAATCAAAGTACATTACAACTTTAATTCTACAATAATTTTAAATATATTTACTTGCACATACACAGATACACTTGCATCCAGCATGCCACCAACTAAAATTTCCCATAAATCAAACTCCCCCAAGTCCCCAACAGATACACTCCCCAGCATAATGCATGATCACTCACTGAATGACATAAATGCAGCAATGGGACTCCTTACCATGTGCTTCCCATCACTCCAGATTAAAATCCCAGATATGGTATAGTTCTTAACCACAGTAGAGACTGTCAAAGCAAATGGCTTTTTCTCCCCAATAGTCTTGAAACTAAGTACACTTGGGTTGACCCGGACCTTAAGGTTTGCTGGTGCTTTTACCATGGCTTTGTAGGTTGCATTAGCTGATCCAACATTTGTAACGGTTCTGTGAAATACCCGAGTCACAGAGGCTCCTGATCTGGTTGCTGATAGAGCAAATGTAGGATAGTTTAGATCCCACGCGGTTCCATTTGTAGCTGCAGAGCAAGCACTAGGATCTCTAGTGACAAGTTGGAGTTGCTTGGTCGAATACCCTTGACCGCAGAGAAATCTGATATAATCCTTCTCCGTAGCATCATATACTAGTCCAGGATCTGCAGCCTTGATGGGATCGATTTGTCCTGTCCCATATGCTAACTCTGCCTCAGGATTATACTTGGCACTCAGGGGTTGTGCTGCATGTTAGGAAACATAGATTAATAGAAATTAACTTCAAATTGTTTCTTACAATCTTTAAAGATTGTTCACGGAATTAGCGCAAGGGTAAAGCTGATATGTTTCTAGAGTAACATGAGCACCTGTTGTCATAAGAGCTGACTTAATCGCAGCAGGGGACCAAGTACGGTGGAACGATTTGACATAAGCTGCTGCTCCAGATACATGGGGGCATGACATTGAAGTACCGGAGATGATGTTGTATGGGACAACTCTTTTGTCACCAGGGTCACCCGTCACAGTTGTAGCCTTAGACCATGCTGCCAGTATATTTACTCCTGGTCCTGTCAAGTCCGGCTGCATATATAAAAGCTCATCAGATTAAGCTGAAGGAACCAAAACCACAAGAACCAAAACTGAGAACTAATTCATTTTTTACTTTGAGAATGTCAGGGGTAATCGTATTTGGACCCCTCGAGGAAAAGTAAACCGCGTAAGCTGGTGAGCCATCCAGGTAGTCAACCGTCTTGGATATCACGGCAGTTGGGCCACTAGAAAAAGAAATCACAAGAATTCAACATGATGTTCACTCATACATTCAACAGTGTGGTGCAGCAATTAATTTGTGTTGTACCTGGTCGAGTTTGAGTATTTCACAACATCGTTTCCATCCGTTTCATTCAAGAGAGAGATGGGCAAGGAGAAAGAAAATGCCACATCTCCCTGTTCATTGTTTCCCATTATGGCTCCAACAGCACCAGCTGCTAGAGCTCCATCTCCCTGGCTGGCAGCCACGCAGTAAACAATTTTCCCTTGCACCAGGTTTTTATCCAAGGAGTCCGAGTAGCAATACCTGCAATTTTCAGTAATGATAAGGACAAAAGTACAATGTTGTCTTCCCGTATCAATGTTTCAGAACTGATTTCAGTCGTTTTTTTCATGTACTCACTTTGAAACGTTTCCATCGTATCCTGCCGTCTTATTTGGTGCATCTCCACCGTATATAAGAGGGTACGTCGGTTTCTTGGGCTGAAAAGTGTTGAGAGCGCTCCCCTGCATGATTGATTTAACAGAAGAAACACGTTCTGATATGGTTAAACCGTTAACTCCTAAAGCAACACAACAAAAATATCAAGATAAAACTTGGAACTTCCATGTCTCACATTATAAGTTTTGCCATTACCCAACTTGACATTGGTCGTCAACTTTCTGTCAATGGTGTTAGCAGCAACAGTGAGTGACCAAGGAGAGCCATTGGCGACCGATCCAGGAGCAGGGCCATCATTGCCAGCCGAGTTGGAAGTTAAGATTCCCTTCTTCATGCAATGGAAAGCCCCAATAGCAATGGGGTCGCGGAAATAATCCATTGGTCCACCACCAACTGAGAGCGAGATTATGTCGACTCCATCAGCACAAGCATCATCAAAAGCTTTTAGAATATCAGCATTTGAACAACCAAAAGACCAGCAGATCTTGTAGATAGCGATTCGAGCAGCAGGGACACCGCCGCGGGCAGTCCCATTGGCAATGCCATAGAGATTAGCTGAGGTGACAAAATTCCCTGCTGCAGTGGAGGCAGTGTGACTTCCATGGCCTTCGGAATCCCTTGGTGAAGGGATATCATCTGGACCGTAATCTCCTTCAGCATTGTAGTACCTAGCTCCAATAATTTTACTGTAAAAAAAGAGGGGCCATTCCAATTAAAGCTATCAAATTCCTGACCATTAGGTTATGATATTGGGGTGGACAAAACCAGAGCATAGTTAGGGTTTAGTGTTTGTTACTTGTTACAAGTGAAGTTGGAGGACGATTGGCAGCGACCCTTCCATTTTTTCGGAGGTGGGCCGTATCCGGAAGCGTCGAAGCTCTGGGACTCCGGCCATATTCCGGTGTCTAGCATTCCGATGATCATGTTGCTCTGTTGGCGGCGTGTGGATGTCGACGCATTCTTGGGGTAGCCGATGAAATCCCATGATCTCGTCGTGTGGAGTTTCACTATCTTGTTGGGGAACACAGAAACTACACCTTCATAGGCTGCCGTAATGAAAGGAAACAGAGTAAGCCATTGAAGCTCCGGCGACGATGGGGGAAATGAAACGTGAGAGAAAGAAAAAAAGAAAACCCACCGGAAAGTTTCAGATGCTCGGCCTGTGTTAGTCTGGCAGCGAAGCCGTTGAAGCTCCGATGGTAGCTGTAGATCAAGGAATCTGAGGCGACCCTAGCACTGCCGATGATGCGTCGAAGCAAGTTGATGTGGAGTTCGGGAAGAGTTAGAGAACCTTGGCTCTTTGGACGGTCGCCCATATATGCTATATACACCTGGCAACACGGAGACAGAGTCCACAGCCAAATTTCATATTTAGTGTACTTCTTTCTTGGCACGGTGCAGATAAGTCCTAGAAGTATACCTACCTTACCAAATGAACTCCATATTATTCTACTAGGTCATGAAGATGCGATGTTGAGTGTTTACGAATCGAATATTCATTTGATATATACTAAGTATTCATGAACTAAGATACGAATGTGTATTAAACTACGTCATGACTTATAATTTAGTGACAAATGTGTATACACTATGTTATGTGATAAATGTGTATAAAATGTCGCATGTTAATGTTGATAAATAGGAGTTGGATGTGTATCAAATAGGAGATGAATATGATAAATTTGTTTTCGTAAAAATGATTCTCTAAGAGATGGGGATGAAAATCATTAATGTTTGAACACTAGAAAAATTAGAGTCTAGATGAGTTTATCTACGCTTGCCAACACGGACAATGGTACTCCAACAACTACCATCTTCATGGATTAGGAGATCAACATATAATCCTCTTCCTAAATTTATTTTTTTCAATCTCATCCAATGAGTTATTTTAAACCAGTCCGATAGTTTAACATTTAGAAAACAAAATAATAACGAAATTGAATAAATCAGTGCCATGAAAAAATCAGTGATTGGAAGGAAGAAACTCCATTGACAGAAGAAGTAATAAGGAAACTACAAGACTTATATTTATGGGGCATGCCTTTCGATCTTGAACAGAAGTGGCTGAACAGCAAGCAATCATGAGCAAGAAGAAGGCACAGTAGGCAAGCTTGAGGGCAAGAAGCCGCGAGGATGGAGAACTGCTGTACATGGCTGCCTTACCAAGGTTTCTTTAGATTGGAGGAAAGATGTATGTTTCCACTTTCCAGTTTAGGAATAGAGGGTTTTATAAGGATGGTAATGGAGAAGGGAAAACATTAAAACACCATTCCAAAATTACAGATCATTAGTCCTCCGCAGAGACTGAAGAAGACAATAATTGATATCAAGGAACCAGGCTGCAGAAGTTCTCCACCCTGATTAATTCCATGTCGTTGTCATTTGGAGAACCAAAAACTGACTTATTCTCCATTGTATATTTTTCAAGCTAAGGATACGATCTACTAATGACTATTTTTTGTTATGTGGAGAATCAAAAATCGACTTTTTTACCCTGATAAAAAAAAATTACTGGTTTGAACACTCAAGAACTATTTATCTTAAATTGTTGGAAGATTTATGAAAATAAATCTTATATCAATACGTTACATAAACAACAAAGAATCAAATCTATTGTGGTTCAGCATATATATTAGATTTATTTGTCATGGTTAAAGCCTAAGATGTTCTACTCAAAGATATTGAATTTCTTGAAGTTAATTACTTTGTTAGTTCTTTGTTGTTGAGGATATTAATTATTTAGTCAAAAATAATTAATTCCTTGTCTTCCAAGTCCCTTGTTTCCTTGTCCTTGTCAAAGAAGGAAATTTGGTTGTCATTAGGGTTTTAACCCTACGTCTATATAAGCTTAGCTACGAGATTGTCGTAAGCAAGCTGTCACAATGTAGAGTCCCTAATAAAATATCAGTCGTGAGCTCGTTCCGAACTCACCGTGGATTAGTCTCGATCAATCAATCGATCGAGGATACCACGTAAAAATCTTGTGGTCTGTGTTCTTTCGTTCTTCCGCGTCATCAAATTCTACATGATATCAGAGCGAAACTCGATCCCTTATCTAGGGTTTTGAGCTTCCACAGTCTCCATTGTTTCTCGTCTTCACCAATCGTCAATTTCCGCGTCGCCTATCACATGGTCACGAAGGTCGTCGCCCAGTCACAGCTGTCGTCCTCAATTCAGTTCAGCGCCGAGTCCCTCAAACTTGGTGCTGAACCGGTCTATGCCTTTGTTCATAGGCTGCCTGCCGCCTAAAGTCCTGGTCAGAATCGTCTTTCTTGAAGCCTTTGCGGCCGTCATCCGCATCCCCAGCGCTTTTGTATCCGTCCAAGCTCCTCGTTCTGTCTCCAGTCATCGTCCATATCGCCATTGTTATCTTCGTCAGCGAGGCCATCGTCGAGGTCATCAGTCAAGGCACCAACCGTGAGACACCTTCGTCAATTTCACGGTAAGGTTGGGTTCCCGGCGTTCATCCTTTAGTCAAGAAGCAAGGTCAAATCATGGCCTGATTTTCTTCCCGACGTCGCCTCGTGTGAGCGTCCTCGCCTGCCCTGTCCTGGATAAGAATGGTCATCATCTTGTTCAGTAGCGGCACTCTTGTCACCCTTTCCAGGTCGGCGCCATCGCCAGCCAGTCTTCTTCCCTCGCCATCGTCATTCTCGTCATCACCGCACGTCGCCGAGTCGTACCGTGATCGCTGCTGTTACGAAGTCTCCCATAATCAGCGACCTCGGTAGTAAGCCCCGCCAACGTCAATCTCAGTCAAAATATGCTGGTTATCTCATCGGTCTTCATAGGCTATGTTCGCCACATGAAGTCATCATCAACAACCATCTCCTGTAGAAGGCAGCTCCTCGCGTCGTACCGTTCAACTCGTATCAAGTTAAAAGTTCATGCCACAATCACTGTGTTTTGTCAAGATGAAAGGGTGGTGATTGTTTTTGTAAGCACTAAGCACGATGAAAGGGTTTTGAAACGCCCAAGGCCGTCCTCTCCACAATGGAACGCCTAAGGTTCCCCTTTTAATTTTGTTTGGGCCAGGTTATTGAGGATTGTTTGGCTTCTGATCAGGCCCACAACTCCTCGGTTGTTTATTTCATCCATGTTGAAAGTGTCGCCAAGCCAATCTTCACCAACAGAGTCATGGCGTTGAAGACAATTGTGACTTGTAGTGGTCATCCCTTCAATAGCTAGTGTTGGGAAGATAGAGCTTATTCAGTCAACAAAGTTGGTTAATTGTAGAACGAGGCAGTCACGATCCAAAGAAGCGATCCTCCCCTTGACGTTCAAAATCAGGTAATTTCAGTCTTCACCATTTTTAACTTTCAAGCTGGGCACGTCATTCATGCTCCAGCTTGAGGGGGAGAATAGGGCATCATAATATGTGGTCAATCAGTTCAGCATATCGACCACGGTGTATCAGTCAAGGAGGTTCTCCAATCTTGTTCAAGAGAGACGATAGTCAGAAGTCTCTCAATCTGTCTCATTCAAGAGAGGCGCAGTCAACAACCTCTCAGTCAATCTCATCCAGGTAGAGGCGCAGTCAACCGCCTCCACCATATCGTTCGGATAGACGCAGTCAATCGTCTCCGTCAAGTCATTCAAGAGACGCAGTCAACCGTCTCCATCACGACGTTCAAGAAGATGTAGTCAACCGTCTTCATCAGGTTGTTCAAGGGAGAGAGTCAATCGTCTCCAAATCAACATCGTCCGAGATGTTATTCATCTCGAGTTTTGTTGTTCAAGCTTGTCATGCTTGTTCGTCACATTTCCTTTTTCAAGCTCGACATTCTTGTCACTCATGTCTTCGCTTGAGGGGAAGTGTTGAGGATATTAATTATTTAGTCAAAAATAATTAATTCCTTGTCTTCCAAGTCCCTTGTTTCCTTGTCCTTGTCAAAGAAGGAAACTTGGTTGTCATTAGAGTTTTAACCCTACGTCTATATAAGCTTAGCTACGAGATTGTCGTAAGCAAGCTGTCACAATGTAGTCCCTAATAAAATATCAGTCGTGAGCTCGTTCCGAGCTCACCGTGGATTAGTCTCGATCAATCAATCGATCGAAGATACCACATAAAAATCTTGTGGTCTGTGTTCTTTCGTTCTTCCGCGTCATCAAATTCTACATTCTTGGAACTCCAAGAACTCCATCAAAAGGAAGCCAAAGCCAGTACCTAGATTCTAAAGCAAGGAACTTTTTTCTTAAGATAATGGCAAAATTAATTAAAATCAGAACGGAAATGAAGTACAGATACAGCAAGAGATGCAGCAAAATCTCATTATGAATGAGACTAAGGACCCTTGAAAACACACAAGAAGAGCCTAACATATGGGGAAAGAGACACCTCACATCTTGGCGGCTAAAACAGTAAAAATAGTCAGAATCAGAGCCAACCTAGCTATCCATTCTATCAATTTTCGTTATTGCCTGCAACCACTGAATCCGTGCACCAACAATTCTGCAGTTGGCCACTTTACTCGTCGTGTACTCTTTCCCTCGAACGGCTGTTCCTTTCTTTCTATAAGAAACCAACAAATTGCGTGAAGAGCATTCGCCGAAAACCATCCCGATGGGCAAGATGAAGACAGGGTAGGTCACATTCTAATGATATCAATGATGCTCGTAAGTTGAAAAGTATGTAGTGAGATAGCAAGTTCAACCCGCTGCCAAACATCCTGTGAAAAAGGGCATTGAATTAGTAGATGGTCTGTTGTTTCTTCGTTGTTGAGGCAGAGACAGCATCGACTAGATATGTTTCATCCACCTCGCTTCATTGTTTCTTCGTTGTTAATGCGTTAAGATGCTCTGATAGTACACAAAGTCACAAACTAGATGAGAAGGTATCAGAAGAATTCGGCAACCAAACTAGATGAGAAGGACCATAAGTCAACAACACGTTATCAGGAAGTAGGTTTAAGACATTTAAGCAGTGAAATTTAAATTGGTGTTTGGGACTTATCCAGCATTAACAAGAGAGAACATTGTGCCGTTCACGTCCAACGTATTGATAGAAACACCCTACAGGCTACACAAGAGAGCGAGACAAAGCACAACACCTGAAAAGCCAAAACTTTCCAACTCTGGGAACTATGAGCTAGAATCTAGATGAGTTCACTGGACCAACTGAATTCGGATCATTCCCCAACATCACCATCGTTAATCTGATTGTCAAAAAAAAAAAAAAAACCATCGTTAATCTGCACATCAACCTGCAACATTTTACCTATCTATCAACTATAATACTATACGTGAACTAACGCCATGATTTAGTGTAGCTGTACAAATACGGTTGCCTTGTGATAGATTGGGTGAAAGACCTGTAAGAATAAGTGTTTCCAATTTGAAGGTATCTACAGTTAATGGATGCTAAGAATTGCTGCTGCACAGCTCAGGGCATAATGTAATGTCTAAAGTCAAGAGTATCTTAGGCAGTAAGCGAATCATAAAGATGATAGTAGATTTCAATGTTGATGAATCAAAGTACATTACAACTTTAATCCTACAATAATTTCAAATGTATTTGGTAGAACATATACTTACATCCAGCATGCCACCAACTAAAATTTTCTCATAATCAAACTTCCCAACAGATACAGTCCCCAGCTTAATGCATAATCACTCAATGAATGACATAAATGCGGCAATGGGACTCCTTACTATGTGCTTCCCATCACTCCAGACCAAAATCCCAGATATGGTATAGTTCTTAACCACAGTAGAGACTGTCACAGCAAATGGCTTTTTCTCCCCAGTAGTCTTGAAACTAAGCACACTTGGGTTAACCCGAACCTCAAGGTTTGCCGGTGCCTTTACCGTGGCTTTATATGTCGCATTTGCTGATCCAACATTTGTGACGGTTCTGTGAAATACCCGAGACACAGAGACTCCTGATCTGGCTGCTGATAGAGCAAAAGTAGGGTAGTTTAGATCCCACACGGTTCCATTTGTTGCCGCAGTGCAAGCACTCGGATCTCCAGTGACAAGTTGGAGTTGCTTGGTCGAATACCCTTGGCCGCAGAGAAATCTGATATAATCCTTCTCCCTAGCATCATATACTAGTCCAGGATCTGCAGCCTTGATTGGATCAATTTGTCCTGTCCCGTATGCTAACTCAGCCTCAGGATTATACTTGGCACTCAGGGGTTGAGCTGCATTTCAGGAAATATCGATTAGTAGAAATTATTTTCAATTGAGATTTTCACCAACTTAGCTCAAGGGTAAAGCTGATATATTTCTAGAATAACATGAGCACCTGTTGTCATAAGAGCTGACTTAATCGCAGCAGGGGACCAAGTACGGTGGAACGATTTGACATAAGCAGCTGCTCCAGATACATGGGGGCAAGACATTGAAGTACCAGAGATGATGTTGTATGGGACAACTCTTTTGTCACCAGGTTCTCCCGACACAGTTGTAGCCTTAGACCATGCTGCCAGTATATTTACTCCTGGTCCTGTCAAGTCGGGCTGCATATATATAAGCTAATCAGATTAAGCTGAAGGAACCAAAATCACAAGACCCAAAACTAAGAACTTATTCATCTTTTACTTTAAGAATGTCAGGGGTTATCGTATTTGGACCCCTCGAGGAAAAGTAAACCGCGTAAGCGGGTGAGCCATCCAGGTAGTCAACCGTCTTGGATATCACTGCAGTTGGGCCCCTAGCAAAAGAAATCACAAGAATTCAACATGAAGTTCACTCATACATTCAACAATATGGTGTAGTACTCTATTTGTGAGGTCAATGAAAATTCTCAAAAAGGCCTTTAGTAGCCATTTGCCCTGCCGTTGTACCTAGTTGAGTTTGAGTATTTCACAACATTGTTTCCATCCGTTTCATTCAAGAGAGAGACGGGCAAAGGGAAAGGAAACGCCACGTCTCCCTGATCATTGTTTCCCATTATGGCCCCAACGGCACCAGCAGCTATAGCTCCATCTCCCTGGCTGCCAGTCTCACAATAAACAATTTTCCCTTGCACCAGATTTTTGTCCAAAGAATCCGAGTCGCAATACCTGCAATGTTTAGTAATGATAATGACGAAATTACATTGTTGCTTTCGTGTATAAATGTTTAGGAACTGGTTTCAGCCCTTTTTCATGTACTTACTTGGAAACGTTTCCATCATATCCTGCCGTCTTATTTGGTGCATCTCCACCGTAGATAAGAGGATACATCGGTTTCTTGGGCTGAAAGGTGTTGAGAGCGCTCCCCTGTATGATTGATATAAAAGAAGAAACAAGTTCTAGTATGGTTAAATCGTTAATCCCTAAAGCAACACAACAGAATTATCAAGAGAAAACTTGGAACTTCCATTTCTCACATTATAAATTTTGCCATTACCCAACTTGACATTGGTCGTCAACTTTCTGTCAATGGTGTTAGCAGCAACAGTGAGTGACCAAGGAGAGCCATTGGCGACCGATCCAGGAGTAGGGCCACTGTTGCCAGCCGAGTTGGAAGTTAAGATTCCCTTCTTCATGCAATGGAAAGCCCCAATGGCAATGGGGTCACGGAAATAATCCATTGGCCCACCACCAACTGAGAGCGAGATTATGTCGACTCCATCAGCACAAGCATCATCAAAAGCTTTTAGAATATCAGCACTTGAACAACCAAAAGACCAGCAGATCTTGTAGACAGCGATTCGAGCAGCCGGGACCCCGCCGCGGGCAGTCCCATTGGCAATGCCATAGAGATTAGCCGAGGTGACAAGGTTCCCTGCAGCAGTGGATGCAGTGTGACTTCCATGGCCTTCCGAGTCCCTTGGTGAACGGATATCGTCTGGACCGTAATCTCCTTCAGCATTGTAGTACCGTGCTCCAATTATCTTACTGTAAGAAAAGGGTCATTCCAATTAAAGCTATCAAATTCCAGACCATTAGGGCCATTCAAATTAAAGCTATCAGATTGGGGGGACAAAACAGAGGATAGTTAGGGTTTAGTGTTCGTTACTTGTTACAGGTAAAATTGGAGGACGATTGGCATCTACCCTTCCATTTCTTTGGAGGTGGGCCGTAACCGGAATCGTTGAAGCTCTGGGACTCCGGCCAGACCCCGGTGTCGAGCATTCCGATGATCATGTTGCTCTGTTGGCGGCGGGTGGATGTCGACGCATTCTTCGGGTAGCCGATGAAATCCCATGATCTTGTCGTGTGGAGTTTCACTATCTTGTTGGGGAACACAGAAACTACACCTTCATAGGCTGCCGTAATGAAAGGAAACAGAGTAAGACATTGAAGCTCCGACGACAGGGGAAATGAAACGTGTGAGGAAGAAAAAAGAAAACCCACCGGCAAGTTTCAGATGCTCGGCCTGTGTTAGTCTGGCAGCGAAGCCGTTGAAGCTCCGATGGTAGCTGTAGATCAAGGAATCTGAGGCGACCCTAGCACTGCCGATGATGCGTCGAAGCAAGTTGATGTGGAGCTCGGGAAGAGTTAGAGAACCTTGGCTCTTTGGAGGACGGTCGCCCATATAAGCTATATACACCTGGTAACACGGAGACAGAGTCCACAGCCAAATTTCAAATTAGTGCACTTCTTTTTGTGCACAGTGCAGATTAGTCCTAGACGTCTACCTCCCTGGCTCCCTTACCAAATGAACTCCATATTATTCTTATTGTGGACATTTTAATCCTATTGTCTTGTCTTTGAATACTAAGGTCATCTAGATCTAGATGCGATGTTGAGTGTTTACGAATCGAACACTCAACATGTACTAGTATACAAATGTGTATAGACTATGTCATGACTTATAATTATGTGACAAATGCGTATACACAATATTATATGATAATTGTGTACAAAATGCCACATGTTCATGTTATAGATAGTAGTTGGGTGCAATGTAGTTCACATCGCGTTTTAAAACTTAGAAACTTACGATTTTACGTTTTTTAGGTCACTAAAACGCTTTTACACAAAATCTCAGTTTTTATAACTTACGTTGTTAAAAACACCGCTTAAAAACTTACGATTTTACGCTTCTAGATCACCAAAACATTTCTACGTAGAAACTCGCTTTTGACTATATTGGTTGGTTGTGTATCAATTATTCAATTTGGACTTGATGAGTTTGCTTTCGTAAAACATGATTCTCCAATGGATGCGGATTAAAACCATAAATATCATGAGTCTTGTTGAGTTTCTCTACGTTGACAACATGGGCGGTGGCACTCCAACAACTACCATCTACGAAGATCATTTCTTCTTTCTAATTTTTTTTTTAATCTCGTATATTAAATTATTTTATACCAATCCGGTATTAACGTTGAGGATATGAAATATTAAGAGAAACTTGAAACGATGCAATAAACCAGTACCAAGAACGGATCAATAACGATCGTGATTAGAAGCAAAAACTTAAGAAAACCAAAAAGTTATGGGGCATGCCTTTCGATCTTGAACTGAAGTGGCTCGACAGCAAGCAATCATGAGCAAGAAGAAGAAGGCAGAGTAGGCAAGCTTGAGGGCCAGAAGCCGGGAGGATGGAGAACTGCTACTTGTCCCTGTTATCCCCATGGCTGCCTTATAGGAATTGTTTAGATTGGAGGAAAGATGTCTCTTTCCAGTTTAGGGCTTAGGGTTTTATAGATAGTAATGGAGAAGGGAAAACAATAAAAAACACCATTCCAAAATTAGAGATCAATGGCCTTCTGCAGAGAGACTGAAAAAGACAGGAATTGATATCAATGAACCAGGCTGCAGAAGTTCTCCCCCCTGATTAATTCCATGTCTTTGTCAATGCTCAATGTTATATTATGTGGAGAACCAAAAACCAACTTATTCTCCATTGTATTTTTTTTCAGATTATAGAGGACGATATTTTATCATGTGGAGAACCAAAAACTGACTTATTATGCATTTGTATTTTCTTTATTCAAACTTAAAGATACAATCTACTTATTTGAACCGTCAACAATTAGTTGTCTCGATCGTTTGAGTTGTTGGAAGATTTTCAAAAATAAAAATTATATTAATTTAGGATGTAAAATAAAAAAAATAACCAATCTATTGCGGTTAACCATATTTTGGATAAAAAAAATTTGTCATAGTTAAGGCCTAAAAATGTTTTACACAAAGATATTAAATTCCTTAATTTTCTTACTTCTTGCTCAAGCCTCAAGAGTATCCCTCTGAGGCTCTGACCCACTAGAACAAGCCCGCTGAAATTGTTGGACCTAAGTCCAGCGTCAATTTTACCTCAAAATGATCCGACTGTTTATTTGGGCCAACATAACAGTGGCCCCGGCCCGTGAATACCCGAACCCCCCAAAATTTCGCTCCTAAATCCAAACAAACAGCCGTTTCGCATGCCCTTTCGTCCCTTATTTCTCTGGCTCTGGGTTTTTTTCCCCTCTCTTTCTCTCTCTTCCCCTGCCTCCTCCTCCCTTCCAACCTTTCTCTCCCTCAGGTGGAAGAACAAAAGAAAAAAAATGGAAACAACCAAAATCCAATAGCCAAAAGAAACCCAAAACAACCAATAAGCGTCAAACTTCTTTCCGCCATATTTTTATGGTATTTCCCCCCTGCCGATAACTTCTTCCCCACCTGTTCTTAGATTTTCTTCCCTCCCTGATTCTGTTTTCCGGTTGGCAGGCTGAACCCAGAATCAGAACAGCAACAAAATGGCGTACAAAGTGGATCATGAGTACGATTACCTCTTCAAGATCGTCTTGATCGGCGACTCCGGCGTCGGCAAATCCAACATCCTCTCGCGGTTCACCCGCAACGAGTTCTGCCTCGAATCCAAATCCACCATCGGCGTCGAATTCGCCACCAGGACCCTCCAGGTATATTATACCCCATCTCATATCAATCCAATGCGCATCCATTTCTTATCATTCTCTCCGATCTGGCCCTGGAATCCGATTCTGAATTCTGGGCATTCGTCAATTTTTCACCTTTTGGGGGGAAAAAATCAGGTGGAAGGGAAAACGGTGAAGGCGCAGATATGGGACACGGCAGGGCAAGAGAGGTACAGAGCAATTACAAGCGCGTACTACAGGGGAGCCGTGGGAGCGCTACTGGTCTACGACATAACGAAGCGGCAGACGTTCGACAACGTGCTGCGGTGGCTCCGCGAGCTGCGCGACCACGCGGACTCCAACATCGTGATCATGATGGCCGGGAACAAGTCCGATTTGAACCACCTGAGGGCGGTGTCGGCGGAGGACGCCCAGATGTTGGCGGAGAAGGAAGGGCTCTCGTTCCTCGAGACGTCGGCGCTGGAAGCGTTCAATGTGGAGAAGGCATTTCAGACCATCTTGCTTGACATCTACCAGATCATCAGCAAGAAGGCGTTGGCCGCTCAGGAAGCGGCCAATGCCTCTGGAGTGCCGCAGGGGAAGTCCATTAACGTCGCCAATCTCAATGGTAACGCTAACAATAAAACCTGCTGCTCCAATTGATCTGAGTTTCCGGATTTCATTTTCCATTTTTTGCCCCGAATTCGCCTGTTAATTTTTGTTTGATCTTTTTTTGGGTTTCTGCTTTCTGCTTGTTTACGGTCCGTAATGTATTCGATGATGGTAGAGCTTTTAGTTTGTCATGATCAAAGAGAGAAATGGGTAGACAAGAATTTTTCCGTTTGTTCCTCACTTTTGTTTTGTGTGTTTTGTGTGTTTGGCTGTCGATGGTTAGTATAGGTGGGGGTTATGTATTTGTAAGGATTTTGTATGATCATTACTGTTTGTGCTTGTAATCACTAATCATATGCTAATTTCTGTCACATTCACTAATTGTTTAATGTTAATTGTGACAGTAAGGAATTTTTTTCTCAAGTTATTGCCTTGTACACATAAATCATATTAGTTATTTAGAGTAAACATTAGAAGTTAATATTTCCATCAGAATCGTATCAAATGTAAGCATATTGTTGGTTGGGGATTATGTGCTCTACTAATACAAGCAAAATGATTGTGCTCTATGTAAAGTGCAGCTAAAGAGAAATATTTAGAACACTGGGATTAGTTCAGCAATAGATAAACATTGAGCTTATGTTAAGGTTGTCAACATGGTTTTAACAATTAGTCCGGTTGAGAAAGTGGGTTAAGGATTGATGATCGAATTGGTTTAGGCTAATAACTCAAATATGTGAATAAACTTATCATATTGTGCATATTTATATATAAAGAGTGGCTTCTGTTGTACTTGGGGTGAATCTAGAACACTGCATATCCTTAGTAAAAAACACTATCTAAACTTACTAAATTTGGGGTATGATACTATATCCTTAGTAAAAAATACTATCTAAACTTACTAAATTTGGGGTATGATACTATATACTTAAACCTAACAACTAATTTGCACCTGTGTATTGTCAATCTTGTTAACAACATGAGGGAAAAGAGGAATATCTAGTAAGCCTAACATTTTTGGCCAAATAAAAAAAAAAGTCTCCAAATTTATATTCAAAATTTTGTTGCTATAAATCTCAGTTTAATTGATCAATTTCATCTTCCATGATGCCCAAAAACTATGATTCATTTGGGTTTACAAGATTGAATAAACTAAGTATACTTGGAAAAAAATAATTTCACTCCATGAACAAGTTCTTCAATCACATAACATTTATGAACAATGGTGGTATCGAATGCCATAGTCATGCGACGCAAAAAATTTATCTTGCAATAACACGACACATGGCGGTAGACATGTTCATTAAAATAAACTTGTATTTTGCTTACATATAAAAATGGTTACAATTTGAATAATTTGACTCGAGAACTAAAGTTGATAAAATAAATAATTTTTTATTGTCTTCTCTTTCTCGCCCTTAAGGGAGAGATGAATAATTAGCTTAATAAAAGTCTAATTATTCGAGAAATCTTTTGAACTGCAAATAAAATCTTCAGTTATTGGAATTGCGAAGGTTATTAAACGAAAAAAGGAAATGATAGTAGAGAACGATTCAATACACTGAATACAGAAACAATTGGGAGAGGAAGAGAGATTTATTTTAGCTTTGTTAATTGCCACTATAACCTTGCCTGAGAATAAGAAGAAATTTAAAATTTTGAAATGGAAAAAAATATACAAAAGTACTATCTGTATTAATTATTAGAGGATTGAGGATAAGACCTTCCAACAATACTAAAAATGCACATGTCACTTCAAATCTTCAATAGTTAATTATCTCATGCCTCATGGGGGAAAATACTGCAATTTGAAAATGCAAAACATTAATCGACTAATGAGAATCGAGATGCAAATGAATCCATTAGTTGAAGTTGAATCGCCGATCAGATCAAGCAAACACGACGAAAGGACAAATTTAGACCCACAAAAATCCCTAACACAAATTCCACTTTTTGGACTGGAATTTTCAAGTCATGTGGAATCCACAAATTTAGACCCACAAAAATCATGGGTAGCACATGTTTATTCCACCTAATTGTATTCAACAAACAATGGACTTTGTCCAAATTATATGAAGATTTAAGTTTGATATATCAAATTCATGATAAAAACTTCAAGCAAAAAAGACCTAACATATAATTCCATGTACGATAAATGTGGATTGACTATGTTATGAACCCTAATGTTTTGTCACTATAGCTCTTCGTGTTACCGATGAACAAATGATAATTTTTTTACTGATTCGAGAAGTGTTTTAATTATAGTTAAAAAATGTACGCTTAAACTGACGCTCAACTCTCACTAAGTGTTATTCCATGCCAAAATGTCTAGTCCATGGGTCCCACTCTCAATTAGAAACCCAAAACACGTTGATGGAGTACAATGGTAGCAGAGGATGATTCAATGGAGAAACTAGTGTTGATAAGTGTTAACGGTGTAACCGATAACCGAACCGGAACTGGTGCTTAACGGTTACTCCGATAACCTATTAGATAGTAAACGGTCGGTTCTTGATAGTCAAATTTAGATCATAAATAACCGATGGTTAAACAGTTAATAATCAACAGTTAAACAGTTAACCGACTAACCGATTGCGACATTCATCATAGTTAGAGAAAAAAAATATAGACATCCATGAGCTGCAAACATAGGCCGAAAATAATGGGGTGTTTGAAGTAGAGATGAGTGGATGACAACAAAACCCGAACCCAAGGGTACCCTACCCGACCCAACCCGGTCAATGCGGGTAAAATCCATATTGGCTGGTTTTGGACCGGGTTTTGGTTTAAACCCGCTACACCATCATCGGGTTGGGGTAGGTTTGGGTTTAGGCAAACCCTCCCTATGGGTACCCGCCCACACCCGTATAATTTATTTTTTCGGTATATTTAATATTCTAAACAATATATCTTCCTTAAACAACTAATCTTCTTTATGTTTGTAGAGGCATGTCTAATTTGTTGTTTCTAATTGTGTATGATAGAGTTGATTTTATGGATTGGAGAGTGAATAAGCTTAGTTGACAAGGAGGAAGGAGTTGTCAATTAATCATGTTGTTTATAGATGTTTATGTTTAATTTTGAACAATTTGTATTGATAATTTGCGGTTTGCTTGTATGTTCTAGATTGGTGTTTTTTGTATGGATAATTTTATGAGAAAATTGATGTTAGACTTTTATTTGGAAGAAACTTGTTATTGTAAATTTTTTACCGCAAAAATCCACGTGTACCCATGAACCCGCGAATACCAGCGGGGGTAAAATTCAAACCCAGCGGGTTTTACCCCGGGTTTTTTTACGGATAAACCCATGGGTTTGGGTTTGACAAAACTCGCCCCAACCCGACCCATTGTCATCCTTAGTTTGAAGGCTTACAAGACCCCTTGCCTATCCTAGTTGTAAAAGTGATTTAGACTCAAATGAGAATAATTTAATGAAAAGTTTTAGAAGGAACACAATATAAAGTCGGACTTGCACACAATTGCTCGACAACAATCAGTAACATTAAGTTTCCATGTAATTTGGTGGTGTTTACGAGTTGAGTAAATGTTTGTTGGGTCTCGTATCGTGGTATGCTTCTTTAATAAAGTTTGATAGTATAAAGTATTATTGTGTACTTGTGTTGGATTGAGTTGATTAATGATTGGTATGTATCTATGATAAATTATTTTTAATTTATGATAACAACTTAAGAAAAGAACACATGTATGTATGAAAAATTATGGAAAATTTCACAATTGAAAAAAGAGGTCCAATGATGGTAAGGTTATTGAGCCGTTATTTTGGTATAATCATGTCGAATCACTTGGTTAACGGGTATCCGGTTAACCAACAAAATAATAGAGAATCGACCATATGGTTACGGTTAACCGACTAATTTTTAACGATCCGGTTAATGGTAAGCACAAAGTGCTTAACGGTTAACCGAGAACCGATTAAACATTTCCGTTGTTATAACTGAACCGATCATCAACACTAGGAGATAGGGATGGGCAATGGGTGGGTTGGGTCGGGTTTTTTATAAAATCCACCCGCTCATTGTTATGGTGGGTGATGAAAAAATGACCCACACCCACCCATTTATATCGTTGTGCGTGGGTAGGATGGGTGACGGCGGATTGTGGGTGTGTTTGGCGGTTTTGGTGGGTCAAATTATTTTTAAATAATTAGACAGTTATGAGTCATAAAAGTTTGTATTAAACTAATTGAATATCGATGCTACAAATCAAGAAAATTGAGAGCTATTAAACATAGTGTATTGGATAATCTAACACCAATTACCTCATATGCGAACACAAAATAATTTGTTGATATCATATTTTAAAATGATCGATTTTATGTTGTAAATAAAGTAAAATTTATACAAGATAATTGTAATTTAATTGAATCAATCACTATTGAAGTTTTGGTATAAGAAAGAATAGTGTTTTATTATAGAATATGCATTAACAACTTAATATATCATGTGATTTTTGCAGGAAATGACCCACGCACTACCCACACACTACTCACCCGCCACCCGCCACCCACCCAAATTTAGTGGGTGACAAAAACGATGACCCCCACCCACCATATCCACCCAAACATGTAATGAGTGGATTATAATAGGGTGAGTTTGGGTGGGTCTAGTGGTTGACCCACCCATTGCCCATCCCTACTAGGAGAAACAATTGGGGAGGAAGAGAGATTTATTTTAGGGTTGTTGATTGCCACTATAACATTGTCTAAGATTAAGAAGAGATTAATAAATTTGCAATAGAGAAGAGCACACAAAAGTGTACTATTTTTATTACTTATTAGAGGATAGAGGATAAGACCATCCAACAATCCTAAAAAAATGAACAAAATGCACATGCCACTTCAATAGTTATCTGATGGGGGCAAAATACTGCTACTTGAAAATGCAAAACATTAATCAACTAATGAGAATTGAGATGCAAATGAATCTTATTAGTTGAAGTTGAATCGCCGATCAGATCAAGCAAACAAGACGAAAGAACTGGGCCTTTATGGCTTTATCCATTCAAAATGTGAACTGCTCTTTGTCTTCTCTATGAGAGCTGCCCAATATTGTAAGATTAAGTACTTCTATAAATTTGATTCCCAAGTCACCCCTGAAACCCAAACCCATGAACTCCAAGCAAGAGAGAAAGAAAGAAGGAGAAAGCAGGAGCATATCATTCCAGATAGAAAGGAAGAGATGTCAATGGCTAACGTGCTGCATATGAATGGGGGCATGGAAGAGACCAGCTACGCTATGAACTCCTTGCTTCAGGTAAATTAAATGAGAGAGACACTGGTGACAGTGATGAGAAGTGTTTTTTTGGTGTTTGCAAATTCGTACCGACAGAAAAACTGTATAATGTAGCTCAAGTTGTTAGACGATTCTACTTGTATGAAAAAATTGAATCGGGACTAAATCACAGTTTGAAAATAACACAACATACTACTAAATTTTTATACAACCTTCGACACGATTTTACAATTCTTGGTATCATGTTATTTATCATACTATGCCATTAGTTGCATATTAGTTTGAGTTTTACTATTCTTTATAGTAAAATTGTAATAACATTTTCTCATTAGTATTAGAGTTAGTACAAAATTCACTTTTCAGTCTATAGCCCTTTATGATAATAGTAAATGGTGCACAATATTTTTCAAATAGAATTCTGATGTATTCACATGGTACCATACTACTCGTGCTCTTGTAACAAAACTCATAAGAAATTTCAAAGAAGAGTGACGAGTTTGAATATGACACAATTTTTTTTTTATAATAGTGATATAGGTTGATTTTTATAGTTAGATTAATTTTTAGGTTCAAAATTAGCAGTATTACCACTAAACTAAGTCGTTATTCACATGACGAGAGACTGATCATTTTAAATTTTTGTCTCCACAATTGCAGCGGAAGGGGATATCAACCACTTTGCCGATAACAAAGGAAGCCATAGCAGAACTGATGTGCAACTCGAGCGTCGCCTTAGGCAGGCTAGTAATTGCAGATCTGGGCTGCGCTTCAGGGCCTAACTCCCTCTTCCTCGTGTCTGAGGTAATCAAGGTCGCCCACAAGCTTTCCAGCGAGATGGGCCACGAATCCACCGACCAGTTTCAGATCTTTCTGAACGACCTCCCTGGAAACGACTTCAACAACATCTTCAGCTCCATACAAGGCTTCAAGGAAAAAACAAGGAAAGAAATGGGGTCTTGTCCAGATTCTGAACCATTGATCTTCATCACTGGAGTCCCTGGTTCTTTTTACGAAAGGCTTTTCCAAACTGATAGCCTCCATTTCATTCACTCTTCCTATAGTGTTCACTGGCGCTCTGAGGTTCCTCGAGGTCTGGAGGAGAACAAGGGAAATATTTACATGGCCAAAAGCAGCCCTCAATGTGTCTTAGAAGCCTATTACAAACAATTTCAGACAGACTTTTCATCTTTCTTAGAGCATAGGGCTCAAGAATTGGTGACAGGAGGACGGATGGTTCTGACCTTCCTGGGAAGGAGAAGTGCAGAACCTTCTGCCAAAGAGTGCTGCTACATTTGGGAACTTATGTCCATGGCTCTCAACCAAATGGCATCTGAGGTACTTATTATTACATGTTAGTACGTGGTGTAAGATCTATTATCAAATTTCCTTCAATAATTTAAGTTATTGGGATCAACTGGTTCTTGACACGTGCATAAAAGAGAGAAGAAGAAATCGGTGTTTTCATTTTAAAATCAAACTTGTTTCTTAGGTACATTTGGGTGATTTGTTGTCATGCTCTCTCTTGCAGGGGTTGATAGATCAGGAGAAATTGGATTCCTTCAATCTCCCACTGTTCACTCCATCTGCCATGGAAGTGGAAGCCGAAGTCCAAAAACAGGGATCCTTTGCCATCGAACACTTGGAGTTGTGGGATATGAGCTGGAATGCCTATGAGGGGGAAGTGGACTTACCTGAAGCCCTTCAAGATGGTGGCTACAACGTTTCCAGGTGCATGAAGGCGCTGTTTGAGCCGATAATCGCCCATCAGTTTAATCCGTCGAGGGAAATCATCGACGAGGTTTTCAGGAGGTATGGTCTCCTTCTCTCAGAGTGGATGGCTAAGGAGAGAGCTGTTCTCGTGAGTTTGACTGTCTCGCTCACTAAGCGGCGTTAATGACAAACTGGAAAGAAATCGACACATGCACAAGGGTGATTCATGTTTCTTGGAATGTTGATCATTGTAATAGTTAAAATTATCGGTGCAAAATAAAAGTAAGGTGGTTTTTTTCGTACATTAGAAAAATGAAGGTCTTGGTTAAAATTTGTAAATCATGAATCTACGATGGAATCGGTCAGTTTGATTTTTGGAAAAAAACCATATATGCTTGTTAGATTTCACGATGGATTTTACTTAGTTAGATAATTAATTTATCTTATTGTTTTTATTAATCATTATGTATTTTTATATTTAATTTTTGTTATACACCTTACATCCTATAAGTGGGGATAAAAGAGTAAACATACACCATGTACTTGAGACCCTAATACAAATTCCATTCTCTGGACTGGAATTTCCAATTCATGTGATCCACGAATTTAGACCCTCAAAAATCATGGGTTGCACATATTTATTCCTCGTAATTGTACTAAACAAACAATGGACTTTGTCCAAATTATATAAAGATTTGAGTTTTATGTACCAAATCCATGATAAAAAACTTAAAAACCTTCAAGCAAACAAGACTTAACCGATCATTTCTTGTACGATAAATGTGGATAACTATGTTATGATCCCTAAAGTTTTGTCACTATAGAAAAGCCTCAACTTTACCCGTTACGTGTTACCGATGAACATATGATATTTTACTGACTCAAAAAGTATTTTAATTCTAGTTAAAAAAGTACGCTTAAACTTACGTTTAGCTCTCACTAAGTGCTATTCAATGCCAAAATGTCTAGTCCATGGGGTCCCGCTCTCGGTTAGGAATCCAAAACACGTTCATGGAGTACAACGACACCTAGGTGTTGCCTACCTGTAATTAGGCGGAAATAAGCGGTCAAGATCAAAATAGGAAATTAACATCGTCAACATTGACAATTTATTCTCTATTTTTAACAGGTTAAGAACTTTGTGAGTTATTAAGTTATGATTGTTTTAACTTGTGAGTTTTTTTTATTGTTGAGTATTAAATAAGTTATTAACAATTTGAACTAAAGAACATCTAGCCATAACCGAATATCGACCTTACACTTTTTAAACCTTGATTTTTATTAAACCGACAAGAGAACAAATATTGTGAAATGATGCATTTTTCATCCAAGTTAATTAAGTCAAATTACTTCATTTAGAAAACCCACCACCACCACAATCGCGAAATAGAATGATAGTACCATAGGAATTTCCATATATATATAGTCCCAAACTCGTTCCCACAACTTCTCTTGCACCTTCTATTCATCATTTTACCTCCCATGGCAGAGAACCAATCAGAAAATCCCTTCTTCTTCACTCCCCCACATCAGACCAGACCCAAAACCAACCCACCACCGTTCACCCATCACAACAGCTTCCCCATAACCAGCCCTTCTCTGATCCACAACTCCGGAGCTTATAATTCGCATCATCATCATCATCAGCAGCAGCAGCAACAACATGAGAACGGCTTGTCACTCTCTCTTTCCTTCGCCCAGCAGCAACATCAGCAGCCAGTCCCTCTTGGTCCCTTCACTGGCTACGCCTCAGTCCTCAACAGCTCCAGGTTTCTCCGGCCCGCCCAGCTTATCCTCGACGAGCTGTTCGGTGTTAATTTCGACCTTCCAACTGCCCACTTCCATGGCCATGCAAGCCAGAGTGGCCCTGCCGACGAGGCCATCCTGACACCTGCAGAGTTTGCTGGTTTAGGAGATCGAATGATGATGGAGTTTCGCTGGAAGGATTCAAGACTCATGCTTATGCTCGATGAGGTAAAATGGCTTTCCAAAAATGTGTTAGTTAGATAATGTCTTAATCCTTCTAGCATTAACGTGTTCGCTGTCTAAAAAACAGAGTCTAATTAAACTGGTGGTTCCTGGTTTGGTTGCTGAGAAAATTAAGAAAGTTTCGGGGTGATGTAATCAAGAGCGAAACAAGTTCTAAGGACTGATTGGTACTCGCAACAGTGCCTAAAAAAGGAACGAGCTAGCCAGCTTTGCTTGTTAGCTTAGAATGCATAGGTAAATAACAGTAACACAGTATAGCATGAGCCTCTTTCTTTACATTTGCTCTTTTCCAGTTTCCTTTATGCTTCTGTTTGAATCTCTAGTGATGTAGGAAAAAAGTTTTTTGACCTGTTGGTGATAGGAAAAGTTGAATGAACCTTTCTCTTTAGATTGGTGATTGATAATCTGGAATCTGAGAAGAAGAAGAAGATGAAGAAGAGCCCACGTTCAGTACAGAGAACCCACCAATTTCGAAACCAAAAATGGAACTGCTGATTTGACCGTCTCTGCCATGGAACCCCACAGTCCCTCTCTTGGGAAAAGATGTATCTTCTTTCCTTTCCCTGGGGTTCAGATTATTAAATAACCCTCAGACAATGACCACAAAACAGCAAGGAAGGGGAAAAAAAGATGTATGGTCTTTTCACCTGTTCATATCAAAGTCACTGTTCCTCTGCAGTCCTGGCCTGATTTTTTCGGGTCAGTTGGACTGAGACCCACTCCAACCCACCATTCCCATAATCACAGCACCTGCTTAGTTAGAATAACAAAGCACATGATTAAATCCAACTTAAAACTCATTTGATATGTTTCTTGCATTACAATTTGGATCACAAACATATTGATTATTAAATCCTTGATCGATTCATGTTTTGATTCACATTAGGTTTACAGAAGATACAAGCTGTACTGCCAGCAAATGCAAACAGCTGTGGCCTCATTTGAAGCAGTTCCAGGGCTTGGCAATGCAGCACCATTCATCTACTATGCCATCAGATTGGTATCCAGCCATTTCACTTCCCTGAAAAATGCACTTCTCCACCAAATGCGCTTCCTTTCTAGATCATCATCATCAGGCTGCAGAAGTTACTCCTCTGATCAACATGAACATCAGCACCAAGAAGCCCTCCAATACCAGAATCATAATAATAAACCTTCCACAACATTCAACCTCAATTTCTTCCTTCAATCTCCTCCTCACCCTCCATTACCATCTCCGCCTCCTCCGCCACCGCCGGTCTGGCGATCTCAGAGAGGTCTCCCTGATCATGCTGTTGCTCTGCTCAAGTCTTGGCTCTTTGAACACTTCCTCCACCCGTAAGTTCTCGAATTCGTGAAACGATTTCATGGTTTACGTGCTGAATTTGGAGTAAACATGTTTTTTTTTTTTTTTTTTTTTTTTTTTTTTTTTTTTTGTGGGGAGTGTATAGGTATCCTACCGATTCAGAGAAGCAGATCCTGGCTCAACAGACTGGTCTATCGAGGACCCAGGTTAGATTTCTAACCTAATCGATATATTCTCTAGTAAAAGCTGGAAATCGAATAGCCAAAACCCTATCAAACAAAACCTTGAGAAAAATTCAAGGTTTTGTTCTTTTCACCTCAGGTTTCCAACTGGTTCATTAATGCGAGAGTGAGAGTATGGAAGCCAATGGTGGAAGAGATTCAGTTGCTTGATTCGGTCCACAAAGCTGCTGCTTCCTCCTCCTCTCTATCCGTACAACCACCTTCTGCAGCCGGCACGTCGTCTTCAGCAGCGGTGGCGAATGTCGGAAGCAAACGGTCGAGAAACAACCAGAGGCAGAGGCAGGTGGATATGGAAGATGCTGGGTTGGTTGACTGCTCTTCAAGCGACAGCGTCTCATTGGCTCTGGGTCTGCCTCGTACAGCAAATTCCCCAGTCAATCATCCATCTCCGTGGCCTTTCAACGTCAGCACGGCGGCGAATCCTAGCGTCGAGCATCATGGATTCACCGGCGGCAGCAGCAACAACCGGTGGTATAGCCAGTGAACGAAGATTGAGAATTCTGTGCTTCCGAAGAACTGAAAAGCCCCAAATTCTCGCGCTGATTTGTAGATGAACTGTTATTTGTGTTAATCGTGTAAGATAAAAAGGTTCGAGAACCATAGGTGTAATTTTACACCGGGCTTGGCCTTGGCTACGATACGGGCCAGAAATCAAAGCACCGGGCCTGGTTCTGTACTGGACTTCCGCGCATAGGCCATTCAGCTAATTATCTGGCCCAGTAGAACGTTAAAAAGCGGAAAAGCCCTTTACTCGTGTGATAAATTGGCCCAAAGTATACGAACTATACAAAGCATGTTTCACGGCCGCCGAAGTTCTACACAGAGGAATCCACGTGGCAGCTCTAGACTGGTACTAAGTTAAAGAGTTACACAGCTGTCAAATTGTAGCGGAGCCCGCACGCTTTACTAGCATCGGGAAATAGAATATTCAAGCACGGAATACCGGGAGCGGATCTTGTCAGTGGTAGTAATCCATCAGTAACCCCTCTCTCCTCTCTCTACGTGTCAGTCCACTTTTTTATTTAAATTAAATGCGGAAGGGCAGTAAGGTAAAATGCACTTATCCCCTATTTATTGCTGACGCGCTGACTTTTGACCGACCACATCAGGACCTCCTTCTCTCTCATCGAAAAACCTTTAATTTTCCTTCTCTTAATCTTTAACGGACGATTTCTCACTCGTTTTAAATCGAAATTTAATTTTTTTTGCACAGTTAGATCAGATTAATTATGCTTTTCAAAATGATATCCACTTTGATATTTTTTTGACACAAATTTTTTTTCCAGTTATTACCAGTCTATACCATATGGTATAGTGTGGTAATATCAATATATATTTCGTTACCACCCAATACCATATGGTATAGTGTGGTAATATCAATATATATTTCGTTACCACCCAATACCATATGGTATAGTGTGGTAATATCAATATATATTTCGTTACCACCCAATACCATATGGTATAGAGTGGTAATATCAATATATATTTCGTTACCACGCAATACCATACATTACCATAGGGTATAATGTGGTAATATCAATATATATTTCGTTACCACCCAATACCATATGGTATAGAGTCATAATATCAGTATATATTATCTAAAAGGAAAAAAAAAAACAGAAGGAGGGAGAGAAAAAATCGTCTTCTGATGCCTCTCATTTCCTCTTCCTCAATCAAGAACACCAAAATGCCAAAAAATTGAGAAAGATCGGAATTGAGGCCAACGAGTTGATGAAGAGAAGAAATGCAAAGAAAGAGAGTGGCTACAATTTTTATTCGTCGATTGCTAGAGAAAAAAATGAAGAAGGAAGATAGCAGATCTAAATTTGAAAAGGAGATTGTGAAAGAAAAAGTAAGAGAGAAGGAATAGAGAAAGAGAAAAGATCCGGAAAGAGATTGAAAGAAAAGAAGAGAGAAGGAAGAAAGTTGAGTTGCAGAGAAAATGCATTCTCTCTTTCATTGAAAAGTCAGCCATTGAAATGCGGAATGAATAAAAAAAATAAAAAATACAAAAACGGACAAAAATGCCCCTCCCCACTCCACATCCAGCCCAGCCGTAGGATTGCTCCATTCCCAATCCTACGGCTCCCGTGTGGTTACTGATGGGTCAGTAACCAGTGGTTACTGACCCTATCTTGGACCCGGAATACCCTTCCCGTCCTGCATTCCGAGCAACCAACCACATCTAGCCACGTCACGTACACTGTCGACAATCACGACCAAGAGGCTTGTCGGCCCCACTTAGCACAGCTGATCAACGGTGGATGACCGCGGTGCAGCACCGCTGACGATGGAGCTGACCGCAGGGGAGAATATGGAAGTCGGTTCGCTAAAGTTCAAAACCGGCAACTCCTGCAAATCGTTTGTTGGTATGGTGGGTGGTTTCGAAAGACGACTACGTTTTGGTACCTGTGGTGGTCGAACTCGGCAGCATTCGTTGGCTTCTTCGTCAAGCTGCCAAACTTTTGATTTCGTAGCCTTGTAGCTCTCTCTCTCTCTCTCTCTCGCTTCTGGCACCCACAGCAAACCACTCCAAAAAGAAAAAAACGAAGGCGAAACCGAGAAAGCTTCGCGTTTAGGTTCATATGCTTTAAGGGCTCGGATTTGGCCGTTTGATGGCGGAATGAAGCTGAGGGGTTTCGGTTCATTATTGTGATCTAGGCGTTTTCGTTTTGGGATAGAATTTGAATTGTACATTTTGTGTTCGACGATTTGCGCGTTCGAATATTCGGACGCGTTCAGCTGAAGCAAGCAAGAGGAGCGCTAGCGGTAAGTGAAATCAGCGTGGAAACACAGAGATGCAGACGGAGGCGAGAGTGGGAGTGGTGGTCGAAGGAGGAGGCCCAAGGGCTCTGAATTCGAATAAGCAGCCGCCTATTCGGCAACAGCAACAACATTCGCAGATCGGAACTGTTTCGCAGCTTCTCGCCGGTGGGTTGGCCGGGGCTCTTAGCAAGACTTGCACCGCTCCATTGGCCCGTCTCACCATTCTTTTCCAAGTGGGTGTTCTTCCCCCCTTGTAATTGAGCTTCTGATTGTTCCCTATTCCAATAATAGCAACCCTTTGATGTTTCTTTCACTAAAGTTCCGTTCTTTCGTGGGGGTTTCACTAGATACAAGGGATGCACTCAAATGTTGCAACTTTGGAAAAGGCCAGCATATGGCACGAGGCTTCTCGGATTGTGAGGGAGGAAGGAGTTAGAGCTTTTTGGAAAGGCAACCTTGTCACTATTGCTCATCGTTTGCCTTATTCATCTGTCAATTTCTATGCATATGAGCACTATAAGAAGGTCAGCTCCGACGATATTCCCATTCATTGGATTCCCTGTTTATCTTATCCTCATCATTTGTCTTCTGTTGAGTAAGAGTTGATGAAGTTTGTGTGTTGAGTTTGCAGTTGCTGCATATGATACCTGGACTAGAGAGTCACAAAGAGAGGATAGGGGGAGACGTATTTGTTCATTTCCTAGGTGGTGGTATGGCAGGAATTACAGCAGCAACAGCTACATATCCTTTGGACCTTGTGAGAACACGCCTTGCAGCTCAGGTGAGTGATAGTCGCCTTGGCGTTCCAATCTATTTCATTTGTTTGCATAGGTTTCTGTTGGTGAATGTGGAGAACATCCAATGTTGTGAAGAAGTATTTGGTTTAGGGTAAATGCTTCAGCTGTAGTTCAAGTATGTGCGTTTCTGATGCACCAACCTCTTTTCACGGAATACATTTTTCTTTGTTTGGGTGGTTGAGATCTTATCAATGCCTTGATTTTGGATGTTTGTTGATTGTGTTCTGGATTGTCCTGGTAAAACCATGAACGTGTTAATATTAGGATATTCGTTAATTCTCTCTTCTTTTTTTACTGGTTGTTCATTTTTCATACCTACTGATTACCAATCTTGCAGACAAATGTGTTATACTACCGAGGTATTGGTCATGCTCTTCAAACAATTTGCAGAGAGGAGGGTGTCCTTGGGCTCTACAAAGGTCTTGGAGCCACACTCCTGGTATGCTACTTGTTAGATCAGCAGTTCGTCATAGTCAAAATCTCTGGTCCGTTGGTGCATGCCTGACCCTTATTCGTTCGACAATGCAGGGTGTCGGACCAAATATCGCTCTCAGCTTCTCAGTGTATGAAAGCTTGCGCTCTTTGTGGCAGTCTCAAAGGTAAGTGTGTTAGTTAGCTTAGTATATTATCTTGTTATTTACCCTTTTTTTGTCCTAAGTCTGTATATTCGATTGTACTTCATTATATTTCTACCTTGTTTCTTGCTACAGACCGGATGATCCCACAGTTGCGGTCAGTCTGGCTTGCGGAAGTCTTTCTGGCATTGCGTCCTCAACAGGTGAATGATCTTAAACCTTGGTTCCTTAATCTTCTAGATTGATATATCCATACTTGCATTGCAGCTCTTGTAAATTGTTCTTCTTTCTTTCTTTCTTTTTCTTCTTTGCACGGTATCTCAGCACTTCTGTGATTGAATTGTTTTCTGGATCTGCAGTCTTCCCTCAAAATGTTATCTTATGTTCCTGTGTTACTGATAATGTGCAGAATTACACTCATGATGTAGTAGTGTTTATGACAAGGAGAGAGGTTTAACTAAGTACTTTTTACTAGACGATGTCCATATTAAATCCAAAAAGTTAATTGTTGCGCCTGTTTACCATGCTTTTGATGCAGAGAAGCAGGGTGTGGTGCAGGTTCTGCATTAATCATTTAACCAGACACTGACTCCTAGAGCCAGAGACCGACTGGAGTTGTTTAATGTCTTGCATTTTGAGAAATTTACTAAGGTTATTGGGAGATGTGCCAATTCTTCGTTTCTAACTTCATTAACCTAATTGGCACCACCTTTTTGATGACTTGGGGCAGTTCCTTTCCACACTAGGTGGCACTACTCTGAAAGAGAACTAGCACTGTTATTTACTTCTTTTACAAAACAGATGTGAGATGTGTCCTCACTGGTGTATGCTTCTCACCTAGTGCTTCCTTTGCAAAACGCGTTGCAAGTGGAATTGTCCTTCATGGATGTATGAAGTGCAGCTGTAGAGATGCTGTGCTTTAAATTTCATGCGCTCATGGTCATGGAAGGGGGTTTCTCCGGCTGTTATTATATCAATAACTGCTTGGAAGGGGCTCACGGATGTTCAAAATGCTTAGATGAGAATAGTTGGCCTTCTTAAACTGGTTTTACCTATGAATTTATGAATATTCTGTCAAACATGATACTTCACTAATCATGAGCTGCAGTGCAGCTGGAGCTGCTATAACTGAAAATCTCGTTCTCGAGCTGTAACAGGTAAGTTGAATTATATTTGATTCGTTCGTTGCATGCTCATAACCTTCCAACTTTGTTGTCTAGCCCTCCGTACCTAGACTATTAGTTACCTGATAGAATAAATTGAGTTGTGTGGTGGATGTAGCCCTTGCGTTCTCTCCTGTCTATGGCCTTGACAAAGTGCTACTTGTTTTTCATATTCCTTCTGAATTATCTTGCAGTAACATTTCCTCTCGATCTTGTGAGAAGACGGAAGCAATTGGAAGGAGCAGGTGGGCGAGCCCGTGTTTACACGACAGGGCTTTTCGGGATATTCAAGCATATAATCAAGACGGAAGGATTCCGAGGTCTATATCGAGGGATTATGCCCGAGTACTATAAAGTTGTTCCTGGTGTTGGCATCTGCTTCATGACCTACGAAACCTTGAAAGTACTTCTTGCTGATCTGCATGCCACGGTATAGCTTCTAGGAACTTACTGGATAAATTGCTCGTATCGGGAAACGTGGGGAGATAGAATCCCAGCAAACCAGGCAGCTCATCTTTGATTGTTGTACCTTGTTTTTTTCCCTCCCCTCAAAATGTATTCTACTGGTCTCATAGCAACCAGTTTTGCTTTGTTGCTGCTGAGAACTCTCATTTTCACCCCATGTAGATAGTTTAGAAGGAAAACTGAATATCAAGTGTACCAGTTACCCTTCACAGTAGCCCCTTATTAATTACTCTAGCAAAGTCACATATGATATTCATTACGATCAACTGGTTCTCGACATTGTTTAGAACTTTTTGTGACCGAAAGTTCTTATGTTTGAGTTGCAGTGACCCAATTTGTCAACCACATGGTACTCACACTTCAAGTTTGTATATATGGTGGTTTTCGTTCAATGATCTCATTCTTTGTGGTTACTCGTTTTGTGTCTATTGTCATACTTGCAGGAGATCTTTGTGATCGGAGAAAGTAGGCTTTGAAATATACTACATATAGACTATAGAACATCATGGCTTCAGTGATTGTTCGTATGAAAGTTGCTTAATCTCATAATTTCTTCAAAAATGTATTTCACTGGTCTCATAGCAACCAGTTTTGCATTGTTGCTGCTGAGAAATATCATTTTCACCCCATGTAGTCTGTAGTTAGTTTAGAAGGAAAACTGAATATCAAGTGTACCCTTTACCCTTCACAGTAGTCCCTTACTATTTAATCCAGACAAGTCTTCAATGATCTCATTCTTTGCAGTTATCGTCTTGTGTATCTCGTATTCTGGTCATATTTGCAGGAAATCTTTGTGGCTGGATAAAGTACGCTACGAGCTATAATACGTATGGAACATCATGACTTCAAAGATTGTTCCTATACAGAGCATTCTTGCAAAGTTTAAAACAAAAGAGAGGAAGCATCAAGTCTTTATTAATGAGAAAACCAATTCAATAGCAATTAACATCATAACTACTACAAGCTCGTGTATAATTTTACTTCAATCAAAGAGTAATACGATGCAAACCACACTAACAGCTCACTTCATTTTCCTGCAGAATGTAGGCAAGCTTGATCAACTCCTCGTTGATTTCGTAACCGTCGTCTTCTGGTGACAGAAAGAATGATTCACAGCGCAGTGCTTCTGATAGAACAGTTGTAATAGTTTCCTCGAGTCTGTTAACATCCCCTGTCTCGATCGACTTGTCGAATCCCATGTTACGTGCCGTCGCAACTTTGGACACAATATGGTCGTAGGGCACGGAGCACAGCGAGGAAAGGTACGCATCTTTATCTATGAACGTCCTCTTGTTGTATGCTGCCTTCCAGTTTATGTTATGCAGGGCAATCCCAGCTAATCCGGTGAGGTTCGACTTCGGACCCAATGTATCTGTTTCGTTGGAATATAGTTGATGGCAGTAAATTGAATCAACATGATCACCGCTGCATACGTTGTCAATCAGACTGTCCTCCGATTTCGCGGTCTTGATCATGACCATAATCAGAAGGCAGAGCAGAGTGATGACATATGGCCTGATCATTGCTTGCAGAGAAGATGCCATGGCCATGGGAGTAAGGATGGATCTTTGTTCTGTATAATTAAAAATTGTTGCAGCTTCCAGTGAAGTCTGTCACCATATGAATAAGAGCGGTTATATGTGTATATATATTTATAGCACATTATTAACCTAACGAGTGATGATCAGGTACCATGTATGCATAGATTCAGGCCTTAAGCACTACATATCAATGGAGAAATTACCATGATAAGCTTCCTAGATTTTATCTTGGTCCAATATTTCCTTCCTTAGGCGAGGGTAAATGGAGTGACTCAAAGCTCTGCCAGTGGTTTGATCCGCCAACCTGCCATGCCATTAAAGCGATTCCGCTGCCGCGTAGAAATGTGGAAGATAAGGTGATTTGGCATGATACAGTAGATGGGGTTTTCTCTGTGAAGTCTGCCTACCATCTGACAGTCTCTCTGGATAGGAGGGAGGGGAGTTGGAAGTCGTCAGCCAGTTGGATGGATAGGGCTAGTTGGATTCGCTTGTGGAATGCTGATATTCCCCCTAAGTTGAAAGTTTTTGTCTGGCAAATTTTTAACCGGGCACTTCCAACGTCAGAGGCGCTTATTGCGAAGAAGGTGCCTGTCCATCCCAGATGCCCGGTCTGCTGGGAAAGTGCAGAGACGATGGAGCATCTTTTCCTTGATTGCCCGGTGGCCCGTGCCCTCTGGGGGTTCTCGGGCATGGAACATCTAGGGGAGGGGTTGCCTCGGCAGACTTTCCCGTTATTTCTAAAAAGATTGCTAGGTCTGATCCAGTCTCCGGGGTTGTTCATGGCGATTGTTTGCCTCCTGTGGCGGATTTGGCGGTCCAGGAACTGGGTTGTCTTTGAGGGTAAGCAGTTCGGTTTCCCAGCGTTGATGCGTCAATTCCATCAACAGTATGAGGAATGGGTTAGCCTATCGCCAGCGGTAGGAGCACGGCAGGCCAGGTCTCCTAGAGTCTCTGTGGGGGGTGATAGCAGGGTGGTTTGTATGTGGGATGGGGCCACAAAATTGGGCTCACATTCGGCTGGTGGGATGGTCCTTATGACTCCAGCAAGGGGGATCATGTTGGTGAAGGGTTATCAGCTCCAGGGGATTGATGATCCAATGGTGGTTGAGTTGTTGGTGCTGCGCGAGGCGATCGTCTGGTGTCTTGAGCTTGGAGTGGTGGATGTCCGTTTGGAGGGGGATGCTAAAGTGCTCATTGATAAAATCAACAGGGCGGATGCTAGAAGCAATAGGGTAGGGGCGGTGCTTGAAGAGATTATGTACTATGTTAACGCCCATCCTGGCTTGGATATTCGATTTGTAGGTCGGAGGAACAATAGGGTAGCTCATTTGGTGGCTAGAAAGGCCCTTTCTTTGTACCCGGCTATGAGTCGTTATTTTGATTTTCGGGCCTGGCTTAGCTCCAGGATGTAACTATTGTCTTGATATCAATATATGATTACCTTTTGTCAAAAAAAAAAAAAAGAATTTCTAGTGTTAGCTATCCAAAATCCAGACTAGGAGATTCATCGAAAAAAAAATACCAGACTAGGAGTATACACAAATAGGTAAGAGATGGAGAAAATATTGTGAAATCTATTTTTTCTTCTTTTTTGGGTAAGGAACAAAATTAATGAATAATAATAATTTTTCTCGTGAAATCTATTTTATCTTCTTCTTTTTTTGGGTAAGGAACAAAATTAAGGATTAATAATAATAATTTTATTTCTAGTGTTGAAAAGGGGGAAAGAAATTCCAGATTCTAGAGTATATGAATGGGAAAGAAAAATATCGTTTAATGTCACAAATTAGCTAAGAAAGCCATAATAGATTTACCTATTTTATTTATTGGCTTGGAAGATCACATTGGTATCACAAATATGAGGTTCTGATCCAGAACACATTGAGCAATTTTGGGGGAAAAAAGGGACCAAATTACCTAAGAAAGTTACTTAATTTCATTATTTCCCTTCTTTGTTAACTTTAGATTCCCCCCCGTAATTTTGGATTCGTAACTATATATGTAAACTAAAATAATAGTACAATTTGTTTGTTCAAATTATATGCTTCCTGGTGATCCTATGGTGTTTGATTATAAGGGCAGCTCTAATCAGGAAAACCCATTCGAGTTCCTCGTCATCATATTTGATGTGGAGGCGCAGTATGGAGATTGGGGTATCCAGTTGAGACATGGGAAGCAGGAAGCAGAGTCCTGCAGATCGAAGCATCCGTGCCTCAAAACAGTCAAACATGAACTTACTCCACCTTACTTGTATGAATCTCCTGAGTCCTGATGGATGGTAACTAATAAGTTGACTTCTATCATAGTTAATCCTTAAGCAACACTAAAAATTTAACAATTCAGCACACCAACAACAGCTCGGCTAATCTTAATGGTTGTTGCTCTTCATTCAAATGACTTCTGATGACAAACTTGTTACCCTGCAGATCATCTAACAACATGGCAGTGTGGGATGTCCAGATCAGAAAATCCAGGCTTCAATTCAAGCACAGGAGAAAGTGCTGTAATGGCTATTTGCAGTGAAGCTCTGTGAGAGAACTGGGATAGCAATTGGACAGAAAGCTAGGTAGGAAACAGCAAGTACTCAAACTCAAGTCGCATTTCATGACGTACTCGAAACAAGGCTGTCAATTAGTAAAACCGGGAGAACAAAGATACATAGTTTTAGATACTACAGAGAGTACACCCATGAACAGCAATCAAAATCTCTATGCTCGTAGGAGAGTGATGCCGAGGGAAATGGTGCAGCCCATCAGCCCGAAGATACACAAGAACCCGTATTTACCGATGGCGAGACGCTTCTGGGGATCGCCGGTGGCGTAGCCGGAGAAATAGAAGTAGCGGGTGAAGATGAAGAAAGCGCCGAGAGCGGCGGCGATGCAGGGGTGCCTCAGTCCCCCCAACACCATCAGCATAAAGAACACCGGCATCATCTCCAGCGAATTCTGGTGCCCTCTCTGCCCAATCAAAAATTCCGAACCCAAATCAGCAATCAATCAATTAAACTGAACATCGCCAAGAGTAAAGATAACCCACCTGAACGCAGTTGAAGAGGGAGGCTTGCTTGTTCTCCGACTCGACGGCGTAGAGAGTCGGGTAAGGGACATTGTACTTCTTGCGAGCCTTGACGACCTGGATCGACATCCAAATGTTCAGAATGCAATAACCCACCAGTGTCAGAGCCACGTAGCCGTACTCCTTGGGCAGGAATTCCGTCACACCTGCGGCTGCCATCTTCGATCTTTGGTTTACAGTTTTCTAGGGTTTATGAATTTGGGGATTGAGAAGAGTGAGTTGGAGAGAAGAGAATGGTGAGACTTGTATTATATATATAGCCACGAGCAGAGCATAGGCCAGCTATGGCCCATTTCTGTCTGAGTTCACGATGTCATCTCATTTCCTCTACCCCGGTATTTTAATATTTTTTTCCGTTGAATTATTTTAATGCAAGGTACGTGATTAATTGTTTTATGTTGTTTTATTTATAAATGACGAAAGCAGTGATGATAGGATGGCTTTTTCTTCAAGCCAAGGCCGGTCCTAGATTTGCTTGCATTTTGTTTTTTTTTTTTTTCATTTCCTGTTTTCATACCGGCATCCGCCGTCCTAAATCCTAATTAAGTTTGTCAATCAAATTTTAAACTAGTTGAGGCATGGAAAAGAGGAAATAAGAGTTGTTTCTTGTTTGTATCGGTATATTGCCAATGCCATATTTACAAAATGAGCTATTAAATATTTAGAAAATATAGATATTTGATGATGTATAAAAAATTTTAGTCGAGTTATTTTGTCCTTACATTTTATATGTTTTATTTACTATCTCAATAAACCAACCATAAACAAAAGTATTTTGCAATCAATATGAATTATTATTTGAATACTATTGCTTTTCTAATTTTGAATAATATTTTATGTTATCTTGCTTTACAAATTGTAATGGCTCCACACTAAATAATTTTGCAACCAAGTATATATTTGAAATCAATTTCAAAATAATTACGGCTATTATACTAGAGAATATTGAAAAGTATTATTGGAAAAATTGGTTATGTGAATGCAAAATAGAGAATGTTAGTATTTACTTATAAAAAAGTCAAAATTATGAATGGAAAATAGTCTGAAAAAAATGAGTCATTCACAAATGAATGCCGAAACATTCATTTGAGCTTTTCGATGGAATCAAATGACTTATTCCTTTTTTCGTTAGCAAACAAAATTTGGAGGACCTCATGTTGAAGTTTTTCTTTTCATAATTTGTCATATATGCAGGGATTATTTGTGACCGGATAATGTAAATTTCACGTCCAAAGTAATTAAAAAATATGCATATAATCTTTGGTTCTCTATGAATTTAGTACAAAACCTATTTAAATAATAGTAGGAAAGAAAAAAGTATTTAACGCATAAAATATGCAATATTTTAGAAATAGTTCTATATCGGCCAATCGGATTGCAAATACGGAGTACCGGATCTCAAATTGATAAATAGTTTTAGTGGTACGAAACGGTTGAACTGCGATTAAACAACAAATTTATTACAAATACTTGATCACTGACTTGATCACTTTTTCGGTATAACTGCTAGACTAAAGACTAAGCAAAGAACAATAATATAGGAGCCTTATATTAATTTTAAATGAGTTTCAACTAAGCAAAGAACAACAAAATGTAGCAAATGCTTGTTATTGAGTAGAGATAGTACACTGTGGACGTTGTATACCCCATACAAATGGAAGGGGGAGCTTTTTGCAAACTCTGTGGCAAGCTCAAATCCTTTTTGTTTTGTGGATGAAAGTGCTAGACTGTGAAAGGGTTGGTTGATAAGTAACAGCTGATGAGTGCTCTTACAATGGGAAGTTTCCATTAAGACGAATGTGATCCAAGGTTCTACGCAAACCATACTTGTTGTTGACAGCAGCATTACCAGCCCTGAATCCTCCACCATATGGCTGGAGAAGCATCGTGAGCGATTTGATGCATGAAGAACTCCCCAAGTTTGTGTTCCACCTCTGATCTCCCACCTTTCTTTGAATTGGAATAGGAGGAAGAAGAAGAAGATGTTGCTGATGTCGATGCCATATTGCTGCTTCTGGATCCTGGTAATACTTCGGATTCAAGCCACATATAGAACCTGACAGATCAGATCCCTTCCTCTACCTCAGGGTTTAGGTTCCTTTACCCTGGAAAACCCAATAGGGAAAAACAATTAGCGATGGCTTGTTGCAGAAGAAACCTGGGGTCTTTGTGGCTTTGTTATGTTTGAAAATGAATGTTATGTGTCTCCAGTGCAAGAACATCATACCTTTCAGGCGTAATCACCCATGCATGAGTTCATGGGCTAGAATGGCTCCTGTAGTTAGTAACCTTGGAAGACCATAGAGAACAAGAATTGCAGTGACTTCACATCTCCTGATATGCTTCTGAGGCTGTGTTCTCATCCCAACAAGCCGGTGCCGGCCTATCCTCGATCTCCTTTGAACCTGTTGGGAAGAGATCAAACAACTTCATAACAAAATTAAAACGAAATTCGGACTGATAGAAGTGGCAAGTCATGATGCAGGAATGAACATACACTAGTAACAGTCTGCTCTTCAGAAAGACATAGCCCCCTTGTCTCAAGCATGTGATGATACCCCTTGATATCACAAGCACTGGAATGGCTAAGCAAGAGTGAGAGTAGCACCTCCAATCGTGAGAAGGGCAATACTTTTGTGCCCAAAATGGGTGGCGGCATCTGTACTCTATCAAACCAGACGAATTGGTTGGAATATGATACAATATTAGATAGAAGAGCAGATTATAATTGGTCGCAATGATATAAGGGCAATCGGTACTTCTGAAAATTTTATAACTTTATGTGAGTGTTGCCTATTGGAATTGCTGATCAGTTTCAGGAATGCATATGTTACTAATTTATTGGATGACGAAATCGCTGAAGTTGTTGAAATGACAGTTTGAAATTGCAATGGCAGGAATGGAGCTGGTCTAGGATCTATGATTAGCTTAGGCAATGAAGTCAAGTTCTTTCTTCATCGAAATTGCACTATCATAGAAAATCTAGGAACTTGCTGGATCTTATACCACTCACTCAAACGAAAGCCAAGTTCTTTCTTCATCGAAATTGCACTGTCATAGAAAATCTAGGAACTTGCTGGATCTTATACCACTCACTCAAACGAAAGCCAACTCATGAGCTTGAAGTTTGCACAGACCCATCATGCCATGTGCTTGAAAGACAACGGTTAATATTGGGGGTCGTGGAGATTCGAACACATGACCTTTCGGTTCTAGGCTCTGATACCATGTCAAGAACCAGTTAATCCCAATAACTCGAGTTGTTGGGAGAAGATTATGCTGGATCTTATACCACTCTCTAACAACTATCAGACTATGCTCGCAACCTAAAACTAGGAGTGCTCTGTCTAGGAGCAGAAAGAGTGGAGCCAAGAGATTTGCTAATACTGAAAAGGCACCTAAGTGACCTCTATATTTAATACTTAAAGGTACTTACGCTCTTAGCATGTTCTACGAAACGAGGGGACTTTGTGATTAGTTGTTCCAACTTCTAAGCTTCATAATACGCTTGTTTGATGGGCTTTTTGTATGATGTATTCGAGGCTGTTTTAGTGGTGGTTGGTTTGTGTTTATTTACCTCGACATGGTGTTTGTACTCTAATTGGGCATGTTTGTTAAACGTTTTGGTTATGTTATGAGCTTTCTCAATCGGATGAGGTTTCATAAGGGATTTTATTATTGACACTTATCTCTTTAGGGAATGTAATTCGATGGATGCATGTGCTCTCTCTAAATTATTTGAGTATATTATTGTTAGAGAGTTTTGAATTGTTCGGAACTCATCAAAATTTCAATAAACCTTAATATTTTTTCGAAAATTTAGTTAATAAACATTGAAGTTACTCACCAATTCACTTAGCAGACATTAGAGGGTTGGTTAGTAGAGTTATTAATTGGAAAATTTAGCCCCCTTAGTTATGGGCTTATTCACCAAATCCGGTCCGTCAACAAGCCCAATTAAAAGGTGAAAACGGAGAAGGCAAAAAACAGTTGGCAGAGTAAAATGAAATGTTCAAGAAGTAGAGTGATTTAGCCATTTAGGTGATCGCGGCTGCGCTTTGCCTCTTTTGGGGCATTCTATTTCTCTAATCCATCCAGTTCAATTCAAAGGAACGCCCAATTAGAAGAAAAAAAAGACCCAAGAATTTTTTTTTTATGCGAATCCCGCAAAATCAGAAGACAAGCAGTTGGCTCCCCTCCAACTGGGCGTTTTGAATTTCATTCAAATTCCGCAACTTTCAGCCGTCTTTGATTAACTGTTCGGACGGCTGTCTAAAGGGAAACCCAAATTGTCTGCACGTTAGATGATGAAGCTGGCAGATCCATCAATGGCGCTACTTGCAGCTAGTGGCGGCGATGCTGTCAAGCTCTTCAATGTTTCAGTGGAGTCAGGGGACCCCTGCACCTTGACTTACACTCCCTCACCTGGTTTCCTGGTCAATTCCGTTAAGTGGAACCACACTAGTGAGTTCAGTTCTCCTCCTCCTCCTCCTCCTCCTTGTTTTGTCAGTCTCTTATGGTTGTATACTTCGTAATCTGAATTTCAGTTTCTAATTTGATTTGGTTGGGATCGATTAGGGTTTTCCAGTTGGGAAAGTGGTTGGAAATGTGAACAGAAAGTAGAATGTTGGTTGGAAATGGGAATAGTAAAAAATTCAGGATGTTGGGTTGCTTGAAGTCTTTCGAGTCTCTATCTACATTTCTCTGAACTGCCTCCTCCTCCTCCTCCTCCTCATTTTCTTCTCTTTTCCGACTTTTTTTGCAGATTTAGTTGTCGCAAGTGCCGGCGAAGACAAGAAGATTTCGCTGTGGAGGAAAAATGGTCAGAGCATGGGCACAATTCCCATCTCTGGGACGGACAGTGGAGACGGCATTGAGGTGGGTTAGTTGTTTATTGATTGCATAACTCAATCAACTTGCAAATGCCTAAGGGCATTAAATCAACTTGTAGGGTGTCTATAATTTCCCAGACAAACAGAGTTCTCTAATTATGATATCCAGCTGCACTTAAATATTTTGCAATCCACGGATGTTCATTATAAATCATAATCGCCTGATTTGGTTGAACGAAATGATCGAGAAGCACTGTGTTGGGTATAAGCAAAAGCCAACTGGAAACTTGATGAAAGTATTAATAGATAGTGTGTTCGAAAGAATATAACAAGCAACTGTGTCCTCCTTTCTGAAGCAATGATGATTGTATGTATAAGTAACCTCACCCAGGAGCAATGAGTTTTTTCTTGTGCGTACACACACATCTGGCCTATATAACAAACCTGGCACGTTCAGTTAACTGACGGGTGAAGATCACTGTGCTTTTTATCTGAAGCTTTCTTCTGTGGTCATGATACCATTATTTTGTTCGTGTTCTCTCGATGTTTGTGGCTTTCTTGTCTGGTGATGGAGTTGTTGTTTCATTGATCATATTGCAGGAATCCATATCGGCTATTAGCTTTAGTAATAAAGGATCCAGATACATATGTTCTGGTGGAAGTGGCCAAGTTGTAAGAATATGGGATCTACAGAGGAAACTCTGCATTAAACGGTTGATGGGTCATACAAATACTATTACAGGCACTATGTACAACTGTAAAGATGATCACTTGGCATCCATAAGTCTAAGTGGAGATCTCCTTGTTCACAACCTTGCATCGGGCGGAAGAGCTGCAGAACTGAAGGACCCCAACAACCAGGTTGTTGAGTTTGTTGTATGCAAGTGCAGACGTCTTTCCTTCCTTTTTCCACTTGTTTCAGCAACTCATTGTTGATCTGATGGGTTTAAGACCAGGTACTGAGGGTGCTGGATTATTCACGGCTCAGCCGTCACCTCTTGGTTACTGCAGGTGATGATGGATCGGTACATTTATGGGACACTACAGGACGCCATCCGAAGGTTTGCTTATATAGGATAAGAGTCTAAATCCATCCTATCTAAGTGGATAGCTTTTCACCCTTTTTTCCAATTATGTTAATAAGTTGAAATGATTGCCAATGTAAAAACTGTCATGCTACTGAAACAAGTAATATCTCGCACTAGTTGTCTCCCTGTCATAATGTTTGTGCATGAAATATTTGTAACACTGAGAAACCTGCTTTGCAGAATTCTTGGTTGAAGCAACATTCTGCACCAGCAGCTGGTGTTAGCTTCTCTCCATCAAATGATAAGGTCTCGTACCAATCTAAACTCTAGTAGATTTATCCTCTCTAAAAAATCTAGAAGCTTACCTGTAGTGAATTCAGATAACATATGGCTATCTCAACCTTTGCAGATTATAGCCAGTGTTGGCCTGGATAAAAAGTTATATACATTTGATTCTGGGTCCAGACGGTCCTCCTCTTGTATTTCTTATGAGGCACCTTTTTCCTCACTGGCATTTAGAGATGATGGGTTGGTTCTTGCAGCTGGAACCAGTAGTGGCAGGGTTGTCTTTTATGATGTCCGAGCAAAACCACAGCCTTTCACAGTTCTTCGTGCTTATAACAGCTCAGAGGTGGGTTTTACCCTTACTTATTCTGGCCTGGAGCACATAAAATTTAAATCAGTTATGTTTGATTCTGTTTCGTGTAATTTTCCTCGAGTGTTTAACGTGAGTATACTAACGTGCAAAGTGGTGAGAAAAGAGGTGAAAATTGTGAAAAGTCCTGTAAATGTTCTCTTCGTTTTGAATTATGATACAGAACTTGAAATAGTTTTCATGCAATTTTGAGTTTGAGCCGCTCGTAGATTTGTTTGAGCACTTGTATATGTCAGGTGGGTTTTGGATTGCTTGATAACAATAAATCTCGGCCGTTAGCCAATTTTATGCCACGTCAGAGTGAGTTTGTGAATTTCATTTGATGAATTACCTCTTTCATGCCATTGTAAATGGTTCTTTGTCAGGCTGTTACAAGTTTATGCTGGCAAAGATCAAAACCAGTTGTTGTAAATGAGAACTGTACAGCAGAGATGGCTCTTCTTGGTGGATCTGTTGAAGATTCTATACTTATGCCTGACCCACTTCCCTCCATGTCCTCTGCTAGTCATTCAGAAGTTCCCTCCCTTTCAGGAACTGGCAGTGGGTCAACCTTGCATCCTGTTATTTCTTTCAGTGAAGAAACGCCCCTTCGACGGCCAGGTGGACCATTAACGAGATTAAAGGCTCCACGTACTAGTTATAATTTCATGGATGACATGGAAGTATTCTCACCACTTGTGGAGGTTCAGCCTATCACACCTTCTCTTGACAAGTATTGGGATAATCATGAGGGATCAAAGTTAGATAATGTATTAGCTGACAAGAAGCCTTCATCCTTCGTGTTTCCCTCATCAAGCAGCAGGAGATTTCCCTTTGCCGAAGACGGAATCATCAATGAACATCCAATATATGATTGGAAACCCAGTTCAAGTTCCAGACAGGTCTGAAATTTATATACTTCCTTTTTGATATCCAGGTGTTTTGAGTGTGTAAACATTTTCTGTGGACTTTCTAAAGGTTCAGTTGCCTTCAACTATCCTTTTGCTTTTGTGGTGCATTTGCCTGTGAAGCCTCAACTCCTTGAACTTCTGTCTTGCATTCGCTACTCCAACGGGAGTTCTGTGTGTGCATAAGCATAACTTCTTCCGGAGCTTTTATTTTGAGCTTTTCCGTTGTTAACTTGGGAAAGAGGTATTTGATATGTGTGGTAGTATTTGATTGATGTTTCGTTCTCTGTCCTTCTTTTTAAGCAGGATGACAGCAGATCATCCCATGCCCACCAAAGTGGGTCGACTCCTCCTCCATCTTCCAAAAATGCAGAAACCTCAATAACTCCTCCAGAATCTTGGGGTGGTGGTGAGAGATTTGATAAGATTGCACATCTTCGCCAGACATCAAATGTTCTTCCACCTCGCTTGGGGATCACAACTTCTTCTGCAAGTTTCACTTCAGTAGGCTCTATGCTGCTCTCAGGCATGCAAGACGTATCCTCCACCTTGATGAATCAAACAAGCATGAGCTCAGTAACGACTAGTTTGGCAAATGCGAGACTTAGAGATGTTACTATTAGTCAGGAGACATCGATTGCTTATCCAGAACAATTTCCATCCTTCGGTCACTTGTCAACTCTGCCCCTGGGTTCTGCAAAAAGCATTGCGGGGCTGACTAGTAGTATTGAAGCACCATCAGGGCTACTGGCATCATCAAGCCTAGCCCGTAGATTTTCAACATATGCAGAGAGAATCAGCACCACTTCCTCTTTTAGTGATGGGATATCCCTTGGGGTTGCTTCTCCCAAAGTGAAGAAAACTGGATCTGAAACCAGGGAAGACCTCTTGAATAGCCTCTCATCAAGGTCCGAGTCCTTGGCTGCTGTTGCTGCTGAGCCAGGAGTTCTTCCATTAGCAAATGTAAGCAGACGAAACATGTTCTTGGAAACTGGCTTTTGTGTTTCTTCGCAGCAGTCTCATTTGTGAATTATGTGTGGCAGGGAGGGGTAGCACAGCCTCATAAGGCTCTTCTACAACCTTCTGATATGCAGCAGCAGCAGCAGGGGAGTTCATTTCCTCTTCAGCTATTTCAACGTCAACTGGAAGAAACTCTGGGTACATTCGGGGAGTCTCTACGCGAAGACATGCGGAACATACACATTGAAGTCCTTAGACAATTCCATATGCAGGAGGTAAAATCTTCAAATCTGCAAATATATAGCATTTATTGATCTTCATCTTTGTTCCATCATCGGTTGTCCTTCTGGTATCTAAAATTTGACATTGAGGAGGCGATGGATATATGCAGTGCTTGTATCTTGAGAAGCAAACTGAGATGACGAAGCAAATTGAGTCCCTGCAGAAGGAAGTCCAGGAACTCCGACAGTTGTTAAGACGGTGACCTCATTTGTTTTGAACCCTTAATGATGGTGATGATGATCAGAGTTGTGGAGTGAGCAGTCTTTTGTGGGACAGCATATTACAAATACGCTTGCTCTTCTTCAGACGGGTGGTGGTGGTGTTTTTGGGTGTTCTGTTGTTTTGGTTAATGATTAAGAGGGTGTGGGAGTTAAAATTAAAAACAGGCCTCCAGCTGAGGCAAAGTAGAGGGGAAATGGCATTCATTATATGCCTGGCATCGGCACCAGTTGAGCATATTTGTTTCTTGATTCTGTACAGGCACATTTGCTCAGGTCCAATGAAATGAGATTATTCTTTCTTTATTCCGTGGAAGTTTTCAGTTTTCTCCATCCATTTACCATGCCCATGGTTCATTTCTTCAATGGTTACAAACCTGTGAAACTTCGTCGCATAGGGGAAACTACTCGTCAATAGCTGTGGATTATGGTTGAGTCTCACAGAGAAAGAAGAGTTCACAAGCCTTTGTATGATCCTAGTTTGTTTGAGCAATCTGGGTGGAAATGAATCCATTTGAAAGTTCTCAAGCATTGAAATCCACTCAGATCTTGCACTAGAATGAATTTGAAGTCTCATTTCTAAGGACAATTCATATCTCTACTTTGTAGGATGGCAAAGACATACCATTAGCAATCTGAAGCCAAGAGTAAAACATGAAATTTATTGTTTTGGAGCACGTTCAAGAGATACAAATGTTACACAAATTAAATACAGAAGTTCCCGCAACGTTATCATTCTAGAACTGGCAACGATAATCGCTAAACTGTCAGAATGTCTGACAACAATAGGGGCATGCACTATTGGTTGACGATACCATGCTTCAAAGCAATCCAGACCAGCTGAAGTACTGTACACCAACTTTCCTTGCTGGGCAGTCGATCTGTGGCATGGTATGTATCCAATGCATGCATAATTCGGGGCAGGCTGGGGACTTCTTTGGTTGGGAAAACACATCCAGCTATACTTCACTTTTAATTGGAAGATGTGTTCGAAGCGCCCAAATCAGAAAGAAATCTTTCAAGAATGAATGGTCAAGAGGGACACTCTACTTCCTGATTAGTTTCAGCACATCACCCACGAGATGCAACGAACCAGTAACTAGGACCTGATCAATGGCAATACAAAAGGGTAAGAAAGATTATTAAGTTGCTAGCAATTGCCAATAGTGAGGGCTGCATCCACTGTACCAATTTATTGAAAGGTTAAAAATAAAATATATCAGAGAGAGGATTGAGATTACCTGGAGGCGAACAGATTGATTCTGTCTAACAGTGTCCCTGAGCCATTTGATAGCTAAGGGGAGAGAAGGAAAAACTACACTACTGCTCTCATGACTCCCACCACCTTTTCCTGTATCGTCCTTCATTTCCTCAGCCACATGATTTACTTGCTTGGCCTCCCTTCCTACCATCCAAACCCCGAGCCTTATCAATGATTAAAAGACAGCAACTTTTGCATCAAGTTTCATGAAGAGACTCAAAACAGCTGAAAAAAGAACTTTGCCACTGTACATATGATATGATACCTTTATCCTTCTGCATGGTGTTATCCCAAACTCTTTGAAGAGTGAGCTGCCATGACAAATCAGCTTCAGGAACAGCTGATGGCAAAGCATGAGTTCCAACCTTATGGTACACCGACATATTTGGGGCAAACAGTGCCTTCTTGAAGTAGACATCTGAAATGAAGAGATTTCGAATGTCATCAAAGCAATTGTATAATTCTGATTCGCAGTTTACTACCCGAACGGTAAAATGGATCCAATTCTCATATCTGTAAAAGAATTATTATGCCAATTAACTTTGTTGTTGTGTTCTTTGAAATTAAAGTTTGGGGAAAAAAGAGTTGGATCATTGCTCTCACAATTACCTTGACTAGCACATGTTTTCATCAATTGTGGCAGAAGCAGCTCAGGATCCCGTACTGTCATGCAGTTGAATAACAATATCTGCATGAATGCCAAAGAACTGGATGATTTCAGCGTTGCCAAAAGCAAAGCACCTTCAAGCACTGGATACCCACATTGAGCAGTGATATAAAGAGAATTCAAGAGAGATGCCACACAAATCAATCTTCGCATTTAAATTTCATTTTGTTTTTAATTTTTATGCCTGGTCAGTGGTATCTTTTAAAAGTTTATTGGAACTTGGAATATAGAATTAGAGATTTGGGCTAGAAAATATGGGGAAAGACCTCTAGTTGTACTCTTTCAGCTGAAGAGGGACCAAATACCTGATTTAGACAATGACAAACAAAAGAAGAGTTTCAGGGGGTACAAAATAATATTAAGAAAAATTACTTGCAAACAAAAGACAAGGGAGAGCAAAATGAAAGGACAGACATAAGAGCGCTTTCAGACTGAGATCCGACTCATAAGAAGTACGATTACACCATAATATTACCCACTTCCCATTAATTATCTGATCACAGTACACTCCTATTCATCTCTTCGCTGGAATTAACTAACCAAACGAGTAAGAGAAACATGAGAATGAATCCTTGATATGGGCTAGGAAATAAGATAGTTTCATAGCAACCAGAAAATTCCTTGATACTTTTTACTTGTTGGGGATGTCTACTAGCAAACCCTAAAAAAGAAGACACTTATCCATTCTTCTGCAGGAGCGTCGCCTACTAATTTCAACTTTCACTTACAATCTCGGACAGGAGCTTGCTCTCATGGAGAGCACATTGATTAAAGGGATGGACGTTGATGCTTACCTGCATGATATTCTTCTTTAATTGATGTGTGGATGAACTCACTTGTGGTTTTGCTGTATCAGATTGGTGCTCACCTTTAACAGCACCAGAAAACCATTTTGCACAGATTTCCATGCTTTCAGGACTGTGAGCACCATCCAAATAAAAGACAAGATCCCCATCCTTTTCACTATCTACATATTGATCGGGGACAATCTGGGCCCGGCCTTGGAAACTGGCTGCTGTTAACCCCTTAATGAACTGCTCAGGCAGTGAGTCCTGATTCGTGGAAGTAAGATTAAGAAAATGGTACTGAGAATATAACATGCTTCCAAATATAACTACAATGCACACAACTTACAGTGTGGTCCTGGTTGGCAAGTTCAAGATGACCTGTCCTCTTCAGCCAAGTGAAAGAAAGCGCAATGGCAAGACCAGCATTAACATATTGGTGCTCACCTTCAAGGCCAAGTTTTTGGCCATTTAGCAAATTGACATCCAAAGGTGGTACAACTTGAAGATCAACCTGTAGTCAGCATCACCAATCAGACTAAAAGTTCTAGGACCCTATGCAATCCCACCAAATATTCCCATTGGGATAAGATTAAGAAACCTCCAACTGACATTTAAATTGGAAGCTTTGTCTTCAAGGACACACATTGCTTCCTCAGGTTGTTGCACTGTAAAAGCAGGAATGCCACGCTACATCAAACAGAGTACTCTGTGTCATGATCCTGAAGAATTTCAACAGATGTAAATGCATCAAGGTCTTACCTTTAAAATACCAGCTTTTTCACCAGCAATTTTTCCAAGGGTGTCCCCTGTTTGAAGCATGAATGAAAAGAAAAGAACTCAAGCTTATGAGTATGGCAGAGCAAATAACAGGAATCTAAAAGGTAAAAATCACACTTAAACCCCTTGGCCCACATATCAAAATATAATGAGCAACAAATGCAAGAACGCATGAGAATGACAGGCTCAGGCCTCCGGTATAATGTGAAAGATTAAGTCTCCATTACGCTCTTCAATCACTTAAATGTCAGATTGCATGAGCTGGTCATTCCTTCTCCAATGTACACAAAGTAATCTCGCACTGTACATGTCAACACAGAAATCCGGACGGGGATATTTGTTTAATGCTTAGCCTAGCTTGTAATCTGACAACCACCTTGAGAAAGAATCCTAAACAGCTATCGCACAAGCAACAGTTAGCACACATTTCCCAATTACCATAGTAATTGCCTAGAGTATAGAAAAATAACACTAACCAAGAATCTCCATATGGTCATACCCAAGAGAAGCTATCCCGCACACAACAGGTTTCTGAACCTGAAACATAGCGTAACAGATTAACATTAAGGACCTGACACCAACCTAGGCACAAAAACACAAATCATACTCAGCTGTACTCACTCAATCCGCAAACCACATAATTACATACCACATTTGTCGCATCAAACCTCCCGCCTAATCCCACTTCCAAAATAGCAACATCTACCTGCACAAAGAAACTATAACATATCAGATCCCAATTCAGCTGGGTTTCAGAGGATAAACAGGAGAGACAGTGTTGAAGATGAAACCAATACTTATGAACCTGCTCTGCAGAAAAGATCTTGAAGGCAAGTAGCGTAAGAAAACGAAACAAAGGAGGCATTGGTACATCTTCAGTTGTTCTTTCCTGCCCATACCTTCCAAATTCAGCAGCATGGATATGATACAAAATCAATGTAAAACAAGTAGTCTGATACCAATAGAGGAAGAGTTAGTTGAACCACAGAGGGAAATGCTATTTCAAATAGATACTCCAGTTGAAATATCTTAAGTCCACAAGGTTACAGAAAAGAAATGTTTTCCACTAGCGTTTCTTTATTCTCACATGTTTCATAGGCCAGGACCAAATTAATAACCTTAACAAATAAAATCTTAAATCACAAAAGCCAAAAAGAGAAGGATAACGTATCTATCTCATTCATGTTGACATTGAGTGGCCAATTGATAAGGGACCCTCATATGAACAAGACCAGTAAGCTTTAAATCTTTCTGAAGAGGAAAAAAGTCCAACAAGAATCACCTTTAATCTGTTGAAACACCACCAGAAATAGGACAAAAACTTTTCCTGGGATATATCAGCACTGCAATAGCCAACAAGACACCATACAGTTTAATCCTTACAAGTAACATTAACAAGACAGAAAAATCAATATAAAAATAATCTGGGAGGTGAAAAAAGAATAATAGAAACCAAACAGTACGCTAAAAATAATAGAACCAGGGCATGCACAATTATTCCTCAACTATCCAACCAATCTCATAGCTATACTATCCAAATCATAATAACAAACATGAGAAACTCACCCATCCAAACGAAACCTTTCTCGGACGTCAATGAGGTGAGGTGAGGTGAAAAGCCCAGTTCGAATCCCGCAATTCCTCAATATAGACTCCGTGAAGGTGCAAGTGGAACCCTTCACCCAAATGGGAAAATAAATTATAGCCAAAACAGACAACAATTCCACACATAAAACCATGCAAAAGTCACTTCAAGATTTCTAGTTCTTCCTGGCTCCTGCAGTCACCCCTACATTTCGATGTGCTAGTTTACGAGAAACATAGCAAACCCATTACTACCACTGTGGAGTGTTGAGATTATAACCATTTATAGTAACTGAGAAGTAAGATAGTAGTATAGCATTACCTTTCCTTTGGTGCCTGCCACATGAACAATCTTCAAATCATCCAATGCATCCTCCAGCTCCAGAATCTGAGAGTCAAGCAAGGAGCAAGTGAAAATATTCAATCGAATTCCTCCGAACAATGAAACAAACCAAAAGATAGAGCGCCGGAAATTGAAATTGACTTGAGTTAGAGGTAGCCTGGCAGGTACGAAACCTTCAGGTAATGGAAGAGCAAATCAAATTGATTTCCTTTGTTGCTGTTATTGCCACGACTCCGCTTGGTTATCAAAGAAGACAAGGCCTCCATCGCCTCGTCGTACGTCGTGGGAGCAGCCGGAGATTCCTTCTCGCCTTTGAGATATGAAACAGACAACAACATCAATAGCAAGCGGGAAATAAAAAATTTCAAAAACAGACAGAATTGATTCTAGGAGTGGAACATAAAGCGGCAAGTCAGACGGAAAATTGAAGGAATTCGATCAGAACTAACCATCCGCCATATCGCAATATTCAAGAGGCGGCGGCGGGAGGAGACAACGACGGCGGCGGGGAGTGTGGAGCGAGTGGAGATGAAGCGGAGCCGTTGGTGGCGGGGAAGAGATAGTGGATATAGGAAGCTTGAAAAACACTGGTTGGTTGGTAGCTTCGGGGAGAATTGCCGATTTCGCCCTTCAAAGGCAACGGAAAAAGACAAAGAGCGGTTGGGATATGACGTACGCGTATCCGTCACACAGAGCCCAAAAGAGATCATGTCTGTCTCAAACAAAAAAGCCCAAGCCCATATAAATTCAGGTCAGTGCAACAGAGTGCTGTTGGGGTTTTGTTCAAGCCTCTGGCTTCTTCTACCCGAGTCCATTCTCTCACTAAGCTCTCTGCATTTCTCGCCGCCAGAACAAAGGCATTTGCCGTTTCCATTCCCACGAGACTGAGCGCAGAACAGGTTTTTCTCTTCCTTTCTTCCCTCTTCATCTTCTTTTTTGTTTCTGCATGAAGTTTCCTTTTCTTCAAGTACTTCCTGTTAATGGAGCCTTTCTTGGATTTCTTGTCGATTCGTTGATGCTGTAGGGTTTTCCCCATCTCCCTTTTTATTTGTACTTTTCTTCCTGGCACTTCCTCGATATTAGTCGTCTGTTTTTCTTCGGTGGAAGAAATTAGGTTAAATGTTGCATCTTAGCTCCCACTTGCTCGCCTGTTGGGCGTATTTGTTTGAAATGATGAAAGCAATTGCCTGCAACTAGGGATGGCAACAAAACCCGAACCCATGGGTACCCACCCGATCCAATCCGGTCAACGCGGGTAAAATCCGTGTTGACGGGTTTTGGGCCGGGTTTTGGTTTAAACCCGTTCACTATTCACCGGGTTGGGTTGGGTTTGGGTTTAGATAAACCCGACCCATGGGTATCCGCCAACAGCCATATAATTAATTTTCTCGGCATATTTAATATTCTAAACAACTAATCTTATTTATGTTTGTGGAGACAAGTCTAATTTTTTCTTTCTAGTTATGTAGAATGAAGTTGATGTTATTGAGTGGAGAGTGAAAAACTTAATTGAAAGGAAGAAGCTTTCGATTAATCATGTTATTTATGGATAATTTGTGATTTGCTTCAATTTTCTTGAGTTTTCTAAATTGGTGTTGAACAATTTGTGCAGTTAATTTGTGATTTGCTTGAATTTTCTAGAATGGTGTTTTATATATGGATAATTTGTATTGAGAGATTGATATTTGACTTTAATTTTGATAGGAATTTGTTATTGTGATTTTTTTACGACAAAAACCGGTGGGTACCCATGAACCCGCGGATACCCAGCGGGTTGGGTTGAGTTTGAATTTTTCAAACCCAGTGGGTTTTACCCCGGGTTTTTTTCACGGATAAACCCATGGATTTGAATTTGGGTTTGGCAAAACCCGACCCAACCCGACCCATTGTCATCCCTACCTGCAACTGTGCGATTCTTAGCAGGTTAGAGATGGGGTTTATTGCTAATCCTTTTAAGTAGCCGCCCAATGCCTGCCAGGTATTCTTATACTAAGCTTACTTCAATGCTTAGAGGAAGCAGGCTGTCAGTGATTACTTATTACCTCTGCGCTCTGCCTGCTTTTGGATATGAGAACTTTATCTATGTTTGGAGATTGCCGCTTTGGGGAAAGAAAGCCAATGTTCCTAACTCTAATCAGGGTGTGTATGGACGTTTACAGAGTGACTGGTTTAGTAGCACAACTGAACCAGTAGAGTGAAAGCAGCAGCAGCCATGGCCAAGCATCATCCTGATTTGATCATGTGCAGGAAGCAACCGGGCATCGCCATTGGACGACTCTGTGAGAAATGTGATGGAAAATGTGTGATCTGTGACTCTTACGTGCGCCCTTGCACCTTGGTGCGAGTTTGCGATGAGTGCAACTACGGATCGTTCCAGGGTCGTTGTGTCATCTGTGGAGGTGTAGGCATATCTGATGCGTACTACTGCAAAGAGTGCACGCAGCAGGAGAAAGACCGGGATGGCTGTCCCAAGATTGTGAATTTGGGTAGCGCGAAAACTGACTTGTTCTATGAGCGTAAGAAATATGGGTTCAAGAAAAGATAATTAGCATCGGGATAGATTGGGTATGGATTGTGCTTTGCTGACCTTGTTTGCAATGTACGCAAGTTGATATAGTAGCAGCTAGATGTTGGTTGCTGTGTGGTGTAGTAGTCTTAACTGGGACTAGATGTATCTCTTCCCTGTCTGTCTGTCTGTCCGTCTGGCTGTCCATGCATCTTTTACTAATATGTGATGCGAGGTGAATTTACCATTCTTGTTGGAGTTCCTTTTCGCCCATAACTTGAGTTTTCAAGTAGATGTTGATAAGATAAGCTACAACTTTGAATGAAATTGACCAGGATGACGACTCGACAGCAATTATTGAATCGATGTGGATTGTGTTGTTTGTGAACGATTTCATTCGTATTGCTACTGCTTGGTAATATGCTTGTTGTCTTTAGCTCTTCAGAATTATACCTATGATAGGTATGTCCTCTCACAATAGTTCATTAACATAGGCAATGTTGGTAGGAGTTGGTTGCCGGATCTTCTTATACTCCACAGTTTGTATTGCTAAGTGAAACTTTGTAATGCTACCGAGGCGAAAGGTAACCTCCCTTCGAGCTTTTTTGCTCTTTTCTCTCTCTTTTCCTTTGCCGTTCTCCATTCAATTGGTGGTGACTGCATAATGTCCTTTGTTAATGTACGGCTGCTGGGATTGCTTCCTTTGTTGTGAATTTGTTGAAACTGTAGTGGTAGTTCTGACGAGTCTTGGAGTCTGACCATGAAGATTTAGACCTTGAAAAACTCTTGAAGGAGCAGACTACAAGAACTGCAGAAGCAGCTCTGAAATTCTACAATGAGCGTGACGTGTGTCTTTTCCTCTTATTATTGTATTCAAATGAACGAATGGTTCATCGTTTGGGATCTTTTGTTTATGAACTGTTTTCTGTTTGGGGTTCTCGATATGGTTATAAGGGTGTCCAATTTGTGCTTGACGAGCCCTTGATCTGCAATTCTTTTATGCTTCCCTGTAATTTGTCTACGACGCCAACTTCACTGCTAAGCAGTTCGTTGATAATGGTACTCACACTGATAGCGGCAGCCCTCCCAGTAGTGAGATGTTTTGCGCTGAGGCAGCCAGAATCTACGTCAAGGTGCTCTGTGTTCTTGTCTCATCAGCAATCCTCGTCAACGAGGTAATTAAATCCAATGTCTAATTATTGTCGGTTTGGTACCTGAATGAGTCAGTGACTGTTGGCATGTATGGAATGTCGCCCCTTTGTTGGTTTGAGAAGCTTCCTTGACTATGCATTAAACATGATTCTGATTTATAAGTAGTAATATAGTGTCTCCATCTTGCAGTGTGTCACCTTTGTTTCTATACAAGAGACCAATCCGCTGATGCTTCTATGGTATAGGTTGCTAATGAATCACGGTTAATTGAGATCACATCCACTTGCTCCCTCTGGTTGAGAATTAGAAGAAGCAGTGAATTGTTATGTTTCCTGTATATCTATTTGATGCAACCAACTTCTTGTCTTGATAATGGATTGCATTCTACTAGCTGTAGTCATTTCAGTTCAGGGTTTATATATGGTACTAAGTTGTAGATAGGATGACAGATACTCGACTTGTGTGGATTTTGGTGCAGATCATCCGGTGAAGATCTGCAAAGGTTGTCTATATTGTCCGGTCAAGGTCAATCCAGCTATCTACCATCCCGAGGGATAGTGCATCATGGTGAGCATAAGGAGCATGTGTCAGACGAGTTCAGTACCCTGGACAGGTTTCCGTCCAGTTCACCCCCGCAGCTTCCTGGGACAGACCTGTAATGCAAATGCTCAGACATGGGAAACGGTAGGAGGAACATGATGACAACCACTGACACACTTTGCTTCTTCTGTTACTACGTGTTTAGGATATCTTCGTTTCATGTTAAGAACTTAGCCGTTAGAAGAACAGAAAGTATGCGTGTTAATACCGTGAGCTGTCAAGATTCCGCTAATAATATAAAATGAAAGTGACGCGCGACGATGACCGATTAACCTCCCATCTGAATTAATTAGCATATTAACTTTCAAGAGCTTCAAGTGACCCATAAATCGTTTATCCTCTCAATTTTTATATCATACCCACTCATTTCTTCTTCCTCTTGCAGATAATTCCATAGCCAGGCAGAAAGAAGATCTTGATGGAGCTGTTGATAGCTGCAACTATAGTTTCAGCACCGTTCATCCTCTTCTCCGTTTACTATCTGCTTTCCAAATATGTGCATTCAGGCGGAAGGTGTTACTTGCTGAGCTACCAGTGCTACAAACCTCCAGACGAGCAGAAAATGAGCACCGCAAACTCCCTGCAGATCGCCCTCCGGAACAGCAACCTTGTCCTGGAAGACTACCGCTTCCTCCAAAAGGAGATGGTCAGCTCGGGGATAGGCGACGAGACTTACTGTCCGAGGAACATCATGGAAGGCCGGGAAGCCTCCCCATCGTTGCAAGAAAGCCTCAAGGAAATGGACGACATCGTCTTCGATACCCTGGACCGGCTCTTCGCCGCGTCAGGAATCTCCCCTTCCCAGGTCGACATCCTCATCACGACAGCATCACTCTTCGCGCCCTGCCCGTCCATCTCATGTCGGATCGTGAACCGGTACAAGATGAAAGAAGGGATCAAGTCCTACAGCCTGTCCGGCATGGGGTGCAGCTCCAGCCTGGTGGCCGTCGATCTGGTGCGGCAGCAGTTCAAGCTGCAGCCCAACGCCCTGGCTGTTGTAGTGAGCGCGGAAACTCTCGGGGCTAACTTTTACCGTGGCAGGGACAGGTCGATGATGCTGCAGAACGTCACGTATCGAACCGGAGGCGCGTCCATCCTGCTCACAAATTCCCCAGCCTTGAAGCATAGAGCCATGTTGGAGCTTACAGCTCTGGTCCGGACCCATCCGTCCAGCGACGAGTCGTACGAATGTGCGATTGAGATGGAGGACGAGCAGGGCTACCGAGGCTTCCGCGTCCTGCTCCCCAAAGTGGCCAGAGTAGCGAGGCAGTGCTTGGTGGAGAATTTCAAGGTTCTGCTCCCCAGCGTGCTTCCCGTCTGGGAAATCATCCGATTCGCCGTGCAGCTATCAACCCCACTCCGCCTTCTCCGCCGCCGCAGCAGACGCAAGAGGATCAATATGAAGACAGGGATCGACCATTTCTGTCTGCAGCCGAATACGAGGGCGCTGGTCGACGGGTTCCGGACCAGCCTGGAGCTCGAGGAAGATGACATGGAGCCTTCCAGGATGACGCTTCATCGGTTCGGATTCACGTCCTGCAGCAGTTTATGGTACGTTTTGGGGTACATGGAGGCGAAGAAGAGGCTGAGGAAAGGGGAGAAAGTGTTGATGGTGAGCATGGGAGCAGGGTATATGTGTATTACTTGTGTTTGGAAGGTGGTCAGGGACGACTTGGGGGATTCCAACGTGTGGGGAGATTGCATTCACGAGTACCCTCAACAGGCGTCGGTTAATGATTTCGCGTTTAAATTCGGTTGGATTCAAGAGGATTGTGTCAACTTTATTAGATACGATGATTATGTTCGTGCTCAGTACTCTCGATACTAAGGATAGAGTGACTAAATATTTTGATTGGATGTTGTTAGTGGTGTTACAAATTACAAGTGATGTCTAGTACTTTTTAGATGGGTTGAGTTCGCTGCTTAAAGGTTGAGGTGGGTAAAGATGTCTAAATTTTTTTTACCCCCTGATATGCCTAATAGTACGTACACTTGAGATGGTATAAGTTTTCTACTTCAAGAATCAAGACGCAAGTGCTTAAAGATGTATAATATTCTCGAGAAAACACAATTTCCTGCTACTACTTTGTAGTAATGCCTTATAACCCTTTGATGCCATGAGTGGGCTCAAGCACTCTCCTATAGAAGAAATATCGATTCCAAAACACAGATCTAGATCTTATCCCAGGTTTATGATTTCTACTATGACATGAAATGTATAAGTTTAGATTGTATCATAAAAGAATTTGTACCATTATGTTATGGTACAACTTTACAACTTGAAGTTGTACCATCACATAAAGGTACAAGTTCAAGTTGTACCATAAAAGAATTTGTACAAACAGTATAGGTACAATCTGAAATTGTACCATAACATACATGTACAATTTTAAGTTGTACCATAAAGGCAAAAACCTATAGCACCAATACTATATAGCATTGTAAAATTCCTCACAAACATTCTCTATACATGCGTTATATTATGAACAATCATTGGACTATCGTTAATGAGCAAACCTCACTGCTTCAGAGAGTTTTCACACTTTGAAAAGATCAAATGAGTGAAACATGAGTCGAGACCTATATATTACTTCTCATTCTACATCAACAATTACTTGATACAATCTGATGTATCAAATGGACAAAACTTAATTCCTTATCCTCCTCTTTCATCATACTTTTGATTTTTTTTTTTTTAATTATTTTCTTCTCATTTTTGTAATAACATACCCATGTAAGTTTGTTTTTATAACAACACGGTTTTTTTACTGATCTATAACCTAATTTTATCAAAGAACTACTATTATGATATAGATAAAATATTAAAAATTATACAAGATATTGTCAATTGTCTGGGTGGTGTAGTTGGTTATCACGTTAGTCTCACACACTAAAGGTCCCCAGTTCGAACCTGGGCTCAGACATATCAATATTTTTTTGTTATTTGTTATTTAGCTCTTAAATTTTCACTTCGACACGTTGCTTAACTCTACAAAAACTACAGAACCTTCGACCTGCCACAGCAATTCTCGGTTCTTAGCCGACGACTGCGTCAATATTCAAGAGCCTGGCCTCGCCCAATCTCGGATTCCTTGTTCGTTGCTTGTAGCTGGGAATTTCTATTTCTCAGCCGGCGACTGCCAAAAGCAATCCACGGCCTACATCGTTCTTTACTTTCCGGTGTGGGGGTTTATTATTTTTAGCTGATCGGAGCTAGCTGTACCAAGGAAGAGGGGAAAGTACGATGGACTGGGGAAGTGTAACTGCTGATGATCTGATTGGAGCTCTAAGAGAAGTCGACTGGTCTTCTCCGCCTCGTCCGCTCAACGAATTCTTCTCCAAATTCAGCATCACCCGATCTTACCCTAAGTGGAGCAGCCGCCTAAAATGCAATCTGTATTAGTGAGTGCTCTCTCGTTAACACCCCACGTGCCGGTTTATTCGTTCTCGTCAATCGGATTGTTTTGCCCGCTTTGCTATCCTGCTCTCAGATGCAATTGAGAGAACTAAAATTGTTGAATTTTGGAATTGTTTTAGCGACTGTTTGCTGAATTAGGGCTTGTCTCTTTTGGCAGCTACAGGACGAACTACTTCATTTTGATTATGCTCATTCTTGGTAAGAAACCCCTTTAGGACTTAGCTACATGATTTTAGCTGTGGAGTTTTTTTTTTTGGGTTACAGCTGACGTCCTATTTACTCGTGGTTCTTTTCAGGTGTTGCTTGTATCATGAGGCCTTTAGCAATAGTTGCTGCTGCTTTGACTGCTCTAAGCTTTGCTTTCCTTAACGATAGGTAATTTTCGGTTTTGTGAATGTTTTTGCATCATGGGAATGTTAGGAATCTTCCGTTCTTTGCTGTTAGCTTCCTTCATTATGGATTACTTGCAAATTAACAACGGTAGCCTAAATGGTTGAACTGAAAAGCCAGTGTGAGTAGATAGTGGAACTACTGATGGAAGTATGATAAATTTGCTTTGTTACTGGAAATGAGTTTGTGGTCGCTTCTCAAAGTGTTTGCTAAAAGCCTGGTGTTGTTAATCTGGTGTGGCACACCCTATTGACTTATGCTCCTCTGAAAAAACGAGGCACAAGTCTGAAAAACTAGACTCAGCAGACTTATGCCTAGACCGTCCAATTTTGTGTGCTTGATGAGTATTGGTTTGTGGACTTCATTCTTTTCTCTAGCCTTGCCTGCCCATTTTGTACCTTTCTTCCAGCTACTAACCCTAGATATGCAGTATGAAGAACATTAGTAAGGCAGTTGTTTGTGATGTAAACTTGAGTTTATCGATGAGTTAGTGTGAAGGTGATTTTTCGTTCAGTGAAGGAATATAACAAATCTTTTTCCTTTCATTTTTAATTTATTTTGTAGTTTTCTTCTGGCAACAAACTTCAGATATGTAACTTGACAATGTCATGTAATGCAGCTTTTGTCGCGTGCCAGACTAGCCTGTGAGTTAGCTAGAAAGCTGAATTATACTTTAAGGAAGAGCTCTAACTGGAATCTGTTGCCCCTTCTTGCCTGTAGTTTTTTTTCTTCCTGTTTAGTTTCTTGCGATCTATTGCATCCATCTGATCTGTGTGAAGTTGTTCCTTTACTAGGTTAACTTTGTGACCACAAAAACTGGGAGTAGGAAACCATCATGTTATTTGAAGTCGCTTTTGTCGTGTATTCTTTGTGGTGAGCTGATAAACGTTTGTGATGCAGTTTTGCAGTCACCTTCAGTGAGAAGACGACAAGAACTGTGAGGAAGTTTTCTCCTCATTTAGCAGCAAAGATGAGGCCTCCTCACATGTGGGTTGCTGGTCCTGATGTGACCTTTCCTAATTTCACTTTCATGGATGACTATTAGTAAAAAAATTAACTAATTTGCCATGTTTAATACATCTAGGCCTGTCATCCGCGGCCGCCCATCTTCCAAGAAGACAATGTACATCTGTGGTCAGCCTCGTGGAGTCTTTGTTTTCGTATTCACATCCGGTATATAATTAAATTCCTTTCAAGTTGATAAATCAATCTTGATTCTTTTTGTACTTTGTTTATATTGGCTGATGAGATGCTCCCTGTCTGACAATCCTTCGTTGCAGCCAGTTTAATTTTGTGGTTTGCTTCAGGCAGCTTGTCCACTGTTCTGTGGGCAGTCGTGATTGCCCTTCTTGGTAAGGTTCCTCTAGTAGTGAGCCTTGTAGCAATTCCTTCCAGACAATAGTATTGTGGGGCTAATTGATTATTCCCATTTCCTTCCACAGCGACCATCATCCATGCGAGTGTCAGAACACCTAATCTCAAAGCAAGGCTCAATACATTCAGGGAGGAGTTCCGCGAAGTCTGGCGCAACTACAGCGACCTGTGATTGGCTACGGCAACCATTTGATGACATCCGTCCATTGCTGTATTTGCCATAATCCTCCACGGTGATCCTCCTTGAATGAGGAGATGTTTCTGCTAGTTGTCATTGCAACATGTTCGCCAAAGCTTCGCACATCTCTTCTTCTAGGTCCAAGGTTCGGGGTAGCATTTACCTACAGGTAAAGAAAAAGAAAAAAGATATGGTTTTGTTAGAGCTGTGTGTTGTAAATTTTCGTCTAGGCACATAACAGATCTCTGTGCAAGATGCTTTCTTGTCACCCTTTTCACTTGTGAACTTGAATGGAATGGTAGTACCTAGTAGTCTAGTACTAGTGGTGTCCAAGATTGTTAATTGCGTATCCTGGATCGTGGGAAGCATAAAGGATTATATGATTTCTTCATTTCGAGCAGTTTCTTTCGTCCTCAACTTATAATTAGCATATAAAGTATCCATTTAATCTAGGTTTTACAGATGTTTGTAGGAAATTGAGGTCTTATATTAGTTTTGAGTACCGTAGTGTGGTTTACATAAGGTCATAAAAAGCTTTGGACGCTTGATTAATTGACGACTCCTTTAAGGAGATCTAAACCCATTGATTACGATTAAGATTTGATTAGAATCAGTTGTTAATTTTCTGTATAAAGGATAATTATTATATGATCCATGAAGAAGCAATTGTTGAATACAAGAAAAAAAAGATTACTTAGAAATTAGAAAGAAAGAAAAAAACCAAAATTAGAAGTGGGTGTTATCGGCTGATTAGTTATCGATATTAACTACGTGAGAATTACTTTGAAGCAAGGTTGTCAATCCGCGGGTTGACTCTGTCAATCCGCGGGTTGACTCTGTCAATCCGCGGGTTGACTCGGACCTGGTTGAGCTAGTGGGTCAAGGGTTAATGGGTCACCCGTTTTAGGCTGGAAATATGGAAAGCGTCATTATATTGTACTTATCCTGATAAATTATATCAAATTTCATCTAACATATGAGTTATAACATATAATATTACACCAAAATAACATTTCGTACTTAGATTCAACATATAGTGAAAATTCACACACACTATATAACATTAATATTCAAATGTTAGGATTCCAAAGATTGAATTAGGCGAAAAGAAAAATCGGAAAATAGGCGCATTTCGCAAAACAAAGAAAAAAATGACACAATTTGACCTCCAACTCGGTACCTTGTGGCGGTCGACCCGGCAGGTGCGTGCGGCCCGTTTTTCTCACCGGGTCAGGGTCAAAGTGGGTCAACCCGCGAGTCGAGCCGCGAGTTGACAACCTTGCTTTGAAGTGATGTTCTGAATTTCATTAATTTCCAAGTCATTATCTCTCTTTATTGTATGAATATTATGGGAGTGGAGGCTATCGGCTCATTGTTTACCAATGTCAATGAAATGACCATTACTTTGAAGTAGTGTTGTTTCGAATTTTATTAATGTTCAATTCATTATTTGTCTTTATTATCAATGCAAAGTTGAGAAAAGAAGAGATGTCTTGAGGGTTGATGTAGTAATAATGTGAGACGAGGATATCCATCACATTTCTGATTCGAAACTTAGATCAACAACTAAAAAAAAAAAAAAGAGGCAGGAGCTGCAAACCAACCATAAAGAGTCAAAACCGAACCGAACTGATGCCTACCTTTGTCAAAGGCTACACGTCCTTGTATTTTCGTGAAATGTTGTTATCCTAATTACATTAGAACCACATAATTTACAGTTTGAGTTAAACTACCGATTTGGTTTGATTTGAGTTGTGACTAACTAATACAATCGGTTCACGTTTTTTCATAGATGATTTGAAGTTTAGTTTTTGGTACTTGATTTTACTAATACAATTGACTATTTTTTTATTTTTTTTGGGTAGAACAATTGACTATTTTTCATTGATGAAGTGAAAATGGTCATAATTCACAAAAGCCACGAGAGCAAACGACTGTGGAAATATTCGTCACGCTCCAGAAGCAGCGCGTGGCTCCCATCTACCTTCTCTCGGGTGAACTGATTAACTGTTCTGCTGGAAAAATAAAACCGGGCACCTGGCTCGCTCTCCGCTTCTCTCTGCTTGTCGTCCGCCACGGTCTCTCTTGCTTCGAGCCTAAGAAAAGCTGCTTCGCCCTGCCTTCTACGGCTCCGTCGCAGAGTCCAAAAATCTTCAATCTCCGTGAGACTCCTCGGGGAGTACCAATTGGGATTTGCATTTCAACTCAAATGCGTGCCCCTCTGTAATCTTGATTCTCGAGGAAGAACAAGAAATTCCTGAAGAGAAAACGCGGGTTGCCATTTTCTCAGAAATCTGTTCCTCTCGATCTCTCTCCGCTTCGGGCTATGGAGGACGACTCCTTCACTAACCTCCCTACTAGCCACTTGCTTGGTTCGGTGCCCGTAAGTTTCTAATTCTTATCTATTTCATTCATTCAAAGGTAGGAGAGCGAATTCGTTCCGGCATTAATTCGGACTTGTGTTAGTAGTTTTGTTACTCTTCCTGGTGGTTGCAACAATCGAGTTAGGTCAATTGGGTGAGATGGCTAGGGAGAAAATTCAATGGTGATTGGCCTTTGGTAGAGCAAATAATTTGTGTTTGGTATTTGCATTTTCTTTTAGTTGCTATGGAAGTGTCTCCTTATTGATCCTTCCATCTAGTTGGCCATGTCTCCTTGTTGATCCTACTATCTAACTGGAAATTTGCATAAAGTGGTCTCTGGAAGGTGGCTTTAATGGCTTACTGCCAGCTGCTTTGTTGTGGTCTTATGCTTACACTGACTCGGTTTCTGAGTAGTTGTACTAGTACTACAATTTGTTCTATCTTAATTGACTTGAGCACTTATGGTGTTCCCCTTTTCTTTCAATTCTTTCTAGGCTGTGGTTACTGAAGAAAAAAGCCCCAAAAACTATGAAGGTATGAAGTTATATGACCCTTAAACAATATGTTACACTAATTGCAAACTCGACCTAATATTACAGCGTTGTTTATTTGGAATGAATTGCAGTCCCTGAAGCAAGCATGCAGACGTTCCCTCCATCTAGTAATGGACGGGGAGGTGGAGTAGGCAGCAGCAGCAGCAACAACAACAACAACAACAACAACAAGGGTTATCACACGATGGGAGCTCCAACTGGTACGAATTTTAAGTAGTGGCATATATCCAATTTAGTAAGATCATTTGCCTTGGTCCAGTACTGTGTGGTTTATCCATGATCTTCATGACTTTGTTACACTACCCTGATAGCTTTTAAGAAATGTCGGAGTAAGGTTAGCTCTTAATTATTAACTGGTCTGCCAAGCAAATTTTATTGTCCTGAATGGCTCATTGAGACACTATAGGATCAGACATACCTACAGTTACTCTCTTATTTTTTCCTCTAGTTAGAAGCCAAGCAACTAGTGATGGGATATCAGTTTCTCATTTCATATGTAAGCTGGTCTTGACTTCAAACAAAATGGTCAATGGTGGGAAGTTAAAGTCGACACTCTCCTATGCGGGAGAGCCTCAAGGGAGTTGGTGATCCAGATTGTTCTGATTGTAAATAATAGGATAGACTTAGAAGAACATTAGCATTTTTCCATCTTGTAAAGGGGACAGCCTTGTCAGTCTTTTTACCTCCGAGTCAAGTAAATCTCTTGGCCTTTGGTATCCAGTAAAGTCAAAAGTGATTTCTGTCTGTTAAAGCTTGGTTGAAATATTTCTTTTTTATTGCATTAATCGAAGTAACTACATTGAATTCGTTGCTGAGGTCACTTGGACTATAGTACTGATTTTTGCCTCATTTCTTAAACAATGAATAGATGGAGTTGAACAGCAAGGACCACCAAACACTTGGAAGGGGGTATTTAGTGTCTCATCATATGTACAATACTTCAATGTCGATACCGACATTGTTGTGAACAGATTGATGAGCTCATTCTATCCTATAGGTGGGGATTTTTTCAGCAAGATTGACGCCAATCCAGACTTGTAAGCACATCCCTTATTCATATTTCTATTGTCCCCTTCTCTATTTCTGACACTAAAACCATGACATACTTGAATATTGGCATCTCACTTCTCCTTTGTAATCTGTTGATGAGGATAATATTTTTTGTCTGGTCTCACCAGTGTCAGTTTTGTCGTTGTGGTAGATATGGACTGGTGTGGATATCAACAACATTGGTGTTCCTGCTGTCCGCTCTAGGGAACTGTGCTACCTATCTCATGCTGAAACATACTGACAGCAGTGCCTCCTGGAACTTTGATGTTGGCTATGTTAATGCCGCGGCTGTCTCGATCTATGGCTATGCGATCGTTGTGCCACTGGGGTTTTACTTCTTGCTTCAGTATCTTGGATCAACTGCAAGCCTGATTCGGTTCTGGTGCATGTGGGGATACTCTCTCTTCATTTTTGTCCCATGTTCTGTAAGTCCCCTGCCTGGTGTGGGTTCATTGATGTTAGTGTTTCCCTCACTAAAAACTCTGTCTTCATCTTGTGCATGTGTTCTGTATCTATTTGCAGGTGCTGCTGGTTATCCCAGTGGAGTTCCTGAGGTGGTTGATCATACTGGGCGCTGGAGCTGATTCAGCATGCTTTGTCACTGCAAACCTCAAGACATATGTTGGAGGAGGTGATCTCACTATTGTGCTGGCTGCTTCATTTCTATTGCAACTCGCACTGGCAATCTTCATCAAGGCCTGGTTCTTTCCCTGATCAGGTAATCTCCCCTGGCGTTACTAGTTTGCAAGTGATCAGTATTTTGAGACTTAAGTTCTTCTGATTCGTGTTTTGTTGTAAGTGGTGCCTTAGAATAGGAGTGATAGTGGAGTTTGTTTTGTTGGGCTGACGAGTTGAATCGAAAAATGTGGGGCTTGTATGCATAGTCTGCAGTTTTTAGGAGACTTTTAAAAGTTTTTGGATGGAAAAACAAACCCAGATGCAAAGCTTTTCGTTTCATCTTTCTGCTCTGTTTTTATCTCCCTCCCAGAACGGATCGCGTTTGTTGGAGTTTGAATTTGTGCGCAAGTCTGTAAATACACAAATCCCTCTATCTACCGAGTCCGAGAGCTCCTTGCTTTTGTATTGTTGTGCATTACCATGATACCATCTGGTTGAAAATCACACTACTTTGCTGTTGTTTGAGACCACAAATTCTATGGATTGGAGATGAACAGAAATGCAGACCACAGTGTATGCCTTTAGATGTTCTATTCCCAGCACTTGGTTGACGAGACTCTACGCTTAAAAAGATTAATAAATGGAGGAAAAAGGAAAAAAGAGCTGGACCCACATATGGCTCAAAGGTTTATTTCCAAAATTGATGTTCTCTCTCTCGATTGCATCTGATGAATCATTGTGAAGTGTATGCCCAAAAGGAATTTATGTTCAAAGCACTTGGTCCATGAAATTGTACTAAGAAATTGAAAAGCAACGCAGGTCTCGTATTATAGAGCGCATTCTAAGATACGTTTTACATCCCAATATATAAATTACTCCGTGTTGATGTCCTTGAGATGTATACACTGAAAAAAACATCATGCTTGTTTAGTCGCATGTTATATATCTTCTCAAATGACCCGAACAATCAAAATCCTCCTGCTTGTGACAATGAGAAAGAAGGCTTGTGAAAAACAAGTTTAGGGAACAAGGAGAAGGCTTGTGATAAACATTTACAGGGTATGGTGTTGATTGGAAACACGTAAACGAATGAAGAATCGCCACCAACATCGAGCAATGTTACTTTCTAAATTTTGGCTAAACCGTGAATGGATTGGAGAGCCAACTTGAATGGTCAAAACACGTGAGCCACGTAGCAAAGGTGTTTGCGGTTATATCCGAATCATAAAGGGGATGGATTGGTTCATCTCATCATCTGATAATCATCCAACTCCCAAGTATCCAACCAATCCTTTTGGAGTTGGAGCCATTGGAAGGGGGAATACAGAGCTCAGGGCTAAACTCCAAGCTCTATGCATTCCGGTAATCATAGTTGAGATAAGGGTGCAAAGCTGAGAAGTCGGTACTTTAGTGCCGTTACACTATAGAATAGAACAGAGGATGTTATGTTAGTCAGGCTCACTCTTGAGTTGTTTGCGAGTGCCACATGTCCTCTCTGTTTCCCATCTGTGGCCACTTCTTTTGTTTGAGAAGTGAGAACTACCCTCTACCTGCAATCCAAATGACTCTCAGAGTTCCCCTGTTTGGAGTTAATGATTGATTCGCGTTTTCCTCTTTTCAATCATTGATCCGATCCTCATCTCATATTCAATCTACATTATAAAACTGCTGCAACAAGACAATCTCTGGGTACCCACCCATTTTCGTAAACGTTGAAAGCTGTAGAATTTGACGAAAGCCTGTAGCAGGGACACACGTTAGCGGAGTTAGGACGACAATGATGACAGCAACCATTATTGGCGGTCGTATATATATAGGGACCCAAGTAAAGTAACCAACGGAGGGCCGGAATTGGTTTGAAGAATAAGTGGAAGAGATGGAACAAGGAAGGAACACCTAAAGCAACCGCACAGCCGCAGGTAGAGCAGAGGAAAGCGCGATGGATGGATGATCATGGATCTGTGCTTGCTTTTGTTTTAGTTTAGGGGCATCGACGGCCGGGCCGCCAACCGCTACAGTCCAAGCCCACCTCCATTAAAACACGGCGAACTCTGGCGGCCTCTCATTGGCCACCGTACCACGTGCTGCCAAATACACGTTGTTGTCTGGTTCTGAGTGCCAAATTCAATTTTCGCCACTCAACAAATTTTTTACGTTATTCTAAGGGTGAATATCATAACCAAGGCCTCAACTTTAGAAGCAAAAATATTTTGGTACTTACGGAACTTCTCAAAGAGTGCTGCTTTGATTACACTTTGTTGCATCTCACTGTTAAAGTTTCTTCATAGTGGATAATTATTAACAAAGATTGTTCATATAGTCTCGTCGACTATTGCAGTTTTTGTGAGATATAAACGTGGAACCAAGTTTTAGAGAAATCAAAATGAAAAAAAAAAAAGACTAGATCATATTAGGATTCGACGCAAAAATTTGGAGGAGATGAAGGCTAATAGCCTGTCATTCCCATCGTTTTCAAATTTTGCTCAACATATATGAATATATCATACCTATGTTATGTATTTATAGCAGGGATGGCAATTTCGACCTGACTCATTTTACCTGACCTGTTTGACCTGCTTTGAGGTGGTCCGACCCGTCCTGTACGCGGGGCGGAACGGACATGGGTACCTCCCATCGACCTGACATGCACCGCCCCGCCCCATTCTTGCCTAAATTACATGTAATCTTAGTCAATTATTTAGAATTTTCCTTTCATTACCTCATATTTTAGCTATAATAAACTTGTAAATAAGTGAAAACTTTAATTTTTCTCCAATAATTTAACTACATTTCATCATATTATGGTTTCTTTCTTGATCTTTTAATGAAAATAACGAATATTTCTAATATTTTTCACATAAATTATATACCCATTGAGTCGACCTGCCCCCAACCTGCCCCGTGATAAATTACCTGACCTGGACCCGACCTGCCACGGGGCGAGTATGGGTATCGAGATACCCGTCCCAGACCTGCCCATTGCCATACCTATTTATGAGGGAAGCTCTAGAACCTTTTTAAAATACAGCTCACTCTTCTTCTACTTGACGGTAACGATTAATCAAACGTAAAATGTTATGTTGGGGATGTGACTCGGAAATACCTAAGGATGATCGCGCCAAAGACGACCGCGCCAAAGCCGGCGCGCGAGTACTGGCGCGCGAGTACGGAGAATGGCCTGGAAAGCTCGCGCGTAAACTCCAAACGGCCCTCAACGAGAAGTGTAATAGCGGCGCCGCGTCACCCGAAGGGTAGTCATCATCATAGCCCTAGAGTAGTCAACATCATAGTCCTAGGTATAGTCATGGCCGAGGGTCTTGTCGTCCCTAGGGATATGGTATTGGTCCATGACGTGTCAGAGGTCATGTCACCCCGCCATGGTAGTCACATCATTGTACCGTTGTGTACCTCACCCACCACCATGTAGCCTATAAATATGGCATTTACTCCGGTGGGTGAGGGGATCGGATTTTTCAGACTCTATCTCTAAGATCATCACTTTATCTCACTAAAATATAGACTCGCAACTCTTTCTTTCCTCTCATTCGTCTCATAGTTCTTGTTCAACCAAGCCGTTCATTCTTCTTGACCCATTACAGTGAACCTCACTCCTACACTCAGTTAGGTTCAAACAACTCCGCCATCGTATAAGTTGAACTTCTGATGCATGCACGCTTCGTACTCATCATTGAGCTCAGCGTAATGCCCCAGATCCGACTCATACCCAACCGTGCCGCCCTTCTTCCACTCCGTCGGCTCCGCCACAAATTCGCTCGCCCACTCCCCGGGAGTCGGTTTAACATAAAAGAACCGCTCAAACCAAGTCTTTTTCAACTTGGGAGACCCATACACGAAACCCTCAGGTCTCTTGTCGCGCCGCTTGATAGAAAGGCAATCGCTCCTCCTCGTAGGATCCTTTATCTTATAAAACTTACGGAACAAGCCGTAAGTCGGCTCGATCTTAAGCCTCTTGCACGCGAGACGGAGGCAGCTCGCGTGCATTATCACCGACGGAGAAAGGCGCCCAACTGAACAATTGAGACGCCGGTACAGGGCGCAGAGCAAGGGGTCGATGGGGAATTTGAACCCCATCACCCAATACTCGGTATATACCCCAAACCACCCCGCGGGACAGTTCCCAACCATACTTCGCGCGGACGGGACCGCGTACTGCCAATGGGGGGGCAAGCCTAACCCACGCACTATTCTCAGCACGTCCTGATACCCGTAAATGGACGCGTGATCAGGCCCCCTAAGAAGGTTGTCACTGGGCGCGGGCTGATCACCCCACATCTCTGCCCAGTCAATCACGGTATACGCCACGCCCACACCTCGGAAGCCCAAGCGGCTCATCGCTTCCGTAATACGTGCGGTACATTGCGGTTCTGATTGAGTGTCAGACCCTTCGCGTCTCTCCCATCGACCTGACATGCACCGCCCCGCCCCATTCTTGCCTAAATTACATGTAATCTTAGTCAATTATTTAGAATTTTCCTTTCATTACCTCATATTTTAGCTATAATAAACTTGTAAATAAGTGAAAACTTTAATTTTTCTCCAATAATTTAACTACATTTCATCATATTATGGTTTCTTTCTTGATCTTTTAATGAAAATAACGAATATTTCTAATATTTTTCACATAAATTATATACCCATTGAGTCGACCTACCCCCAACCTGCCCCGTGATAAATTACCTGACCTGGACCCGACCTGCCACGGGGCGAGTATGGGTATCGAGATACCCGTCCCAGACCTGCCCATTGCCATACCTATTTATGAGGGAAGCTCTAGAACCTTTTTAAAATACAGCTCACTCTTCTTCTACTTGACGGTAACGATTAATCAAACGTAAAATGTTATGTTGGGGATGTGACTCGGAAATACCTAAGGATGATCGCGCCAAAGACGACCGCGCCAAAGCCGGCGCGCGAGTACTGGCGCGCGAGTACGGAGAATGGCCTGGAAAGCTCGCGCGTAAACTCCAAACGGCCATCAACGAGAAGTGTAATAGCGGCGCCGCGTCACCCGAAGGGTAGTCATCATCATAGCCCTAGAGTAGTCAACATCATAGTCCTAGGTATAGTCATGGCCGAGGGTCTTGTCGTCCCTAGGGATATGGTATTGGTCCATGACGTGTCAGAGGTCATGTCACCCCGCCATGGTAGTCACATCATTGTACCGTTGTGTACCTCACCCACCACCATGTAGCCTATAAATATGGCATTTACTCCGGTGGGTGAGGGGATCGGATTTTTCAGACTCTATCTCTAAGATCATCACTTTATCTCACTAAAATATAGACTCGCAACTCTTTCTTTCCTCTCATTCGTCTCATAGTTCTTGTTCAACCAAGCCGTTCATTCTTCTTGACCCATTACAGTGAACCTCACTCCTACACTCAGTTAGGTTCAAACAACTCCGCCATCGTATAAGTTGAACTTCTGATGCATGCACGCTTCGTACTCATCATTGAGCTCAGCGTAATGCCCCAGATCCGACTCATACCCAACCGTGCCGCCCTTCTTCCACTCCGTCGGCTCCGCCACAAATTCGCTCGCCCACTCCCCGGGAGTCGGTTTAACATAAAAGAACCGCTCAAACCAAGTCTTTTTCAACTTGGGAGACCCATACACGAAACCCTCAGGTCTCTTGTCGCGCCGCTTGATAGAAAGGCAATCGCTCCTCCTCGTAGGATCCTTTATCTTATAAAACTTACGGAACAAGCCGTAAGTCGGCTCGATCTTAAGCCTCTTGCACGCGAGACGGAGGCAGCTCGCGTGCATTATCACCGACGGAGAAAGGCGCCCAACTGAACAATTGAGACGCCGGTACAGGGCGCAGAGCAAGGGGTCGATGGGGAATTTGAACCCCATCACCCAATACTCGGTATATACCCCAAACCACCCCGCGGGACAGTTCCCAACCATACTTCGCGCGGACGGGACCGCGTACTGCCAATGGGGGGGCAAGCCTAACCCACGCACTATTCTCAGCACGTCCTGATACCCGTAAATGGACGCGTGATCAGGCCCCCTAAGAAGGTTGTCACTGGGCGCGGGCTGATCACCCCACATCTCTGCCCAGTCAATCACGGTATACGCCACGCCCACACCTCGGAAGCCCAAGCGGCTCATCGCTTCCGTAATACGTGCGGTACATTGCGGTTCTGATTGAGTGTCAGACCCTTCGCGTCTCTCCCATCGACCTGACATGCACCGCCCCGCCCCATTCTTGCCTAAATTACATGTAATCTTAGTCAATTATTTAGAATTTTCCTTTCATTACCTCATATTTTAGCTATAATAAACTTGTAAATAAGTGAAAACTTTAATTTTTCTCCAATAATTTAACTACATTTCATCATATTATGGTTTCTTTCTTGATCTTTTAATGAAAATAACGAATATTTCTAATATTTTTCACATAAATTATATACCCATTGAGTCGACCTACCCCCAACCTGCCCCGTGATAAATTACCTGACCTGGACCCGACCTGCCACGGGGCGAGTATGGGTATCGAGATACCCGTCCCAGACCTGCCCATTGCCATACCTATTTATGAGGGAAGCTCTAGAACCTTTTTAAAATACAGCTCACTCTTCTTCTACTTGACGGTAACGATTAATCAAACGTAAAATGTTATGTTGGGGATGTGACTCGGAAATACCTAAGGATGATCGCGCCAAAGACGACCGCGCCAAAGCCGGCGCGCGAGTACTGGCGCTCGAGTACGGAGAATGGCCTGGAAAGCTCGCGCGTAAACTCCAAACGGCCCTCAACGAGAAGTGTAATAGCGGCGCCGCGTCACCCGAAGGGTAGTCATCATCATAGCCCTAGAGTAGTCAACATCATAGTCCTAGGTATAGTCATGGCCGAGGGTCTTGTCGTCCCTAGGGATATGGTATTGGTCCATGACGTGTCAGAGGTCATGTCACCCCGCCATGGTAGTCACATCATTGTACCGTTGTGTACCTCACCCACCACCATGTAGCCTATAAATATGGCATTTACTCCGGTGGGTGAGGGGATCGGATTTTTCAGACTCTATCTCTAAGATCATCACTTTATCTCACTAAAATATAGACTCGCAACTCTTTCTTTCCTCTCATTCGTCTCATAGTTCTTGTTCAACCAAGCCGTTCATTCTTCTTGACCCATTACAGTGAACCTCACTCCTACACTCAGTTAGGTTCAAACAACTCCGCCATCGTATAAGTTGAACTTCTGATGCATGCACGCTTCGTACTCATCATTGAGCTCAGCGTAATGCCCCAGATCCGACTCATACCCAACCGTGCCGCCCTTCTTCCACTCCGTCGGCTCCGCCACAAATTCGCTCGCCCACTCCCCGGGAGTCGGTTTAACATAAAAGAACCGCTCAAACCAAGTCTTTTTCAACTTGGGAGACCCATACACGAAACCCTCAGGTCTCTTGTCGCGCCGCTTGATAGAAAGGCAATCGCTCCTCCTCGTAGGATCCTTTATCTTATAAAACTTACGGAACAAGCCGTAAGTCGGCTCGATCTTAAGCCTCTTGCACGCGAGACGGAGGCAGCTCGCGTGCATTATCACCGACGGAGAAAGGCGCCCAACTGAACAATTGAGACGCCGGTACAGGGCGCAGAGCAAGGGGTCGATGGGGAATTTGAACCCCATCACCCAATACTCGGTATATACCCCAAACCACCCCGCGGGACAGTTCCCAACCATACTTCGTGCGGACGGGACCGCGTACTGCCAATGGGGGGGCAAGCCTAACCCACGCACTATTCTCAGCACGTCCTGATACCCGTAAATGGACGCGTGATCAGGCCCCCTAAGAAGGTTGTCACTGGGCGCGGGCTGATCACCCCACATCTCTGCCCAGTCAATCACGGTATACGCCACGCCCACACCTCGGAAGCCCAAGCGGCTCATCGCTTCCGTAATACGTGCGGTACATTGCGGTTCTGATTGAGTGTCAGACCCTTCGCGAGGGATCAGTAGAAACACGTGAAAAAGAAGAGGGATTACCTTCTTCGCCCTGCACGACCTCGGTCTCGTGAATGTTGGTGCTATCCATTGCGATACTCCGAATTAGCAACAGCAAGAAGAGAATCGAGGTTGTAGAAGAAGGAGAATCGAGGTATTGGTCCATGACGTGTCAGAGGTCATGTCACCCCGCCATGGTAGTCACATCATTGTACCGTTGTGTACCTCACCCACCACCATGTAGCCTATAAATATGGCATTTACTCCGGTGGGTGAGGGGATCGGATTTTTCAGACTCTATCTCTAAGATCATCACTTTATCTCACTAAAATATAGACTCGCAACTCTTTCTTTCCTCTCATTCGTCTCATAGTTCTTGTTCAATCAAGCCGTTCATTCTTCTTGACCCATTACAGTGAACCTCACTCCTACACTCAGTTAGGTTCAAACATGTTACAAATGTTATCAAATCACAAAGATTTCCCGTATAATTTCAAAATTTGCATACCACAAATGCCATGTTTAACAAAGTTGAGGACTCCCAGTGATATTAACCTTTATTTTTATTATATTTATATCTCTGATCCATCCCTCGGACCGTCGCACGTCTCTTCTCTGCCCTTTTCATCTCTCCTCATTTTTCTTTGTTTAAGGCAGCCAGGGTTTTTCACTCTTTTCTGTTGACTGCTCTCTCCCTCTCGCGCTGCTGTCCCATTTCTTGACACTCTTTTTTTTTGGGTTTACGCAATTGTTTTTCTGAGTTTCGTTTTCACGGGGATTTTGCTTAGCCAGTCCCCTCCATAAAAACCCCAATCGGATCCGCAACTCTTCTCCGCATCTCCAAAAAGATCTCCCTCCCGCCCGACCCACCCATTTTTCTCTCTCTCGAGTCGCTGCGTACGCGCAATCTCCACTCTTTCACTCTCCCTTCTGACTGCCACCATGATGAACGGCGGCGCGGCCGACACCCCTCGGGCCTTTGTGAAGGAAGTGAAGCGAATCGTCATCAAAGTTCGCCTCTTTCCCTCTTTATTATTCGAGTTCCTTCTACCCTCTTAGGGATAATAATCGCTGCAATCAATTTTGACCTTATTTTGACTCTTTACTTCTTTTGGTGCAGGTTGGGACTGCTGTTGTCACCAGAGGTGATGGGAGATTGGCGCTTGGGAGGCTAGGAGCTCTATGTGAGCAGGTTGTGAATAGTTTTTCCTCTTTTTGGGTTTTGTTTTTATTGTTTGTCATATGTTTTTTTCTGTAAAAAGAAGTCTTTATGTCTGTTAAAAAGCTATATTCTGCTTTGCTGTTTGTGGGTAGATTCTGAATATTCTTTTTCTTTTGTTTCTATTAATATGAAAATTGGTGGGTGCAGATTAAAGAGCTGAATTACCAGCAATATGAAGTCATTGTTGTCACCTCTGGTGCTGTTGGCCTTGGCCGCCAAAGGCTCAAATACCGGAAGCTAGTCAATAGCAGGTACCTCCCTGGCTTCCCATTTTCATTTTTCATTTTGAGTTGTAAATCATAGTTTTAAAAAAAGACTGTCCACGGGGTAAAGAAATGATCTTTCATGCTGTATTGCTGTTATATTTGCGGTGTTGTAGTTTTGCCGACACTGATTTGGTTTGTATTTGTGGTGTTGTAGTTTTGCTGATCTCCAAAAGCCACAAGTTGATCTCGATGGGAAAGCTTGTGCTGCTGTCGGGCAAAATTGTATCATGGCCCTTTATGACACATTGTTTAGTCAGGTGATTCATAGAATTTGGTATTGTTTCCATTAAGTTGTACTATTAATTCATATATTTATATTTTTCGTCCTATTCATCATCTTTGTCTTCTGGTAATTGGGGTATCTAATGAACTACCCCGTCTTGTGCAGCTGGATGTGACATCTGCTCAACTTCTCGTCACTGATTCAGACTTTAGGGATAAAGATTTCAGGAAGCAACTTAAGCATACTCTAGAGTCACTGCTATCGCTGAGGGTTGTTCCCATAATCAATGAAAATGATGCAGTTAGTACAAGGCGAGCTCCATATGAGGCATGTCACTATATGTTGTTTCTCCTACGGGTTTTCTTACATCAGAACATGCTAAAATTTTGAACTTTGTGTTTCTTGTAAATCCTTGTTTGGGGTCCTGGTAAAGGTCAACATACAGGTTTTAGTTTACAGCCAAATTGGGCAAAGCTTAATTAACTATTTTCCTATTGTTGTTTTGATTCTCTACCCTCTTAACCCGCCTTTTCCCCCATGATCTTTGTTAATAGCATAGAAGTTTAGCTTGCATCCCCCTGTCCTTAACATGATCATCGAGTTGATTTCACACATCTCACCTCACTTGATAGTTCTGACCCGTGGTAGCTTCTTCTACAGGATTCTTCTGGTATATTTTGGGATAATGACAGCTTGGCCGCTTTGTTGGCACTAGAGCTAAAAGCTGATCTTCTTGTTCTGCTGAGTGATGTGGAGGGTCTTTACAGTGGTCCACCTAGTGACCCAGAGTCAAAGTTGATTCGCACTTACATTGAGAGAGTTCATCTGGGTGGAATCACATTTGGGGACAAATCCAGGGTGGGCAGAGGGGGCATGACAGCCAAAGTAAAAGCTGCTGTAATGGCTGCCAAAGCAGGTGTCCCTGTCATTATAACCAGGTATTCTTCCTTGCTATATAGAATCCATGCTTTTATTTTGAATAAACTACCTCTTGATTTTGTGTTTCTTTCTTGTTTTTGTTGCTTATCTCTTCTAACATCCTGATAGTACTCCTTTGTAAAATATTATCATGAATTGTTTCTCTGGATGTGTGTTGATCTGTGAGTTGGCTCTTTTTAAAGCGGATTTGATCCCGAGAGCATAGTTAAAGTCCTGCAAGGAGATGATGTTGGCACCCTCTTTCATCGGGATGCTCATTTGTGGGTCAAAACCAAAGAAGCTGGTGCACGTGACATGGCAGTTGCAGCAAGGGAATGTTCAAGAAGGCTGCAGGTTCTGTGGATTATCCCATCTCTTACACCGTAAAACGAAGCTTTTGGTTTTATTTTTGAAATTAATGTATCTTGCTCTAACTTTATCGTGCTCCTCGGTTTGTGTCCTCTTCTGCAGGCACTATCTTCAGAAGATAGGAAAAAGATTTTGCTGGACATAGCAAATGCCCTGGAAGCCAATGAAAAAGTAATCAAGGTTGAAAATGATGCAGATGTTGCTGCTGCTGAGCAGGCTGGAATGGAGAAGGCCTTGATTGCACGTCTGGCTCTAAAGCCTGGCAAGGCAAGACAATGCTGTTGTTAGACTCTATTTATAATTTTATGTCCTTGCTTGAACCATTTTCTTATGTGTATACATTTATCATCTTTTTTATTCTTTACTTTCCAGATTACAAGTCTTGCAAAATCAATACGTGTCCTTGCGAGCATGGTAGATCCAGTTGGTCACGTTTTAAAGACCACCGAGGTAAGGATTTATCTTTATTCTCCCAATTCAGCTCTAGTAACACAACCAAATATATGTGATGCTTTATTTTAGGTCTTCAATTCTGATGATTTAAGTCAGCACTATTATTTAGCGCAGAAAGAGGGGAAATATGAAGGTAAATGCACATTTTAAGAAACAAACAGCCCCTTGTCAGTAAATTGGGAGTTTTCTGATTATGTCCAACCAAAGTATTCAAATTGTTTAGGTTGCTTTAAAAATGCCATGTGGGATGTCAGGACACTCGCTTGGTATTAGTCGAATATTTCTTTTCGCTATGTTACCAAATATTTTGTGTTAGGTGTTACTCAATTCTGTTTAATGGTTCCAGCTTGCAGATGGTCTTGTCTTAGAGAAGACATCATCTCCTCTAGGGGTTCTCCTGATTGTTTTTGAGGCTCGGCCTGATGCACTAGTGCAGGTGGGTTATATCATAGGATGGTCGGCAACCTTCTTGCTCACCCTAAAATTAAAAGCTGTGTCATTTGTTTTAAGTTTGCTGTATTCTTTTAAATAGATTGCTTCATTGGCGATCCGCAGTGGAAATGGTCTCCTACTGAAAGGGGGAAAGGAGGCCAGGCGATCAAATGCAATTTTGCACAAGGTCTGCTTCTTTGCTTTCTGAAGTTTGAATATTAATCGATTAGCACATGTGCTTACTCTTCCCCTTTATAATTTGTTACAAAATAGGTAATCACTGATGCCATTCCAGACAATGTTGGGAGAAGGCTTATTGGACTGGTGACCTCAAGAGATGAAATTCCTGACCTACTTAAGGTGGATAGTTGTTTGAACTATAACGAAATTTAAGCAGATGGCCTTGTTGCTTAGAACTTGGAAAGAGAGTTTGGACTGATGTGTTTCCTTTTCCTTTGAATCAGCTCGATGATGTAATCGATCTTGTGATTCCTAGGGGCAGCAATAAACTGGTTTCGAGTATCAAAGCATCAACCAAAATCCCTGTTCTGGGTCATGCAGGTAATAAATAACTTCGGTTTCATTTGTCGGTCTGTTGATGGTGCCAAACATTGAAGTCACACGTTTTGTGCTGCTACACAGATGGAGTCTGTCATGTATATGTTGACAAGTCTGCTAATATGCAAATGGCCAAACGTGTCATAGTGGATGCAAAAGTGGATTATCCAGCAGCCTGTAATGCAATGGTATAATAGCTGACTAACTCTCATCTACATATTAACATGGTTTCTGTTCTGTGTGCTCTTTTTCTTAATGAATTATGAACCAATACCTTTTTTGGTTTTCTCTTACAATATCCAGGAAACACTTCTAGTGCATAAGGATTTAGTGTCTTCTGGTGGCCTGAATGAGCTAGTACTTGAACTTCGGAATGAAGGTATGGATGGATGCTGTTTTGAGTCTTTTCCTGGGTTTGAGGTCTTCCCTTAAAATATAGGCTGTAAATCCCTATTGATTACGAGATGTTTCTATTATTCAGGTGTGGTTCTACATGGCGGGCCAAGGGCGAGCGAGGAGCTGAGCATCCCTGAGCCAGCATCGTTACATCATGAGTACAGTTCCCTTGCATGCACTGTTGAGATCGTTGATGATGTGCATGCTGCCATCGATCACATACATCGACATGGAAGGCAAGATCTTAATTGCTTTCGTTTGGACAAGTTGTGCGACATTTCATTTCATGCTGAATTTGTCTGCTGACGTTGTTTCCCCCTTTTTTTTGGCAGTGCCCATACTGATTGCATCATATCAGAAGACCTTCAAGTTGCAGAGACCTTTTTGCGACAAGTTGACAGGTAACTAACCCCCATCTACACTGTACTATGTTTTTGTCTCAGATTATTGTTGCTTCAGTTTCATATTCATTGACATTGTGATTTACAATGTTGTTTCTTCTATTCATCCTATGCAGTGCTGCTGTTTTCCACAATGCCAGCACAAGGTTCTCTGATGGAGCTCGATTTGGACTTGGAGCAGAGGTGAATAACTCTAATGACAATCTTATCTATGCATCTCTAACTAAGGATTGTGTGGTGCTTATTACTGGATTTTTCTTGATGGATGGGGTAAACAGGTCGGAATCAGTACGAGTAGAATCCATGCTCGAGGCCCTGTTGGCGTCGAAGGATTGTTAACGACCCGATGGTAATACCGACTCTCATCAGGATTGCCCCTGCCCAATTGTTTCCAATTTCCATTGTTTGAAAAAACAGAACCCTTTTCTTTTCCTGAACCCTATCTATGTCTCTACGTTGCATTTGCAGGCTACTGAGAGGGAGTGGACAAATAGTGGATGGTGATAAGGCAATAACCTACACCCACAAGGATTTAACATCTGTATAGATTTCCAAGCATCATCACCAGAGGAAGAAGATTAGTCACTTGCATGCCATCTTAGCTGCGGTTTTAATAAATCAAATCATCATTATTAGGGGGAGTGTTTATTATCATTATTAGGGTATCCTGTAATCTCTGCCATGACCTTATGTTACTGAATAAGTTCTCCATTCTCTATTAAGCTTTTATTGTTGGTGGTGTTGGAGTTTCTTATAATTATGACGAAAGATTTTAGTTCTGTGGGGGGCCTCTTCCGATCCATGACCAGTAGTAGCCTGGGCAGATTTGGGAACGTGGAGTTTGGGATCTTATGAGTTTCTCTTTTGGCCTTCATGCTAGTAGTTAGGAAGGCTCATTGTAATGCAACTCTACAAGAGGAGTTTATGTCCTTAAGTAACATTTCCTGCCGTTGTCACTTTTTTAAGCAATAGGCTTTGTTTGTTTGGGGCTGATATTCGAAACCGTATGTGTATGATTTTGATATTCTACTCTATTCTTATATGGTTATAACATGGATAAAAACCCGAACTATTTTGGATAGGAGAATGAATATGCACTGTTTGACCCCAATCTGGCCCATTGTCGTCTCTAGTTTATTCTCTCACATAAAAATTCGTCATTCAATCAATCATTTTCTAATGCAATTTCGTCACTCAATTAAACTAAAGTTTGTACCGTTTTGTTTTGCTTACAGTTGTACCAAGAGAAAGGGTTAATGGCTCCTCAATGTTTATGGGTTGCTAATCAGTGTACCCTTAAATTATGAGCTTAGTGGCCTTCCAGCGACGCAAATTGAAAAATATACAAGAGATAATCAAACACAGTATCTATCTAAGAAGATATACATAAAAACATAATCAACCTAAGCGTTGTCACTGCGGGTCCCTTCTAATATCTGAAATAGAAAATAAATGTAAATTAATACCAATTAAAAACAAGAGATAAGAGACAATTGCAATAACAATTAGTGGCAGAGATTGAGGGTTTTACGTAACAATAAATTAAATTGCTTTGATATTGCTAGACAATGAAATGGTTACTTAACTATTTAATTATGTTCAGCGAATCCATCACATGACAAATGATGCAAGTAACAGGTAATCTCTTTCAATGTATTTCAATTAGAGATTCCTATTATGAATAGTCACCATCATTACCAATATTGTCTCGAGTACTTTTACTCTCAACTCCAGCACAACCTCTATAGTATTATTGAACACAACAACGGAAGAACAAAACAATCAACGATGACATAACAACCTCTTCACAATCATTTTGTTAATCATAATTAATTTATCCACAATCGATTTTGTCATTCATGCACCCTCTATGGAGAAAAAGCCAATGACTTCAGAACTGTATTTGTCCAATCTTATCATAATTGATTGTTGATATTGCAAGTTGTAAGCACTATAATATTAATTCTCTCTATAGATAAAATCCAAATATAACAGTAAAATCTAATATACCTCAATAACCCAAATTGTTGGAAGAAATCTAAAAAATATATTTTAGAAATGCATAACTTCGATTAGGATAAAAATAAAAATTTGGAATGCTACTACCTTAGATTTCACAATGTAGTACGTGTTCAGTGTCCACCAAAAGGAAGAAGAAAAAAACACCAACACCATCCTGCTTGCAGTTCATGATGGGATTCCTACCTGCATTCGTACGGATTGCCAAGTGCTTTCTCTTGCTCTCAATCAGAACTCCTCGACATGGCCATGGCATTGTCGAGCTACCATTGCTCAAATGTCTCTCCTTCTTCGGTCTGCTTTTTGGATCCGAATTGAGTTCGTTCCCCGACAGCTTAACCGACTTGCAGATTGAGTTGCTCGCCAAGCTAGAGAAGCTTCGTTACCTTTGAAATGGATCTTAATTGTTAATATCATTGCACCATTGTTGTAACGAACATTTGGGTTCTTTTCGGATGGAATATAAGGATACTCTGACAGTAAAAAAAAGTCCAGGAGCTAGTTCCGAACAACCAGAGAAGACTAGGAACAAGTAAATACATCCCAAAGTTCTTTTCTTTCACACCGAAGCCACAGATGATCTACCTGATATAGCATCTTGTTTACATGTACCCATGAAACAGAACCAAAATTCACTTTTTCATAAGCAACATCTCATCTGAACATATAGCACTTACCACCGACTACGGTAGTTCGATAAGCAAAAAGCTGCCCAGCATAGTCAGCACTAACCGCTGATACTTTAACAGTGAGAAACTCTACCAACATTAATGACGAGCATCTCCCCACCAGACTTAGTAAACCTAAACGGTGTTGAATTCGAAATTGCATCGGCCAAACTGATCGAAGAAGTGCTTTCGATAAACTTTCATGCCTGCACGAACTTCTTGAGGTCATTCAACCAGCCCAAATACTCTCTACTGTCTTTGTTGATCATGTACTCGTGGAGGAAATTGGTTGTGTTGGGCTTGATTCCTCGTATATCCAAATACTTATGGAAAGCATTCTTCAGATTCTCATCCAAATCACTGTAGAGCAAGCCACAAGTATTCAGCCAAACGACTCACACCCACAAGAGTTAACACAACTTAACTGGCCAAAACAACATAAGGAAAAAGTAAGTTGTAGGCTTACTGGAAGTTTGGTCCATCGTACACCATTTCTTCAGAATTGTTTTCAGGTTTCTTCACCGACAAGCTGTCAATTGCAATCTCATCTGCAAAAGCAACACAGCTGAACTCCAAAGAGATTCCACTCTTCTTGGTAACAGTGACAACCAACGGGAGGCTAGACTGAGTTGGCCTCTCGGTATCATCATCGTCATCATCATCTTGAACATCATTCTCTTCACCAGTGACAAGATCAGGCATGTGAACCTCAACTTTAACATGTTCGCCTTCGTATTGTCTTGTCAGTGTTAGTGTCTGTTGACCCAGTTTATCCTCAATCTCGAAAGGGAAACCTGCTGGAACATCCTCAACCTACAAAGCCATTAGGAGAGTTTAAGTCTAGGCAAAAACAAACACGGAAACCCGCTTCAGTCTTCCTGAGAACACTGCCTAATATCTAGCAGACAAGCTTACAGCGACTATAAACAGAGCAACCATGTCTTATTGCCATCAATACCACCCTAACTCTCTTGTTAACACAACTAACTTAGAGTTGGAGAATCGCATTTAACCACGCAAAACTACTAGAACCAAGAGCGGCTGACAAGTTCTGCTCTACACCACAATCATGGGATACGGCTCCCATCATTCAAGGAAAAATGGCCATTTTGTTTCCATTCTAATGTAGCATTAGGGTCTCTGATTCATTATGACCGATTTTCCATTTCCTCTAAAAAGTTGCAAACTTCACACCTTAGCTATCTTCAAGTGTTCTCCCACGGGGGAAGCAAGTCATCAATTGTTTCCTCGGGAAAACCAAATGGCACCGTCGGTGCCGAATTCGTTTCCGGCGATGTTGATTTGATGTTTCGCGATGGAAACTCTTGCGGTGCCGTTTGATCGAAGGCACCGCTGATTGCTGAAATTGAGACGATCGTCAAATATCCGCCGCCGGTATTGGCGTCGTTGATTTGATCGATGCACCTCTAAATGGTGAAATCAACGTGACCGTCAAATATCCACCGCCGGGCGGTGTTGATCTGATCGATGCACCTCTGACTTCTAACCAAGAACGACCGTTACTACGGTTCGCACCTCTCCAAACTACGTTCGAACGAGGGTGTTTGAGTTTTGAGGAATCTACGTTAAAACTACTCCTATGGAGATTCCTGTGGAGAGCTCCGCGACTACGACTAAGGCTACAACTATGGAGATCCTTCCTGGAAGGAGAGCTCCGCGAAGGAGTTACAGAGAAAAAAGGTAAAGTTTGAAAGATGTGGTTCTGTGTTGATTTGGTCGTCCCTTCTCTCTCCTTGCTCCGCTGCTTTTATTTGAAATCACTTGCGTAGTCTTCACGCCCTGTGGAACTGCTTCCTCAACCACTCCATCGTGAACTCCCACGTGTCTTCACTCTTATCCACAGAGTCGTAGTCTTCAACCGCTTTGATCTTCTCTTCACTCCCGAATCTCCAGTGCAAGAAAATAACTCCGTTATTTTCATGAGCCCGCGACGTCGTTTACGCCTCCACCAACAAAGTTTCCATAACGACGTCGTTGAACCCATTCACGACATTTCTCAGCTTGCAACACCGTCAAGCTCACTACGTCGTTGAGCTCCACGATGTTGTTTTGGCCTTGCGGCATCGTTGAATTTCTCGGCGTTGTCGAACTCGCAACGCCGCTGAATTTGCGACCGCGACATCGATTCCGCTACGTTGTTGTTTAACTGGCGGCATTTTTAGCCTTGCGACACCGCATTAATTAAATATTTCACGTACCACAGCATTGTTGGGCTTACTTGCGGTGTCGTTTTCTTCCTCAAACAGCTCCGTTTACTTTTTCTCCACAACATTGTTTTATATTAAACACTGTCGTTTTCTCTTGCACAACGGTACCGTTGGGCTTACTCGCGGTATCGTTTTTAACTGAACAACACCGCTTGGTTCTATCCGCGGCATTGCTTGTCACTAAACGGTGCTGTTTTTTTATCCTTCTCCGACAAGGAATAAAAATAATAATTAATTAAAAAACTCCTTTCCAACACCAATACTAAACGCGCGGCCCACATCTTATTTTCTGGTAAACAGTGTTGTTTCCAGTGCCGCGGTACCGCTAGCTTCCTTGCGGTACCGTTTTTTGTTTCGCGGTATCGTTTTAACTCATCCGCGATGCCGCTTGTCGCGGTGCTGTTGAGCTTTGAGGTTCGCGGCACCGTTTTATCTCTTCGCAGCATTGCTTGACTCCAAACGGTGTTGTTACTCTCCTCCTCCGACAAGGAAAAATAGAATAAAAACATTCCTTGTCCAACAGCAACACATGTCCTGCGCATGACTCACACATGGTCTGCAACCAATGTCGTTTCAAGTACCGCGGTACCGCCGAGCCTCTTAGCGGTCTCGCTTAAATTCTCCGCGGTATTGCTCGACTCCAAACAACATCGTTTTGGCCATGCGGTATCGAATTAAATGTCGAGACTCATTATTACGACATTGAATTTAGGCCAAAATTTTTTTAGGTGTAAACATCAATAAACTTAACCACAAAGACTCGAACATATCCACACGCTAATTTGTTTTTTTCCAGGCTAACAAAGTACGAACAATCCATCCAACCAAAACAAAGGAGCCAAACCATGAAATCAACACAAAAAGTTGGCGGAAAGAGAGAGCTCCCCCACCTGATCGTGATCATCATTCTCCTGGGAAGTCTTGATTTCATCCTCGATGATTCGGAGGAGCGACTCGCCGGCAGCCGGCTTGTTGCTCACCACGGGAGCTGTAGAATAGCCGCATAAATGCGAAACACCAGCGTGTCCTCTCCCGCAGATACAACCGCGGCGACCGCCTGCAGCTGTGAGGATTGCAGAACAGAAGCTCCGGCGAGCTTCAACACGACTAACAACTCGACCCACGAGTGGGGCCAAAGTTGATGCCGATTTCCGTATCACTGCTCTGAACGCCATTCTCGGTTCTTCGTCTACCTCAGGGAGAGAGACTGATTTTGGATGGAAAGGAGGATACCAGGATTTTGAGGGTTTAAGGATCAAGGCTGAAGGTCACCGGCCAATTAAGTGACGGGCCAGATATTGACAGGCCCTCTCCTGAGGCCCACTTAGATAAGTTCAGCCCAACACCGCATGTCCCCTTTCTGTCTTCTATCTGAAATGGGCCAGAAAAGTTAAAACAGAAGTCAGAAAATGAAGTGAGAGGTGAGAACTAGCAAAGCCACAGAGCCATCAATCACAATTCACGAGCAATTATAAAAAAGCGTTTTCCGTGTTTTCTTTCCGTTATTCTTACATTTGATTTGAACTTTGAAGGTTTACAAATAGCAAATGTTGGTTGATTATTATTATTATTTTAATGCAATAAGAAAAAGCGGATAGTGTCGGATTTCTGGTAGTGAAAGAAAGGAAAGAACATTCTTCCATTGACGCAGCATCAAGAAAGATCGCCACCATCAGCTCGGAGGCAGACCTGGTACCCAAACCCAAAATATCCCAGCTTCTGTCCATCGAGAGTCCCATGGAGCTAATGAGAATGCTAATGAGGGATTATTGATTTGTCGAAGCTGGGTTCACTTCCGGTGAGCTTCTGTGAAAAGGGGTATTGGGTTCAAGGAGGAGCGCGGGGGAGAAGTGCAAATTGCGTTGCGGGGGAAGACTGATGAAGGAATTGTTTGGGAGTCCAGGGAAGGCGAGTGGGCTGGGGCTGAGGATTGGGCAGTTTGTGTTTGCAGCTGCTTCGATTGGGGTGATGGTTTCTGCCCATGGCTTCTTCAACTCCACAGCTTTCTGGTAACGTTTCCCCTTTTCTCGCTTCTTTCCCATTCGTTTTGGGTTTCTTGTATAGAGTCGAATTTGGTGTGGTTACATGGTTTTGAGCTGGTGGGTGGTTGTTATTTGATTGTTTAGGTTCTGTTGGTGGTGGTAAAGATAGTTTGGAATCTGATTATTGTTAAGCTTTCACTTATCAACGGTCCGTTTCTAGTTAGTAATTGGGATTATTTGCTTATTCTGGTCTGAATTCTGTATCCGGGAAGAAATGGGGTCCATTGAGAACAAGGGTTTACCTCAACGAAATTACTGTTTGGTTTGGAGTTAACTTTCCAGGAAGGGCCTTATAGAGTGCGAGAGAAAGTTGTAGGATTAGTTTGAAAAACTAGTATTGTGATTGCATTTCTAGCAGCAAATTGAACTGAATACAGTAGAGCTAAGATCAGTGTTTGGAACTATCAACTATATTTGGACAAAGCTAGCTCTGTTGTAGTACATTGCTGTGATTGTAGGATCAATATTGTGAGTGATAAGCTCAGGCTCTCGTGGTATTGAATCAATAGTGCAAGTATTTTCATTCATTGTGATCAAGGTCAGGCTGCAGCTTGATTTTATTTTTATTTAACAGCTTATTTCTTTGGTTTCTGTGACTCATCTGGTTAACAGAATGGCGGAGAGTCAAAGCCCTAATATTAGTCGCCTGTTTAATGTCCATCTTCCTTCACGTTGGATTTCCTCCTTCTAGTGTCGCTTTGATCCCAAAAACAAACAGTTATGCACCATAACTAAAACAAATCATGAAATTTGTCCCTTTCATGCTAGTAAACATGAAGATAAGAAGAGTGAGCTTCTAGTAGATGCAGCATATAAAAGTGAGCACTGGCTCACATTATCAGAAGTGTTGCAACAATATATGCTGAATTTATTGAGGTGGTTACTAATAAGTTTTTTACCCCGTCATTCTGAATGTTTTTCTGCATATATGTTCACTAGCTTAGTTGGGATGTGTCTCTTCTTAACTTCCTTGATTCCCAATTTACTTCTTGAATAGCTCCAGAGCTATGATTACTTTGTTCTCTTTTGGAGTTCTGTCGACGGAGATGGAAGTAGAATTGAACTGAAAGGTTATTTTATGTCACCTTTTAGAAGAGCTGGGATTTTTTTTTTTTTTTTTTTTTTTTTGCACTCAGTTCCTTAAAGATAGCCTTATGTTGTCCAAAATTTTCAGCTATCTAATTGCGTCAATGGGGCTTCAAGTTCTATGGAGTTTCGGACTTGCATGCCTTGATCTACATGCATTGAAATCAAAGAGAAGCTTGCAGAATCCCGTCTTAGTGAGCCTATTTGTTGTCGGCGATTGGGTAAATGTCTATCTTTACTTCAAGTGATCATTTACACTTTCTGTGTAGGACCACAAAAGGCTTACAACATGTAGTTGATCACTATCTTCATCTCTAGTCCTTCGCAATTGAGATCTCCATGATGAGATTTTTCAGCTTCATGCATTATTCTCCTAAGCAAATCTAGAGGAATGGGTAGATAATTCAGCCATCATGATGTTGCACATAATTGTTCGCATCTCATTTCTTCTTAGATTGAATTGATTGGAGCTTCATAACCCAGTATCATTTTTTTCTGAATTTTTTTTTATATGCAGGTGACATCTATCCTGTCACTTGCAGCAGCATCTGCATCAGCAGGAGTCACGATTTTGTACGCTCGAGACCTGCACTACTGCAATGCCACACCTCACTTCCCATGCAAAAAGTTCCAAATCTCCATTGCTTTGGCTTTCATCTCATGGTTTCTTCTTGCAGTGTCATCCCACGTCATGTTCTGGCTCATGGCGTCTGTATGAAGTTTAAAAAATTCACAGAAGTGTGATTCATTTTGTAGCTGTAAATACAAGTCACTCTGAGGCCTGAGCAACAGAATCCATCTCCCCTTCCCTCTCTCTCTCCTTTTGTTAACTCGGCTCTCCTTTTTTGAGCCCTACATTACATCTTGTTCTCTTCGCAATGAAAAAGTTGACCTGGACAAAACCTTCCTGTTGCTCGGTTGCTCTGTCTATCTCCCTCTATCAATTACATCTGCTTCTAATGGAAAAGTATGTTAAGTTCGAGGCTGTGCAGGAATCACTGCAAATATTGATTGGTCCAAAATTGGTCAGTTGTATGGCCACTGCCTAGAAGTAGCATCATATCAAATAATCCAATGAACAAGGATGAATGAAACATTGAACGGCCAGCTCTTAGAAAGGGAACTCCCTCTTTGCCATGGTCCAGCACGTTTGCTGTTACTGTTAGTTGGGAAAATTACATTTTGGTTCTGGTTGGATCAAAGTTTAACTACCTGTCGTCCTCTGCAAACTCATTATCGATCATTTGGGGTTGCTTTGTTTGGCGTTGACAATGACATACCATAACTCTGCAGATGGGAGACCCACTTTGCCCCTTAATAAATCAAAATGAGGGGAGTCATGTCATGTGGGTGCTATGAGTATGACAGGTAATAACTTAGAAAATCATTTCCCACTTGCTTTTCTGGTAACCTGCAACATACTCTGAGAGAGAGCCAAGGAAGGAAGGGCCACTACAGAATTGCAAATTAAATGAATCCAAATAAGTAAGCACAACTAAGAAACATCACAAAATGTTGTTGCATCATACCCTACCACTCCTCAATCATACTCAGCTGGGACTGGTAGTCCCTACTGAAACCTCCTAACCCTTTACCCCCTAGTAAAAGACAAAGAGATGCACTTATCCAGATTCCTTCTCATAGAGGAGAAGCTCCCAGCAGATTCCAATATGTCCTCTTCTGTCTCTCATTCACAGCTCTCAGTAAACTCACTACTCTGCACCAGCAAACTGGTATCTTAAATTTCAGGTTATAGTATAATAGTCTTTTGCTACCCGGTAGTTCGATCGAAGGTCCTTCAACATGTTAAGAATAATCATACCTTCTGATAATCATTAGTAAAACTGAAGAATCCAATTAGATGATGAGAAAGAAGATAACCCATCATTGATATAATCAAGATCCCATTTTTTCCGAGTATAAAACCAGCAGTATGACAGAGAAAACTGTCACCTCTTGACCTACATGTGATGTGAGTCCACTCTGGATCCTCGCCAGATCTTGGTGGATTTAACAGCCTGGAATCCCTTGGAAGTGACCAACTGCCCACACATTTAGGGTAAGTTACTTCAAAACTGTGAAAAGAGCAAGCATGGTACTCACATGAAGGGATCCATGGCAGCGTCAGTGTGTTGTTATTATTCTCTCCATAATCTTGAGCGGAAAGAAAGGGACATGGAAGCTATATGACCTGTTAGCGAGAGAGACAGAGCAAAAGAAAAGTTAACAGGGGGCCACTGCCAACACACAAAGTCCAAATAATTGAAAGCCACCGACAGTTAAATTCTAGTTTTAAATATACAGGGTTCAGCAGAAGTTAAGGAACAGGAATACAGTTACATATTCTTCTCCATAGTTAGGACCATGATTTGATTATCATGGACGTGGCCTACATAAACCTTGATTGATCTGGCTATGGTGCTTATGCCGTTGAAATGAGCGTTCCACAATCTGTAACAATTGGATGTATGCAAGCAGTAAACACAGCAACAGAATTGAACCTTGTACAAGGACAAGAGCAAGGAAAGAGACATAAATCTTTGGCACCAAACTGAAGATCTGGAATTTATTTCTCCACACATTCCATCCCACAGCTACAAATTTGCTCACACATGATTTGCATCACATTTCTATTTGGCAAAAAGCCAAGATGACAACTCACAACAAACTTCCAACTCCCACAAACTGACTTTTACACTTCTGTATGGGACAAAGGGCAATATAAATTGAAACCCAATTGAACAAAAAGAAAAAAGATGGAGAAACAAGGTACATTTCTTTCCAGCTGGACTGGAAAATCTCCCCTTCCATCTCAGGCCAACTCTAGAGAACATACATTAATTCTACACCTCCTCCCAAAAACCATGAATTTCACTCTTCACTACTACCTTCCTCATGTTTTTTATTTGTCACATCACAATCTCTGGTTTCAAAATACTCGACTTGATCTCCTTGTGCGGTAGAACAACACCTCCGTTGCTGTAAATCTCGTCGCACACATGCACATCCTCCCCCAAGATGGTCATGTTCTCGACACGAGCCCATTGCCCAACTGTCGAGTGCCAGCCGATGATACTGCTTGAAATGCACGCATGCTTCTTTATGCGAACCCCACGCATCACCGTGCAACGAGACAATCTAACCCCAGCTTCAACCACACACCCTGGTCCTATCGCGACATCTGGACCAATTAAACACCCTTCACCAATCTTTGCTGTCTCGTCCACCAGTACATTACCGACTATGTGTGAACCAGTGGCCAACTTGACTGAAGATTTCTTCCTCAGGGATTCTAGGTAGAGTCTCAACCCTGTGATGTAGTCTCTCGGCTGCCCGATGTCCATCCAGAACCCTGGCAGAACCATGGCAAAGAGCTTCTTGTCTGCAGCTATCTTCGGGAAGACTTCCTTCTCGATCGAGGTGGGCCTCAGCTGGATTCGGTCCAGAACAGATGGGTTCAAGAGGTAGATTCCGGCATTGATTTTGTTGCCAACGAATATCTTTGGCTTTTCCACGAATTTGTCGACATGCCCTGTGGCTTCATTCATAACCACCACCCCATATTTTGATGGCTCATCGACCTGCGATGATAAAACACAAAGAATGTTACTGTCAACTACTATACTGTGGTTTCAGAATGCTGCCCTGAGAGAAATGGAATCAAGTAGAGTGAAAATGATTGATTACCTTGGTGACCATAATAGAAGCCTCTCCTCCATGGGATTTGTGGAATGCTATCATTTCCTTGAGAGGATACTCGCTGATAACATCACTGTTGAGGACAAAAAATGGTTCGCCGGATTTATCCATCAGCTTGTCCCTAGCAAGAGCCAGAGGGCCAGCAGTGCCAAGTGGCTCCGTCTCCTGCGAGCAGGTGATCTTGATACCAAGCTTTGCCTCAAAATCCTTCAAGAAGTTCAGCATCACCTCTGGCTGGTAATTGATGGCCAAAACCACCTCAGTTACTCCAATTGCCTTGAGAGCCTCGATCTGCAGTCATACAAAAGAGAATAATGAACAAGGAGAAGTGTGGCAAAGTGAAAAATGTGAAGGAACCAAGGTTTGTTTGATACCTGATGCAGAATCATGGGTTTGTTTGCAAAGTCAACAAGAGGCTTTGGAACACTGAGGGTCAATGGCCTCAATCTTGTTCCGAACCCCCCAACAAGGATTAAAGCCTTCATCTTTATAGGATCCCCTCTGCTTTTTCCTGTAACCATAACAATCAGACAGAGTAAGCAGCAAATTTCACAAATCTACACACGAATCCAAGCTACAGAAACCATAGAGAAAGACTAGATGCACCTAGTAGCTAATCTTGTAAGCAAATAAAAATTGCAGCCACAGAAAAATCCCTGAGAAAAATTCTAAGCACCCAGATCCAGGCTTCCCACTAGTAAAAGATAAACTGTACCGAAATGCTCAGAAATCGGAATCTACCAGGATTCCCTTTCTTTCTCACTCGCACCGACAAATTTCCAAAATTTTATTCTGACCCGAAAAGGGGAAGAGGATATCTTTCCTTTACAACCCCTGAATTTCTGCTGCTGGAAATGCAGGAGGAAGGACAATGGCTGCTAAACTCCCCTGAATAACCAGCCAAAATTTCCCAAGTCAAAAATGTCAAAGGGGTCTGGACGGGGTCAAACCACCGGAATTACGGGGGCAGAAATGGACAAACAAAGAACCCACATAAAAGAAAAACCGAAAGCAGCAGGAAGCTCGACCCCTGCCAGATCCAAAGAGTACACAACACGAAAATTTACAAAATTTTCAAACAAAATTCAGGGAAAACCATAGGCAAACTATATGAAAAAAAGGACACTCGACGGAGCTGAGCCTCAATAGCAACAGAAAGGCCCTAAAACATTATCCACATTGTAGATGTTCTAGGAGAGATCATAACGAAAGTGCGGAAAGATTGAAAGTCCAGGGAAATTGGGGGGAAACAGAGCAATAGATTTGTAATTGAAATCACCTTATTCGACGAGATCGGAAACAGGGGAGAGGGGATTGGGGATCGAGTTCCGGGAGGTGAGGAGGATCCCAGCCGGAACGCGGGAAGCGGAGGAGAGGCAGAGCCGGCGGAGGGAGGAAAATGGAGCCGGCGCGGTGTTAATTTATGTAATTAGCGATCTGTGAGGAAGGAGGAGAAGGGGAAAGGTGAGAGGTAGAGGAAGGAGGAGAGTTGAGTGGACGAGAGAAAAGTATTTTGATGGCGGTGGTTATTTATACGTGTGTGAGGAAATTGAGATTTCGGAATATGCCAAAATGTTTTACCGACGACTGGGAAAAGGCAAACACCCTCGCCGGATTTCAATTCCTTGTTTCTAATTAATATTTTACTGTATTTCAAGTTTTTAATCACTAATTTTCCTTTTCATCAAGTTATTGTGGATTACTTTCCTCTTTTACGTATTTAAGGATGGCTTGGAGAATATGATACGGGTAATGCTCTTCTGAATTTATTGAATTTGTAGATTTAATAAAAAGTTATATTCTTTTATTGTGTTGTATATGGTGAATTTTAATTTTAGGTATTTCAAAAATTTAAAACTTAGACTAATTTGTAATAATTCATATATTAATTTGTGATAATTTCTCTCCTAACTTCCCTTTCTTTTTTATTTATCTCACCAAATACTCTGTCATAAATTATAATATTTCTAGAGCTATTTTGATTTCATTTTGATAACAACAAATTAGAATCTTTACTTTTTATTACGTTAACAAGTACAGTTAACTAACACTGAACATTTACAATCTTTTTTCAATAATTCACAAAGTTATAATCTTTGGATTGTTCAAAATTTTAAATTTTATACTCCAATTCTCTAAACAGCCATTAGACTATGAGTTAGGATTCGACCAAAAAAAAAACATGAGTTGTAAATGAATAGTTGCACCATCATATATTTGTTTATATCTAACTAATTAATTAATTTAGGTAATTTCTTAAATTGAAATCGGAAATCATCAAAAAACTAAAAGAGAATATGACGTGAAAGAGATGGATGTTCCAACTCATTTCTCATAGCAAATACCATACCATTTTAGGTTTCACATATTTCTCAATTCCAAATCTATCATCAAATTCAGCACACTTATTTATTGGCAGTCTATCATTTTCCTCCACCTTCAATCGTTGTTCTTCGCATTCCACAGGCTCAAGCCTCCATCAACATCATTGATCGTTAGTGAATCAGCGTGATATGTTGATATGGATGCAATGGCACATAAAAATTAATAAAAATCTACTAATATAATAAAATTAAATTAAAAGACAAACTAACATACTGTTTGGTATAAATGAATTCCATAAATTTTGCGGAATTCATTTTGAAATGAAATATTTTTGTGTTTGGTATTTAAAAGAATTCATTTTCAATTCTAAATTTTGAATTTTATGGAATTGGTACTAGTTATAGCAATTCCGAGGAATTGAGATGGAATTTCCAAATGAATTCAACAACTATTTACTAATTATAATAGAATAACATAATTATCCACTTTATTCACTAAATTACTTATATATATTACATACCAAACACAAGAATTCATTTGACAAAGAATTTTACACGACAACTCATTATAGTTTTTAAGATTTGAATATGACATACCAAACACAAGATTTAATTTGACAATAAATTCTATATGGTAATTCATTTTACAATGAAATGAATTCTTGATTCATTTGGTACCAAACGGTACGTAAAAAAAATTCTTTTCACTCTCCTTACTCGGCCTACACAGCCTCGTCCCTTTCCTCAACCCTTCTTCCCCGACAATCCAGACTAAACAGAGAATAACTCGATAAGCCTGAGACAAACCGAGTCGTCCTCGACGGCGCGAATCCGCAACCCGTTCGAGAAAAACTCATCGCCGAGAAAAGCTTGGTTGCCGCCGCCAGGGCTAACGTCCTCCACCTTCATTACGAACAGTTAAAAAAAATAGAGCAAACTCCCAACTAGAAAGAAGAAGAAGAAGAAGAACAAAGAACGCAAATCCCCCAGGGGGTCGTTTGGATCCAGATTTCTGGACAGGGATTTGGGCCAAAACCCGGCCCGTCCCGGATTTTAACAAATTATGCTGTTTGGGTCCGTGCCCACTAATGCGAGATTTGGTTCGTGCGGGTTTTGGAAATCCGGCCCATCCCGAAATTGGAAATAACTGCCCTCCCCCAGGTATTTTGAAATCCGGCCCCAATTTTATCGTTTATGCCCAGCGTGTCCCTGCCTCTTTTTTGTTAATCCAATTTTACCCTTCAGCACATTTTCACAGACCTGTCACATTCTTCGAATCAAACGCCTGATGGCTCTCCCCAACCTTCCTCCGCGATAGAAAGGAATTGTCGATTTCCTGACCAGTGGAGAGTGAACTACTGATCTCGACGGCGCCGAAAGTGAAGGTGAGCGGCTGATCTTGGCGGCGACGGAAGTGAGGGTGAGCGGCTGATCTTGGTGGCGAAGGAAGTGAAGGTCAACGGCTGATCTTGGTGGTGACGGAAGTGAGTGTGAACAGCTGATCTTGACTTCTTCTATAGGTGCAACAGATGCGAGACAATTCCAGGTTAGTTACCTTCTCTTGTTGTTGGAATTTTGTTGCGATTTCTAGGGTTCCTAGTCATAATGGGTAGTTTAGATTCCAAGGGTTAGGGTTTGTGTTTGTTGCGAGATCTGCTCTTATCGTTCTTTTGGTGGAGTCTTGACTTTTGAATGGGTCTCTAATTATAAGGGTAAGAAGAACCCAGAAACAAAAGTGATTGATTGGTTTGAATGGGTCTCTAAGAATATATTTGCCACGTTATTGCTACCCTAACAGTGCGAGTCCATTTTAACTTTGCAAACTCACAAAATCCCAGTAGTAGTGATATAATGTGAAGTTAAATTTGTGCTGGTTTTTGGCCTGGGATTTGGTATGCTCGAAGTTGCGTTTGTATTATAATCTTCAAATGGCAGAAGTTGCTTTTGTGTTGAGCTACTGAGCTTATGTTATAGCCATGTGAAAAATTGAAGATAGAATATTGTTCTTTTATCAACATCTACCCTTCCCAAAATCCGAAAACAGAAAATGACTTCTCAAGATTCATAATCATAACAGCCATCACATTTGGGTTGCATGGCAATCAAAGTCTCAATTTTCTGAAATGTTGTGAACCAACTAGAGCTAGCCTGGTCCAGAAATGGTACTTATTGTAAGATCATATTCCTGCCATCTGTTTCATTTGTATCTATGTCCTAATGCCTCTATTTTTAATCTTAATACGAAGCTTGGCTCTTAGTACATGTTTAGTCTCTTTAAAACTTGATTAAAAGTCCATGGACTTTCTCAATTTTGTCTCACGTCATTGGTTGGCAAGCTTTATGTATATTGTTGCGCCTCTCCTTGCTCTTGCTACTATTACTCTTCTTGTAACAGTTTAGGTCAGTTTATTCTATCAGGATGGGGAGAAAGAGGCATGCTGGTGGAGATAAGGATGGAGCAACCTCCAAAAAGTACTCATTTTGGCCTGAGAAGCTTGACAAGCCTTTGGTTGAATGCATTTTGGAGCTGGTGGAGAAGGGGCTCATTGTGGATGGCAATTGCAAAAATGGCGGATATGCAGCACTAGAAAAGATGTTGGAACAGAAGGTACCAGGCTGTGGTGTTAGGGGAAGACCCCATATTGAAGGACGGATTAAGAAGTTGAAGAAAAACTGGCAGGCTATCACATTCATGAGGAATCAAAGTGGATGGGGGTGGGATGAGGCAAACAAGTGTGTCACATGCCCTGATGGGAAATGGAATGATTTTGAACAAGTACGTATGCATATATTTATGGTATGTTGTCTTTTGTAGCATTATACTAGGCTGCTTATATGTTGTACAGTCCTCCAAGTATATATGCATGTATTTATGGTGTGCTGTCTTTTGTAGATGTATCCGACTTGTCGAGGTCTTAACAAGAAGCCATTCCCTGTGTATGATGACTTGACTTCAGTATTTGCCAAAGGACAGTAGGAGAGAAGAAGAAGAAGAAGAAGAAGAAGAAGAAGAAGAAGAAGAAGAAGAAATGTATGCTGGATGTTGTTTGAGAACGCGGACAAGTTTTTTTGTTTTATTAATGCTAGTTTACTTATGTTGGATGTTGTCGGTTTACGTATGTTGAACAAAGAACTCGAATAAGGCTGTTGTGTTTTGGGATTTTGCAGGAAGTTTTGAATGTCGGTTTACTTATGTTATGTTGAACAAGATTATGTATGCAAGATTATGTTTTTATATGTTGCTGAACAAGATTATGTATGCAAGATTATGTTTTTATATGTTGCAGGGTTATGATTCTGTTAAATATGCTAAGGACATATATCATGTTTGGTAGTAAAACAAAGGCTGCAACTGGTGAAACCCAGATCAGAATGGTCTTGCAGTGGACGTGGGAGTGGACGTTCAGTAGTTCTGAGCCAGTTGGTTTCTTTCTAGCAGACCAAGCTTGCTTTTGGTTGGATCTTCAGCTTTTCTTTTTGTGTTCCTCTGAACTCCCAGCATCCTGCAGTCTCGACCGTACTGGCACAAGTTCTGTCCATCGCCCTAGAATCCGTCCTCTGAGACTGCTTGGAAGGCGAAGCCATTCCCAAAGAAACCAAGCTTGCCTAGTTTTTTAGAGAACGAATTCATGAACTTTCGGGAACCAGACCTGTGCATATCCCTCTTCATGCACACATGATCCTTCTCCAGGTCGTTCAGCCTCATCCGCATCCGCGCCAGCTCCAGCTTCAGCTCCCGATTCTCCCTCCTCAGCGACGCGTAGTTGTCTCGGGGCGACATCGCTGCACTGAACGCCCCGCTGTTCGCCCTCCAGGACTGCTGCGTCGGCCTCACGTGATCCGGTTCGTGATCCCCGCCGCCGCCGTAAGAGCAGCACAGCGCATTCCTCAGCCTGACTTGTTCAAAATAGAGAACCTGTACGTGGGGTATAAAGGTACTTTTACATTTGCTTTCATAATTAAATATCCTGCCTAATAAATCTCTCATTCCTAAACAAACAATATATTTAACCCAAATTCTGGGTTTAAAATACCAGGTTTTTAATTGAGTGATTGTGGACCAAATCTCTAATTAATTAAATTCTCAATCCAAACGACCCCCAGAAAGAAAGGAGCAAACTTTCTGACTTGAAACCCCCCAATTTCGGCGGAAATGAGAACCGAGCCCTTAACCCATATGGAAAGAATGAAGATTAAAGCTCAATAATGGCGATTGCTAAGCAAACAAAGCATATTAAAAAAAAAATTTGAAAAATGAAGAATACGCCACTCAATTTTTCAACTCCTAACAAAACAACGTAAAGCTCAAACCCTACTTCCTTCATCAACAGTTAAGTAGGAAGCAAGGAAGACTGAGATTCCTAGTACATTTTATTGTGAAACTATACAAGAATTCATTCTAGTTCGACTCTTTGCTTCATAAACAACATTTCAAGCACTTTGGTAGTTAGTTTGGCTAAGAAGTAACAACATTGAACCTCTTTCTAACATAGTTTATCTACCAAACACTAACTTTTATTGTTTGGATATTGGGTAGTGTTCATATCAAGCCTACCTGAATAGACTGAGCATATGGAAATGGATCGAAACTTGGACAAATCCATACCCGCTTCTTAAAATCTTTACATAGAGAACTCACAAGACTTTAATTTAACAAAACACAACCTACAATTGTGGATCAGAACTACCCATGGCAACACTAATAATGTACTCAATCTCCTCCGTCACTTCCTTCATCGATGGCCGATTCTGCCTCTTCTCCTCCAAACAACTCAACCCCAAGAAAGCCAAGGACTTCATCGTTTCCACCTCCAAATGATTACCATCCTCACCTGTTCCCTTCCTCACCATCATCAGAGGATCAAAAACCTCAACCAACCTTCCTTCTCGCACCATCCTCTGCACATAAACCACCAAATTCACATCATCCTCCCCTCTCCCAAAATCAATCGCCTTCAACCCGGTCAATATCTCCAGCAGCACAACCCCGAAGCTGTACACATCGCTCTTCTCCGTCAACTGGTAATTCCTATAGTACTCCGGATCCAAATACCCCAACGTCCCCTGTGCACACGTCGAGATATGGCTGAGATCGCTCTCGACCAACCTAGACAACCCGAAATCCGAAACCCTAGCATTCAACTTCTCGTCGAGCAGAATGTTGCTCGACTTCACGTCCCGATGGTACACCGGAGGAACCACCGAGGAATGCAGGTACGCCAGCCCTTCGGCTGTATCACGAGCAATGCGGAGGCGGTGTAGCCAAGTCAACGGTTTGACTTTCCCGGTTTTTGGGCCCGTTAACCGATCCAGGAGAGTGCCGTTTGGGACGTACTCGTAGACCATGACGGGCTGGGGGAGCTGGACGCAGCAGCCCAATAGGCCCACGAGGGTCTTGTGGTTGACTTGGCAGAGGATGCGGACCTCGTTTAGGATTTGGGCCGTGCCTTTAGGGTTCCCCAGCTTCGCGCATTTGACGGCGACGGTGGTGCCGTCGTTGAGAATGCCTTTGTACACTTCGCCGTACCCGCCGACGCCCAACAAACGGTCCCGGGAGAAATTGTTGGTGGCTTTCTTGATCTCCCTGCCGCTGAATATCTTTGCCGTTCTGCTCCCGCCGGCGTTCAGGATTTGCAGCTCCCGTTCTCTGGCGAGGCGTTCTCGAGCTTGTTTCAGTCGCCTCTGACGCTTCTGGAGTGTGACAGTGAAGGCAATTGCCGCCAGGGCTGCGGCGGTGCCGGCGACCACACCTGTTTGTCCAACACTTTAATATTTAGTCAAAACTAGTCATCCAATCACTGAAGAAGGTGATTAATGGCGAGATTACCGGCGATTAGAGAGACTTTTCTACTTCTAGTTCTACCGCAATGTCCGCCATCTTCACAAGTCGCTCCTGCAAATTAAAATTTGTTTTCTTAAACCTGAACTTTGACTTCTGCAATGTCAACTCACTCGACTGTGGAAAAAAAAAAATCAACTCACTCGTGGAACAGATTCCTTGTATTGGGTCCCACTGAAAGCCATTCTTGCAGAAGCATCTAGCGAGCCCACTTGAATTTCGGTCCGGCCCACAATTCGAGTCTGCATTGCAGTCCACCTGAGACCCACACAGCGGTTCCCTAGGAAGAGCCCACTGGATCTCCACACCCGGGTCGGGCCACCGATCAACGGGCAAACCCGGATCCAAGTTCACGAAACTGGCGTAGGCCCTGCAACCCGACTCCCGAACCCGGATCATGTAAGCCGTCGTCGACCCGCCCGCTGTGAAAGTGCAGCACACCGGAGCGCCGCGGCACGACGAGTAAGACGCCGTGCCGTTGGCGTACTCGTGGCAGAGGCCGGCCCTGGAGCAATTGAGCGGAGACGTCAGGACCGCCGCGGAGCAGTTCAGGTACATAATTGTGTTGCTGCCGGTGATGTTGAAAGGGAGGGAGGTGTTGAGCTGGAGGCCCTGATTGACTAAATCAGATGCGACGCACGTATTGGGGGCTAATCCCGCCGGCCGGATTACGAATCGTTGATTGGAAGGGCTGACGGAGATGATTGGATACGAGGAGTTCACGGAATCGAACACCAGCGCGCCGGCGTCGCACCTGATTGTGTAGAAAGGGTCCCCACAATTAGGGCTCGTGCTGAGCGGATAAGGGACGGGAATAGATCCGCAGTCCGGGCAGCGGGCAGCCGGTTGAGCTGTCGCGGTCCATGACAAGAGAAGCGCCGCCGCTTGAAGGAGCAAGAGGAAGAGTTTTGGCAGCAGCGGCGGCGGCGGCGGGTTCATTGGGGAGGAAGCGGTAGATGGAAGATAAGATTAGCATGTGGAACGCGAGGAGGGTTTTTGTTTTCTAGTTGGCTTGCGAGGAAATGGGCTGAGCGGGAAAGGTGTTAATTGCAATCAATGAGGAAGATTGTAGTTGAAGAGAAAGGAGATTTGTTTACATAGTTTGTGGAGAGTAATTATGGGACCATTTCGAGGTTTGACTTGTTTAACCTTTGTTAAGTCTGTGATTAGGTCAGAGATCAGTAGAGATTCCAAAACGCACTTAACGGGAGTTGGACGTGGCTAGTTGTTGACCATATTAATCATTGTAAGATGGTCGGCTGCAAGATCTTTGGTAGCAGGGCTGCTAATGCTATACCATCTAACTTCTTCAACAAAAAGTGAAAATGGATATAAGCACCTCGTATTTAGGGATGGTAACGTATTGGATCTATACTATATTTATTACTATATTCAAAATAGTTCGAATTGTACTTCTACAAAATATCAAAATCGTATAAACCCGACAGATAGAGTTTCGAGTCATCCATAATATTAATGAACGCTAATTTTTATAATTTTAATCAACATATTATTAGTTACACGTATACTAATATTAAATAAGCGAAAAAGGTATAACAGTGGAAAAATTGAAAGAAAAAAATAGTTAAAAACTATACAATTTCTTGAAAGTATTGCATATATATGATAAATATCAAATATGTTGAGAAAAATAATAACAAACTTTTAAACAAAATACACATATCGGGCGAATTCAGATTGGATTGTAAAAATCAAGGCCAACCCCTCATGCACAATATTCGAATTCAGACTCATACCCATTAAAACTCATTCGAATTCGAATTTTACCCTACACAATTAGATAAAATATAAACGGATGTCCGCGAGTATGGTTATTTTGTCATCGTTCCTTAATTTAGTAATTTTTTACCATAATATTTTCGAGAATGTTTTGTGTAGGTCCTAGGTTTATGCTATAAATGCATAAAATACACACATACTAAACAACCATATATGAAAAATATAAATGGAATGGTGTCAATGAGTAAAGATATGCAACTGTTTGTTCCCACCAAACTGCATCGAATTGAATCTAAAATGAAATCGAACCAGACTAAATATACTGCGTATAGTCCCAAATATTTTGTGATTTTGTGAATATTGTAAAATCGAATTGATATTTAAACGGGAACAACAAGCTTGTCCGAATAAGGCCATTTTGTTCCCAATCATAAGGCCATCTCAAAGGCTATTGATGGCGGCTCTTTGTGCGTGGTCAATGGATCCAGCCCTTGAATTAACGGTATATAATGGAGAGTCGTTGCAATTCAACGTTCAAACTCCACCTTCGCGATGGTCAATTTGGCTGGTAGGCTTCCATGAACGAGTAGGAACCAGGAGAGACAATAAACAAGTGATTGGGTCAGCAGCCACTGAAGCTATAATGCAATCAAACCAAACTGATATGCACGTCAGGTTAAATTCAACTGATCTCTATTGTACAACCTCCAAATAACGTCAAATGGGACGAACTAAAATTGTCAAATCCCTGAGGTGTATTACTGTTCACCACGAAAAACATAAACGTCAAACACTGGCCGACGGGGTATGTACATGGCAACAATCACCATCTATGTGCAACGGGGAAGACCTTTGGCGGCGGTGTTACATAGATCAATAGCAGCAGGTGACGAACTGCCTTCTAATTCTAACCAAAATTGGGGGTTTCACCTGAAAGCCAGAATCCAAATCAGAACTTAGCCAAACCCCTCAAGGCAGCTGGGGTTCAGCTAACAGCAGGGTATGCCACCAACCACACGCCACGCTTCTAAGGGTGTAGCCGTCGATGGTGAGCTGAGAAGGAATGTTGCGGTCGATTACGTCGCCCAGTCCGAGCTGGCCGTACTTGTTCCAGCCCCAACAGAACACTTTCCCATCCACTTCAACGGCAGCCAAGTTGAAATGGTCAGTTGAATGTTCATGACTAGCAGGAATGAAGGGTGATCGTGTTCAGTTTTACGTACCGGTCACTACAGCACTATGACGAGCGCCACAGGAGACGGTCCTCGCGTTTTCATTTTCCAGACTTGGAGCATCCAATAGCCTGGGGATTGTCTGTGTCAGAAAAATGCAGATGAATGTCAAAACTGATGGCGGCAGTACAGACTACATGAAATAGAAGGCGGCTAATGGTACCCCTACCTCTGCTTGGTCAACACCAGTTCCCAGCTGCCCGAATTGGTTCCCACCAAACGCATAAACATCACCATCATCCGAAACGCAAATACTGTGCCACAGCCCTGCAGCAACGGCTGCCATCCGAATGCCCAGCATGGTAGATACACAGGTTGGACTCAGCTCATCATCAGTGCTACCTTGTCCACACTGGAGGAAAATACATGTGACAGATTTTTAAAGGGTATTAAGTCCTGCTACTGTGCTACATCGTTTGAGAGAAGACACTCTTAATCAAAAGCTAATAGCAGGGATGAGTAATACTAATGAAGATTGAAGAAGATAAAAAGAGTAGTAGTTATCTCTTTTAGAGTGGACATCATCTCCCAACTTCAACAATTGCTTTTTGATCGTGACCAATTTCAGCTTACCTACAATTTCATCTGACAACAGCATCAAACAGATTGGCAACGAATGTTTAGCCAGCCAATTTGAGTAGAACAAAATGACGGTTCAGAGTTAAAACTTTAGCAGCACTGCAATCTATGTAGAAAGTAAAAATAGGCATAAGATGGGGTGATCAACTTAATCCCAGCAAATCTAGCTGCCAAAAGATCAACCCTCCAAGAGTTGGTCAATAATTTACTTTAGCTATGTTGACATGATAGAGTTAGCATCCAAAGATCTTATTAAGTCACACATCCGAGATGCATGAATAATAAAGGAACGATAGATCAAAGATCAGAAGGACCAGAACTTCAAAGTGAAGTTCTAAAGAGTAGGAAAAGCAACACGTATAAGTACCTGCCCATAGAGTCCCCACCCAAAAGCGAGCAATACTCCAGCATCTGTGGAAGCAGCAACTTTAGATGGGAATCATCACACAGACTAAAGCTATACAGGCAAATCAAGGTACTGCAGTAGACTATATGATTCAGCTAGATGCAAACAAAAGATCATAATCATACCCGTGACAACAACACTGTGCCGGCCACCACAGGCTATTGCTTTAATATAATTTCCAACAACTCGAAATGTTTGGCCCTCTGAAGTCATGCCAGCTCGAGAATAGCCCCCAGATATATCTCTCCCCTGAGAAGATTCTATACAGGGTATAGGATGTGGAGACGACACCATTCGGACTCTGGAGCCCAAGCCAAGCTGGCCTTCACCTCCATATCCCCAACCCCATACCTGTCCTATATCTGAAGACTTTGAGAAAATTAGGATACCTCGAGAATCTTGTTTCTCATTTCAAGAGCTTCCATAGCTACAAGCTTCATATACGGTGTTCAATACTGTAGATACCACAGCCACAAAGTCTGGCGCAGAACACATTCCATGGATGCTAAGGAAATACCTGAAAGTGCCAAAGTATGGCGGCCTCCAGCAGCTACAGTGACAATCCTTACTCCTGGATTAAGTGTAACCAAGCAAGGCACTGCTGATAACAACTCATCCCCAGAAGATGAGGGTTCGGATGTCTGTTTTCCTGATACTTTTCTCCGTTTCGCACTTTCATCTGCAACTGAATTCCCGCCTCTAGATTTGGCAGCTTGGGGACGAGGGCTCACTGATGAAAACGAAGATAAGTAGACTAGCCACATTGTACATCCACATGAGTCAATCGTTCATCTTATATTTATTACCTTGTTCCAAGGCAGATGGACCTGGTCTTTCTGAAACATCCTTTTCCGATCTTCTGGAGGCAGACGGGTCTCCAAATACTTTCCCTGAAGGAATGCACTCTTTCCATCCCCACGTATAAACCTCCCCAACATCTGTGCTCGAGGAAACAAAAACAGACTTAACCAAGCCTGTGGTCAGATGTTCAGAAACCACAAAACTGAAGGACGAGACAACTCTGTGTCACCCCTATTTTTGAACAGACCAGAAGAACATACATAGTACCAACTCCAAGGAGTTGAGCTAATGACAATAAGGAGAAGAACATCCAACGCACAAGGGCTTGAACCTTGGAGACAAGTCATTTTAGATATAGAAAAACAAAAACATGTGTGGTACCTGTAGCAGCTACACAATGAGCCCAGCCTGCTGCAGCCTTTATGATGGCAGAATCAGTTGGAACAGGGAATGGCTCGGGGATTTCCTTTGCGGACAAAAAATGTGATAGGGGAACAAGAGAGGGAGTTCAGCTCTCTAACAAACAAGCCAAAAAAAGGTCCCGGAAATTGTAACTCCAGAATGAAACAAGACGAAGCCTTACCCCATGTTTTCCCGCTGTGATGTAGCATTGACCAAGATCGTCTGTCGAACCCCACGTAATAAGCTTCCCAGAGTCTAAAAGGACAATGTGTTAGGGCGCTTAGTTGTAGGAACCAAGGAACCAAATAACTCAACTGGGCTACTAAAATCTGACTGAAGGAGTCAAGATAGCTGCTTCTCGGGGATGGCAGAGCAAGTTTGGGATTGAGAGCCAGTAAATTGGTTCCAGGAAGTAAGGTAAAGAGCCAAGGTCTCTAGGCAGGAAAACACAGAGTTCAAGCGAGCTCAGAACTATTTCGACAATCCCAGTTTAGCAGGTGTCCCCAGGATTTTCCCAAGGCGTAAAAGAAGCAAACTTTAGTAAGGGCAAGCAAGTAGCAAGGCATGAAATGGATTGGGATGTCACTAGGCCCATATGAATCAACCGCTGTTTTGTGGTTTTCTGAGAACCTTCCAATACACAGAGGAAGCCTAACTACTCGGAAATGTGCCAAAGAGAACATTCTTCAGCTAGAATCAGCTAGTCACAGCAATACTATTCAATGCCAACCCGCAAGTACGATAAACAAAATGGCCGAAGTAATTCAACTCTAGCAACAGGTCCAGTCAAACGCCATTTCGAGAATCCAATAGTTTAGAAGAGAGCAGAGACACAAAAGGAAATGAGAATAAGGAACAAGAAAAAACAGATGGACGAAGAAGCACCTGAAATCGCCATTGCAAACCCGCAACCGCCGCCACAGACATCCTTCCAGCCGAAGCCGTCGGACCTTACAACAACGGGAGATGAAATAGGCGACCGCTCAGTCAGAGCTCCGGGAAGATAGCCGCACATGAATACCAATTCATCCTTGTCCTTTGTAGTTTCGTCCTCTCTTCCTTCCCCGTTCATCGCCGAACAGAGAAAATGAGGGAAACGAGATGGGAAGGAAAGAAAGAAGTATGGAATAAGAAGACGGCGAAGAAATCGGGATGAGTTGCCGGAGACCTAAAAGATGTTTTGGGCGGCGGATTTGGTGAATTCATTGAGTTGAAAGACAAAATAGACCGGAAAAAGGTAGAGGAGGAGGGGCGAGGGGACGGCGCAGGGACGTATCAAATTCCGCGAAATCGGCACGCCACGTCGGATGCTCACGTGGTAGGGTGGACACGTGTAGTAGTTTCAGCCGGTAGATGAAGCGGAGAATTCTGGCGAGGAGTTGGAAGAAGTTTCTGGAAACTTGAGGACTTCACCATCATGCTTCGATGGAAGATGGCGTGTAGCTGCGGACACCTACACCGGAGCGAATAAGTTCAGTAATTTTATAGTGAGTAATCATGAGTAACTCATTCACATCAGTATCCGTCACTTTTATAAAAACCTTTATTTTTTCCTTTTTAATTTTTAATAGATGATTTCTCTCTCGTTTTAAGTTGATTTTTTTTTTCACAAATAAATCAAATTAATTGTGCTCTTTAAAATAATTTCCAATTAAATATATATTTTAGAACAAAAAAATTTTGAGGAATTTTTATCAATCAATACCATATGGTATGCTCCTATTTTATACCTTATGGTAAGAAAGCGAATCATGATTGTATGAACATACCAATATGGTAGGAAGGTTGAATACATGAAAGTAGGAGTATACTAACTGTCATTTACGACTTTCATCATTGTTTACCACAAGTTATCACCCACATACCATAGTGGTATGTATGGTAACTTTTGATGTTGTATTTGTAGATCCAATAGATCATGATGAACTCGTTTCTTCTTATCAAATGTTTTCAAAAAATTGAAATCCGAGTTTGAACAAAGAAGATAAGAGTCAATTAAAAAAAGTAAAGAAAATAAAATACTTTTAATTCACAACCCAACAACATCTGGTCACCTTGAAGACGGAGGGAAGAATATCATCCACTGTAACTTCATTCAAGTTAGGATCCCCTGCTGGTCCAAAGAACTGGGCTCTGGAAACAGGGGATCGCGCAGCAAGAATCGACTTGTGAGCTCTAAATGCTTCATCACCAACGTGAAACACAATGTCCCAACCAACTTCAGATTCCAGTAGCTCCTTGAAACCCTGGTCAAGGTTGGAGTCGGGTACGGTAATGGAATCCTGCTTCAACTTCTTCATGCCGATTCGCAAGAACTCGAACAGTGGCTCTAATGGTGATGCAATCATTTTGTACATACTTGCTTCCTTGATTTGCTTCCTTGAACTCTCGAACCCTGCATTGCAAAGACGGCAGACAACAATATATACGAGCTTGACATTCATGATTCAAGTCAAAAAGCAAGCTTTCAAGAGCAGCTTCTTGATGGAGGCATTTGATTAATGAACACATGATTACCACTCGTATCCTTTCTTCATAGAGAATGGCCGGCCGGACAAGCCCACTGGTAACTCTTTCCCACTATTGTTGTGTGAGATAAGTAAGTTTTCGTTTATATAGCTGGACTGTAGGGTTCGACACCAATACATACATGAAGAATTACCGGCAAGTAATCCCGTCTCGTTTGGACTCTTTATTTGATTTCATTGTGCACTGATTCCTAATCCCAGAAGGAGTCCAGATATGGCTTCTTCTTCAGAGGGGCCTCCTCAGTCCTGAACAACTAGATTGCTTTGTTTTTCCGGTGTGGTTTGGGCCTTCCAAGCCTCGGTATTGGGCACACCTACGGGCTTCGCTTGGGTGGGTCGCTAGCTCAAATAACGGAATTGTGGAAGCTTAAACCCCTTCCATAGTTCCATCCAAAACAAAGCTCACACAGCATGGAGACTTGAGCAAAATCAAATACTAGAAAGGGCTCCCAAATTCGATGATAGAAACAAAAAGGCTAAACTAGCAAGTTGCAACTCAGGTTCACTGTAATGCTAACCAAAGCCTGCTGACTCAGTTTGAGATACGATGATGAACAGTAACATTTGGGTTCCAGAATCACATACTGCTATCTGCTAAGAAGAACTGGAGACTCAAGGCTGACAAGAGGACGTTCCATTACAACGAAACATCTTGCTGCTACAATTCCATATATCCTGGCTCAAAAGGCAACGTCGTCATCAGCAACGATATCCTGGCTCGTAGTCCAAAGCCATGAATTACCCCCAGGCCATAAACTTACACCAAACTGCAAAGAAACACAGCCCAGCCCAGCCCAGCCCTAGTTAAGTACTAATGCCAGTTAGTTAAAGGGATCTCATAATCTCCGCACCTTCCCCAATTTAAGCTATGTATAAGTAGTATGCATGCCTGTCTAGTACCGTCTCCTCACACGCCTCATGTTCGGATTACTAGATTCTGCCATACCCCCATCATCTGCTGCTTCCCCCGCTGCTGCAATATCTAAGCCGAATATGCTGCTCCCTCCTCTCTTCCTGCTAGGAAGCATGCTTGAGTCCTCATCAGCTGAGGCAAGTGTCTTCAACAATTCACACACTAATGCCGGGCAACTCTGCTCCAAATGTCTGAAACCTTCTGATTGCGTCACCACTGCCAGATACATACACAAACACACGGGCTCACGTATATCAGTGATTCATCCGACACATATAGACATGCCCCACAAACTACCACAATATATGCTTTCACTACAGAACAGTACCTTGTACCTGGATACGTTCTTGCGATCATCTAAGACTATGTTCATTGCGGTACTTTCAGTATCCCTAAGGGAAATTATCCACGACGGTGCTACTCATGTACAAGATTTTAAACACAACTGTAGGCAAAGATTGTCATATAACCAGTCATAGCATTCTTCGTTTCAATAATAGCTTATTTTCATTCCTACTTTAAACAAATCCTAAGGGCACTATCATAGCAAAAGACATTATGTCATGGTTTATCCTCTTGCTGGAACAAACAGTCAGTGATAAAATAAAAAGTGAAGTTCAAGTACAAACAAGTATGGTACGCATACCAGTATCAGAAAAACAACGTATGTAGTTCTATGGCCTTTAAGAAAGGTGATATGTGAAGTATCAGTGAATGCGGAATCATACCATTCCAATGATTCCAAGTTAACAATAGTTGTAATAAGCTAAGCATAATGCTCACAAGAGAAGATTATAGATCTCATCTAATTGCAAAACGATGGAGTTGGCATAACCTCAAACTTGTACTGTTCAGTGCCCTATGAAGAACACGCACCTCCCAAGTTTGCTGGATTGGCCGCGAATTTCAAACAGACAGCTTTGAGTTGCGCACACTGATGCTGCTCGGCCAATGCCAGTGTTGTGGCCACTGATACAGCCGTGAGCTCCTCGCATAGCTTTGATTCACATAGGACTTTCAAACGATCTAAGTTGTACAGGTCGGCAGCAGCTAACAAGTGCTGTATCATGTTGGTAGATGTGCCCGTGGATGAAGAAGAGTCCATAACATCATGCACTTCAGGAAGTTTGTCTGTGTAAATGAACAGGAGCATTGCCTGCATAAAAGCATTATGTAAAGGATGGTATATATACCTAGTGACTAAGGAAATAAGAGCAAAAGACTGTATAAGAGAAACTGAGAGAACAGATTCTAGCATCAAACACAAAAGGGCATCCTTGAGTCAAAGGGAGACAAAACAGTTGCTACAAGCCCACAACCGACGATGTCATACTTTTGCATCCAGATGCTAAAAGGTTGTTTAAGGCATTCAAACAACGAGTACTAAGACCAGTACTCATGTAAAATACAATCCAGTTTCAAAGTCAATGCAAAGCAACAACAAAAGATTCCTACAGCTGTCAACTCGTGCCGGACAGCATTATGATATTCATATAAAATATTTCTCCCGATATTCTGTTATGTTAGATTCGCCACAGGCCACAGCAGGTCAACATACATGGATACACATCAATGCATGATTTTTCCATATGATAGATTCAAACGAGAAGTTAGAGTGGTGCCTCATGTCCAATTAGACAAGTATGCTGAACCACAGACAGAGACCAGAAACCAGAGGATACCTTGAAGATCGTGGGATCAATATCATTCACTGTAACCTCATCCAAGTTACGATCCCCTACTAGTCCAAAGAACTGAGCTCTAAAAACTGGTGATCGTGCAGCAAGGATCAACTTATGAGCTCTAAATGATTCATCACCAACACGGAACACAATGTCACAACCAACTTCAGCTTCCAGGATTTCCTTAAGGCCCTGACCCATGCTGGAGTGGGGAACATTAACAGAATACTGCTTGGGTCCTTCAAGACGAGTTCTTACAACGCCAACGGTGCAGTTCATGATGAGGCAATCATTCTTTATATAATCTGAAGTTTCTAGACTTGTTCTCCTGAAGAAACGCTTATAACCCCTGCAGTCCAACAAATGGCGATATATGAGCATTCATTGATCTCAGAACAAGCTTTCAACAATTGAATAACAACAGATGCACATGCCAATAATTACGCTACAATGGTAATAAATTATTAATCCATCATGTTACATTATCACAGCTTGCTTTATCCTGATTATCAAAGCCAAACACAACCTAACAACATGTTGATCAAAACAATGACGAAAGAAGCACATTACCACATGCTCCCCTTGTACTTCAAAGTATATGGCCCGCTCTCCAGCGCACGATCAAAGTGGCTATGCACCTTATGCTTCCCTTTCCCACTCTGATCTAACAACGTCAACTCAAACAACGCCCTAACATCTGTACCATCACTGGCCAAGGCAATGAACACCGAAACGTACATGGAGCTATCCTCAGGGTTTTTGCCATCCGGGTAAAAGTAAATCGCCCAATCATAGCCACCCACCGTGAAAATATCACTGGAAATGCACTTTCCGGACCCCATACCTTTCGCCAAAGAATACCCCTTTATGGTGAACTGGTGCGACCCATTCACCGTCTCATTCACCGACTTCGAGCAAGATGGCTCCTTCTCGAACTCGGGCTTGAACTCATCCACCATTTCAGCCGTATCAGACATTTTGCGCCTGAATTGCGGGGTATGCTTTTTCCACGCGAGAATAAACACAACACCGCCCCGACCTCCAGTCCAAAGCTTCAGACTTCACACCAATACCAACTGAATCAAATGAAGGACATGGAATTTCCGCCAAAACTTTCGACGAATTTTCTCGAACCTACAATAGCACGGCCGGATTCAATTCATACAGTGGGGTAAGCGGAAGCAAACCCTAGAAATGAGCGCATGACGCGAAATCGGGTAGAGTGTTGGAAAAGGAAGAAATTGAGAGGTAACCCCGACGAATTAGGGCGAGCAATTATGAAAGAGGAGGAACGAATTATTACCGGAGAGAAAATTCAACGGCCGGAGCGGCGACAACGAAGAAAAATGGGAGCTACGCAATTCGCAAAGAAATGCCAAAAAATGGGGAAAATGGGAGCTACGGTTCGGAGGCCGGTGGCGTCGATTGAATGGACTATGGACTGTGGAGGTGGTGGTGTGGTTTTAAGTAGCCGGGTTGCGGGTTCGAGTCGGTTTTTACTTTCTTCTCCAAGATGACTTGTTTTGTTGCTCGGGTCAACTTAATAAACAAATTCTGAGGGAAAAAACTTAATAAATAATTACTGGCTATTACCTATTATTGATAAATAACTCGACATTTTGACAAATTTACTATTTGTATTTGACCAAAATCATGAGACTTGCTATCAATTAGTGAAAATATTTTAGAACTAAAGATCGGATCAACAATATTTTTGGTTTGATTTGGTCCATTATAAATATTAATTGTGTCCATTTTTCTTTAGTGTTTACAAAGTTTATGTGATCGAGAATTGAATCACATTATATTTTGTTTAATATGATTCAATTTGATCCAATGCGGTTCAGTATGAATCAATCCGATCTACACCTCTAATCATGGCCAGGGACTAACCCAAACTAGTGAAAGGGTTATCAATTGGCAATTCTTAGATCCACAATTGGTAAAAAAACCATTGTAAAATTTAATTTTAGTGGTGATAGTATTGAGATTTGAGACACTATATTGTTTGACAATTCTTAATGATTTTTGTATATCATTGAATATCCTTAATAAAGTTTTTGGGTTTGTCACTGATCCTGACACTTTATTTATTAAATAATTATTAAACTTTTACGGAGAAATACTTCATCGTCAAAATTATGAATACCTAACAAGATAGTTGGTTTGCTGGTCAAGTTCTCTACATAATTTATAACATGTTAGTCGGTTTGTTTCAGTAATAATTGTAATCGTTTATCTATGAACTCTTTGATCTACATCTACCCTACCTCCTCCAAGAGTAAATGTAGAAAATGAGTTCGATTCAAGGTTGACCCGCGGGTTGACCCACTTTGACTCTGACCCGGTGAGAAAAATGGGTCGCACGCACCCGTTGGGTCGACCGCTACAAGGTATCGGATTGGAGGTCAAATTGTGTCATTTTTTTATTTGTTTTGCGAAATGCGCCTATTTTCCAATTTTTCTTTTCGTCTAACTCAATCTTTGGAATCCTATGTTGAACATTTGAATATTAATGTTATATAAGTGTGTGTGAATTTTCACTATATGTTGAATCTAAGTATGAAATGTTATTTTGGTGTAATATTATATGTTATAACTCATATGTTAGATGAGATTTGATATAATTTATCAGGATAAGTACAATATAATGACGTTTTTCATATTTCCGGGCTAAACCGGGCTAAAACGGGTGATCCATTAACCCTTGACCCTCTAACTCAACCGGGTCCGGGTCAACCCGCGGATTGACAACCTTGGTTCGATTTTACGCCTCCACCCCAACTTTCCAGAGACGGATGTGATAAGTTGCAAGTGTTTGGGATGTATTTTACAAAAAAAGTCTAGTCCAAAACCAAAACTACCAACCTTGCCAAACACGACTAGCTGTTTGCTCAATGACTTTAATATAAAAAAATTAAGTGATCGTTCTGTGATTGAGAAGAAGTTAAGTGACCATAAAAGCATTTCACCCATAAACAACAATCTCATCTTACCTCCTACCTCAATCACAAATTCACAACAGTCTTACTTCGTCACTACTTCACCGTCAAATCAAAGCCCACGGATCCTGCTAAATCCATAGCTCGCCTCACTCTCCACCACCGCCACCCTCGCCGTGGCCATCGCGGTCCCGTGACAAACCCAATGTTACTCATAACCAAATTTCACAGATCAAGTGAATAGATCCTCCATACCAGACAACACCATGAAAGCGTCGGCGGGTTTGGATCTCTTCAAGACCCCTCTCGTCCTCAAGATCGCTGGCTTCACTTTAATTACCCTCACTTTTTTCTACCTGGGCAAGCACTGGAGCTCCAATGGCGACCAGCAGGTGCTCTTCTTCTCGTCTTCACCAGGAACCTCAGTCGGAGTCTCCCCCAACTACGGCAAGTCGTTTAATGTCACTGCTTTGATCGCCCAGAATCAGACCGATACAGTATCTGAGCCTGAACCCACTCAGGTACCCGTGCCTCCGGCTTCCACGTCGCCGGCGAGTGATTCAGCGGCTGTGGAGCAGCCTCCTCCGCCTCCGGCGAAGGAATTGGATCGGACGTTTGGGATTATTGATGGGGATGGGAAGATGAGCGATGATTTTGAAGTCGGGGAGGTTGATCCGGAGGTTGTGGAGAACTGGGGGAATGAGACTGAGATCGACAGTGGAGCTGGTGAGAGTTCTAGGGCCAAGGTTAAGAGATTCGAGCTATGCCCTGAGAGCATGAGAGAGTACATTCCATGTTTGGATAATGTAGAGGCAATCAAGAAGTTGAAATCGACGGAGAAAGGGGAGAGATTTGAGCGGCATTGTCCTGAGAAGGGGAAAGAAATGAACTGCTTGGTTCCGCCGCCCAAAGGGTATCGCCAACCACTTCCGTGGCCCCGGAGTCGTGATGAGGTATGCTGAACTGAAACTATGGCGGAAAATGACGGCAAAATATACGATATTTGAGCTGTTCTGAACCTTTTCACTGTATTTAGTTGGCCGAGTTTAATTTTGGGAAGCTGTTAGGTGCTCAAAAGGATAGGGAATGATAGTTGGTTGGTCTGGTTATCTTGCTGAGGATTCTGATAGCACTTTGCTGTTCTCTTTTAGGTCTGGTTTTCCAATGTACCCCACACACGTTTGGTTGATGATAAAGGAGGTCAGAACTGGATTACCAAAGCCAAGGACAAGTTCAGGTTCCCTGGTGGTGGAACGCAGTTCATTCATGGCGCAGATCAGTACTTGGATCAAATTTCAAAAGTCTGTTAAGTCGTCTCTCATAATATTAGTTTGAATGTAAAATTCGTTTACATTCCTAGTCTACTAAGCTTTGATTATGTGATTTTTTTCTTCTTTTTCTGCAGATGGTCCCAGATATTGCTTTTGGTAATCACACACGAGTTGTTTTGGATGTCGGATGCGGTGTAGCAAGTTTTGGTGCATATCTGCTGTCAAGGGATGTTGTACCTTTGTCGATAGCTCCCAAGGATGTTCACGAGAACCAGATCCAATTTGCTCTTGAGCGTGGCGTCCCTGCTATGGTAGCTGCTTTTGCAACCCATCGTTTGCTGTATCCAAGTCAGGCCTTCGAAATCATCCATTGTTCAAGATGTAGAATCAATTGGACTCGTGATGGTATGTATGTCTGCCCATCCCTTGATTGCCTCTTTCTGTAGTGGGAAAGCCCAAGGAATAAAGATGAAATGTTCTTCCCAATGTCTGTGTTCTTCTAGCAGTACTAGCCCTAGCTTATGACAATGTAAATTTGCCTCTGTGCATGTTAAAACTTGTCTAAAAAAACTTGTTGTGGCCGTTCACCTTGCTATGTCAGCTTCCTCTATCTGTTTCACATCTCACCATTAGTTCCAGAGACATTAATCTTATAGCTATTTGACTTTGCATTGAGAAATTTCAAGTGGTTGTATTTTCTGATTATGCTAACTATTCTTTTGAAGATGGAATTTTGCTACTTGAGGTCAACAGGATGATGCGAGCTGGAGGATACTTTGCTTGGGCTGCGCAGCCTGTTTACAAGCATGAGCAAGCGCTAGAGGAACAGTGGGAAGGTATCACCTCAGTTAGTTGAAACTTGAAAGCAGATAAAAATCATCAGTTTAAGTGATTATTATATTCTTGAAGTAATATTCTTGTTAAAATTGAGTTTATCAAATTACTTTACCTGATGATCATGCTGTCCTTGTTGTCTCCTTCATACTGAACCGGTGTAGTTAATATTTATATATACATATTTTTTGTATCTCTTTGCAGAGATGCTTAACCTTACAACTCGACTTTGCTGGGAGCTTGTAAAGAAAGAGGGATATATTGCAATATGGCAGAAACCCAAGAATAATAGCTGCTATTTAAGCCGAGATGAGGGAGTTAGTCCTCCATTGTGTGATCAAGATGATGATCCTGATAAAGTTTGGTATTATTTCTTTCTGACTTCAAATATTGCTTTGGTTTCGGAAATAACTTATAGCAAAAAACTTCAAATACCATACACTGAATGATATTTATTGGGAATTATATGCAGCTCAAATTTGATCATCTATAGAAACCTCCATTGCATGTGAACTGCTTCTTCTAACTTGTTCCCAATGGTTAACTTGTTTATGCTGATGAAAATGTTTCGTGTTAGGTATGTTGATTTGAAGCCATGCATTACTCGCATTCCTGAGAATGGATATGGAGCAAATGTGACTGCATGGCCTGCACGTTTACATACGCCTCCTGATAGGCTTCAGAGTATACAAATGGATGCTTACATTTCCAGGAAAGAGCTTTTCAAGGCGGAATCAAAATATTGGTCTGAAATTATATCTGGCTATGTCCGTGCTTGGCATTGGAAGCAGCTTAAACTCAGAAATGTCTTGGACATGAAGGCCGGTTTTGGAGGGTATCCTTCCTGTCTATCCTATGCTTGTTCCAACTAATTTCCTTGATATTTTTTTACTTAATTATCTGAATGCAAAATCATGCTGTTTACCCCACTGTTCTGATAGATTTGCTGCAGCACTAATTGATCATGGATTCAATAGCTGGGTTATGAATGTGGTTCCTGTTAGTGGGCCAAACACCCTGCCTGTCATATATGATCGTGGACTGCTAGGTGTTATGCACGATTGGTAGTAATCTAAACTCTGAATAAGGTTTCTTTTTAATTCATTATTTTACTTGATGAGCTTAGTAACAATGTTGCCTGTGATGTATTTAGGTGTGAGCCTTTTGACACCTACCCGAGAACTTATGATTTACTGCATGCTTCTGGGCTTTTTTCTGTTGAAAGGAAAAGGTGACAACTTCCTCTGTCAAGCTTCGTTTCTCTTGTAGAATATACTCAAGGCTGCTTTTGCTTCTCAGACTTGGTGCTTCCTTTTATCTTTTGTGTCAGATGTAACATGGCTACAATCATGCTCGAGATGGATCGGATACTTAGACCTGGTGGTCGAGCATATATCCGAGACACCCTTGATGTCATGGAAGAACTTCAGGAGATTGCGAATGCTATGGGTTGGCATTCAGCATTACATGACACGTCTGAGGGACCACATGCAAGTTATAGGATCCTGGTCTGTGATAAACGCCTTCTGCGTTCTTAAAACAAACGAACTCAGGATCTCTCCTGGTTAACTGATGAGATAAAGCTGAGACTACAAGTCAATGGAATTACGTCTTGCTAGCAGACAGAGGCTAGTGAACGACATGGAAACAGATTGTTGGTGGTCCAGATTATCCTGAAGTTTACAGATTTCCCTGTGATGGTTGCAGAAGCTGATGCGTTTAAAACATTTGAACAGCTGAGACATCCTGCAGCATAAACAGGGACAGCCGTGTAACATTGTAGACTTTAACGCCAGCTACACGTCAAGCTCGTGGTGAAGTGTAGGACTACGTTTGTTTGATCAATTTTGTCAAATTGGGTGCAAATTAAACTAAAGTTCTTGTATATTTGCAGTTAATTACCTGTTGGAACTTGGAGCGATTCATTCTTTTATTCACTCTTGTTGTATTTGTTTTGCCCAGCTTGTTTCTCCCTGTTTTACCAACCATATTCAAACCTTACCTATGAAGCATATCATTGGATTTCTGGTGCTGTATTGCTGTTCCCAATATAGCTATAATATCTAGATTTCAATCACGAAGTAGAACAAAAACTTTATAACTGTTGATTCACAATTTTAAAGAAAAAGAGTGAACAGGGGTAAATTGTTGTTAGCTGCAGCAGCAGAAGGCAACCTTGCACATTCATTCATCAATTGGCGGTTCTCCAGAAGGCAACTTACAAGAGATGGCCAAAGAATTAAAATGATTTAGGGCTGTGAGGCTAGAAGGCATTAACTTTGTTGTGACTTTGGCCTCCACAACTGCTGCTTACTATTAAAAACATCCCCCCTTTGCTGCTGCTGAATCCCTCGCTTCCTCCACTTTTTTGCATTATTCTCTTTCGATACAGCATTATTGGAAGCCGTCTCTTGCTTGGGCTTTGATGATAACTCATGAATGTGACAAGTCCCATCTCTCCAGCCTCTCAATTGATTCTCTGGCCTTACATTCTGAACCCGAGCTGCTATAACAGGTGCAGGAGAATGCACATGCATCCTTGTCTGTGGCTGCTGCTGCTGTTGGAGTTGCATCATTTGCCCACCACTATTCTGGTTCTGCTTTCTAAACAGGATTACTCGACTCAGCACTGGCTTCACCAGCAACGGATGAATATCGATCCAACTCAAATTTGGGGACAAAATGGCAAGTTGGGTTCTCTGAATCACGTCCTGTATTCTGTCTAGGTTTCTAACACTAACAGCCCTTGCACTATTCGCTGGCTGCTCAAACGGATCCTCTACCTGAACATATATAACAACGTTAAGGGAATTAAAAGTAAAAAGAAGCATCCCACCAAATAAAAATAAAAGGTAAAAAAGAAGCAGATGATGCTGAAGAAGCAAGAGGGATAAAGAAAGCTACATAGAGCGCAAAAGTCCTGGGAAACCATCTTGTGTTGTTGTTTATCTCTTCCCACTGCCCAGTAAACGGGCAAATTCCAAAGTCTCGGGCCTTCAGACTTATGGTTGATAACTGGAAGAAGAAAGGAAGACTAGTCACTAAGATGACAGGTTAGTAATAATAAGATGAGTGCAAGAACTATTCATTACCTTTGCTAGAAAGGAAACAAAAAGCTCAGACAAAGAACTTCTGTTCATGGTTCTAGATCTGCCTGCTATATATTTTCTTATGTTGGCATGAAAAAGGTCGGAGATACTTTGTTCAGCAGTTTCCCACACACCTGTAAGGTCATCGACAACATTTGTTGGGTACAAAGCATGAAATGGAGGAAAGATTGCTGGCTTACACGTCTGCACACATTTAAATGGAAGAAAAAGGAATAACCACCCAAATAAGTACATATGATGATGAAGTGCTACAGCATCCATGCAACAAAGCCCACAAAAGGTGGTGCAAGTATGGTCAAAATAAATGGAACACCTTAAACGATGAATCAACAAGCTTAGACTAGAAAAAAAGGTCCTACACCCATGCCGGCAATAAAGCCCTCAAAAGGCAAGGATTGCATTTGCAAGGGACGGAGAGTGTCAACCATTAAGTGTCCCGCCCTTCGGATTGTTGATGTTATGGGTTTTGGCCCATTCCTTAACCTAAATTAGGAGAAAATTTGATTCAAATGGTTGCATATCTTCTGCAGAAGCACATTTTCTACGGAACTGATCCAGTACCAGTAACACCAATGGACGCAACCGTCCATCTATTTGGTTGAGCCAGAACAAGCATTTGGACTTCATCTGGCCCCCAAGGTTGTCAATTGAAATATCACCAGAAATGGCAGGGCATCCTTTCTGAAATTTTAAAATGGGAACTTTTGCATTTGGGATAAATCGCAACCTCCACCACCCACCTGCAGCAGTCAAGCAGATCATTCAAGCTAAAGCCTCGAAAAGGGGAACAAACATAAACAATAAGAGCTTGACCGCATAGTCATGTTACATGCAAGAAAAACAGAGGAAGGTTAAGGAACTAAAATAAACAAAGTGATATTATTACATCGATTTCTCAGCATGATGAAGTTAAACTCAAGAAGGTACTACATTTTTCGTTAAATGGAGCATGTTAATCCAGAACAAATTGGATATCCAGTTTTATTCAATACATGATTTACTTCCTTGAGGTCTAGATGAGAAGCAGGTAATTAAATCAACAAGGTCCATCAGATGAAAAATGAAGATCGAAAATGAAATAAAGGGTCGGATTCTGATCAGGTTAACTGTGACAGGCCAATACCTTTCTCCTTCAGAGCTCTTAAGACATCCCCAAGTAAAGACAACTTCCTCTTCTTCCCAGCAACTGAAATGTAAGAACCATAATCTAGCATAACAGTAATATCCAAGTCGCCCCATGGAGTGAATAGATTGGACACAAATGATCCAAATGGCTCCACAGTCGCACCTGTATCCAGATGTAACATTTCCATGTTAACTTGAGACAGCATCTTAAAGGAACATAATAACTTTGCACAAAAACAAGCATATATATATTCTAAGGCGTCTCTTTCAAGTAACATCAGCACATAGTTTTGGGGTGACATTTAAAAGACACAGGAGATTCACCTCTAAGATTTGGAATAGTTCTTACTACATATTGTAGTTCTTGAATGATTCTTTGCCGAATCAGCCAATCATCCCGCTGAGGTTCAATCACGCCAAGTATATCCCACAAAGTAGACTCCAATGGAGCATTCATCTTTGTTTGGAGAAACCTATGCCACATATGTAGACTCAGGAACTTACGCATAACAGGCCATTCAGGGTCTTTCCTATTCTAAGAGATACCAACAAAAAGTCCATTCAAATTCAGCTAAGAACAAACTTAAAAGGCACAGATAAAGGAATAGGACACCACTACCATTCTGGTTCTGCTTTCCAACATGAGACGGGCAAGAAATTGAATTTCAGTGTCCTTGGAAAAGAAACTAATTAATAAACACATAGATTCAATTGCCGATTTCACATTTTGGTCAACAAGCCAATACTCGAATGGGCATCCCCTCCAGTTCCCAAAACGTCAATTCCCTAATGTGTGAACGTGAGAAATCGAAGAACCCATGAAACAGGATTGAAGAAAAGGTACAAAGACTGACCTTATCAAAGGTAGACTAGTAAAGTTACCACCCAATCGACCACGGTAGGATTCTATGTATCCTTTCTCTTCCGGGGGGGAAAAAGAAACCCTCAGAGCCCTGCTGTGAGAATCAGACTAGAACAGCGACCATTTAGGCGCAAGAAGAGAAGCAAGGTCCACATTGGGTCGAGTGCAAAGAGAAAGGAATTTGCATGATGCCGAAAAGGTGCAACTTTTGGAGCGTACTGATAGGGTTGTTGGGAAAACGAGACAAAATAGGTTATACAATTGGAATGAATGATATGGGAAATCAGAATCTCTGCAATATCGGAATTTTGCTAAGATTTCACTCCGGCGGCGGCAGCAGCGGAAAGACGAGGTTGGGGCCACGAGAAAGCGCTCCTGAACTGGTCGGATTCGGGCGGAGGGGCGCGCGTATTTACTGCCTTGCCGGGTAATTCGCAGCGGCGGTCGCGGTAAATTTGAATTCCCTAATGTGGAAAAGTTACTGTGTAAGGAGCTGGTGAAACCAAAAAAAAAAAAAAAAATTATCTTTGGTAATGGGCTCATTGAGTTAGGGCTGTCAGGCAATTTTGTTTGGGACAAATAGAGGAGAGGAGTCCATCATGGCAGCGGCGGCCTGCTCACACATGTAGGCTTGGGCCTGCTGCTTAGGCCTTTTCTTCCCTTTGCTGTGGTTTTATGTGCTTTGCGACCCAAACCATCTACTCCAAAATGGGTTGTGGCCTAGTCCAAGAAACGAACTTCATATATTATCGACGATTGAAGTCTGGTATGTGGGATATTGTTCCAATTGATGATTTGATGGTCCCAACTCCCAACTCCCTACTGTTAATTTAATTATTTTATTATCATATAAAAAACAACTATTTTGAGATGAGTGAGTTAATTGACATATTGCACTGATTCTAATATAGACCATCCTCTAATATAGCCTTTTATTGTAACCGTGTAACATAATACGCTATTAAGATTGACTTGGAGAGTTCTACCTCTTTCGTGAAACAATCCTAATATTCAAGAAAACCGTATTAAAATCGGTGTTCTGTATAGCTTAGCTACCAAGAAATTAAGTGGGTGATCATCATTGGTGATCAGCGTGTAATCAATAAAAAAAATTGAAGACTCGGCTTCGGCAGTTTAAGCAGCAAATGCTCAAGGAAAGAAGGCAAAGGTGAAAAGTGAAAAGCAAGTGACACCAACCAAGGAAGGATGTTGTGTTTGTGTAATTGTGTATTTGTGGTGCGCTTGTGCTCCCGTCCAGTCCACATCAAAGATCTGATCAAATCTACTCTTTTTCTTTTACAAACCCAGCGGCGATGCCCACATTCAACTCAACACCATCTCCCTTCCCACGTGTCGTCCCCTCGTCAAAGTCGTGGTGGTCAGCACCCCTAACCCTCCACGTCACGTCGAAGAATTGGAATCAACAAACACAGCCCATGCATTTAATAATAATAATAATGCACCCGACCGTGCCCTCCAGCTATGCAATACCCCAAAAGTGGCCTAACACCAGCAACCCACCTGGACCCCACCCTCTCTCTCTCTAAACTCCAATATCTTCATATCAATTTTCTAACTAAATAATAATTATTATTGTAGTATTGTCATCAAAATTCATTCCCAATAGCCAGCTCAGCAGAGAAGGGTCTTATTATTATTATCTAATCCTCTCATAATATCTCCTCTCCTTGCCAACCATTTGCCTCATTTGATTTGCCTAATCCTTTTTCCCTCCCCGTTGGGTTTCCTCTCTGGCTAGCAGAACAGTTCTACAATATCATTCCATGGATCCCTCTGCTCCTTACACGTAGCCCCAATTCTCTTCTCTGCCTAACTACCACATCACCACCACGCCACGTCGCCACCTTTGATTAACAACTCCTTCCTCCATTAAATTAAACCAACCCTCCTCCATTTCTTTCAACTCTTCCCCATCATTATTATAATTTCAGATGTCGCCTTCATCGTCTAAGAACTCGCCACGCCTCCCCGCTACCACTTCCTCCTAATCTGCACTTGCAACAATTTCAAAAATGACAAGACCAGCAGACCGAATTCCGCCTAAGGTTCCTTCTTTCCACTTTGTATTGCCCTCTGACCAGACTCCTGTCACCTCAACCACAATTTCTCCACCTGAAACAGAAGGGCACGTTTTCAACTAATTTCAATTCTCCAGATGACACTTACAGAACACACAAGCCCACAACATCGCTATCCAAAATTCTTTTATGCGCTTGGATTGGAGCTTGCTGCTCCAACAGATAAACAGACCAGAAGAAGATTACTCAATTCTCAGTTTTACAAATGGAGACTCTTGCATTTCATATTCCTCCCAAAACAACCCCAATTCTGCGCATTTCAGCAGTCAGATAGGAAAAATTAAAACAGATTGGAAATAACTTGGATCTCTCATATTTTCTTTTTCTTTCTTTTCCTTCCACAAAGCTAACCAAACATCCAATATGGGGAAATCTAAAGCTAGTTCTAATCTACATACGTGTATATAACTATTCCATATATTATCCCACCAATTCCCAATTGCTCTTTTTGTTTTTCATTCTAAATCCGAGCCCAATTAAGGGTTTACAGCTTTGGACTTGCGTCTCAAATCAACCACCACCACACTGACGTTGTCAGTGCTGTGCCGAGCTAGTGCCAGCTTTGTCAGTAACATTGAGGCGTCGGAGCAGGCCTTATCGGAGCCGCTCCCCACGGCGGCATCTCCTGACGGAGATCCTTCCGCCACCGGCGAAGGCCGCTTCTGGGCGCGGAGGCACATCCTAACCACTCCGCAGGCGGTGTCATTTGACACCACGTCCCACAGCCCGTCGCTTGCTAGGATAAGACATTCCTCGTCTCCTATTCGTTCCGTGACGGTCACCTCTGGCTCAGGAATCACGTATGGCTTCAAGTAGTTGTCCCCTGAAAAAAGAATTCAACTTTTCTAATCAGCAGTGTGTGGAAACAGGATTTAGGACTGCGAAAAAGATTTAGATTGAAAAGGGGGCTATGGCTCCAGATCTTACCGATTGCTCTCGACATTGCAAGAACTCCGAGGACTCTAGGGCCGTCCCAGTAGATTACACGGCCGCCGGCGGCTTGGATACGGAGCAACTCGTCCGGCCGGTCAGGCTGAAAAAGAATTAACCGGAATCAGAAACGAACCCTCGGAAATTGGACAATCCGGGTGGAAACGAATCAGAGGAAAAAGCTCAAATTTTCTAGTTCCGTTACCTTATGATCGGAAGAGAGGGGAACAGCGACGCCGTTACGGCAAAGGACGGCACGGGAATCGCCGCAGTTGGAGACGACGATTTTGTCGGGAGTCACCACGGCCGCGACGGCGGTGGAACCAACGGCGTCGCACTGCGGAGTCTGGAGCTCGCAACGGCAAGCGGTGGCCTTTGCGGCTTCGTCGGTGCACCAGTCCCCGACCTCGCCGTCCATCTTGGCGAAGCTCCGCTCCATGGTTTCTTTCCATTCGATAGAATTCTCCTGGCCGTAGCTCTTGATTTCCTCCTCCAATATCTCGTGCAGGCGGTCTTTACACTTCATAGCGACCTAAGAAAAGACGGAACCCACTAGAAATTAGTCCACTGTGTTCACCACGAAACGGCGAAACAAAAATTGGAACCGGAGGGAACACAAAATTAATTAAAGCCCGTACATGAGAGCAGCCGTGGCCATCGAACACGCCGAAGAAGGAAGTGCCTTCGCGGCCGAAGCTTGTCTGTACAGTAACCGCATCTTCCATATCCCTCCGTCTACCACAAACAGAAGTCAATCCGAATTTCGCCGTCGGAACTGCACAGCTTACCTCCGGCTTCAGAGCAGATTCAATCTCCACGGAATTTCTCACCTCACGCTCCTTCCCCTCCAAATCGCCTCCCCCGCCGCCGCACGGCCGTGAATTTTCGACGGCGTTCTGGCAATCACGCGGGGCAGAGCTACTACTCGCACCAGCTGACGGAACGAGCTTACGCTGTTTCCGGCTGGTGGCATCGGAGGCGGCGGACAAATCCGCAGCAAGGGAGAATGTGCGGAGGTCCAATCTCCTCCGCCGTGAAGCCTTAGTGCTCGGCTCCACCGGAGCCGTCGCGTCACTCTCGCCAACAAATCCACAGCAAATCCCAGCCATGTTTAGGGTTAATTCCCCTTCAAAAAAAATTTCAAAATTCGAACACAGAATAGAAGCAGGCGCAAACGCTTTCTTCGAATTCGATCCGATCAAAATTAGAGAGAGGAGAGAGGAGAGAGGAGAGAGATGGGGAAGGGGAAGGGGTAATAAAATGGCGTTTGGGAAAGAGGAGGAAGAAGAAGCTTTTTTCGCCTGGGGGGTGTGTGTGGGACCCGCACTGCAATATTTTTTTAAGGCCTCCGGGCAGGTGCCCGTCACCGTCACGGGCAGGGCAGGGGCAGAGGAGATCCGACATGGCCAGTTGGAATGACGTTGATACGGGCAGCAGGAAGGTAAAAGGGCAGTACTAGGACACAACAATCTGGGCCGTCCATCGCTCTCTCTCCTCACAACAATCGACCACGTGCACCGGAACTTTTCGGGTGGGTGAGTACGTGGACCAATGAGGACGGAACACGGTTCGTTGGAGCGACCATCCTTTTCTGACACGCATGTGGTGCTGTACTAGGCGGAGGAGAGTCTAATATTGTTTTCTACTTTTCTTTTATTTCCGTTTTCTCTGATTATGATATTTTGCGGATGATATCACCACGTGGCGGAGATTGTCAAATACGAGATTCGTGTTACATTCGTCCCTCCACGCGTAATACGACGTGTTGGATCAAACCAATACTACCGTCTTTCCTTCCTTCCTCCGTTGTTTTAACTTTTTAACTTTCCTTTTTTTACCCTTGCGGTGGTTTTTACTTTAGGATTTCTGAGGTTTTGCCATCGGTTTTGACGTTCTGTCTCCTACGAATTTCAAACACCTGTGGATTCTGATGTTTTGGTGTTTGGTTAACGGAGCTCAAACTAGTGTGGTTGGCGGGCGACCGGCTAGTCAGCGGTAGTCATAACTCATAAATCATAATCAAAATGGGTGGTTTGTGCGGTTTGCTAACCGCAACGATTAACCCGTGCACATCCCATCCACCCGTGGGCTCATCCAACCTAGCCTTAATTTGGAAGAGTGTTAAGATTGCTCAAAGAGCTGCATGATGGCTCGATGAGCGGGGAGTTAACAATCCTCCCCAACATTTAAGCATGTCGAGTGGAATCTTTGAAGCTCAAGAACATCATAGAAAAGTTTTCATACCGTTGTTAATTGTTATATAAGGGATCAAAAGTACTATGATCTCAAATTGTTAGAGGGAATGAGAAGCTACTGCAAAAGATGATATAATGTTTTGTCTTTATTAATATAACGCGCGCGAATGAGTGTGAAGTAAGAAAATCATTATGGTCAATTTGGATGGAGCATTTCTAAAACGAGGCAATTTGGGTTAAATGTCTCATTTTAGAAAATGAGACAATTCTATGAGACATTTGTCCTAGATTATCTTGTTTGGTTTGTCATATGAGATGAGGCAATTAGAATGAGACAATATACACTTTTGCTCCAAAAATGAGAATAGGCCCACACAAAAATGAGCTAATTGAGAAAACCTACCTCCCCACCATGTATTTCTAATTGCTCCAAAATGAGCTAATCTTGAATTGACCCGGCCCAATTACACCATTCATTTTTTGTGCTGCCAAATGAGCTAATGTGACCCAAATGCTTCATTTTGAGCCAATTGAGCCCAATTGACTCACTAGATTATACCATCCAAAACGACCCCTTAGAGGACGAGGTGTCCAATATGATACTTTTGATTTGTTACTATATTTGTTCCACTGATCTAACAAAAACGACCACGTAACGAGAGGATATTAGCACACGTTTAGATCACATGTCAGTATTTATTGACTATCAAGAAAACGTCTCAACCACACACAAAAACATGGGAAGTCTTACATGTGGCATGTTAATGACATATAAGTCAACAAGAACATTTATATTCATTATTTAGATCATCTGTCAATTTACGATATTTTATGTCTTCAGATGTGTTGCCACTTGTTGCGAGTCTAGGATCCTCGATAGTTATGTTATTTGTTATTGAAATGACGTTAAATATCTAGGATCCTCGATAGTTATGTTATTTGTTATTGAAATGACGTTAAATATCGCATTCATATTTTGAAGTGGCTCTAATTATTTTCTTTCATGCATGATTATAATCAATAGTTGAGCTTGGTTTGGATGGTTACTTATGATTCTTTTACTTACTATAGTTTAACAAATCATTAAGCACCCAATAATCCATCATCTTAGGGAATGAGCAATTTAAATAATTGGTTTGGATAATATAATGGCAAAATACACTTCTATATCCATAACTTTCACGTTTGTGACAAATATATCCATAACTATCGAAACACACGAAATACCCACAAAATTGTACTATCGTGTAACAAATCTATCCATTTCCGTTACAAACTTTAACGTCATTTGTTACGGCGTCAATAAATGTGACGGAACACTGAGTAGGACCACACCCATCTCCCACCTAAGCTCCAGGTCAGCAAATTTTGACATGTCAGCAATTCCCCCCCCCCCCCCCCCCTATACCATACCGTCGAGGATTGCCTCGCCGCCCCCTTTTTCTCAAACTCGATTTAGGGTTCCTAGAGAACCATTCTAATCGGCTGCGCTGGAGAAGACGTTGCTACCCGCCGCCGATCCAAGGGTTCCCTCCGACAGCAGCCCTCACCGCGTCCCTGGCGGCGCCTCCACGCTACATATTTCATTTTTAGCCTTCTCAATTTCCAGCGTCACAAAGGGTTGGATTGGAGATGTCAAAGCGGGTCTCTTCCTCTGCGACAAGCATCGGTGGTGATGGCCTCGTCCGCTGCATGCACAACATTCCCATCGTAGTCAAAACATCTGGTACTAATGATAACCCAGGCCGACGCTTCTATGGATGTCCATATTGGAAGGTAAGGGCTAATGATCGTAACGATGAATGTTGTTGTTTGAGGGGTTGTTTGTTAATTGGATGGGTGTCATTGGGCTGGATGTGAAGAAGAACTGTCGCTATTTTAGGTGGGTGGAGATGAATGATGATGTTTGCGAGGTCCGAGACACAAAGATTGAGAGGCTAATACTGCAGCTGCCCCCGTGTAAGTGTCCAGTGATGGCTCCGCCAGCTCCGGCCTAACATCGGAAGCGAATTAAGCGTTGGATGACTCGAAGGAGAATCGCGGGTCAGATGTGAAGTACCCATTGGGGAAACTGTTCGATTTGTTCGACTCCTTGTGGGTTTTCGATTTGTTCAACTCCCTGTGGGATTTCAGTGGGGATTTGTTCGACTACCTGTGGGTTTTCTGTGGGGTTTCTTAGATTGGATTTATTCCTCTAGTCTTGTTTCGGGTAGATTAAAAAAGAGTGGTGGTGGTGGTCGAGTCTGGACGAGAGAAAGGTTTCACTTTAGCAACTTGGGTTTTCCTCTTTTCTATCCCAACCGGGTGTAGAGGAAGATAGGTGGTGGAAGTGGACGGCAGGGAGGAAATAACAAGAGGTGAAAGAAGTAGAGGATTCAACCATTGTCTCCTCTCTTTGTTGTTTTCAAATCCAATCATCTTCTTTGGAGAACTTGTTGATGGCCTTGCATCCGGAAATTGAGATCGGCAGCGGCTGGGTCAACGAGAATGGACAACGGTGTGGGGAGAGGGCAGTTCTTGGATGGAGATACCAAGCTGATTTCCCAGATTTAGGTAAGGTTAATTTTTATTTTTGTAAATGAGGTGTCATCCATCTGTCAATGAATGCTGAGGTGGAAACGAAAGAGAGGGTGAGTTGGCAGCCAGATCATCGTCCCATTAATTTGACTAACGGTGTAACTAACGACGTTGAATTATGTAACGGAAATGGCTATTATTGTCATCAAACTTTCCAATTTCTGGCTATTATTGGTATTTCCCCAAAAGTGGCTATTGTTGTCACAAACGTAAAATTTTTGGCTATACGAATGAATTTTGCCAAAAATCTAAGTACAATGAACAAGTACGTTGGGGCAAAATATAAAAGAAGCTAATATGCCATAGATTTCAGGGAATTGAATCAAATGATGAAGGGAGGACTGAGTTTTAATGAACCATTGAACCTGCAACTCAAATGATGTCACTGTCATTATAAAAAAGATTCGTTGTTTGCTGCTAGATGCAACTTGTCCTGGATTTCCGGTAGATACGCTAGATATTTATGAACTTTCGGTTCTTTACTTCTTTCTTCCACAACTAAGCTCATTAGTCATTCCATTCATGAAAATTGGTATTACAGCTTTCAATTTCAGAGCTTGCTTGAGGATGGGGTGAATGAGTCGGATCATCCATCACAATCATCATCTTCCCACCAAACAAACAACTGAGATTAACGTAGAGACCTTTTTTTTTATTCATAATTGCGGTGTACAGTATATAATGATTAAAACTAGGAATTACTAGTTAATTTGAATCCCCACCTTGAATACCTACAATACAGATACAGAAAGCAATCACATTTGATTAAGAAAACGCTGCCAGTTTGTCTCAGTCTAGGTTGATTGGAGGGTTGAAGCCATTCACTGTCATTCCTCCATCCACAGAGATCACTTGTCCGGTGATGTAGGAAGCCGCCGGCATGCACAGGAACCCCACCAAGCTCGACACTTCGTTCGGCTCTCCGATCCTCTGGAGCGGCGTTCTCGCCACTATTTGCTGCAAGAAATCCTTCTTCTCCAGCAGCTGCAAAACCCAAAATTGAATTCAGATCCCCCAACTATAACAAACAAAGAAACTGCCATGGCCATGAAAGCGGCTGGTTCGTTAGGGAGGGCCATTGATTAACTTACATGCTCAACGAGGGAGGTTCGGGTGTACCAAGGAGCGACGCAGTTGGTCCTGATGTTGTCCCTCGCCCACTCACAAGCCAGATTCTTGGTCAGCTGATTGATTGCACCTGATGCAGAGAGAAATTTTCCAACAATTATCAGTTAGATACTTAGAGGCAGTCAGTGAGGACTTTCGTCGAACAGTTGGCGTGGGAAACGTAACGACCTTTGGAGAGGCCATAAATGGAGCCGCTGCCTATGTGGAGAACACCGCCCACCGACGACACGAAGACGACGGACCCTTCTCCGGACTGCTTGAGAAGCGGGTGAGCCAGCTGGCAGAGATGGTACGATGATTCCAGATTAACGGACATCAGCCTCAGATATTCTTCCGTCGAATACTCTGTTGTGGGCTTCCTGACATTCGTCCCAACGTTGTTGACCTGTGTACGCAGAACCCGATCAATTGAACCAACGCATTCGATTCGATGCAAGCACGTAATTGCTAAACTTAAGACTTACGAGGATGTTGAGCGCGCCATTGTAGAGCGAGGCCACTTCATGGACGAGCTTCTCCCTCTCGGACGCCGACGACACGTCGCAGACCGACCCGGAAACGGAGAAGCCCTTTGCTTTCCATTGCTGTAGGCAGTCGTTGAGCTCGGACTCGTTGCGCGAGCACGTGTGGACCTTGGCTCCCAGCCCAGCTAGTTCCTCCACAGTCGCACTCCTGAGAAAATAAAAAAGAGAAAAGCCCAGGCCCAGATCAGCAAGCCTGCCCATTAAATCGTGGAGAAGAATGGGCTTCGGCCCGCACAGGCCCACGAAGATAGATGGGAGGAGGAGAGGACAACGTTGGATATTCAATTCTCGGTCCCCTCATGGAAAGGGAAAGTGAATCGGTAGATGAGATCCATCCAACGCAACAGAACAGAACAGAACAGATCCCCCGCTCGCTTTCTTTCTTTCTTTACGCCGTCACGTTCTTTACATGCATGATCTGATCGCTACCATTTTTTCAGCGTAAAAAGATTGAAGCATAGAGAAGTGGGTGAATGGTTACCCGATGCCGCGAGTGCCGCCGGTGACGAGAGCGGTCATGCCGTGGAGAGACCATCTGGAGGCCGGCGGGGAGTGGCCGTTGGCAGTCGCCATTGGGATCTTACGGAAGAAAGAGAGAATTGAATCTGTTGTGCGATTGGAGGAGAGGAATTTAAGGGTTGAGAGAGGATTTGGTTTGGTGGATGTGGGAAGAGGAAGAGGAGGGTATATATAGAATGGAAGCGTGAATTGGACACGTAACTTTTTTGTGTAAATACTAAAGGACGAGCGTCACACATGGAGATGGATGCCTCATCATCAAATCCTTATCAAGAAACTAAGGTAGGGAAAGGAAAGGAGAGAAAGAAGGCAAAATTAAAAAAATGGGGGCATGCACTTGAGGTTTTTCCTTTTCTTGTGTTTGTGTTTATGTTTGTCATTTGACGTTGCGCAAGCGAGAGGAGTGATTAACTGGGGAAGTTCATTTCTAATTGTGCTCTCTCTTTCTGCTACCCACCGGTACGAGAGGTTTGATGGGTTGGCTTCCTTTGGGCACTAAAAGCAGGGGTTAGGTCAGGTCATGTCCAAAGAGCGGACACTTACTCGAATTAGCATCGTGCTAATCATGAGTTGTAGTAGATTACATCAGAGTTGTGATTCTTCAACCATAAAAAAAACCCCGATTATAACTGTAAAAATCATAACTACAACTATAATTGCGCACAGTTGTAAAATTAAACAACTGTACTAGTATTGCTGACACGATGGCAACAACTATAATCACCGACGGTCACGACTCACGTAGCCGTAGTAGTACCGATTAGAAGTTGAAATAGATCGACTCTGGGGTCCAATAATAGTATCTGATCAGGGCGGTTCCAACCACAAATTGCAAATGGCCATTTCTGTCCGGCTGTCCGGCTTTAGTCAGACAAAACAGAAAGCTAGTTTATTGTCCGGCCTCGTCAGTTTCATCAGGTGTCCACCGACTGATGTTTAGTGTTCCCGGTCGAGCTCCAGTTCGATGCTAAGTCTCAATCCAACCTACCGATATATACAGCACATGCATGAAAGCAATTCATTTTCACAATTGGATTCGACGGGTAGATCAACATAAAAATGGTTGATAGATAACCGTTTTATAGCTGTAAAATAGTTTACAAATTATTCTATATAATGGATTTAATATAATATTTAAATTGTTTATCAGTCATGCATAAACCATTCCCTATCCATACTACTTATCATGAAAATTTCTCACAATTCATGCATTCAAAATATCCAACAATATTAAGAGTCATGATTGAATCTCACTCAACAATTCGAGTCATTGAAAACAATTAGTTCTTGACATGATATCAGAGCATTTGTTAAGCACATGACATTTATTGATAGAAAAAAAAAATCTTGTGTGTGAATCCTGACGACCCTCATTTGTTAAGCACATGATATTTAGATTGATGAAGAACTTTCCTTTGTTAAAAAAAAAACTGTATTGGCCACTATACAATATCCACCCAAATCAATGAATCGTCTCCCTTTTTCAAATAGACGATGGTTTTAACAATTGAGATGCATGTTCGATCCGATATACTAACACGAGAATTTACCATTCTGATATCATATCGTACAAGTCGATTAAATCACGTGTTGGATCACCATATTGGTATCCTTGCCATGGTCTCAGAGTGTTTCCTACACAATTTTTTCTTGTCATGCTCAGACCTTCAATAGTTAGTCTCATGTGGTTTGGAACTATGGTAAAAGATTTCTAATCCATGTATAAAACGGACTTACACTTCGAGAGCAGGGGTTGGCTGAGAATGACAAATTTGGCAACGGCTGTGAACTACTCACCCGTCTCAATCTGCCTCCCAAATTAGCCTGCAAAATGGAGAATGGCATCCAGCAGGACAAGCAATTGCTGTATTTTTTTTACCCTGAGGTACGTGTGTTCGCATTTGGATGACTAAGAGGATAAGGCATTTTTGCAATCGGCAATCCTATTGGACTGACTAAACGAATTTGGATAGTTAATCACCAGTGTTTAGTTCCAGTAGCATCAACTAACGATGATATTTGTCCAACAGGAAGTGGTTGTGGACACAATTCTTAAAGGAAAATGATTTTTTCTAATGCTTTTCGGGTTACTTGCAAGATTCCAATTTCCAACCAAGTCGATGAATCCTTCAATAGGTTTGTGTTTCTATATTGGCTCAAATGTTTTTTTCGATCAAGTGTATTGGACTCAATTTCGATTTGAGTTTCCCTCGGGCTTTCTTCATGGGCCAAGGTTTTTTTAATGAGACTTTGTTCTAAATTTATAAATATTAAATTTCATTATTCATAAAGCTTAATATATTGCAGTCTTGCATATAAGCTAAGACATGTCATCTTCCATAAATTTTGTATTCACTGTTCATACTACTTTGGATGTATGTAATGTTAGATTATGTTATGTTGGTTTTTTTTTTGTCAATTTGATTATCACTACGAAATTTTTTTCATTGGATGATTGAGGCTGCAAGTATATTATTATAATTCACTAGCATGGACCCGGTCACTTGACCGGAACAATTAGTTATATTATTTAATAAATTATCTCAACTACGATTTCTATTCAGCATTATTAATTGATATTCATTTATAAATAGCATTAATTTGTGGTTCATTAAAATCGGTATCGTGTCTAGACAAGTCGGTTGAAAGATATCATCACAAAATCAGTCAATCGATTGGGTAGGTTAAATTGTCGATCTTGTTCCCCCATCAAACGTTTCTTCTTCAATGAACTCCAACACCACGAGATTACGTTTTTTGAGGATTTTTATGAATGTTAAAATTACATAGATGGTTGTATATGTAAGTTTTCATTGATTTTGATATCGGTTAAGAGCTCAAGGCTAACCTACCAACTGGATGTGGTCTTGTGAAAACTTGATCGACCCTTTTCTCTTCTTATTGCACTTTCTTCCATTAAGCGAACTAGTTTTAATTATACCACACACCCTCCAATCAAAAGGATTAAAAGCCTCTCTCTTTCACTTGGTATCCCTATCATTCCTAGCTGCCTTCCCTTCTTATTGCACTTTCTTCAACTCCAATGATCCCTTCCATTGATTAGCACAGTTCCACACTCTTCACCTCGAAACCCAACCTATAATTCCCAACCAACCAAAATTAACTTCTCTACTTACACAAACCTGGTACTTGTTAGAAACCCAAAGTAACCAACCCTCAATTTCCCTTTTGGACATCTCTCTCCCTCTCTCTCTCTGCATCTCTCCCCATCAGGAACCCCACGTATGTCCAGGGAGAGAAAAGGAGGAACATTTATATCAAAGATTGTGACCCATCTGTCTGAAGTCTGAACTCACTAATGGATCCATGGTGAGAGCTCCAGCACAACCAGAATTACACATGTTCTTGAATTCCCCCATGCCCAAAAGGGAATTTTGGGGAGATGGAAACATTTATTGTATATGTAAAGCGAAAACAGAGGAATCGGTAAAGCTCTGTTTTTTTTTATTCGGTGGGGAACTTAAATTCCCCTGGCAGATGCAGAGGCAGAGGCAGGCATATTGTAGCAATTGCAGCACTGTGCGCCTTCCTTCCTTCCTTCCTTCGTTCCTTCCTTCCTTCCTTCGAGAGCTGCATATCAGTGTAGATGTAGGGTTAGGCCACATTAAGTCAAAGCCGATGTTTCATCAACTTGCCTCTGTGAGTAAACTTTGGAAGAAGCAACCAGCGACTACGCCGGACCCCACGAACGTCGACCGATCCCTCTCACAGAGAAACTCGCCGTGCATTCTGGAGTAGCTGATATTACTTCAAGACAAAAATAAAACAGACAGAAAAGAGAGAGAGAGAGAGAGAGAGAGAGAGAGAGAGAGAGAGAGAGAGAGAGAGAGAGAGAGAGAGAGAGAGAGAGAGAGAGAGAGAGAGAGAAGAGAAGAGAGAGAGAGATCTAACTAGCTAGCTAATCATGAAGCGGATGTTTTGTCCAGATGGGTTTTTCCTAATCGTCCTTAATTTGGATGATTGTGTTGCCCTACACTTGTTTGATCAGTTTGGGCTAACGTTATTGAATTGATCACCCAGGGGTGAAATTTACTATTAGAAAGTTGATTTCAAAATGGAAAGAGAACTTTCTTGAGGAATGTTTGAAAGATAGGATTTAGTTTTCCTTGCGAATATGAATCTGAGTACACTATTTGAATAAATAAAAAAGGAACTTTCTCAACTATTTGGGGCTAATACCACTAGCAATATAAACTTTTAGCGACATTGTCGTTTACATTACGTTACTTTCGATTTGTCTTTTGTATACTAAATCGTCTCATCCATTTTTTTTGGGTCAAAAGTTAACAAAAACACAGTCTGCATACACGTGGCAGCTGACATGAAAACTTATTATTATTAAAAAAACTTAAAATAAATATTTTCAATGACATTCGATAGTCTTTACAGTTATATGTTTAAATAAGAACATCAATCATTATCAATTAAACAAAATAAAGAGAAAAAATACATCAATCATAAAACATGAACTATTATTGGCTCCAGATACGGTGCTTAACTCATGGTTATGCACATATGAGTAACTAAATCTGGATCATTCATTCAAAAATTCAAGATCTAATGGTGGATAATTAAAAGCCTTTTTTCCCTAGTTTTCTTAATCGGCTCATATCTACTTCGTTTTAACTAGGATTTCATTTTTTTTTTTTTGCACAGATGGAACGAGTTCGTTGTGCTCTACAAATGAGATCCATTTTCAATATTTGTCTAGAATTTTTTTATTGCCTCTCGTTACCAACTACATACCGTATGATATCATCTTCGTTTTGAAGTCGTTTTTGAAAAAAATTGCACAGAATGAACGAGTTCATCATGATCTATTGGATCTACAAATTTCTGGGCGAACAAAATACAGGACCAAACAATACCATACAATGCCACCCTAGTACATGGTGGTATCTTGTGGTACATAATGTTGAAAGTCGTAAATGAAAGTTAGTACACTCTTATTATCATGTATTCAACCATCCTATAGTCTTGATATGTTCATACCACCATAGTGCGCTTTTCATGGCAATATGATATGCTCTTATTTCAATACCAGTCAATACCATATGGTATAGACTAGTAAAAAAATGACTCAATATAATTTTTTTTGTTCCAAAAATATATGAAAGTGAAAATCATTTTGAAGAACACAATTAATCTAATCTAATTGTGCAAAAAAATTAATTTCCGACTTACAACGAGTGAGAAATCATTCGTTAAATATTAAGGGGGGACATTAAAGACTTTTCAAGAGAGAGAAAGGGCGCTGATATGATGACTTCTGATTGAGTTATGCATAGTTATTGACCATAAGATTATGCACTTGATCTGCTCCCGCTATTATTGGCCACCCCGGGCATTTCCCTGTTTCGAGTCCGGAGCTAGTATTATATATATAGAGTATCGAGAAGAATTTTTGTCATTCCAATAAGTTCAACCATTGAAAGAGTTCCAACACCATATTATGTCCCCTGTACATTAAACATGCATCTGATCTCCTCGCATACAATAATCATGTCCGCACATAAATGTACACAAGGGTTCGTGAAGGAGAGCTTCTTCTTGGTTGGATACATGGAGATAAGAGTTAGCTAGGCGGCCATAGATTTCAAGGGTTGATCGTTTTAATTTAATTGGTGTGTGATTGTTTGTAGCGTGTCAATGTTGCAGCAATGAACACATACGTACAAAAAGGGGTATAGCGCCTAAGCCCCTAAGCTAAGAACTAAACAAAAGCGACGCGCAAGCAAGAAGAAATAAACTATATATACTAGTGTTGGTGATGTGATGTAGACGGACGGACATTTAAGCGTATAATCAAGCCATCTATTCCGGCCATGCAGGTTGCTTCAAATCATATGTTTGTTTAATCGGATTTATTTTGATTCCCTGTGGAGTAGGTGTGTATTTTGGAGCTTCCCCACTGATTTTGGGAGAGAGCTATCAGAGCTACAGCGGTAGACGGCTTAGGAATTGGGCAGTAGGGTTGAAAGATGCACTGTCGGAGACAATTAGATGTAGTTAGGAAGAAGCAGTTTTATTTGCCAGAAATGAGAGGGTACATGAGTAAGCAGCAGGCACCATTGTGGGAGACCTGCATCTGCAGTGATTTGATGTGCATTGGGCAGTAGCTACTAGCTAGTAACTAACCATAATATACACAGTGGATAAAATGTGAGGAAAAAAAAGTAGGAGAAAGCCTTCTGGTAATTCTTTGGATCCAGCTGGTAGTAACGAGTAATAGTGCTGCTGGCCTTGCATTGCATGGTGTTGATGTGTCATTTTTTGGGCATGTAGCTGAAGTGACCTACTGTCAGTTTCTTTTCTAATACATTATACATAACATATTCTTTGATGGATTGGACCACAGGATACAATTGTCTTTCCATAAAAAAAAAGCGATCTGTCTAAAGGGCAACAGTCAAATTCATATCCCGTCTGGCCACCCTGTCTCTCTCTCTCTCTCTGAGCTTTTCCATCGTCGCCTTGTATATTGTAATGGATGCATAGAATAGGAAGGAAGGTTGGGCTTTATTGTTTGGTAACTATGCAGAGACTAACAGTGGGGAAGACAGAAGGACGAAACTCCTGGTTTCCTTGCTATTTTGGGCAAACAAATGAAGAAGCTCGCATGCACAAATTTGGTTCCCTAGCTAGCTCATTGATTAATGATTATAACCCCTGTGCTAGTTGAAGTTATTAGGCCCTTCTCCCACCTTCACTTAATTAATTAGCTTGCAGTAGTAGTAATTGGCTCTTCTGTCATTCCCCTACCAGCCTTTCCCATTTGGTGTTTTAAACAAGTTAATGATTATTTCTTCCTCTCCTATACATTAATACATATATATGTTCTTCCCAGGAAACATCAGTTAGTTAATTAATTAATTAGATTAGATTAACCTGCGCTAGCTGCAGGAAGCCGCTAGAAACTAGAATCAGAAACAAAGCAACGGGGAAACAAAATAAAACAAGAGAAGAGATTTAAAACTACTAGCTAGTCCTGGACGTACGTGATTAATTTCCATCATAATTAATATATATAATATTATATATGTTAGAAAATAGAAACAGTAACATGGTAATGAAATGAAGTAGAAGGTAATTAAAGCCATGCCACAGGCATACAATACATGCATGCTCAAAGCCTAAGCTCAAGATCCAAATCTGTGCACATCCCCATCCCCTCCGACGCCGCCCCAATCGACAGCGACAATGTCGTCACGGCCGCCGTCGTCTTCCGCCTCTTCCCACCGGCCAAAATCGCCTCAACATCGTTACAACAATGACCGCTCAACTCATCGCCGCCACTACTACTTTCCACAACGTTGACCATGAGTCCAAGATCCAGCCAACCACACTCGTTATTAATATTATTGCTGGCGGTGGTAATTGAGGACGAGGAAACCCTAGGGGAGGAGGAGTTCGTGGTGGTGGCGGCGGCGGTGACAGGATGGTGGACGTGGTCTTCTTGTTCTTCTTCTTCGTCGTGGCACTGTTGTTGCTTGAGACGAGCGCGGTCCCGGCGGTGGACGTTCATGTGGCCGCCGAGGGCTTGGGCGGAGCGGAACTCGCGGCGGCAGAAGCTGCACGGGTAGGACCTCGGGGGCCAAATGCAGCCTCCGCCGTTGAGGACGCTGGAGGCGTCCTCCGCGAAGGCTCTCTCTTCCCACGTGGCGGTGGCGGCGGCGGCGAGGAAGTGGGTGGTGCGGTGGCGCTTCATCCACATCCATTGCTGGGCTTGGTCGGTGGTCGACCTCGTCATCACTTGATGGCCGCTTGATGATGATGAGTACATGATGATGGAGTTGTGTGGGGAGAGAATTGAATTTTTCTCTGTGTTGGAGTTGGAGTTGGAGGTGGAGGTGGAGAGACTTTTTTTTTGGTGAAGAAAGTCAAGTGGGGAGAGAGGGTATTAATAGAGAGCAGAACTGGAGAGAGAGAGAGAGAGAGAGAGAGAGAGAGATTGGCCTGCTGCTGATTTTTTTTTTTCCCCCATTAATTATTCTCCTTTGTTTTTTTCTTTTATGTTGACAAATTCAGTCTTCTTTAACTCCAATGTTTTAACTAATTGAGGAGATAAGCTAGTGACAGACCCATTTTGAAGCAACGTAACAGTAGTCAAACGCTAATTTTTGTACTTAACGATTAAACCTCTCTAATCTCTATGTGCGATAAGTAAGCACCTGTTCAGAGGTTAAATTTCACTGTCTCGCTATCTACGATAATTATTAGATGCACACAAGAATTGTTAAATATATGTTAATGAAATTATATATATATATATACTTTTAATTCAACGACATGTTCGGATGTCGTAACATCCAATTTGTACTTGTACCAAAAGATGAAGTGATAACATTATCGAATTGGCATTTAAATAAGTTTCATAACACCCAACTGTCTATACTATATAGAAGATTTAATTTGGCTGAATATGAGGGATCGGAGGTGTTCTGTTGACTGCATGCCCTACCTAATTAATAAAACTGAAGTATAAACTAACGTTTAATTAAGTTGGGACAATTGGAGGACTAGACGTCGTCGACCTTGGAAGCTTTTACCAAAACTATGCTAAACGTATACCCTTTATAATGTCAATTAATATATATTTTTAAATTGACTTCCTTAACTATATTGAATCATCTTTAGACCTGGCAATCGGGTCGGATTGGGGACTTCGGTTACGAGTTGGATCATGTGTTGGTTGACTGATTTCGGGTCAAATATTGACCCAACCTATTCGGTTTCGGGTCGGGTTTACAGGTCATTTCGGTAATAATAACAAACATGCTTCATATTTTATTAAAGAACACAAATTTTCACATATGCATGACAATAGTTCACCTAACACATGTTAATTAACATATCCTCAAATCCTCCCACGCTAATGAAATGAAATACAAATTGCGCAAATCGTCAAAAAACAATCATAAAAGTAATACTACTTCAAGAAACACATGATATTTGATTATCCTTAAACTCCAAACATGTCGTTCAAATTCTTGTGATTTTTTTTAAACATCTCACCAATTTATTAGTGATTTTATCATATTTGGGAGTGATATATAAATGGAACGGGTCTAAGGGGTACCCAACCCGACCCAAAAAATCACGGATTATTAGGTTCGAGTCATTCGGATTTCGGGTTATAAAAATTTCTAGTTTTTGGTCGATTTCGGGTCGGGTCAACTGGTCGAATTATAATTTGCCCGGTCTTGAACCTTTTTTTTTTAAGTCTTGAAGTTTTCCTCGCTGATAGTTTCTTTCTAGGCTTACATTATTCCCATTCGAGTAAGAATAGCTAAGATTCAACAACAATTGTAAATACGTCGTATAATGTTAAAGTACTAAAAATACAGATTGTAAAGACCGTTTTGTCACATTCTATGGCGCCAGATAGATATCCAGGGAAACCAACAGCTAGATATATACTAGTGTAATATAGTAATACTAATATTATCCTTGCGTCATGACTAAATCAGACCCAGACAAACTCTTGTGAAGGAGGAGGAGCTTTGCTGAAACACATGGAATTTTGATTTGAACTGATTATTACGTATAATATAATTACAAAATAATACTAATAGTGATGATTAATCAAAGATCGATCATACATACAACTACTTGAGAACAAGATCTAACGTCTTTGCTTCACTTTTACTTACATATGAGATTGTTTTTGTTTTTGCATTGGAAGAGGTTTGCTAATTGTATGTCTAGTGAATGTTAATTAGAATCTGATCTCTAACACTAATTGATGTCTATATATCCTTGTCATTGTCAAAGCCTGAAAGTCAAACAAACAACTCTACTTCATTAAACATATAACCTCTTGGACATGAACTTTATGTTGGTAAATCCATTACGTCAGGTTCCAGTTCTTACTTCTTACAGTTGAGTTGGAGTGTCTTCTCATTATCCAAAGGTTGTAAATCGGTGACTATATAATCATCTAAAGTGCAGATATCGCATCTATATTGTGAAATTCCTATAGAGGCAATAATGATTGGTGGCTTTGAGTCTCTCTCTTTTGCATGACAAGATTTGAATAGATCGGCCCATTTAATATCAGAATAGATCACTCTTAAAATAAAAAGCAATTTTACCAATGTATACTTAGGCCCCGTTCAGTATTGATTTGTTGTTGTTGTGGTTCCAGTGTTGTTGTGTCAACATATGTACAACCACAACAGGAAAAAAATAGAAAACACAAACCTGTTTAGTTGATAATCTGAAAAAGGCTAAATTACACGTTTGGTCACTCAAATTATACAAATCTTTCACGTTTGCCACTCGAATTACTTTTCTTTCTTATTCGCCACTAACTTTACGAATCATTTCACGGTTGGTCACCGACCGTTACACTCCGTTAAGTTTGTCCTACGTGGCAGTCAACTATAAAGTTTGACCGTTAAATAGATGACGTGGAAATTAAAAAAATTTAAAAAAAAATTCTTTCCACCTCATCATTACACTTATTTTGTCTATATAATTTATCATATTAATAATTTAATAAAATACAATAATGGGCACTTATTTTGTCTTCTGGAGCAGAGAAAGGATCGAAGGAAAAATTCCCAATTGCGAACACAAATTGAATTCCCAATTCCCTTCGTGTTCCTCCCTCTCTAGGGTTTCCTCAAGCTACTTTCCCAGTCATGGATTCCAATCTCACGATCTCAAGCTTCGGCTAGGATCCTCAAGCGGATGCGAGTCTCCCACTCGCGAGCGACGAATCGTCTCCCGTATCTGAAATTGGATCAGCGCCGAAGAGGCAGAAGATCGAGGAAGCCGCCGGCGACAAAAGCACCGACGTCGAGGTCGCGGACGATGATTCCGGCGAAATCAAGGAAGACGGAGAGGAGGAGTGGAGTCAGGTGATTTTGGAGCCCAAAGTCTTGTGGCCTAAAGACAAAGAGGGAGTGGAGAAGTACCGCCGCTTCTACGAGCAGGTCCAGGAAAGCGAGGTATGTAGCCGCAGCGGCTTTATTAGGGATTTGATTTCGCCGACATACCGATTTTCGTTTGCTTCTCCGCCGAACCAAAAACCAGAAACCATCTGGTTTCTAGGCTAGAACCGCCGCACCTCCTTTTCTCCTCGCTCTCGGTTTCCCCTGCCTCTCTATCTTTCGTCTTTTCTGGTAAAAACGACTCCGCTCCTCAAGCCGCCACCAGAAAAACGACCCGATACCTGAAGAAGCTCCCTCGGAGCTTCTCCTTTGGCTCATCGCCGGCCTCGAAACGCGACCTAAGAGCCCCGAATTGAACGGAGTCGTGTCTATTGAGGTATGATTTGGCTTGCATGTGCGTTTATTTGACGATTTTTGGTTTGAATTCGTTTCCGACCTTCTCGTTTTGGTTTTATTTTTATGGTTATCTTTTGGATTCGAGGAGGGGAGAGTGAGGGCACCTTCGGCGGCTAGCGTCTCCGACGGCATGGCTCCAGAAGACAAAATAAGTGCCCATTTTTGTAATTTATTAATTTTATTAAATTATTAATATTATAAATTATATAGACAAAATAAGTGCAATGATGAGGTGGAAAGAAAATTTTATTTATTTTTATTTTTTGTTAATTTCCACGTCATCTAGTTAACGGTCAAACTTTATAGTTGACTGCCACGTAGGACAAACTTAACGGAGTGTAACGGCGGGTGACCAACCGTGAAACGATTCGTAAAGTTAGTGGCGAATAAGAAAGAAAAGTAATTCGGGTGGCAAACGTGAAAGATTTGTATAATTTGAGTGACCAAACGTGTAATTTAGCCATCTGAAAAATAATGAAAGCAGACAAGAAGAAACAAAAACGCGTTCAGTTACTACTAATAGAACTAAAAACCAGAAAAGAGAGGAGGCGACGATGGGGAGAAAGGATTCGCAGTCGGCGGTGGGGAATCTAGAGGAGGTGGCGGGAGGAAAGGGAGGCGACGGGAATCGAGGGGAGGAGGCGACAGGGGAAAAGGCAGGCGGCGGGGGGAAAGGATTCGAAGTCGGAAGCGGGGGAAAGGGAGGCGACGGGAATCGAGAGGAGGAGGCGGCAGGGGTTGCGAGGTCGGGCGACAGGGTAAAGGGAGGCGGCGGGTCAAAGGGACGAAATCGACGGCAAGGGGGGAGATGGACGATATCGGCGGCCTAGGTCTCGAGAGGAAGAAGTTGAGAGAGGGAGGGAGCTGTTGGGCGGCGGGTGTGGGAGAAGATGAGGGTAGGGTTGGCCGACTAGGGTTTGGAGGTGGGTTTGTGGGTTAAAAAAAAAAGAGAGAAAATTTTTGCTTTAGGTGAGATTCGAATTGAGGGTTGTTTTAATGAAAACAAACGGGAATCCCGTGTAAAACATGTAGAAGAATCAAATCCAAATCAATAAATTGTTGTTTCTCAAATTTGGGCCCTGTTGTGCAAATATGATTCACAACAAAATAGAAACCCAACTAAACATGTTTTTTTTTCTTGGTTTCTCCCATCTTGAAAAACACAACAAAAAACAAAAACAGGCAACAATACTAAACGGAGCCTTAGCTCAGGTTTCTTTTGCTAAGCACATTGACTATCCTATAATGCAAAAATGATGCAAGTTGCACATATGGTGGATTGGATATACTTGCAAAAAGCTTCAAGAGAATGAGACCAAACCAGCTCCACTGGACTAATTAAGTAAACTATGCATTATTGTTTATGATCTAATTATTAGTTGATAATGCCAATCTCCAATTAAGTAGGGCATGGGGGATCAAGGAACAGCCACCAAAATTAACTTATTCGATGGATGCAGTGAAGTTGACAAACAACAAAAGTCTGTCCTAAAATAAAATTTTAATTATTGAATGGACTCAAATTGATCATAGAACTGGTTTGACCTGGTAGTTACACACACATTATCGTCATCCAACTTAAACTGAAAGGGCACCAGCTTGGAGTTCAGCTTTTCCCTGTATACTACTCTATTAATATAATTAACCATCTTTTTTTAATTAATTAATATTTTGTTTCCCATTACCTTTGATGAAATAGAAGTATAGAAATGTGCTGTGCAGAGCCAAAGAGCACGACAAAGATCCATATGCCGACACCTTCTTTCTTTTCTCCCAACTTCAAAAAAGTTGACAATGATTTGTGTTCGAAGGAACATGGATTGGAGGGAGCTGGCTTCGTCTTGGATTTAAGCAGTGATTAGTGATTAATTTTTTTGTGATTGACTTAATTAATGTAAAAATGAGACGTCCATTTGGCATTTTGCTTATGGCAATGGATCACTCAGTAAGTAGTAATTATGCATTCTTTTTTTCTTCCTTAGCATAATTGCGTCTCCAGAACTAGAAGCTATGGCGGGAGAGCCGGAGAAGGACTAACGTGTCTTCATTAATTGTATACGGCGGGATTTGTTTTCATTTTCTTTCGAGAAAATATTTTTTAACCTACAAACAACGTTAGGCAATTCACACACAAAAAAAAAGTTTCAATCTGTTAGGAAATTGGATCAATTTACATCAAATAGTTAATTAACCAAGGTTCGTCATCAACATCGAGATCTCACCAAAGTTCGTCCATCGAACTGCGTATATCAAGCGAAACTCATTTTCTTCTTTTGAATGGTTACGGCAAGATCAAGATATTTTATATTTCTTTGACATTCTCGTCGTGGGTTTAACCTGACATAAGAGTGCTAGAATTTTGTTGTTCCTTCTTCTTTCTTTTACTTTTGTGAATTTTGTTGGACCAGTATGGTCCACTATAGTTTAATTTGCAAAGTCAAATTATTGCTATATTATTGAGAGAGCGGCGCCATCAAGCTACAGACATCTGCCTGAAATTTGTAAATCCCGTTGACTAATGTCCGCTAAGACCAACTTACAAGAAACCAATGATCTCTTTTTTTAACCACTTGCTTCAAAACCGACGATATATATGATCCTGCTAAAAATAAAATGGATGATATTTACCTACAACCGGGTTTGCAGGTTATGCCTACAACCTCCCCACATGGCAGCATTCTAATGGTTGATTGCCTTTTATTCTATCTTTCTTAATTTTGAATTAAAATGGTTCATAGAAGTGGTTGCCGGCAAATTGTATAATTATTCCATAACTCATTAAATCATGTAACTAAGTAACTAGCTAAATTTAATTTGAAACAATAATTAACATTCTTGATTTTTCAAAATCATGTAACTAAGCTAAATTTAATTGGAAACAATAATTAACCGTGTTGATTTTTCAAAATACATCGAACATGCTAAATGCATCATTTTAGGACTTACATGTTGAAGTTTACATAATTAGGATTTAGGGTTCACTCATTAAAGGCTAGGATTTTGATTCGTTGAATCAATCGAAGTTTGAAAAATGGTATTATATCGTAAGCCCTTACATAAAAAAAATTACTGTAAACTCTGGTGAGTGAAACCCGAACCCTATTTTCTTAATCATATTTATTAAGATCAATTGATTAGAACTAATAATAAATGGTTCAAACAATTCCAAATGCTTATTAAATAAAACCAAATGCTTAACCATTGTCAAAATAAAAAAAAAAAAAGGAAGAATAAGACAGTCACAACGTACCCTTTGATCATATCCAATCATCATTGACTCTTCCAACCACAGTTCTTACCTGACATGCTCAAAAGTTTCCATATATATATGGATGAAACTGGTGTATTCGTAGTGTATGAGATACGATTTTATATCCTAATTATACTTATCTATAATGGATAAATCTCAGTATTTGATTCTCTAAATTCAAAATAAAAAATCAAGCTAATAAAAAATAATGGTATATTCTACGAGGTATAACGAAGTAAATCCAACGATCATATCACTTGAATATGGTATACTCTACGAGTGCACCAATCGTTACCATATATATGATCCTATCGTTTATTTATTTATTACGTTCGACAAAATACGGTTAGTATTATTCCCATAATTTAGGCCTTGATCTTCCTCAACTTGGTACAGAAGAAGAAAAAAAAAACAAATTTAGCCAATGAAACTAGATTGCCTTAATTTTTATTACAGTACGAACTTATTGTAAGAATATGCAAAGCCGCTTCAAAACTGCTACTTAATCGAAAAAAAAAAAAAACAAGCAGAAGTCTTTCTCTAGACTCTTTCATAGGTTTTTTTTTTATTGTTGTTGATAGTGAGAGAGTTATCTATTTTATTGTTATTAACCTTGATTTGTTAATATATAAGTGCCGACCAGATAGATAGAGTGATTGATGAGGAGGATACTTAGGACATGACACTTAAAAGACCTAAACCAATATGTGCACTAATCTAATCTGCATGGAGAACTAGTTGTGATTATTGAACTCCTTATTTCGTGAAATTAATCCTCAGAATCGATTTCATAGGGTTGAAACAATTGGCGCTATCACATATATTATATTACAGTAGGGCTTAGGGTGGATAACCAACCTAGGAATTAATTAGAATGCTCACATGAGATCGAGAACATAATTTCAAGAGGTAAAGATTAGCGTACGCTTGGTGTATGGTACATGTATGTGTTTTTACCATTTTTCATGTACTTTGATTGACTTCGAGGAATCAAAACTATTAACTATTATTTTTAGATTAGAAATTTTTAGAGAACTGGAATGAATTTCAATCATTCCTCAATGAGAAAACACTTCATCCATTAAAAGGTTCATGTAGTATATTATCCTGTTTCAATTTTCGGACAGACTCCAATCTGAACGATTTAGATTTAGACGTTTAGCCCAGATAATTCTCTTTATAATTATATATAGAATTTAGCCAGATATTTCAAACTAAAGCCTACTCATCTTTTTCCATATACTAATACTACCATGCCAAAGTTATACCAGGGCTATTTTTTTAAGGCAAAGGACTGACCCAGTGTTGATAAGGGCCGGAATCTGTATGTGCTTGTCCAGGCCACGACCAAATTTGAATTAGGGAAGGCGGCCCAGGATAGGCCCAACGGGAATCCAACTGGGGGATGGCCTATTACAATTACGGACGGAAATTGGATAGCTGGGCCCAGGACGGTTAAACTTAACCAGCCCGAGTGATGATTCTGGCAAGCCGAGAATGAAGGATAGAGCCCGTTTCGCTGATTTCTCTAAAACATAGTGAGATAATGCTGCGACCATTTTTGGACACTGTCATTTCCATCTTACAATTACTGATTTTTGGAAACTCGAAAATACAATTGCTCAATGCAGTTAGGATACGATGACAGATGAAGTTTCCATAAATAAGAAAAATGTTCATGGAGTGAATTATTCACTCTGAAAGCATATTGGTTAAACATCTAACTTCTGAATTCACGTTACGAATTATGTGTTTTGATTAGAAATTCGCGTTGATTTTATCGGTTTTCTCTGGAACAACAGTAATAAATGACAATAATAACTCTTGTTAGGACTTACAATTTACGAGGTTAAAAAAACTTACCAAGTACGTTGCAACCCCCCAATAAGATCACATTGGGGGAGATAAAGAAGTAAGAAATTAATTTTCACAAGAAAAAAAAGTAAGAAATTAATACTGAAACTTCCATTTCAACATAGTTCCAATTTTGCAATCAATGTCCTTTCACGGCAATCTCAATTTCAAAAGCAATTAAAAAAGGGTTTTCGTTTTCCCCAGGAAAGGCTCCGAACTCCTGACCCGACCCAACAGCGACGTCATAAATATAATCATCCTTAAATAAACCAAACAAAACCAAAACATACATCTGTATGTGTGTGTCTGTAACCGCATTGCCATTCCCAAATCGGCGCCATCTTCTTCTTCCTCCTCTCTCAATCTTTACGTGAATGTTCTTATCCCTCCTGTTCATCAATCATCCAACGCCAAAGAATCGTCGAGAATCGGTTTCAATTGGGTCGTAATCGTGTTCTCATCATCCCCACAAACCCCAACATCAAAGGTGGGGTGCACACAATTCAGATTCAATAATGATCCACAATCGGCTGCCGCCGACCCCGACAGCGACGAAGCACAAGGCCGACGACAAGCCGTTTCAATTCATCTCCATCGTCGGGAAATCCCTCATCCTCTTGTTCATCCTGTCCTTCATCTCAATCGGCCTCTACACCGCCTTCTACGACCCCAAGAGCGGCGGAATCACCCCCACCGCCGCCTTGCACCGCCTCCACTCCTCCATCGCCCGCAACAACGCCGACCACCGCAGTCGGGACCCTAATAACAACTCCCCGACCAACCTCTCCCACCTTCTCTTCGCCCTCAGCGGCTCCAACGACACGTGGGACGACCGCAGCAAGTCCAATTCCGTCTGGTGGTCCCCCAACCGAACCCGGGGCTTCGTCTGGCTGGAGGACGTCCAACGACCCGACTCCTCACCCGCCCCGAACTCCGCCCCGACCCGGGTCTCCTCGCCCGAATGGACCCGGTTCGGGTTCTCCAGCTCCCGACCCGCCGTCCGGATCGCGCGGACGATCACCGACAGCTTCGGCCTCAAACTGCCAGGTGTCCGGTGGTTCGTGATGGGCGACGACGACACCGTCTTCTTCCCGGAGAATCTGGTCTCCCTGCTGGCGAACTACGACCACAACGAGATGTGGTACATCGGCGGGAACTCCGAGAGCGTGGAGCAGGCCGTGATGCACTCCTACGAGATGGCGTTCGGCGGCGGCGGGTTCGCCATCAGCTACCCTCTCGCCGAGCTCCTGGTGGAGAATCTCGACCGTTGCCTCGAGCGCTTCCACTATTTCTACGGCTCTGATCAGAGGATCTGGGCCTGTATCACCGAGTTAGGTGTGGGCCTCACCCCTCACCGTGGATTTCACCAGGTACGTTCCGTCTTCGCCGCTCCTCTTGACACGTGTCCGAACTCTCTCTGTTTTTTAGCTTAACTGCGCCTTGGTTTGACCGTGGTTAAAAGTTGGGTAAGTGGGGAGTAAAATCCGGTAGCCTATAAAATTTAGGTGGGAATTGACACGTGTGAGAACATCGGGTATCTGTTCTTCTTTGGTTTAAGTTTAACCTTTTGGGGGGCCGCCAGCGCCACAAAAAGGCCATCAATCGTGCCAGAGAAGTTAAAGCTATTATGGATGTGCTATAGTTTTGGTAGGGGACGTGGCAACAGCCGATTGAACGGGAATTGTTGTTCGTTGGCCCATTCCCCGTTCAAAATACGCTCCCCTCTTAACCATAAGTTAGTTGACGTTATTCTCGGGAAAATAGACTTGTGACTCATCGTCCTCCCACCAATGACTATATGGGATAATTGACTTGAGACTAATCTCGAGTAAGTCAGCCAAATTAAACTTCTTTTATAATCTTATCATCAATTACATTTGTGTTAAGAGTAAGCTAGGTGTTTCGGTGGTAAGTATGTATTTGAAAATACAAGTATTTCAAAGCGTAATCCTATATTTCGTACTTCAAGATATTACGTTTTGGGTTGTCGGACTATAATGAATCCTTGAAATCATTGATTTTACTCAAAGATGGTATGAATACGCGATACCACGTATTTAAAGTTTTAACATCACATAGGGACTGATAGAGCCACACAAATGTTCCCGTTGTTTAGGGATTTAAAAATGAGCGGGCACATGAAAGAGGGGCCTGCAGAGTTAAAGCAGGCAATGATAGTGTCCTTGTTTAATGTACTATGTTTTCTGTCCTCCATGCACGTTCAACCACCGAACAGAAACAAAAACAATCCTTTATTAGGACCATCATTCACGCACCCGGCAATGGACATCTAGAAAGATAGAACAGGGCAAAAAACAGAAAGAAAAGGTTTCTTTAAATCCTCTGCTTTTCACCTTTCTGAATTGTTTGATTGCAGTTTACTTAACAGAGTTGGTCACGTATTTGTACTTGACCGTTTCCTTTACTGACCTTATGGTGTTGATCAAATTGCCCTTGAACACAGATGGACATCAGAGGGAGTGCATACGGGCTACTGGCGGCGCACCCAATGGCGCCATTGATCTCCCTGCACCATCTCGGCGCAATGGACCCGCTGTTCCCCGGTCAGGACCACTTGGCCTCGTTGAGGACACTCTACCGGGCGTTTAAGGCAGACCCTGCTAGGATACTGCAGCCATCCTACGGCTACGACCACCACCTCAACTGGTCGGTCTCCATCTCGTGGGGCTACACCGTGCAGCTCTACCCGAACCTGGTGGCTGTCCACGACCTGCAGGTACCGCTGCAGACGTTCAAGACGTGGAGGACTTTCAGCGAGGGTCCGTTCACATTCAACACGAGGCCCACGGGGCCCGACCCGTGCTCCATCCCAATCGTCTTCATGCTCGACAAAGTGCAGAGCATCGGGACGTGGGGGACATTGACGGTTTACAAGAGGATGGAGCCGGCGGTGAAATGTAGGAGACCCAACTTCATTCGAGCTATGTCGGTGCATAGAGTGGTCATCTCGTCCGTCGTAATGGAGCCAGATTACTGGTCTAAGGTAAGCTCTCTGTACATTTATACAGGATCGTTGCGGATATCGTATGGCATACAATTACGTGGTCAAGAATGAGTGTTTTGATTTGGTTTTGGGATTGCAGGCGCCAAGAAGGCAATGCAGTGATCTTGTGAATGGTGGTGGAAGAATGAGGGGTGAGACTCTGCAGATAAGGGTTAGAAGGTGTGGGGATAGGGAAATTGTTAGCACTGTAGAGTAGACTAGATGCGGCAAGCTGAGTTCTTTCGTGGGCAAATTGTTGTTTGGAAAGAACAGATGAAGCGACGAAAAGAGAGTAGGGTGAATATATAGTAGAAAAATTATTAATAAGACTAAGAGGTGCTAAAATGTGTAGAATTATAGCAAACCAATTGTGCTCCAGATTCATGGAACGTGGAAACAGTAGCAGTATAACTATTCACCCAGTTTCCTCCCCTGAAATTGTTACTAGACAGACAGCTGCTCAATGACTGATGGCTGATATTGGAAAGGTGGAAAGTGGAAATGCAAACTTTTTCTTGCATCTTTAAAACTGTTTTTTTTTTTGCTGCATCATTAGTTTACTTCATGCCCACCAAATATGGCGTTGTGTTGCTTTACCTAAAGTGATGGCACTAAGTCGAAAGTATTCACCAACTAAGTGGAGCATTAGAATTAGAACAATGGATTTAATACGCAGATGTGTCGGTGCAAAGGTGATTGCCATTTCTTCAGCACATGTTCTGGCATATGACGTCAAGCATCCCAATATGGTCACAAATCACAATCAGCATATATTCGTCCCAGTTCGAAATAGTGCAGTACAAAAAGGAACGGCACAGTTTTAGTTGGTGATCCTGTGATTGAGTTGGAAGGGATGAAGATGCAGGGAGAAATTTGGTTGTAAAATTGAATTAAGGTATTTGTACGTGAACTTGTGAACTAGTTACACAAAGTTGATGGCCAAACCTCAGCTTAAAAGGGGGAAATTTGCAGCTCTTTATATGGTGCCGATGGATGGCTGATGCCTTCTTTCCAACGTGATTCGACTAGGGAAGAGTACTAGTTGCAAAACAATGTCTCTCGTGTCGCATTCCCAGTTGTTGGATTCACCCTGGAAGAAAGGGACTTAAAACTCATTGCAGATACAAAGTACAGAACAAAGCTAGTGCAGAAGCATCACGAATTGATTTCATCTTTACCCATCTGCAACTTTGCAAAGGTATTCCCGTTGATCTTCCCGTAGAGGTACATCAGTGAAATCTGATAAGCGAAGGCCATCGTCATTCGTCGACTCAAATAGACACTACAGATCTGATGACATGATGTAACCTAACCAGTGTGCTGGCATACCTGCTCCTGTTATATTCGAGCCTCTGAAAGAAGTGTTGCCTGTAGCTAGTGCGCCTTCCAGGTTAGCATTGCTCAAATTCGCCTGTTAACCCATGGCCCAAGTTACACGATTCTCACAAAGACAAAGCTTGAATGACAAGTTGTATGAAGTGGAAGATTTACCTTTGTGACATTGGCCAGTGAGAAATCTGCAGATCTAAGGTCTGCATCTGAAAGATCAGCCCCTGTGCTTTCCCACCCAAGAACAGTTGAATTGAATCAAGCCATGATGAAGGTTTCTACAACGACCCAACAACAAACCAGCAGTCGGAGACATCTCTCCGGGAGCAAACTTTTACCTGTCAAGTCAGCATCGAAGAAACTAGCACCGAGCAACTTTGCACCTTTGAAATTTGCTTGCCTTAGAATCGACTAGACCAACGTAAATAAACAAAAGCCCATCAATCAAATAGCAGTTCCAAATTCTCATCTCAATGGGGGAAAACATTTCAGAACAAGACAGCAGCAACGAAATTGTACAGTTTTGAAGTCCTGCTTGATCAAAGTCTTGCCGCTGAAATCCATGCCCGTTAGATCCTGCCCTCTCGTCACTCCAGCGCCGTAAGGCCCTCCTCCCTGCATAAACACCCGCATTACCAAGTTACAAACTAATTCACCCTTCTCAAACTCCCAAATCACAGTAGTTAACCAGGTTTACTTCACCTTGTAAGCGAGAGCTGGGTCAGATAGGAAGACAGAAGCAGATAGCACCGCAAGCAAACCTGTTTTAGCCAAGTCTCGTACAACCTGATGGAACAAACAAATCGGGAAACAGGGGAAACCCCAATTGGAATTCGGATAGGAAAAAACAGAGGAGGCAGAGTGGTTCCCGGAGGGAAGTAGAAAGGAATAATCGAGACCTGGGATCGGGAGGTAGAGAGAGAAACTGACGCTGGAGGAAGTTTCGGGAGGAGGGGAAGAGCTGGTTTCGTTGGGATTTTCGCCGAACAGAGAGAGTTGTTCAGGAGAAGAACACCCATTTTTCTTCTTTGCTCCCCCGATTTCCTAACCTCCGGAAGAGCTTGAGCAGACAGCAGAAGCAGAACAGAGAGTCTCTCGCTCTTCTCTAGAGAGGGAATTTCCAAATGGATAATGATTTGTCCTTTCGCGACTTAGGTCGTGCCACGTGGGTATTGTTGGGGAAAACTTTGCTGCCTTGGGCTCGTGAATGAAGGAAGAAGGGAATATCCAATAACGGCCCGTGGTAGAAAAAGCAAATGAATAGCCCACTGGTTTTGTTGTCTTTTGGGCTTGAATGGGCTTGGTTATGTTTATCAAAACCCTGTCCAGTCACTTATTGCTGGCGATTTTTCCTTTTTGCCGGAGCTCATTCCTCTACCAAAGACCTTTGACCGTTGTACACAAAAAGAAACAAATACCTTCGGTGTAAGTATGGATGGCCAAATAGTGTTTGGTTTAGTTCTTCAGTGGATCAATATGACAAAATGGGTAAATGACATAATATAGATTGTAATCCAGAATTGCAATTACCTAAACATAATAAAATATCGAATCAATAATCATGAATAGTACAACACGTCTGATACCCAAATTAAAAACAAGGGTTTAATTTAATGGAAATACCACTACTCCTAAACCTGGAGATCATAGATTCAAATTTCTTTACTATGACGCCTAACTATAAAAAAACAACATATATCATCCTTATTAAGAAAATAATAAGTACCTCCTTGTAGGGTGATGAGAGAGTTATGTTCGATGTCATACAACGTGTGCAAAAAGACTGACAACGATCATGCCCTGTGTAAGGTGGGCATGATGACTGATCCAAAGATGTAACAACAAGTCTTCCACAAAACTAAAATTATTCTGGTGTTAAGGTCAATGGAGACGAAAGGAAATTGAATAAGTGTGGTCACTAATTTAAAGAACTATAATGGATCAACATACTGAAAGTAATTTTTTTTTTATGACGACTGAGTAAGAAATTGAATTATTAACATTTGTGTTTGAGATATGACTACTTAGTTAGTAGGCCACGTGGACTTTCCCAAATTGAAAGGAACATTAAATCACAATATGGAACTATAAACGGATAAACCAATAGCTTAGTGTATCTGAATTAACCAAAATTCTAAGAGGTAGTTTGATATTTGCGATAGTTAGAATTGATGTATTGTATGAATACTTGCATTGTAAATTGATGTATTGTCTAAATGCATGTATTATAAGATTACATTGTTTGATAGTTGGGATTGTAATTTTGTGAATAAAATGGAAAAGTTTTTTTAAGTAAAATGTATGCATTGTTTTTCATTTTGACAAAAAACAATGCATTCATTAAATGCATCGTTTAGATAGATACGTATCTATTAAACTACCCTAAATACAATACAAACAATACCATTGACTGTCTATATAATCGAGTCAGACTTGTTGTGGGTAAATTCACAAATTTGGATATGTCCTTAGTCTAGCACCGCACGCTCATACTTCCAGAAAAGAACATACAGAAGAAACCTTGGAGATTGGTGATGAGATTTCGGGGGTAAGGTATGGGCACAAGTAAGGTAGTCAGTGGTCAAAGACAATTTAAAAAGCAGGGCGTGACGGGTGCCTGCTGTCTGTGTTGGTTGGTTTTTGGTGGTAGAGAGGTGTTTAGTTGGCGAGCGACGCAGAGAAAGAAGAGAACGGACTGTAGAATAGCGGCCCTCTCTCATCTCTCTCTCTCTGCTCTGCTCTGCCTGCCCCTTCAATCTGCTCCTGGCTCACCCCTCAAGAGCTTGAAACTTGAACATAAAGCTAGCCACCCAAAGACAGAGAGAAAGAGAAGGGAAAAACTTTGAACAGACACAACCTCCTTCGGTCCTTCCTCCCTCACTCTTTGGCCTTTGCCCAGTTGCCGCACTCATCCTCATCATCACCACCACCGTCAATTAACCACTTTTCCCCTGCGAGTCCCTCTCTCCCTTTTCTCCTTCTTCTACCTCTTCTCTACTACTGCTCCTTCCTATCTCGCTGTCGCTACCGGAAAGGAAAAAGCGAAAACCATTCTTGTCCCATGATGACACCCAAAGTACATCTCTCATCTTCTCATTCTTAAAATAAATCTGCACTCTCTCTCTTCTGAGCTTTGCTTTTCCAGCAGCCGTACTAATTGACCCCGCCGCGACCCAGGCTAGCGCTTCCTTTCTTTACTTCAACGCTTCCCCTCTCTCTCTCTCTCTCCTGTATATATATCAGAAGGAAGTTGCAGCTTTGGTTTTGGTTTTGGTTGGTGTGGGTTTTTTTAGGTCAGATCTCTGAACAAGTACTACTGGGTTGGTGGTTTTTTTTGTTAGGAACAAGTACTCTTTCCCTGCCCCTCCTTTGGATCTGACTGCATAAAGAGGAAAAGAACAAAACAACAACAGTACAGATCCATTGATGGGCTCTAGCTAGCTTACTAGGGTTTCTTAGTTAGGGCATTGTTGTACAGGATCATATCTGCAAAGTATAAGAAGATCGATCAGGAGGATCGGAGAAGCTAATTAAGCTCAAGGAGGTCAGTGGGCTCGTAGTAAGTTCACTCCTCTGTTTGGTCATTTTAGCTGCAGGCGGTAAATTCTTTTCTGGGAGATAAGGTTTTCATTGGATTGGTCCATGTGCATATCTATCTATCTATCTATCTACCTATCTGCATCCTCGTTTGTATCCATCTCCAATTCCAAATGTGCTTTCAATTCAAACTTCGCCACTCCCCTCCTCCCAGCTAATTTACAAACCCTCCAAATACCAAACCCCTTTCCTGTCTTTTGCAACCTAGCTTAACTTCATTATCATAACCCAGCCACAGACCTCTACCTGGAAAAAGAAACCCACCCAGCTAGCTTATATATATAGCTATAGATTTCAGTATTTAGTACTCTACATCTATCCAGTATTCGAAAAGGAAGAAAACCGATTAGTCAAGGTACATGGCTGATCATCACAACCGTTGGTGGGCTGGGAATGTGGTGGCAGCAGCTCCACAAGAATCCGCTATGGGACTCATGGACCGCCTCGGATCCGCCGCTCCAACCCGCCGACCCGACCCGCAGCAACAACTCCAACTCCACGGGCTAGTAGAAGAACCCGATGTCAGCAGCAGCAGGGAAAACCCAGATTCCGGAGGCGGGAACGGCGGAGGAGGCGAAGGAAGCGGAGGCGGAAGCGGCGGCGGCGGAGGAGGACGAGCAGGGGGAGGGACGACGTCGATTCGGAGACCGAGAGGGCGGCCGGCGGGGTCGAAGAACAAGCCGAAGCCTCCTGTGGTGATAACCAAGGAAAGCCCCAACTCCCTCCGCAGCCACATCCTCGAAGTCGGCTCCGGCAGCGACATCGCCGAGAGCGTGGCCGGGTTCGCGCAGCGGCGGCACCGCGGGGTGTCGATCCTGAGCGGGAACGGCGTCGTAACGAATGTCACTCTGGGCCAGCCGGCGGCTGCCGGCGGGGTCATCGCCCTCCACGGGAGCTTCGAGATCTTGTCGCTGTCGGGCTCGTTCCTGCCTGCGCCGTCGCCGCCTGGGGCGGCGGGGCTGACCGTTTACCTTGCGGGCGGGCAGGGGCAGGTCGTGGGAGGGAGGGTCGTGGGCCCGCTGGTTGCTGCCGGCCCAGTTATGGTCATTGCGGCGACGTTTAGTAACGCGACCTACGAGCGGCTGCCGCTGGATGATCAGGAGGTGGGCCATGGGCCTGGCCCATCAGGCCCGGATGGGCTGCAAGCGCATCATCAGCAACAGGGGGATCAGAATGTAAACAACAATAATAACGGGAGTGGAGGGGAAGGGAATGAGAATTCAGGGGGTGGGTCTGGTTCGCCGGAAGGGATGAGTAGTGCTACTGATCATCATCACCATCAACAGCAGCAGCAACATGGGTCGATTGGGTTCCCGCCTCCGCCAATTTACAATTTGCCACCCAATTTGCTACAGAATGGCCAAATGCCGCATGAAGTCTTCTGGGGTGCTCCGCGGCAGCCGCCGCCTGCCAACTTCTGATAATCGTCATCAGCTAAGCTCCATCGATCTCCCTTCTTTAATGGTTAACTTGGTAGTTTTGGGGGTATATTCTGTGGGCAGGTTTGCGGGGTCGTTTTTTTTTTCTCTGTAAAAGTTAGCTTGACTGAGAAGGAAGGAAAAACAAGTGGGATAAGTAGGACTTGGATCATGTTTTGTATTTTGCTCCCTGAATTTTCCCTGTTGTTCAAAGTTAGTCGGCTAATAATTAACATACAACTCCCTTAATCGGTCCAAATCAACATCTTCCCTTTGAGTCATTTCGTTCTTTCGTATTGCTTGGTAATCGGCATGTGTCGAATTTTGCTGCATGCTGATAAGGGTTCGCGTCAGCTCGAGCTCATGAGATTGCAAGCTATGTGACGGTTCCAATAATAGTATCAGTCCGCTCTGACGTTTATCCAATGGTTATGCTAGCAAAAAATGCCGTATTGAAATTCTGGTTTCAGTGCTTAGTTAAAAGAATGTGTTACTGATAGGGCTGCAAATGAACCGAGTCGAGTTTTACCCTACCTTGAGCTCGGTTTGTTAGTAAACGGCTCGAGCTCAGCTCATTTATTAACGAGCCGAGTCGAGCTCGAGCTAGCTTGTTTACTAAAATCTTGCGTTTTATTTGGTACTTCATTTTGTATATCATGATACATATGATTTATTTTGTTAACTAATCTCATATTATACTTTGTTGGTATTATATATCATTTAGTTAATAATTTTAACTACTCCAAATCATGTTATTTCATAGTACGAAGCAATCTATGATACATAATTTCTTATTAAAGTAGAAAATAAGATATATTTGTTCGCATACTCAACGTGTTAAACTTTATATATGATGAGATATATAATTTAACAACCATATGAATTAAAATCATAAGATATAGATTGATTTGTCCATAATTCGATAATCGAGTTGGCTCTCTAGCCACATGTTGAGACATATCATGAGCTCTAAACGAGCCAGCTCACGAGTTTAGCTCAACAAGCCACCGAGTTGAGCTAGCTTGCGAGCTTCACGAGCTGAACAAAGTTTAGATCATGTTCAGCTCGTTTATTAACGAGCCGAGTTTCGAGCGAGCTTTTCTCGAGTCGAACGCCGAGCCGCTCGCGAGCAACTCAGCTCATTTTCAGTCCTAAATGTGTATATAGATGACATGTTTGACATTGATTGAAGAAGAAAGAATGATGCAAACAATGTCAGTATCAGTATTATCATGAGCTGACAATGAGGCTCAAATTGGGTTAGATTCATCTGCACCTTGATCAATTGGGATTTTGCTTTGCCTGGAAATGGGTGTTTTTCTTTGTTTTGTCATGGGATGGGTTGGGGCTCCCACTAAGCCAACTTGCATGCCGGAATATTTCTCACGATGTCTAGCTTGGATTGGCCAAAGTTTTGATTCGTCACACGAACGAAGTGGGGACAGAAAGGGCCAATTCAACATTTCCCCCTTCTTTATTCCAATCTAGAGTTGCTTCTCTTGAGTTTGGGTACGTTGATTCGCCTCGCTGTTCTTTTGCTTCATTGTTCTCGATGCAGATGTGATTTAAGGTGTGTTCACAGTAACGTTCACATCTGATATTTCCTTTTTAACTGCTAGCAAATTGTTGTCTTTCAAACTGAACGGCTAATAACTGGCTGGCTAGCTAAGCTTCGAACGGGCAGTCTGAGGTCTGAAATGAAACGCAACGAAGGAACAAGAGAGATCATCAGCCCAGCCCAGCCCAGCCCTTCCTCCTGTTTGGTCAAAGGCGGTTTTGATGAAACCGATCAAGGTTTTGCCATCCTGACAGCTCAATCTTCTTCAACTCTTATCTTCAATTTGCTTCTGCCACGTTTTTTTTTTTGGGTTGATGGTCAAAATGGGGGTTGATGAAATCGTCAGTTAGTTGGCTGAGTTTTCAATTGAAAGGATAGAAATTTTGTGGAAGCATACTATGGAACACTTGTAGTAGTTGACGCCATGGCACTTCTATCTTAGCCAAAGTGAAGAGCTAGCTAGCGATCAGATATGTGAGCTCATTGGGGATTCTTACGTATGATGGAAGTTAGTGGGGGAGATAAGTACGGTCGTATTTTGTTATTTGACTTTCAACTGATTGAGTGATTGTTCTGTGTGTGAATCTTCTAATATATATAATTACCTTGTACAAATTGCTCAACCAGAAAATATAAGCGTACTGGAGTTGATTTTTGGGTCTAATTAGGTCATGATAAGTAAAAGTAAATAAAAGTTGATGAGGTTAAATCACTAATCATGAATATTATTATCGAGTAGACTTTTACTGTAAAGTTACACCTTCGTGTATAAGATTATTTGGATGAACTACTTGTGACAAATCTACTTTGAGATCCCAGTTACATAGAGAAGATGTGAAATCCTGAAGGACCTAGTAAAAATGTGAAGGGACATGTTAATCTAATCGGAGAGTAAACATTATAAAAAAAATTCTTATAAAAACTACAAATGCACAACCATTATAAACATGATTATAAAAAACAAAGTGTAATGTCTATTTTTTTATCCAAACCTTTTCAGATTATTTTATATTATCCAAACCTATTGAAATACTAAGAATTAGCCAAATGTTAACTTCCAGTTAGAAATTTTGTTGGTGATATTGACTTAGCAACATGATACTGACTTGGAAGAGACTCATGAAGGTCAACATTCCAATATTTTAGTAATTTAACTAAAAAAAGAGTTACAAAATTATTAACAAGAACGTAAAAATAACTAATATTTTGATTCATTATGAAAGATTTAGATAACTAATAGAATTTTAATAGATTTGAATAATATAAAAGAATCTAATTTTTTTTTGAATAAAATATAGACATTAACATATTTTTTTTATAGAAATTTTCTCTCCACGGTGTTGTTAACGGGCATTTGTCAGTCTAGTTAGAGTGTATATGTGCAAAACTAATATGATCTTGGTTTTGAGTGAAATCATATCTAGGTGTTTATATTAAATAACTTTTAATTCCACTGCATAATCAAATATGTTTCCTTGGTGAAATTTGATAGTTGGAAACCAAATTCGACCATTAGGTTGATCCCCACTTCTAAATGCATAAATCGTGCATAAACAAACAAATAAATAAATAAATAAATAAATATATATATATATATATAGGTCAGACTCGTATGCTCCAGACGCATAGCATGCTCCAGGGCCTTAGTACCGTTGATCTAATCTAACGGTGTTTATTAATTCTAATTAAATTGTTTATTATTTACAGTTTTAAAATAATTAATCGGTACCAATACATTTTTATATGTGCTCTTTAGTCCCTATACAGTTTTTTTTAATATACTTGTATAATATCGTACCTAATTTTGTTTTAATCATAAATTGAACACCCAATTTTTCTGATTGTATCTTAATCAAGTTACGTTTAATTTCTACCTCGATAAATCTATTTCCAAGAGCAATTTTGTCGTTTCAACACCAAATTTCCCTTTCCCATTTTCCCTTTATTGTGAGTGATGAACTTGTCATCTCATCCATAACTGTCGAATCAGTTCTCCTCCCAAGCCATCTCCAATCGCCGATCACTAAAATTTTTGTGCTTCCCATCGATATATACGAATTAACGTTTCTTCTTCTTCTTGGTCAGCCGTCGCCGTCGAGAGCCAACAACACCCTCCGTTCCATCCCCTGTCCTCCGCTCCTCCACCTCCCTTATTCTCTTCATCGATTTGACTCCTCCATCTCCACGATATCTCTAACTCCCCCGTTTCGCTTCCTTCATCGTCGGCGAAAGCTTTCCCGACAATTATGGTGACTGGCGTACCAAGCACGATCTGCTTCTATTCCATCGCCACCACTTTCCAAACCTAATCCCCAATGCCTATTCCAAATAACCTAATCCCACAACCATCGGAGGCAGATCCGTTGTCCTTCCCTTCTTCCTCCCTCCCTCCCTCCATCTTGCGCAGAGGATCTCCTCACCATCATTGTCCGAGTCGGCATCGTCTGGGTGGAGGACTCTTCCCAAACCCAAACCTAATCGAAGAGTCAGGACATGCAGCAACAGATCAAGGCATTCGATTGAAGGCGCCGTCTTTCTGGGTTTCTCGTTCTGAGTTCATCGTTCTTTGTTCGTTGTTCTTGGTTCGTCAATCTGTTTTTTTAATTTCTGGTTTTAATTGATTGAGGTCGACATTGTTGGATTTTGACCTATCTAAAATCGAATTGAACCCAATTGTGAATTTACTTACGAAATCCCCTAGGACGAGTGGAGTTGTGGTCAACACGCCGCCAAACTCGAATCCCTACTTCAAGTTCCCAGAATCAAGAAGAACGAGAATTGGCAAACCACCGCATCGGAAGCGACCATCGCCGCCCAAACCACAACTGGGCACAAGAGAAGTAAAGTCAGAGTGACTCAAGATAACTAATCGGGATGTTTAATGATGATTGACGAATGAGAATCAGAGGATTTCAAGGTTCCTGGAGCAAGAAATAACAAAATCTCTAGGACACTCCAACTCTCCTAGTCCTAGAGGTAGCCGAATGGTGGATCTCGGATATGGCGTTCTTTTTTATAGACGTTCCAAAGGGAAGTATATTTTCTGGGTTTTGACTTTGAGGGTGACAGTGAATTTGGAGGAAGGTGGTGTCGTACAATGAACATGATATATCAAATAGCTACCCTTTGATATTGAGCAAGTAATATAATGAATAAACTTTGATGGATAATTTTTTTTATCAACTAAATAATTTGGGTGTCGAAAAGTATGGCTAAAAAAAGGTACTATAATGCAAAACACGATGGCAAAAATTGTTGGGGTACCAAAGTGCGCTTAGAAATATTTAATGGATGGAATTAGTAATTATAATTATAAATAATAAATAATTTAATCATGATTAAAAATGACTGTTGGATTAGATCAACGGTGCAAAGGTCTAGAGCATCGTATGTGTCAGGAGCATACGAGTCGTATCCGTATATATATATATATATATATATAAACAAATTGTAGATAAAACAACTACAAGAACGCAACCAACAACACGTGTCCGTCTAGATTACGATGATAGAAAGGGCCTCCCCTCCGGAGAGCGGATACCATGACTAACTGTCTGTTTGGATACAATTCCATAAGAAATAGAAATGGATTTCCATTCCCAATTCTAACATTTATGGAATTCCATTTCCTTATTTGTGTTTGGCATAATTCCAGCAATTATGTAAATGAATTGTACTCTTAACAAGCATTAATGATTTAGTATATTTTTTTTTTCTTGAGAAATGAAATACTAATGAGAGAGGAATGAGATAGTGGAATTATAAAATAATAATAAATATGAATGAGTTTCATGAATTCCATCTCCACAAACCCAATTCCTATCACTTTTGATAGGAATTCTATATTCCAATATTTGGGTCAAATGAAATTTATTTCCCAACCTTCTTACCATTTCAAACATGGAATAATGAAATGGAATTGGAAATTGAATTCCAATTCCTGATTTTTTTGTCCATCCAAACAGGCTGTAAGGGGTCTTTAGTCACTTGACTAAGCCCTTTCTAGCCTTTAGAACTGAACACACCAATATAACGGTTAAAAAGTGGGAAGAGATTTTTAATTAGTGACAGGGGTAGTTTGGATATTATGAAAAATTACGAAATATACAAATCAGACTCACAAACAGTACAAACCATACAAACAATACAAACTAGAGCGACAAAACAAACAAACCGATTTACAAACAATACAAAACATACGAACTATACAACCAATACAAACTAGATCCACAAACAATACAAAACATACAAAATAGAAAAACATACAAACAATACAAACAAGAATAATAAACTATACAAATCGTATTGATACAAAATTACAAACCAGACTTACAAACATTAAACCACTTGGGACTTGGGGGGAGGGGGAATGCACGTCTCACCGATGACAGGTCCGTCGGGAGAATTTCCCAGAAACGGAACGACGACAGGTGGGCGGAGGACAGTTTCATTATTTTTTTTTATTTTAATTGCTAATTAAATAAACTATGTAATTATCATATTACCCTTCATTTAGTTAGATTAATTTGAACCATCAGATTTTAATGAGACTCAATGGTTGAAATTGACTTAGTCATCGTGATTTTTTTTATAATCAGACTTAGTCATGTGATTAAAGTACCCTCTAGTCACCAGATCTAAGCCTCTCTATTCCCCTTTCCCTTTCTAAGAGCTACTTTGTTCCTCTATGTGTGAGTTTAAAAAAACGCAAGAGCTGAAAGTTTCAATCTAATCCACATACTCATACCAAGTGTCTGTCAATTCGTCAACCAGCCTCTGTTCCTTTTTTTGTTAAGTAGTGGGGCAGAATTTGGCCCCAAAATTCCTTTTTTTGGTTCCCACCTTTCATCCCCAAAACCAAAAAATAAAAAAACTTGTATTTCCACTCTCCTATTGTGGCTAATTTTAGAATTTACTAAATATTTTTTAGCAAAATTATTTTTTTATAGTTAATATCAATTGTCACAAAATAAATACTTAATATTAAAAATTATCATACTTTTAAAAAAAATTAGGGATATTGTTTGTGTCTAGTAGATACTAGGCGGTTTGTGGAGCTGGGGCGAGGCGCCTGTTCTCGGATGTAGGGGAGTACTCCTGATACTCTGCAAAACAACGGTCCGGCGCGGTTCGCCCGGGACACTCTCCGAAGCTTAAGTTAGAGAGAGAAGGGGAGAGGTAAGAATTTATGTAGAGAGATGAATAGTAGTTGGCCTTACCATTAATGCACTCACCCTCTATTTATACCTGGTTTGAGGGTGGTTGGAGCATTAAATGCTATGTCGGGCGCCCCGGAACTGGTCGGGCGTCCCGTGCAGGCTTTCAGCCTTTCTGCAGGCCGCCTGTGGCCGGCAATAAATGCTCAGTCTTGCTGTGCTGCTCAGTTGCTTTATGTCAGGCGCCCTTATCTATTCCTCGGGTTCGCAGTCGATCATGGACCGCCCGCTGACCCGGTCTTTCGATCGGGCCTGGCCTCCTTATTGGGCCTTAACCGCTGACTCGCCTCTCTTGGGCCCGAGGCCCAAGTACGCTTAACTATGCGGCCCAACGGATATAAAATAAAAGTATAACACCATGTTGGCATCTTATCTCTAGTTGAAATATCTCCCTGTGTGATCTATTTGCTTCAAATGAAATCGAGAAATCAACAATGGAAGAAAGTAAAGTACACATATATTTTTTGGTTCAATAAGACGATCCCTGTTAACTAATCGACGATCATATGAGACAAATTTCACTATATTTGATGAGACACAACTAATCTCCCGTGACTTCTAGTCTACGAGAGATAATCTAACTTCAAATCATAATAACACTTCAAATAATAATGTTGAATCTGCTTTTTTAAGAGAACTTTTATTCCATATCATAGTTAGGGGAAACAAAGCCATGGCCAATGTTCCCGATTTAGCCTCAAAGCAATTGTCAAAGTTTGATAGTCTGAGTAGACAATTATTGGGCAATTCTCTTGAGCTGCTATAGTAACAAAGTGAAGAATGGCACAGGCTTCCACCTGAATGGGATAGGAACAAGAAGAGAGACCCAACCTTGTCATCGTACACCTCACATGGAAATTATAAATAGTAATCACATAAGCCGCCAATTGTAAATTATAATTAAATGAACCATCATAGTGCACAATTTTCTGGAAAGGGCCAGGTGGTGGTGAATGGTGTGGATGGGAACCCCTTGGTTGAGAAGACAAAGATGATGAAGTATGCGAGATTGAAATACAGATGAATCCATTGCTTCCTCGATGCTTTGAGAGTCACGTTAAGGCAATCTTACCGCGTTTGTCGAGGGAAGGAACCTTGTTCTCAAATACACATATGTTATGTTCAATCAAAATGTACCATAAGCAGCAATCCTAATACGATCTTCCAACATATGCTCTTTAAGGTCCACCATCCACTCGTAAAATGAAGTCTCGACATGAGGAAGGGTAGAGAGCAAACTCGAAGGTAAACAAGTATATGATGCATGATGGAAATGGAAAAGGCAGTGCATGATTGACTCATCAAAACTCTCACAAATCGTACATATTGATTCGGGGCACACTTGCAAGAAAACATTCGAGCTCGAGTCGCAATCTCACTTTTTCCACATTTCCAAATAAATAAACAAAGGTTAGAAGGAAGTGAAATTGACCATAACCACTTCCAGTCAACACTTTCAACTTGAGAATGAATAGACTGGTCGCGAGCCACTCGAAGTGACTGATTCCCTGATTTTACACTATGAGCTCCTCTTTTTTTAATATCAATTTCATTCATTCCAATCTAATAATTCGGGAGGAGGCTTACAACAAAGGAGATATAATGTCAAGAAGCGTTATCAAATCAGGTGGTAACGAGTTACACCGTGCATATTTAGCGACACAATCAACCTTCTTATTGTGATTACGGTTAGTGAACTTGACGTGGATCCAATTCAATTGGGACAAAATGCAAACTGTAGATGAAAGCAAAGCATGGCACCGCCATGAACAAGATGATGGAGTATTACTCAAAGCTTCAACCAAAGGTTTGCAATCAGAGAGGATCTCAAACGGGGTATGATCTAAAGACTCCCTATAGCATTTCCCGCAATGCACAAGCCTCAACCTCGACCGAGGATGAACAAATGACTTTACATGCACAACCATCATCAGTGTGTAAAATTTCATAACCATTTATCTTGGGCATCCTGGACCAATTGCAACTCGACACTAACATGAACAACTTCCTCATTCCAACCTCTATTCTCGGGGAAGATCGAATCACTGACTCTGAAGGAGGCTTATTCCAACAAGGAAATTAAGGGAGAAAGATGGTGGGGAGGGCAACCAAGGATCGTTGTGAAAGTTTGTCCTCACTCCATGCATGGCACCTTTAAGCAAACTGAATGACAACTTATCTTTGGTGGCGCCGCGACAAATCCAATCACTTTGTGAGCAAGTTTGACAATGTCGCGGTCACAAATTCAGAGAGCGTTGCGAGTTCGACAATGTCACGAAGCTCAACGATACCGTGAGTTGAATGAGGTTGAAAAGTTCAACGAATCTGCAAGGTCAATGACATTGACGCCACGAATCTAAACATTGTCGCGGGACATATATTGCAAGTTAAACAAGGCTGTTGACTTCAATAGTGTTGCGATACCAAAAAGCGATATTGTTTAGTCAAAACAACATTGTGTGGTTGACGAGGATGCGAGCTCAACAATGTTGCGAGATCAACAATGCTGCGAATTACGACTTTGTGTGGTCAACGACGCCGAGAGATCAACAATCTAGCGTCGAGTATGCGGTGGTGAGGGGTAAAACAACAATGTTGTTTTAATCGATGGCGTTGTTGTGATTCGAACTGTGGTACAAAGTTTATGTGTGTGCACATGACTTTTACGCAAGGAAGATTGGAGAACGGATGTGAAGCAGTTGAAGACTACAACTTCGTGTAGAAAGGATGGAGCATGTGGGAGACAAAGGTGAGGCGGGTTCACACCGTGAAGACTACGAAAGTGATTTTGATAAAAGCACAGGAGCAAGGAGAGAGAAAAGTAGGACAATCAAAAATCAACATAGAAACACATCTGTCAAAATTTTCTTTTCTCTGTAACTCCCTTGCGGAGCTCCTTCTAGAAAGGATCTCCATAGTTGTAGTCGTAGAGTAGTTGCGAAGCTCTCCACAGGAATCTCCCTAGGAGTAGTGTTAACATAGATTCCCCAAAAACTCAAACACCCTTTTTCGAACATTGTTTGGAGTGGTGTGAACTGTAATAACGATCGTGTTGGTTAGAATTCATTGGTGTATCAATTCAATCAAATCAACACCGTCGTTTGGCATGGCGACGATGATATTTGATTTCACGTGGAACACAACTCCTTGTTCGCATTAACCCCAACCTAGCCAGCAGCTAGAGACTACTACTTCATAAAGGTGGCCCAAGTTTGCCTAGACTCAAGCATCTAAGATCACAAATATCCAATTTCCCTTCAACTTTTGGAAAATTGATATGGGTCTAAGCAATCGTAGCTTTTAACCTTCTACCCTCGACCACATTCCATAAAAAATACTACACATTTTCTCAATAAATAACATATATAATTGGGTGTATCATAAATACTAACATCCAAAATGCGTGTCTAATGTGGATACCAATCATTCAATAATATAAATAAATCATCAGCAAAGTGGAGTTAGCCATGTGTTCTTACATATTATCTTTGACATACTACAAGTGAGTGTAAAAGAAGTATGAGTCTAACCAAACATTCAAATCTGTAATCTATAGGTTAAAAAAATACAATATTGATAAATCAAATCTTCATTTTCTACTTTCTTATATACTAAATCATAAAGAAGATGTGATAAATCTCTAAAATTATCTAATGAAATAAGAGAACCTCCATTGCTATTTGCTACCAACAAACATAAATTAAATTTCATTATATGCATTGATTAATTTACACTATATCTTTTTTTTATGAAACTATATCCATTTATTTGATCATCTTTCCAGCTTTGAATTTTGGAACTAAGAAAATAAAGAGTGAACAAAATAGAGATATTTTTCTGTTCCAAAACAAAATTTTATGAATGGAGGAGAATCAGCAGATAAAAAGGAATTGGAAAATAGGAAAACAAAAAACGCGAGGAAAAGAAAAGAGAGAGGTTAGGGTTTTCCTAAAACCCTTTGGTCAGTTGGTGACTGAAGACTGAAGACGCCAATAGCCTGAAAGTGGCGCGTCTCTGCTGCATGTGAAACCACACTAAAACCCATCGCTTTACTTTCTCATCTCATCAACAACAGAATTTACTTCCCTTTCAGAGATGGCTGGCACGAGAGAGCTAGCCGCAACGGCTACTGAGTTCTTGGGAGTAAGTTTTTCGCATCCAGTTTTTTCCAGTCTTTAAATCCCAATTAACTCTCGTTTCTGCTTTCGGGGTGATTCCATTCAGTAAAGTGACGAACTTTCCACGATTTTAATATTCATCTTGTTGTTTTGGCCGTGGATTTTGCCCACAGGGGATACAAGGGCAAACTCTGTTCTTACACAGAGATTCATCCCTCAACAGGCGAAACCAATTGATATTGGGAACCCTCCGCGCCGGGCACAAGTCTAATGTGGGAATATCTGGTAGAAAAGCGATTTCACTGAGATGCTCTTCGAATTCGAAAAAGACAAGAGCTTTGGTTTCCGCGGGAGTGAGCAGTTCCGTTGATGAACATCCCAGGTTGGTTGACGAACCAGCACCAGAGATTATCCATTTTTATCGGGTACCCTTTATTCAAGAGAGTGCCACTCTTGAATTGCTCAAGTCAGTTCAAACAAAAGTGTCGAATGAGATTGTGGGGTTACAGACCGAGCAGTGTTTTAATGTTGGGCTCACTTCCCAGCTTTCCAGCGACAAGCTTGGTGTTCTTAGGTGGCTTCTTCAGGAAACGTATGAGCCCGAGAATTTGGATACCCAGAGCTTCCTCGAGAAGAAGAAGAGAGAAGGATTGAGTACTGTTATAGTCGAGGTTGGTCCCAGGTTGTCTTTCACCACTGCTTGGTCTGCGAATGCTGTCTCAGTTTGCAAAGCTTGTGGACTAACTGAGATCACAAGAATGGAAAGGTCCAGGAGGTATTTGTTGTTCACTAAGGGTTCTTTACATGATCATCAAATCAATGAGTTTGCTTCCATGGTTCACGATCGAATGACCGAGTGTGTTTATGTTCAGAGGTTAACTTCTTTCACGACCAGTTTGGTTCCCGAGGAAGTTCGCTTTGTGCCTGTTATGGAGAGGGGTCGGAAGGCCCTGGAGGAGATCAATCAGGAGATGGGTTTAGCGTTTGATGAGCAAGATTTACAGTATTATACCAGGCTGTTCAGGGAAGACATCAAAAGGAACCCTTCGACTGTGGAGTTATTCGACATTGCACAGTCTAATAGTGAGCATAGCAGACATTGGTTTTTCACTGGAAAAATTTTAATTGATGGAGAACCTATGAACAGAACGCTTATGCAGATTGTGAAGAGTACTTTACAGGCAAATCCAAATAACTCAGTAATTGGCTTCAAGGACAACTCTAGTGCAATCAGAGGTTTCCCAGTGAAGCATTTACGGCCAATGAAGCCTGGTTTGCCTTGTCCGTTGGAAGCGGCTTCTCGGGATCTTGATGTTTTGTTTACAGCCGAGACACATAATTTTCCTTGTGCTGTGGCACCTTACCCTGGAGCTGAGACAGGTGCTGGGGGTCGAATCAGGGATACCCACGCAACAGGCCGGGGCTCATTCGTGGTTGCATCTACAGCTGGCTATTGTGTCGGAAATCTAAATATAGAGGGATCATATTCACCTTGGGAAGATCCTTCATTTGCATATCCATCAAACTTGGCATCACCCTTGCAGATTCTTATTGATGCTAGCAACGGTGCATCAGACTATGGAAACAAATTTGGGGAACCCTTGATTCAAGGTTACACTAGAACATTTGGAATGAGACTTCCAAGTGGGGAGAGGAGAGAATGGTTGAAGCCAATTATGTTCAGTGCCGGAATCGGGCAGATTGACCATATCCACATAACTAAAGGGGACCCTGATATTGGAATGTTAGTGGTAAAGATTGGAGGTCCTGCTTACCGTATCGGCATGGGAGGCGGAGCAGCATCCAGCATGGTTAGTGGACAGAATGATGCTGAGCTTGATTTCAATGCCGTACAACGTGGAGATGCTGAGATGGCACAAAAGCTATATCGTGTTGTGCGTGCCTGCATTGAAATGGGGGACAAGAATCCTATTATTAGCATCCACGATCAAGGGGCCGGTGGGAACTGCAATGTTGTGAAAGAAATTATTTATCCGAAGGGGGCTGAGATCGATATCCGGGCAATTGTGGTTGGTGATCACACCATGTCAGTTCTCGAGATATGGGGTGCCGAGTATCAGGAGCAAGATGCAATCTTAATAAAACCTGAAAGCCGGAGTCTCTTGCAGTCGATGTGTGATAGGGAAAGGCTGTCTATGGCTGTTATTGGGACAATAAGCGGTGAAGGACGTGTTACTCTAGTTGATAAATTAGCTATTGAGAAATCCCGTTCTAGTGGACTCCCTCTTCCTACTCCTGCTGTAGATCTTGAGCTTGATAAAGTTCTTGGCGATATGCCACAGAAGACTTTTGAATTCCACCGGGTTGCAAAAGCTCAAGAGCCCCTTAATATTGCTCCTGGGGTCACTGTATTAGATGCCTTGAAGAGGGTATTACGTCTTCCATCTGTGTGTTCAAAGCGGTTTTTGACAACAAAAGTTGATAGGTGTGTCACAGGGCTTGTAGCCCAGCAACAAACTGTCGGTCCATTGCAGATTACACTTGCTGATGTTGCTGTCATTGCTCAGAGTTATTCAGACCTCACTGGAGGTGCTTGCTCTATTGGGGAACAACCAATTAAAGGTTTGCTCAACCCAAAAGCTATGGCCAGATTGGCTGTCGGAGAAGCACTCACAAATCTGGTGTGGGCAAAGGTGACATCTCTTTCTGATGTTAAAGCAAGTGGGAATTGGATGTATGCTGCCAAACTTGATGGAGAAGGAGCTGACATGTATGATGCTGCAACGACACTTTCAGAAGCCATGATTGAACTTGGTATTGCAATTGATGGAGGCAAGGACAGTTTGTCAATGGCTGCGCATGCATCTGGTGAGGTTGTTAAGGCACCTGGTAATCTGGTTATTAGTACCTACGTCACTTGTCCCGACATAACAAAAACGGTAACTCCTGATCTGAAGTTAGGGAATGAAGGTGTTTTGCTTCATATTGACTTGGGCAAGGGAAATCGGCGATTAGGAGGTTCTGCCCTTGCTCAAGCTTTTGATCAAATTGGAGATGAATGTCCTGATCTAGATGATGTTTCCTACCTGAAAAAGGTTTTTGATGGCGTCCAAGATCTGATCACAGATGAAATAATCTCCTCTGGCCATGACATTAGTGACGGTGGCTTACTTGTCTGTGCATTAGAAATGGCATTTGCTGGGAATCGGGGGTTGATTTTGGACTTGCGGTCACAGGGTAAAGGTCTCTTCCAGACCCTATTTGCAGAAGAGCTTGGCCTGATTGTTGAGGTTAGCAGGCAAAATTTAGACAAGGTAATGGGAAAACTTAACAGTGGAGGTGTTACTTCTGAAATTATTGGTCAAGTAACTGCCTCTCCCATGGTGGAACTCATTGTTGATGGGCAAACTCAATTTAAAGAAGAAACTACTCTTCTCAGAGACATGTGGGAGGATGCCAGTTTTCAGCTTGAGAAGTTTCAAAGATTGGCTTCATGTGTGGAGTCAGAGAAGGAAGGTTTGAAATTTAGACACGAGCCGTTATGGAAATTGTCTTTCACACCATCCTTTACTGATGACAAATATCTCTCTGCAACTTCAAAACCCAAAGTGGCCATAATCCGGGAGGAAGGAAGCAATGGAGACAGGGAAATGTCTGCTGCACTCTATGCTGCTGGGTTTGAACCATGGGATATAGCTATGTCCGATCTTCTCAAAGGAGCCATATCTCTTGGCGAATTCCGGGGTATCGTGTTTGTGGGAGGTTTTAGCTATGCTGATGTGCTTGATTCTGCAAAAGGTTGGTCCGCCTCAATTCGGTTCAACCAGCCTCTACTGACCCAATTCCAGGAGTTCTACAGGCGACCAGATACTTTCAGTCTCGGTGTTTGTAATGGTTGCCAGCTCATGGCTCTTTTGGGGTGGGTCCCTGGTCCACAAGTTGGTGGTGTGCTTGGTGCTGGTGGTGACCCTTCACAGCCAAGATTTATTCACAATGAGTCTGGTCGGTTTGAGTGCCGGTTCACAAGTGTGACCATACAAGACTCTCCTGCTATAATGCTCCAAGGAATGGAAGGTAGTACACTGGGAGTGTGGGCAGCTCATGGCGAGGGGAGGGCATATTTCCCTGACGATGGTGTTCTCGATCGAGTTATTCATTCGAATTTAGCACCAGTGAGATATGCTGATGATGATGGCAATCCTACAGAAACTTACCCTTTTAATGTGAATGGTTCTCCATTAGGAGTAGCTTCAATTTGCTCACCTGATGGGCGGCATCTTGCGATGATGCCTCATCCCGAACGTTGCTTCTTAATGTGGCAATTCCCCTGGTACCCAACCAACTGGAATGTAGACAAGAAAGGCCCTAGCCCGTGGTTGAAGATGTTCCAGAATGCCAGGGAATGGTGCGCCTGAGGTAGGCTTAGATTTCTTTTGTTGTTGTCATTTGCTTGTTCTTCTTGTGCCTCTGCTTACTGATTTAATTTCGGTCCTTTTACCAGCAGCATGTAACCTTCTTAGTCACCACATAAACTGCAACACACATGATTGTTAAAAGCTTTGCCGAAGTTCATATGGCGATGGTGTGGCTGAATATCAGAGACTAGTTGGTGCAGCAGTTGGAGAGCTTGATTTTCGTGTCATGTTCATCAATGTTGAAGGCTGCTTATGTCAAGTAGATTCTATACCGTATGACATGTTCTTATTAGAAACTTTTTTGATTGAAGAACCATCTTTTTTACCCGAATAAGAATCCTTTCCTTGTCTTTTTTCCATTAAACATATCTTGTATCGAATGGAAGGAATTCTACTGATGTTTCAGCAGGTCGATGCATTTTTTATTCTATTGTTCACTTCGTTGCTCTTGCAACAGTACGCTGTACATATTTGGTGATCATGCGAATACTGAGAGGCATTTCGTTCACCCACAGGCTACAGCTGAGTGATAACTGATAACTTGTGTAGTTGATCTGTTCTGGATGGTGAGATATTTAGAAATTCACTGAAGTTCCGTTTGGTTTGAAACCCAAAACCATAGTGTACAATCTACATTTCTAGTTACAAAATATGGAGATCCAACAAAACTTTGCCCACATATGGCGACAAAAGAATCTCCTGTTATACAAGCTGATCTACTGCTTCTGATCCTGATGTGGTGCTTCTTCTTAGTTGCCATTGTTACTGCTGTCAGGCCAACATGGAAACAACTCAATGTCAACTCCTTTAAGGAGGTCATCTAAGCTGCATGGGGGAGAGTTGCAGAAGGGGTTGTGATTTTCCCATCCATACACAGTGGCAAGCTCTGGGATCATCTTGCTGTCAAAATCTTGATTTCCAGCCATTATATTTTCGTGATTCTGTTGGCAGTGTGTGTTTATAGCATTTGGATGTGGAGAAAGCTGTGTTTCGCAGTTTGAGGCAGAAGAACTTGCATGCAAACTAGTAGAGCTGCCAGCAACCCCAATGACAGAGTTCAAACCCATTTGGTGGCTAAGAATTTCAATCTCCTGCTGTAAGCTGGAAACCTGCGGACAGACACATAGGTAAGATTGGTGGTCTGTGAAGTCCTGTTCCTTTCGAACTCTGAGTGAAATTCTTCTAGCTGATTCTTACAGGGATATGATCATGCATGAAGAGACAAAGAAAGAGCTTGAAACCTGGTGTTGGAGTGCTATGATGTAGGAAACACAGCCATATATTGGATCCCCCATGCGAGCTCGGGCCTCATAAGCAATAGTCACTGCAGCATCACCTCGATAGTTTACAGGTAAGTGAAGTAGTAGCTTTGAAACATTGCTGGCACCAAAAACTTTGTGCACTGCTGCAAAGTGGGTTGCAGCCTGATCATAACTGAAGTAAGGTGCAAAAACGCACTCTTTCATCATGCACCTTCTTCTTAGGAACTTGCATGCACCACATGAAGAGCCTAGACCTGTCATTGTTTTCCCACTTTTTTCGTTTTCTAACCTCTCTTCGAGTGGAGGGGGTTTAAACTTTAAACCTTGTACCAAGGGTGGAATGGAATTGGTTTAGGAACTTGTGTTATTTGCTGTTTATAGTAAGGCTGAGGGGTCGTATATCCTTTTTTCTGTACCAAGAGACATTCTCACTTTTTCACAAAAGTAGGTGTCTTTAGGGTCCCCTTTATGGGCTACATTTTTCGATTCTCAAATTGGGTATGCTTTCTTTCTATATTAATGCCTCAAACAAAAGAGCATTTCTATTTCAATAAAATTCTCTTGTAAATAAGACACTGATGGAAGTCGGAAGACCTAATCATCACTATCATTAGTTGGGCTCTAAAAACGAGCGATGATTGCTTCAAATGCTACTTTATCTGTAAACACTAGCCATCATTAGCCTTAGCCAAGTACAGTGGTGTATCAATTATCTAAACTTTTGCCTAGTAATATCAGTAGGTGACGAGAAAACCAAAAAATGGTCGAATTTTAGAATTCTGCAGTATTGTAGCATATCTGCATAAAGTTTGATTCTTGAGTTTGAGTCTTTTCTATGACAGTAAACTTCTTTCGAAGTTAAGGTAAACCTCGTCCACCATGATCGTTTGATCAATCGTGATGGTAGGTGATTCGAGCTCTTCTTTCGCTAGTAGGCAGTAGCTGCACAAAAAAGGCAGCTTAGCTCAGCAGGCACAACAAATGAAAATGGTCGGTAGTTGATTATTACCAAAAGTAGAATTATTAGTGCGCTGATTTTAATCCTTTGTGTCAAATCAAGGTTGAGAGGATCGATGCATTGCGGCTCGTTCACATTTGAGGCTGCAGGAAAAGAAAAGCAGAAGGCTTGATATTGTTTTTATATGCAGGATTCATAGCTTAGGCGGGCATCTTGGACTGATGATTAATGGTGGCTTTTCTCTGGTGTACTGGTTAATAATCTCCCTTAATTATTGATGCTTAGTTATAATTTACTGACAGTCTTTTGGGCTTAGAAGTTTTTCAACAATGTTTTTTTCCCACCGTTCGTTTTGTGGTAATTCTTGTATGCTTCACAGCTCTAGAAATAAAAGCAACTGGAGGAGGAGACAAGACTGCCAGTTTTCAACGGCAACTTTCTGTCCTTTCATAACTGTTCCAAGGTTGTTCCAGGTTTTCGAGTTGAACGATGAAAGTGCCTTTCTCTCTATCAGTAGACCAGTGAACATGATCCTGTATGTTCTTCTGTTCCAAATTTTGTTTGTAGGTGGATATGGTTGGTTGCTTGCATGCATAAAGGCTATCCTCGTAGAACCAGGTAAGCAATTTCGATATGCAGAAGTAGGCGGGGGTGAATCAGCTTTGCAATTGTTTTTCCAGTTCCCTGTTCATCATGTTTGAGCTGTCACCACCACCACTAACAAACATCAGTACTCCTCTGATTTTTTGAATTCTTATTATTTCTTCTAATTTGTAGTGTTCTTTCATATGAGCGGAACTTTTTGTTCACTGCCAATGAACAAGAACGAGCTAAGTGGTGGTAGTCTGAGCCTGGTAGACCTGTCTCCACACATATAGCTAAGTTTTTGCAACTAGAAAAAAATTGTTGATGGGCTGGGGCATTTCTGTAATGATGGGCTTGGGCCTTCCACCTTCCGTCCTTACCCTGAGGCTCGTTGATACAAATGGCCCAAGCCCTCTACCATCACATTTCCCCTGGTCGTTATCTTCCACCAAATTGGTCCTCCTTTCGATAAATAGCAACCAGAAAAACAAACAAATATTCGGGAAAAAACAAGCAAATTAAAATGTTAATAGGGCCCCGATAATGGAATCTAATCCTCCAATGAAAAACCAAACTTCGAAATAATCGACAGAACCAGACAAAAGTATTGAAACGAAATTAGTGAAAAACAGAGACTACCACCTTAGAAATCATAACCCAACCAAAATAACGACCAATAATTCTCGTCATCCATATAATCCATCTTGTGGCAAATATTCGAAAAAGAAAAAAGAAGGGAAAAGAAGAATTACCCGAAAAAGGATTCATTAATTGTGGCAAAGAGAGCACACAAAATCCACACACCCGCTCAGAAACAGAGGCTCTACCCCGAAGCGGGTGGTTGTCCTGGTCTCTGCCAATGTGGCAGCTAACCAATCTTCATCGTGTGGACGTTACCAATCTCCCTTCCTCCCTAAGCCAATCCTCAAAATTACCCAATTTCCTGATCACTCGTACTCCCACTATATAGTTCCTCACTTCATCCCCTCATCATCACTGGTTGGTTCCCCAGAGCTCTCAATCTCCAGCAAGTTCACTCACTCACTCCAAATCATGGCCGCCACCGCCATCTCCACCGTCGGCGCCGTCAACCGGGCTCCGGTACCATTCTCTTCTTACTTCCTTACTAGTCTGTTAGTGAATTAAGTAGAGTCTGACTAATAACGATGTGGGCACGTGGTTCGATTTGAATTTGCAGTTGGCTTTGAACGGGTCTGGTGCCGGGTCATCGGTGCCGACCTCGGCTTTCTTCGGGTCGACCCTGAAGAAATTGGGGGGAGGAGTAAGGTCGTTCCCCAAGTCCGGGTTCAAGGTGGTCGCGGCAGCTGTCCCTGAGGACGTGGACGAGGAGAAGCAGACGGATAAGGACAGATGGGGACACCTGGCGACGGACATGTCCGACGACCAGCAAGACATCACCAGGGGAAAGGGTATGGTCGACAGCCTGTTCCAGGCTCCCCAGATGGCCGGAACTCACTACGCCGTCATGAGCTCCTACGACTACATCAGCAAGGGCCTACGAACGTACGTAATTCTTCTACTTACACTAATTACTCTGTTTTGTGTTTGTTTGCCTTTTTGTTCATGACTTGTCTCTCGCCTATTTTGGTGGGTAATCTTGGTAACGTTGCAATTTTATGTTTGAATGGACTTACTTCTATTTTCGGCAATCATCTCTGTGTTAAATGTCTACACGTTTAGGGTAAGAGACAATCTGCATGTTTGCTTTTAATGATACCATAATCTGCATGTCTATGTACTTTGTCTATATTCTCGTGTAGGTGTTGTAGTGTTTGGAGTAAGCCTAGATTTGGGCAATGGGTTGACTCATTGGATAATTTGATCCATTGTCATGATCCAAATGAGTGTTGGGTCGGACTCAAATGAACCTATATGTGGTTTCAATGATTTTGGTTTGAATTAGGGTTCAATTGGGTCAATTCATTTGGGGTAGACGCAAATGGGTCTAGATGATTGCATGTACAAAGAACAATATCAACAATTTTATTAACCACATCCAACCAATTATACACCTTTACTATATGTGTATTAAATTTTTTATTTGTTTCATAACAAAATATAAGACAAAAATGACATTATAATCGGGGTACCCATTTATTATGTACTTCCAATATTGAAGATCCAATTTAGACCCAAACGGAAAAGTTGGGTATGAGTATGCCTCACAACTAAAATTACACAAATTTTATTTGACTTATAATAAGTTGGGTTTGGGCAATCCCCAAATATTGGGACGTTTTTGTCATTCATAAATATTTTATGAGAACCTTATGTTATTGAGAGATGTTTTGTTCGAATCTTGCGGTTCATATTTGATGGCCCAGTCTAAAGACTGTATTAATCGAATTATTGGGACCAACTATTTTTTCACATCGTAGTAATTCGAAGGCTCACCAAGTGGTCATTGTAATTTGTAACTGATAGTTGGTTGTGTTATACGTGGGCTTGCAGATACGATTTTGACAACACCATGGGTGGTCTCTACATTGCCCCTGCTTTCATGGACAAGCTCGTCGTCCACATCACCAAGAACTTCTTGAACCTCCCAAACATTAAGGTAACTCTCCATCCTTTACCAAGTCCCACATCCTTGGAATCCATTCCCTTATTGGTTTCCAACACTCATTCGATCAAAATTTGCTCTGCCTACAGGTTCCCCTGATCTTGGGTGTGTGGGGAGGCAAAGGTCAAGGAAAATCCTTCCAAGCTGAGCTCGTCTTCGCCAAGATGGGAATCAAGTGAGGCCGCCGCCTCATTTCCACAAACTGACCAAACATATATGTCTCTTGTTCCTAGTTAATTAATGTAAGCTAATGTGGAATTTTCTTTGACAGCCCAATCATGATGAGCGCCGGAGAATTGGAGAGCGGGAACGCCGGAGAGCCAGCGAAGCTGATCAGGCAGAGGTACCGTGAGGCCGCCGACATCATCAAGAAGGGGAAAATGTGCTGCCTATTCATCAACGATCTCGACGCCGGTGCCGGACGTATGGGTGGGACCACCCAGTACACGGTCAACAACCAGATGGTCAACGCCACCCTCATGAACATCGCCGACGCGCCCACCAACGTCCAGCTCCCCGGCATGTACAACAAGGAGGAGAACGCCCGTGTCCCCATCATCGTCACCGGTAACGACTTCTCCACCTTGTACGCCCCTCTCATCCGTGACGGGCGTATGGAGAAGTTCTACTGGGCCCCGACCAGGGAGGACCGAATCGGAGTATGCACCGGTATTTTTAGGACCGATAATGTCCCCAAGGACGACATCGTCAAGCTCGTCGACGCCTTCCCCGGCCAATCCATAGGTGCAGTATTTTATGCTAAAATCGTTGTTGATTTTTTTGGAGTCATCAGAATCCATGATCTCTAGGTAGAGGTGGCAATTAGGATCCATATCCATGAATCCAATCCAATCCATACAACTAATCCAATCCATTTGATCCAAATGGCAAATTACAATTTAGTATCTAAACAATTTATATTTTACATTTTGGTACCAAAACTTTTTAAAATTTATAAAATGGTTCAATACTTGGATGTCATTTGGATTCGTGTATCAATCACCAATCCATTGGATCCAATTCATGAATTCACCAATCTATGAATCCAGTCTAATTGACACACTCTGTTCTCTAGTTAAAGACTCTGATATCATATTAACGAATGTTTTGCGATTTGTGTGGGTGCAGATTTCTTCGGGGCGCTGAGGGCTAGGGTGTACGACGACGAGGTGAGGAAGTGGATCTCAGGAGTGGGAGTGGACACGATCGGGAAGAAGCTGGTGAACTCCAAGGACCCGCCGCCGACGTTCGAGCAGCCGACGATGACATTGGAGACGCTGATGGGGTACGGGAACATGCTGGTGCAGGAGCAAGACAATGTGAAGAGAGTGCAGTTGGCTGACCAGTACTTGAACGAGGCTGCTCTTGGTGATGCCAACAAGGATGCCATGGAGAGCGGAACTTTCTACAGTTAGATCCACAAGCGGGTGACTTTGATCCAAACTGCAAGGAGTGATGATGGAAGCTGTTGCCTTTATCAGTTCTGAATTTGTGAAATTTTAAGGTCCTTTTTTCTGCTTCTTCTAGGAGGGGTTTGTTGGGTGGATTTGCAGAGGATCAAGGGCTGTATGTTACGTTATATCCCTTCTTATTTACGGATTGGTGTTTTTTTTTCTCCTTCTTTTTCTTCATGTATTCAAGAAAACATATATTAATGTTGTTAATTATGTTGTTCTCTTCGTCTTTATGGATTCCCTTTCGTTCTTTTTACTTGTTGATGTCTCGTTAATCACAATGCACTTTTTAATCCGGCATTCTAAAAACTGTAGTCATTTGCATTTCTCGAAATGTTGTTGAAGTAACATTTACAAATAGAACCGACAAATGATATTTTCTTAGTAGCCATCCATTTCGGGTTCATATTGGTAATATCATATATTTGGAAAATAAAGACCTAGGACATTAATTTGTAAGTGGTTACCATCTTACCATGTTACTTATATAAAGTAAAGTTAATTACATACAGGAATGACAATTCAAATTTCTTAATATGCTATTATCCTATCCAACTCACACTAGCATGGGATAGGTTGTGGATATCTTTATTTTATCCGTTCTACCTCAATTTTCTTTAATATATATATATATATTTATTTATTCTTCAATCATTTATTTACCCAATGAAATATTGAATAGGTGAAATTGTTTTTCGGGCGAAAGGCAAAATAAATGTCAAGGGGCTATCAGCCATCACTAGGTAACATAGATTTATTGCTTGAACATTGGCCAAAAGGGAAAATCAATGGTAATGGCCCATTGGCTGTCCTTTACACTTTAGGTTGTTGATGGACCTATCTTGTTAAACATGGGGAAAGGTCCTCTAATTATTTTTTGGGCTTAGGCTCATTTCATTTCTGGTTTCATTGTTTCTCAATCGAGCATAGGCCCAATTGTCAAGGGATCTTAATAAATTTGTTAAAGGAACCTTAATACACTTTGGCGCCATCAATATTTTCTTTACAACTAAACTTTTGTTTTTTCCGTAATCACTCAATTTCCAGTCACCACATTAATCTCAGAATTACAGAACATAAATTATTTGCTCATTGAACAAAACCAAAATCACAAGTAAACAATATGTAAATGCAAGTGGACAACATAAGTAACTAACGAGTTAAAAATATTTATGTTTAGGGTTATAGGTATAATATGCCCCTCTACTATGACGTTTTATCAAACATGCCATTCTACTATTTTTTACATCAAATATGCCTATGTACTTTGAAACGATTATCAAACATGCCCTTATGTTAAATTTTCATTGAAAAAATCGTCAATCATGGTTGAATTGAGATTTAGACGACCCGACATCGGCAAATGGGAGAGAAAATGTATGTTTTATCCCCTGTTTTATTTCCCTACGTCTTTTCAAATTGAAATTATTTGAATGATTTGATTATACAAAAGAATCAAAAATATTCTAAAGTGAATTTATTAGGGATGTTTTAGTCATTTGTGTCGCCCAAACTAAAGTTCGGCCTTGGTTAACGATTTTTGGATGAAAATTTTAACAAAAGGGCATGTTTGATCATTTTTACAAAGTATAAGGGAATGTTTGATGTAAAAAATAGTAGAGGGGCATGTTTGATAAAACGTCATAGTAGAGGGGCATATTATACCTATAACCCTTATGTTTATCCATCATGTGAACAACAGAACCAAACTTTTTTTTTTTCTTAGTATGAAAAGGAATCACAAGTTTTGCACATCAGCTATGTACACCTAACACTGTGTTGTCTAGTGCAAATTGTTGTTAAAATTGGCTTTAAAAAAAAACCAAAAGCAAATGAAAGGTCAAATTATTGGTGACCTCCTCCCACTGATAAACCGAACATGAAAGAGACCAGACAAGAAAGGTTGGTACTTGCAGTGAGGAAGTGATGCTAAATTAAGATACAAAATGTGTCATATTTTGGAGTGTAAAGCTTTAATGATTGTGATTTTATCTTCTTCTGGTTTGTGGGCATCAACATCTCCAACCGGCCGGCCACTGCACCACAGTCGTCCATGGCGATGGCAGAGCTCCATGTGGTGTTGCTCTTCTTCTAAAAGCAGTTAATCACCGGTCCATGAGGAAAACATGCCTACTACAACTTGCACGGTGGAAATTATGTTAGAGGTTAACCGTACTCATGGAGGAATTATTGACACATTTGTTACATTCTATCGATGAAGAATTTGTGTTCATGCTTAATGTAGTTCGAAATCTCTCAACAAATGATTAAAATGTCACAGACTATTTTTCATAAATAAAAAGTAGCACGATAATTATATGAATTACTTTTTCTTTCGTTTACTATGCATTAGTTGTAATCTATTAGCTTTTTTTTTAACAATGTAATCTAATGGCAAAACAAAACAATGGAAATAAGCGATTTGGACTTTCTTCTCAGACATGATGATTTCGACCAAGATTTCACCTTGTTAATTGTTTGTTACGAAAATCAAAGAACATTAATCGTAACACTCTAACAAAATACCACATCTACAAAACACTTGATAGATTAATTGTTTATAAGGAACACTTCAATCACAACTGACTTGCAGTGAAATGGAGGAATTGTAAGAACTCTGAATATAAATATGATCGGGGCGGAGCACTAAAATTGGGTGACCACTTGGGAAGTTACCATGATACAAGAACCGAAACGGATCAGAGGCTCAACCAGTCGAACCACCAAACCAGTTACAATAGTGATCCAACTCTTCTGTTTGGACAGTTCGGGATGGACTAAACGGTTTTTAACTGGAAGGTATGAAATCGGATCAACCACTATAGTTTTACTGGTTCACTATTTTAACGGTCAAAAGGTTGAGAAAATTTTTCTTTTAACTTAAGACCATCCAACGTAAATTACTAATTTTATTTATGCTTCATTTTCTTCGTTTTCCAACATTCTTGACGCATTTGGTCCACTATGGACTGCCAGCCTCATAAATAACTCGAATTTAATAATAATTTTTTTTTTGTGAGACAGTTTGGATGATTTGTTAGAACTTGTGGAGGTGGATGCTATGAAATTGAAATTGAGATAGTTCATGAGTGTTAAAAATTCAGTGCTAAATTAATATATTATATATAGTCTTCTGTGTTATAGCATATAAACAATTACTATCAATGGCTAACCAATGCCTCTATAATAATCAAACTGCTGAATCATGAAGCACTATGGATCCTTGGCATGCATTATAATCAAAATTGAGTTTGGCAAATTAAACAAAAGATGAGAGCCCATCATGACCATACTGAATAACACAGACTTGGTTTGACATGAACTAATAAACAATGCTTTGTGGGTGATCAGCACGTAGTTGGGTGATTCCACAGATATCCCTTTCAAAGAATCCACTAAGTTGACGACACAATCAAGCTAGCCAACTCCAACTAATTACAACTGTTATTATTGCTAAGTTAAAGCTAATTACGTAAACTTGTATGAATCCATAGCGCCTCCAGCGAAACGGAGTCGATGGGGGCATTTACCAATTCAGTGCTTAAAACTGTGGCTGGAAGGCAAACAAGTAGGCATGTTGTTTAAAGCAATAGTTATCTCCATTTTGCTTTCTATAACTTTCTTTTTCTGTTTCTTCTTGTGCAAGCTTGGATAACTGCTTTACACAGCCAGACGTGTATGAAATGGAATGGAAATGATAATTAAGGCGGATTTGGTAATAATATCGGTTCAACACTAGAATTATTTTATTGACAATTTCGAAAACGACAGGAGAATATTATCAAGGTTTAAATAAAGGTCGGTTAAAGAGTTTGTGCAGTCCATTCATTTTACAACGACCAAGACAAAACCACGATACAATATAGAGTTGTTCTGTGAGTTTCATATATTTTTATTAGGTAAAATATCTCGGGTACCACTCAAGTTTGAGAATTTGGATAGACATACCATTTAAGTTTGAATAGGGCGTCGAGTACCATTAAAGTCGCTAAAATGTGCATCCGTCTAGTTTTTCATCCAATCCAAACTTTTAATTACTTTATGGTGCCCAAAACTTGTAAAAACATCCAAAACTATTTCAACAAGTTTTAACTAATATAAAATTAGAAACCCTTCTAAATATAGTATAACTGGAATGGCTAATCAAATTTTTTTAATAAAATAGATAAATTAGTAAAAATAATAAACGAATATCAAGAAGAAGAATAAATATACTAGAAGATAATAATAAATATTTAAAATCAATATTAGAAGATCTATTTAAACCCATAATTCAATTAGAAGCACCATTAGAAATTGTTAAAATAGAACCTAGTCGATCATCAATATTATATAAAGACCAAAGCAGGATAAACGGAACACAATAAGAAAGGATTAAACATATTCCAGTAATTAAAAAAATAGAACGAAAAGAGACAAATGGAGAAAAGAAAATATGAATTTAGGAAGAGAGTTAGAATTAGTAATTTTAACCAATATGAAACATTTATAATATTAGAGAATTAAAATGAGATTTAACATGAAAAATTAGACAAAATCAGCATGATGTAAGAGAACTTAATATAATATCCTCATATTATTTATGTCGAGATAGCATTCATATGATATATTTGCTTCAACGAATTATTCAATTATTAGGACACATAATAATAAATATTATAAAAAATTGTATTCAAAAATTGGTTCGGTATCAAGTTGAAGGATAAATTCTCAAAATTTAGTGGTATAACTCCAACAATTCTTAAAGTTTAGTGATACTCGAAGTATTTTACCGCGTTTTTATTCATGAAAAAATGTTTTGATTTTTGAACTACCACCACTAATGCAAATATTGTCTTTAATCTGTTTGACATCTTTGTCGGTATAAATAATTAAATATCAGTGAAGGAATGACATTCATTTACAACAATAAGAGAACAGAATGTCATAAATTAACTGTCTCAGTCCAAAGTCCAACCCCTGCTCTCCCCCATTCGGCTTTCCCGTCTCTTTCCATCCTTCTGCTGCAACAACTCCAAAAATTATACAAGCACGAGCTTGCTGAGCAAAACAACAAAAACAAGACAGCATCACCACCACTGCCATTGCCATTTGCCAACCTTCTTCCTCCATTCATTTAGTTCTAGCCCAACAGGCCAAAGAAACAGAGCATCTCCTCTTTCCACCAAGCTCAAGAAAACTTCCAAGCTCTACACCAACCATTATTCGCCATGGCCGGAAACCTGCTCCTGCCCCTGCATTTCTTCTTCTTCTTCTTCTCCTTCCTCACTTTCCGGTCAGTTCTTTCTCAGCCGGCCCAGCTCTTCTTCGAAAGGTTCGACTCAGCAACCAGCAACCTGACCTTGACCGGAGTTGCAGAGATCGAAAAAAACGGCTTGCTTCGCTTGACAAACGACACTCTCCGCTTAATCGGCCATGCTTTTTACTCTCCACCAGTGCAGCTCAAGGAAAACCCACATGGTAAAGCTTTCTCCTTTTCCACCGCCTTCGTTTTCGCCATAGTTCCAGAATACCCAAAACTCGGTGGCCATGGCTTAGCCTTCACTCTCTCCAGCTCAAAGCAACTCCCCAATGCTCTCCCCAGCCAGTATCTCGGCCTCTTCAATTCAACTGATGTGGGTAATTTCTCCAACCACATTCTCGCCGTCGAATTCGACACCGTCCAAGATTTCGAATTTGGGGATATAAATGATAACCATGTGGGGATCGATATTGACGGATTGCAATCGAACAAATCAGTTCCAGCTGGGTATTTTCTTGCTAACTCCACCAAGGTAGATTTGAACCTCAAAAGTGGTAAGCCGATTCAAGCTTGGGTGGATTACGATTCAGAACAGAATATCTTGGAAGTTAGGTTAGCTCCTTCTTCGAATAAACCCAAATCCCCTATTTTATCCTTTGATGTGGATCTCTCCCGCTTTCTTTTGGACTACATGTTTGTGGGTTTCTCTTCCTCAACTGGGTTGCTAGCCAGCAGTCACTATGTTCTTGGGTGGAGCTTTTGCGTTAATGGAGAAGCTAAAAGTTTGTCCCTTTCCAATCTCCCTTCACTCCCCGGTTCTGGGAGCAGCAACAAAGGGTTAATCCTGGGGGTATCAATCTCTGTCACTTGTGTGATTGTATTAGCCATTGCTGCATCTTTTCACCTAATTAGAAAGATGAGAAATGCGGATGTAATTGAAGATTGGGAGCTTGATGTTGGGCCTCACAGGTTCCCCTACAAAGAGCTGAAGAGGGCAACCAAAGGGTTCAGAGACAAGGAGTTGCTTGGATTCGGTGGATTTGGGAAAGTTTATAAAGGCACTTTACGAACTTCGGCTACCCAAGTAGCAGTCAAGAGAATATCCCATGAATCCAAGCAAGGTCTAAGGGAATTTGCCTCCGAGATTTCCACCATTGGTCGACTTCGCCATAGGAATTTGGTACAGTTGTTTGGATGGTGTAGAAGGAGACAAGATTTGCTTCTGGTATACGATTTCATGGAGAATGGCAGCTTGGACAAGTACTTGTTCGACGAGCCTCAAGCGATACTCAGCTGGGAACAGAGATTCAAAATCGTCAAAGGCATAGCATCAGGGCTTCTGTATCTGCACGAAGAATGGGAGCAGACTGTGATCCACAGAGATATTAAAGCAGGAAATGTGTTGTTAGATTCTGAGCTTAATGGAAGGCTTGGCGATTTCGGTCTGGCCAAGTTGTATGAACATGGGTCTAACCCTGGCACAACAAGGGTAGTGGGCACATTGGGCTACTTAGCACCTGAGCTAACTAGAACCGGAAAGCCAACCACTAGCTCCGATGTGTTTGCATTTGGCGCGCTTCTACTCGAAGTGGCTTGTGGAAGAAGGCCGATCGAGGCCAAGGCATTACCGGAAGAGCTCATTCTGGTGGACTGGGTGTGGGACAAATGGAAGTGTGGTGCTGTGCTTGATGTGGTTGATCCAAAGCTCAATGGAGACTTCGACGAGCTGGAAGCTGTCGTTGTGGTGAAGTTAGGGCTGATGTGTTCGAACAATGTGCCCGAGGCGAGGCCATCGATGAGGCAGGTGGTGAGGTACTTGGAAGGAGAGGTGGGATTGCCTGAAGTGGTTGATGAATTTGATGGGAAGAAAGGAAATGGTGAGAATGGCGACAGTGGTTGTGAAGGTGAGGTGAGGTTGAAGTTTGGGGCACATTCTTATCCATCGTACTTCACGAAGGTGAGTACTTGGTCGTCGGCTGGAGATTTCGGGGATGCTGATGTCGAAGGTTGTTCCGATTCATCGCTTTCGCTTGCTGCCAGTGGAAATGAGTGTAGATAGCAGTTTACTTTGCTTGATGGATTATACGCTGTTCTAGTGTAGTTTGCTTCTGTAAATGTAAATGGTTTTGTTCTATGACTGATTGCACCTATCAGGATTGTAACTGAGTTGAACAATAGTAGATAGATTTGCAGATTGCTTTGCACTTTGTTTATATTCCATTGCCAGAAGAATGCAGAACAGAGTATCATTGTCAACCTGAGTCCAACGGTGTTGACATGGACACTGTCTCTGGCTAATGATGTACATGATAACGTCAGGGAAGCCCGTCATTAGGGCAAAGTGCAACATTTTATTAATTTGCTTCTCGTAAAGGAACTATCTATAAAATATTCGTCCAGTTGACAAAAGTTTGCCGGCATCGATCAAAGTTCAACCAAAACCACTGCAGAAACGGTGGACAACAATACATCTACCCAAATTATAAAAAAAAAGGGCACAACTTGCAGTATCAGAATTCAGAATCCACAACTTGATGATTTTCTATATGAATTGGAACGTGGGAAGATGAAAGAGGAAACATGGTATGGCAGGAAGATTCATAAAAAAACCCAGCTTGGGAGAAAGGAAACAACAGTTTCTGTGTCTTTTACCTCCTGTTTATCCTTTTACTTCCTTACCACTAGTGAAAGTTCATCCCATGTGAGCTTTTGTCAGTGCAGCTAGGTGCATGCACTCTAGACACTCGCTTTTGTTTTTGAGAGAGACACTTGCTATTTAGCCAGTAGCAATGGGTATCTAGTACGTATTCCACAAATGGAAATAGTTCCTTTTTGCAAGACACTGTTCGTTGTTGTGCAGGTTTTTCATGTGCTTAAGGGTCTGCTTAGGTACCCCACTTAGTGGGTTTTGTTAACTTCAGCCTCATGATCATCATCATCTGTGAGACTTACACCTTCTCAATTTCTACTGTTTCACCTGCACGCCCGGAACATATATGGAAGAGTTGTAAGCATAATTGTGGTCAAAATCAAACCTCAATGCTACCCTTCATTTATTGGGTAGGAATAGGATTAACCGGTTCAGTTTTAAGTACTGGAACTGCCAATTTAGGGCACGGCTACAATTAACTGTTCTGCCGTTGAAACTGGAAGCCGAAACAGTTCTCTTCTGTTCCTCAATCACATTCCACCAAAACTTGGAAGCGAAAATGCAGATAACTTCCTCATTTCTCATCTTCTTCTTTCACTTCCCCGCCCTCATCTCCTTCACAGGTACAACCTCTCACAAATTCAAGTTCCGTTCCCTCTACTTCTTTCCCCAATTCATGCTCTTTACTTTTGTTTGTCATGTTTGATGTGCAGATGGCGCCACAACAGAACTCACAATACTCAACAACTGCAACTACAGCGTATGGCCAGGAATCCTGGGTAATGCAGGCCACAGCACCCCAAAACAAGGCGGCTTCCATCTCTGCCGTGGCCAACAAGTTACCTTCCAAGTACCCCGCCACTGGTCGGGCAGAATCTGGCCGAGACAAGGCTGCAGTTTCGATCAATCCACCAAGAAAGGCTACTGCCAGACCGGAGACTGCTCTGGCATGCTCGAGTGCAGAGGCATCGGCGGTGTCCCTCCAGCAACCTTAGTCGAGATGACCCTGGGAACTTCTGCATCGGCCTTACATTTCTACGATGTCAGCCTGCTCGACGGATTCAATGTTCCGGTCTCGGTTGTGCCAATCAATGGCCGGGGAAGGGAGTGTGGAGTGGCGGCTTGTGAGGCTGATTTGAATGCGGTGTGCCCTTCTGTTCTGGTCATCGAGCGGGAGGGGAAAGTGGTGGGTTGCAAGAGCGCTTGTTTGGCTGCCAAAAGTGATAGCTATTGCTGCAGAGGGGAATTTGCTGATCCGAAGGCTTGCAAGCCGAGTGTGTTTGGTATTGTCTTCAAGGCGATTTGCCCTAGGGCTTATAGCTTTGCTTTTGATGAGGCTTCTGGGCTCAAGACTTGTATTGCTCCTCGTTATGTCATCACCTTCTGCTCCTCTTGATTGACAGATTTTGATGCTCATTCGTATAAAGTTCTGAACTTTGTGACATAGGAAGGGCGCATGATCAAATCCCATTCGAGGAAACTCGTGATAGGGAAAGGATTATTTAGATATCAAAGAAATATCCATTACATTATGAAATTCCCCCGACTCTCCTTAAACAGAAAAGGCTTGGTTGGTTTTGTCCCTCTGCCTGCAAACACCTTTGTACAGTCAAACATTGCAAACTCGCTACATCCTCACCCATCTCATTGTAGCTTTTTTTACACCCGCAAACGATGAGGACTTCTTCTCGCTCGGTAGTCCCACCCTCTTCTATCACCTCATCTCTGCAACTGCTACGTAACAGCATCGGCATGTGTTGCGATTCTGAGCCCTTAAGCTAGAAAAGCCTGAATCTAGGTATACTCTCCAACTAACAATGTACAGGGGTACTTACTTAAGTACAGCCAACAATTTGTTTATTTGCACATGGCCACACTATCTGTCCTCATAAATAGGACAGGGCCATTCTAACTAGCAAGCGGAAAACTCGGAAACTAAGGAAGAGACGTGCCTTGATACTATCCTCAGTTAGCTGTACAACATCTCCTATGCCATCTAAGTAGCAACAGCAGCAGGTTGCAGAGTAAGGATGCTGATACGCTTCTCTGTAGAAAGTAAAACCACTCTCTTGTTAGATTCATTTCTTCCTCGACTTTCATTCAACTGAATAAAAGAGTAACATCAGAACCAAAAACAAGTGCTTCAACGTACCTCCAGCTGCAACGAGCTTCTCTACACGTGCCACTATATGCTTCCCATAGGTATACTTCTTCAGAGCATTCAAGTGCACCTTTATACGGTTGAGGATCGACTCAAGTTGTTGGTCATCACAAGTTTCAAGCACTTTCTGTACAACGTAATTTGCAAACTGATCTTTCATCATTGCCTGCATGTGAGACCCAAACACGACTTGAACCGCAGAGCTCTAAGATGATAAAATTATATAATTTCAGATTCTCCAACACAGTGACAGCACTAGGCATGTCAAAGGGAGGGAAGAAGAAGATAAGTCATTCACAAACCTGAAGAGGCTCGTTTTCATCAGTGGTGCCAAGCATCTCATCAACCAATGCCTGGCGCTCAGCAAGTGTCCCAAATGTCAAACACTTCTCTATAACATTGGAAGCGAACTTCTGCTGGCTCATCTGAACTATTTGCCCAGTCAACTTCTTTATAATGGCTGAGCGTTCATCAGGCTTCCCATGCTCCAGCACATGCTGTAAACAGGTAAAAGTAACTAAGCCAGCCAGTTTGAAGCGAAATTAAAGAAGACTGAGCACAACTGGAAGGATGGAGGAGGTTGCATATTACAACGAGAACCAACAGTTACAAACCCAACAAGCGAACAAGCAAGGGGAAAGGCCACTGGCCATTACAGCAGTCTTTTTGAACAATGAATCGTTTATGGAATAACTACAACGTAAAATATCATCAAACTTTATACAAGTCCACTGGACTAATAACCACAGTAAAGCTTCATTTTACCATAACCTCTAAACTATACAGCCAAATATAGTTCTAAAACTTTCCATTTCAAAGACCTCAGATCCTAGGTGTCTCTAGGATATCAAAAGTTTATGTCATTCTCACATGCCGCAGAAGTATATAGAGTAGAAAGACCGCCACAGATATCAACAAAATCAAGAAATACAGAAACTGTTACTGCATGTGACAAAATAATTATGATGGTTAGCACAGAAGGTTCAACTCAGATAGATCAACACAAGGATAGTATAACGAACCTGTACGACATAATTCCCATACTGGTCTTGCGCCAACATGCAAACCGATCGAAAGATCTCATCCATCATTATTTGTTGGGTTTTTGGATCATTACAATGCTCCAGAACTCTCTACAAAATCAAATTCATGTCAGACGGGAACAATTATTCTATCCAACACAAAAGTCGAGATAGATGTTGGCATGCACTCATTCCTTTATATCCAGCAAAGATAAGACAGAATATCCGGAATCAAAGGCTTGTGCGCCTATGATACACTTCTTCATTTTGTAGACATGATGCAATTGTTCTGATTTCAAAAATGAATCAATCATCAAACATAGACAAACAAGTAAAACAGAATACACAAACCTGTATCACACGGCAACCATATGGATGAGTGGATAGTGTAACAACTTGATCATAAAATGTTGTAATAATGAACTGTATGGCATCTTCAGGCACACATTCAATACACTTTTGGATGACATGATTGCCATTCTGATCACGCACACATCGCATGATATGACCATCAAGCTCTTTCACCATTTGGGTTTGCTGATCCAGCTCAACAACTTCGATAGCCTGCAGAGAAAGAATGGAAGCTATCAAGCCTGCTGTCCTATCTTTCAGTACATGTTCAGTATACATGTAAGAAGAAAAATTAGACGAAGAGAAAATCAAGTTTATGGAAAATCGAACTTTATCTTCGCTTATTTTGAAAGAGGCTGTGGCAGAACAAAGCAAAAGCGAAAATGCTAAAGTAAAGGTAGCACCGTATAATGGCTTCAATGAGACAATGGAAACCTTTCAGTAAAGTTTCTATAAACAAATTATCAATCTCCTTTCCCCCTTTATTTTCTTTCTTTGAAAATACCCTTTCCATTTCTTTCTTCCAGAATTAGATAGTATCATGGCATAATACCGACACTAGTCTATTTTTCCAGAAAATGCCCAATTTTAGTTTACATGCAGCACCATCATTCACCCTTCACTAACAAGAAGCTCAGTTAAAAGTTCGCGAAGTTAGTTTACATCCATTTCGATATTAAGACCATGCAGAAAGATGACACCTGCATGTTCAGAGAGGAGAACATGGCAAACCAGAAACATGATCATATTTTTTAACATACCTTTTGGATCACTCGACAGCCATACATTTGAAGGCTAAGGGTCAGCACGTGACCAGTCAGCTGCTCAGCCAGTTCTCTCACTTGAGGAGCAGATCCGTGCTCAAAAAACTGAAGCAGAGCAAAAGTATCACTTAGACGCAAAATTACATAGAATTTAATGAGGTGATCGTCGAAGAAACAAACAAGCAGCAGGTGTAGCCTGAAGAAATAAACAATCGAATCTCATGTAGCTCAGTGATCTAACTAAATACCTTCTGAATTACATAGTTACCAAACACATCAGTCATTAATGAGAGGCCTTGGGGCATAATCTCATTGAAGACCATGTCTCTTTCATCTGTTGTAGCAGTCTCAAGTTTCTGTTGGATGAATCGACTCCCGTACTGATCAGCACTGTTTTACACATACATAAACTTCTCAGTGCCTGACTTTACAAAAAGAAAAAAGGACAGTCACATCCATAAGTTCAATGCATACTACATACACACCTGAATTCAACAACATGACCAGCAATTTCAGAGAGCTCAAAGCATTTTGTCTTGTTGCTTTTGAACTCGTCTAGTAAAGAGGATGGGAAGCCTTCATTCAAGTTACCACCAGCTTCTGAGTGCCAAGATCCCATGCCACCTCCACTCAGATTCCTCATTGCAGATGGAAAACGCAAAGACCTTTCACCGTGTCTTCCAGGGCTACCTGACCCAATTGGAGAGTTTGGAAGAAGGCCTCCGCCTAATGGGCTTCCAGGGTAGGACATGCCAAGACCATATGATGGATTTCCATAGTAATTGGGATTCAAGCTACCAGATTTTCCAAGATAAGGAGCACCATACTGTGCCTTTTGAGAAGTAAGCAGAGCCCCGAGATACGCTTTTTGAACCAGATCCATGTATGAATTACCCAGGTAGTCCCTGTCCATTGTTGATTCACTCAGAGCAGCAATCTGGGCAGCAGCATACTCATTGGATCTCATATACTGTAGATACAATGGGTCCACATGAGGCATTTGAAGGGAATTCCCAGCACCCTGATTCCCAACTCTACCAAGGTTTTGTAGTTCTGCTGCAGCAGCCAATAGATTAGGTCCTAAAGCACCCAATGCTCTAGAATCTAACCCAAGTCCTTCCATGGCAGAAGCAGCAGCATTCTCAAATAAAGGTGGCAAAGTCCCATTACCTAGCTGACCTCCCATCATAGATGGAGACGACGGACTTCCAGGATACCCATTTGCACCATAGCTTGCAAAAGGGGAATTCAAGTTATCTAGGCTTTGGTGATTAGGAGAGCTTCCCCTGCCATTTAGAGGTGGAGTTGATGGTCCTTTAAGGTATGAATTACCAGATATCATAGGCTTGTTCAGATACGACTGTTGCTTGTTATGTTTTTGGTCCCCGTGCAAATTGAAGAAGTCATGGCGATCATCAATCTCATGATGGTAGGTCTGTGATCTCGGCCGGTGTAACTCAGGGGCCATACCATTCGAGATATTCATCCCAGAAAAAGCAGCTACTAGGTCGGCAGGTTCGCCCAAGCTTGACGTAACCCCATTGAATGAGTTGGAACCACCCATATCTCTTTTATCAAAAGAGTTGACTCTGCCTCCTCCAATAGGTGGAATGCGGGGACTAGGAGCCCTGGCTATCAGCTGGGGATCAGGTGTAGTGCTCCGTGACAAGGAGGCACCTAGAGCTGAAGCATAAGTCTGGGAAGATGAAGATCCTACAGCTGGCAAGCCGTGTTGGTTGGGGCTAGACCGCAAACCATCAAGAGATGCCATACCATGATGTTGAGAAAAGTGTGATTCAGAAGCTTCGACATCAACATCAAATGTATTACGGCTAGCAGGACGTGATGGATGCCTTGAAACAGGGTTTGAGGGACCCAAGTCATCCTGCATTCAGTAATGATAAGCTATTAACAAAGCGGCAAGGGATGCTCATGCAACCAATACAAATACAACCAACAGACAGACCAATGGATATGAATCTAATAGCAAAACCATAATTGGAATTCTGATAAAAAACAGAACAATTAAAGTGTCCGGCAATCAAAGTTTAAATAGCTCAATATACCAGACTGCCAGTTTATTCACATAAAAGAAAAGCTGATTGTGACAAAGGGAGATGAGACAAGAATGATGATTCTCAT